ACCGGAGTTTTATTCCGCTTACTCATGAACAATGACTCGTTATTCCTTCTAACTCCTTGATTCATAATCCTGACCCACCTAAGTGGGTCGGTCTTACTCATCCTTGTGCCCTGCATGTGATTCTCTTGTACTATTCTTGGACCATGGATTTGTGTATATAAGATCCCTGTAGCTCGCCCTAAGTCCCCATCTCGACCTCTTGTGTCTTGGGGACTTAGTGTGTGACCTTGAGTCCATTAGGTGCCTATTGCGTCGCTGTCGACCTCGTGTCCAGTGACCTTGAGTCGAGCCCAGCTCCTCTTTTCTGCGTGTACTCTTGCCTAAAGTAAGTGCCGACGACGCTGCTCTCCCATCCAACTCTACCCGATTACTTGGACATTCCGGCTGTCTGAGTAGTTGGTAACCCCAACGGGCGCTCCCCTGCACGTCGCTCGTCACACTGTTCATAACGTCGTCAATGACCAGCGCCTGCCTCGTGTAGATCCCGCATCGATTAACTCGCGTGGGTCTATGTCCATCCTTTACGTTATCCGGGCTGATAGCGACGGACGATATCACCCAGAATCTCCCAGTCCTCTCGCACCCTTCTCTTTCTGTCCGCAGATCTCTCGCTCAACAGCACCTATCGATTGAAACAGGACCCGTGCCGTCGTCGCGACCGTCCCTCTGAACTCGCACCTACCGCACGAAACAAGACCCGTGCTGTCGCCGCGACCGTCCCCGTGAACCCGCTCAATGTGACGCCCGTCCTGTCCGCAGCGCAGGTCTGGCACGGCCTCGGGATCAAAGTTCGTGCACCGAATAGATTCGTGCCGATTAGCACCCGCATCGAGAACACTTACAATGCCCCCACCGAGGTACATTTCATTTTCGCCACATCGTACACGCCTAGTATCTGTCCTGAACGCTCTTCCGTAGGTGAGCGCCGAATCAACTTCGGCGAGGACGCCCCGCTCGCAACCGAAGAGATCGAACTGCACCAGCCCGCCCTCGTGAGCATCGATCTTCACGCTGGCCCATTCTCTAGATTGCCTGACGTGTTGGATGTGCCAGGAGTCCGGCCTCGATTGCGCTTCCGTCGTCGAACCGTTCGTCGATATCCTCCACCCGCTCGTACGGCGAAGAGGGTGCGCCCTCCAGCGTCGCGTTACCCTCCGCCCTGGACCCCGCCGACAAATCGCCGGCCCATCCCGACGCTGATCTGGTGCTGAACCCGTTCATGCGCGTCCAAGCGGCCACGCCACCCGTGTCCACCTCCGCGGTGACCACGCCCGACGCGGCCGCGGTCGCACGTCCGCCGCTGCTCTCCCGCATGAGCAGCACCATCATCCAGTCCGCCAGTGCGCTCGCCGCGTCGCGCCCCGTGTCGCCGTCGCTGCCCTCCGTCAACCTTTCCTTCGGCTTCCCCGATGCGACCGGCGACGATGGCACGAGCCCTTGGGCAGATGCGCGGAGTATGAGCCCCCGTCCGCTCGGTGCGGCGTTTGGGAAGCGGGCGGTCACGCCGAGGGAGGTGGGTAGGGAGCGGAGCGCGAGTCGGAGCACGGCCGGGAGCAGGAAGAGCTTCGAGGAGAAGGGGAATAGAGATGTGGAGAGGTTGAAGGCGGAGGCGGTGGGGGAACGGCCGGGGCCGACGAGGTCGATGAGCGCCTCGATGAGGTCGTGGTCCTGATCGTTCTTACCATCCTCTTCCTGCTCATCGCCTCAATCTTCGTCGTTTTGTTTGCGGGCGCCCGATACAAATTGCACACGGGAAATGGAGATAGCCGAGGGGTAATCACCACTGTGTGCACGCCAATAACGGCGACGGACGTACAGACAACCATCGCGAGCGCGCCCCTTCCTCAACCCACCTGTCCACCAGAAGAGGTATGTACCATGACCTGCCACAGCCATGGAAACCAGCGCGTTCACCTCAGATCTTGACAGGAAGTTTGCCTGACGCCAAGCTGCATCACACTTTCCGCCGCAATCCTCGCCTCCCTCGATAACTCCGTCGACCCCTGCGAAAGCCTCTACGACTTCGCGAGTACGTCACCCTGTGCTCTGAGCACTCCGTCGCTCTTTCACGTTGACTTACCTCGCATCATCTCGCGCAGCCGGCGGGTGCCGCAAGACGCACCATCTCGCGCTTTGGGTAAACAACAACCGAGTTATCAAGGCCATCCTCGACCTCGCCGTCGATGACGGTCCTCTCGCTACCTCCGCGTTGATCCTGGACGTGGATGAGAAGGCAGCGTTGATAGGCACGCCTGCGGACGAGATCTATGCCGCGCTGATGCTGAAGAAGCAGCGCAGGCTGTACGGATCCTGTATGGACGAGGGCCGCCTGGATGAGGCCGGCGCCGCGCCGCTGTTGAAAATTACCGAGTGGGGGCACGCCCCTGGTGTCCTTCTGAATCCGCTTGGTCCAAATTCGGAATCTGTATGTTTGTGACATCGACGAAGGCATGATGATGCCAGCGCGCTGATGTCAAGAGGAGATGGAAAGCCTGGGTCAGGCTCTGTTCGAAGAGGTCTGGATCTTGCATTATGCTCGTGTTACCTGTTATTGATCGGCCTCCTATCCAGGCGAACAAGATGACGGCGACCGAACGCATAAAACGTAGCGAGGCCGAGGAAGAGCTGCGCGAGGCCAATCGCGAGCGCGAGGCCCTCCGCTCGGTCATCCGGTTCATGAAGGAGGAGAACCGCAGCGCTCGGGATCCCAACTCGCACGTGTCGCACTCGCGCTCGTCATCTGAGATCGCTCTGAAGTCACACCCGTACGATCCACGAGTCCAACCTCGATCGCGCTGCCGTCTTTGAATCGTTCGTCGATATCCTCCGAACGCTCGTACGGCGAAGAGGGTGCGCCCTCCAACGTCGCGTTACCCTCTGCCCTAGACCCCGCCGACAAACTGCCGACCCATACCGACGCTGAACCCGTTCGTGCGGGTCCAAGCGGCCAGGCCACCCGTGTCCACATCCGCGGTGACCACGCCCGACGCGGCCGCGGTCGCATGTGTGCCGCTGCTCTCCCGCATGAGCAGCACCATCATCTGGGTAGAAGTTGGTCGAGGAGCGAGGCTGAATACGCACGATGGTACGTTTGACAGGACGCCAGATAAAGGCCGTGCAACTGACAGAACGCAGGATCGGCTTGAGCGGTCGTTTAGGGAATGTGCCATGTACGCGCGAGATCGGACAACTCGTTAGTTCCCGAGCTCCAAGACATCGGCTGGGGGATCACTCGTGTTCGTGGAGCTAGAATTTCACCTTTTAGCGTTTAGGCGCCCTTACGTGGCGAATCCCGTAGCCGCAGTAACCAGAGACGCATAGCTATTCCAGCATCACCGTCAAAGGACCGCTGAGAGCGACTGCTTAGCTCCACGCGGCACGGGCGTGCTCCACCCCGAACTTCGGTGACCGCCTCTGGACCTCACGGCGCGAGGCGTATGTGCCACGTCGAATTGCGCAGACTTTAATTCATAACTATTAGAACTTCGCGGCAACCCCCTGGCGTATCTCAGGTGGTCCGTGGCATGTCGTGCCGCCGGTGCGTTGACTCTTTTCTCGCTCGTACGTGATGCCGCGTTACCGCGACCGGAGAAAGGAACGTCGGGATGAGGAAGAACTGACCACCGGGTTAAGTGAACGCTCGCGGCGTTGCCCGTGATGTCGACTTTGACGCTGGTGGGTGTTTCCTGTGGGCCGGCATCCCTCCCCATCACATCGGTCCTGCGAGACTGCGACAACGAACTGGAAACGAGTGCATTGCAGGTGTGTATATAGCAGCCTCCCTCTGCTTCGCGTCTAGCAGCAGAGCGGGCGCCGTTCCGGGACAAGCCCTATCGGTACGCTCCAGCTCCCGTGGGTGCCCGACACTCGACATCGGGGGTGCAGAAGAAAAACAAAGAAATGGCCTGCCTCCGCTTCGTGTCTAGCAGCAGAGCGGGCGCCGTTCCGGGACAAGCCCTATCGGTACGCTCCAGCTCCCGTGGGTGCCCAACACTCGACATCGGTGGTGCTGAAGAAAAAAGAAATGTGGTTCGCCACCGCGCGTTTATATTTTTTTAGGTCACGTGAAGTTAGCACAGCCTCATTCATGTGATGCTCGGACATATACCACCGCACGAGCATGTCGACTGTCTCTGATGTCCAGACCAGGACCCACGCGATGTACCACAACGGGCCTTCTTCCGAGAACAGCATCTGAATAGAATGCACGACCGTCACTTGTAATATAAGTTGACGTAAAATGTTCCCCGCCGAAATGCACAATACCAGCAAGCTTCCACTGCACTTGATCTTCGCCGATCGACGTGGTAAGGGTCGAATCTATGCTGAGTACTGCCAATGGCCCGTGTACGGTGCGGTCAGGGAGGCATAAGATTAACACGGGAGGGACAAGGTTTGAAGCATTGACTGATGACTGAGGGGGATAGCAGGTACAAGGCAAGGACGTAGTGGGATCACTGTGGCGTGTTACCTCAAAACACATTCCCAAAGATGCTGTAGCTGGTGGAACACGATCACCTAACCAGCGGATCCACATAGACTCCGTAATATGTGTAACAGGATATATACGCTGACTGGAGACAACCTGCCCGCAACACTCCATACGATACGTACCATCTGGTACATCCTGAAACAACTGATCTATCACGTCCAAAGCAGAGGCCAGCACGTGTCCTGTTCGAGGAAACCGTCTAGGATAAGCACCGTACAGTTTATCACGAAGCTTATCTCGGACACCATCCAGTACATCTGATCTAGAATGAAACCGGACATCCTCCATCAACGTGCACAAGTTCACCATCATGGAGGAAGCAAAGCGGTTTTCACGTAGAACCCCAGGTCCGTAGTCCCGATATAAATTGGCAAATATAAACATAACGGAATCGTAGGCACAGCTGTAGTTATCTTGGTCCCACTTCAAGCCCTTTGGAATATACAAGCTAGCATTGGAACGATCTGGTGCCACTCTCTGTTTTTTTGTCGCGGATTCTGACATCAATTTGTCATTGGAGGGTGCTAAGCGCTTCCTCTGTGCAATTGTACATGTGGTTGGGACTTCCTTTGGATCTGATGGAGGGTGAAGAAGAGACTCGTTCCAAGTGGACCAATTGAGGGAGGGAGGCACAGAAGGAGGTACAAAGCGCTCCCCGTACACTTGGTGAAAACTATTGATTAACTCATAGCGAGTTGCACCTTGTACACGTGTATCCAATCTTTCCTCATGTCGGAGCAACCCAATGTAGCTGAGAATCTCCAGTTCTCGAAGCTCTCTGCGTAACTGTCCAGACAGACCACAGGTTAGATGTTTCTCAGAAAATGGTTGCAGAATTAAGGTACCACGAAGGGACGAGCTCCGTGAAAGGCATGTATACACTGCCTGTTGTGAACGACAGTTATGAATATCTACTGGATTTATTGGACGTGTGCGACCTTGCGAGCAGTAGTCCGTCATGGCGAAGTTGAGCAAGACTTGAGGTTGTCGACGGTTGACCACCAATTTGGTGCCTGATACCAATGCACACTCTACACTTTTGTGGGTGGCTGTAATAGGAACCACCCCAGGGGGTAGCGTGGCAATGGTGTATGTTTTAGGGGGGTTGGCAAGCTGCACAAACACTGTATTCAGACACAGATGTTCAGGCCGATCTGGATGTGGTGAAGCATCCCAGCCCACCACATAACCTTCAGCACCGTTAGTTGCACATAGCTCAGTAGCTTCATTGTTTTTCAGCATGACAGGCATACCCCAGCAAAGTTGCAAAACACCAGCATGATGATTACTTTCGCAGGGAGGTAAACTCCACAATGCATCCTGAAGCTGACGTTGTGGCACATTGTGTGTACGAACCGGATCTAATACCTTAGCAGCGTTACGACCAGTAGCAGCAACCAATGCTACGTCTCTGGTTTTCCCTAACCTGTCTACTGAGTAGAAGCTTATGATATCCCGACCATAGTCAGCTGCAAACCTAGAGGCTCCCATCAAGTTTATCTGGTCCCGATGTGCATTTAATGAGGTTATAATGGCAACACTCTGAAACATGTCATCTGTTATTCGAGGACCGTTTCCTATCCGAGTAGAAACTCGCGTCCGAAATAGGGCAAGGTCCTGCTCATCACATAGACCAAACCGCAAGTTAACCAGGGATTTACGGAACAGATGATCCTCTTCAGACATCCCAGCTTGTCGCATGTTTTCGGTTAACAGAATCACCTCCGTAAATTGATGCCAGATTGCCTTACCAAAGGCAATCTTCTGGGCAGCATTTGTCACTCGCATAGACACCTTACCCTCCTTTATTTTTTGAGCAAACACAGGTGTATAGAGAGGGGCAGAACCCCGACCCGCAGGAGGCAACTGACCAAAGTCTCCTGCCACAATAATATGTAACCCACCGAATGCCTGTGTTGGGCGCTGCTTCACAGTGCTCAAAATAGCAGAGATCTCTTGCAAATCTTGGCAGGAGATCATAGACACCTCGTCAATTAGTAGAATATCTGCCTTACCAAGGCGCTCTCTTACTTTGTCAACCATGTTGGCAGAGATGCCAGTGGAACCCTTATGACCCATACCTAAAACCGACTGATATGTAGACCCACCTACGTTGGCAGCAGCACTTCCAGTAGGTGCAAGAATCATGAAACGATGTTGTTGGCCTGTTTTTTCAAAATAGCAGGTAAGGGCATGAAAAACTCGTGATTTACCCGTTCCACCCATGCCCCCCAAATGCATCAACAACTGTTTGGCACCAAGACTTGCAAGTACTACTCGCATAAATGCTCTATTTTGGGCAACATTAAGACCAAAATCTGCAGATATCTGTTGCGCAATGGTCAGACTAGATATCTTTTCCGTTGCATTAGTCCCTTGTACAAAGAACTCACCACCCACAACACGCACACGATTGTGATCCTGGAAATGAGATCCCTGTGACATAACACTGGAACCCTGATCAAGAACAACAGAGTGTCGGACTAGATGCTGACCCATCACCATTTTACGATGTTCCTGCAGAAGCTCTGCCCACTTAGATGCCAAAATCCGATTGCTATAGTCAATAATAGGCAGAGCCTGAGCCTTGGGGAGCAAACCAGGTTTAAACCAGTCCTGTTCAATGAGAATATTTTCCATACTCACCATTTTTTGAGGATACGGTTATCCACACATAGCGGATCATGCAGCATATCAAGGATTTGTTCCTGTGTAATACCTTCAAGGTGCACATGTTGATATTGCTCTGCCACTGTTACACCCAGTGATTCTATAGTCTCATCCAAATCTGGCATATCTGAACTGGTTTCAGCACGTCGTAAAGCTGCGTAATCATCTTTGGCATCATAACACTGATACAATATGTCGAATCTGTCCATCATCAGTCTGGCAGAAGCTGAGAAGCTGTCAACCTGGCGACGAAAGGCCGCATCCCATGTTTCTGAGGCATACCTTAGTTCCATACCTGTTCGCCATCCCGGAGCAAAAAAGGTCAGCATTGTCTTACAGTAAAATTCACGATCACCTTTGTCCCTCCGTGGTAAGCCAGAAACAAAGTTGAGCACCGTACATGTGCCCTTTTTCCGCACAAAAACAGCGTGAGAGCGGTAACGGGGATGCTCAGAGTCAAACAAATAAAACGGGCAGCTAGTCCGTTCCGATGACTCCTCCTCATCTGCAGAATAATCACCGTCAGAGTCAACAGTACGGGTAAAGTCAACGGGGCCTGAAGGCATGCTTAGGCTGCCATCTACAATTTGTTGCTTCTGCCTGGGAGTAAGGGATTTCACTTCTGTTTCTTGTAAGTATTGCACTAACGAATAATTGTCAAATGCAGATGGACGGTAAACCCAGTCATGTGAGCGGTTGACTGGTACTACCTTACCATCGGAGCGGCCAACAACTACTTGGTCTTTCGAGGTAGGAGAATCATTTTCTGTAGCACCCTCTTGCCATGCTGCAGACACCATCCCCACATATGGCACCCAAAATACCACCCGAAAGTTCATATTTGTGTAATGGTCAGGCTGTCCCAGTAAGTACTGGCAAACCATGGGCCCTCCTATTTCCTGCTTTGCGGACAAAGAATTAACCATCTTTACAATCAAGCTCCGTCCACTGTTGGTAGGAATTGGACCCGTCTGAATCAACTCAGTGCGTCGGTCTAGCACTGCTTTGACTGACTCAAACACAGCATGTGTTTTCAAAGATGACTTAGTTACATAGTCAGTAATATATGCTGGAAGGGCACGCAGTTGGGTACCGGACAAAACAGACGTAACATCGGTATTGCATCGAAATAAGTACGAGAGCAAACGGTTTGTTTTATTGAAATATGGCTCAGTGTGTTTGACAGATATTGAACCATCATCTGGGCTCACTGTGGTATGGTCTACAATGTCCCGAGGAAAGCGAGCTCGACATGAACCGTCTGGTCTGCGACAACCCCGATGATGAGTGGCAGGATGTCTGTTTGACAAATAAACAATTTCATCCATCTCTCCTTCTACGTGTTCTTCGAACCATGTCAAGTTATCTGAGTCCCCAGTGTTGGGAGGGCCAGTTGGAAGACTTAAAGTAGGATCGGTAGAGAGCCCCATTGAGTCACCATCGTAACCATCCATGTTAATGTCACTATCTATTGCGGAATATCTCCGATGTATCCGCTGTCCCACTTCGACTGAAGTCCCTGTGTTCAGCTCAGCTTGATGGAAACCCTCCAGCCATGATACAAAGCGATCACGGAAGGCAATGTCTTTGCTAGTCAGACGGTCTCGTATTTGTTGTGGGCTAATATTTCCCTTAACCCATATAAGCATATGCAAATGCAGTGTTAGTCGACCCTGAGACTCAACAGTACCATAGTACGCATCGGTATCACCAAACAAACCACCACCACTACCAGGGCGCAGAAGAACCTCGATAAATATTCTTACCATGAAGTGAAAAAACCGTGCGCAGGCAGTGGGATTATTGGCAATAGCGCGCAAACGCTGGTTTTGGTCGGGTAATGCCTCACTACCGTTAAAGGGGTCAATAATCACACCACAGTAATACAAGCATACCGGGTTTTTGAAGTCCACCGGACTTATGGTAACGAACGCCACAAATGGCCCGAAATGGTAGATCATAGCCTTGATCTCATTGCGTTGATATTTTCGTGAAGTGTTGGATCCCTGGACATGACCTGCTACGTGGTCTAACAGTGTCAACAGCCTGAAGCACGCCTTCTCTGCATCAGTCTCAGGACGGATGTACCCATTAGACTTGGAACGCTCCACCAAGTCAGACAGGGCATCCCGGTCCAAGGTATCCAGAGATGCCAGTAGCCTGCCAAAGTTTTTACGTTCCGTGAGGAGAAAACCTCCTGTATTAGCTGCTCGAATACGTTCCTGATTAAACACAATAAAGGGGAAGTATTCGTCTTCTTGAAACCTGCGATCATAATACAACAGCATCCAACGAACGTGAGCTTGACGACCCACGTGTTTTCTCATTTTAGGATTGGCAAAACCACCGCAACCATGGGGATACAACCACGGAAACATACCTGGATATAAGTCAGGATTATCGTACATTGATGCTGGCTGATTACCACGCCCAATAGCTAGCACCTTTCCGCCCTCTTTCAAGTGTTGAAGGGCAGCTACCTTTTTTTGCTCTGTAGTCATCTGCGAAAACTCTTTGGAGGTTAGGCAATGAACAGAGAAAGGGCAGGCACCTTCCGAACTGCCTTGGTTGGCATCCGACGGTGAAACCGACAAGTTGTGAGACTCTGTTTCACCGTCACTGGATAACCAACACACATTTACTGGAGGCATATCCTCGCTATATGTATCGAGATTGGACTGTGAAATTTTTACATCATGGTATGTAATATTGTTCAAGCAAATGTACTGCAAAGCCTGGAATACTTTGTTCTGCCGCACCAGCAGAGGTGTACGCCTAAAGTCCGCAGCCACAGGTAGTGCAGGGCCCATGAACAAAATGGCCAACATCTCTTCCATATCCTGTCGAGGAGGTGGTAAGACATCGTACACCTTGAGGTACGGTTGTGGAAACACAACAGCATTACCCATCATTTTTCGCTGCCCCATACGAACCTTAACAACAAAGTGATTATGCCGATAGCGAGATACCATAAGTTTCTCGATCCAGGTAAGATCTCGGAGCTCAGGTGGAACATCACCTAACCATAGTCCATTTGCCAGGGCTAACGATGGCAATCGCTTGCGCTGAAGTGAGCGCTTGCATTCTGTGCATACCATGGGCGTCATCACTCCCGAAGGTGAGCGCTTGAAACCAGCATCACACAGAACAGGCCTGGCTTCGAAATCCTGATCATTTGCTATAGTAACATTCTCACCATCCGGTGTAGGTTTCAGTACCGACATGTCCAACCTCGTTCCGTCAGATAAATCGTGGTCTGGGGTCAGACGAGCACAAACCGAGCAAGGTGATTCGTACACCCGCTGAAGCGCGTCACAAAACTCCGAAATCAGGGAACACTTATCCATGCTAGTGAGGGGACCAGGGGGAAACGGCACAGATGGAGACACAAGTTCTTCTTCAGCCGTTGCTAGTGGCAGTGTTTCAGGTTCATCGAGTATATCTCCCGTAGTTGATGCATTTGTGGGATGGAAGACACTGATAAGTGAGGAGCAGGATGCTGTACAGACATGTGCGAGTAAGGCTTGACGGATTGTAGACAGTGTCCGACGACTGTGAGAGGGGGCAATGCCATGTGCCACCATGAGCAAGCGCAGTCCCTGGACTGCCAGTAATGGAACTAAAACAGTCAATGGAACATTTCTCGCAATAATAGCACCAGGTGTGTTCACCATGTCAGGGGAACACACATCCTCATTGAATTGGCCAAGGAAACGAAAGACATTCCCATATAGTTGACGATGAAAGACATTTCCAAGCGATGGAATAGTAGCCAACAAGGTACCATGAATCTGATCTCCCTTGAGCCGTCTTCCTCCTAGGACTCTTGGATACGGTAACCTGTCGCAAGCGACCCAACGGGCATATCGCATAAAATGCAACACATACACCAGCACAATGGCTGAACACAGTCCAAGGGCGACTTTTCCTGCAACAAATGCAGACACATGTTCTAGGACGAAAGCAGGAAGCATAACAAAGAGAAAGCGAGTGTCCTATCTCACATTCAACAGACAGCGGACGCGAAGAGCGACGACGAGTGAGTTTGCACTGATAACCAGATAATTCTGTGCCTTATTTTTCGGCAAAACAGATGACATCACCGTGCACAGCCTATCACATGTGTGGCCCTGTGTTGTGGCCCGATAGGGTGAGCGTTTGCCTTTAGTGACAGCGGTGATAAACGGGGGCAGAGTTTGGACATCGCCACATGTTACGAAACATCACGCTCGAATCACGATTCAATCACGTTTTGGCGGCAGTCACATGGTGGTCACAGAGAGTCACAATCTTCCAGGAGCTCGCCAAATCCCACCTGTTAACCAACTCCAACCTCCGCAAGCTCCGGGGGAGTCGGAACTGTGGTCTACGGCTGGTCATCATCGATTATCACCGTGGTTGGACTAACTACAGTCGACGGCACATGGGCCAACTCGATGCGCTCGCTGAAACACATACGAACCTGCGTATTCTCGATCCGCCTGAGGCGCCTTTCAAATGGCCACGCCGGATCCAGCAGGGGGCGGAGACAGGGGATCCTTGGAACCTGTGAGCATTAAGAGCAATGGCTCCTTATAGGTGGTGGTCATAGCACGATGTTTCAGACGTGCCTATATTATGTTCTACTAGATTTATTCCTCAATCGTCACAGTAAACTGTGCACGGAGGATATGAAGATAACCTATCCTTACGTATCCTGTCGAGTTCACCAATCAGATGCAGCACTGGGAAAGTAGGGCTTGACGAGTAACGGAAGTTGATTGCCGTGCTTGCGTTCGCTCTTGACCATTGGTCGCGTCACCACGGCCGTCGTCTTCGAGATCTCACTCGAGGGTATGGCGAGTTTGAACTCGAAGGCACGCACGAGGACGAACAACAGTGCTTTCATCCTGTGAGGAAACAATAAATTAGTCTCTGGCCGGACAAAGACAGTGGGAACACACTCGACGAGGGAGAAACGGTAACCGATGCAAGCGCGTGGGCCTCCGAGGAAGCTGAGCATGTTTCCCCATACTCCGGGGTTGTGTGATGGCGCATTCGGCATCGATCCTGGTTCCAACCATCGCTCAGGCCTGGAACGGAATGAGCGTGATGCATGGTGCACAATGAACGAGATGTGCCCACTTGAACTCGTGTGCATCGTCGCCCCATATATGACTGGCACGATTAACGGCGACGATAGAGATCTGAACATGATCGCCCTTTTTGACTCTACATATTTCAGGATGGGCTTTGTGCGCAGCGTCGTATCTCGGACGAACACACCGGATCTCCTGATACACTTTTCCATGCTTGTCTGCATATGGCCCGCTCACCGGGATCAGGTCATCTTTCATCGCTACCCTCGTCGTGGAGCCCACTGGCGGATGTACACGCAGGGTCTCGCGTATCACAGCATCCAGATACGGTAGGCATGGTGAAGAGCTCCTCGCGGAGCTTGCGCTGAACGTTCTTATCCTGGGTGAGCGCAAAGAGCGCCCAGGTCGTCCCAGTTGATGTAGTTTCGTGGCCCGCCACCAAGAACGTCGGAATTTCTGTGCATGGATCGATAGGCGGGGAGGATGGCACAGAGCGTTGATCTACGTTCGAGAAAGTATTTCATGGTCGGTCAGACGCTGGTCATCTGGTATGTCAACCGCCATGTTGGCCTTGATGAGGAGACTGAGCAAATCACGCCCTGTGCGAAGGATGGTTAGCTTTAGATATTGCGTAGCTAAAGGTAAAAGGCGATTACCTTGTACATCGGCTTTTTCTACGTGTGCTCCATGCTTCTCAGCACGGAGGGCAGCTTTCCGTTCGGCTATGAGGCCGTAACCGATACGCTTCATCGTGCTCTGTGCATATATCGTTTGGCGGTCTCGTTTCGTGGCCTGTAAAACGCGCTCAGCTGGGTGCAACAGGTAGTGAAAATAAGATCGACCTTACTACCCAACGTAGAAGCGGAATCCGAGCCTGAAGAAGCATCCAAAGTCTGGCACCGCTCGATGCACTGAGCATGGTCGCCATAGCTTCATGAAGCTCGTTGGGTTTCCCGCCCTCGTCCTCGAGCGATTCGAAGTGGTAGTCGAAGCCGGCGAGGCCTATCATATCCAACGTAGCGCGACTGAGCCATGACAGGGCGTCGAGCCTCACCGGCCCTGTACCACCAGTGCCTTGCAGCTCGGAAAGCCATGCGTCCCGAAGTTGCGTCGCCTTGTCGATGAAGATACTGGTAAGCCCACGGACCTGCGCGGGTCCAAAGCCGGGATTCATGACGCGGCGCTGACGTCGGTGAGCGTCGCCTTCAGCGAGGAGAAGGCCTTCACCGACGACGCGGCTGAGAATGTCCCTGCCCAAGGATGGTTTTTGATAGTCGGCGGAGTGCGTTAGGATGTGGTTCAGCGCACGGGGGTCGACAGTGCATAATCGGTCTCGCTATGCAATGTGCGATCAACTGAGGTTAAACACGCAGATTCGAAAATGATCGATGACTATTTGCTTACCCTGAAAAAGGCGCCGACCTTGAGGGTCGTGCCGTACTCTTTCAGCCAGCTATCTTGCAAGAGCGCCGAATCGCCCGTGTTGAGTCCGAAAAACCAACTCGGGCTAGGCGGCCCTTGTAACTGGCGCAGCGGCGATCGCGCTCGCTCCCAAACTTCGCAGAGGACACGCAACGCAACGTAGAGTGCGACAGCAGTACCTATATGGCAAAGAACCGCCGATAGGACCATGTTCTCCGGCCACCGAACGAAAGGAATGCAAGGTTATATACAACCGACCAGGTATTGGCTACGGCAATCTCCGCTCGATGGTCAAGCTACGAGCAGTGGAACGAGAACAGGCAATCGGAAAGTGCGGGGGAAAATCGCCTGGACTGAGGTCTCCGTTGCGCAGTCCCAACGAGTCCCATAATTATTCCGGAGCGTGCATGATTGAAAAAATCGTTCCACTTCGCGATATCGGACCACGGCCCATGCAAGACTGCTCGGTACGTGATTGTTGGTCGACAGCCCATCGGGATGAAGTCAGGGGTCACATTTCCCGCATTTCTTGCACCTGCCGCAGCATAAGTGACGTTCAGAAGGACGAGCTCATACATAGATACCGACGAGGAAAATTACTCACCCAGCCGCCGCAGAACTCAACTCCTTCGATCCACTGAACCATGAACTGTTACACCGACCGATGATGGCCTATATCACCGTCCGTTTCTCTTGCAGGGTATGAAGCTATGTTCTGTGTTCGCGTGGTCTAGCAGGCTTCGAGTCTCCGAGTCTCAAATTTCCAACTCAAGCTGGTGAGGCGTCCGGCGAGGGTCACGGAGGATATCCCGGCATATGTCGTATCTTAAGCCACCAAAACGGCGAAATCACGGAGCACCTCGAAGATCGAAGTTGAAGATGATGCCACGAAAGGTCAAAATAGTTGTGGCCAGATTGAAGTCTGAGACGGACCAGACTGAGACGGTGCGACTTTTGCTCTCCCAGGAGTCAAACTCCGCGATGTTTTACTGTCATGGCTACTATTTACCCCGCGAGAACGCGTAGCATCACTACTGTACGGTCAGCTAGAGGATATGCCGCTGGATGATATAAGTAGCATTAACGGACGGAGAATGCGATTCCATGATGGTATGATATATTGTTCGATATGCTTCCAACGTCGTAAGATCAAGTGCAAGCCAACGTTCATTGGTTCTTTCCGATGATGTTCGCCCGACCCGAGTCTCGTTGAAGGAGCGCGAGCTCGAACATGAAGACTGAGAGATGAACGCGACACAAAGCCAGCGAAGGAATGATGCACCGCGGCCCATTATCAGAAAGTGCAGGACCATATACACAACCGCGATCACGCGTCCGTGGAGAAAATCTCGCGCCCTTCGGCATCCCATTGCACCCACCGCGCGCTCTTCAGGATCTTGCAGAATTCCTTGTGCACCCGCCAGTCTTCGCGCTGGCACGCCTTCCCGCAATACCGCGTCACTTTGCACCCGGAGCACCGCATGAGCGACGTCTTCCCAGGCGTGTTGATGTCCGCGGTCTTCTCCTCCTCGCACGACGCGCAAGCCGCGAGCAGCGGGAAGACCTGGCCGGGTTCGCGCGGGACGTACTGCGGGGCACGAAGGGGATGGCCGGACATAAGGCCCATGCGGAGGTCGATGGCGTCGAATGTGGTTCTGCACGGACCGGGGTCGGAGCTGCATATCGCGTGTAGCTTGTCGGTGATGTCAGCGCGATGAACAGGAGCCTGGGCGTCGAACGGGAGTACGCACATATGCGACGGCTCTGGGAGGCGTAAGACGTAGCCATGAGTTGAATTGGATGACCGTTTCGCGCGCTGGCTTTCCTGTGAAGCGGATTGAGCCCCTCGGACAAAGACCATCGGAGCTGAGGCGCGTACCGCAAAACTCGCATTGCCAGCTACCACTGTGCTTGATGCTGAACATAATCCTGCGCAAGAGCGCTTGGACGTACTCCTCGCGCTCGCCACCGCCTGGGACTATGGGCATATCGTGCTGTGGCAGCCGAGGGGCGAGCTTCAGTTCGAGTCGTTTTTGATCACTGGAACATCGCGGTCTGCGTGTCAGCAGTGTTATCTTAAGGTGTAGCATGTACGTACGAGCCGTAAAGGAACACCTGCAATTCAATCTCTGGGCCCGGCATTGCAGTGGACAGACGTTGGCGTAAACAGTAGAAAGCGATGTAGTGAACCTTGGGACACTTATGTACACAGACAGACCTCCTTGCCTCGTGTCGCATAGTCCGTCTGACAGCGAAACCCTTTTTTGGGCCTTGGATCGTCCAAGGCTTGTGACCCGAACCTTCTGCTAATTGATGGATTTCGGGAGGGAGAATAATCTAGTCATCGCGGTCACCGGCGGAGAGCTGCTTGGGCTTGACAAGTTCTGGTCATACACGGTGAACCAAGCTTCTCCATCCTGAGTCCTGAGTCCTGAGTATTCATTTCTGGGCCACAGTCTTATTGCCTGCATGGCAGCATCATATCCCAATCAATTGAATGCAGACTCAAGTTGGAAGGTCGTCCCACCTGACAATATCGTACCGCGAATACGCTTGCTAGTGAATCCGCTGTCGAAACTTCAAGTCGGCCAATGACGTCGCTGCTCGCATGGGGAATACATGCAGCAGCATAAGCGAGGGTGAAGTCGGGGAGAAAGTACTAATGGGGAAGCGTTGCGCGGTCACTTACACCCCCCCCCCTAGGGGCAGGCAGGCCCGTCGCAGTGTCGTCTGCCTTAACTCGCTTGACAGATTACACCAGCGGTCCTCAGTTGATATATATCGACGCCCAGTGATGCTATAGCGTGTATCTTGAAGCCGGAATCTCAATCCTTGTGCCGTAAACTCAGACTGGTAAGAAGGTCTGTCATATTGTCAAGTGACTTTGTGCGTCAGCCTAAATATGGAACAGCGTCGCCCACGGGTTCTCATACTGCACCGTAACTCATGCAAGCGGCACGCCGTCGCTACGGCTTGAGTCCGTCTTTCACCGGACGCGGCTGTGTCCTCGATATAACACTCCGAAATCCAACCAGCACGGCGAGCTCGCCCCAACGTTGAAGCGTTCACAGCGACGGGAACATGTTTGCGACGATACAGCTAGCTCGTGCCCGTTGGGCGACGGGCCGCTCAGCGGGGTCACGATATCAGACGCTCTCGCAAGGCTCCGCTTCCAAAGCTCGCGTCGGTGCTTATGCGCAGAACTCACAGTGGAGCGCGAGGACTTACAGCACGCCTGTGAACGTGCCGCAGAGGAAGAAAGTTTGTATGTACTCCGGCACGTTCTATACAACGCGACCATGTGCTTACAGATAGCTTTGTGTTAGGGGATAGCGTGGACGAAGCGGTCAAGGATGTGAAGTCCGGGGACGTCTTGTTGAGTGGAGGTGAGGTCGCGTTAAGGCGCGTTGATCAAGTGAAGGCTGAATGACACTGCCGCGTACCAGGTTTCGGGTTATGTGGGACGCCGGATACCTTGATTGGGGCTCTATCTAAGAGACCGGAGGTCAAGAATCTTACCGCTGGTGAGTGATTCCTAACTGTGAATATGTGCTCTCGGATCATTGACACTTCAATACAAAAGTCAGCAACAACGCTGTAAGTTCTGTGCTGAAGGCTACTCTACCAGCGCGTTAGCTGACCTGGTCTCGTGTTGTAGGGCTCCGGTGAGAAGGGACTGGGCAAACTCTTATACAATGGCCAAATCGGAAAGATGATGGCGTCCTACATCGGCGGGTATGGATTAAGAGTCACTGCGTGCCATCTACATCCAGTTGACGCTGAACTACCTTCCCCAGGAACAAGTATTTCGAAGGCTTATACCTCAAGGGTGAAATCGGGTTGGAGCTGATTCCGCAGGGCACACTCGTGGAACGCATGAGGGCGCACGCCGCGGGTATACCTGCTGTACGCATTTCGTGTCCATGCACCCCTCCGATACTGAGCTTGAACACAGTTCTATACGCCAACTGGGGCGGCGACCGCTGTTGAGCAAGGCGAAATTGTCATCCGGTATAAGGAGGTGAGGCCGTGTTAAAATGGAAATGAGAGTCATTCGTTGATATCGACATGTTCAGGGTGGTATGAAGGCCGGTGTTCTTGAAGAAGGCAACAAGAAGGAGTACCGTGAGTTCGACGGGAGAAGGTGGGTTGTGACCAATTCAGGCCTCGGATCCCGACAATTCCGGCGCGGCTTCAGAATCACTCGCTAACAGGAGCATATTCTCAAAAGGTACATCCTCGAACCGGCGATCAGCGGTGATGTCGCTTTTGTCCATGCCTGGAAAGCCGACGAAGTGGGGAATGTCCAGTTCCGGTGAGTTCGGTTCTAGCGAGCTTCTTGTTCTCGATCCTTTGGATTGGTCGGAACTTGACCTTCCAGTCGGTCCGATAGCGTCGTCTTCCTCCGTCGTATTGTTCGATCTTCACGTCTATTCTTTACTCCTTCTTGTGACTCTATCATCAACGACCTTCGTGCTCACGCTTACTCGTATCATGGATCAGCTACACCGCCAACAACTTCAATGCAGTGATGGGAAAAAACGCCAAACTGACGATTGTCGAAGCGGAGCACATTGTCCCTGTTGGTTCATTGGAGCCTGGCGAGATACACCTTCCAGGCATCTACGTCGATCGCGTCGTGCAAGCTACGGCACCCAAGGAGATCGAGATGCTCACGCTCGCGCAGGAACCTGAAAGCGGGTCAGCCAAGGGCGAGGAGGGTGCAGTGGACCCTGCGAAAGCCGCCGCGAAAGATCAGAGACACAGGATCGCGAGACGGGCAGCGAAAGAGATCCGCGACGGTTTCCACGTTAATCTTGTGAGGGTTGCTTTTCAACATCACCGTCCTTTCCTGCTGTGTCATGATGGAATAACATGCGATAATGGGCTCATCAAGGTTTGAAGGGAATCGGAATGCCGACGCTGGTCCCGGAACACCTTCCGCCGGGAGTACGCGTCTGGCTCCAGAGCGAGAACGGGATACTCGGGATGGGCCCGTATCCAACGAAGGAGCAGGTCGACCCCGACATTATCAATGCGGGGAAGGAGACTGTCACCTTGCTTCCTGGAGCTTCGGTCTTCGGTGCGTGTTGGAGGTCTCTGGGGTAATTTGCGGGGTAATGACAGGTCGCCTGGGGCAATTTGGCCACGGTTCATCAGATTCCAGCGAATCGTTCGCCATGATTCGTGGAGGGTGAGTGTTTTCATCAAAGTTCGATATGGGCCGGGCTTAGAGCGGGTCTAGACATATCGACGTTGCTATCCTCGGGGTGAGTGATGGGCGTCGCGTCTAGACGTGCTGTGGGGTAACCGAGCTCTAATCCCATCAGGCAATGCAAGTTTCGCAGGCCGGTGAGTTGGATTTGCTGGTGATGGTCGCTCGCGGAACGGCGGAGTTTTGATGCGATAAGTATGTAGGTGACATTGCCAACTTCATGATCCCTGGCAAGATGGTCAAAGGTAAGCAATATCCTGGTCGAGGCCTCGTAAGGTGACTCATGATTTTTCAGGCATCGGGTGCGTCGGACTCCCTGTCGGTTCGTAACCTCATCAGTTGACACGAGGTAATAGAGGAGCGATGGATTTGGTGTCTAACCCGTGCGTATATGCTCTTTTTACCTCATTTTTGTTTCGCAGGAAGGCGCTGAATGTATGCGTAGGGACGGCACGAAGGTCATTGCGGTCATGGAACATTGCGCGAGAGATGGCACTCCTAAGATCTTGGCCGAATGCGCCTTGCCCTTGACGGGGGCGCGCACGGTGGGTCTCCTGGCAGATGGAACAGTTTGCAAATGAATGACTCATCATTCCTGTATGTAGGTCAGCCAAATCATCACGGAACTCGCCGTCTTCGATGTCGACAGGGCTGCTGGAAAGCTGGAGCTGATTGAAATCGCTGAGGTGTGTGAAGCTAAAGTCACATCTCCCTCGCGAGCTCGCTGACCTATCCGTTTGTAAGGGCGTTACTGTAGATGAAGTTCGGTACGTGAGATATTGCCCGTCAGGTGTGTTTGTGGCTAACCTCGCTTGGTCTCGACTATGCAGTGCTAAGACGGGATGCGACTTCGCGGTGCGGAGCGACCTTGGTCGATTTTGAGTTTTGCGGGTGCGTACGCCACCGTAGTAGTGCTACGTAACCCATGTACCCGTCACTGTCGTCATTCACACCTATGTTCTTTGCTCGAATATCTTCACATCAAGATATCTCGTCCATTTGAGTAATATCATTGTCTGTTTGTCGTCTCCGGCCGTTGATGGCCCCTCAAACTCCGCGAGCAAAGACTTGGAGGCGGCGGCTTATCGGGAGGCGCGGAAGCCGAACGCACCCATTGGCCTGAAGGATGAACCAGGGCTGCCGACCTCCTTGTGCGACATCGAAGACGATGACATGGCAAATATAAATGTCCATCCCGCATTCCCCCGCGCTGGCCCATAAGCACTCCTCTTCCTTTCCCCACATTCTTCCCAAGCGTCGCCGTCCTCGATCATGCTGGGGTCACGAATGGTCTTGCGTGTTCATTTCCGCCACTGCAAGGTCGCGCCCTTCTCGTTGCAGATACGCACGTTGACGGGCACGGCGACGGAGGCGGTCCCGCATAAGAAGAAGGTGTGGGACAGTGTGGACGAGGCGATCAAGGACGTCAAGTCGGGAGACATCATCTTGTCCGGAGGTGCGTCGGGCGTACATCTTGACTTTACCCTTCGCTGATGCCTCTCAGGTTTTGGATTATGCGGTATTCCTGAAACGTTGATCACCGCACTCGCGAAGAAACCGGAGATCAAGGGCTTGACGGCGGTATGTTGAGTTTGTGCCGATCCAGCATTCGCGTACTGACATCACGCGCAGGTATCAAACAATGCTGGTACGTAGGACCCTCTGCGAGACGTGCATTATCTCACTGCTGGATAGGTTTGGGAGACCTCGGTCTCGCGAAACTGCTCCGTTCGGGCCAGCTTGACAAGCTGATGATCAGTTATCTTGGAGGGTGAGTCGTGATGAGCTTAGGACTGATATTCCGTCTCATCCATGCCATTAGCAACAAATATTTCGAGCAGCAATACCTCAAGGGCGAGGTCTCGCTCGAACTCGTACCTCAGGGAACGCTAGTCGAGCGTATGCGGGCACACGCCGCCGGCATTCCCGGTGAGTTTCATCCCTCCATGCCGTCGCAATAACAGTTACCCATCTTCCCTCGCGCAGCCTTCTTTACACCCACTGGAGCGAACACGGCCGTGGAGACGGGAGGTGAGCACACGTGTTCCGGGCACAGTGGGAGGCTTATGCTGATAGTAGCGTTTCAGGTATCCCGATCCGTTTGGGCGGTTCAGTGGACATCGTGAAAATCCCGGGGAACAAGAAAGAGCACAGGATATTCAACGGCAAGCGATACGTCATGGAACCAGCGATAGCAGGGTACGTCCCGACGCATTGGTAGTCATGCCGATTTCTCATCATCTTGCAGAGACGTCGCGTTCGTCCACGCGTACAAGGCTGACGAAGTCGGTAACCTGCAATTCCGGTATGATGGTCCCGTTCTTCGGGATATTCTCCCCCTTCTCACGTTTTCACAGATATGCCGCCAACAACTTCAACGCCGCCATGGTGCGGAACGCAAAATTGACGATCGTTGAGGCTGAGGAGATCGTCCCAGTCGGTTCGATTGATCCCAACGACATTCACGTCCCGGGTATCTACGTCGACCGAATTGTCCAGGCGACCGAGCCCAAGGAGGTCGAGCTACTCACCGTCGCTGAGGACCACGAGTCATCTGCGGCGAGCCCTGATGCCAAGAAGGGTCCTTCGACCGCACAGACCATGCGACACCGTATCGCTGGTCGTGCTGCAAAGGAGATCCGGGATGGCATGTATATCAACTTGGGCGTCGGTATGCCGACGCTGGTCACGGAGCACTTGCCTCCTGGCGTCAACGTTTGGCTTCAGAGCGAGGTAGGCAGTATTGTCTACATCCTTGACCAGAGGCTTATTTGGTTCTTGTGCCTATAGAACGGCATTCTTGGGATGGGTCCCTTCCCGCCGAGGGATAAGGTTGACCCTGACATCATCAACGCCGGAAAGGAAACCGTTAGTTTGCTCCCTGGTGCTTCCGTCTTCGGTAGGTGCAGCTCTTTGACTGCTAGTGCGCATTAGTCTCACTTTGGGTAGATTCTGGCGAGTCATTCGCCATGATTCGTGGTGGACACGTCGACGTGGCTATTCTCGGTGCTATGGAGGTCAGCCAGGCTGGCGACATCGCGAACTTCATGGTTCCCGGAAAACTCGTAAAGGGCATTGGGTAAGTCCATACGGACCTGGATGTTTTAAAGCCAAAGACTCAAGATGCCCCCAGTGGTGCCATGGATCTTGTTTCCAACCCAGACAAGACGAAGGTCATCGTTGTGATGCAACACTGTTCGAAGGACGGCAGCTCAAAGGTGGTCAAGGAATGCTCTCTGCCGCTCACTGGCGCACGTGCTGTACGTATCTCAGTGACTCTCGCATAAGACAACACTCACTCATTCCTTGTTTGACACAGGTGAGCCAAATCATCACCGAGCTTGCGGTCTTCCAAGTCGACCGTCATAATGGAAACATGGAGTTGATAGAGATTGCGGAGAACACCACCTTGGAGGAGGTGAAGGCGAAGACTGACGCTGAGTTCACCGTCCGGGAGCCGCTCGGACGGTTCTAAGACATAATACTATCAGATTCCCGGACGTACTGTGTCGCGTATCTCGTTCGCATCTGTTCGCATGAAAGGGAGCAATCAGGGAACAATGTACATTGGTATATTATTAGGCAACATCATGGCAGCAATCGGAAATGTTCAATGTTCAAACATGTCTTCTGCTCGGGCTGTGTCCGGTGACGCCGCGAGTGTCAAGTGAGGGCACCTTCCACCTCGGGCCTGAGGCGCGGTTACCTGTTCGTCTTCCATCATGACCTGGTTCACCTCCCTCTTCGCGCCAAAGAAAAGCTATAGTTCTACTAGTAAGCGGGGACAGGCCTTGTCGTCGACACACGACGCCTTTTCGCTGCCAGTGTCGTCGCCAGGTTATCACGGTGACGCGCTCAACGGCGACGCCTTCGACGACTCGGACTCTGTGGCGAGTCCATCCTATACATACCCTCCACCGGCGTCGCCTGTTGCATACGATCTGGTGACGACGCCGTACGTGGCTTGGCCCGGCGGAATGAGTCCGATTCGCTGATGTTGCCTCTAGCAGTACGAGTGGTCGTCAATCTTCTCTGCTCCCCTTGCATCACACACCCAACTCCCCTCTCAATGCGTCCACCTATCCTCCGCTTGCGCAAACATGGGACCGCCTGCGGAACTGGCTCGCGCGCGAATATCCAGAATTGGGCGATACGTTAAATTGGGGCATCCTCCCTGAAGACCTGGCGCAGATCGAAATGCAGTTCGGATTTGATCTTCCCAGCGCCGTGCGGGAGTCGTACCTCACGGTCGACGGGCAAGAGCCGGAATCATCGGCCGGATGCTCTGAAGGCCTATTCTTTGGGCTCACGCTCCTGCCACTCGAAGACGTGTTGGAAGAATGGCGCTTCTGGCGGGAGGTAGACGACGACCCACATTCCGGTGCCAATGCTCGTCTAAGGGAATCCATGCAATCGATTCCTCCCGGATGGATCAGGAACGAGTACTCGTCAAGAGGATGGATACCGCTTGCGACGGATAAGGCCGGCAACTACCTCGGAGTAGACGTTGCCCCGGGTGAGGGTGGCTCCCCGGGACAGGTTATTATATTCGGACGCGACTACGACACAAAGGTGGTACTCTGGAGAGGCGACGGTCCCGGCGGGTGGGCAAAGTGGTTGGCGTCTTTCGTTGAGGAGTTGGAAAGCGGCGAAGGCTACGAGCTTGGGATTGGGAGCGATGGGAGTGACGGTAGCGAAGACGACGTGGGCTACGAGAGCTACTTCTTCGATGGTAAGGGCCCCGGGGGTGGCGGATCGGATGCGAACGCTGGCGGCCTTCGTCTTGTCGGTGAGTATCGCGGGTGGAGCGTCTTGGATGCATGGGCGGATAGGAGCATTAGGCGATGGCAGGAAAGTGGTGTGCTCCAGGATGAGACATTGTCATCCCAAACCCGGAATAAGGTGCGTGGGCTTTGTCTGTAAGATCTTCAGCACTGAGCTTTGTTGCAGGTCCGGAACAGCAGGCTAGGACTGGGTGTCATCAACATCAACACCGGCATCTCCGGTGCTGAGGTCCCAATCCCCGTCCTTGCAGAAATTCCAGAGGAGGGCGCTGTTAACGAGAAGACACCTACGACCTCCGGCAAAGTGCCCAGTATTGCTGTGACAAAGCCTCCTGCGCCTAGACCCCTTGAGCTGCCCACGGAGCACGACATCGGCCCGTACTCCCCAGAGGCGGACTATGGCTCGGACTACCGTGACGGCGATCTCGAGGCCGGCCAGGGAGTGTCCTTGGAAGACTTGAATGGCTCGAACAGGACATCGCTGTCCCAGAGCAGCGTCACAACACCGAAAGCCACGACCTATGTGGACGCTGACGCTTCCCTCGTCCCTCTCCCTGGCTCCCCTCCTGCTACCAGGAAGATTTCTTCCCATGTTCCGATTCCTCCGGTTGAGGACCTTCTCGCGGACTCAGCTCCGGCGTTGTCTGCCACCCCGATTGAGCCCTCTCCGTCACCATCCACCAGCAAATCATCAGATATTGCCAGCGTGCAGTTGCCACCCGCAGAGGATATCGAACCGATCCCGGATTTCTCTGCGGGTATCCGCCTGGTCGGTGGCGGCGGTAGCTCGGGCAAGGTTGGTGAGGAAGCTCCCGAGCAGCAGGAGAGTGATGCACCGGATGCACCGGGGGACACTGAGGCCTCTCTGGCAGTGTCTACGAGCCCATCACCAGCTGAGGGCACCACTCCAAAAGCTGAGAAGCGCAAGAGCGTCACTCAAGGACTAAAGAAATTAGGTAACCTCGGTCGGCGAACGAACTCCACAAGTAGCGTAAAGAGTGCGAAGGACACGGCTTGATTTGCTTCGAACTCGTAGTAGCCGGTCATACTCTCATACTTAATCCCCAACAGTTTTTTTGGCCTCTCGTCACTTTGCGCTCCTTCGAACATCACTTCTGGTTGTAACTGTGCACGTTCATAGATACCCTAGTACATATTCAAGATGATTATGCGATCGTTTAAACACGCGACAAGTGCAACAACCTACACTGACGATGCCGTTAGCGCCCATCGCCTCTGTTTAGTGACGGGCGCTAATTTCCAACACCGACGATCCTGTACTCGGTGGTCTTTCAAGTCTTTGAGTGACCCAGGCAGCTGGTCCACAGCTGTACTACTAGACTAGCTAGCGTTCGCGTTCGCAACTGGTACACCGGCATAACGCAATCGCGCTGCATGGACGCGCTCATTGAGGAGCGGCTTTCACAGCTTGAGTTGGTAACCTCCGTTCTGCACTCCAGCTGTAGTCTCACTTCGTGGGTTCAGGGAAATCTCCAAACGACGCAATGCCTTACTCGTGGCCATGCACGCACTTCTCAAACGACGAGAGAATCTAGCAGCTCTGTCGTTAGAGGACGAGGAAGAGGATCATGAGGGGTTAGACGAGTTTCTGAGCCGCTTTGACCTTCAGAAGTGAGCGGATTCCAAGGCTGCCTCATTGCGGGAAGGAACTAATTGCCGCATCAGCCATTCAGCAGAAAGTATCATGGACTTAGAGATTGAACTCCTTGCGCCGCCGGAACCGTCGTCCGACATGGAGGTCGACGATGAGCCCGCGGTGGCCCTCGCTTCGCCCCATGATGTAGAGGATGAACTTGCTCATGCCACCCGTGAACCTACGCCCGCTGATGAGATGAAAGAATCGAGCCTGCAGCCCGTTATGCACATATCCCCTGCGCCGCCCTCGCGCTCCCCTACACCCCTCCCTCAAACTCCACCCGCCCATGAAGAAACCGTGTTTCAGGACGGGAAGCTCATGCATGCATGGCTGCCTCCGTCTACCGAGGATGACCAGAAACGCTCGGTCGACGCGATGGACACAGGTGAAACAGGACCAGGAGTTGGGCACCCTTTCTTCATCCCGACACCAAGCACACCCGCCCGCGAACTTCCAGACTTCGTATTCGATCCCGACGCTGATAAACTCGTCGGCACGTCTCCTTCACGGAAGACGGTCAATCCTGCGGACACGTTGCTTTCTTCTACTGCCAAGTATTCTCTCCCACCCTTGAAGGCCCTACCCTTGGAATTTGTACGCAAAGCAAAGCCGGCGAAGTCTCGTAAACGCGAGAAAGATAAAGAGCGCCTGGGTTCCGCGTATTCTGATGGAAGGAAAGACAAGGAGGAATGGATGCCAATGGGCCTACATCGTTGGGGCGCTACGATACGTGCCAATCCGACATGGAAAAGGGTTGCTCGAGCAACCAAGTGTCTGGATACACGGCAGTGGTTGGTGAGTGCAATATGACCGCGTTCGTTTTGAACTATCTGACAAGTACGTCGTCAGATCGCTACACAGGAGCTGACGCTTATCCGAACCTTGGACCGCATTGAGACCCTTAAGGATGCAGGAAGGTGGAGCTTCAGACAACCAAAGAAACACAAACCTATCGGATACCAGACAAAGACCCACTGGGATTATCTTATGGAAGAAATGGTGCGCGTGCCGGCTGATCACTGCTTCCACGGACCTGATTTCTCCATAGAAATGGATGCGTATCGACTTCCGTGAAGAACGCAAATGGAAACTGTCCCTCGCCTACGCGCTTGCTCACGAAGCCGTGCAATGGCACGAGGCTGGCAACTTGGCCGAGCGCGTCAAGCAAGGTATATGCGTGCCACGCAAGTGGCCACGCGCCGAGCTCGAGGAGGAGCAAGGTGAGGGAGTGGTGGATGTTGACCATGAAGATGAACATGCCCGGACGGTGATGGACACTCCCGCGCCACTTGCGGATGAAGGTTCTGACGACAGCGACGACGAGCAGGACCGCGAACAGCAAGATGTACTGGACGCACTGAATACCACCGCGGATGTGGATTACGCACTTCAACAAGCTGCAGATATCACGGAGCATGCTCAACAGAAGGAACCCAAGCTTGAAGACGTGGATCATTCGTCTGCTCTGCAAAATGCAGGTTCAAATGCCCCTGTAACGGATAGCAACATCACGTCTGCAGGCTCCGCGGAAACGCCCCAAGGAGAAAATGTCGCTGTCACTGTATATACACAAGCGCTGAAGCAAGAATCCTCGAATCCGATCCTCGGTACCTCCGCACCTCAGGACGTGGGCGCTGATACTCCCGCGGCCGACCAGAAGCCGCATATTAAATCAAACGTCTACGCCCCGTTGCGCGAAAAGATCGCTCTTTTGGGCGAACAATCGCTATTCCTCGACTGGGATGCGCTCGACTTACCCAGCCTCGCCTCTGCGGTCGGCGAACTGGAACCTATACCTGCTCCCGCCGATCTCTCGTACATCTTCCCTGAGCTCACCGTTCTTGGTATTCCTGATGTTACCACGAATCTCCTTGTCGGCGAGATCAAGAAGAAAAACGGCAAATCCGACAACAGGAGGGTCGAGGAAGCGCTCGCCACGAAGCTTGTTCCGATTGGACAGTTCATGAACGTCAAACCAACGTTGATTGGAGCACTTGAACCGTCCAAGCATTGGTACGATGGTGAATGGCATGATCTTGATGACTCTGCCGTGGTAGTCGAGTACGAAGGACCCTTGACCAAGGCGATTGAAGAGAGTGGTTGCGGTATGTGTGCGTTGCAGTGAGCAGATTTGATGTGACTCATCAAGTGTTAGGTCTGTTTGACGGAAACAAACCAAATGCCGGGCCTCTGGTAACTCCTTCGGCCCTTCCACAGGCTCCCAAAGATCCTCGTCGTCGCGTATCGGACAATCCTTGGAGCCCCGAAGACGACATGCTGTTGCGCAGTCTAATCGAAAGGTTCCCCAACAACTGGAGACTAATCGCAGATTCATTCAATTCCATGCGATACTCGATTCCAACAGACAGACGTACTGCTTGGGAATGTTTCGATCGATGGTCCACTCAGATAGTTGGAAACCGGGGAACACCCGCAGGCGAGGATACTAGATCTGTTCCGCCTACCCCGACAACGGCTACGATGACAACTAGAGGCGTCAAACGTCAGGCAACAGCGAGCCTTGCAGCGAATGGCGCACCCAGTGGCAGTCCTGCGCCTGGCCTCGAATCGAAGAAACGGCGACGTCATAACCTCATGCACGATGCTATACGAAAAGCAGTCAAGAAACGAGAGTCCGCAGCGAAGGCTCAGGGTACGGTTCTCTTCCTTCCATTTTGCAAGTATTGACTGCAACACGACCTTCTGTAGCTCAGCGCAAGACAACCGCGGCCACTCACGACACTCATGCACAATATAACAAGATGCCGAGGCTGACACCGATAGACCTCAGCCGCATGAAGCAGGAGAAAGAGGCCAGGGACCAGCAAGAGCAAATGAGGCAACGTCGCCAGTTGAATGATCAGTACATCATGAAGCATGCACTGCAGGCGCAGTACCGTATGAATGGCATGCAAGGCATGGCAGCAATGGTTAGCGTTTCCTCACGTACGGCGGCAATCAAGTTGTGACATGGATCGAACGCAGCAGCAGGCTCAGGCGTTACAGCAGCAGCAGCAGCAGGCCCAAGCACAAGGTCAACAACAGCCCGTAGCTACAACCCGCAGTGCCGCAAACGGTATCCCGGTGGCGCAGGGCGTTCCCCAAATCAGAGCGCAAGTTAACATTTCGGGACAGCAGAGGACGAGTACCCCGATGACCCCTAGCAATACCCGTATGTCTCCACAGCAGATCATCCAGGCGCAGGCGCAGGCGCAAGCACACGCCCGGGCTCTGGCTGCTGCGCAAGCAAACCCACCTCAGACGCACCTGTCGCCGCAGTTCGCACCCAGAGGTGCCTCTTCCTCCCCTGCGGTGCCGCACGGGAGCCCCGTGGCGGCGGCGGCGGCCGTTGCAACCTCGCCTCGGCCAACGGCGCCTCAGGCGTACCCGAACATACCACCCGCAACGCCAGTGGTAGCGAGTGGGCCCCGTATTCCATTCTACCAAGTACCGGGAGCTCCTGCGCAGTTCACCCCAGAACAGGTTGAACAAGCTATTCGAATGCACAACATGCTTCAGGTACGATTCTGGCTATGCGGGCGTCAGTGACCCAACCTGACAGAAAACAATAGCAGCAGCAGCAACGCAATATGACGCAGAACACAGGCTCTTGAAGTACCTATGCGGTGATATGGTTTGCGACGACGATACCAGGTGTATAGGGACCATGTAACTCTATAATCGTAATGACGTCATTGGCAGAGGCAGTGGCATTATAGCCCTCTGCAGTTCATGCAGGGATGTGTTGCTTTCAAACCACAACTTCGTTGTACTGTTATCGTGAACATGACATCCAATCAGGTATGTTGTGAAGCAGCACGCAGGATGCATAAGACTAGCACATGAACTCTGATCATTGTTCAGGACGCTTGGAAATCCAAGGAACAGGGAGAAGAGGCTCGTTATGCCCTGGCGAAGGTGAGACTGGGGGCCGTACCTTAGATATATGATTCTCAAGAATGCCCTCGACAAACGTTCAGGAGCAAGAGCAATTGAAGGCTATCCGCGATCAGAGCGCGAAGAGGGAGCAGGCGGAGAATGGCACCCAGAAAGATTTCGAGGGCGGTTACGGCGGCCAGGAGGATCTCGAGGATCGTTACGCTACCACGAGCGGCGAGCATTGACGAATCGGTACACATCATCACATCGACGTATAACGCTTGTATCAATGGTGTTCTGATGATCCATGCCAGAGCAAGTGATCAACTTCGCCCGTCGTTGTTGATACGAGATTGCAGGACACGAGAATAAGTACAGTAGCGAGGTGGTTACGATAATGCGCAGGCAGTCCATGAGTAATAGAAGTCCATGCTCCAAGTCCCGCACACAGTTACTCAAAGCTATGTACGACCTTGGCCCGACAGAAGAAGATAGTGGAGATGCAACAGAAGAGTTCATAAACAATGCGTGCATGAGACGAGCAGCGATCACGGAGCGGGGGTGATGAAGGGCTCGGGGACGGGGGCGCGCTTGGCCGCGCTGCCGCCGCACAGCGGCGACGGCGGGTCGGCGTTCTCGCCCACCCAGGGATCGAGGTAGTTGCAGGTCGCGATGGGGACCATAATACTCGTCGAGTCGGCGGTGTTGGCCCAGCCGTCGCCGACGTCGATCGACGTACCGCTCGCGGACACGGACGCAGCGGTCAGCGTCGGGATCGTGCCGGTTGGCGTATAGGACGGGAGGGTGGTCACGTCGCCCGCGTGACTGAGGGCCGTGGGCGGCCAGGTGATCGTCGCGGTCGCGGAGGCGGCGATCTGGCCACTGCCCGAGGAGAGGGTGCCGCTCCAGGGCTGGGTGCCGTTGCAGAATCCGACGGCCTTGCGAGGGTCGGCCGGCATCCAGCCGTTCTCGAGCCCAAGCTGGTACGACCACGCCGGGGACTCAACCTTGCCCGTGACGCTCGAATTGCCGATCTTCCAAGTCCAGAAGAACCAGTTCTGGCAACGAGATTATTAATCTCGAAAACTCCAAAGACGGAAATTCGGGCTCACCTGCAGAGCGTCCATGCTGGCCATGGCGTACTGCTCCATCGACGACTTGAAGTCGTCGTCCCACGTCTGCCAGTCCGTCCAGGGGTCGCAGCTTCCGACAGCGGGGAATCCGGCGTACGAGCCCTCGTATCGCGTGCCGAGGTTGACGCCGTTGACCCACTTGCCGCAGTCGGTGACGGCGTTGCTCCACTCGCCGGCGCCGGTCATGCCGAAGGCGTCCATAGAGGTATTCATCTGGGCACCCCAGGCGTCGCACGGGCGCGTGGTCTGCGCAGACATGGGCGTCGTGGGCTGCCCACCGAAGCAGAGGTAGGGATGGTAGTCGAGAGCGATGCGGTCTGCGCCAGGGAGGAAGCCGGCCCACTTAGTGAGTCCGAGGAAGCCGTCGTGGTAGGATACGAGCGGGCCCTTCCCGACTTCGTTGTTCGTCGCGCCGCGGACGTTGTTGTATGCTTGCAAGTAGCTGGAATAGTGTTCAGTACAAGACCGGCGATGACACGGGAAAGAACTGACTATCGGGACAGGTTCTCCTGACCGATGATAGGCGCCTGTGGCTCATTGGTGATACCAAACATCACGACGACGTCGCTGTATTGCGGCTGGGAGATGAACTCGGCGAGGATGCGGATGTAGTCCAGGGATCGCTGAGCGTTCGCGAAACCCATCGGACCATTGAGGACGTTCACGTCGCCCAGACGTCCCTAAGTGCACGCAATCACATGAGCAATGACACCAACGATTCCATATAGGCAAATCTCTCACGGAGTGGTTCCAGCCGTTCTGACTGCCAGGAAGAGCATGGAAGTCAAGGTTGATGCGCAAGCCGTACTTCCGCGCCCACTTGATGGCCTTCAGGAAGTACGTCCAGCAGGTCTTGGCAAGGAAAGGTTCGCCATCGCGCGTCTCGATTGCCCAATAGGGAAGAGGAATCCGGACGAAGTTCAGGCCAGCACCCGCAATTTCTGCAAAATCTTTCTCCGTCTGAATTACGTTCTAATCAGCTCCTGTCTCGTAGTGGGTCGCAGAGAAGCTCACAATGAAGGTCTGGTAATGAGTTTCCAGCTGTTTGAGGCCTCCGTTTGCCGAGTCGTTACCCATCGCCCAACTCAACGTCCATTCATCCACCGCGGGAACCGTGAGGTTCACATATGGTTCGTATAGAGCAGGCGAGCTATGGGTGACATTCAGGATGTGGAATACCAGCTTGGAACGAAGCGTGCTTACATGAACTATATGCGCGGAGTACATCAGCGGCGTCACTACATCATAGACAGAATACAACTTACTGGTTCCGTGTTTAGCCAGCCTCCAAGGTTGACGCTGAAGTCCATGTGAGCATCATAAACAGTAGCTAAAGAACACGCAGACACCTACCCTCGGATGATATCTGTTCCCCAGTTGAATGACTCATTGAGAGCGGGTGTCCAGGACTGGGCTTTGGCAGCGTTGTTGAATGGGTCATTCTCGTCCCAATACCAGTATCCCCCGAAGGAATTGGAGTATGTAAAGGTGCTGCCATCGTCAGTGGTGACCGTGCTACCGTCACCACCCGTCACAGCCAACGTCTGGCTTCCCTTGCCTCCACTCGATCCGCCTCCGGAACCTGATCCAGGCCCCGAACCCGAACCAGATGATCCAGACGAATCCGACGTGGACGACTTGCTCGAGTTTGACTTGGGTTTGATCACGGCGAAGTAGACGGGGACGATCACGGCGATGATGAGCAATGCGCCGACCACGGCCGCTGCGATCACGTATACGCGACGTCGCGTCCGCCGTCCCGCCGGGCTTGGGTAGTTCTTCACTTTTTCCGAGAGGTACGGGGAACTGGCGGACCGACCCATGGGCGCCGCCGAGCCCGACTCGGACGCGTATGGGTCGTCGCGGTAGCCGGAGTAGGTCGTCTGTCGCGAGTACTCCGGCCGGCCGAGCGTGCTGGGGTCGAACGCATACGTCGAGCCAAAGTCGGAGCCGTGGCCGCCAGTGTAGTCCGAGCCGGCGATCGAGTCGCGGACGTGCGGCGCGCCGGGCTCGTCGTTCAGCGCGCGACCGAGGAAGCGAGGTTGCGCCGCCGCTCCCCCGGCGGAAAGGTCCTCGACGGAAAGTTCAGCCGGATTCGTCTGCGGGGTGCCGTACATCGAAGGCGGGTCGGAGTGGAAGCGGTCGTACGGTGCCTGGAGGCCACCGCTTGGGTCGTGATCGCTGGTGAGCGGGAGGGGGTCGTAGCGGACGCCTGCCCCGGAGAGCGGGGTAGGGGGGTTGGGCATGGTGAATTCTGAGAGACGCGCGCATCAGGTCCACTGAGGCGGGCAAATGTACGTGGGGGTGGGGCAAATGCCTATGAACGAAACTCACACGAGACTGCGGTGCTCCGTTAAATTAGACGACGTTATTTAGTAGGTATGAGCGAGCGGCCTTTCTGGACAGGAAACGGTGCGTTTTATGGCGATCCCGTCGAGGAAACGGAGGCTGGAGGGGACGAGAACGGCGCGAGAGAGGATGGAGAAAGAGAGAAACAGGAGATGCGGCGAGCGAGGTCCGCTCGCGTCCAACAAATGGCGGGGCTAACGACGCTTCCCCTTGGCATCGCCGCTCGTCGCCGTCATTCACGTGCCCGGCCGAACGGTGTGATCGCACAAGGCGCTCTTTTTTGATCGAGCTTGTCTCTTTTATGACCTTTGCGTCGACGACGAACTGATGGCTCTCCTTGAATATTAATGTCGATCAACCTGACGTAACTACCGTCGCGAATACTTCCCGTTCACAAGAAATGTCAACCAGCGAGACGCGGAGCGCCTTCATGTAGAATGTATGCGCATACATGGACATGGATGGGTTCCAACCGCAGCGCCTCGCGGAAGGTAGCCTGCCGTTCATATTCACTTCTTGCCGCGCTTTGGCCGTTCTATTTCGGACTCCGTGCAACCAGAGGAGTGTTCCTATTTATCCATTATAACAATCGTCGCGGGATAGTTGCAAAGGGGTCTAATTGTGCTTTCCTCTGAGCGGAGGCCACAAGACCGGAACCCCAAAAGGCAGTTTACGGTTAACTTAACTAGTGCGTAAACCTTACTCTGCAAATCACAACGTGCTTGCTCAACGTCCCAATTCTGCATCCAGGCTGGATATTTGCAACTGGTTTGAAGTTCAAACCAGAGAGTAACGCAAGGGACCCTCATTGTACCGGAGAAAAGGCTCAAGATCAAGTCGCTAAATATATTTACTGCCGACAGAGCCGGCGTGCTTACCTTCCGTTTCGTCGCATGAGCGCGCTGCGTTCATAAGATTCACTGGACGTTCGCCCGTCTGCCGATGGCATGTTTCATATTCATTCAGTTCAAAGCGTCTTTGACCAGACCACCAATTGAACCACCTCGTGCAGTACAGAGGCCAGGGAAAAACACCTTCGCTGCGGGACGAAGAAGCCCGAAAGTTCGCGTCTCCTTTCCGGAGTCCAATCGCTTCGTCGAATCCATCTCAGCCAATCTAGCCTCCAAAAACGTGGCCCGAAGTGGATTTGGGTGAGGCTCCCCAGCTTCCTAACTACGTATATTCGGTGAGATGCTTGACGTTACTGTAGCGCCCGTTTGCGACTCTGACGGCATCTTTTAAGGTTCAGTGAACGTTACTCGTGTCGTCGATTCGATGAACAGCGGTTTCGTTCGCACTGAATCGGAGCGCCACTTCCGTAGCGAAGAAATCGGATCAGGAAATATCTCCTTTACCACTCATACAGAGGATTACAATCTACGTAAGAGGTTTCCCCCCTTTTGCAATCGCAACACTGTCCATTTATCGTTCCCCGTTATGGCAGATGACTGGCGCGCCCTTCAAGAAAACCCACATGCACTTGCTCATCCTGTAGTAGCGATCGGTTTGCAGCTGGGATCACGGCCACGTCCTCCGCGGATCAACCTCCTCTTGTGCTTTCTTCGTCATCCTCCGCCACAACTCGAGCGAGGTCATCCAGGGTTGAAAAAGTGCCAGATGAGGACCGTGAGTCCGTGAACGTGAGTCTTTCGCATGTGATCATGGATCTCGTCGTCCACAGTCCCTTATAAGTACGGCGTAACGACCGGTTCTCACTGCGCCGGGAGTCCATCCGCCGTTTCATACACCCGGTTGCCCACGAGACGGGCCCCGAACTGCATACATAGTACGAGCATGACCATGGACTCAAAGAGGCCGGAGAGCGCGGAGCCGAAGCCCCTTGCTCTCAGAAGGGCTTCGTGTCCAATTCACCTCCTGTGGTTTGCCACGCTCGCCCGCCACGCATTGATCATCTTTCCTCGACATAGTCTAACGGATATACCTCGGCACACGGCGCGCCCGTCTTCGTTTTTTTGCCAGTAAAAACCAGGCGATCTGCCCAAGTTTGGCGTTGGGGGGGGTGCCATCGCCATCATCTGGTGTGCGTTATGCGCTGGGTGCTATCAGTTTTTTGAACGGTGTGCATATTGGTGCCTTTTATTGTCAGCTGGGGCTGGGCTGCGCAAGGTCGACGCGCCCGCCGTCTGCCTTTTACCGTTACGGGCGCGACTCCGGCCTTTCCGGCAACGTGCGCGCTTCTCAAGGTGATCGTCCAGATTTGGTAATCTGCGTCGACCCACTCTGATCACGCGCGCACCGGTGCACTCCTTTGCCTGTAGTTTATCTCAACTCACGTCCTGATTTCGAATCGTAACTGTCTGCGTCATCGGATGTCATACCCTCCTTCGATTTGATTACTGCGAGCAACTTTCACATCGTAGTTACGCTACGACCCGTTTGAGGCGGCAAGCCCATCTCTATGCAGGTTCGTTATCTGGAACCTCGCGATCCTTCGATCTGTCTGACAATCCTCAAGGACACAGATGCTCAGACCCACAAATGATACTCGCTTCTTTGCGCCTTAGGCCAGGACTGACGCTATCTTTAGTGGCCGCGAAGGTAGCATCGCGCAAGATTCCCGTGATTCTTGGGCATAAAATGGGTTGACCGTTCGCGATATAGCAACCCGTCGAAATGGAATCAACTTCGCGCAGCGCCCTTGATCATTCTTCGTTGCCTCTGAACCCATGTGATGTCCTGCGCGCGTGGACGCGTCGGACCTCTGCAAGCACGACAGCATCCGTCCGGCGGAGGAAGCTGCCTCTCGTCCCGCGCCTTGCGCCGACCGGAAGAAGCTATGCATGTTTCTCAGATGAGCACCGTCACATGTGGCCGCGCTCTTCCTAGGTGAGGCCGCCATCAAATGCGAAGGGTGCGACATGCACAGATCCCGAGAGAACGCGCGATGGTTTTAGGTACGGACGGCGACGGGGTGGGCACTCGTCCGTCAGTATCCTGCAGCGTATAAAACACGCGGATATTCTCTGGGACCTGACAACGGGAAGACCTCGGTGCCCTCAACACTCTCGTCTCCCCCTCTTCGTTGTCGTCGTCGATCATGTATTGGTCGTCGATCGTCCCAGCAGTACTCGGGCTGCTCTCGCTCGCTCGCACGGCCAGTGCCGCGTGCTCCGGCTCTTTAGGATCGGGAACGGCCGCTGCCAGCGATCCATTCTGGCTTGAATCTATCACGCATCAAGGCGTCGCGCCGAACAGTGGTGTGTCGGGCTATACCGTCTTCAGGAACGTGAAGGACTTCGGCGCCAAGGGGTGAGGCTTGAAATCTTAATGTACTGGTGCGAGCAGTTTCTGACGTGCAGTTCATCAGTGACGGCTCCACGGACGACACGGCTGCAATCAAGTAAGCTCGACGCCCTCGCTTGCTGATATCTTCTGAGCATACTCCTCGTCTAGCGATGCGATCTCCTCTGGTAGTCGCTGTGGAGGAGGCACCTGCAACTCTACTACGTACGGCATTCCTCGGCGATATCGCGGATCTACCGTGCTAACCTGCGTTCTGGCTGTGTAGGACCACTCCGGCGCTTGTTTACTTCCCATCTGGGACCTACAAAGTCTCCAGCCCCATCTTTGCGTACTACTTCACGCAGCTCATCGGCGATGCGTACGTGGACTCTCTTGCACCCCTGCGATATGACACAGTGTTCAATTCGCTCGGACAGTAAGAACCCTCCGACCCTCCAGGCGTCGGCTGACTTCGCGGGTATCGCCGTCATCGACGCGGACCCCTACCTGGACGGCGGCGCGAACTGGTACACGAACCAGAACAACTTCTTCCGATCCGTGAGGAACTTCGTCATCGACCTGACCCAGATGCCGGCGACATCTGGTACCGGTATCCACTGGCAAGTCTCCCAAGCGACGTCGCTCATCAACATCGTCGTCGAGATGTCCACTGCCGACGGCAACGCGCAACAGGGCATCTTCATGGAGAACGGCAGCGGCGGTTTCATGGGTGGTATGTTTCCTTTCTCGCGTCATGTAATCCATTTCGTGATCTGACGTGGCGACAGACCTTGTCTTCAACGGAGGCAAGTACGGTGTCTGGCTCGGAAACCAGCAGTTTACCGTCCGCAACATCACCGTCAACAACGCGGCGACCGGAATATTCATGCAGTGGAACTGGGGCTGGACGTTCCAGGGCGTAACGCTCAACAACTGCGGTGTCGGGTTTGACCTCACAACTGGTGGTTTGACTGAAGACACTCAGGTATGGATGGCGACAACGACGCTGATGTCGCTGGCTAAAGTTGAACTGCTAGACCGTTGGCGCGGAAGCAATCATCGACGCTGTGTAAGTAAGGCTTTGGCCTCTGAGTGACGTCGTGGATTGCTAAGGAATAAAATTAGTGTAAACGACACGCCCATATTTTTGCGTTCCTCGACCAATTCCGACGGGTCGTTGCATGGGTAGGTGACCTCATCATAAACTGTTCGTGTTCTTCGAGGATTTAACAATCCTGCAATAGGTCGCTCGTCCTCAACAATGTCAAGCTGAGCAACGTGCCGACCGCAGTCAGCGTCACCGACGGTACTGTCGTTCTCGCCGGCACGTCCGGATCCACTACAATCGACTCCTGGGGCCAAGGCAACGTCTACACTGGCACTTCGCAGACCGGCACGTTCCAGCAGGCGGATCTCCCCGTTCCGAGCAAGGCCGCGAGCCTCCTCGACAGCGCCGGCAGGATCTTCGGAAGGGCACACCCTCAGTACCCGACTTACGCTACCAGTCAGATCGTCAGCGTTCGCGACAAAGGCGCTGCCGGCGATGGTTCGACCGACGATACCGCTGCCCTCCAGGCCGTTTTCGACGACGTAAGCGTTCCTAGTCGTCTCCCACAAACGATATCATGGAGACTGAGCATCTCGCATAGTTTGCTTGCAACAGCATCATCTTCGTTGATCATGGAACGTACAAGATCACCGACACGCTCACCATCCCCGCCGGTGCGCGTGTGGTTGGTGAAGTCTGGCCCGTGATCTTGGGCTCCGGAGACGCTTTCAACGACCAGAGCAACCCGAAGCAAGTAGTCAAGGTCGGAAACTCCGGGGACACTGGCACCATCGAGATAACAGACATCCTCTTCGCCACTCAAGGCCCCAGTGAGTCATGTTTCTACAAAGCTCTCTCCGATATCACTCATGTACACCTCTAGCCGCCGGCGCCATCGTCGTTGAATGGAACATCCACGAGGACGCGCAGGGTACCGCGGGCATGTGGGACTCACACATCCGTCTCGGAGGCGCCGTCGGCACCGACTTGCAGGTCAGCCAGTGCCCGTCCGGCTCAGACAACAGCGCCTGCATGGCTGCCTTCCTCGCGCTTCACATCACCACCGATGCCACCGCCTACCTCGAGGGCACATGGGTGTGGCTCGCCGACCACGATCTCGACGACAACGCCCAAGGCCAACTCACCCAGTTCAGCGGGCGCGGTATCCTCTCGGAGAGCCAAGGCCCCGTGTGGCTCATCGGTACCGGCAGCGAGCATCACGCGTTGTACCAGTACTCGCTCGTCAATGCTGCGGACCATTACATGGGCCTCATTCAGACCGAGACGGTGGGTTCCTCCTCAAAACCCTTCGGGTGGCGACGCTGATATCTGGACCCCGTAGCCGTACTACCAACCGGATCCGGCTCCTCCGACTCCTTTCGCGACCAACAGCGACTACAACGACCCGACGACCCCTGACCAGGCTGCATGGGGTCTGTCTGTCCAGAATTCGAAGAACATCTTGGTCTTCGGTGCCGGCCTATACAGCTTCTATCAAGTACGATATCACTTTCCGACATAGGAAGTGTAGCCTGTGCTGACCTTCGCCCTCCCCCTAGAACTACGCTCAGGATTGTCTCGACACCTTCAACTGCCAGTCTCAGATCCTGAATATTGACTCGGATTCGACCATCGACATATTCAGCTTGAGTACCGTTGCTACCACATGGATGCTATCCATCGAGTCCTCCGGAGTTATCCCGCAGAGCGACAACAGGGACGGATTCCAGAGCACCATAACTGCGTGGACAAGATCATAGGTGTGATTCGATTCATATAACGACCCGAAGTGGAAATACTGAGCTGGTTCGACCAGAGTAACAATACAAACAAAAACGATGAACGCTGATACATGGATATCTATCGTGAATACAAATAAACGGGAGCCGATGCGTCCTTGGAGGAATATTGCACTTGTCCGAATGTATCTATATCTGTAGCCCGGGAACGAATGTGCGCGGCTAATATGTACGCGCCCACGGGCGCCCACGACCACCTGAGAGAGGACAACAACGTTGACCTCATTTTGTCACGATGACCGGGTCATCTCCCAGGCAACTTCCAGAGCCACACCCCATCTGGCACGAACTGGTCGTGCCACTGGCACAAGCGATCACGGCCCCTTCAGATTTCAATGCCACAAAGACTATCTTTGTTTGCGGATCATGATAAGTACTTGAGATCTGGTAGTTTGTTTTCCCCACAAACGTCTGCCAACTGTAATGCCGGGCCCAGTGATTGAACTAGAGGTGTTCCTCTACGGCTCGTACGTTCATACTCAGATACCTCAGACGCCAGCCCCCACCTCCTGACACGCATATACCGACGTCGCAGCAACCAGAAACGTCTCGAACTGAAGTTATCCCCTCGCCTGCCGCGCGATGATATGCCCGTCGTTCCCGGTGGAGGTGAGCGCGAGGAGCACGTTAGATGGCTCCTTCGGAGGATGAGTTTCAGCATGAAGCATAGCGGAACTTGGGAGTGCGAGTTTTGTGGTAAGTACGCTCCCTCGCCGTCGACTGTTCCACAGGGCTCACACCCGGCGTAGGCAAACCAGCACGCGAAACACAATGCCAGTTCAACTCATGGCTGCATTTATCACCTCCAAGAGCCGTCGCATACGTCCGTCTTTCCATACACGAAGTCTCGCTCAGCATACTCACGTTCTCATCAAGCTGCACGCGATGTGCAGCACAGACCCTGGTCCCTGCAGATCTGCGTACGACGCTATCGACCGCCAGATGTGCCTCATGTCCGGTCAGCCGCTCCGTGGTCCCCAGTACATCGCGCGCGAACCCGGCCAGATCTTCCCCCTGCTCGCTGCCTGCGCGTCGTGCGAGGAGGAAAAAACCGCGGACATCAACACGCCCGGGAAGACGACACTCATGCGGTGTTCCGGATGCAAGGTGACGCGGTATTGCGGGACGGCTTGCCAGCGCGAGGATTGGCCGGCCCACAAGGAGTTTTGCAAGATCCTGAAGAGCGCGCGATGGGTGCAATGGGATGCCGAAGGGCGTGAGATTTTCTCGTCGACAGCGTGAAGAAAGTATTTGTATTGTCACCTTCCCCTTCGAGTAGACTAGGCCGTGCGGTGTCATCCCGTCGCTGGCTATTTGTCGCATTCATCTCTCAGTCCGCCTATACCTTGCCAGCGCTGAAGATTGGAGTCAAAGAACTCAGGATGCGACAGATGGCCTAGCTCTTGCAAGCCGCTCACGCACCCTATTCGGCACAAAGACTGCCCCAGCACGTAGAGGGGCACATACATTGAGTCAACATATATATATTACCCCGTTTCATACACCGTTTAGAGGGTTACGTTGACTTTGAGGATGCCTGCCTGCACACTGCCGCCTGCCACGGGACGCATGAGCTTGTTCGCGCCTACGGAGCTGTCGTCAGTAAATCCCTCGCACAAACCAAGGAAGAAGTTCGAACGACTTGCCATTCTGCACGACGAAGTGCGCACTCGCGAATCCGTCCAGGTTCGGGTTGCTAATGTTGCGCATGGCGTAGTAGGTCGCGTTCAGCGTGTGCGGGTCGATCGTGAGCGTGAAAAAGCCGCGGTAGGAGCCTTCGCTCCACTGCAGATCCTCGTTGCCCTTGGCGGCGACCAATCCAGCGGACTTGACGTCCGCGGCGGCGGGAAGGATACCAGAACCGAAGGACGACTCGGAGGTGACGGCGGTCCCGGCAAACTCAACGCCAATGGCGCCTTTGCCGGTGACGGGGTCATAGGTCTTCGTGTCATTCGGGTCTACATAGATCGAGAGCGATGAGACGTTGCTTGATGACGACTTCAGGAGGACTTACGGGCCAAGTCGGACACCCAATTGGCGTGACTGTCGCCGGACAGTATGATGGTGTTGTCGATCTTGTTTTGATAAAGGTGGCTGAGCACGCGCTCGCGGTTTTGACGGTAGCCATCCCAGGCGTCAAGGTCGACTATTGCCATGGCATTGGCCCATCGATTTGTCAGGATCAGGCAAGAGACTCACAAGCTCCCGATTCATTAAGTTGGGTGAAGACAATTTGCTGACTGCAGCAGCCGCGTCAGAACGGTGCTCGTAAGTTCCATTGGGGTGGCACTTGCCCGACAACACGCCAAACGGCGCCTCGCGCTTGCGACTGTGAGAGCTGCTGGAAGAACCCTGACAAAGTCCACTACGTCATCTGCGTACACGCCAAGATAGAGACAACACGTACAGTTTTCTTGCGCAAACCCCATGAGAGAGCGATTGGCAAAGTCGGAAATCGTGTTGACATCTATATGATGTCAGGGAACGTTAAAATCGACTTCAATCTGTGTGATTGGAGCTTACATTCTGTGCACTTTTGTCAGAAACGCAGCTTCTTGATTTCACCATGACAGACGTAACATACCGGTGTTATAGTACACATCAGTCAAGTCCCGGTCGTATTGCCGCGTGTCGAGCATCGTCAGATCTAGCAGCTTGCCGATCTGGAAGCTGCGCCTGCGAAGTCTATCAACGGCCCATCCTCGACCGAGGATAACAGTATGCTCTAACCATATTCTTAGCTGATCATCCGCCACCACCTGCCTTACCGGCAGCCACTCGTGGTATGCCCTGACTGCCGCTAGCTTGCGATCCGTGAAACAAGCGCCGCTCGCGGCGCCTACGCCGTTCTCCGCTTTGGAAAAGCTGCACCCGAGCGCGGTATCGTTCGAGTCGGCCGTGCCCGCCTTCCAACTGTTGTCTGCGACCTCGTGATCGTCCCAGACCGTGATCCAGGGAGCATTCTGGTGCGCAAAGACCAGCGAAGCGTCGGTGCGGTACTGCGCGAGTCGTTGGCGATAGTCGGCGATAGTGGCGAGTTCACGGCCAAGGACCTGGCGGCCGATCTTGGCGCCGCTTCCGACGGATTCGTATATCTGTGAAAGGGGGTAAGCGTTGGCAAAGGGTATAGCGAGCGAGGAAGGACGGAAGGCATACGTAGTCACCGAGGTGAATGAACACGTCAGCCGATGTGTTGTGCGCAGCGAAACCGTATGCGTTGAACCAGCCCGTCTGATATTGCGAGCAGGAGAACACGGCGAGCGTGAGAGGTTGCCCGCCATTCACTCTGTTGGCGGGAGCTGAAGAACACCGAGCTATTACTTCCCGCAGCGCGAGGAGGATGCGGGATGCGACTGACTGTCGGGGCTGGCAAGAGTTCGCGTTTTGCCAATGGGAGAGACACTACTTGGGGCCGTGCAATCCGCAAATTGGAAGAAGTAGTGCGTGTCAGGCGAGAGACCGGTCGCTTCGACTTTGACGGTGAAGTCGACGTCGTAGCTAAATATAGATCAGGTTTACGAAGTACATCTTATCTTATCAACGACACACACCTGGTGAACGCTTCACCTGAATCTACAGGGTGGGACAGGGACGAGGAGGTCGAGATCTTCCATGATACGCATACAGGAACGCTCTGATCCGGACCCCCGGCCTCGCTGTTTGCTACCGGCGTTGGAACAGCGCGCGTCCAGAGCAGGAGCGAAGTGTCGAACGGGTCGCCCTGGGAAACGGAGAAGATGGACGGCTCCGGTAAAGAAGAGAACGTGGGTGCGGGACTGAGAGGGTGCTTACACTGGCAACTACGTTGGGTCAGTGGCGGATCAGTCAATCGGACAAAACTTGCCTACCGGAATGAGTAAAATTCAAACCACCGCTCCAGACGAAGGGGCTCTAAGCTCAAGGACCCAGATAAGTGACGTACACAAGGATGAAATGAAGGGACGGACGTTGCTGAAATCGGCACCGTAGAAAGTCGGGTAGTGCTCGTCAGTGAAGCCAGTTGAATCGGCCATTTGGCGCTTGACGTGGTGAAGGTGGCGAGCATGAATGGCCTCAGTGTCGCGTTTGAGCTATGACATCCGATGAGCATGATTTTGTTGGTGCTAATTGTGACATGAATATGTACCTGGGGATGCTCGAGCACAGGCGAACGATATACCAGGTTACGGTCAAGGTAATCAACACCTGTAGTCGCGAGAGCAACGCGAGCAAGCACAACGAGGGCTACGATCGCGTTCATCTTGACAGCTGGTCGATGCCGGGTGGTTGATGCATGAGACAACGACTATCGACGCCTTTTTGTAACAAATCGTTGGAGAGGCATTACGAAGCGGGGGCCCGCAGGTGACCCTGCGCGCTTCTGTGCGCCATACGGCGCTCTATGCGGTGGCACATCAGAAGCGCGCCTTTGCTGGCGCGAAAAGCAGGTGTGCGATGGCCATTGCAGTAGGGTGCCGGCGCACGTTCTTGCATGCAGGACGCGATTGGGGACGCGGTGGCTAGGAGAAGCGAAGACGGCGGGCGTATGACACCTGCGGCGCGGTAAATATGGTTGCTGGATGCCCACGGTGCCGTAGATTGCGGCAGAAGGTGGAAGCAAAGAACGACCGTGACGGAGAGGAGGCACGTTCGGGCGACCGAAAGTTAGCACAGCCACCATGAACTCTTCGACGTCATCGTCAGTCATGGCGACGGGCCAACTCACGCCCTACACCTCGCCAGAACGATTTCTGTAGGATAGGGCTCATTCAGTTTTAACAGGTCCCACAGGACTTGCTAGTCAAATAAAATATTCTACTCTCAAAACTCACAGAAATCGCCACCACAGATTTCAAGATAACGGACTTTCAAAGAGAATTGTGGTTTTAGATTTAGAGAGTGTGCCCCGTAGCGAGTGGAATTCGCTGCGCAGCACTTATCACACCTGTTGAAACTGACTGAGCCCTATCTTAGTCCCTCAGGGCCGCTGAGCACAAGTTATTGTCTTTGTGTGAATTTGTATTGGACCATTCAAGAGGCAGGCGGAAATCAACTTTGCTACATGATGACGCCGCTTTGATGCTTCGAAACAACTACTACACGCCGGCTAACAGATTCCGTCGCCCAATACGGGCTGAGGGAGCTCGGCAGAGGGATGAAAGTTGCTTGGCGATGGGCTCACGGCTTGCCCGGCGGCGTGCGTCTGCCGGTGACATACACATATACAAGATCCACCCGTGCATCGTCACTGGTCGGTAGTACAGTGATTACAGCGCCAGTTCGCTGTCAATTTTAGTTTTCCCGTCAAGTTGCCATACCTAGGTTCGATCCCCTGAGGAATTGTTTTGTGTTTGACTTCTATGCTCTGCGTCAGAAAGCCTCTACCGTCCTTGGCCCGAGGATGGATGTGTGGTCAATCGATAGGCTATAAGAGTTACCAATGATTGCTTTCAGTGCACTCCGTTAACAAAGCTATATACACGCAGTTGCGCCCTTATAACGCATCTCCCTGGTGTAACGGCTAATGCGTAGTTGTGGCCGTAGCGCCGCCCAAGTGGCCGCGTCTCAGTTTGATCTTGCCTGTGAATGATTTTTTGAACCTTTTCCCGGCCTGCATTTCGAATCCTCTGATGCCTCCCTTGAACTGTGTGCCGTGCTGTATGTATATGGACAAAGTTTGTGGTGAGCACTATAGCTGATTCAGTCTCGTTGGAGTCTGCACCAGCCCTTCGTGCTACAACCCCGTCGCCCGCGGCTTTGACAATGTCGGCATGCCCGGCAAGACCCCTCTGGACCAGTTTGCTTGCTTCGAAACAACTACTTAACCGAGCTTGCCGTTACATGCCGAAAGGTATCATCATGTCGCGGAATCCATTTCCGCCTGCCTCTTGGTACCGTTTTGGCCAGCTTGAACATATTCATCAAGCTGACAGAACAAAATTCGTTCTCATTCACCAAGCTGACAGAACAAACTCGTTCTCAAGTGGATCAGCTGTGGGGCATGCCGGTGCCGAAACCAAACACAACGCGCCTTCCACTGCACTGGCCCCGGTAGACCTCTTTACATATAACTTCCTGACCGCATCTTACTAGCTTACGGTCATGGAGTACTAATAAACGTGACTGCGTATGCGTCAACTTACCTTCGGCGCTTTGCACGTACCCACATTCTCTCTGGACGACCCACGTCATGCAAGTCGTACATATAGGGGGCAGAGAACACACGGCATTTGTTACTTGATTAACCACATCTACCTACAACACTCCAAGTTCGTGTCAAGAGATGGCAGTCAAGACGATTAAGTTGGGCGGATCGGCGTCCAATGTCGAGGTTGCAAAGGTCGCGGTGCGTGTTCAACTCATTGGTGCAGTAGCCATTCCGGTGCTGAGACTACGTGAATTCTAGCATGGCCTGATGCTCATGACGTTCGTTGGGTTTCTTGGAGCCGACGTTCATATGTTGAATGACCTGTTGCAGATGGAAACCTACACCCGTCCCCGACGAACAATGCTTCGAGGCCATCATCGCGGGCATCGACCAGCTCCCGCCCGGTGCAAAGATGTTCATCAACAGCGGTGCGTTTCCGTGCACACTACGAGACACGGAGCTGCCACAAATCTCATCGCTTTCTAACTCGTAGGTGAATTCTACGGCCACAACCTCTCCACCGCCAACCTCGAACTGCTCTCGCGATTCTTCGCCAAATACCCAGAGTATGCCGACAAGGTCTTTCTCTCTGTCAAGGGCGGCATGAAGGCGCATACGCTTGTGCCCGACGCGTCGCCGGAGAACCTGAGGCGCAGTGTCGACTACATCATCGAGAAGCTCGGACCGAATAAGAAGGTGGATCTATTCCAGTGCGCGCGCGTAGCCTCGGAGCCGCCGGTGGAGGACGTGATGAAGACACTGTTGGAGCTCGTGAAAGAGGGCAAATTCGATCACATCGGTTTAAGCGAGTGCAGCGCGGAGACGGTCAAGAGGGCGAATTCGGTTGCGCCGGTGGCCGTCGTCGAGATCGAAATCAGCCCGTGGTCGTACGAGGAGGAGACGAGGAAAGGTACGGTTGGCTTGTCCCACGCCCCCCTGAGCACGATGTTGATGCATTCTCAGTGATTTCGACGTGCAAGGAGCTTGGGATCGCCATTGCTGCCTATTCGTAAGTATCAACCACTGTCTCCGCCCGCTGGTGCTGAAGACGTCTCGTATCAGGCCCCTTGGACACGGCTTCTTGACGGGGAAACTCAACCCCAAGGACCTCGAAGGTAAAAGTTGTCCTGCGCTCCGTATACTTACGCTCTACTAACGAACACCAAATGGGCAGAGGGCGATATCCGCGGCCATGGAATTCGCACGAAAGAAGAGGTGAGGTCCCGATCATCGTGTTACTCGTCGCAAAACCGTTGATCGTTTCGTCTCGTAGAACTGGAAGCATAATGTCAAAGTGGTCGAGACGCTCTCCTCCATAGCGTCGAAGAAGGGCGTTACGCCCGCTCAGCTTTGCATCGCCTGGGTGGGTGTGCTTGGCCCGCACATCATGCCCCTTCCGGGTTCCTCGTAAGCCCCTTCTGTGCGGAAGATGACATGGCGACTGAATACCCGAGGCAAATAGGAGCCCGGCTCGCAAGCTCGAGAATCTCGCGGGTGGAGATATAGAATTAAGCGAGGCGGAAGTGAAGGAGATAGCGGATGTGGTACAGAGGGTAGGAGTCCAGGGCACCAGAGGTGCCGATGTGCCCGATATTCGTGCCCTTCGTATGTGGGGTTAATCCGCATGTATTGGAATCTGTAGCTGGCGAACAAAAGTTGAGATTGACTTGTCTCCGCATGATGCTGCGAATGAGCTCAACGTCGTCAGTGCATCATACGGCCAACATTGCTCAGGAACCACGCACAGCCACGGGCGAGCATCAGTGCATCACACAGCCTCCTGTACAACGCGGTCGTTGTTCTTCGCGGCGACGACGATGGCAGCGTGCACCATCGCCTGATGACCACTGACGCTCGACGTCCATGCCCGCCACCCGCCACCGCGACGAGCAGCACGATCAAGGTGCCGCGCACATGCCCACGGGCCGTGCCTCGCCATTGCCGCCCAATGGCTTCGCGTCCCCTCCACCCTCGGGCCTCTCGGACTCTGCGCCGTTGACGGCGTCTTCGAGCTCGTTGACGCGCACACACATTGATCAGGCGCTACTGAGGAGTCCGGACCATGGAGTTACTTTGGACTTGACCCATCTTGGACTCGCCGACGTCGGCGAGGCCGGCGCGCACGAGCTCGCCAGTATAGGGCGCGAAGACGCTCCTGATGCCGAGAGCCCGATCGTCCGGTCCGTATCCTATGCGAATCGTTATATTGCTCGTCATTGACCGACGCCCATATTATCTTGAAGAATTGCTCTGGGACACAACCGCCTTGCAACGCTACCCAACACCTTCGCACTCCTGTCCCGCTTACGATACATCAATCTGAGGAACAATAGTTTTTCTGTCTTTCCTCCCGTGGTACGTGTTTGACATATACCGCAATACACGCATTGAGGCCCATTCCTATTTTAGCTCACGCAAATGCCCTCGCTTGAGATTCTCGACATTCGGCGGAACAAGATAAAGCGCTTCCCGGCACAACCAGGACATCTCGTCAATCTTCGTGTACGTTTACGTTCTCACTGTACTCGCCCGTCGCTCATGCTATTTCGGTTCTTGATGACCTATCAAACAGGTGCTGTCTATTTCGCGCAACAAGCTCACCCGCCTGCCTCCTTACCTCGCCTCATTTACCCGCTTGGAAAACCTTGGCATCGACCACAATCCAATCGACTGGCCTCCGCGTGCTGTGCTCGATCCGCATGGCAGCGATCTGTCAAATAAGCAGGTTATGAAGGGATGGGTTAATGGTGTTCGGGAGTGGATTACAGAGCACACACACGGGGAAGTGGCTGAAGGTCGCAAGTTTAGTGGTGATTCCGTGGGGGAAACTGCAAGGCACGTATCTGTACTCATACGGCTCGGATTACAAGGACGACCTCACCACACCGTCGCTAATTGGGTCATCGTCGTATAGAAACCATGCTTTTGCATCTGCGTCTACCTCTACACCGCACGTACGCTCCTTCTCCTTGGATTCGGACATCTCGGCCTATTCCGCGTCAGACGAGCCTTCGCCCTCCCACGCTGCCTACGACAGCCGCCCCTGGCTCGCGTCTCCTACCATAGGACCATCTTCTCATTCTCAGTCGCAACCACCAGCTCTGCATCTCGACACGCACCTTGAGAACTCGCTTGCCAAGTCACGTTCTCCTACCCGCTCCCCGGACAGTTATTTGCCTACTCCTGATGAATCTGTCGCATCGACGGACGAAGAATCGACGCGTGTTCCACAGCAACTGAAGGAGGTTTTACCGCTCAACTTCGGGTTGAAGCCCACTTCTCAGTCGACAAGCACCACGACGCCGACAAGCCCGCTCGACCACGCGCGCAATGCGTCGTATGCGGGCAACGTACCTCCTCTCCGCTTGCGACTTAGCCTCACTGCGAAGAAGAGCTTACCCGATCTGCGCACGACCACGGCGGGTGCGAAGATACACGAGAGGAGAGGCGCGCCGGATCTTGCACACCTGCCGATGCCGTCGAGGAGCTTCACGGAGGATCATACCAGCAATAGTGGTATCTCGACCGGATCCCCTCTTCCGACGAGGTGGAGGCAGGATAGCGCAGGGTCGTCCGCCTCAGCTTCTGCAGACGCCGTAGGTAGCGCTGGCCCTAGCTCACTCTCGAGAGCTGCTGCAGCCCCTCTCAAGCCCTTCCTCGTCGACGGGCCGGTATCCGCGTCCCCCATATCGATGCACAATCCCGCTCGTTCGATTGACCTTGAGCGACACGCGTACTTCCGCCGTTTCTCAGCGCTGCACAACCACAACCTGCATCCGCTCGGCAGCCACGACGGCTCATCTACCGCGAGCACACCAGCTGCCTCTGCGACGGGCAAGCTACTCCCTCCACCACTCATAGCACTTGTGGAGGGAGCGCGGGCGGTACTATATGCGCTTACTCAGCTTCACCAGACCGTCATCCACCACGCGACGCACATGGCCGACGAGCGTCTAGGCGCCATACTGAGCCGGGTGCTGGACCCGAGCTTTGCGCACATCGCAAGTCTGATCTCGGCTCTGGACAGATTCGACGCGTTCTCGGCGCCTGTGCGTAACAACCACCCAACCCCGCATGGGGCCGGTAGTATGCGACCCCCTCCACCCTCCGCGTGTCGCGCGCTGGCGGAAGCGACGCGCGCCTGCGTGGGCTCGGGGACGCGCGTGGTGAAGGCACTCGCGGTGCAGGCGAAGGTCATTGGCACGCGGGATGATCCATTGTACGTCCGGAGCCTGCTACTACAGATATGGGGCGCGAGTGCGGAACTGGGCGCGGCCTGGGCGCGGATGGCGCCACAACTCGATGCGGCGGTGCCCTATCTACGAGAGGGAAGTAAAAGCGGGAGCGGATCGAGGAAGGGGATGGCGTTGGGCAATGGGCCGCCGGTGAGCAGGGCGAGGGGCGTGCAGCAAGTGTCACCCACGAAGGAAGATCTACCTGTGCCCGCATCGGCCCCGCCGAGTGCGTCGACGTTTTCGCCGCACGGCGGTTCGCCTGCGGGATCTGGGTCGGCTGTGGTGACGCGGTCGCGCTCGATACACGCACCGGATAAGGAAGAGAAGGCGAGGAGGGCGAGGAGGCACGCAGGCTCGTTCAGCGCGAGGGATGTGGAAATCGGGAAGCACATGCCGCCTCATGTGGACGATCTGCCACCTGTACCGGGGCTCACGTCACCTTCTACGGCGTCGATGGTGGTGACGAGCCCGATGAGCTCATCGACGCCGACACCGAGGGCGGCGCCGCACATGGAAAGCTTCAGCTTCGCACCTTCGGGATCAGGGGTGCTGCCGAGGAAGGCCAGTTTGGCGAGTGTAGCGGGCGCCTATGAGGCGAGTGCGTCGAGACCTGGCACGGGGCAGTCGGCGAAGGCATTCGGGTCCGGTCTCTCGCGCGTGCCAGAGGGACATTCACGACATGGCTCTCTTACATCCTCTGCATCGGCCTCGGTATCGTCTTCGCCATCCATACCAGGCAAGGTGCCGCAGCTGGAGATTCCGCTCAGCGCGAACGCGAACACTGTAGCGGATAAGGATGCGATGACAGCGATGCGTCGAACTATCGAAGCGGCACTGCCAGTATGGGAGATGCTGGAGGAGATCGCGAAGGACGAGAGTGGGGCCGTGCCACCTGCGGAGCTGGCGCGGGCACAGGCGGTGACGACTAGCTTCGATGGACACCTGAGGCGAGTGGAAAGTGGGGACGCGACGGAACGAAGCGCATTGAGGGACGATGCACATGTTTTCGTAAAGGTGCGGTGTCTTCCCAACCGTAGTCTATTGTGGTTCGCTCACCCAAGCCGCACAGACGGTCATCCATCTCGCGAACCTGATGAAGCCATATGCGGGACCGCAAGTGGCGCCTCTTCGAGCGAAGATGCATGAGCTGTCCAATGCGACTGAAGAGACCGTTATCCTACTGCACGCCTCGTCGTTCTCGCCGCCGGCGACGCCTCGCTCGCACTCGCCGATGGTCTTCGGCCAGCCAAACGGAGGACTCTCGGTGCTCGGTTCCGATTTAGACGGCGGACGACTCGGCGTAAACCTGTCGCGGAGCCGGAGCGCGCAGACGGCGAAGGCGCCCCAAGCGGTGTCGTCACCGAGGGAGGTGCCGCGTAGCGCGGCGCCTCATCAGCAGACGTTCAAGCTCCCCCCTCATCCGCGGCTGGGCCCGGGGACAAGGAGGGAGACTGGTGGAGACGGAGGGTACTTATAACGTCCTCCCACCTCCTGACTATTTCCTTCTCTGCATATGGTTTTTGTTCTTTGCCTCTGACTGGCATGAAGTCTTGATAATGCGATTAATGATTAGGTCTCTCTCTTCGCTCTTTCCGTGTTTCTCACATCATCGGTAGCAAGCCGTTAGTGTCCTTATAATGCTGCAATAACAGAATGCCCGCTTTAGTATCCAGCTTCTGGAGAATTATGCTATGCGGACGACGTAAGTGTAGTCTCGTTGGCCTGACATGCCTGCTTTATATTTGGTGACGACCGATATTGCGTTTGGCTGGTGTGCGCGTCTGGCCTGCAACCCTCATTAACGTTGTTCACTATAAATCTCAAGCTCAAGTGCAGACCGGAAACCGAGGGCTACTCGCCGTAAAAATGCCCCACACTCACATCACAATTTTATGATGACCATATCACTACTCTGTCCAGGATAGTCGATCGGCACCGGGCACAACTTCAGACTCTTGTTAAGCTTGGGATTTCCAAAGCTGCATCTTGGCTCTATCGTGAACAGCCCTACTTGACTTCATTCACGCACGCTAGGCTATGTGCAGCAGCTTTTCGCCGACGTCGGGCGAGGTCGCGCTCGTCAACGCCAAAGCGCCGCCACAAGATCCTATGACCGGAATCCCGACCGCTGACGGCAGTCCTCATAGCACAGCTAGATCGTTGCCTATGAACGAAGTCGTCCGAACCTACCCTGCTATGCTTTTGCTTCCATACCCTGAAATCAGCATCGGAATACATCGGTACCTTCATTCCATGCCGTCATGGGATCTGGCACCCCCATGGAGCTATTGCAGCTCGTTCAACGGCCACAGCCTCATTCCGTCCCACATATGTCGAACAAAAACTTCTAATTTGCAATCCAACAACCAATGTCGGTGATGCGATAGGCTTTGACGTAGTTCGAAGCAGGCTTGCGATGTACAAGGGACGAGATCGCCCTTACTGCGAGCTTAGTCTTGACTAGAGGGGGATACCGGGGCTGACGAGCGTCCGTTGCGCTTGAGCACAACATCGGCTCTTTACCGCGTCCGATCAGGCTCCAGGGATCTTGGGCGGGACAAGACCTACTCCTAGGGCGGTGCAAGACAAAGCCGAGCAAGCTACGGGGATACGGCAGTTCTGATGTGCTGCTCTCTAGATCCGAACACGTACTGGCTATATGCCTCGTGAACGACAATACGCCATCGTCGCTTTGCTTACCCTTGTCGTGCGTATGTGACCATCATGCCGATTGCGATCTACGTCGGTGGATTCGTCTCTCCGGTGTGTACAGTCGTCGTTACCCCTCTCGGTCCAGTATACGCTTCGCTTGGAATCAACACTGAAGATCTCGTCGGCGCGTCATCATGGGAGAGCGCACGAACCTCCAGAGCAAACACAGTATAAAACCGGCACCTTGCCGTTGCGACTCGTCAATCCAACCCATTGAAATCACCATGTCGACATCTGCCTCTTCTGACAGCCTGGGACAGGAAATCCCCGTTAACGTCGAAGACTGCTTCACGGCCGTCCGCGCTCTGGAAACCGGAGTGAAAGAGCTCAAGGGTCAAAAGAAAAATCCTGTCAAGGCCCAGTTCGCGATCATCGGTGGAGTGGCCGTCGCGGCGCTGACGCGCCCCTACGCTAACAAGTACCCGACCACCGTCATCAATTTTCCGAACGTGATCAAGCGACAGACCAAGATAAGTCTGATTAATTTTGCTGTCCTGAAGGGCAACACAGAGATTAACGCACTTCTTGCCCCATATCCACGATGTAGACCTTGAGCTCCAAATTCAGGATAAGAACACCCTTGCCGGCCTGTGGACTGCACTTAATGGACTGGGTTATCTCCCCCATGGTGTTGACGACCCCATTAGCGCTCCGGGGGGCAATTTCATGACATCTGCTGAAGGAAATAAGTATCTCCTGGATCGCGAATAGTATGTCGGGTCGCCCACTTCCTAAGACCCACTACGATACTGATGGCTTCGTCAGCGACGCGACCGGACACAAGCGCTCCCGCAAACTGGCGCAAGTCCCTTTCGACATCAGCGAGCTGGACAAATCGCGGCTTCTCGACTACATGGACAAGGGCCAAGTGTTCTCTTCTGCGTCCATCGTGGACCTCGCGGTGGACGGCTACCCCACCAAGCTGCCGACGTTCCGCCCGCACGTCGTGCTCCTGCTCAAGATCGAAGGCGCTTCACAACGCGAGCAGACGACCCAGAAAGACTTCGTGGACATCGGCCTCCTGGTCGCGCTCGCGGCGGACCTGTCCATCTCGCATACGTCGTTCAACAATTTCCGCAGCCGCGATGCCTGGAGGCAGCGCATTGTTCCTGCCGCGCGCCGCTGGGCTGACAAAAGTAACAAGAAGGCGGAGACGGTCGTCAACTGGCTGGCCGACAAAGGTGACATTTCCAAGGATCCTGTCACCAAGCAGGCGGCGACGAAGCTGTGGGAGGCGTATTTCGCGACGCTGCTGAAGTTCATTGTATAATAATACGATTATTGCAAGGCTTCCGAACCGAGGCTGCACGCCGTCGTCCTTACGTATCGACCATGTCAACCTCTTCAAACCGTGGTGAAAGTACGTAGTGTAACTGGGCCTTGAGTTGGCAAGTAGCCTGCCATAGCCCCTGTATCAATGTTGAGATATTCGTCGATCGCATGTTACCATGAACACACCGTCCTATTTGAACGTGCGTGCGAGGGTTCTTGTCTACGGTGCGTTTGCCCTTCCTTTCTCGAGGCTGGGATCAGCGCTGGGATCGCCGGGTCGCCACGTGGGCAGCGTGCGGTAACGTTGGGCTTGCCGCTTCCTTCGTCCACTCCGTTCTCGTCTACGGTGAATGCAACATACAATTCTTTATCGAGCATCGCATATACTGGGGAGGGTTGATGGAAAACAGTCTACTCAACAATCGCGCGCATGGCACCTCTTAGGATCAGTAACATCGGATTCAGCACGCGGTTGCCCGGCGACGCGTTAAGAAGTACATGCCCGGACCTACAACTTCCATGCCGATGCAAAGAGGACAACCTACACTGAGCGTTGGAATATGTTGCGAAGCCACCACGTCGGTGCACCGAGGCGGCATGCGGGCCATCTGGATCGTCTTGAAGCCGGCCTTCAACACATGGATCTCATTGACGTTGCTTCGGTCTGGGGACTCAATGCGGTTCTTACGCTTCCCCCCTGTCTTTCTAGATTCCACTTCCATCTCGCCGCGTGTTCAACATGGAATGTGGCACTAGACAACGTGTTCTATGTGCGTATCATCTAGATATATCCGCCTGCGCGTAACCATGATGCACAGGGAAGTCATACCTTCATGGAGTACATCTAGCCGTGTCGTTAGCATACATTGATCATCAACGCACCTCTCCCCTCCTCCGCGCTAAAGATCACCTCCATGTCATCGACTCAAGCGCAATCATCCATGGAAAGGCTACTCAATGACGCAGGGCGCTCCCGTCTCAGCAACCCGACCGAACACGTTGACGGAGTCGCGCCGGTCGCTGGAGTTGCCGATGCATACGAAATGCACGAAATATCACCCGCGGCTGCAGGATTTCAGAAAGAGGCGCGGGCCGAACCCAAGGACAAGATATGCGACTGCCACTCTTCCTCCGGAAGAAATCTGGTGGTCTGCATCGACGGTACCGCCAATCAGTTCGGGCTCAAGGTGAGTGCCCGCGCTTCGGACGGCGCCTCGCAACGGACGCTGATATAACCATGCAGAACACGAACGTCGTCGAGCTTTTCAGCCGACTGGAGAAGAACAAGCAGCAGCTGACGTACTACAACAGCGGCATCGGCACTTTCGTCAAAGAATCCTGGACGTCGCCTGGGTACTGGCGTCAGGTCTTCAACCATACGGTTGACATGGCTATAGCTTGGTAACTTGCAACACAGCTCTATACAGGGCGTTCGCTGACGAGGTCGTCCTCCGCAGGAACTTCAAGCGCATCGTCCTTGACGCGTATCGGTGGTTGTCGGAGGTATACGAGGAGGGCGATCGAATCTTTCTCTTCGGTGGGTGTCTATTGTGTCTCAGCACCACATACCTGAGCACTCATGTGCTATCGCTATGCAGGTTTCTCGCGTGGTGCATACCAAATTCGTGTTATCGCAGGGATGATAGAGAAGGTTTGTGATATTCGACGCTGTTCTGGAACGGACACGGAACATTGATTTGCACTAAGGTGGGGTTACTTCACAAGGGCAACAATGCCCAGATCCCATTGTGAGTATCCGCCGAATTCGTATCATCAGGTAATGACTTGATACTTCGCAGCGCGTACGAGGTCTACATTGCGATGACCGCTGTTGGAAAGCGCAGTGGACGCAAGAAAGGTACAGGCAGCACGACGTCGACGGCTGGACATCGGCATCCGAAGATCACACCGAAGGACCCTGACTACCCGGAAAAGCTGTGCGCCAACTTCAAGGGGAAGCTATCGCTAGCTGATGTAAAGGTTCACTTTGTCGGCGCGTGGTGAGCTGGACGGTTGAATCTGTGCGTGTCCATCTCATGGAGAGCTTGCTGGGTCTAGGGACACTGTCTCTTCCATCGGCGTGGCACGAGGACCGAGTCTTCCGGAAACGACCAACGGCATGACGCATGTTTGTGTCTTCCGGCACGCTTTGGCTCTTGACGAGCTCCGCGTCAAATTTCTGCCCGAATACGCAAACGGCGGCGCGGGTCCTTCCCAGGGTAAAGAAGGGGCACAGACCACATCGAACGTACCGGCAAACTCGAGTCAACCCGGACCACGGGGCGACATCAAGGAAGTGTGGTTTGCGGGATCCCACTCAGATGTGTTCGTAGGGACGTATACTGCTCTTAAAACTATCTCTCACGAAGCCTCTAGTGGCGGGGGTAATATTCCAAACCTCGAGGCCGATCAATTCGGAGCGGCGCTTCGTTGGATGACGTACGAAGCGACAAGTAAGGGTCTGCGAGTGCGCCCCTTTGATGGAACATGGCAACCGTTTCGCCCCAATCCGTCCATGTCATTCATATGGAGAATCGTGGAGTTGATCCCTTTAAGACGGCTCACGTATCAGGATCGACCTCAAGGGAGTTCAGACGATACACAGCGGTGGTCAGTCTTTCACTTACTGCTGATGGATAACAGATCCCTAACACTGCACAGGCCACCTCATCTGTCATCGCCTCGAAGAGTCCTGGATGGTCAGCTGGTCCACGAGTCTGTGTTTGAGCTGAAGGATTACAAGCCCCGCGCTCGCCTCTCTGGGCAATTATCCTGGGATAAAAGCGTGCTGCGGGATAAGGGAATGCTCGAAACCGATCCCTACTTATCCATGGAGGCTTTGGTAGAACAACTGGCCAAACAGGAGCCTCTCACGAACCAAAATCGCGACGTCCTCGTTGCCATGGCTTCATGGGGTGAGTCGGAGCCATGCCACTATCGCCTGGAACTGATCGATCACCGTTCTTTAAGGCGACACAAACGACCGACCAGTCATGGATGTGCCGAATATTGCTAACAGACTGTTCGACGCGTTTGATGCCACAAGACAACGAAGCTCTATGAAGGCAGAGGACCGTAGATCACTCGAACGCGACATCGTCTTGGCTCTGGGTTCGTTCCCCTACCTCCCAAGAGATGCTACCCGCCGTCCGATCTCCGAGCTGCGTGAAATGCTGTCGGGCGTAGATAAGCAAGCACCAGGTATCCGTCGAGCGGTTTCGAACATAACTCAGGTATTTGGAGACCGTGAGTGTGCCTGTATTTTTTTCGCCCAATGATACTAAATGGGGAACCCATAAGGACTGTTGTCGGAGCTACGCGGTCACAGCGCGTTTGTACTATCTGTAGCCTTTTCTCCGGATGGCACACGGATTGCTTCGGGCTCCTGGGATTGGACGATCCGAATCTGGGCGGCGGATACCGGAAAGGAAATCCTAGAGCCAATTTGGTGGCACGCAGCTCCGGTCACGTCTGTCGCATTCTCCCCAAACGGAGGATGTCTTGCCTCAGGCTCGTATGACTGCACCGTGCGACTGTGGAACGTGGAGACGGGGCAGCAGATCGGGGAGCCGCTCCGAGGGCATACAGACGCAGTTCTGAGTGTCGCGTTCTCACCCGACGGCAACCGCATCGTCTCGGGCTCAGACGACAGGACACTCCGACTCTGGGATGCGCAGACGAGACAGCCCATCGGCAAGCGTTTACGGGGTCACTCTGACTGGGTTCACAGCGTCGTCTTTTCACCGGATGGGAAGCACATCGCCTCTGCATCCGATGAAGGCACGATCCGACTCTGGGACGCCGGGACAGGGAAACCAGTCGGGGATCCGCTTCAAGGCCACGATGACTGGGTTCAGTCCGTTGCATATTCTCCCGATGGCACTCGCCTCGTCTCTGCGTCCAGCGACAAAACACTCCGGATCTGGGACACTCGGACGGGAAAGACGGTGTTAGGCCCTTTGCGAGGGCACACCAACTATGTCATCTCCGTCGCATTCTCGCCGGATGGCAAGTACGTCGTCTCCGGCTCTCGCGACTGCACTATCCGGATATGGGACGCGCAGACGGGACAGACCGTGGTGGGGCCGTTGAAAGCGCATACGGACTGGGTGAATGCCGTTGCGTTCTCCCCCGACGGAAAGCGCGTTGTCTCAGGTAGTTACGACGATAGGGTGAAGATTTGGGACGCGGAGGTTGATTAGCCTTGCGTGCCATGCCTGATGCGGGTGTATGAGGTGCGTAGTTCGCGCTCTCGGATGTGCCGTCCTGATTAGCTGACAGTCGTCGTTTACGCGTTTTGGCAGACCCGAATGTGCACGCCAGGTTGTGAATCCTATGGACGTCCCTTCCGTGCTCATCTGCTACAAGATTGGACCAGACGTCGACGCATTCACTGCAACCGGCTCCTCATAGGTTGAATATCTGATACCAACGGAATATGCTACTTCACACGTCGATGTCGAATTATACAACGGGTTATATAACAAAAACATACATTTCGATTTCGTCCGTAACGTAGACGACGTTGCCATAATATACAGCTGGTCGCGTACCGACGTCCAGGACGGCTCAGCCTCGAAAACGGTTTCTTCTCGTTCAATGTCGCACCTCCGCTCGCTTTCTCGCTCACCGGTGCGGCCGCGGCGGGACTAAGACCGAGCTCGGCGCGCAAGAACGCCTCGTCGATCTCGCGCCGATCGCTCGTCTGCACCTTGCGTGCGCTCATCACCGCCTCGCCGAGCAGTGCGCGGGCGGCGTTGTAGGTGGACAGAAAGGCCGACGAATAGACCATGCGCGGCTTGACGGGCGCGCTAGTCGGGCAGGAGTAAACATGCACGACTTCGCGCTCGGAGGCACAGTGGGTCTAAGCGTAGAAGGCAAAGCAGGGCACATCGGTAGGGAGCACGGCGCCGAGCTGGGCGACGGGGCATTCGACGTCAGACTGGAGGGTTAGTGTCTCCGCTGCGGGTTTGATGGTCTATGAAATGGGAATTTGATCAGTTCTACACTTCTTGTTGTTGTGAGATGAGGAAGAATACATACCAGGGCGATGACCCTCACCGTGTTGCCATCTGCGAGCCGCCGCATAACGCCTGTCGTCCGCGTCCCATACGAGCCCGACCGCCGAATGTGCTCCACCTCCGTGGTAGTCGTTGTGCTGTGCCACGGGCTTCTCGGCGTGCAGCGCGGCGAGCTCTTGCTCACGCACCGTCGTCGGTTTCTGTGAAACGAGGTGAGCTAGGTGCGTAGTATGGCCAGTCGTGGTGATTTCCACCCTGCAGGTGGCGAAGAGGTTGTCGGCGAGTTGCAGCGCGTCGACGAATCCGATGAGCGAGGCGCGGGCGAAAGCGCAGGCATCTGCACATCACGACCATGAGTACCGAAGGACAATGCAAAAGCGTAGAGACGCGTTACGTTGTTGCGCATGCAGGCCGTGTACCAGATTGCCCGTGCGGTCGTCAAGCCGCTCGTGGACGTATCATCGGACAGCAGCAACTACAGCGGTCGTCGATCATCCGCAAAATCGCCTGCAGCCGCGAGATCGGCATCGTGCAGGGGGAACTCCTTGTGTTCGTGCTGAAACCTGTATCTCGATAGCATCTCCGAGGAACAGCAGACCGAAAACCGGGCCTGAAAGCAGAAACTCGGAAGGAATTGGAGCAAAATCTGCAGTGCACTATGTGTACTACATGTGCAGTGCCCGGTTACGATGAGTTATCTATAAACCATGGATTGATCGGCCAGCTTTTGCGAACATAGCCTCGTCAGATGAGCGTCGAGCTTACGAGGTGCGAACATACGCACGACACCTTGCAATCACACCGTGCGGTCCACACGAGGCATCGACCCTCTCGCACACGCCGGGTGATGCCCGGGCGATCGAGAGGAGTTGACATAAAGGCCTAAGGATGAAATATCCCAGTTGATAAAGATCGACGGGTTTGAGATCGTAGAGTCTAGTCGGCGTCCCGCACTGTTGCATGTCCTTCCGCTTACGACCGAGCGCAGAAAGCTACGGTTTCACTCGAGATCAATCCCTGAGCAAGCGATGCTTCGATTGAGGCGGGTTGAGCTGTCGCGCTAGAGAACATCTACCAGTCAGACATCTGACTACCAGAGGCAGTTATACAAACGTGCACCTTGAGTTTTGGTAGAGCCTGCCTAACTCGGGCTTGTCAGTACATAGCGGTGCCGTCGACGCGGTAGCGGTTGAGTGATTGAATTGAGATCATTCTTGCAGACAAAGAGCGTTTTCCCGAGATATATAGTCCATATATGCGCTATGCGCGAGCGATTGAAAGATTGACAGTCAAACTGCACGGACGTGATCCACGAGCTCCCGCTCTTCATTCCTTGGTCGACGATCCCAACTCCCGAGATGTTTCCACGATCACGTACATCTTGCTGAACGTGTGTAGTGGAGCGGTATCATCTGTATGGATCTCCTCGTAACGCTTGGAGTGAAAGGGGCCTGAAGGACAGAGATGAGCCACGACAGGGGGGATAGAGCGCTGAACGTACCTCAAGGCGTCCGCGAGCCCTTCCACCATCTGATGTTCCGGCGCCTGAGACGAAAGACCAACGTCATTCCAGCCCTAACGGATAGATAAGGTGGGAGTTATTCAGCCGTGAGACGGCAACTCTGAAGGAGAACGACGGGGCATGGGAGGCGCTGCCGAAGTTTGAACGGGCGCTAATCTGCGGCGGCATACGCGGAAATGACAACGTGCGTCGTGCATGTCGCTGTTCTTGACCATGGATTACAAACCTCATGGAGCATTGCTATCTCGATACACGTACGACCTTCTTCGCGAAAAAAACCCCCGTCTGTCTCGCCTGACACAAAAATTCGCAAGATCCTATTACCGGTGCCAGGTGGCTTTTGCCATCGTTCTCGTGTTCAGCTCACATTGTGCGCGTCGAGTTGCGACGCCGAGAACTGGTCGATGAGCTTCGAAGATGTTCTGATCTTCGATCCCGCACTTCGAGCGACAACAGACGCCGCACGTCCATAACAGTTCCATATTGAACCTTGACGAGGACTTGCCGTGCCGACTATGGGCCCGGTGCCTCATGCTCATGGTTCACATGCTGTCCAACCCTATACAACCTCCGGTCGGAAAGCGCAGGTTCGATAGCCCTTTTTCCTCGCATCTCTTCCTCTCACCTACACCTTCACTCCAGAGCGCTGCAGAGCCATGGCCGCCGCTAACGACGACACGGCTTCGACCGCGCCTTTGATCTCGGCGTCGCATGAGGACATAGCCCGTCATTCCGAGGGGGAAACGGATATCAAGCCTGCGCCGCCTGTGCCCAACCCGGCTCCACAGGCAGCAGATAAAGCAGAGCAACGTCAAAACCCTAAGGCTTCGACGTCCTGTGCCTGTAAAGGCGGCGGTCGAAACCTCGTCGTGTGCATCGACGGGACCGCCAATCAATTCAGCTACAAGGTCAGCCAACGTTCTTCCCTTCGCACCGACGCTGAACCAGGGCTCGCAGAACACCAACGTCGTCGAGCTTTACAGCCGCTTGATCGAAGACGAAAACCAGCTCACGTACTACAACAGCGGGATAGGAACGTATGCGCGGGATAGCAAGACATCTTTCCATTATTGGAAGCAGAAAATCGATCATACCATCGACATGGCAATCGCGTGGTGAGCATTCGTGATTACCCGTCTTAAGTCCTCTACCAACGTACCGTCCCTTTAGGAACTTCAAGAAAATAGTCCTCGATGCCTACGAGTGGCTTTCAGAAAATTACATACCGGGAGATCGAATATTCCTTTTCGGTCTGTCGTCTACGTCAATGATCACACAGCACCATCCTCACCGATTCTACAGGCTTTTCGCGGGGCGCGTATCAAGTGCGTGTCATTGCAGGAATGATAGAACTAGTGCGTCCCTCCGGCTGATGTGCTCAATACGTTTCGCTGACAATTGTGGCCCCGCAAACCAGGTCGGTCTGGTCCGTAAAGGAAACAAGGGCCAGATAAAATTGTGAGTACGCGATGTTATCTCACATCCGCCTTCTGAACGCAATACAGCGCATATGACCTCTACATGGACATGATAGGGCACCGACACAACTCCTCCCAGTCGTCGGCTGGTACGATAGCGAAGGTAAGGGCTTGGCTGCGAAACAAGCTACGGTGGTCCTTCCGCCCTGGACGCGACACGACGGCGCTGCAGCAAGATGAACCAGAGATCGCGCCGGCGCCAAAGCCGATCAAGTCCAAGAAACGCCGCGAGCACAAGACTGACCCGCTGGAACTGAGTGAGCGTTTCAAGCGTACGCTCTGTCGGAAAGGTGTCAAGGTCCATTTCGTTGGAGCATGGTGAGCCCCCCGTGCCGTTTTCCCGTCCGCCGTTTGCTCATCCGCCTTCAGGGATACCGTTTCATCCATTGGGGTCGCCCGTGCGCCGAGCCTTCCGGAGACGACGACGGGGATGACGCACGTCTGCGCGTTCCGGCATGCGCTCGCCCTCGACGAGGTGCGGGTCAAGTTCTTGCCCGAGTATGCGAACGCGGGTGTGGGCCCGACTGCAGATACCCAGGCTGTGAACGTGAAAGAGGTCTGGTTCTCCGGCTCTCATTCCGACATGTAAGCCGGTTTTGAGGTTTGATCTGCTAGATGATACTGAACAGACGATTAGCGGCGGTGGAAGCGATCTTAATCTCGACCTTGACAAGTTCGGTCCCGCCTTGCGCTGGATGTCTTACGAAGCGCTCAAAGAAGGGCTGCGCATGATAGATTTCCGCGGCAATTGGCAGCAGCTGAAACCTACAAATTCTATGAGGTGGTATTGGAGAATCCTCGAGTGTCTTCCCTTCAGGCGACTATCTTACGACTCAAAGAAAGAGAAAGAGCATGCGGTATATTTGTGAGTCATCTAAGCAGACTTTAACCGCCCATTGGCTCAATAGAATGGCTTTGCTAGCCCTCACCTCTCGTCACCTCGTCAGATCATGCATGGACAACGTATCCACGAATCGGTTATTGACTCGCCATCGCAACGGGAAATTATCTATGAGCCATTCATCGGACCTCTGTCGCAGTCGGAAACTTTCAAGCTGAAGAAATCGGAACGTTCAGCGTGGAAACGCAGAGCACGCGTCCCTGACGGCCTGAAGTGGGACCAAGTCATCGCCAGCGACGACTGGATCGAGCGTGACCCTTATAAATCGGCAAATCGCATCGTCGACGGCATACTGGGTGGGAACCTGTCGGACGAGGATTGTCATGTGCTCGTAACACTGTCCTCATCTGGTGAGCTGCTCACCTGGCTGCCTGGTAGGATGAAGTTGAACCTTGTGCAGACGTCGGCCAGCGATCGATGACTGACTACGCAAATGCGGACGAGCTGTTCAAGGCATTTATGGCCGTCAAGCTTGCGATCGCGGCGGGACCTCCGACGGAACAACACGAGAGGCAACTCATCGGGCTTCTGATAGTCCTTGGCGCGTTTCAAGACTTGTCCAAGATGGATGAAATGGATAATGGGGAACAGTCCTGGATGCGCGAAACCGCAGAGCGCTTGTCTAATGAACAACCACAACCATCAAGTTCTCTGGGGCAAGCTTCAGCGGAGCTCTCGCGATTGTTCCGTGCTAGAGTCCAAAGGCTTTTGGACGAGTTGATGCGCGAAACATGGCTTAGCGACGGCGAACGAGATGTGCTGTGTACTATAGTGGAAACAGGTCAGTTGACAACGTACATCTGCTCCCTACCTGTGACTTATCTTTGATAGACTTCGGAAGAAACACCCTTGCAGCGATCGCCGACGGATCTAAATTGCTGAATGTACTCGAGGCTGCAAAGCGCGACCTGCACTGGTCTTATCGCAGAGAGCGAATCACGGATTTATTGACTCTTCTAGGTTCTTTGCCTTCGTTGTCCCGAGGCACCGAGCGATACTGGCAGGAGAATGTAGCGGAGCTGCATGGCATCGTCGAGTGGCATCGACCTGTTGTCCGCCGTGCCATTGATCGAATTTCCCGCCCGTTATGTGACAGAGCCCCAAATATCGTGGACAATATTGTCAGCATGCAGCTTTCTGACACGGAGCGCAATGTGCTCGACGCGTTATTGTATACAGGTGTGCCCAGACTTCTTCCAAGCTGCATCCGCCGGGCTGATCCACACCTCGCGTCAGAGTCCGGCAGGCAATCTATCGCGAATTGCAAGAAAGTCGAAAAACTCCTTGATACGCTGAAGAAGCTCGTGCTGAGTGATGATATCATGGACTTGGATCTGCGGAGGGTTCGCATCACGGACCTGGCGGTGGCTCTTTGTGCATCGGGCTCGCTCTGCTCTGCAGAGCTCTTGCCGGAACGTCTGTTCATCGCGGTCTTATCACATGTCGATACGGAACGGTTGGACTTCACCAAGGCCACGGATCAAATCATGCAAGACATATGTGATACGGCTGGCAATGTAGTAGCAAAGCTCGCAGATGCAGGGCTATCGGAAGCGGATCACATTCTCCTGAATGGGTTATTAACATCAGGTAAGGCGGCTCCCATTATGCACTAAATAAGGTCGAAAGCTTATGTGAACAGAATTTGGCAAGCTAGGAAGGACCGCGTCAACGATTGTAGCAAGGCTGTTCGAAGCTCTCGAAAGGCAACAAGGCGCCATCGCCGATGTTGAACCGGAGCTGCGGCAGATCCACGCATCCGATATAACACGGCTTCTTGGCACGTTCTCCTCCTTACCCGACGGCGCTAGACAATACCGTAAAGGTGTTTTGAGGGAGTTGCTGTCTGGTGCCGACCAGGAGCAAGCAGGAATTCCCGAGGCCGTGGACCGGACAATGAAGGTCTTTGATGGCAGTCAGTATACTTGCATGACGTTCAGTTGTTGGTTTGCTCAGACGGATTTACACAGGACTGTTGTTGAAGCTACGCGGCCACAGCGGTATTGTACTATCTGTAGCCTTTTCTCCGGATGGCACACGGATGGCTTCGGGCTCCGGGGATAGGTCGATCCGAATCTGGGCGGCGGATACCGGAAAGGAAATCCTAGAGCCACTTTTGGGGCATACAGATTGGGTCAAGTCTATCGCATTCTCTCAAAATGGAAAACGTCTTGCCTCCGGCTCGGATGACGATACCGTCCGACTGTGGGACGTGGAGATGGGGCAGCAGATCGGGGAGCCGCTCCGAGGGCATACAGACGAAGTTCGGAGTGTCGCGTTCTCACCCGACGGCAACCGCATCGTCTCGGGCTCAGACGACAGGACACTCCGACTTTGGGATGCGCAGACGGGACAGCCCATCGGCGGGTCTTTGCAAGGTCATACCAGCGACGTCCTGAGCGTCGCCTTTTCACCCGCTGGGGATCGCATCGCCTCTGGATCCGTCGACGGCACGATCCGACTCTGGGACGCCGGGACAGGGAAACCAGTCGGGGATCCGCTTCAAGGCCACGATGGCTGGGTTTGGTCCGTTGCATATTCTCCCGATGGCACTCGCCTCGTCTCTGCGTCCAGCGACAACACACTCCGGATCTGGGACACTCGGACGGGAAAGACGGTGTTGGGCCCTTTGCGAGGGCACACCAGCCATGTAATCTCCGTCGCATTCTCGCCGGATGGCAAGTACATCGTCTCCGGCTCCTACGACCGCACTATCCGGATATGGGACGCGCAGACGGGACAGACCGTGGTGGGGCCGTTGGAGGCGCACACGGACTGGGTGAGGGCCGTTGCGTTCTCCCCCGACGGAAGGCGCGTTGTCTCGGGTGGTGGTGACGGTTGGGTGAGGATATGGGACGCGGAGGTTGATTAGCCAGGTACGGCATGCCTGATGCGGGGATATACGCGCTCTCGGATGTGCCGTCCTGATTAACGGACAGTTGTCGTTTGAGCGTTTTGGCAGGCCCGAATGTGCACGCCAGGTTGTGGATCCTATTTGCTGCAAGACACATTGGACCAGACGTCGACCGCTTGTAACCTACTCTTCACACTTGATATCAACGGAACATGCTACTTCACATAACGATGTCGAACTATACAACGGCTTTGATAACAAAACACATTTCGTTCGTAGCATAGACAACGGTGCCATAGCATATACCTAGTCGCTCACCGACGTCCGGGCCGGCTCGGCCTCGCAAATGGTTTTTTCTCGCTCGATGCCGCACCTCCGCCCGCTTTCTCGCTCACCGGCGCAGCCGCGGCGGGACTAAAGCCGAGCTCGGCGCGCAAAAACGCCTCGTCGATCTCGCGCGGGTCGCTCGTCTGCACTTTGCGCGCACTCAGCACGGTTTCGCCGAGCAACGCGCGGGCAGCATTGTAGGTAGAGAGGAAGGCGGACGAGTAGACCATGCGCGGCTTGACGGGCGCGCCGGTTGGGCAAGAGTAGACGTAGACGACTTCGCGCTTGGAGGCAGAGTGGGCCCAGGCGAAGAAGGCGAAGCAGGGCGCGTCGGTGGGGAGGACGGCGCCGAGCTGGTCGACGGGGCATTCGACGTCCGACTGGAGGGTTAGTGTCTCCGTCGCGGGTTCGATGGTCTATGAGACGAGAATTAGGATCGATGGGCTGCAGCAAGAATGGGAATGAACACACCAGGACGACGATCCTGCTCGCGTTGACGTCCGCGAGCCGGCGCACGGCGCCTTCCGCGTCCGGGTGCCATGTGAGCCCGACCGCGCCTTGTCCGCCGACGTGCGCCACACGTGCGCCGCTCCCGCGGTAATCGTCCTGCCCCGCCGCGCGCTCGGCGGCGCGCACCGCGGCGGCTTCTTGCTCACGTGGCGTCATCGGCTTCGGGGCGGCGAGGTGCGCCAGGTGCGCGGCGTAGCCGGACGGGGTGAGGTCCGATTTGGAGGTGGCGAAGAGGGTGTCGGTGAAGTGCGGCGCGCCGAGCGATTTGGTGAGCGAGGCGCGGGTGGAGGCGTAGAGCATCTGAAGGATCGGGAAGATGGGGTTACTTGCGAAACGACGATTGCGAGGGGTGTAGATATGCGCACTTTGTCGCGCACGCCGGCGGTATCTGGCACATATGAGATCGCGAGCCAGCCCGCGCCGTCGTCGAGGCGCGCGAGGACGTAGGCCGGCACATCGTCGGACAGCAGGGATTGCAGTTTGTTCAGGTCGTCCGTGAAGCTGCCTGCAGGAGCGAGTTCGCCATCCGGTACGAGGGATTCTGGGTGCGCGCGATCAATATGGACGGGGATCTACGAAGATTGCGGCTGGTGGAGGACCGTTTCGGATGGCGACCTTGATGAAGCGCGCGGTGTGCGGCTCGTCGACGGCGGCGGCGAAGGCGTCGGAGAGGGCGGGCGAGACGCCGATGCCGGAGGCTGCGGACATGTTGATGGTGAAGACGATGTAAGATGGGTGAAGATGGAGGGGAGAGCGGAAGCAGATGGGGGGGCGTGAAATACAGATCGGACGCCCCTTGCACCGGCTGCTGCGTCGTGCTGCGTCACGGCTTTCGGCGCTACCCAAATCCTCCCTTGCTTTCTCTCTTCGTTCTTGACCTTCACTTCGGCTTGAATAATTGGAAATAATTGGACGGAAATATACACAACATCGCTAGAGACATCGTACCTGGATATCACTTGTTTTGAAGGTTGAGCGAACGCCATGGTGGACTCGCCCTCTCACGTTCCATATCAACCGTATAAGGTACGCCTCCTCTCTACAAACGTCCACAGTTGCGCCTACTGAACGTCCTTCAACCAGCCCAAACGGCACTCCCGCAACCTCTCCAACCAATTCCTCGTCCCAGTTCCGGGCGCTAACGCGGTCGTCGATGGAGGCGGCTCGCCTCCACCCGCCTCGCGCCCCAACGGGCCAGCGGGCATCGTGAGCGCCCCCGTAGTGCCTCAACTCCCACAGCTGCATCTCGACGCGGAGAAGGTGCTGCACCCGATCTCGTCTCTCTTCTCTTCGCTGTCCGGCAGCACCGGCACCAGCCCGCGTCCCGCGAGCGTGTTCGACGCCTTCCGCCCCCGGCACTCGCCCGCGCCCAGTATCAGCATCTCGGAGACCACGCCCAGTTTGCCTACGTCACCCGTGCGGGCCACGCATCATCATCATAAGGAAGAGGCTATCCCCGTTACTGCCGCTGCGACGACGACGATAGAGTCCGAGAAAGCTAGGACGAGCGACGAGATAAGGCCCACGCCGGTGGTGGCCGAAATAGTCACCATCAAACCGCCTACGCCCGAAGACGAGACCCAGCAGCCTCAGCTTCCTCTGACACCACCGCCAGAGGCCGATCCTAAGGCCCTCCCGCCTCCACCGCAGTCGCCCGAGTCAGCACCCGAGGAGCCATCGCCCTCTCTCCCGTCGCCTGCCCCCTCCGTACCGGACAAACCTCCCCCTTCGCCTACCTCGTCCCAGAAAGCAACAGACAAGCAGGCTCTCCCGCATGCGCTTTCCGAGGCCTCGGCCCCTGCCTCGCCCTCCCGCCGCACCTCTACTTTCCGCCGGCTTGCTCCCACCCCCTCCGGCCGCTCTCCGCTACCGTCGTCTCCGCTACGCCCGGCATCCACTCTACCCTCATCCACCCTTCATCCCCCAACTTTAGGCTCGCACGCACGCGTCGCCTCCGCGTCTTCTCTCCGCCACTTCGACCAGCCTCTCAGGCCGGCCCAACCCCGAAGCCGCCTCACCTCGTCCTCCAGCGTTGCCTCCTCTCTCGCACCTTCACCTTCAGCCACCCTCACCTCCCCTGCTGGTCCTTCTACCGCGCCGACTCCGCGCAGCCGCCCGCAATCGGCCGAGATCCACGCCCCGCCCCCGCGCACCGTCTCGCTGCACCCCTCTGCATCCACCTCCGCCTCGCCTTCCTCCGCGTCTCCGTCGACTCTTTCTCCCTCGCCCTCGCCCGCTCCTTTACCGGCTTCCCGCCCGGCACAGGCCCCGTACCGGCCCGGCTTCCAGCCCAAGGGCGTCTACCGCCCGCTCACCGACGAGTTCTTAGAGGCCCGCAAACGCGCACGCGACGCCGGCCGGATCGAACGCACCCGGCTCGAACGCCGCCTCGAAAAGCTCATCGCTCTACACTTCCCCCCATCCTCCTCGACCGCCTCCTCCTCCTCGCCTTCCAACAAAACCAGCGCCCTCCACCCGCACGGAAAAGACCGCCCGACCGCGCAAACCCGCCGCGCCTCGAGCTTCTTCGACGTCGACCTCTCGGACCTCCGCGGGCTCGTCCAAACCGACAAGGCGCGCGCGCGGGATCACGTGCGCGCGGCCGAGCAGCGCATCGCGCCGTGGGAACCCGACGCGTCGGCCGCGGCGTGCCCGCTCTGCGCCGCGCCCTTCCACCCGCTGTCGAACCGGCGGCACCACTGCCGCCTCTGCGGGCGCGTCGTGTGCGCGCTGCCCCCCCGCGCGCCGCAGCGGCCCGTGGCGTGCAGCTCGCTCTTCGTCGTCTCGGATCAGAGCGGTGCTGGAGGAGGAGGAGCTGGGGGCAGGATAGAGGAAGTGGGCGAAGGCGTGGATTATGGCGTGCGGAGGCGGACGGTGGGAGTGGCAGCAGCGGGTGGGGCGGGAGGGATGAGCGAGGAGGAAAAGTTCTTGAAGGGCGTTAGGGTGTGCAGGGAGTGTCGACCGGCGGTGTTGAGGCAGCAGTACCGGCAGGAAATGCGGGAGGTGCCGCCGCTCGCACGACTGTACGACGCGTTCGTGGCGCTGGAGAAGGAGATCGAGGAGGATCTCCCCGTGTTCCAGGAGCTCGTGCTCGACCTCAGGTCGGTCCATCGTCCCCGTATAACTACGTCTTTCTGATCGGGGTTTTTTTTTTCGTTTGTCTTTCATGACAGCCACAACGATCAGCCGAGCAAAGAGGCGTCCGCGGCGCGCAAGCGCCTCCTCGACGCCTTTGCGCGCTACGACGCGCTCGCGAAACGTATCCGCGCCCTCAGGCCTGCCCAGGGCGGCGCCGCGAGCGCGCAGGGGCGCATGCAGGCCGCCATCCTCGCGCGCGCGAACATGTTTCTGCAGAAGCACATGTTCCCTCTGCAGGTGATTCTTTCTTCTCTGTCCTCGCATGCTCAAACAATACAATGCTAACGTACGTTTCCGTGCAACAGTCCCTGCCGAAAGCGCAGCAGAGACAAACGGCATCGGGCGCTGCGTCCCCATCCACGCCCGCCGTCGCCGTCGCCGTGCCAGGGCTCGACCCGGACTCAGAGCTCGCGCTCCGGCTGCAACCTCTGCTCGAGCAGGAAGCGCTCCTCGAGGGATACGTCGAGGAGGCCAAGACGCATCGCAAGTTCGAGGATGCGAAGACGCTCAAGCGGAGCTTGGACGAGATCAGGCTGGAGATCGACCGCATGCTGGCGGGGGCGACGACGGGGAAGTAAAGGTGAGAGAGGTGCCATGTGGTAATATGTGGTAATGGGATGTTATGGGCGTTTGCTATCTCCTTCTTATACTTCGCCGCGGCGTTACCAGACTATATACGGATTACAATCTCTCTGCAGATTTCCCTCGGAGGATAGAGTACACGGTGCCGCCATAACGGATGTCCGATATCAATGCATCGTCGTTCGCGAAATCTATTAGATTCTCGTGCAGAAGACACTGATCCTCCGACTGTGAAGCTCAGTATCGGTATAATGTGGGGTGTTGCACAGATCTTAGGCTGAAAGAGAGGCGTCCGAGTAATAGAGAGAGTCGAGTAGTGTGCTCAGCACGCCACTGTTCCAGATGTCCAGATGCCCTCCTGCAACGCACACCAATCACGTCTACCAACGTGTTGGATCGCTCTTGTCTCGTCAGATCAAGCCATGTGCAGGAACCATGACGGGACACACCTTGCAGCACGCTCTCCGGGTCAATCAACTTCTGCATCCCATATCTTCACCAACCCGTCACTGCTACCCGAGACAACGCGCTTGGCATCGGGGGAGAACGCAACGGCATTCACCCAGTTCGTGTGCGCTTCCAACGGCCCCACCACGGTCTGTCCCGTCTGCGCGTCCCATATCCGGATAGTGCGGTCGTCGGAGCCGGAGACGATGTACTTGCCATCCGGCGAGAATGCGACCGATCTTACGTAGTCGGTGTGCCCTCGCAAAGGGCCCAACACCGTCTTTCCCGTCAGAGTGTCCCAGATCCGGAGTGTTTCGTCGTCGGACGCAGAGACGACGCGAGTGCCATCGGGAGAATATGCAACGGACCGAACCCAGCGATTGTGGCCTAGAAGCGGATCCCCGACTGCTTTCCCTGTCCCGGCGTCCCAGAGTCGGATCGTCCTGTCAGCGGATCCAGAGGCGATGTGCTTCCCATCCGGTGAAAATGCGACGGTGTTAACACCGGTAGAGTGACCCCGTAAAGGCTCGCCGATGGCCTGTCCCGTCTGCCCATCCCAGATTCGGAGTGTCCTGTCGTCTGAGCCCGAGACGATGCGGTTGCCGTCGGGTGAGAACGCGACACTCCGAACCCAGCCTGTATGCCCTCGGAGCGGCTCCCCGATCTGCTGACCCGTCTCCACGTCCCACAGTCGGACGGTTTCGTCATACGAGCCTGAGGCAAGACATCCTCCGTTTGGGGAGAATGCGACAGACCTGACCCAACCTGTATGCCCCAAAAGTGGCTCTAGAACTTCCTTTCCGGTATCCGCCGCCCAGATTCGGATCGACCTATCCTCGGAGCCCGAAGCAATCCGTGTGCCATCCGGAGGAAAGGCTACAGATACTATTACAGTCCCACTGTGGCCGCGCAGCTCCAACAACAATCCTGATGGGTTCCATATTCAGCGTTAGGGGCGCCCAAAAAAGACAGGCGCACTCACTGGTTCCAAATGCGCTTATTATGTTGGAAACATCCTGAGGAGTACCCGCCTGGTGGCTGTCTGCATCATACAGCAGCGCTCGTAGCTTGCGTTCAGGAAGGCCGGAAGCACTGTGTCTTGGGAGCGGAGGAAATGCACCGAATGCGAGGACGATGTCTCGGACAAGTAATTTCTTGTCATCTGCACTCCTATGACTGTCTTGTCTCGTGGATTCGAGAGCATCAAACAGTTTTTTGACAGCGTCAGCAACGCCCATAACGGTCCGATTACTGTCGGCATCTGGATTTGATCATAGATTAACAGATTTCATACTGTTACGGGGCACGAACTAACCCCGCGAAGCCGCCATGACGAGCACGCCGCGATCTTCATCCGAAAGATGCTCGTGTCCGATGATCTGTTCCAAAATAGCGTCGATTGATAGGTATGGATCTTTTTCAAGCATCCCCTTCCTCAGAAGTTCGTCTTTGCTCCACGTAACCTGACCCGGAAGGCGAGCACGCGGCTTATAGTCGCCGAGCTCGAACGCGGACTGGTGGATGAGCTGGCCCTCCATGACAATGCGAGGTGACGAAAGGTGTGGCGGCCTATAGCCATCATGTCAGCATCATGAGTTGACGCGGCGCATGCCTGTATGCAGGACCGACCAGCGTTGACTATCTTCCGAATTTGATTGCGGTGTGGTCTTGTAAGTGAGCCGTCTCAAGGGTAGCAATTCCACAAACTTCCAAACGAGAGACATGGTTAAATTGGGTTGGAAAGGTCTCCAGGTCCCTCGGAAAGGCTTTACTCGTAGACCGCAACTCGTGGCTTCGTGCCTCATCCAACGAAGGGCTGGCCCGAATTGGTCGACGTTGAGATTGACGGTGTTGCCTCCGCCGCTAAGATTGTGTGAGAACTAGTACCGGGACCAAGAACCTGACCGTACTAACATGTCTGAATGTGACCCCGCGAACCAGACCTCCTTGATGTTCCCCTTCGGTTGACCGGCCGCACCCGATGTCGCATCCCCTCTAGCGGACGAGACAGGGCCTGCCCCACCATTCGCGTATTCGGGAAGGAACTTGACGCGGAGCTCGTCCAGAGCTAGCGCATGTCGGAACACGCATACGTGAGTCATTCCGTTCGTTGTTTCGGGAAGACTCGGTCCCCGTGCCACGCCGATCGAAGAAACGGTGTCCCTGGACGGCGGGGCAGTGAATGAGTTCGCAGTCATGTTTGACGGCGAGGTGGGGCTCACCACGCGCCGACGAAGTGGACCTTCACGCCTTCCTGCGAAAGGGTGCTCTTAAAGTTCTTGCAAAGCGCTGTCGCGTAGCGAGGATCCTTCTTGTCCGTGATGACTACCCCCTGTCCAGAGTCGGTCATAGGGTCCTTGGCGTTGTTATTCTGTCCTCTCTCAAGCCCATTACGCTTGCCGTTCGCGATGATGGAGATATAAAGTTCGTATGCGCTGCGAGAGATCCAGGTTGGTGTATGGATGTACGAAGTTGATAAACGCTTACAAGACAATTTGCGCGTTGTTACCCCGGCAGAGTAGCCCCACCTGATAATGTATCAGCATCGTATTCTGAAACGTGACGCAGCAGAAGGCCGTTCACCAGTTCTATCATCCCTGCGAGAACGCGAATCTGGTATGCACCGCGGGAGAAACCTGCATGGCAATACCTTGTCAGTCGTAGTAAACGCGGTGGCTGTATACAGCCTACACTAACCAAACAGAAAGATTCGGTCGCCTGCTTTATATTCCTCAGATAACCACCGGTATGCGTCAAGTACGATGCGTTTGAAGTTCCTGGGGATCACGAAACCATTTTAGTCAACGGTTCTTGACAAACCTTGTTATAATTACCAAGCTATAGCCATGTCGACGGTGTGGTTGAAAACCTGACGCCAGTATCGAGGCGACGTCCGGGAATCTTTGACGAACGTGCCGATGCCACTGTTATAGTACGTCAACTGATCATCACTCTTCTCCAGCCCGCTGAAAAGTTCGACGACGTTCGTGTTCTACACGGACGTGAAACCGGTTCAGCTTCGAAACGTCCATCGACGTCCACGCGATGTATCCTTACCTTCAGTCCGAATTGGTTCGCGGTGCCGTCGATACAGACCACAATGTTCCTTGCGGTCGGTGAATGACAGTCGCATACTGAAGCCTTCGGTCCGGTCCTCGACTCCTTTTGGGCCTCCACCGCGGCTCGCAGTATATCTTGCATTTCGTGTGCGTTGGCGACTCCAGCGACTCCCGCAGCGCCATCTTGGAGTTCTCTCGGTTCGCCCCGCCCCAGGGGGCTTCGTTCATGGTTATGCGATACGTCCATTGTGCGGTGGAGCCGCTAACATGGGCTAGCGAATGTGGGGGAGGTAGGAGGGGGAATGAGTCGCGCTACGTAGGCGATACGGACATATATACTCACCGAGCGTCCCGAAACGTGTTCGGGTGGCGCATATCGCATACGTTAACGGCATGGGCGAGGCGCTCACGGGCTTCGCTGTACTGACCGTGGTTAAGGCGGTCGTACAAACCCATAGATGCAACACACGGACACGTTTCTAGCACCGCATTCGACATCGACAAACGCGAGTTATATGGCGGCCACAAATAGACAGCTTTCAAACCCGATATATATCGAGGTTTCGTATCCAAATCGCTCGATTTGGCGCGCGTTTTGGCCACAGGATATCAAAATCTCAATATATATCGAAATTGAAAGCTCCCTAATGAGATCCAGCAGTGGGATAGATCATAGCGGGCTCAGATTGCGATGGTAAACGACAGGGACACTGGCTTGCCGCTTGTATGACCCCCTTTGCCCAGGCTCGAGTTGTTGCCTTTGAACAGTTTGAGTTCCAACACACGTGTCATCCTCGTCCCAATTTACATTGATATGCAACCGGAGGTTCTGGAAACCTGCGACGCGGTCACCGGTGCACGAGCTTACAGCAGCCTGAGCGAGCCCCGTCCGAGATCGAGACGCTCGATGATCGATCCGTATTCCCCTTGCGTTCTTGCTTATACCATTCGGTGGATGTAAGATAGGCGTGAGGGGGCGAGGCGGGCGGTGGCGGTGTCACGACGCGCCTCGCAGGCAACAGAGCAGGATCCGGTAGTATAGCAAAATAGAATGTAGATACATGCGTGCAGTCGAGTCTTTTATAGTCGAGACGCCATAGAGATCAGAGATAATCATATCTCAGATATCAGACGCCCGGGGAGTAGAGTTAAACACGCAAGGTTTGACCATATGGCGCCCAACGGGCGCGTCAACATTGTGATTTCTTAGTCGCGGCGGAGCCGCGACCATTCTAAGTTTACTCTACGGTTAAGCTACGGAGTACTCCGTTACAGTGGACTTGACCGAGACTGAATGGCGACGTGCATCAGCATTCAGATCAAGAATGGAAGTGATTTTATGTGGCTGCTGTGAGTACTAGCACATGCGAGGACCCCTGACACTGCGGGAAACAGGCTGAATCTGGGCAAAATATATCAGCTATGTTGACCCAAACGATGTCAAACTTAGTGCAAAGAGACCGGGAAAATAGTCATATTTTTGACATATATCTGCTTCCTTGAGATAAATCTATCATAACTTCAGACTAGCTTAGCTAACAATATGTCAGTAACAACCATAGTTGTTATATAACAGTTTTGTTATATGTTTTCCCCAGATTCCAGGGATTTCCCGCTGTGTGACGGTGGCGTAAACCTTGTGGACCGACCCCCAAGTCGCGCAAGCAAATCCAGCTGGTTTGCAAAGTTTCACTGCCAGAAACTCACTCTGAGTAGTTTGTGACTTTCCCGATATGCATCCCATAGTCTACAAATACACCATGTAACCGTACATTTCCACTCAGCCGTGGCCTTGCTCGGGTGATGACACTATACATCTCACGACCAGTCGGGATTCGTCGTGTCTTCGTCGTGAAGGTTCGTCCGGATCGGCTCGTTATTCAAGATCTGGTCCACGCGGTCATCGTGCTCTGGAAGCCATTCCTGTTCGCGCTCTGCGGCACGACGCCGGCACCGTTCACAGACAACTGCCACGTCGTCGCGACCGTGCTCAAGCTGAAAATGGAGATGGTCGACGCCGAGTCCACGTTGAGGATCTGCGATTGGCAGTTGAACGTGTTCAGGCATGCCTGGCCAAAGTTCTGCGCGCATACAAGAGTCAGTGAATGGTGCTTCGACGATCAATGAGGGTGAGCGCACCTGGAAGAAGCTGTACAGTCCGGCGCCGAACACGAGGATGTTCTGCGAGTTTTGCACGGTCAGACCCCACGCGGCCTGATCAGGTATTGTCGGGTCGTGGAAGGCGCTGTTCGTCGAGAAGGGAGTTGGTGGCGCGGGCGCGGGCTGGTAGTACGGCTATTCAAGGTCTCGGATCAGCTTCTCGGCCGCACGATCACACGAAGCCTACTCACCGTCTCGGTCTGGATGAGGCCCATGTAATGGTTGGCGGCGTTCACCAACGAGTACTGGTATAGCGCGTGGTGCTCGCTCCCGGTGCCAATCAACCATACGGGACCCTGACTTTCGGATAGTATACCACGACCGCTGAACTGCGTGAGCTGGCCTTGGCCCGAGCTGTCGAGGTCGTGGTCCGCCAGCCAAACCCATGTGCCCTCAAGGTAGGCCGTCGCGGCGCTCGTGATGTGGAACGCGAGGAACGCAGCCATGCACGCATTGTTGTCCGAGCCGGATGGGCACTGAGCCGACTGCAGGTTCGTGCCGGCCGCGCCGCCGAGGCGAACGTGGGAGTCCCACATACCGGCGGTGCCCTGGGCGTCCTCGTGAATGTTCCATTCGACGACGATGGCGCCAGCAGCTGTTGAGATACGTTGAGTGATGTCGGGAAGACCGCGATGCGCACGACTTACTCGGGCCTTGGGTTGCGAAGAGCACGTCGGTGATTTCAATCGTACCCGTGTCACCAGCGTTGCCGACCTTGACGACCTGCTTCGGGTTGTTCTGGTCGTTGAAGGCCGAACCGGAACCCAAGATCACGGGCCAGACCTCGCCGACAACACGAGCGCCGGCAGGGATGGTGAGCGTGTTGGTGATCTTGTATGTTCCATGATCGATGAAGATGATCTTGCTGCACGCGAACTATGCAAGCCAGAGGTCGATTGGTACGATTCTATTATGAGGGATGGAGAGTAACTCACATTGTTGAAGACAGCTTGAAGCGCGGCAGTATCGTCGGTCGTGCCATCACCCTTTGCGCCCTGGCTGCGCACGCTCACGAACTGGCTCGCGGCGTAGGTCTGGTATTGCGGATGCGACCGGCCAAAGATTCGTCCGGCACTGTCGAGCAAACTCGCGGGCTTGCTCGGCACGGGTAGGTTCGCCTGCTGGAACGTGCCCGTCTGCGAAGTCCCCTTGAACACGTTACCTTGGCCCCAGGACTGGATGGTCGTGCTTCCCGAAGTGCCGGCCAGCACCACCGTGCCGTCGGTAACGCTGACCGCAGTCGGAACATTGTTGAGCTTGACGTTGTTGAGAACGAGCGAGCTATTGTTGGGTCGTCAGTCAAAATAGCATGGATGCGGATGACGCGCCGAAGAACGTACCCGTGAAGGGAGCCCTGGGAGTTGGTCGAGGAGCGCAAGAATATCGGCGTATTGGTGACACTTTTTGGCCGTTAGAGATAGTCGACGTCATGTAAAGACTCAAACCTACACTGCATCGATGATTGCTTCCGCGCCGACGGTCTGGTAGGTTTGGGTCAGCGTGTGAGCAGCATCCAAACGTCATCATCATACCTGGGTATCCTGGGTCAATCCACCGGTCGTAAGGTCTATGCCGACGCCACAGTTGTTGAGTGTAACCCCCTGGAATGTCCAGCCCCAGTTCCATTGCATGAAGATGCACGTCGCGGCATTGTTAACGGTGATGTTGCGGACAGTGAATTGCTGGTTTCCGAGCCAAACACCGAATTTTCCGCCGTTGAAGACAATATCTGGGGTCATGCTGAATTTAGAGCACTGAAAGAAGAGGTCCCGGAAGACTTACCGCCCATGAACCCTCCACTGCCGTTCTCCATGAAGATGCCCTGCTGCGAGTTGCCGGCAGCTGTGGACATTTCGACGACGATGTTGACGAGTGACGTGGCTTGCGAGACTTGCCAATGGATACCGGTGCCGGAAGTGGTCGGCATCTGTCGGAGGTCGATGACGAAGTTCCTCACGGAGCGGAAAAAGTTGTTCTGGTTGGTGTACCAGTTGGCGCCGCCAGCGAGGTATGGGTCCGCATCGATGACCGCGATACCAGCAAAGTTGTTCGCGGCAAGGAGAGTCGGGGGATTCTTGCTGTACGTGCGTTCAGTACGATCCTCGTTCCCGTGTCGTAGGGGAGTCGCTTACGCATCACCGATGAGCTGCGTGAAGTAGTAGGCAACGATCGGGCTCGAGACTTTGTATGTTCCGGACGGGAAGAAGACGAGCGCCGGCGTAGTCCTACACAGCCCACCGCCGATTAGCGTGGTAGTTCCGCACTATCAGCGAGCATGACGTACGTGGTAGATGGACAGCTGCCTCCTCCACATCGTCCTCCCGAGGAGATAGCATTGCTGATGCAACGTTCATACGAGATACAGTGTCGAAGAGGCTCGTATATCACTCACTTGATAGCTGCGGTATCATCGGTCACACCGTCACTGATAAGACACGTAAGCGCTCATATATTGCGAAACGAGCAGATTGCCTTACCCCTTGGCGCCGAAGTCCTTGACATTCCTGAAGACGGTGTAGCTGGATTGACCGCTGTTGGGTGCGACGCCTTGGTGGGAGATGGACTGGAGCCAGAAGGCGTCTCCAGCGGCAGCAGTTCCTGCACCGAGAGACCCGGAGCATGCCGACGTGGCCGTGCGGGCCAAGGTCAGCAGCCCGACGAGAGCTGGTAATATTGAGAACCAGAACATGGCCCGGGTCGTCAGAGAGGGGTAGGCGAGAGTGGATGGTGCACCGAGGTCTGCCCAGTGCCGAGCCCAGCGACGCCGCGCTCGTTTTTATACGCAACTGCCGATGGACGACGCCCATCGTACAGTACCAAAGTAATCGCGTTCTTGCGGACCTGCTGCCTGTCTGCCGCGTGATGAACGCCGTTGCAGGAACGAATAGGTGCATGTGATGCCCTCCATCTAAGAGACGGCTGCTTCGGGAGACTCTCGACCACTCAGGTCGAGAAATGGTCCGCAGCTTCTTCCACCGGAGTATGTTTCGCGCTTGTTGTCCCCGACGGAGGCATGCGTGCAAAGCATCACATGGGTCCGATTCAGTCAGGATGACCACTGGGCTGCGAAGATGGTTCCATTTCCATTGGTTGCCACCACGAAAGCCGGGCCTCAGGCCGGAATCACGGTCAACTTGCGAGATGCCTTCCTCGCGGTTCGGCGAAATCGCGACGGCCCAAGATAGCGCCTATGGCGCACGGAGCGGCATCAAGTATCAACCAATACTTCCAAATTGGATCATCGATCGTGAGTGCGCTTGCTTTCCGGGGAAGGATAGCTTGATGACGAGTATCTCGACGCCGAACGGGTGGTGATGAAGCCGGGTCCGGGATCCGTCAACAGGATCGTGACCTGGAGTGCATCCGTCGAGTCGTGCGCGTGGAAAGAGTTGTGATTGCGCCATGCGCGGAAGCACTTCGCTGTGAACGTTAGACTATCAGAGGTTATCGGGCTCGAGAAGCTGATCCTCTAGCTTACAGGTCCCACGTGGAGTAAGGTCCGTCGATCAGCTGGGGCTCCGCGTTGCGGGCTCTACGAGGTTCCACAACTGGGCGGGATGTATCGATTCCATCCTTGATCTCCGGTAAGCGTTCGAGTTGCCAGCCGTAGCTCATGCGCCCCGGCTCCGGATCCCGCTCAGTGCCAAGGTCTCGCTTCACGTTCGAGTTGGACTTCGCCGCCGAGCGCGCACATCGATACGAGTCAAAGATTCGGTGATGGTGGTGGGAGACGATGAACAAGATGTTCCCATTGAGCCTGGATCGTTGTGACCATGAGCGCTGAATTCGGTGTCGTCGCGGCAGGAGGAATGAATCCGGTGACGTCGGCGCGGTATGAAAAGCGTCCTGGTGTCACGGGTCTGATGACGACCAGTCCAGCGATGATATTCTCAAGATCTATATATGTTGACGCCAACTACGTGCTTACGTCGAACGCCGTGGAGCATAGAACTCGATGTTCGCAAGGATGGCAAGACCGAACCCGTACTCTGCCTTGCGTTGTCTACGCGCCCCTTGCAACCTGGCAGATACAGACTTGATACAAGAGGAACTCACGCACTTGCTAGATCTGCCGCATTACTTATACCCAGGAATGGCTCAAAGAACTGTGCCGGGTGCAAATATGTATCACAACGTGATCAAGCTCGGCGGCGTCGACCGGCAGGGGGTAGCCACAGACGTTATTCGTTATCCTCGATGATGCATCTCTTGAGCTGCGATAGAATATGCTCAAAACTTGGAGGTCTGAGCGGTGGCTGCCGCCAACATTGAACCATCGATGCCCACATCCTGTTTGTCATCAAGTTGCCATTCGGACTGACACCCAACGGTCGCGGCGGGGCCGAATGGAGGATGACGGCAAAATAATGTATCATACGGTGGACATCGCCAGGCGATCCGTGTTGCTGGGTGAAAGGCTGACGACGTCAGGGCCAGTCGTCGATTGGACCGCCACCAAACGGGTGTAAGGTAACATACCTCGGTGCAGGTGCAAGCAAAAAGCCATGCGTCCATTGCGGGATCTTCATCGTAGACGAGAGGAACCCAACTGGCTTCTCCCGTTCCCGGGTATATGTTGTGGTCAACGGCAGACTCACTAACGCGCGACCTTGAATATCGATCAAAATTTGCGATTAGGACTTCGGATCAGCCTGCTGTCCCGACGCTGTGTGACGGGAAAAGTAGCTTACGCAGCACAAGTTCTTGTGTATTATGCCTTTCAAATGCAGATACTGAAGAGCAACCGCCGCTTCGTACAACTTGAAATTGTCCCATTAGCATTCGATTTGTGTGCGCCAAGGAGATTCATACTAGCTGACATATGCCTCTGTTCGGCAAGCGTGCGGTAGATATCCAGGCAAGCATATCACCGTTCGGCGTCGATGGGATGACAATACCCGACACAGCAGATGCCACGTCGTCGGCGCAAGGGGGAACGAATCCAAGAAAAGGAAGAATGTGACGGTGATCCAAGCGCCACCACGTAAGGATGTCGCGATGGAAAGGCTGAAGCTGAGGTTGCATCAGTGAGATTAAAACGAGATCAAGAACGTAATTGCCTCTTGCATGAAACGCCCGTCTTCGCGTCTCGTTTGATACCAGCGAATTGCCACAGGCATTCCTTTCAGGACTGCAACATAGTGATGATGGAAGCCGCCCGAGGTATCACGTTCGCCTTCTCCCGTTGTATGCCCCAAATCGAGTAGAAGGAGCGACGACGGGATGTGGAGGGATTTCGACTAAAGCTCAGCCAAAACTTTTACAATTTGGTCGCTGACTGTTTCGTCCTTTTCCATGACAATTTGGAGCGCCTAATGTCGAAAGTATCAGCGTCCATTCTTTCACACATGGATAGAGATCCCACATACGCCATACAACGACTCAAGAGCAGAGCTGGTCGGCGGGGAAGAAGAGCGTATCGGCCGTCTAATGGTAGGGATGCAAGGAGATCTGCACTATCTCGCGTATTACTACGCAGACCAAGATGATAAGGATATCATTACATGATTTGTGAGCAGGAAATTTAAACACGCACATATTGGGATGCCTCCTTGCATTTGATATTGCAGTTCAGTGACAGCTTGCATCAACGTTGAGCAATCTGTAGCAATGAGGTCCATCGAGGGCATCCGATATTTCAACCTCACGTCGTGAGCACTGCAGCGGTCGTCGCGAACTCCGGATGTGCTCCAAGACGGGCTCTTGCAACTTGTAGCAGCATTGAATCCGTTCGTTATCCAGACATCGGTGCAGGAAGACGGTCAAAAACCGGGCCACTGCGGCGTTCGGCCCTCGCCCAGGACGTTCCCCAGCTGCGGCCAGCAGCTTTGTGACTGCCACTCCTCCCTTGCTCATAGCCTTCCCGAGTACGCGCCCTGGACCGGACCGGTCGGTTCCTCGTGCTGTCGGTGCCGGAAGCGATGGAAAACCGACGGTTATCCGACCAGAATGACATCCTCTGGCTGGGCAAGCCAGCACACTGGTTATTCTGAGTCGACCAGGCGTTGGCCTCGAATGCCATTTTTTGAAGGACGTGAAGGAGCAGAGCAAATTATATGAGGAGGGATGCGAAGTTCGTGATCCAGAATAGCACCAGCCTCGTGTTCTGAAGGCAATGAAAACCAATAATAAGTTGCCTGAACCCGCGGAACTAGGCACAACTCGCACCTGTGCATCGATACGTTTGCAGCGCGTGGTCTGTACTGACTGACATCGAACCCTAGAGCTCATATAGATAACAAAACCAGTAGTCGAAGCCGCTTCGTTAACATTTGTCTGGATTTGGCGCGGCGAGTCCCCTATTGAAGTTGAGTGCGTGCCGCCATACTTAGGAATCCGAGCTGGCGGAATGTGCGATGCCGCCATGCATCGCTTTGGCAGCTCATATGGGGATCAGGGAATCTAAAGTTGAGCCGAGATCCCAGGGTGTGGTAGTCATATGTTGCGCTTGCGAGCACTGCGAGCGGATAGGATAACGTCGTGATTGTACTGTGCGGCGACGTAGCAGCCAGTGCCATGCGATATGGTTCACCTTACTAGAGTTTAAGAGCAAAATGCTCCTAGTTGCGGGTGAGTCCAAGGCTTAGGTTGTCATAAACAACCCCTGCTTGCGAGATGTCAAACTTGCTTCATTCTGCTGAGGCGTCTGTTATCCACATCCACGACCACAATAACGGGGTTGAGAGCAAAGACGTTGACTAAAAATATCAGATTATGCACGAGGGGTATCAAGGTCAACTGTCGAAGAGCTCGAGGACCGTTACTGTGAGAACGTTCTGTTGTTCGACGACATGCTGGCGATGCCGCCCGACTACGACCATCAGATGTTCATCGCTGCTGGCTATTCTCGACAAGGCTGTGCAGGGCCTCCTGGAGGGGGGTTCATTCGAAACTCGGAGGGTCGCCATCCTCATTGATGCATCGCACAAGCTCCTGCAGAATTCTTGCAAAACTGGGGGGTATGATGGGCGGTTGCTGCCAACACTGGACCATCAATGTCCACAGCCTATCCGGTATCAAGTTGCCGTTCGGAGAGACAGCCAGGGGTCTCGGCGGCGTAGAACCAAGTATGATGGCGAAATAGTGAATCATACGACGGACGTCGCCTGCTAGCACCTGTTGCTGCGTGAATGCCTGCTCATCATCAGCGTTAGCGCCTTGAGTTCTCTTTTGCATTAATGTCGGTTGACGCACCTCGAAACAGGTGCAAGCGAAAAGCCAAGCATCGATGGCCGGATGTTCTTCGTACGAGAGAGGTGCCCAATGGTATATCCCCAAACTATTCCTCGCCCACGGGTGTTGGCTGGTCAAAGCCAGACCCACCTGCGCACGTCCTTGCAGATCAATCGAGATTGCTGACTGACATTTCCGATCAGCTAGTCGTTAGGGTATGGAACGGAAGTACGTTGGCTCACACAGCACAGGTTCTTGTGTATGATACCTTGCGAATGCAGATACATAAGGGCATCAACTACCTCACGCAGCTTGATACTGAGCATGAGCCTCCAGTGTACATGTACGAGGCAGAAACCATACCATTTGGCATATGCCTCCATTTGACAAATGTTCACTCATGATCCAATCAAGCAGATTGCCATTTGGACTCGACGGGGTAACGATTCCCAGCATTGTACACGAGGCAGCATCAACGTGAGGGGCATCGAGTCCAAGAAGCGGGACAACGTGAGGATGATCGAGTTGTCGCCACTTGAGAATTGTGCGATAGAAAGCCTGGACTCAACGTCAGTAAAAAAGACAACAGCGTAATTATAAGGATTATTACCTTCTGTAAGGGACGTCCGTCTTTATGCCCGGTTGAGTAACAACGCAATTCAACCGGCATTCCTTTCCAAACCGCAGCAAAGTCGTGACTAAATACGGCCGATGGCTCGTTTCCAATCTTTTCAGCAGAGTGCTCCAAGTCAAGCACTGGCAGGCACGACGGAATGCGACGGGACTGGAACCACAGCTGAGTCAATGTCTCCAGAACGTCGTCGCTAGCTGTTTCGTCCTTCTCCATGACAAGTTGCAACGCCTGTATAATCCGTTAATCTGAATACTTCATGAACAGATGATGACATCGACATACGTCATACAGCGAATCAATAGCAATTTCCAGTTCCATCGCGCGGATATAGAGGGCTGGTCGGTGGGTGAAAACAGCGTAGCGGCTGTCCAGTGCCAGCGAGTCAAGGATATTTACGCTACCGTGTGACAGAGCTATGACGGCCGACACGATAAGTACGTGAATGACGGGCTCGAATACATTCTGGGTGCGCACCGATTGCCGTGGCCCCTTGCATTCGATATTGCAGCTCGATCAGGGCTTGCATTAACGGCGAGCGATCTGCGGCGACGAGACTCGTGGAATTGATCCTGTATTCCAAGCAAGCTTCGAGCTTGTGTATCGAGCGCAGCTGAAGTCGACACTGCGGCCCCAACAACTCGGCGAATGCAGCGAGGTAGTACACAGCTGCGAGCACATTCTCAACAGCGCCATCGTGACTGGAGATACGATTGGTATAGTCAGATTGACAGCCGTACAGATTTCGATAACGCGCCTCACCGGATAGCATCAATCAGCCTCTCGCACAGTCCCTGGAACAATCGTCTACTATTGGAGTCAACTTCGGACTCGAGAAGAATGCCACCGTCCTCTGGTAGGCCAAGGAGAGCATCCTGTAAGTGGGACAGGCACTGTACACAAGATAATCGACGAAAATAGTCCAAGATTCGCGAACACTGAGGTGGTCGTCGTGAACCACGGAGGTCCTCGTAGACGACGTGTTGCGTGTCGAAACAACATTCGAACTGCGCTGTGTCCAGAGATCGGCGTAGGAAGCGGGTCAGGAAGCGGGCTACTGCAGCACTTGGCCCTCTCCCCAGACGTTCTCCAGCTGCTGCCAGAAGCTTCGTGATAGCGCCCCCTCCCCTGCTCATGGCGTTTCCCAACACGCGTCCGGGTCCGGCCCGGTCGCTCCTCGTGCTGTCGGTCCCGGAGACGATAGAAAACCGACTGTTATCCAACCAGGACGGACTCCTATTCAATCCGGCGACTTGGGTCGACCAAGCGCTCGACTCCAATGACATGTTGAGGGCGTTCAAGAAGCAAAACGAGGGAGCGGTACGAAGAGGGAAAGGAGCTTGTCGTCGAACATCGCCACAGGCTTGAACGTTGAACCCTGTTATACCATGCTCTCCAAAGCTGTGGAAGCCGATAGACGCGATACTGCCATGAATCCCAGAAGAAGCTAGTATTCCCTAAGTTACGTATTCCGCCAAGAGTCGCCGAGAGTCGCACCTACGCGTTGCTCCGTTCGCGTCGCGTGAAGCTACATATGTCGCGCCCGTCTCCCGTCGGCTCTTGTCCGAACTTGAACACGACGGGGGGCGAGGGCTCGACCCTGCTTGGTCGAACAGACGAGCGGTGCAATGATGCCACATCACGTCAGGCGTCTCGAAAGCCCATCTTGATCAGGGCAAACAAGGGAAGCTTGAGGCCGAATCTGCAACCGCAGGTGGCAGCGCACAACGTCCAATCCGTATCTGTGCCCGTGATCCGTCGTGCCATGGTATCCGGTTTAGCGCGGAGGAACGAGCCGTTATTGTAGCTGTTTGTTGACGGTGCTACATGGGCCGGTTCTCAGTCTTGTGCAAGGGTCGTGGTGGTCGAGTGCAGGAGGCGCGCGCTCAGCGCACCCAAAGCTCATGGCTTACCAATCTCAGACGTGTTATCATCGACGTCCTTAAATCTCACTCAACGTCGAAGCGATAGAGATGCAAAGAGAAATGTATTCTAAGCGTGAATAATATAAATATACTACATTGCGGTGCGTTTTGTCAATGCGTAGCGATCATGAGAGCAGAGGCGATCAGAATACAGCACGAATCCCAAACCGATCCCTTAGTCGACTTCCTCGACGCTCGGGCCATCCTCGCCCGCAGGAGCGCCTCCAGGGAAGCCGCCTGGTGCGCCGCCAGGGAAGCCGCCGGGGGCGCCACCCGCCGCACCGTAGAGCTTCTGCATGATGGGGTTGGCGATGCCCTCGAGCTCCTTTTGCTTCTCCGCGTACTCCTCCTTCGACGCCTCCTGCGAGTTGTCGAGCCATTGGATCGCCTCGTTGACGGCGTCCTCGAGCTTCTTCTTGTCGGCGGCGTCGAACTTGTCCGCAAGCTGCGAGTCGTTGATCGAGTTGCGGAGGTTGTATGCGTACGACTCGAGGCCGTTCTTCGCCTGGATGCGCTCCGCAGCGGCCTCGTCCTCGGCCTTGTACTTCTCGGCTTCCGAGACCATGCGCTCGATCTCCTCCTTCGACAGACGGCCCTTGTCGTTGGTGATGGTGATGCGGTTCGACTTGCCGGTGGTCTTGTCGGACGCGGAGACGTTGAGGATGCCGTTCGCGTCGATGTCGAAGGTGACCTCAATCTGAGGGACACCGCGAGGCGCGGGGGGGATGCCGGAGAGCTCGAACTTGCCGAGCAGGTTGTTGTCCTTCGTCCGCGCACGCTCACCCTCGTAGACCTGGATAAGCACGCCGGGCTGGTTGTCGGCGTATGTCGAGAAGATCTCCGACTTCTTGGTCGGCACGGTGGTGTTACGCTTGATAAGGGCGGTCATGACACCGCCGGCAGTCTCGATACCAAGGGATAGAGGGGCGACATCGAGGAGGAGGAGGTCCTGGGTCTTCTCGGAGGTGTCGCCGGTGAGGATGGCGGCCTGGACGGCGGCACCGTAGGCGACAGCCTCATCGGGGTTGATGCTCTTGTTCGGCTCCTTGCCATTGAAGAAGTCGGACACGAGCTTGATGATACGGGGGATACGGGTCGAGCCGCCGACGAGGACGATCTCGTGGACGTTCGCCTTGTCGATCTTCGAATCGCGAAGGACCTTCTCGACGGGCTCGAGCGTGGAACGGAAGAGGTCTTGGCACAACTCCTCGAAGCGGGCACGGGTGATGGAGGTGTAGAAGTCGATGCCCTCGAAGAGCGAGTCGATCTCAATCGAGGTCTGGGCGGCGGAGGAAAGGGTGCGCTTGGCACGCTCGCAAGCAGTGCGGAGACGGCGGAGGGCGCGAGGGTTGGAGGAAAGGTCCTTCTTGTGCTTCCGCTTGAACTCCTGGACGAAGTGGTTAACGAGTCGATTGTCGAAGTCCTCGCCGCCCAAGTGGGTGTCGCCGGCAGTCGCCTTGACCTCGAAAATGCCCTCCTCGATCGTCAGAAGGGAAACATCGAAGGTTCCTCCTCCGAGATCGAAGATGAGGACGTTTCGCTCGCCCTGAACCTTCTTGTCAAGACCGTATGCGATGGCGGCAGCAGTAGGCTCGTTGATGATACGGAGGACGTTGAGACCGGAGATAGTACCCGCGTCCTTCGTCGCCTGACGTTGGGAGTCGTTGAAGTAGGCGGGGACGGTGACAACGGCGTTGGTGACGGTGCCGCCGAGGTACGACTCCGCGGTCTCCTTCATCTTGACGAGGACCATGGACGAGATCTCTTCAGGTGACTACAAAACAGGAGTGAGCGTCGTGTGGAAGACGCTAGAGGAGAGGGGCAACTTACGAATTCCTTAGTCTCGCCGCGGTACTCAACCTGAATGTACGGCTTGCCACCCTTCGAGAAGACCTTGAAAGGGTAGTGCTTGATATCGGCCTGCACCTCGGGATCGTCGAACTTGCGGCCGATAAGACGCTTCGCGTCGAAGACGGTGTTATGGGGGTTCATCGCGACTTGGTTCTTCGCCGCATCGCCGATGAGTCGCTCATTGTCGGAGAACGCGACATATGATGGTGTTGTCCGGTTACCCTGGTCGTTGGCGATGATCTCGACTCGATCATTTTGCCAGACACCGACACAACTGTAGTAAATACGATTTAGTACGCAAGTCGCGATGGTTGACGGCGAAGGGAGGGAAACTTACGAGTAAGTGGTACCCAAATCGATACCGACGGCCTTCGTCATTTTCGTGGATTAAAAAGGGTATGAAAAGGTAGAGCGGATAGGAGGGATAGAGAGCTTGGTCGTAAGAGTCGTTGATAAACGAATTGCGATGAGGATCGCAGCCCCGCCCAGGTTCTTATATCGGTTTGCATTTCTGAACCGTTCGTCGACGTTCCCAGAAGTTCGAGCACATTCCAAGGCAAATTATGACGCCCAAGAATCACGTGACACAGGACAGCCACTTGTCGCGCGTCCCAGCGCTTACGCGCCAGTCGTTCGTCCTGAATCTCGAAGCTACGCCAGCTTCCACGAAGGGCCAAGGATCGACCACAACAATCTTGCTCTCCCGATGATACGGCTCAGGAATGCATGGTTACTGTTCTCTGCTCTATCGTCCATTGTTCCCGATATACCCGAAGATTCTAACTTGAACTAGGTGCACCGTGATGAATTCAAGCGTGTTGTCATCCCGAACGTCATCATGCTCGTTTCTGCTCATCGACACTCGAACCCTCTAGATGCGCTTACTCGCCGTGAAACTTGAGGTCTTGGGCGTTCGCTGCTTCATGCTGTCTTGTTTCTTGTCGATTCAGGATATCACCGGCTGGCGGCAACAGCACCTTCGTCGTCGTCTTACACGAGTTCACCTCATGCCCACGTTTCAAATTTCCGCGATGAGGCCGACTTGGATGGAACTAGTGCGATACGCTCGTGAGCGGTAAGCACACCTCTCGTTTGGGGGACTGATAGCGATCCGTGCTGACTCCGCACATCGCCGGTCAGATTCAGCAGGCGGAACGAGTGATAAGCTGTTCTGTCGACGATGAGAACCTGGAAAAGGTATTACTCGTGCGTTTGTTACAATCAGAGCCGATGCTCGGGCTGTCATAAGGTCGGACCCGTTTGCGCGCGAACGTGCCGGTGGTAGTGCTCACGGCCTAGGCCCAGCAAGCTGCTGTCGTTATGTATCGTCCTTCATGCACATGCCGCAGATGCCGTAACGTTCTTCCATGTCATGATACAAGCAATCGCGGATCCATCCTTGCTCTCCGGACCATCGGCAACAATCCAGGCCAGTCGTCTGCAGAATAGTTCCTGTTTTCACATTTTGTGCCTGTCCATAATAAATCCATCCATTGTGCGAGACGTATTGACGGTACAAATGCTATGTAGTCATGTATGCAAAGGATGGAGAGACGATTATCGTAGTCATCGCAGTTGCGAAGACAATCGCGACTAGTCCAACCATGCAAGACAACGAGACGGACATATCCTCAAGCCCAAGACGGGCTTGAAGAGAACCGTAGCGCTGAAATCCATATTCCACAGTGTTGACTCGTTAACCGGCAGCAGGACAGCGGAAAGGCTGTTGGAGGCTGAGCTCCCTGCCGAGACAATTTAAGGGACCGTGGGTCTGCCATATAAGCAGCGATAGGAGTAGAAGGTCCTGGAGCTGTTTCGACGGAACGCGAAATTGCTCTAGGGCCACCAACCGCCACCGCGGGAGGGCCATCGAAACAAGGATGGCCATGGAGGTGACGAAAAGAAAAAGAGAAACACGCGCCGGGGTTCACGGCCGTGAGCTTTGTCACGCCCTCCATTACGTTCTCAGCCGCGTCTACCTGCACTACGCTCTCCCGTACCCAAGATCGCCCTGATATACCTTACAAATCCCTTAGTTGCATGATACAACGCTCGCCCGCGTGCTAGCCTCTACCATTTGTTTGGAATCCTTGCCCAGGAAAGTACCATGGATGTTCTAGATGAGAAGACGAACGGCGGACCGCCCATGGAGGTGGACGAGATTGTCTCCGTGAGGGATGGTGCGTGTTGGTCTACGGTCTCAGCGGGGCTTTAGTTGGCTGATACATTGGATGTTCTATCAGAGGAGGCGTTCGCGGCGAAGCACATGCCTGATCTCGGACACGAAGTGAAGGAAATGAAAGTATTCCACTGGAGGTTGACGAACTGGAAGAAGTTGGAGAAGAAGCTCACCAGTCCCGAGTTCGAGTGTGGCGGGCATAAGTGGTCAGTACTCGTCCGTACCATCCTTCGCATACACATGTTCATTCGTATCACTCGTAAGGCGAATATTGCTCTTTCCCTTCGGCAACTCGAACGCACCGCCGAACGATACCGTGTCCGTATATCTTGACTACGCGAACCCAAAAGGCGCGCCCGAAGGCTGGCATGCCTGCGCCCAGTTCGCGCTGGTTATCTCCAACATTCACGACCCCACGATCTACACAGTCAGCCGTGAGCGCACCTTGTCACATGCGTTACGTCAGGTGTTGATATCGCCCTGTTAGATGCGCATCACCGCTTCATCGCCGAGGAATGTGATTGGGGCTTCACCCGCTTCAGCGAGCTGCGGAAACTCTTCACCGTCGCTGAAGGGCACACACGTCCGACAATCGAAGATGACTCCGCCGAGGTGTCCGTCTTCGTCCGTGTCCTGGAAGATCCGACTGGTGTGTTATGGCACAACTTCGTCAAGTATGTTTTCCGACTGTGTTCCTGCCTATCCCTAATCAATTGATCCCCATCCAGCTACGACTCGAAGAAGGAGACCGGATATGTTGGCTTGAAGAACCAGGGTGCCACTTGCTACATGAACTCGCTATTGCAGTCGCTGTATTGCACACGATATTTCCGACGAGTACGTGCTGGCCCGCTTATCTCTATGCTTTGACTTGAGCGCCATACTCTAGGCCGTCTACCAAATACCTACAGAGGATGATCACCCAACGGAAAGCGTACCTTTAGCATTACAACGAGTGTTCTATCACCTGCAAACATCGGATCAACCTGTCGGTACGGCGCTCTGATAATCAGCTGATATAGCTCATAACGTTATGACTTCTCAGGAACCACGGAGTTGACTAAGTCCTTTGGATGGAAATCGCTCGATTCCTTCTTGCAACACGACGTACAAGAGTTCAACAGAGTGCTGCAGGATAAATTAGAGGCGAAAATGAAGGTACGTCAATCGAACATGTGCTCCGACGCCTGCTCAAATGAAACAATCCGCAGGGCACGAAAGCAGAAGGTGCCATCCCCAAGCTTTTTGTCGGGAAGATGAAAAGCTACATCAAATGTGTCAATGTCGACTACGAGTCCTCCAGGGTTGAGGAGTTCAATGGTAGGAACCGAGGACCGCGCTTGCCTACGTGTACTAAATATAGGACATGTCAGACATATCACTCAACGTGAAGGGCATGAAGAATCTGTACGAGTCCTTCAAAGACTACGTAGCTGTCGAAACCTTGGATGGAGAGAACAAGTACCAAGCGGAAGGGTATGGACTTCAGGATGCCAAGAAGGGTATCATATTCCAGTCCTTCCCGCCCGTCCTCCATCTGCAGCTCAAGCGTTTCGAGTACGACATTCAACGCGATGCCATGGTCAAGGTAAGCCATTTCCCACTTGTGCATGTTGTGCGCATGTGCTGATCAGCGTGGCAGATTAACGACAGGCACGAGTTCCCGTTCGAGATCGACCTGGCCGAGTTCCTCGACGAGACCGCGGATAAGTCCCAATCATGGGTCTACAAGCTGCACGGCGTCCTCGTTCACTCTGGAGATCTTCATGGTGGCCATTACTTCGCCCTCATCAAGCCTGATCCGGAAACTCGGTGGTTGAAATTCGACGATGATCGGGTGACGCCGGTGACGGATCGGGAAGTACTAGAGGAAAACTATGGCGGCGAAGCGATGAACGGCATTCCGACGGTTCAGCGGAACCAAGTGAGGGCCATGAAGCGGTTCACGAACGCATACATGCTGGTATACATCCGGGAAAGTGCTATTCCCGAAGTGCTAGCCCCCTTCACGGAGGAGGACACGCCAGCCCATCTCAGTATGTTTTTCTTTCCCGACGATTCACCAGAGCCATCACTCACAGGTATCGCTAGAACGACGGTTGGACGAAGAACGCTTGCAAATGGAGGCCAAGAAGAGGGAACGCGAGGAACAGCACCTGTTCCTCACTGCCAAGGTAACGTCAATTTTCACACTGGACTACGCCCGCCTGTTCAACTTGTTCGCAGGTCATCACCGATGAGACCTTCTCACACCACGAAGGCTTCGACCTCGCCACGTTCGACGAGAAGAACTGGCCACCATCCGATCTCCCCAGTTTCCGTGTCTTGAAGACCGAGACGTACAGCACGTTCAAGAGCCGCGTCGCCCAACATTTCACTATCCCTGAGAACCAAATCAGATTATGGGTGCTGGTAAACCGGCAGAACAAGACTGTCCGCCCTGATACTTCAATCCCCGACAACGAGCCGTCACTGAGTGCGTCTTCCCCTGTCCCTTGTGAACGCAGCCTAATGCCGAGGTAGATGTGGAGCTCATTCGGAACAACATGGCCGCAAGGCAGAATGACCTACGGCTCTACCTCGACATCATCCCAGATCCCGCAAAGCCCGAGATACCACCTGGCCACATCATGATCTTCCTCAAGCACTTCGACACGTCAAAGCAGACACTCTACGGCGTGGGCAAGCTGTACGTCTCCAGAACCGCGAAGGTTTCGGATCTATATCCCTTGATCAACGAGCGTATGCGATGGGCACCAGAGACGCCGTTAAAGCTTTATGAGGTACTTAGTGACTCGAGACGCTCATCGTTCACTCGCTAATCTGAATGGGAATATAGGAAATCAAACCCGGCATGATCGAGCTCATGAAGCCCAAGATGACTTTCGCGCAGAGCGAAATCCAGGATGGTGACATCATTTGCTTCCAGGTTGACATGCCGGAGAAAGAGTAAGGATTCGCACACCTTCCCTTGACTGCGCGCTCATCTTTTCCCTTCTTACAGGTTCCACGACCTCGAGATCCAGGGTCTTTACTCGAACCCCATCCAATATTATGACTTCCTGCAAAACCGGGTGATGATTGCGTTCCGGCCGAAGTTCGAAGAACCGAGCAAGGACTGTCCTGAGTTCAGCCTCATCCTCAGCAAGAAGCAGAACTACGACGTCGTGCGTATTCCTCCGCGCGAGTCCGTTGACACTGACACGACTGACACGTCGGATTTATTCCCTAGATGTCGACGAAAGCCGGCGAGTACCTCCGGCACGACCCGATCAAGCTCCGCTTCACGACCACGCACTCGAACGGCTCGGCCAAAGCGGTGCTCAAACGCTCGTTGAATCCGTCCATCTCGGAGATCATGCAACCGAACTACGTGAGCCCGTCGACGACGACGATTTTGTACGAGAAGCTCGACGTGAGCATCGTCGAGCTCGAGACGAAGCGCTCGCTCAAGGTGACCTGGACCGGGATTCACAACAAGGAAGAGTCGACGCATCCGTTCCTGCTGCCGAAGACGAGCAGCGTGTTCGAGCTCGCGGACCAGATCGCGAAGCTCGTCACGCTCACGCCGAACGGTACGGGAAAGATAAGGGTGTTCGAGGTGTCGAGGGACGGCAAACAGCAGAAGGAGTTCACCGGATCAGAGATGATCGGGAACTTCCCTGATCCTGTCGAGCTCTTTGCTGAGGTGCGTCGCGTTACGTACATCCGCATAAACAAGGATGTCTAATGTTCTGCTCGTATATTCAGGAAATACCTCGGGAGGAAGCGGAAGCGGACGAGAATGACAAGGTCATTAGTGTCTTCCACTTCTCTAAGGATGTCTCGCGAACCCATGGTGTCCCCTTCAAGTTCGTCGTCAAGCCGGTGAGCAATCTTAGCTATGAATAGAGTCGTGAACCGTGGCTAATCCGACGTCTTCCTAGGGCGAGAGATTCTCGGAGACGAAGAAGCGTTTGCAGGCGCGCATTGGTGTATCAGACAAGGAATTCGCGAAATACCGATTCGCCCTTATCCAAGTGGCGACGTTCAAGCAGCCCTCGTTCATCGAAGACGGTAAGCTCGGATGCCGCTGAAATCCTCGCTCTGTATCTGATGCTCGTTGCGTCTCCAGAGGACATCATCTACGACCACAAGTTCGCGCCCGAAGACTGCCTCGGCTTGGACCACGTCGACAAGTCGGGCAAGACGCGTGGGGGCTCGGGCGAGAAGGCGATCGTCATCCGGGGCTGAGGCACAAAGTCGCTTCGCAACGCTGGAATATCATCGCTACCGAGGAATACGTCTAATGTGCTCTTGGCTCTTCGCCCGTCCTGCGACCTGTTTTGCTCGAATCGTCGGAAGAGGGCTGTGTGGGACTGACAGACGAACGATCGAACCGGGAACGCGCTCTGGCAAACACGTATCCCCTTACTCTACAGTCGGCTCGCTTCATTTTCTCAGATTATGTTATCACTGTACTGTCGCCCGCATGTCCCAAGTTTTTCTCAAACCTGTAAAATGGAGTGGTTGGCCCCGGAAGCTCAATGGACTCCGATATTAAGCGTGCGCATGCAAAATAAGGCTGCCATATTACACCTATGGATAGTAAAGAATGTCGAAGTACGCGATCTACGTTTACTTTCTCTTCTTTCCCTTCTTGCCCGACTGAAATCAAGTCTCAGCGTGGGCTCGCGACATGCACCAAGATGATGCACTCACCTTGGCTTTTGAGGGTGTAGAGGGAGCCGACGCCTCACCATCACTTGACGCAGCTACGCTTTCAGTTTTAGCACCGGTAGGCGACAAAAGACCATTCACATGTTCAGAGGCAGCGGGTGCTGAGGGGGTGGCAGGCGCTGAGGGGGTGGCAGGCGCTGAGGGGGTGGCAGGCGCTGAGGGGGTGGCAGGTGCAGGCGTGGAGGGTGTGGCGGCGGCAGCGACGGATTTCTGGAGGTCCGCCGCCGTCAATGGAGGCCGTTGCTTGGCCTTCTTTCCATACAAAAGCTCTGTGTAAACGTTACAGTCAGCACGCCACGCAGGGGTATAGGACCGCGCTGGGCTAGCTGACCTTTCTCCGTTCGCGCGGCGGGCGTGTTCTCCATCAGGCCCCGCATCTTCTCGTTCGCGATCATCTGGCTGGCGGTCTCGAAGATGATGGTGCCCCAGCCGTCGACGAACGAGTTGGCCTCGGCGACGACCTCCATGATCTCCGCCTCGAGCTCCTTCTCGGCCGCGAGCAGGCTGTTCCAGAAGTCGTCGCCGATGGAGCCCTTCTGGAGCAGGTTTTGGAGCGCGGGTTTGTCCTCGCGGATGCGGAGGACGCGCGCGACGTCGGCCATGGCGCGCCGGACGAGGGCGGCTTTGAGGATCGGGTCCGGCGTCGGTGGATCTTGCCGCTGGAGAAGGGTGACGTACGTGTCGCGTTCTGGGTGCGACGGGAAGTAAGGGTCGATGAATTTGGCTGCAAGTACGGCCGAAGAGCAGAAGAAAGGACTTTCAGCGTGGTATTGAAACGGTGATCGGAGCGGGATTGCGTACTGGCTAGACGTTTGCGGTATAAGGTGCTGAAGACGAAGAGTCCGCCGAATACGATGATAACGTAGAGAACGGGGACGAGGATGCTCGCCATGGCGGACGAAGGAACGGAGCTCTCAGCAAGCAGGCCAGCGGCGGTCTGAGTGAGCTGGCGCGCCAGCGCGATTCATCTCACATCTTAGTGGCCACGTGGTTTAGCACAGCCCCCACCGGTGACCCGGGAAGCTTTACCCCGCATTTGTCCCGCCGGCGGGGGCAGCCTTTCAACCTTGTGACCTCAGATCAGGGTGTTAGAAGCTCGGCCGACACTCAGGAGCGTGCGAGGCATGTCTTGTGATACTGTTTGACTGACCTCCTTCTCCGACTACGACCATGTTCAGATCCGTTTCTGCCCGCAATGTTCGTACGGCCGTACGCTCGTTCTCGGGCGCGCAGGCGTTGCAAAGACGATGCGCGTCGACCAAGGTGACTATCCCTTGCGCCTCGCCGAGCACGGTATCAGTGAAATGCGAGTACTGACGCGGAACGGTGGGCGGCCAGACGTTGAGGGAGACGCTGCAAGAGGTTGTACCTGCTAAGCAGGAGGCCCTCAAGAAGCTCCGGGCTGAGCACGGCTCTGCCGTCGTCGGCGACATCAAGGTCGAGAACATCATCGGTGGCATGCGCGGGCTGAAGAGCATGCTCTGGGAGGCGTCCGTCCTTGACCCGAATGAGGTCGGTCCGCAATCCCTCTCCTTACAGTGGTCGACTCACTTGTATCTAACGCGAATTTGTTAGGGTATTCGTTTCCATGGGCTCAGCATTCCCGACTGCCAGGGCAAACTCCCGGCTGCGCCGGGTGGCAAAGAGATCCTCCCGGAGAGCATGCTATGGCTCCTGCTCACCGGACAGATCCCAACGGAGGCCCAGGTCCGTCAGCTCTCCGCGGAGCTCGCGGAACAGGGCGAGCTGCCCGCACACATCGAGAAACTCGTCGACTCGTACGTCCCATGCAGATGTGTAGGATGTCGGATTGATCGACTCTGCATTATGTTCAGGCTGCCAACGACCCTGCACCCGATGACCCAGCTCGCCATCGGCGTCGCCTCGATGAACCACGACTCCAAGTTCCAGGCGGCGTACGAGAAGGGCATGAAGAAGTCCGAGTACTGGTCCGTCATGCTCGAGGACTGCATGTCGCTCATCGCCAAGCTTCCCGCCCTGGCTGCGCGCATCTACCGCAACGTGTACAAGCCCGAATTGCCCGCCCCGAAGGTGGACAAGAACCTAGATCTCATCGGTGAGGGTTGGCGTTGAAGCGTGGGTCGTGCGAGATGATCAACTCCGACCTTGATTCACAGGGAACTACGCGGCCATGCTTGGCTACGGAGGTATGTTGCCATAATATTCATCCACTGCTAAGCTGACAGTGGGTTTGCAGACAACAAGGACATGACCGAGTATCTCCGGTTATACATCGCCATTCACGGCGATCACGAAGGCGGAAACGCTTCTGCCCACACCGCTCGTACGTGTTTAGAACGGTCTCCCCAAGGAATACAGAGCTTACGGGTATCTAGACCTGGTCGGTTCGACGCTATCTGATCCTTTCATCAGCTACTCCGCCGCGCTTTGTGCTCTTGCTGGACCCCTGCACGGGTATGTTGGCTCTCGCACACCTACCTGAGAATCAGTGGTTAGACCAAGCGTCACTTCGACAGCCTCGCCAACCAGGAAGTCCTCCGGTGGCAGATGACGATGCAGAAAGAGCTCGGGAACGAGATCACGCACGACAACATCAAGGATTACCTCTGGCGCACGCTCAAGAGCGGACAGGTCGTTCCCGGGTGAGCCAGCGTGACAACCTTGCGGCGATAGAGCGGGACGCGCACTGAACGAACCTTTCTGCGTGGATCAGCTACGGCCACGGCGTGCTGAGGAGTCCAGATCCGCGGTTCACCGCCCTCCTCCAGTTCTGCGAGACGCGGCCGGACTTGATGGCGAGCCCCGCTGTGCAACTCGTCAAGCAGGTGAGGCCCCGCAATATGTTTTCCGTCCGGAAGGAAACGCCATGTAGCTGACGCCGCCTTCTCAGACCTTCGAAGTCGCCCCCGCCGTCTTGAAAGAGCACGGGAAGGTATGCGTTTCCTGTGTGTTATTCCGAGAACTGGCCCTCGCGAGGGGTACTCACGGAATGGTTTTCTCCCGCAGACGAAGAACCCGTATCCGAACGTGGACGCCGCGAGCGGCTGCGTGCTGTACCACTACGGCCTCACCCAGTTCAAGTACTACACCGTCATCTTCGGCGTCAGCCGCGCGCTCGGCGCGCTCACGCAGCTCGTCTGGGCACGCGCGTTCGGCCTGCCGATCGAGCGACCAAAATGTGCGTTTTTTTTCTTGTTGCTTGGGTGTCCGCCCTGCTCTGCGTGGATTGGCGACGTAATGACCGCCCTGTTTGCGCAGCCGTGTCCATCGCCGAGCTCCAGAAGTTGATCAAGTAGTGGGCTTTCGAACGGAAGTTGGATTTCTTCTTTCTGCGTTGGTCGGAGGACGGAGGGTCGAAAGATATATACTGTACAACATTGATGTTTACGTGCTTAACTGACGTTTAACCTGCACGGGCTGCAGCCCGCGGCGGAGGGATGGAAGAAAGATGAGGACCCAAACTGTTGTAACCCCGAATGCGCACAAGAGATACAAGAGGAAAAAGTAAGGAAGAAGACCGATAGCGAGGTCTTTCTGAACGAGTGTGTGAGATAAACGAAGGGCTTGAGAGAAGAAGGGAAAGATATCATGTACTTAACGCTCAGTCCGGAATTTAAAAAAACGACCACAAGGACTGCAACAAACCCAGCGAGAAAGGCAACGTGAAATACGGGCCGTGCGGGTATCCCGGTACAACACAGCGAAAAGGCGTGAGGGGCCCGACTCCGCCAGCAGACGCGATCAGAACCGGCGAGGCTGCACCTGCGGCGGTGGGCCCTGCTGCATCGGCGGGCCCTGTGGCATCGGCCGTCCGCCCGGGCCTGGCGCGTAGCCCTGCGGCGGGGGTCCGCCCACGACCGGCCGCGGTCCTCCGGCGTAGCCCTGGGGAGGAGGTGCGAAGCCTCCGGGGCCGGGTCCGGGGCCGTACCCGCCGCGCCCTGGAGGGGGACCGCCGCGTCCACCGGGAGGAGGTCCACCGCGCACCATGGGTGGCGGAGCACCACGCCCCGGGCCAGGGCCGGGGGCGGGGACGGAGGCGCTGCGGGCAGGGGTGACCGCGCCGGGGTCTTGCAGTGCGACAGGGGCGGGGCGGACGGCAGGGTTCTTCTCGGCGGCTTTCATGATCTCATCACTGAGTATGAATAGGTTAGCGGTGCTGTCGCGACGGAAGAGACGAGAACTATGGAGGACTGACTCGAGGAGGTTGAGGGCGGCGCAAAGGACGACCCATTCGACGCAGTCCTCGTTGCCCTCGCCGAGCGTCTGCCAGACGGCCTTCTCCTCGGGCGTCTTGCCGGTGATGCTGATGCGCGTGCCGCCGCCGCCGGGCCCGGGCGGGTTCTTCTGGATCTTGCCAAACTCGATCCGCTTGGGCGGGATGTTGTGGCCGGCGTAGGCGAAGTAGAACATGGACCAGAACGCGGCGTTGGGGTTCGGCTTGGAGATCTGGAAGAGGGGCAGGTCCGGGGCGCCGTCCGGGGCGGGCAGCGCGAGCTTGTAGATGGGCGAGATGACGCCCGTGTTGGCGATGGACCATTTCAGGTTGCGAGAGGCTTCGCAGCGGACGACGCGGGGGTTCGAGCCGCTGGACCCTGGCCCGTGCCCGGGGTCGGAGGCGGAGGCTTTGCCGGCGCCGTGCGGCGGCGGGCGGGGCGGGAAGAGTTTGGCGACGCAGAGGTCGCCCTGGGGGGAGGGCGTCAGGAGGTAGTTTTCGGCGTTCTGCGTGAGACGACGAGGATCGGTAAGCGAGCCGGCGACCGAGCAAGGGTGCGACGTACGAAGTTGGTGTGGATGTACGAGTAGAGGATATTCTGCGGTTGGCCTGGGGAGGGAGTAGGTCATTGTTGTCCCGGGGACAAAACACGCGGGGTGCTCACCATGGGGCGTGACGATGAGGGTCGGGAGGTGGTTGGGTATCGGCGGATGGTTGGGCGAGGTGTACACGGCATAGATAGCTGGAGAGGTCGACGGTGAGACACTTGACGAGGGCTCGTTGTTCCGGAAGGACTTGCCTGCCATGGCTTGCGACCAAAAACCGCGAGCTCAGAAGGAGCGCAGCAGCCAATGAGGCGAGTAATATGTACCTGAAGGCGGTCTGGCCATTCATACGCCGATCAGCGCTCAACTAGTCGAACCGCAATGGTTTGTTGCACCTACCGGAGACGCTGAGACAAAGAAAGGGCCGGGATGTCGCTGGGTATATATTCGAGGTGAAGCGCAGGAGACCAGGAGACGGTGCTGGTTGCAGGGCAAAGGCTGTAGGGAACAAAAGTACCGCAACAGGCGCCGAAGCCGAGCCCGCAGGCGGGGCGTGACACGGCCAGTGACTGCATCACGCATTCTTCAACGTTGCATCGATTGGGGCAGTAGACTCGTTAGCCACTCCCTCCTCATCGCGCACAACGGCCCAGACACGGCTCATACACCATTTGTCAGTCGACGGGCGCGACTAACACAGCATGAAGGGACTCAAGAAGACCCTGGTGCGCGCCGCCAGCCTCCGTATCGCGAACCCGCCTCGCTCACTCCGCGATTGCGCCCCCTTCTAATAAGCAGCTTAGCCGCACCAAATCCCAGGATTCGGCCTCGTCCAAGAAGGACGCCAAGGCCTCTAGCGCAGCGGCAGCGGCAGCAGCAGCCGCCCCGCCGCCGCCCATCGCGAAGCCGCTCCCGCGGCCCATCTCCGCGTCGAGCAGCCTGAGCGACGGGAGCAACGGCGCGCCCGCAAGGACGGGCTCGCAGGCGCCGCCTCCGGCCCCTGACCGTCGATACGCGCAAGATAAGACGCAGCCTGCGCCCCCGATCGTCGTCGTGCCCGACCCCGCCGACGCACGAGGCGGCGGCGGTTTTGGCTCGCCCGAGCGGCCACCCGTCGGCCTCAGCAGCGAGGCCACACCGCCGCGCGTCAACGCGCTCAACCGTCTCAGGAGCCCTAAAGACACTATCCCGATTGTGGGCAAGCCGCCCCGCAAGCAGCGCAGCAGCCGCTTCGTGCCGAACGAGAAGGTCGAGATCGAGCGGCTGCCGCCGTTTATGGGTCAGTCGCGCCCCTCCATGAATGACGTTCCCTCTCGTCTTATCGTAACCCGTTTTACCGGTTCACAGAGACTGCACCGAGCGAGCGCCCGCAGCTGTTCCTTAAGAAACTGCATCAGTGCCGGGTGATATTTGACTTCAACGACGCGAGCGCGGAGTTGAAGGGCAAGCAGATCAAGGCTCAGACGTTGCACGAGATGCTTGAGTACATCACTACCCAGCGAGGTGTGATCACCGAAAGCGTATACCCCGAGGTCGTTGGCATGGTCAGTTTGTTCCCGTTCGCTACGTTGCATGACTGCGGCATCCGGTCTCACCGCGCCCGCGCAGTTCGCCACCAACTTGTTCCGTTCGATACCCCCGCCGGTCAACCCGACCGGCGACGCCTTTGACCCGGAGGAGGACGAGCCGGTGCTCGAGCTCGCCTGGCCGCACCTCCAGATCGTCTACGAGTTCTTCCTCCGCTTCGTCGAGTCGCCCGACTTCAACACCAACCTCGCGAAGCGGTACATCGACCAGTCCTTCGTGCTGAACCTGCTCGAGCTCTTCGATTCGGAGGACCCGCGCGAGCGCGACTTCCTCAAGACGACGCTCCACCGGATCTACGGCAAGTTCCTCAACCTGCGCGCCTTCATCCGGCGCTCGATCAACAACGTCTTCTTCCACTTCGTGTACGAGACCGAGCGCCACAACGGCATCGCGGAGCTGCTCGAGATCCTGGGCTCGATCATCAACGGCTTCGCGCTCCCGCTCAAGGACGAGCACAAGATCTTCCTCACCCGCGTCCTCCTCCCCCTCCACAAGGTCAAGTCCCTCAGTCTGTACCACCCCCAGCTCGCGTACTGCGTCGTCCAGTTCCTCGAGAAGGACGCCGCGCTCGCGGAGGACGTCGTGCTCGGCCTGCTCCGGTACTGGCCCAAGGTCAACTCGCCGAAGGAGGTCATGTTCCTGAACGAGATGGAGGAGATACTGGACGTGATCGACCCGGCCGAGTTCCAGAAAATACAGGTGCCGCTGTTCCGGCAGCTGACGAGGTGCATCAACAGCCAGCACTTCCAAGTCGCCGAGCGAGCGCTCTTGTACTGGAACAACGAGTACATCGTGAACCTCATGAGCGATAACCTGGCGGTCATCCTCCCCATCGTCTTCCCGGCGCTATATACGAATTCCAAGTCGCACTGGAATCGGTATGTACTCATGATTGACGCGTCGTGCTTCAGATACTGATGGCTCTTGTTTAGGACCATACATGGAATGGTGTACAATGCGCTCAAATTATTCATGGAGATCAACCCAGACCTCTTTGACGATTGCATGCATCAATATAAGCAAAAGAAGCTCGAGTGCGTTCCTCGCTCCTTCTTCGTCTCGATGTCTTTGATACTGACGGAAGGTCGATTGATTGAACAGGGAGCAGAACCATGCCGTACAACGATACGAGCAATGGAAGAAACTGCGTGAGAAGGCGGCGCAGAACGCACACGGGCACCTCCCTCCCGGCTTCCAGGAAGACGAGCCAGTGCCCCCACCGCCTCCGCAGCCGATCGACGACCAGGACATCGCGGACTTGTCCATGGAGCTCAACGCAGCGTCGATCGACGCCGAGATGCCGCACGACCTCGACGAGAGCGGGCTCGAACGCGTGCCGATGGCGGATCCCGGGATCGACGTGAGTTTGTTTTATATGATGCGTCCGGGTCGTGCTGATGAACCGTCTGTGATCAGCACGGGTTCCCTGAGATCAACACGGAAATGTCGCCGACGAGCGCCCATGGACCGCATATGCGACGCAAGAGCGTCTTACCTGGTGAGAGAACTCTCTTATTCCCCATTCCATGGGATAGATCTCAATCATCCTTGTCTCTGACAGTGGATCCCACGGTGCTCCGGGATCTGCAAGCGCACCGAAGCTTAGACGACAAGCTCGGACTGAACGGTCCGTCGTGATCGGGGGATCGTCGGTGGCGAAATGGTTCTTTGTACTCCTTTTCGTGGTAGCACACGATACTGCAGTTTGACTGGCGGTCGCTCCTGTACTCCCGCTCTCATACACATGCGTACCCCTCTAGTTCTTTACATACTTGTACAGATCCAGCTTGTATGAGCTCCTTGATATCTCCTGTTACGCGCACGCTGCTTGTGACCTATGATATATACCCCTGCATCCAGCTGCGTACAGGCCTCTATCGTACATATACTCGCGAGCGTCGTTACCGTATGCATCGTCGTCCAAGCGCGTCAGTGGGCTCAGGGCTGAGAATCTTGCAATGACGTCTTCGCGAAGGCGGTGCCGAATTAGCCACCGCGCGGAGGGGTGGCTTTTCGGACAAGGCCCTACAATAAGACCAAGAGAGACACGGTCTCTTGCACCACTCCACGATCACGACCCAACGCACGACCAAGCCATGAGCCAACGAAGAGCCAACTTGAACAGCACGAAACCGCAGGAGAATGGCGAGAGCGAGGAGCACCACGCGCTGAAGGCGTTTGCGGAGACGGACGGTCACTTTTCGCTGGTTCGGTAAGCGTGTGTTCGTCTCTCGAGCTGGGGGGTTCGTGCCCGTGAACATTGCTGACGGGGGCGCGTACAGGAACTTCCGGCTAGCGGATCTGGTGACGATTATGAACGGCGTGTGCGGTTCCTTCTCCGTGTTCTCGTCCGCGCGGTACCTCCAGAGCAAAGACGAGGATTACCTGTGGATGGCGCTTGGGTTCCCGCTCGCGGGTCTCTTCTTTGACTTCTTGGACGGACGCGTCGCGCGGTGGCGAAAATCGGCGAGCATGCTCGGCCAGGAGCTCGACAGTCTGGCGGACTTGGCAAGTCTCATCGCCTCACTTGCGTCCCCTTTGCTGATCTTCTTTCTGCTCTCTCTCTCACTCTAGATCTCGTTCGGCGTGGCCCCGGCGCTATGCGCGTTCATCGTCGGGCTGAACACCTACCTCGACACCGTCGTCCTCACCGGCTTCATCTGCTGCGGCCTCGCCCGCCTCGCGCGCTTCAACGTGACCGCCGCGCTCATCCCGAAGGGCAAGGGCGGCAAGGCGTCCTACTTCGAGGGGCTCCCCATCCCGTCCTCGCTCGTCCTCGTCGGCGTACTCGCGCTCTTCGCACGCCAGGGGTACGTCGACGGCCAGCGCGGGCTCCCGCTCGGCACCGTCACGCTCTGGGGCGCGCCCGGGGGCCGGGGCGAGGTGCACGTCGTGAGCGCCGTGTTCGCCGCCTGGGCGGCCGCGATGGTCAGCAAGACGCTGCGCGTGCCCAAGCCCTGACGGCGGTGATTGTCCGCTGTTGCTCCTGCTTTATCCATTCTCTCTCTCTCTCTCTCTCTCTCTCGATTTACCTGGACTCAACTCCTGGACGGCTCCGCGAACGACCCCCCCCCCCATACGCACAACTCTAGCCCCGACGACGACGCATGTAACCACTCATATAAACGCGACTTTAGTATATAAGCAACTGACAACGAGGATTTGCTAATAAATACATCCGTTACATTGGGGGCAACGCAGACGAGTCCGGGATGGCGATGATGATAGCAAACGTAGCGGTGCGTAAACACGAGAGATGCCTAGCAAGTAAACGAGCGAGCGAGCAGCGGCAGCAACAGCTTAGTGATGATCACGGAAAGGGTCCGCGTACGGCGCTGGCGGAGGTGGGCCCGGCGGCGGCGCGTATGCGTTGGAGGGGGGCGGGCCGGAGGGCGGAGCGTACGGCGAGGCGCCCGCCGCGCCAGGGGGAGGACCGGAGGGCGGAGCATATGGCGAGGCGCCTGCAGGTGGGGGCGGCCCGGATGGCGGGGTGTATGGCTGGTACGCCGGCGGCGCCGAGTAGTGCAAGTCCGTCGCGGCGGGCGGGGCAGGGGTGCTGAGCGGGATGTAGGAGGTCGCGCCGCCAGGGCGCAAACCGGCACCGGTGCCCGTCTTCAGACCTCTGGACCGGCGGCTCCGCGAGAGGAAGAAGACCGCGACGACCGCGGCGACAACGATGATGGCGATGATGATGGCCTTCCGGTGCTGGTCGAACCAGCTCTTCCCGCTCGAGGACGAGGACGAGGAGGAGCTGGAGCGGACCTTGACGAAGTCCTTGTGCATCTCGGCCGTGTCGTTCGTGACGGAGAGCAGCTGCACGAACGGGTCCGCGGTCGTGTTCGCGTCGTCGACGAAGTCGCCAAAGTTGACGAGGAGGTAGGCGTTCCGGAGGAAGGCCATGCCGAAGATGGCGTCGAAGAGGCCGCCGGTGTCGGTGGACATCGGCTGGAAGGCGCCGACGCAGTCGTCCGAGTCGCTCAGGGCGTCGAGGACGACGTCGAGCGGGTGGATCGAGAAGTTTTTGCCGCCGAAGACAAAGGTAAGGTTCAGCTCGGTTTTGCAGGGGAGAACGTAGATGCTCCCGATCCCAGACACGTTCTGCAGCTTCGCACCGGAGACGTCTCCGTAGATGGCGTCTGCTACTGCCTTGGGCACCTGCGGGATGGAGAAGCCTGCAGAAGACTATTAGCATCCTTGGGCTTCACCCGTGCATCGAGCACTAACCGGTATCGAAGACCACTACATGGGCGTGCAGTGAGAACGACATCTCCAAACCACGATGATTGGCCACGTACCGTTCAGCTGTTTGGGTGTGGTCGTGTCGTTCACCGTGGACGTGGTGGTGATCTTCTTACCGTTCGGACCGATGATCCCGTCCTCGTCCAGCAACGTCTGCCAGTGCTGATTGCCAGACTCGTCGATCGCGACCTGGGTGACCTCGAGGTGGGGCTGGTTCTGCACGTCCTCGTACCCGGCGAGATACTCGCCGACCGTCAAGTCGCCCGGCCACGGATCCGACGGGTCATCCTTGCGGCCGAGCAGAACGGTGAGGAAATTGGGCGTGGACGTGTTCTGGCGGAAGATGCGGTCGAGGGGAGCGTCCGCGGACGAGAGCCCGTTCGTGGTTTCGAAGATGTTGGAGCCGTTGTTCGGTCCCAGGCCGATGAGGCCCGTCCCGGACGGATTGTCGCTCGAAGGGTCAACTTGAACTATATTCAAGGGTAGAGTCAGTATGGGCTCAAACAGTAGCGCTACCACAAGCGCTTACGGAACGCCTGCGACTTGACAGTGTAGCCCGCGAACTCGAGGTCGGCCGTCATGACCGGGCCCGACACAGATCCGACCGCGTAGGTCACTCCGGACGTGTATCCTGTATCATTCGCGTTGGAGACCGAGCCTGCGACCCATAGGTCCGAGCTACGCACATGCAGTAAAGATCGTCAGGGTATCATCTCATCCAACGGGAACTTCCGGGCGGACCTTCCGGTATCTATCAACACAGAGAACGAGTCGCCGTTGAGGGTTATGTTCGTGTAGTACGAAAAGTCGGAGGAGTCGGTGAGCGTCGACTGCCCGAAGATGTTCCCTCTTCGTCGGAGTCGCGCACCGGCTTCCCGCGCGTGCATGGCTATTCTTGCAGCTGCGACATGCTGGACGGCGACGCCCGCGAGCAGATAACTGAGGAGACGCATGAACGGGCAGACAGGGAGCGCAAAAAAGCTCGAGATCAATTCGACATAAGGGGTTTGCAAGCGCGAGGCTGTGGGACGGCGAGTCGATCGGGGCTGTGCGTGCCGCACAGGCACGATATAGCGGTGGGCAGTTGTGTGATCCCCACGACGATCCTTACGCAGAGCAATGAGTACAGTATCAGGACCACAGAGCACTGTGGCTGCTTCCCCGGCCATGGTTTTGACCAACTCAACCTTTTCGGAAACAGGGCTCATCATAGGTGTCAGTGCACGTCCTTTCTTTTTTGCAGTCTGTCGACGCAGAATACTCAAGTTCACTTCTTCCGGCTGCATTCGAACACGCTGTGCTAGAGCGATGCGGCTTTCTTTCGCATCGCACAGCATATGAACGATACTCATAGCAGGCCATGCAAATCGTGCCGTGTCTCGGCTTTTCCGCTAACCCCATTCTTCCAGACCGAAACGGAGTGACCTTGACCAGATAACCAGTGCGCCTGGAAGACGAATACGAAAATATAACCATTCAGTTCAGTTTGCTGTACCGCGCATTTAGCGCATTCGGCCTGATTGTGAACGGGGGGGGCGCTGCATCACGTACGCTGTACTCTTCTACTTCCTACCCATAAGTATCGCACTAGTGCCCTGGGCCAGCCTGCTAACCTTTTTCTCTCGACCCTTGGGACATATTGACACGCTTTCAACATAATCGACTTCGATATGTTACCCTCTCAAGATCACCGTATCAGGGCCATATTGACTGGAATACCCTCACACTTGGCCACCGAACTCGAAGATCGTTCGTCCATCGAACTCGAGCTCGAGGCCCTGTCTATGACTGACAGCACCATCACGAATCTCACCGGTGCGGGGCGCGTAGTTGGGAATGCTATGAGCAGAGGGGGACAAGCTTTGACGAAGTTGATAACGGCAACCGGAGAGCGAGTGTTCCGGCGTGGACTGAACGTCGCAGTAGCTCGCTTCCTTACTCACTTCCTCATCCGTGCCATCCCTCACCTTAGCTGTAACGGTGCAGTCCATACTTCCCCCTTTCTCACAGAAGGAAGGGAAATACACCAACAAAGCGTTGCCCGTTGCTCTTATGGTGCTTACGAACTGTTGCTTTATCTACGAGCTACGGGACGACCCCGATTCCCGCAGATTGTGCGTCATCTACGGAGCATATCTTGTCCCCTGTGCATGCCAGGAATACAATTCGCCCTCTGTAGTTCTTCGCCGCCTGGTCATCTTGATCTCGGTGAAAGTAGGCAGCATTTCCACGATTTATGTGAGAAGCTGACGATGACCATACGGTGAGCGTTGATAGGCATGGGCTGTCCTCGTCGCGCTAAAACATCTTGCTCTCAGAACTAATCCAATACTTGGAAACGTCCTTTTGGCCACGCGATACGCTAGCGCTCTCGTCAAGGTGTTGGGGGAACCATGTCGCGCTCAACTTGTCTCGGTCTACGGGCTGCGTGACGCATTGGAAGAACGACTGAATCCCTTGAACGCATTAAGCGCAAATAGCTTATCGCTTGTGGAGTCTCTCCGTGAGCTCCAAGGCCAACTTGCCGCCTCGAAGATGGGTCGAGCTCACCTTCTCGAACTGAGTCCAGAGACGATCCAAAAAGTCATTTCCTATATCGATCTCGATAAAGAAGGTCGGCTCGCTACGTTGAGCAACATGGCATCAAGCTGTCGTGAGCTACAACAACTAGCCCAAGCCGCTATGTTCCGTGCCATAGACGTTGACAAACCTCGGATCCTAGACGCGGTCATACACTCGGTCAAGCTATCGCCTAAGCTGGGCTCGTGCGTGCGCGAGCTTCACCTCGACCTCGAGACCGGTAGTAAGGAAAGCTGGTTGCTAAGTTTATCACAGTGTTTCGCGCACCTCGGCACCCTGCGTGGGATGTCGTTGGGCGGGATGAAGTGGTCCGAGCTTCACGCGGATACCAGGCGAATCATCCTCCGGGTCCTCTCCCAGATATCGATCCTGTCGCTGCAAGACTGTTCATTCCCGCGGACGCAAAGCTTGATCGACATCATGCTCGCCTGTCAGAACCTGACAACCTTCGCCGTGCGCAACTCCGTACTACTGCAGGCGGGGCATGTCGGATCGCACGAAACGCTGAGTAGGCAGGCTTCCCAAACCCCTTCGCTACCTTCCCTCCGACACATTGAATTCGGAGGCGATATGCGGCTCGCAAGTATCCTCTATGACGCATTATTCGGCCCGACGAAGCTCTCTCACATACCGAAAACGATCTGTCTGTGGGGAACGATGAAGGAGAACAAAGCGCCCATAACCTTGCATCATCACTTGAGAATATTTCCAGAAATCTTTCTCCACCAGACCCCAGATATCCAACCGATCTGCAGCGGAGGGTGTCGCGTCGACCGCCTGTGGTTCGTCTCGTTCCGGGTTCCCATGACCATCTGCAAGGCCCCTACCGGGTTCAAGGAATGGCTCAACGATATTCTATCCGTCATACATCAATCCAACTTCCTCCTGTCGTCAGAATTCGACGATCGCTGGGGCGCCGAACTGACTACTGTAGTTTTTCGGCCGGAAGTTCGGCCAGACCCCCTGGGGACAGGGGACACCCTCCAAGTTCGGGCCCGTGGGAAGTTCGCCAAGTGATCCTCGATCAGTTTGAACACTCCCGCGGTCAGACCATGAGTCTCCCACGGTCAGTGATTGGGCAAAAAATCGGAAGGGGCCAGGGGACAAACGAGCGAATAGGTTTGGTTCGCAGGTAGGTTACGATCAGCCATTTGCACCACACCCCATCTCACGCTCACGGCGAGCCATTAGGGATTCGCTACAGAGCGCTTTTACGGGCTAAGTAAAGTCATTTCAGCGGAGTCGCCGGCGGACAACTACAGAAAGCGATCAGATAAGGCGCAGTGCACGCCGGACGTTACTTACAGCCAAAACAAAAAGCCAACTCCTGTCCTGAACTTCACGGATGACTGGATAGTACAGATCAACTTCTTCATTATTATAGTTTTCTAACCTTTCGAAACACGTTTAATTATGATTCCGTATTTGATTTCCGAGAGCGATTGCGACTAACGTAGGAAACGCATCCGACAGCGATAGTACAGCAGGGAGACTATATACGATAATGCGAAAAAAAAAACGAGGTGCGTGAGCGATAGACACGATGACGATGACGAATGACGATGAGGAATGTATGGATGGATATGGATGTTAATGTGGCAAGAGCGCGGAATCCCACGTCCGTCCGCGGCCAATAAACGAGAAACGAATGCAGCAGCGTCCGACAAGAAACCTCGGGGAGGAACATCCTCCTATGTGCACCAAGAAACACAAAAAGATCACACATAAAGGAGGAGAGCCCACTCTCCGCCCCATTCTCGGCGGCGTTTTCGTCCTCTTCCCTATTAAGCATTTTTTTGCACTTTCCGGGCCATGCCAATGCGGACATATGGTAAAAACATTTCGGCGAGAGGTGCTGGCTTAGACCTTGTGCGAGTTCTTCCGTCGGGCGACCATCGTCCGTATCGCGATCGTCAGCACGCCGCCGGCGGTGACGCAGACCTAGGGATCACGAAGATTTTCAGCGACCCCGGCTCCAACGCGCGGAAAGTACAATCGGGACTCACCCCCGAGAAGACGATGGGCCGCCACCAGCGGTAGCGTAGCGGGTCAGAGCCGAGCAGCGCGCCGGATATAGGCGAGCCGACGAGGCCGGCGACTCCTAAAAAAAATAACGCAGCAGGTTTGAGAAAAGGGGCCAACACGGTTTCCAGAGACGAGGGCCGCGCGCGTTCGTGGTAAGCGCGGTGATTTAGATTTTTTTCGACGTACCCGACACGGCATATGCGACGCCCATCCTCGCGCTAAAAACGTGGCCGGGGGGCGTCGGCGCGTGAGTAACGGTATACGGGACGAACGCGAAAAAAAGGGGGGGGGGCAAAAGGCGCGTCAAAAACGCCCGGCAAACGTACCCTATTTCCGCAAAACTCGACGACAACGTCGCGCACATCGGTGCGAACAGGGCGATATCTAGGATTCAAGGCACAACGAGCGGCATTGGATAGGTGAGAGGGCGGGTCCATATATATATATATATAATAAGGGAGACACGTACAAGAGCCGGAGAAGAAACCGTAGAGGATCGAAAAGGCGATCGTGCCCCCGATGCCGGTGACGCCGAGCATGGCGAAGATGAGCACGCCGCAGGCGAGCGTGCACGCGAGCATCATGTTGATCACCCCAAAATTGTGCGCGATGAAGCTGGGCACGACCCGGCCGACAAAGCTGGCCGCGTTCATGATCTGCACACACACCCCGGCATCAGCAACACCATCGACGGACAAGGATCAATGGCTTGTTTATATATGGATACTTTACCGCGACGGTGTAAAACGCGAACGTGCTGTCGACGTGGTGCTCGATCGCGTCGAGCTGGATGTAAAACTGGGGGAAGAAGAGGCCGAAGAGGACGAGGGTGATGGAGAGCACCGTGAGCAGGTACGGCGTGTCGGTCGCAAACTGGCGCAGCAGCGACGCGGGCACGAACGCGCCCGTCTTCTTGTTCACCAACCGCGGGCGCATGAACGCGTTCGCGATCAGCAGCAGTCCCGCGATCATCGCTGTTTTTTTTTGTCGCCGCAGCCCACACACCACAGTCAGCGTATGCCCACCAAATTTTTACGAATGCATATGGATATGGGGGAAAGGATGGGTGGGGGAGGGGGGGAGGACGCGACGCACCTGCGTTGACGCGGACGCCGGTGTGGAAGCCGATGGAGGGGTTGTTGAAGAGCTTGTTGAGCATGATGGGGTGGATGATGCCGCCGATCGGCGCGCCGGACGAGACGAGGCCCATCATGAGCGCCCGCCGGCGCTGGAAATAGTGCGCCGCGATACCGAGGCTCGGAACGTACACCATCCCGAGGCCGACGCCGAGCTGTCGAAAGAAAAATAAGAAGAAACCGCACCGGTGATGCGTCAGCGCCCGAGGCAAAGAGGAGGAGGGTAGGAGGAGTCACTCACTCCGACGCCCTGGGCCAAGAAAACCTGTAAAAAGGGCCAGGTGGGGGTGGTCAATATGATATAGAAACAGGAACCTTCCCGTGGGGGAAACGAACGAGGAGCGCACCTGATAATAATGATTCATGTGGGTTATCGAAAGCATGAACAGCGAAAAGACGATGAGCACGGAGCCTCCGATGGCTAGGTGGTGGCTGCAACCATCCAGTCAGCGCTCGGCGCTCTCCGCGAGCCGCAGGTAAAACTCCTCTCACAAGTAGCCATTGTCGAATGCCCGGCCGGTGACCAGACCGAGAGAAAGAACGATGAAGAGGTTAAAACTGCCTATCCAGCTGTGTGGAGAGGTGGTTGGAAAACATGAGAATCCCAAAGTGGTGTTTTTTTCCGGGGGACGAACCTGATTTGCGAGTTTGTGTTGTGGCTGAGGTATGTCCGCACGTAGTAATCTTTGCGATCCCCGGTCAGCGGAACCCCGTCATACCATCACAAGCTCGCCTCCCTACCTTGGTATACACCGAACGCGGTGATGAGACTGGGCGGGGCGGGGTGGGTGATGATTCGTCAGATCCCCGATCTTTAACCGCGCATATAAAACCGCGCGTATCTCACCCAAACGAACAGAATTGCATCAGCCATCTGAAGAAAAAAAAAAGGTGCGCGAAGAGAAAACCCGTTGAGCACGCGCGAGGACGGTCCGAGTAAGTATAATGGCCACACTCACGCGCCGGTCACGGTCAACCACGCCACGGTCCCGCCCTCCGGAAAGATCATCGCCGGGGGCGCCGCGCTCGGCGCCTGGACCACGACCTCCGGGCTCTGCGACGTCAACCTCGAGCTCGACTTTTCCGCGGACGGCCGTCCGTTGTGTGAGTCCCTCTGCTCTCCGTCCAGCGTCGGCGTCCTCGAGGTGGTGCCCCCTACGGCGGCTCTAGACTATGATGCGCGCGAAGAGGGGGGGAGGTGGTGGCGAGACGGTGATCAAACCCTGATCAATAAACCGGAACGCCACGAGGGGGACTACGCGCGCGGGCGCGGCGGCTCACCAGCTCCATGCTATGCTCGGACATGTTGGCGTCGTTGGCGGCGTCCTTCCTCGGCGGGCTGAACGCGTACGCGGGACGTTGCAGCCGGTGAACAGGGGGTAAAGGGGAAGGGGGAAGGAGGGTGGGATGAGAGAAACGGGAAGGAAGGGAGATGATGATGATGAAGACAGCAGCCAGCCAGCCAACGTCCGGCCGTGGCGGGGTCGCCAGGTCTCATCTATCTTCTCTTCGTCTTCGGCGGGAAAGAGAAGGCGGGCGCGCGCGAGAGGGCGTGGCCGGCGGACACGTCCGTTCACACACGCCCCCTTGGCCTCCCCTGGCGTGTCCGCCCCCGCCGCGCCTCGAGTCCGTGATCCCGCGCAAGTTCCCCCCCGCCCCAGAAATGCGCCGCCGCGGTTTGTGCTGGGGATTGCTGTTTCCGGCGAGCGGTTGCAGAGTGACATGCAGCCGTCCGCCGAAGATCGAAGAAGGAGCCGGGGGAGGAAAAGGACCCCAAGCCCACACAAGCCAGCCTTCGCAGCGCTCCTTCCCGTTGCAGACACCTGGTACAGTAGCCAAAACCTTCCCTTCTCCGAGCATTTGCAAAAGGGGGGACTTCCCGTCAGCCCGGACCGCCCGAGGTGACGCCTTCATTTTTCACTTGGACATTTCATGATTGCCCCGAGTCCTCCTTTGTGGCGTTCGACAGCGTTTCCAGACCGTTGTTTGCGCGCCCATGTGAGATTAACGCAAGCTTGTGGCTCTGTGAACGCCGGTGAGTAGCCGAAACAGCGGCGTATCATCATCAGCTGGGGCGATATCACCGGCCATCCCGCGGGGCGTGTCACGTAAAAAGAAGCGGTTCCCGCGCCAACGTGGGTTTTCTGATGCCCGCCATCGCCCAAGATGGTAAAATGGCTTGCGGAACCCCAGGGAACCCCCCATGCGTTAGGCGAGATCGCCGCGCGTCCGACTCAGATGTACGGATTTCGCTTCGAGATAAGTAAAGTTAGGTGACCGTTTATGTACATACGTTGATCGCAGGTCGGAGAGCCCGGCAGTTTCCATCAATACGAGTATGTACGGGGATGGGGGGAGGAGGAGCAAGCGGGGGTTTTTTTTTGCGTCTGTGGGGCGTCCACGGATTCTGGCCGGCATCTTGGGACTGCTGATGCGAGAGATCGCGGAAAAAGCGTTCGAACTCCTTCCTCGGCGGTGCGTGGCTTTCGCTACGCAAACCAGGTCATATGGATCCAACAACGGTCAACGAGGTGGGTCCCAAAAATCGCGTCGAGCACCATATGGGAGGGTCGGTAAACATAGCGCTTTGGCCTTATCTTGCGATGATTTTGCCTCAGGGACTGCGTCTCCCCGCTCGATTTGCTTTGAGTTCGTGGTCGCCCGCCGGCGAGTTGCACGGCCGGCCTGGACTGAGAACATCACGAGGGGGCCAGATGGAAGTCCGAATCGGGCGGCGGTGCTGTTTCGTGCGGAGGCTTTTAGGGGCAAAGTCCGTTCGGTGGTTTATCTGGTCTACTTCATAGAACAGCTAGCAGTATTCTGTATCGATGACTGGTATGCGATGTGCTATTTGAGCGTTGAACGAACACCCACCGGCGAGCCCATGAAGACCTGGTGAAACCGCATCCGGGTGCCGGAAGCAAATCTCACCACGTTCAGTAAATCTTCAGTGCACTCCCACGACCATCCCCGAGCGCTGATGGCAAGCGACACTGACAGTGGCAGTGACGCTGCTTACCACAGCCATTGCAGTGCTCTCCGTGGCAGTTCAATGCAGGTGACCAAGCATTGATCGCCTCTCTCCTTCCGGAGGCCTGGCACGAAAAGAAAGTCGTCTGCACCGAGGCTTGTATGCGGTCCCAAGCAGCGCTCGTCCGCCACTCCCGGGTCCTGCTCGCGCCGTCGACCCCAGCAGCCCCCAAGTCCTCGTCGCGCCTCTTCCACCCGACGACCTCGCGCCGTCTCCCGCGCAAGCCCCCGCCGCACGTCGCGCGCGCCTACCGTACCGGCACCACCACCACCACCACCAGCGCCTCGTCTGCTCCTGCGGCCTCGTCCTTGTCTTCTGAACAGACGCAGAGCCCCATACAACCCAATGTCGACGAATCCGAGCCGCCTGAGCCCGTGCAGGACGTCACCGCCTCGGGCGCCACACCGCCAGAGGATCCCGAGCCCGAGCCCGAGCCAGAAAAACCGCGTCGGAGGACACGCTCGGCCCCCAAAGAGTCTGCCAGCAGCAGCAGCACCACCACCACCAGCTCCTCATCTCCGTCAAACCCGCCCCTACCCCCGGGCCTGCACGTCCTCTGGAGCGCCGACCACGACTTGCCGGCGCCCAACCCGGCCGCGCTGCCCCCGGCCCCCATCTTCGACGAGGTCCTGAGCGACTTCCGCATCGCGCTCCACCCCCAGACCCAGCACCGCTCGATCTACGCCTCCCCCAGAGGCCCCACCGTCGAGCCCACGCTCGGGCTCTACTGCCCGATCGAAGGCGGGGACTACGTCCTGGACGAGACCGTGCGCGAGCTCGCGCGCCGCACCGGCGCGGACGTCGTCGTCCTCGACGCCGTCCAACTCGCCGCCGGCGAGCACGGCCAATTCGGCAAAGGTAAGCCGTCGTCCACACCGTCCCACCGTCTCACAAATACCCTAACCGTCTCTCTCCCTCTCTCTCTCTCACTCCCGCAGCGAACGTCCTCCAGCTCTCGCCCAACCCGCTCCACTTCACGTCGCACGTGCCCGCGCCGTCCGCCCCCGCGCCCCCTTCGTCCACCCGGTCCGCCGCGATCGAGGACGGCGACGAAGACGACACGGAGCCCTTCGCCTTCCCCTCGCGCATGACGATCCAGATCTCGTCCCCGACCGCGTCGGGCCGGGCAGGCAGCGGCGGACGCACCTTCCTCGCCGCCAGCGCACGGAGCGCGTCCTCCTCCCGCCTCAAAGCCTTCTTCGACGAGCTCGTCAACCTCGCGCCCCCTCCTCCTCCTCCACCACCATCTCCCTCTCCCACCACCCCCAATTCCTCCGACTCGGACACCACCACCACCCCACCCCCTCCCCTCCCCCCGCCGCCGCCGCCCGCGCATCATCTACATCCGCGACTTCCCCACCCTCGCCGCCTCCTCCCCCACCTGGTACCCCCCCCTCCTCGCCGCCGTACGCGCGCGCCGCCAAGGCCCCATCTCGCGCTCCACCTCGCCCGTCTCCGACCCGATGGTCATCGTCTTCGGCATGACGCCCCCGCTCACCCCTTCCTCCTCCTCCTCCCCTTCCTCCTCCCACAGCGGCGGCGCAGCGGCGGGCCTCGTGAGCCTGCTCACAAGCCGCTCCGCCGGCTCCGCGCCCCTCACCTCCGGCGCGCGCGCGACGGCGGGCCGCGACGCGTGGGCCGAAGACGCGGCGTCCGACGCGGCGCGCGAGCGGCGGTTACGGCAGCGCCTGCGGCGGTGGGAGCGCGGCGGCGGCACCGCGTGGCTCGACGATCTGCCCCGGCTGTCCTCCGCGTCCGGCTCCGAGGGCGGTGGCGGTGGTAGTGGCGGATCGGGCGCCGATGGGGAGGGCGCGGTCGTCGTCGTCGGCGCGCCGCCCTCGGGACTCGCGGGTCTGCCTGCGGCGCTGCAGGACGTGTTGCGCGCCGCGAGCGGAGGAGGCGGGAACGGGAGCGGGAGCGGGAGCGGGACGGGAGGGGCGAGCGGGTTTTGGAAGGCGGCGTTCGTGGTGCCGAGCGCGAGGAGCGGGAGCGCGGAGAGGGCGTGTCGGGTGGCGAGGAGGAGGGAGGTGAACGTGCTGACGATGCGGATGGGGATCGCTGCGGCGGGCGGGGCGTTGGCGGACGCGGAGCCGGCGGCGATGCGCCGGGCGGAGGACGAGGACGAGGAGGTAGAGGGAGAGGGAGAGGGAGAGGGAGAGGGGCGGCAGCAGGAAGAGGCGGAGAAGATGTGGGCGGAGTGGGGGCGGAGGATCGAGACGTGGGACGCGGTGCGGCGCGTCGCGGATCGCGCCGTCGGGGGCGCGTACGACCCCGCGAGCGCGGGAGCGAAGCCGAGCTTGGAGCCGACGCCGATCGGGTGGGACGCGGTGTGCGCCGCGTGGCGCGCGATGAGGACGCAGGGGGAGGTGCGAAGGGCGTGGGCGGCGCAGGCGGCGCGGGAGGACAGGAAGGAGGCGAAGGACGAGGAAGGGCCCGGGGCGGTCGGGAAGGATAACGACGAGGTCATCGAGCGCGTGAGGCGCGATCCGGACCTCGACCAGCACGAGCAGCGGCTGCTGGGATGCATCGTCCAGCCTTGTGAGTCTCAAGCCCCCCGCGGTCGTCCTCTAGGACGAGACACACGTCTTGGACAGGATGGTATTGACGACACTTTCTCTATCTAGCCACTGTTCCGACGTCGTTCAGCCAGGTGCATTTGCCCGCGCACACCATCGACGCCGTGCGGACGATCGTGTCGCTACCGTTACTCTACCCGGACGCGTTCAACCACGGCATTCTGAAGGAACACGGTATGACGGGCTGCCTCCTCTTCGGCCCGCCCGGGACCGGTAAGACGCTGCTCGCCAAGGCGGTCGCAGGCGAGGCCGGTTGCCGGATGCTCGCCGTCGCGCCCTCCGACGTGATGGACATGGTGAGTTCCCCCCCCCCTTTTCCTCCTCCATCTCCCTCTGTGGCTCTACACTCTCAAGTATTTGAAAAAACCGTCGCTCATTGACACCCAAAATCCCGGCAGTACGTCGGCGAGGGCGAGAAGCTCGTCAAGTCCCTCTTCTCGCTCGCGCGCCGGCTCGCGCCGTGCGTCGTGTTCGTGGACGAGATCGACGCGCTCTTCGGGGCGCGCGCGTCCGGGCGCGAGTCGGGCGGGGCGATCGCGCACCGCGGCGTGCTCACCGAGTTCATGCAGGAGATGGACGGCCTGTGGTCGTCCCGGGAGGACAACGTGGTGGTGATCGGGGCCACGAACCGGCCGTTCGACCTCGACGACGCCGTCCTGCGTCGCCTGCCGCGCCGGCTGCTGATCGACTTGCCGGGGGAGAAGGAGCGCGAAGGTGATTTTTTTCTTTTTTGGGTCGTTTTGCTCTCACCTGACCTGACTTGCGCCGCGCCCGCAGAGATCCTCAAGATCCTCCTGCGCGACGAGACGCTGGCGCCGGACGTCGACCTCAAGGCGCTCGCGAAGCAGACCGAGACCTTCTCCGGGTCGGATCTCAAACGTGAGTCTGGGGCAGCGCCGGGGCGAGGCACCGCGTTTTCCTGATTTGGTGCTCATACGACCGTAAATCTGTTCGCCCAGACCTCTGCGTGGCCGCCGCGCTGGACGCCGTCAAAGAGCGAGTCTCCGTGCCCTGGGCGGTCTCGAGCGCACCACCGGAACCTTCTGTGACGGTGGCGGATCCTCCTGCCGAGAACGCCGCTGGACCCACCGCGGAAGGCGTCGCGGACGGCGGCGATCGACTCGTGGAACCCGCCGCCGCCTCTTCGGCTTTGGACACCGAACCCCAAAAGTCGGACAGCACCCCGCGAACCAAGGACGACGAAAGCGAGGCGGCGGACGCGGCAGGCCCACCGGACCGCGGCAGCGAGAAAGCGACGCGCGAGATCGCGGCGCGGCACTTCAAGAAGGCGCTCTCGGAGATCACGCCGTCCGCGAGCGAGGCGCTCGGCACGCTCGCCGACCTCCGCAAGTGGAACGCCGAGTTTGGCGAGGGCCGCAAGGAGAAGAAGCTGCAGGTGTGGGGCAAGGGCCGGTTCGGGTTCGCGATCGCGAACGGCGACGGGGGCGGCGTGCAGGAGGGGCACGTCGCGCCGTCGCCGTCGCCGGCCACGACGGAGCAGGCGTCCGCGAGCAGGTAGCGGGCGGGCGGCGAAAAACCGGTTCATACATAAAGAATAGGGCAATAATACGCTAAGCAGTCGTAACCAGTGGTTAATCGTCAGAAGAAAGGCGGGGGAAAACCCCCGCGTCACCGTCTTGATTTGCGCCGGCCGTTCGCGCGGGGAGGCTGCGAGGGTTCTTCCGGTGTCTGCGATCGAGCCTGCGTCTGCGTCTGAGTCTGCGTCGCGTCCATCGCCTCCGCGTCGTACTCCGCCCCTCCTTCGTCGTCGTCCGACGTCGCTCTGCGCAGCCGGCGTCCCGATTCCTGCCCGTCTTGGAACGCGCGCTCGCCGACGGGCACGAGCGCCCGTTTCTCTTCCTCGCTCGCCCACGACGCTTCGCAGGCGGGGCAGACCGTGCGCCCGCTGCGCGTGTATCTTTCGTAGCAGCGATGGTGCTGCCTCACGGGTTTAGAACGACGGGACGAAATCCGTGGTTGGGGGGCGGGCTTCACTCACCATGTACACTTGGCAGTTGCGCGTTCGGCAGTTGATGCCCTGGGTGACCAGCTGCGAAAAAAAAGTGAGCGAAACGATGGAGTTTAAAGAAGGAGAAGGGGGGGAGAAAGATGAGAGGGGCGCGGGGCGCGTACGTCGGAGCAGATGGTACATTCCAGGCAGTCGTCGGGGTACGTGTCCTTCAGGTACGGGTTCAGCTCCAGCAGGCCGCGGGACGAGAGCATGTATCTGCCCTTCCTGTGTGCGCGCGCATGGGGGAGATCAGGAGGATCCGTTCGCAAGAAAGCAAAGAAAGCGGCGTACTTGCTCTTGAGGAGCCACCCCCTGGCGACGAGGCTGCCGAGGACGACCTCCGCCTGGGACTTGGACATGTTGCTCTTCAGATTGCTCACCTCGCGCAACGCTACGAGGGAGGAGCAGCAGAAGGCGTGATTGGGGGCCAGCATAATCTGTTCTATCTGCGGCACCGGAGGTTTTGTTTTTTGAGCAACGACAAAAAAAAAAAGACGAACGATATCGGGCGTTAGTTGGTTTTAAGTAGTAGAGGGGGCGGCGCGGCGCACTATAGCTTTGATGTACGAGATCTCCAGCGCGCTGTACTCGGTCGCCAGTTGCGCGATATCGTCTCCTCTTCTGTTGATCTACAAGCAAAAGCAGAAAGAAATTTTAAAAAAATTGATGTCCAGTAGCCTCGCGCTGGATCGTGTTGGGCTGAGCCTTACGAGGGCATACGAATCTTTTCCGATCGCTTCGTCGTACATGTACCGGAACTCGAGGTGGAGAGGGTCGAGCTGCTGGTTGATCTCCTGCACGAACGCGTCCCACGCGGGGCCGTCGCCAGAGTAGCGTATGTTCAGTCCGGGATCCGCGGCTGCCAATGGGGGGGAGGCGCTGTGTCTTCAGAGTCGAGCCCGGCGTAGGATATTAAGGGGGATGCCTTGGCGCGCACCTTTCACGGACTCGACGCATCGTTTCCACACGGCTTTCGCGAGCGGGGTGGTCATGACCCGCCGCGATATGACGGCTTGTAGGAAGAGGCGGGAGACATCTTTGGCGGAGACCTTTTGGTACGCCATGGAGGTCGCGCGTCAGGGGGCTGGAGGCAGAGAAATAGAAGGTGAGACGCGTCGCGCCTTGCGTCGCGCGAGACGGGCTTTTTGCCACACACGCGACAAGCGGCGTACGTAAGTCAGCGACCATCCTAGCGCGTATGATTCCGAAGCTCCATATCTATATACATTGCAGGTTTCATCGGAGGTACCACTGATCACAGTGCATGTCCAGCGCTCGGGGTACTTATACATGAAGGATGTCGGCGCGTGCCACGTACGATAGCCGGTATATGGATCGTAACCGTAAGATCGCGTCCTGTCATATCCCGATCCTATGCTTCCTTCCTCGAGATCGTCAATGCCCCTCCAGTTCATCGGGCCAAAGCGGACGATACCAGATCCCCTCCATCGGAGGGCACGCGTTGACATGATACGTCGGGTTCGCGTTGAGACCGGAAAGCCGGTCGACGAGGTCGCGACGCATCCTCGCTTCCATCTGCCCACCTTCGTCGGAACGTGACGCAGACGATTCGTCCTCTGGAGGAGCCCACCCGACGTCGAGGTGCACGGTAGTGAGCGACGACAGCCGCGGATGGATCAAGAGCCGGCGGAGCGCGTCCCACGAATCGGACGGGGCGTCGCGCTCGTCAAAGTTCAACATCATCCGGAGGACCCCGCGCGTATATACGATGGACAGGACGTCGCCGAACCATGTCTCGAGCTCGGTGGCAGTATCGCGTTTATCCTCGTTACCGATGGTGGCATTCGGTACCAGCATCGTTAGGAATCTATCGTCGGATGGCCATGGCGGGGTGCTGTCGCCCGAGGCGCACACATCGCACGCTCGCTTCGACACGTGAAGGTACGTCGTTCGGAGGGTCAGCCGAGCAAACAGGCGATGCAGGGTCATAGAGGTCAAGTCCCCTTCCTTTATCGACCATAGACGGATCGTTACCGAGGTTAGGTTGAACATTGTGGATTCGAGCAGTGCGTCGCTGACGACGGTCGCGAGCCGAAGATCCGTTCCGAGTTCGATGTGCTTGAGCGACGAGAATGATGGGGTTATGGGATACAGAGAGGTAGTCCTACTAGGTTCGACCTCCACCGCCCGCCGTGCATGGGAGAGGACGCTGAGAGATTCGAGGTTCCGGCAGGCGAGCGCGATGTCGAGTACGGATCGCGCGTGCGGGAATTCGCAGCTCCGCAAAACGAGGGACGACACAGGTGAGAGGGCCTGAAGAATAGCTCGTCTCGCGTTTGCGCCGAGTTCGGCCCACGACATCCCTTCTATCCTCACGTCGCGCAAGGCTGTGAGGTGCGCCGAAATCTGCGATAGGCCTTCCGGCCAGTCTCCGCTCCGGTGAAAGCTGAAGCTGAGGCGCAGGTTGCGCACGTAGGAGCCCAGCACGGGTGATCCGCTGATGGAAGACGCGATGGCATCCAGGATGCGGGGATCGTCGATGTCCAGGGTGCGGAAGATGGCGGCCTGTGCCTGCGGGCGCAACGCTCGAGAGGCCAGGGCCAAGTTGCGCAACGTGTCGACTCGTTTCTGGCCGTCCTGTCCGATGTAGGAGATGATCTCGCTGAGTATCTCCGGCGCCAGCTTTTGTGCCATGATGTGACGGCACGACCTGGATAGGTCGCGAAGTGTGTGAGGACTGGTCACGGATATGAGGCAGAAGAAAAGGGTTAAAGCACCGGGTCCTTCAAATTACGGACGACCGCGCGAAGCATCTGTCGCCCGTGTACAGTAAGCGCTGCGCATCATGATCAACTCTGTCGGGGATTGTTGAGTCTATAGTATGAGGGCTGTGTAATAGCTCAAGCAGATTTCCGCCACACAATGCACCGTACGTTCCGCAACCACCCAATGGATTCAAATGTGTGCAGTATCGATTGATTGAAACCATTGACGATGTCCGGTGGTCGTCGAGAAAGTTGATCATATGCCTATTGCTGGTGCATATTGGGTAGCGTTCGGGCGAATGGACCAGCTGGCGATGTCTATGAGAAAATTTGTCGAGGTACTTCTGTCTGCAAGTCTGAACAGTGTAAGAAACGAGCGCCCGCGTTGGTCCTCGGCAAGTCTCGGCACGACTCGGGTGGCCGTTTTGCTCGTCGCTGTCTTCGTCTGCATACTATTCGCTTCGCCCCAATTTCCTACGTAACAAGAATACTCCTTAAGAACGCGATGGGCCTATCACGAGATGCGGAGTCTATCATCGCGCATTGTAGAACGAGCTGACATTATTGCCGTCTGCTATGTCGAGCAGTGGCATTGTATGTGCCGTATGCGTGTCTGACACGTGTACGCGTTTCTACTAGGGCTTTGCTACGTGTTCAAAGATAACGAACAAAGCGCATCGCGTGTTGGATGTCCTTAGCAAGGTAAGTATGATGACATCACAATATGGTACAATGTGAGCTTTCATTGCGACGTTACGATGCTCTGTTGCTCATGCCAAAGCCTTGAGGATAGCCTCCGCTAGAGGCTTGGCCGAGGCTGGATTCTGACCAGTGTACAAGTTTCCAGATACAACGACATGGGGCTGAAGAAACTCTATATCAATATACGCAACTGCAGGGAGCGACACCGGACTTACACCCCATGGTTTATCCGCCTTCTCGTACTTGCCCCCGAGCGTCGTGAGCTTGTCTTCCAGCAAGAACGGAACATCCTGAACTTCGCTCAGCGTCTGGAGCCAGACAGACTGTGCAAGGGAGCTTACCTTCACTTTGCCAGCCTGCTCCTCTTCTACATTGGAGAAGCCCGTGAACGCTTTCCTATCGAAGATGGACTTGCCGCTGGCGTCCGTCGCGCCCGCCAAAGCCCTGGTAAAGTCATCAGCATCGCGATCGCAATCTTGGCTATGGGCTGTGCACTTACGCTGGTCCGTGGCATACGGCAGACGTGATCTTGCCTGCTCGGAAGAACTGACAACGTCGGCGTATTAGTACAGGCATACGGGGCCGACGTTCTCCAAACGTACCTGGCTCGCTAGCTTCGCGTTGGTCTCGTCTGACGCGAGGTCAATGACGGGACCGTGTCCTCCAACGTAGAAAATAGCGTCGTAGTCGTCGACGTTGACCTCCGACAACTTCTTGGCGCTCGCGAACTTGGCTTTGACGGTCTCGTCGGTAAGGAATTTGGTGCTCTTTGTGTCGTCTTTGAACGCCTGATGAACAATGTCATCTCAGATGTGAATGCCAAATGTCGCACAAGGGCACAAAACGTACCTGCACGCTCGATTCATCGATTGGTGGGTTTGCTCCGGCGGGAGACGCGAAGTCGATATGGTGCGCAGGCGAAAGCACATAGTATGGGTGCGCAGCCTAATATCTCTTCGTTAATGCGGGTCTTACTCAGACCACAGTGATCTTACCTCGGGTAGATACCAACCCTGGTCAGATACTACGATTCAGCATAGACGTTCATTCTGAGATGTGTCCTGTTCCGTTTACCGTGGGCGCCCCTGTGAGGGTCTTGTTGCAGGATGTGAAGACGAACAGGATCTTGGAAGGCATGGTGGCTGTTTCCAGGGATAGACGTACGATACGCTTTGGGCTCCATATTTCGCAGTCCGGTTATATACTCATCGTGGCAAGGGCGTTTGCCATAGACAGTGTAGTTTTCCCGGCAGCACACCTTACTCATCCCGGTGTGGGTAAACCGTTCCTTGACCGTTCTCATGATTCTGGCAAAGCCGAGATGGTTCGTGACACCTGAAAAAGCTCACAGGCCCATCCGTATACGGCAGGATGGCGTATGCAAGATGTTCATGACGTCATCGTAACCCAAGAGAAAATTCAGACCTGCGACGACCGCCAGCGTCGGAGTCTCATTGAATGCGAAGCTAGAATCGAAGAGAAACCATACTGCGCGGAGGAGACGAAAACCCGGCATCTAGCTGGCATTATATGATTTGTCTTTCTATACAGTTAAATATACGTATAATGACGAAAACGAGTTATAGAGGTAGATGCAGTGGTTCGCATATAGTCCAAGGTGTGACGCGAGAGTCGGAAGTCGACTTGTCATGTTTTCTTCTCCGCGGTCGCCCGTTCCTTCGCTCTGTCGGCAAGATCCACGCCGACGAGGATCTTCGACGCCTTCCATAGCTGAACGAAGTTGACAACGTTCTTGTAGATGAAGATGGGGCATGAGACCCAAGTAAGGAGGTTGGCCCACGTCCAGGGGCCGGCCCATTCCAGGCCGGGTAGGAGGAAGAGCGGTCCACGGACCCATTTCTGGAGGTACAGGCCGAGATAGAAGGCTTCATTTCCAGCACACACGGCGAAGAGTACATTCTGCCAACGAAATGCGTTAAATCATGAGATGGCCTGTGGAAGTACAATGCTTACCTTGTTCGTGTAATAGAATCGAAGGATGCGACTGACATCGCTCTGGATGTTCTTATGGCTCTTGGATCCTGTGAGAAGCGAACTACCGGAGGAATGCTAAACTTCGGATATCTGTCATCGCAGGCGACCGATGACGAACCTATACATGTGCATATAGTGACTGGCGAAGTCGAGCGAGATAAGGAACTGGAAGAACAAGGCCCATTTCGGGTACGCAGTCGCTAAGAAAACCAACAGGCCAGACGTCGTGCACCTGTGTTGCGACAAGAGTGCGTGTTATCATTCCGAGGGCTGGAATAGTGGGAAGCGTATCGCGCACCTATCCACCACCATGTCAAGGACCGCCCCGAACCTCGATGTTTGTCCCAAAGCTCGCGCAGCGTATCCGTCCGCTGCATCCAGTAATTGGGAGAGCGCGTACGCCACTGTGCAGTATTTCGGGTGATAGCTCATGTAATACAGCGCCATTGCGGCCAGAACGACGCGCATATACCCTGCAGGGAATTAATAAGGCAGTATGTTAGCATGAACGAGCACCCGCATGGGTTACTCTCCGCGTTCATCACGTACCGATGATATTCGGTAGGAAAAGGAAGACATTTTCAGAGTAGGACTGCTTTGTGGCAAGGTCCACCGCATGTTTGGGATTTGTGACCTCGACAAACGAAGAGCCTTCAGTGCTGGTACGCGCGTCCTCGGTATTCTTGCTCATCGTTCGGAGTCGTTGTGTCACAGTGCAAGACCGGGGAGAGTTGGCGGGGCGGTCGATCGCGCAGGCGGGCGCTAGTGCCGTACGCCGCATTACGCAAACATATACCTCGGCACATTAGCCGAGGATCTCACTTTCCCACCGATGAGTCAATTCCCTTCGCGTCAGCAGCACTTGGACAGCCCTGGGACGATACTTGTATACATGGACTGCTGCGAATCACTGCGGTGGCACACGCAGATTGCTGAGCTCGTGTACACGCATAGAGGTGACATTAAAGTATATTCAGCAAGGACGAAAATCTACTACGCGCAGTCGTCATGCATTAAATGCGAACAGTCCAATAGATACCATAGTATGTCCCGCCCATTCCACACCGAGACCGCTGGTATGTACATTCGATAATAGTACAAGCGTGACGTATCACACTTGTTTCCACTAGTGATGGGTATTTTGGGTGACGACGACCGCCACGACGATGGCGACGATGGCGAGCAGGAGCAATGTCAGCCAGAAGCAGATCCAGCGTTTCCTCCTGGCTGCCCGCGCGTGCTTGACGGCCTTTTCCACTTGCTCGGTTCTGCAAACGGCTAGTTAGTACGTACAGGGCTATCTGAGCAAAGCAAAGCATACCCTGCTTCGGCATCCTTCGAGACACCTTCCGTCGTCTGCTCGATAATGTCGATTTGCTCTTGTTGTTGGTTGATAAGGACGCTCATCTAGGACAAGTGTAAGTAACAGTGCAATTCGGTCATGATTAGCGTGCTCACATCGTTGAAAAGCTGCGCCAGCTCGCCCATAGTCTGTTCAATCCTACGGATTTCCTCGTGTCGCTCCTGCACTTCTCGATAGGCAGCGCGCGACTCGCCCCATCGCTCAGAGTTGGCAAGCTACAGGAACAAGTTAGGAAGTCGTATTCAGATATTTCGGTCATGGTACTCACTGCTTGGGCGAATATCTGGCTTTGTCCGCCGGAGTCGTCGTTGACAACCGCAGCAACCTCTTCCGCCGTCGCATCCGGCTTCACTGGAGGCCAATCAGCAAACAAGGCGTCAGGGAGGTATCAAACGGCTACATACCGATTTTGAATTGACGCTCGACGCGCTCTTTGTACCGCTTCCGGTAATCTCTCTCGACGTTCTGGTAGTTCTGCAGGGCGTCCCTGAATTTATTGCTGATCAACGTCAGCTGTTGATCATGGTTAGCAAGATCGTCCAAAGGTGCAAGATCAAAGGTACGAACCTGATTCTTACGCAGCCTCTTGTCAACACCGGCCGTGGGTTTGTCTGTCAGCGCCTGTATTCGCAGCTTGATGGCATTGCTCAGGGTTCGCGTCTGAGCGACCTGGTCGTCTAGAAGCGCCAAATTCTGACGGGTTGCAGCCTCATCCATGGCGTTCAGCGAGACCGAGTGCAACTCGGATATCCTCGCGACGTTCGCCTCGAATTCGCGAATCTGGTCCTGGATGCTCCCAACCTACAAGCTTCCATGTTCATTCTCTATTTTTCGTGGCCACTGTAGTACCACCTACCTCCTGTTGAAACCCAGCAAGGCCTTCCACAGGCGCGCTCTCCGCGGCGAAAGAACCGTTCCCGTTGATGACGGTTGGCCCCGGGGCGGGTTGATGCAAGCCAGTCATTTCGTAGGCGGGTTGTTGTTGCTGCTGGGCCATCGTTGCAGGATTCTGCCCTTGGAAGCTGTTTCCCTGCCTTTGGGCCTATGATTTACAGACAGCATCCCTTAGCGCCCATCGCGCGCGAAGCGGTGAGGTAGGAGTGACAGCAACGTACGCGCATAGCGGCCAACCGATCGCGAGCAGCCATCCTTGGTATCAGATATCAGGAGGGGAATTAGGTGTTATTAGGATGATAGGTAAAAGGAGAGATAATTGGACAGGGAACCAAGGGCAGGCCGTCCGTCGAACGTGGAGCCGCTCAAGGGATCGTATGAGCCGCGCGGGTGTGACGTATACTGCGCTTCCGCTTGTGACGGAACGTCTGTGACACTCGATCCAGCACAGCGACAACGATCGCCTCCTTTGCTCTTGTGTCATCTCGCAGCGCACTCAGCAGGCTCTCGAAGCTCGACTTCCATCCTGGACGGTGGCACGTAGCCATCGAGCAGGTTCATGCCCGTCGAAACGTCCTCGACTTGCTGTTCACATCGCTCCTCTGGCAGACCCATGCCCTTAAACTGTCTTCGCAGGCAGCTTAGCCCCCAATAGCCTTGCCGCTGTCCTACTGCAGGTTAACGTCAACAGTGTGGAAGATAAGATTCAACGCCATGGCTATCTTCAGGCTCGCCTTGAGCTCGGGGACATCGCCGTTTCGCTGTTCCGCAGGTATGGATAAGTCGCGGTGATCTGCGCACCTGCGGTGGTCACGATGATAGCATACTCTTGCATCCATCGTTATCTCTTAGCAGGAAATCATCAATATTATGTTGAAACTTCACTCAGTGTTGGAGCTGACTAGTACAAGACTGTAAATAGCCAACCGGACTATTACTCTACTATGCAATTCGTCGGTTGTTCGACGTTATCGCCGATAGCTCACGGCCTCGAGAGCGTGTGAGATAGCTCGAGTTGCGTTTATGCAGTGTATGCAAAACATTCAACTGAATTGGCCATTTTGTCAACGTTGTTTGAGTTTTCAAGAGCTATCCATTGTTATGAATTTGCAAATAGGGCGTTCATAGGCTGTCGTAGCTGTCCAATCGTGATATTTCGCGGGCGTGCATAGATCAAATCAACTTCGGCGCTCAGATATGTCCGAGCGGCGGTGCCACCGAAACAGAGTTACACGCAAGTTGGCGGTCGTGTTCAAGAAGCGTGCCCAACCAGGCGTCGCCTCATGTTCTGGCTCGAGGTCCCCGCGTTTTCCGTCGTATCTGAGCTTCTGTACGAAACCTCTCTGAGCGCTGGCCCAGGGGAGCCCTGTGGTCACAGCCAGGACCGCGCTTCGCCCTCTAGATGAACAGTGCACGACGAGCTGACTTTGATCAGCATGCCCAACCCGCCCTATTGTGGTCTCCGCCGGCGTCTAATTCTGAACAACCACAAAGAACGACACGCAAGTCTCACCGCGGTCAGGACAGCACACCGCGGGCTCAGGGTTCGACTCGTGAATACGCGTCCGACGCGCGAGCCACTCCCCAACCTTCGAACCCCCAGCAGTACTATGCGTCCACCTCGAATCGAGTGCAACAACCAACCGGCACGAACCCGTCCTCATCTCATGTTCGTGGAGAGGTCTCATCCAATGCGGCGACCTACGGTTCTTCGCAAGGCCGGCCAACCCCCTCACAGACGCCTACACCCACGAACGTGTATCCAGACGTGTATCAATTGCGCGCATACATGCAGCAAACTCGACCCGGCAAGACCTCTTCGAAGGAGAAACTCGACGATAAGGACAGGCGCCCAGGATCAGCCACGCCTCAGCCCACACAAACATCTGCTCCTTATCCAGTGCCTGCAGCCCCGACACAACAAGGTGCACAGTACGCATCCAAGGAACCCAGAACAAGGGATGCGTCTTCGCGTCGGGAAACGAAGGAAAGCGATAGGCGCCGGGAGGAGCGATACAGGGACACGGGTCGGGACACAGACGAGAGTGATAGGGAGAAGATACGACGACAGCGAGATGAAATGGAGCGGGAAAGGAGTAGAGATCGAACGCGTCAATACGAAGAGCAGTATCGGGATAGGACGAAGGATCGGGCCCGAGACCCTCGACATCGACCCACTTATGCACAGAACGTACCCATGTCCACGGATATGCGCGGCAAGGAATCGGATAGCGACAGCTCCAATCGTAGGATGTTCTCTGCTGCCGAAGGTCATAAGAAGTACTACAGCGATGACAGGGTTCATTCGGTGCGTTTCGACATTGCTCATTCTGACTGCCGATTTTGACATAACATCGAAGTCGCGGTCCCGTGCCCCTGTGCCACAAGGTTCATCGTCCGTCCCAAGTGCGAACTCAGTCCCACCGAGTCAACCCTTTCAACATCAGGCGGATTTCAGTTCGACTCACAGGACTCCGGCGGGGGCTGTAGCCCCTGCACAGCCGACTAGACCCGCGGATGATCGTGTGTTGGGCCATTCTCAGACTGTACCCGCGTCATCGAAAGCCACCAAGGTATCTCGGGATCAAAACGCAGCGTTCTCAGAAAGCGAGAATGAGAGAGTTAGAGAACGAGATGCTGTGAGTTCGACTCGATGATTTCGGTCGTTCGTCCATACCAATACCTACACAGCGCACAAGTATTGATTCAACCGCGCGTGACCGGCCTTCGAAGGATAGGCAACCCTCCTCCGGTACTAGTCGACCTCAGTATCCCGCCGCGAATCCCGCCGCCGCCGTTCCTTCTTCGAAAGAGACGAAACAGTCAAACGAGGCAAATCCTTTCCTTAGTCCGAGGTACCCGTGTTCTCACCATCCTTCTCACAGTCGAGGTTTCTACCGAATATATTTTCGCGCTCATCACGCAAAACACCCACACCACAGCCTGTCCAAACCTCCAACTCGCAAGGACACTCCCAACCTGTCCAAGCTCCGAATCACCCCATCAATCATGCGCAGACACATCCTCCCGCGGAAGCAAAGTCCAAGCATGGCAGCACCTCGACCAAATTCATGCTGTATCCTCAGAAGGACCCTCAGTCCGGCAAACACGGGGTGGACGATCCCCGGTCCCGACGCGAAGCCCATCGGCCCTCTGCTACCGTTCAACCTGGCGCACCGCAATCCAACAATCCAGCTTCGATGCAATATGCGACCACGCATAATGCAGCAATGCATAATGCTCGCGCCACCCAAGCGGGCCTCGCTACAACCACCCAGCCTGCGACGTCAGCTGCCGCATATGCTAGCTGGAGCCCGCCCCTGCAAGACCCTTATAGGCAACTGCAATCACCGATTAGTCCGTTAAGCGGTCTGCAGGGCACGCTACAACAGCAGCTATCTTCGAATCATCCGTCTGCTCCCATGGCGACATCGAACAATCGAGCTACCGGGGCTCCGAGCGTACAGCCTGACCATCCGGCGCACAGGAATGAGACCAACGCTCCTCGAGATGATCGTCAGGTGCATACGAGCGCCAGCAATGGCAGTCCGGGGCAAGGAAGAAGGGAGAGATCCAGCCTGGAACAAGCTCGCTCCCCACCTCCGACTGCTAATGCAGCTATTGGCGGGTATTCACCGCAGGGTTATAGCGGGAGTGGATCACAGCAAACATCGGCTGTCCAGTACCAGCTTGCAGAGTCTCAGAGATATCAGGACCGCGCTCAGGCAGTGCAGCAGGGAGTGCGCTATGCGAATTCTCATACAGGCCAAGCGATCTATTCCAACAATGTGTCGCCTCCGGAGTCCCGCGACCTTGCACAGAAAGGTGGTGTCTTGCCATCGTCCACGGGATCGTATGCTGTTGCAGGGGCGAATAACATGCATGGCGGAGGGGCCGTGCCGACGCAAGCCCATCATGTCGCACAACCTCAAGCAGTCCCCGATACATACTCAACGCGGCCGGATCTGCTCAAACAGCCCTCTTATGATCAAGGAAGGCGGTCTCTGCAGTCTCCTGGGCTTTCTATCGCTACCACTGTCGACACTGCGGCCACAACGGTCACATCCTCTAACTACCAAGCTTCCGCCAACACCATACTCGGCGTATCCACCAATCCATCCAACGGCAGTCGAGAACAGGTTCATGGCGCTGGGAACAGCTCGACTCCCGTCGCTTCGGTCGACCCGTCCAAGCACAATGCACCATATCCCGGGCCAATGAGTGCGCCTCCGACAGCAATGGCGTCGCCATCGCCATATAGAAACCGACCTGAAGCAGATATGGGTCGACCTGTGCCTGTCCACCATTCAAATTCAATGCCGTCCCCCGCCCCTCATGTGCAGCAACATGCTCAAGGGGTCGCCGGAGTCTACCCAACGACCGCGCAACTGTCGCAGCGTAGCGCTACCACAGGTAGAACGATCCAAAGTTTCTTAGAGCACTTATGCTGACCATGATCCTACAGGGATCCCAGTTGCTCCGTCGAACAGGTCAGGCTGGGAAAATGTCTATCCTGGTGCAGGACCGGGCTTGGCAAGTACAAATGCCAAACCACCGAGTAGAGAGGGCCCAGCACCGAAGTTTCCTGTGATTGAGACGCCTTCCACTCCTTCAAGTGGCAGGACGGCGGGAACGCCTCCATTCCTCACACCGTCGAGTAACGTTATGGGCAACAAGACCCTGCCGCCTGCTACACCTCAATCAATCCATGCCAGCATTGCCGCGCAGCCCATCGCCCATACCGCCTCGTCATCCAGCAAACCTGTTATGGCTGCTGCTCCTTCCGTTCAGTCTGGAGCCTCCAATTCCCATAGCTCAAGCTCTAATTCTCATCCGGGGCCAGGAGCCCACCGACCTAACCAGCCATCTCAAGTCATGCATACCCCCGTGTCTCATCAACAACAACATCCGTCAACGTTACCCATATCCGGCGCTAACCCACGCTCCGATCCCCACCATGTAGGTTCTCCTCAGGCGTCAGCCCCATACCCCTCCGTTACGTCGCCTATACAACATGGTCCAACGCTGCGCGAACCTCGAACTCAACAACCTCCTCAGATTTCCAACCCCAATTCTGCCCACTCCGTATTCCCCCAGACGCATGAAATGCCTCCGACGTCAGTACCAAAGAATCCGTCTAAGGATTCCAGCATCCATCGCCAGTCTCGCAATAAGGAGAACAGCCAACCGTGGTTTTCAGGGATGATCGGGCGCAACCCATCCCGTGACTCCCAGGACACGAAGGATACTGGCAGCCTCCGCGCCGCGTCAATCATGGGTGAGGCACCAGTACGCAAACCGAGCAAACTGTCCAAGCAGCCGCCGAAGCGTTCGCAGACCCACCCTGTACCCCCGCAAATGGCGGCTCCCTCCGGCCAGGGGCGTGGCCGCACACTGTCAGATACTGAAAGCTCTCGCATGGACGCGTTGCGACACCTCATGCCTTCGCGAGCTTCGGTAGACGCGCACGGCCGACGGAATAACTCGTCGAGCTCAGTGGCTCAGGCAGCCTATGGGCGGGCCCCATCCGCACCTCCGGGGTCGCGCGACAGCTCTCAAGAGCGCAAGAAGAAAGGCGTGTTCTCTCGCTTCTTCAGTTCCGGGCCCAAGAGCTCCGATATCAAGAACCCGCAGCAGACGTGGTATACATCGCAACAGCAGGGGTCGAGCGATACCTTGAGGCGGGAGACGTCGCGACAAGATGATCGGTACAAGCGTGAGAGCGTGCTTCCCGACGTGCGGCGGACGGTCGATACGAAGGTCGTGCCTCCGCCAGTTTCCACCAAAGGCAACGTTCCTCCCACTTTGACGATTCCTTTGAACATCCCTTCGACGGAGAAGAGGAGCCCTGCGGGCAAAACATTCAAGCCTAACTTCAGATTCCTGGCCCCGAAGCGTCATCGTACCATGTCCGCGGCGTCTCTGGAAGCTATGGACGGGACAGCTGTAAGTTTATTCCTCACGTCCTCCGGTTCGAGACGGTTGACCTACCTTTGTAGCTCAACGGTCTTTCTACTCACCCATCGATGTCCACGTTGACGAGCACCATGCTGACCACCAGCGTACAACCACTGCCGACGCGGGATCCTCTCAATGCAGCGGAAGAATGGCGCAACAACGGCGAAACCTCGCTTCGCGGGCGTGGTTCAGGCACCCGCAGGGTACGTCCTGGAGTGACGTTCGACGTGGAAGAGGATCCTCCCGATGATGTCTTGGAGGCCCGCATTCCACTTGCCAGAGCGGCGAGCGGGCGCTTGCAGCGCCGCCGTCCCAGCAAATGAGGTTTATGATGAGTCTGTTTTCTGAATTATGATCTGCTTTGAGCTTTTCTAGATGCTTTGTGTTCGCTATCTTCCAAGGGATTCGATGACACCCCATGTTGTATCTATATTAGCCATGCATGCATCGCGTTTTGTTGCTCGTTCCTCATGTATCTGTATTGTCTCGCTGCCCCGCGACGACGTTGGTGATAGTAGCTGATGATACAAGTTCCGCAACCTAATGTAACATATGGTAGTTATAGCAATCTAACCAGTGAGACGTGTGCGGCGAAAACAAAAATCGGAGTGATTTGTGCTGATTCTGGATCACTCTACTAGCATGATCTCCTCTGCCTCCTTCGCCTTAGCTTTCTCCAGCTCCCTGCTTCGTGCCGCGTACTCGTTGGGATGCGTTACGCTTTCGCCACCACCAACACCTTCTCCCTTCTTGATGCCTACCGCTGCATGCGTTATCTCGAATACGCGCGTGCACGCGACGTGATAGTGGCCCGACTTGACGGCATGCATGATCTCAGGCATGTCGGATGTCGACAGGCCTTGGGTCTGGTAGGCAGCGAGGAGTGCCGCCTGAAGGTTGTCCGGGGAGAAGTGCCGGTACGGACATCCGTGCGAATCTTGGGAGGAGGGTTGGGATTGGAGAATTTGGAGGCAACTGTGGTGAATCGATCAGTATCACGTCGGTCGCGGGTTATGCGACAACCACCGGCTACCTTTTGGCGGGGTAGTTAGCGCGTTTGCCCTCGAGACCGTAGGAGTGCCTGATGTTATATTTGTACTCTTTGTTAAACTTGTCGTCCGTCATGTTACTGAAGGACCGCCGCCAGAACGTGATGGCCTCGTCTATGGACAACCCGAGTACCTGAGGACAAGTCTTCAGCATGTAGCAGTTTCTGATTGGCCTTGCGACCCATACCTTCAGGAACAGCCCATACTGCAAACGTCCGAAGTGCTTGAGATGCCTGTCCTTCTTGAGCTCATCGTGCAAGTGCCGCATGCACATAGGGAAATATTTCCTTGCGAGGTCGTCAACCATCTCGGCCTTGATCTCGTCTCCAGATGGGTTTGAGGTCGCGTCGGACCATTCCGAGGGAACACCGGCGAGGAAGCCGCGCGACAAGTTGTCGAGGAGGGGCACGATACGCGTGTCTTCATCCAAGCGGGAGAAGTGTTTCGAGGTCGCCTATATAAAGTTGCAAGTTGTTAGTGTCCCTTTGTGGAGTCTGGGTAAGCAGCGTACTTTGAGAGCTTCCTCGAGCGAAGACTGGAAAGCTTGGAACACGATGCTAGACTGCTGAGAACTGGGGACCCATGCCATTCCCTGCTTGAGGAATACCCGCCGCTTCTCCACCAAATCGGGGACGCGAGTCCATCGTACCTTTCATGGCGGGCTTGAGTGAGACCGATTGGGTTGGAGGGATAGCAAAGCGTGACTGACCTTTACAAAACGCTCCGCCGCGAGTTTCTCCTTTGTGAAGTCGCAAGCAGCCATCAGCTGATCCCTGTACATTGACTTCTCCTCGTCGGTGACCTGCAGCGGGGTAGAACGTATGGGCAAGAATGCGTTATACGCGGAATTGCAGCTTACGTCAATCCAGTTCATCTCCTTGGTTTTCAAAAAACTCTCGCGTTCTTTACTGTCATCTTCGTCGAAGCGAACTCTGAAGAGCGTGGTCTCAGCCTTCAAGAACCGTCTTCGTAGCTCCTCCCTATATCAACATAACCTCCCGTCAAAACCGCGTCTAACCTAACGCAGAGACGCTCACGATCTGCAGAACGCCAGCCTTAACACGAAGTGTCCGATGTGATCTTTTCTCCGCTCCGCATCCGTGTCAACCGACTTCGCCGTGTTGGCCGCCAAAGGCAAATACTTCTTACAGTGCGCGCTCGTGACGCTCTTGAGTTCATCGTACGTCCGATTGCGTACGAACGAGGATTCTATCCCAGCAAGGACGCGAAGTCTGTCGAGAGCGAATGTCTCGAACTCTTCAATCGTCACGTCCTCCAATGGCGGGCGGTCGTAGCTACGTATTCAGAGGCGATGAGCGCGAAAGCTCGACGGAGAGGATTTGCTCACAAGTTGAGCCTGTATGGGTATCTGCGCTTGGGGTCGTTATGAACCTCCACCTGACCGTAATTCCTCCTCTCGCGAGCGGAAAACATGGCGTTCAAGCGCGGTTATGCGGTCCTACGAACGCGTCGGTGGCAGCAAACACAGATACAGGAACGCGTTATGCGTAACGCCTCGCGCGCAGGATAACGCGTCAGTGACTGCCACTGCTTCCGCGCATATGTCACGGTCACGCGCTCAATAGCTTGTTCTCCTCCTCCGCTCAGCGCGGCGACGGGATTGAAACTCACGGTCGAGCACTACAGTCGCACAGATACATAGCCTCTCCATACCCCATCATGAACCTCAAAATTGCAGCACTGGTTTTCCCTCTGTCTATCACCGCTTGGCTCCTTTGAGATTGGGCCACCTCCATGAATGCGAGTATTTCGTCTACGTCGGAGAATGAGGCGAAGGAACACCGGATCAGACTGACAGGAGCACCGGCGTGGTTGGACGATGCAAGGTTCGAAATTTGAGCTCGAAATCATCTCTACGACCGACAGCACGAGAACCAACCTCACGGGCGCAGGGCGTGTGCTCGGCAGCGCGATTAGCAGAGGAGGGGAAGCCATCATGAAGGTGTTGGCTGGGACGGGGGAGCGTCTCGGACAGGGTCCAACTGCTGCTGTAGCAAACTTCCTTCGCAAATTGCTCGTCCGCTTCATCAATTCCTACGCTGGTATTCTCATCTCCTATTCGACGCGCGCTAAGCTCACCTCGGAGAATATGGATTGCAAAGCCAACGCAGACTCGTTTCTGAAATACCTTCGAGACTGGCGGCGACCACAATGTTCGAAAATCCTGGACTATATGCAAAAGATGTCTTGTCCTCATTGCCTCCCTCACCTGCTGTTTGCCCTATTTGGCTCGTCCGCAGGCGATGGCCTCTACTATAACAGTTTGGACACTGTTAACCTCAGACAACTGTTTTGGGAATTGTGCAAGAAACTCTCTGAAACCGTACGGTAAGTGCTGAGCCTAGGCATTCATCATGCCATCAATGTACTCACGAATTGTTACCCGTTCATGCTCGTCAGAGATGATCACCCGTGGAATGCAGCTGTTGCCACATGCTACCTTGTCGCGTTCATCAAGCTATTAGGAGAGCCATGCCGTCTTCGTCTTGTCTCCTTCCACAAACTCGACGTCAGTTTGGAAGCAAGGTTTGGTTCCTTGGATTTACTCGCCGCAGACAGTCCATCGCTTGTGGAGGCTCTCAACGAACTCCGGATTCAACTGCAAGAGCCTATGGCGTTTTGTATGCCCCGAATATTGTGTTCGCCCCCTTCCCCTGCTGACGTGGCTGTCTGTAGCGTTTTCTCGCGACACCGCAGATTTCCTAGCTTCGCTTCCGTTGGATAGCCGATTCGCTATCTTCCCCCTTTCACCGATTCTGTACATTCGCGCAGCTGAAGTGGAGGCTAATATATGGTCATTATATAATGTATGTCTCTATTTGCAGGCTCCCTTCGTCCTTTCTCAAAACTGCCACACTAGATGGTGCTGTTCCTACTTTTCCCTGCGGACGTCACAATGCCCAGTCATGTCGTCCTGGGTGCCTTGATCGAGATTTGGTATCAAGCTAGTCGATCATCAGTGGCGCTCCCCGAGCGCGCCTTCGACGGGGTCGAATCGACCTACTATTGCAATGCTCCTGAAGTTATTTGGGATAACGAGCCATCGACTGTTCGCCGTGCGGAGGTGATGACACTCTTGATAGACCTGCGGACTAGATCTCATTCCTTGACTCCTAGACCTTCTATTGTGCCATTCTTACATGGCGCGGGTCCGTCCATTCTCATGCTGAGAGCATCGATGTCAATTACGTCGACGCCGATGGCCCACAGAAGCTATTTATGACAGCAGCTCCTCGAACGCAGAACGGAAACATGCTGGCATGGATAACACGACATCAGACAGCATCGGTATATCAGCAAGTGCGTACTCGCCTCCGCGCACATCGTCATCTCTGACACGTGCTACGAAGTTGCACGAAGTCGCCCAATCCATTCAATCCTTGCATTCGCAGGGTGTTATTCACAAGAACTTCCGTTGTGTGAGCTGCTTTGTGGTTCATGTTGGGATGATCAGCTGAACGTAATCATCACCAGTGCGGAATCCTATTGGACGCCCAAGGACATATAAAACTGGATAGTGCATGGTCATCGACATATATGCAGGACGGTTCGCTCTCGAATATGGATTGCATCGCATCTCCCTTAGAGCCTTGGAGCCCCGCGACCGACGCATGGCTCTTTGGTTGTGCATGCTTCGAGGCAAGGTTTGCGACCGAGAGAGTTCGAGTGTGCGTAATAACGTCGTCCTTGAATAGGCGCTGATTATGTGGAGGCGCTCCGTCCCCAAGCTTACTATGGACGAGTTGCGTGATCTGATCGACGACGGCATACGACCGATGCGGTTGCCGCACATAGCAGACGACACGTGGAAGCTGTTGCATCGGTGTTGGGAAATCGATCCTACTGAACGCCCGAGTTTCAAGAATATTGTGGCTGAGCTGAACCATTTGAGCACAAACCTGGCTCCAAGGAAGACACGGGTACACAAACGGTCAGTGCTTGCCTAAAGCACCTTCAATATGTGTTAGACCAGTGTCTGTCGTGTGTCCGTATTGGTGCGCGCGCGTCTGCCTGTTGTAAAGTTATTGTGTGTAGATACTAGGGAAAGAACGGTAACACGAACGCTCGGTTCCGCTTCTGTTTTACCTCAAAACCCAGCGTCCTCCCGGTGGTCGAGAAAATATAATTAAACGATGCTGAAAGCCTTGCATTTGATGACACTCCACGGATTCGTCAACTTCGCGAATGCATGTCCACACAACCGGACTTGCGTATGACACATGCACTGCTACTGATTGTCAGGTACATCCCTACATAATATTCACTTTTGAGATACCAGAGCAAGCTCAGGTAATTGTCAGTTACATCCCTTCGCTCTCGATCCCTCGAGAATGTAAATTATGAGGAAACAAGGGAATAAGCAGCCCTAACCGCAACGCTGCAGCGGAGATCCATCCACATGGCGCGGATTCAGCTGCTGTGTTGCGCAGACCCATCCGGGTCTTTATCCAAGGGTAGTATGAAACCTGTCCCGTCGGCTTGCAAGAGCAGGGCGGACAATCGAGCTCGCTGTCACGGTCGATTCAGAATGGTCCAACCACGATCTCGGTTAGGCTTCGCGAGCTGGCGATCGTCGCGGCTCGAAATCTCGGCCCATCTCTAGCACCCCTTATCAGTCGCTCTTCGTGGAAAAAGAAACCGGACTACAGTGCATATTGGGTGTCTAGATGTATATATGTAAAAGAACATGACATAGCACAATATATGTATCGGAGCGAATAAAATCCGTAGCTGCGGGTCCGCGCATCAATAATGAGGAGGGCATAGCAGTTCGTCTTCTGTAGAGCTCGTCATATGTAGTGACATTTGAAGAAGAGAGGATAAGGGTTCGTGAAACAATGGATGAGTGATATAATGTACAGCGCCCCGTTTGCGTCTGCGTGCGCGCGAGTACATTTCGGTTTATACTTGTGTTTATGCGTGTCATATTCGTCGTCTCTGCGATCGGTTCGTGGTCGACTCCCCAGCGTGATCCCTCGCTATCGCGCGGCGCCCGCTAGAAGAACCTCCTTTTATGCGCCTTTTCCTCCACCGCAACCTTGATGTGGACGTGGTTCGGCTGCACCCCGGGCTCCGAACACGGCACGATGCCCGTCAACCACTCGTCCAGGCCCTCCTCTTCCTCCTCCTCGTCCTCCTCCTCGTCTTCCTCCCTCGACTTCGGGCAGCGACAGCCCTCCTCCCCGCCCGTAGCACCGCACACGTTGCACGCGACGCCGCTCAACGAGCCCAGCAGATCGTCGAGCGTGCACCGCGCGGACGGGTCGATGTGCATCATCCGCCGGATCGCGGGCCGCGACTCACGCGGCAGCAGGCGGAACACCGACTCCGATCCTCCCCCGTGGAAGGTGGCGACGGACGCGCTCGAGTCCACGCGCTTCCGGCGCGGCGCCGTCGGCGTCTTCGACGCGTGCATCGTCGCGCCCGTAGACGTCGAGCCCGCATCGGAGGCCTTCTTCTCCCTCGCGTTCTCCTTCGGCTTCGGCTGTTCCCTGCGCACGACCGGCGATCGCGAGCGCTTGCCGTTGGGCGAGACCGCTTCGTCCTGCTCTTTCTCCTTGTCCGCGACGGGGCTCAGCGGGCCGTGGAAAGTGCTCGCGCGGACGCGAGGGGGCATGACGGGCTTCATCTTCGGCGTCTGCACGTCCTCTCCGTACCACCCCTCGCCCTCCTCGCCCTGCGTCCTCGATATCTGCGCGGGCTCGTCGGTCATGGGCATCATCGAGTAGCCCGCAGCTGGGCTGAGCAGCGGCGACGCGGGCAACGACTCCGTGCTGGCGGCGGGTCGCCCGAATCGGAGTACACTGGGGTCCATCGTCCTGTCCTCGCCGACATTGAGCGACGACGGAGAGTCGCTCGTATGCAGCATCAGCGCGCCACCCGCGCCGCCTATCTCGTCGAGCGACAGCAGCGCCGGGAGTGTCGCGGTCGACTTGCCCGTCGCCGCAGCATGCTGCAGCGAGCGCCGGATACGTTCACGCCGCCGGACTTCGTCGTAGCTCTGCGAGGGACCCTTGCCGTTTGTGTGCGAATGTGGTTGCGGCGGTTGCTGAGGCTCTTGAGGCTCTTTTTGTTGTTGCCCGTGTCCCTCGCTGGAACTCGAGCCACTACTGCTTCCAGAAGAAGAGGAACTCTGGCGCTGCCCCGCTCTCGACTCCTTCGCGTCGCCGTTGACCGGCTCCGGCTGGTCCACGAAGTCCGTGACCTTCACTCCCTCCACTTTCTTTTGCGCCTCCGCCTGTTGCGCCGTCTTCTCTTCTGGCTTGCTTTCGCCCGCTTCTATGCTCTTCTTCTTCCTCCGCTCCTTCTTCGGCTTGGCCAGATCCGGGTGCGCGCTGACAAACGCCCTGAAACTCGCGTCCGTCTTCCGATCCGGGATCGTCCACGGGAACCGCCTCAGCACCATACACATAAAAATGATAGCCACGCTCCACACGTCCGTCTTCCTCGGGTCGTACGGCTTATCCTCCAACACCTCCGGGGCGAGGTACGGGTCGCTGCCGACCACGCCCGTCGCGAGCGTCACGCTATCCGGGTCCGACGAGCCGGGATAGTGGAACAGCGTCGCGGTGCCAAAGTCGATGAGCTTCACGACGTTGTCCGTCGTCATCACGCAGTTGTCCAGCTTGAGGTCGCGGTGCGCGAGCCCGATCGAGTGCAGGTAGTGCACGCCGTCGCAGATCTGGCGGAAGACGCAGTAGATCTCGGGCCGGCACATTTTGCCCGACATCACGACCGAGAATAGGTCGTAAGGCGCGTACTCCATGACCTGCGGCACGAAAATATCCATCGTCAGCGTCATTCGATCTCAATGCATGGCGCGCAGATGATCAGCGATAAAATAAACCCTCACCTCGTAGTAATGCCCGTGATCCTGCACGATATCCACCGTTCTTATCACATTGCGATGCTTGAGCACGCTCCCCACGCAGAACTCGGCCGTCAACTTCTTCTGGTACTCTTTCTCGCTCTCCCCAGGCCTCTTCGGTCTAAACTCCTTCACAGCATAGGTCGCGCCGCCCATCTTCGTCGAGCTCTTGATCAACCTGACGGTGCCGCCCGCGCCGCTGCCGAGGACGCGCCCCCACTTGCCATACTTCTTGCCAATATGAGCGTGCGTGGCATCGTGCAGGGACACGATGGGCGCGTGCGACCCGTCCTTGTCCTTTTCCTTGTGGCCCGAGTTTTTGCGCGACTTGGGCAACGGACGTTGGGACGGCGTCAGCGAATGCGCTTCGGACGGGCCCGTCGTGCTCTCCTCCATCGTGTGCGCGGCGGTAGACGACTCGCTCGCGTCCGTCGCGGTCGAGGTATACGTGTACTGCGTGACGCTCGTGGAGTGCGAGTCGACGCGCCTGACGGTGCCCTGCGTCTGCGTCCCGCTCGCCGTCGACGGATCGGGCGTACCCGGGCGCGGCGGGGAGGGCGTGCCCTGCGCCGAGCGCGGATGCGCCTTCGTCGGGGACGCCTGCCCCGATTTGGTGCTCTCCGCTTCCTTGTCCTTGCGCCGGAAGAAGCGGCCCTTGACGGACCCGTTCGGGTGCGGCAGGTCGGTGTGCTTGTCGAAGTCCTCGCCCCGGCGCTGGTTCGCGGGGAGCTCGTACGGCTCTTCGGGCGGGGAGTGCGCGGCGGTGTTGAGAGGGCGGGTGGAGCCTCCGGACGGCATAGACGAGGAGGCGCCCGATGCGCCTTCCAGGTGGTGGTGATTATTGTGATGGGGAAGGTGGTGGTTCAGGAACCGCTTGAGGTCGTGCAGCGGACCGTGCCCGGGGGCGTGCTTGCCCTTGCCTGGCGGGCTGGCGGGGTTGTTGCCGTTGCCATTTACGGCCGTGGCGGTATTGTTGTTGGGATCGTCAGGCGTCGGCGAGGACGAGCGGATCTGGAAGCTCGGCTTGCGGCTCACGAAGGAGAAGCGCGAGCTGCTGGAGGCCGGCGGGTGCTCGCTGGTGGGCGTGCCGGGCTGCAGCGGGGTGGCCGGCGCGGAGGGCTTGGGCGTGCCGCGGAAGAAAGACGTGCGGCGGTTCCGGGGCGGGGTGCTGTTTGCGGCGCCGTTCTGGATGTGGACGGGGACGTAGATGTAATTGGGAACGCGGAAGATGTAGATGTAGATCGACGAATGAGTTGGGCTGGAGCCGGGCGGTGCGGCGAGGGGAAGCGTACCTGTGAGGCACTGTGGCCATGGGGGGCGAGCATGTCGGTCGAGGGCGACGGCTGCGGCGGGCGATCGGCGACGTCGGTGTCGACGTCGTCGGGGACGACGGGCTGCATGGGCCGCGCGGAGAGCATCGTGGGGGTCGGTGAGGAGGGGCTCGTTGGAGGAGGAGGGAGTTATCCATCAGCGACGGGGGCTCGCGCTCACTGATCCCGCCCGTTGGCCGCATCGGACCGGAGATCTTCGGCACCTTGGCCGCTCAGCTTGCACCCACCCGGCGCCATCGTCATCCCCCCGATCACATCACCCTCCTCCGTCTACCTCCTCCGACGAATAATCTCTTTTGCGACGCCCGTTCACTTTCAGTCGCACTTCGACATAGTATTATTGTTCGACGCGATTTCTCTGCAACAATATCCCGGACTTTGGGCGGCAATAACGCCTCGGGTGTCTCGATGCTGCTGATCCTGGGACCCAGAGGCGCTGACATTCCCCCACAATGACGCTGACTGCCACCTGACCCCAGACTGCGCAATCATCAATGAATACTATTCCTGGGACCATATACACTCTGCTTGCAGGCCTCGCCCATTAAGTATTTCACGTAAATATGCCACCCGCTCATCGTCATTTTATCGTCCATTTGACCCGCTGACCACGCAAAGGAACGTTTTGGGGCTGGTCAACTTGACACGGAACCGGTCACCAACTCGTCTGCACGCAGGGAAAATGCCATGGTACACCGCCGAGGCCCGATCCGAATTCAGAACCCGTTGTAACACGATGCGCCCTCCTTCTCATGGTCCCCGACCAATCAAATTGGTCCAGATGCGACTCCAAGTCGTAAGACCCTCGATACATAGTTCCCTGTTAGTGCAACGCCAAGCAGCTCAAGATGTGAATCAACACACTTCTCGGTGGATTGAAGGGCTCAGCGCCGAGCATTCATACCGTCCGTCAACCACGGCTGTCGTTTACCGGTCTTTGTGTGATCCACACCGAGAAGCACCGCACGTCGCAGGAAAGACCGACCGAAGCGGTTTCGAAGGCGCCAAGAGCTCATATCTCGATGTCCTACCATTCACGATCACTCTCGTCCATCTTTCGTCGTGGTTTCGAGTATGACCATCGTCCTCTATATCAGGTAGCCCAGTAGCATCTCGTAGCGTAGCAAACGTGCACGGCTCGGAAGATATGGACGTTTGGCTCAGCACGCTGACACCGGGTGGCGTTGTAAGGCTTTCCAGCCCGCACTTTCACGCAAGGTTCCCTCCGCTTTCGGCCACAGCTTTGCGTTACATGCCAAGCCGCCAATCCGCCCTCGACTCCTTCCCAGTCTCACCCAAAGTTTCATAAAGTTCATCATCCACCTTACACGCTGCACCACACCTTACACCAATCGCAATACGGGAGCATTGTTGACGATGTATAAGCTGCCGCACCGGGATGCGAATCGGGATCCTCGGCGCGCATCCGGCCTGAGCGGCACGCGACGGCATCGCGGCGCGCCTTATATACTGGATCCATTGGCACGGCTCCCTTCCTGAGGGCCATATGGAGCGGACTCCTGCCGAGCAGCGGACGCTCAAGATAGGGCCAATATGGATATAGAGATGGTTTAGGCCCGCGTTTCGGTTGCGACCCCGGAGCACCGCCAGGTGCCTAGGTTTCATCAACCGCAATCGTTCAGTACGCACAGCATGCATTCCTGTGGAATTGTGGGGGGTTCACAGAATGGTGGAGCTCAAGGTTGAAGCTAAACCACCATTTGAGTAACCGAGATGGCACCCGACGGTCCAGGCTGCCGATGCCCTGTCGAGTTTCCGCCTGGAAAACCGAATCGTCGGTGATTCTGCGATGCTCAACCGCGAGCAGCATATGATATCATTCTGCACAGAAAGCAAGATTATAGCCTACGACTCACATCGCAGCCGTCGTCACGAGTATCCGAAGGCATTAGGCTCAATCCTCGTCCTCCGCGTCCCGTTTCCTCTTCATCTCCCTCGTTACCTTGTGTTGCGCCGCCTCGTGCCTCGCGAGCTCGACAGGCATTTTACTCACAGGACTCTTCGAGATCTCTTGCTTAAGATCGTACCTGCGCCAAACAGTCGTCAATACGATGCTCCTATCCTTAATGGACACATGCGACAACATGCTGAGCGGGTATACACCCGAACAAGGGGGGCGGGAGCCCCATGAGAAGGTAATGCAGGAGCATGGCCAACGAGTGAAAGAAAAGGCGGTGATAAGGGAAATGACGTACATAACCTCGGCATCCTCATTGGTCAGGAACGTGATCGCCGTGCCTTGCTTGCCCGCACGTCCAGTACGACCTGTCGAAAATGAAAGTGAGCGTCCGTCGCAACGATACTTGAGCGTAAGTTGGTCGTGCATATCAATAGTAAATCCTTGTACGCGTAGAAGACCTTGACGGATAGACGTCTAGGGCATGGAGCCCCGAGACCGGATGTAAAAGAAAGAAAGCCAAAGGCACGGCTAACAGGAGCACGGAGAAGAGAAAGAGAGTTTCGAAAATCGAATGCTGAGCCGGGGACCGATGGCTCCGGCAACCGCGCGGCGAGAAGGTGAAGAAGGGATTAGGGTACGAATAGCAAGGCTGCACGACGGTCGTGGGTAACGCGCGTCGCGAACACCCCGCCGGACACCGGGAGGTCTCGGGGTACACAACGTATGAAGGGAACGCTGAACTGCAGCGACGGAACGACAAGGAAGAAAGGCGTGCACAACCGGCTGTCAGGTCCCGGCGCAAAACGCACACGGCAGAGAGCAAGAGAGGAAAATAAGATGCAAAAAGGGAACTCACCAATACGATGAACGTATGCTTCGATAGTGTTGGCCATCTGGTAGTTGATGACGAGCGTGACATCGGGCACGTCGATACCACGACCAGCCAAGTCCGTGGCGACTAGGATGTCGGCGTGACCGTCACGTAGTGATTGCAGCGCCGCCTCTCGCTGTTCTTGGTTCTTGCCGGAATGTAGGGTTGCCGCGCTCCACTAGGGTGACGAATAAGCAAACAAAACAATAGCCGGTAAGAAAGGACTTACGCCAGCGCGTTGGAGGTCTTTCGCCACCATGTCCGCCGTCTTCTTCTGGTTGACGAATACGATGATCGGTGGCGCATACTGGTTGCTGTTGAGAATCTCCAGCATCTTCTGCTTCTTCTTTTCGTCTCCGCTGACAAATTCGACCCGCTGCTCAACCGTATCCACGGCTCTACCGGCCTCACCAATCGTCACCACCGCGGGCTTCCTGAGGTATTTCTTCGCGATTCGCTCGACAGGCGGCGGCATCGTGGCACTGAATAACGTCGTTACCCGAGTCCTACCCTTCGTCACAACAACGTTGGTCCCGCCCTCTTCATCGACCTCCATCGCGGTCGTGGACTCCTCGCCGGCCATGGCTTCGGAGGGCAGTTTGTCGAGGATGAATAAGAGGTCGGCTTCGAAACCCAGGTTCACCATGCGGTCGGCTTCGTCCATGACGACGTAGCGGCATTGGGAAAGGACGAGAACATGGCGTTCAAGAACGTCCTTCAGACGACCGGGCGTGGCGATGATGATTTCTGCTCCTTCCCGGAGGTTGAACTGTTGCTCTTCGACTGCACGCTACGGAAAACAGAACAATGAGAGATTAGTGATCCAAGCGGATGCATCTCCGCACGATGCACTTACACCTCCGACAATCGAGACACATTTGTACCCGAGTGGTGTGGCAAATTTGCGGGCCTCCGACTCGATCTGTTGCGCCAACTCGCGCGTCGGCGCCATAATCAACGCATAAGGACCCAGATGCCGGTTTTCTTCGGTGAATGCAGGTAGCTTGGATATGAATGCGAGCATAGGGATAACAAACGCCGCGGTCTTTCCGGAGCCTTTGATGAACCATGAGTGCTATCAATAAGATGATATTGTGACGCTGCACTCACCAGTCTCAGCAATGCCAATAACATCGCGGTTCTGCAGACCAATAGGAATAGCCTGCCGTTGGATAGGTGACGGTTCCTTGTAACCGATCGAATCGACGATTTCCAGTATTTGAGCTGGTATATCTGATTCCTCCCATGACCGGAGCGGGTGCGGGATTTGACCACCTCTCGCGGCGATGCTGAAGTCCTCCCGGAAGATACGCCAATCACGCTCTCTCATCTCCTCCAGCTTCTTCTCTGACCAATGCCTCTCGTCCGCCGCGCCTTTCGCCGCCCTCCTCCTCTCCAGCGCATCCGCACTCGCATCCACCTTGCCGTTTGTGCCCGCCCCGGCGCCCGTCCCTCCGCCGTCGTCCATACCGGCAAGGTGTCCCCTCCCAAACATGACCCCAGCACGATTCTGCAGCTCTAGGGGTTGCGGACCAGAAGCCGACAAGGTGTCGTCGCCCTCATCCCAGTCGAAAACGAATTTGCGGTCGTTCATCTTGCGAATCTTCCGCTTCTTCTTGTCGACGCCGAGGTAACGCGACCGTATAGCGCTAATTTCGGATTCCGTCATGGAAGGCGTATATTCTTCGTTGCCATTGCCATTCGAGCCACCAGGGACCGGGGAGTGGGTAGAAGAGGACGGTGCAGAGGAGTCAGATGGCTTGCCGCTTCGGTCGGCACGAGGCCCCGTAGGTACACCTTGATATTTGCGCTCATCCTGAGCTGCAGGTGGAGGTGGAGGTGGGCGTCTGCTATCTCGTCGATCATCACGCCGGCCATACCTGTCGTCTCTGTCCCGGCCGTGGCGGTCGCGGTCGCGGTCGCGATCACGGTCCTCGTCTGTATAGTACAAGCAGTGATGAGAATCATGGCCGTCACCGGAGAGAAATATCCAGAACGCACATCGCCCACCGTTCCCGCTGCCATACCTCGATCCATACTCCCTGTCTCTTTCCCGCCTGCGCAGCTCCTCCGCCTCACGCTCGAGTGCTTCGCGCTGCCGTCGCGCCTGCTCCTCCCTTTCCTTTTCTTCCTTAATCTCCTGGGCACGTTTGGCTATCGCGAGTTTGGCACGTTCCTCTTTCGATAGGAATTTTGGCTATGTTGCGTAGACGCGACATGAGCTTGAGCAATCGTGGAAGGAGGGAACGTACCTTTGCCGCAGCTTCTTTCTCCGCCTTCTGCTTTTCTAGCAAGCTCTCGATAGAAAGCGGTTGTCCTCTCGTCGCCATGAGTCCAAGCAGATCCGATGTCGAGTTGAGCAGGGAGAGAGTCACGGTCACCCCGGCCCAAACGGCAGCTATACTGTGGCTGTGCTATTTCCTTGCTCTCTCAAAGCCATCCCCCTGAGCCGTAGCTTGGGCTCTTCGTGTTACTACTCTAATCAAGAGCCGAAGCTATGAGCTCCGTACAGGACAGCGCTGATTCTTTTGACTTCTCTCGCTATCAGTCCCCTCGTCCCGAAACCCCCGAGCCGGACTCGCGTCAGGGACGTCGCAATGCGCAAGACGTGCAATTGCTAGATGAAGATGGAGCGATCTCCGAACAGGTGCGCGGTTACGATTTATTATGAAAGTATCAGAAATGATTGATCAAACCCTTCGCAGCTTGAACAGTGTCTCAAACACATTTTCGCGAAATACTGCACCCCGCCCTGTCCGTTCGCTAACGACAGCCACCGGGATTCAATTCTCCTTACGCCACCTGATGGCGCAGTGCTCAATCGGGAAGGTAAGAAGATCTTTTACTGCGAAATGAGGTCGAGCACTCAACTGTCCGTGCGCTAGGCTTAGATGCATGGGCACGGGATACAAACGGACAACCGTTTTCTCAGGAGACAATAGACGAACTGACGGAATTTCTTGATGTAACTGACGACGGACAACTCACGTACGTTGTCAGCAATCATGTTTAAACATCCATTGTTGTTCACACCGGAACATTAACGCCAGGTATAAGGGTTTTCTGCAAATATATCAATTGCAGACCGAAAATGACGAAGAGGAGACGTGGCGAGATCTAGTAAGCAACCGTGGTCTATTGCGTTTATACTAGCCCTCATGATTTCGTTCAGTCGAGTCACGGATTCGACCGCCGACTGCGACTAGTCGCCACGCGGCGTGAGGATATGGAGTAATCATCGCATCCATCCAGGAGACAAACACCTTCACCTGCACTCCATAACAAATCTGATCCTTCCGCAGCATGCTTTCATGATCTCCCCCAGCATCACATCCCTCGCTCTTCCGCGTTACCTTCCACTCATCGCACCTTTCCCCTATTGGGAGTATACTCTCAGGGTCACATAGCCGCATGTACGCTCCCAAAATGCCACTCCAGCAGGGACAGGAACCTGCCAACGCTCGATCAGCGCCAAAGATATTTATGTGTATGAATGCCTGAACTCGTCGTTCATCTTCGAGTATGAATGTGGGAGGTGTATCATTCCCACAATTTATTACGAGTACTGCGTTATCCTGCAGAAATTCCTGCAAGAGCTGACCGAGACCAGGCGACAACAGACGAGCTCTTGGGTGGAAGTGTTAACGTTTGAACCAGTGGTTGAACCAGTGCATCACACAGACGCGATCACGAGCCGTGCCTCCGTGTATAACGCGTTATGACGTATGACGTATGTGAAGTCTACAGCGGAGTCGCTTGCGCTTTCAACCATCCGACCCTCTAACCCACAAACCCTTGTCGTCCAAACGCTCATCACCCATCGGATTTACCATCCGGACAAGTCGCCAATATGCAAGCTTACGCTATGAGGCGCCTATGCGCCGCGCATCCGCGACTCGGACAACGTGCTCCGCAACTCGCCTCCAGACCCGTCTGCTCACGTCTCGCTACCAACTCCTCGTTCGCGCAGGCGTCAGCGCGGAGGCAACTCTCCTCATCTCATGGTCTATCCGTTCTGAAGTCGCAGGCTCGATCTGGGCCACACCCAGGACGCGCCAACTCTTCCTGGCTCAAGGGAGCTACCGTCGTCGGAGTTGGTCTCGGCGTGTCCGCGCTTCAGCTATCCCAGCCATTGCATTGCGAACGTACGCCTGTTCATACCTCAATGGGTGCAAAGTCTCACGTTCATACCCGATGTTCATATTTTTTCATCCGCGGCAGCCCCTCCACCGGCAGCCCCTCTTCCTCCCCCGCCGCAGTCGAGCGTGAACGTGTACGAGCTCTCGTTTGGCACCGTCTGCGGCGTCTGTGCGGGGGTGTTCATCAAGAAAGGCGCGAAAGCGCTCGCGTTCGTTCTCGGAGGCGTATTCGTCCTCTTACAGGTTCACGTCGTTTCTTCGATTGCATGTGAACGCGATCGGGGGCTGACAAAGCGCTCGGTTGGCTATAGTACATGGGCTCGCGATCCGTAGTTAAGGTAGACTGGAGCGCCATGGGAAGCCGCTTCGAGAACCTGTTCTACACGACCGATCCCGCCACGGGAACCAAGTAAGCTCCCTTTCCCCTCCAGCGTCCCCTAATAGTTGCTGTCCGCGAACGTGTCGCTCAACATGGGATTTAGGAGGGCGCCCAACGTGATCTCTTTATACCGCTGGCTGGTCGATTTCCTCACCGCCAACTTCCAACAGCGTGCCAGCTTCGTCGCCGGCCTGGCTCTCGGTCTCAGGATTGGTTGAGAAGAAAGAAGATGGCCGCGGTACATATCCTGAGAGCGCCGCCGCGGGCGAAGGCTGTCGGGTCTGGCCGAAATCGGACGTGGACTTGACACTGTCTATCAGAGACGCGGGAGCGGCGGATCCATACTGCGGGAGAAGGCGAATAAGGCGATATTTGTTCGTGCACCAGAAGCCATCCGAACCCTCCACGCTGTCCGTCCGACGCGCACCGTCGCTTGCGCAGAATCCGATGTATTATACATCCGATCTCGTCTATGGATACAGTTTTTTGTGCGTCTGTGGTGTGGGTGGTAGCATGACTGCAGAACATTACGAGTGAAGAAAGGTCCGTGCATGCGTAGCAGCATGTCGTAGACGAGGGTGCGATCACTCCTGTTAGGTAGTATGTATGTATGGGAAAGATATCGTATGCGAACCGATACGGGATGAAGTGCGAGCCATCTACTATAATGGGGGGGACCTATCGAGAAGCACCAAGTGCATACGGTGGTATATAAAAAATGCCGGGTCTTCCAAGAAAGGCAAGTTAAGGTGGGGAATATATATAACGCTCCGTTCGGTACATGGGCCTCGCAGACGAAACCCATCGAGATAATTAACGATCAGCGCCGCTGGAAGGCGGTGAATCCCATCTTCTTGTGAGCGGCACTGGTCCCAATCCACGTATAGGCGAGGACTACCGCTGAACGGCAAGGGCATCTTCAGCGGAGGCGTCGGAGTACATCGTTTCGGCGGCGAGAACGACCTCTCGGGCCCCGCGGCACCTTGGTCGTGCGACACACCGACGTTAGCGCTGCTGCTGGAAGCTCGAGGGGACTGCGTATAGCCGCTTTTTGGCCGGCCCGTGAAAAGAAGTTGTTCACCGCAGACTGCGTGGGAACGTGAGCAAAGCCGGGCTACGCATCTGCAGCTGACGTCACCGACGGGGTGGGCGGCGGGCGGGAGAAGGTGGCGAGGTCGCTCGGAACCGGGTTCCGCGGCCGATCCCAGTGCACGGAGACGTAAGACTGCACCTCTTTGCTCTCGTCGTGCGCGACGCGGACGAGGATGTCCATGATATGCGATGGCATTTTGGAGGCGTCGGAGAAGAAACGATCTGAGGGAGAGTCATGTTTTTTTTTTCGGTCGTCAGTCAACTGTGCCACCACAAGGAGCGGAACGCGCCGCGTGTTTCTCTTTCTTACCGCAAATGATCCCCAATAAGCGCGCCACACCGATGCGGACGTTGGTGATCTGGTCATCTGCCAGCTGACCGATGAGCTTCCAGAAGTGACTGTCGGCCAGAGTCGACTCGCCGCCCGGCGCAAGTACCAACGCCTGCCTGCAAGCAACAAACCTAGGAAAGGGAATCCAACACATCAGATCCCCAGACCAGAAGCATGGGTGTCTAGAACATCAACATACGTCATCCGGTACCGGTAGGACGGCGCACGGGCAAGCCGGTTGATATCTTCATGGATGTCACGTATAACGGTCGGCCGGTTACCAAACGCCACGCAAAACTTGGGAACCTGGTAAATATACGTGATTCGTCAGATTGTCCGAACGGATTGGGGGGAGAGCGTCGCCGGGGCGGGCGTACCATATTGATAGCGGCCTGCCGGACGGCGGCCACCGAATCCTGCAGCGCCTTCAACAACAGCGACCGCAATATGCCAGGTTTCTCGCCCATCAGCGGCACGAGCTCGTCGAGCGATCCGGCGACGGTCTCGCGTTCCCGCCATCCTCGGAGGTTATCGACCCATATCCGCTGGAGCGAGACCAGCAAATCCGCCCGTTCCGTGGGCCCTAGCGATTGCGCCAGCGTCCCCAAGCACTCCACCGCCCTCAGGCGCAGATCAGCCTCTTCGCTCCGGACCGCTTCGAACCACATCGGCAGGACGTCCCGCCGAGCGTTCTCCGGACCGACGATCTTCGCAATTTCTCCCGCGCTGGCGGCGAGCGATCGGCGGACCTTGACGACCTCGCTCCTCGCCAGAGTCGCGTAGAAATCGCGCAGTTCGTGCCACCGGTCCCTTCCCAGGGTCAGCGTAACGGCCGGAAAGTTGAACGCGCATATCAGAGGCCTCGCCGGATCGTCGAAAAACGCCGTGCCCGATCCCGCAAACGGGGACGTCGGGTCCGACGGCGGCGCCTGCGGCTGGGGCGAGAGTCCGAGCGACCGTATCCGGTTCTTCCAAAACTCTCGATCTTCCGGCCTCCCGAGAAACAACCGCAAGAGGTCGTACGGCGGTCCACCGGGATCGTCGCGAAAAGAGTGTATCACTTCGCCCAGCGCCTCCAGAACGCCCGACTGCACCGCGGGTGCCGGGTCGGCCGACAGCGAAAAGACGATGCCCATCGCGAGGCTCCTTCGTTCCCTGGGCTGCAACCGGGACAATATGGCGGGGAACGCGAACAGCGCGGAATGGCGCACATGCCACGTCGGATCGTGACAGAGCGCCTCGAACAAAGGCAACTGTATACCGTGCACACAAGATCAGGACGAAAAACGTCTCCTCCGATGACATGCGAATAGACTTACCAATGACCCGGTGACGATCTCGAACGGGACGACCTTCGCCAAAGCTCCCAATGCAAAAGAGGCCTCGCGTCTCACCCAGTACACCGGATCTCGTCCCGCCCTCGTCACCTCGCCCACAAACTCCGCCCTCGCGTCGTCGTCCACGGACCCTGTTAAAGCCGTAACCCTCGGTCACCACAACCCGCACCAACCGCACAAGATCCGGGCAGCTAATCACTCACCGCTGGCTGTCACAGCCGCCATCAAGCTCATGCTCGACAACCGGCCCATCGCCGCCTGTTCGCTCGCATCGTCCGGATCCTCCGACGGCGTCATCCTCACGTCCGCAGGCGACCCGCCGCGGGCCTGCCCGGTCATCGCAGGGTCCGTATCCGTAACCACCGTCGTCGGTATACCCTGCGCTCGTTCCCCACCAACCCCCTGCGCATTCCGCGCAAGCGTGGGGGATCCCGGGGCGGAGCGCGACGCGGGGGTAGAGGCGGCGGGAGCGGCGGGCACGTCGGGAAAGTACGGATTCGTCTGCGGTTGCGTTTGCAGAGCGGGGCCGCGAGCGTCGCTATGCGAGGACGACGGGCGATCGGACACGTCGAGCCTCGCCATGCCGACCACGACGCTCTCCAGCAGCTCCTGCCTAAACAGATGCCTTTCCTCCTCGCCAAACAGACCCGGCTCCACCTCGCCCTCGTCCGCTTTGCGGATTTCGCTGAGGAGCTCGACGACGGCCCGTCGGGAGGAGGTAGCCACGGCGGGGCTGGGGCAGAGGAGCAGGGTGCCCAGGATGGGCGTGAAGGCCTGCACCGGCAACAGCGTCGGATTCTCCGTGCCCTCCCCTGGCTCGTAATCCACCACTTGACAATGCTAACAAAAGCGACGTGCGATAAATATCAGTTTAAAGAAACGTATGCGTGATAATACGTGAAGCAGGGGAGACGTTTACCGTGAGGAACCACCACGCGATCCGGACCAATTCGGCGGCCAGAGCCTCCTTCACCGCGTCCTCTGCGAGTTCTATGTAGCTCATGTAGCGGGTTCATGCGAATGGGAGGGACAATCACCTTCGTCCATAGCCAGACTGCTGACTAACGGCAGCACATAATCGACGGCTTCCGTCGGCGTCACGTCGTCCAGAAAATCCGGCAGAGAATGCACGATAAAGACCCTGTATTTCTCACGACGTTAGAGCCATATACGTGAAAATGGGACCGAGACAGATCGTATACAGTGGAAAAACCGTAGTTTTTTTTATAGATTTCGGCATGCGCCGGCACGGGGGAGGGGGTATCGAGAAGAAAAAAAAGTTGGTCCGAGGACCGTGGTGCTAACGTACCGATGAAACGTCGCCTCGCTCCTGGAAAAGAGCCATATCTTCTCGAGCGTGTTCAGCGTGTCGTCGTCGTACATATCAAAGTCGGCCGGCGGATTCGCCGCGGCGGCGGCGTCCGCGTTCGGAAACGGATAGGCGTCTAACGGGGGCTCCGTCGACGCGCCCATCGCCTGTTCTTCCGGGGTCGACGGCGCCGTCGCGTATTCTCCGAGCCCCGGGGAAAGCATCGCTTCTCGATAGGCCGAGAGAGGCGCCGGGCCGGGGGAGAACGGCGAAGAACTCGATCTATTATTAGGTTGGTGCTGTGACGGGGCGGAGGAGGAGGAGGAGGTAGTGGTAGTGGTAGAGGCGGGGGCGCCTGGAGAATACGACGAGAGGGGAGAGGCGGGCCCGGGGCCGGTATCGGGCGTCAGAGGGTACGTCCCCGGTATCTGCAGAAGCGGGGAGGCGGGCGGCTGGCCGGTGGCAAAGCTGCCTTCAGAAAAACGCGGGGCGCCCAGCGGACCGCGCGAGGGCGAGCCGGAGCGGTAGGCCCCGGGCATAAGCAGCGGCGATGCGCCCGGGGTGAGGGTCGAGGACAGGGTCAGGCCGTGCTGGAAAGACGCCTCTGGGAGCCGCGGCGGGGACGTCGGCGACGACGGGGGTTGGCCGGCAGCGTCGGGGCTGCCGTGCGGCGATCTTCTACGAAGGAAGAGGGAAGACACTGACGGTCCCATCCGGGAGAGCTTGAGCATGCGAAAATACCAAGACAGAGAAAGAGCGGGAAGGGTGAGAGCGAGACACGTACTTCTGTCTCTCTTGACGCTTTCTAGCCGCGCGCACGCGTGAACTCATCCAGGAAGAGGTATTTCGTGCCGCCGCGCGAGTGGATCTCCGGCCTCGGAGATGAGCTAGCTTGTTGTCTATGACGCAGCACCTCTGCAGTGTGGGTGCGCGAGACGGTCAAGAGGTGACTGGCTCCAAGCGAGGTGCGAGGCGAGGGAGCGAGGAAATGGGAATGAACAGGCGCGCACGGACCGCGCGGCGAGCAGCAGATTACGTCGATCGCCGTCCGGAGGGGGGACACGCACACGAGGGCGAGCTCGACGAGAGACGACGACGCGGTGAGGAACGAGAGAAAATGTGTTCGGAAGAGCAAACGAACGCGCGCACGGCACCGCTGAGCAGGAGGGGGACGGGGTCGAGGGACAAGGCGAAGGGAATTGGCGCGGCGCTTCAACGGAGCAAGGGCAGGCGTTCCCGGACACCACGCCCAACAAAATGATTGTGCGAGCGCGACGGAGGAGGGTTGTGTGTGCTGATGTCGTCCATGGGGGGCTGAGAGCGTCTAGACGGGGGCCACTGATTTGGCCCATTTTCGGTGATGTCATCGCCTCCGCCAAACAAACCTGCGTCATCATCCCCCTTCGCCTTCCTCTTCTGTGCCGCCGGGCTGCCTCATTGGGCCCAATGACAGAAGCTTGCGTCCCGGCATCCGGCCGGCGCGGGGATATCAGAGTCTGGCGAGTCTATTCCGAGTTACACGTTGGGCGGGTCTAATGGCTACGTGGGCCTGAGTCTAACTATGTATAATTGCTACCACTGGTCTACAGCTCTCCACGGACCGCCTTGTCGAGGTTCTCCGCAAAGTAACGGATGTTCTTGCTGTTCAGGCCTGCCATCGACTGCACGATGAAACGTCAAATTCATCAGCCCCGGCTCCAAGCCGAACAACAAGCAAGAAACGCACGATACGGCCGTTGGGCGTCAGATAGATATGCGCGCGTTCCGTGAGAGCCTTGGACTGATCAGGGCTGATGCCGGTGAAACTATCATGCAATCATCACATCAGCTCAAACTCGTAGATGTTTGAAGAGAGAAAGAGAGAGAGGCTGAAACCCAGCGCTGGCGGGTTGACACGAACCTGAACATCCCAATCTGATTAATGATGTGGTCCCAGTTACCAGGCGTCTTCAGCTCCTCCGTCAACAGCCTGTGGAGCTGCCGGCGCATGTCGATGATGCGCCCCGCCATCGTCTTGATGTCGCGCTTCCACTCTTCAAACAGCTCCGGGTCGTTCATGATCAGCGCCATCTGCCATCCATCAGTCATCCCATGCGGAGAGGAGCGCCAAGGGGTTGTTGCACGTACGATGCGAGCCCCATGTGACGGGGGGTTGCTAATCTCGCTACGCTGCAGCACGGACAGCTGGCTCTTCACGCGGTCTGCCGCCTCCTTGGTCGGACCCACGACGTGCAGCGCGCCGACCCGTTCGCCGTACAACCCGGCGTTCTTCGCGAAGCTCTGTTTTCGATGGAGTACAATTCAGGTGGCGTTCCCGTTCTCGCTCGATCGCCGAGATATAAAATAAGAAAAAACCCACCTGGCACACGAGCAGCGGCACGCCGCGCTGAACGAAATACCTCACCGCCGACGCGTCCCTATCCAAATCCCCGCTCGCGAACCCCTGGTACGCGCAGTCGAAAAACGCGTAATGCTTCTTCTCCAATATCACGTCCGCGATCGTCTTCCACTGCTCCGCCGTAGGATCCACGCCCGTCGGGTTATGCGCGCACGCGTGCAACAGGAACACCGAGCGCGCCGGCGCCGATCGCAAGCTGCCCACGAAGCCGTCAAAGTCGAGCCCGATCGTCTTCGGGTCGTAGTACGGGTACTCGACCGGCTCGACGCCCACGTTGCGGAAGATCTGGAAGTGGTTGACTGTCGAAAACGAAAACGATGCACGGTTTTATTTTATTTTTCAGCAACTGCCCCGTCCCTGCGTGAATGGGATATAAGATACGAACCCCACGTCGGATTGCTCAGGTAAACGCGCTTGGGGCCGTCCCAGTGGTAGAACCGGCTGAGGAAGAGCGCGCCGAGATGGTTCGCGCCCGTCCCGGAGATGGTCTGCACGCTGCTCACCCGGCCTTCCGCGATGGCCGGCGAGTCCGCGCCGAGGATGAGCTTGGCAGCCGCAGACGTGAATTCGGGGAGACCGGTGATCGGGAGGTACTCGTGGTCGAGCGTAGGATCGTTCACGAGCAGTTGCGTAGCCTGGCGGGTGTTTCTCATCAACGCCCCCCTTTAATGTAAAAACGCCGATACGGCGTTTTCAGCGTGAATGGGACAAACGACGCACCTTCTTCACGACGGGGAGCACCCACGGCTTGTTATCGTCATCTCGGTACGCTCCAACGCCCAAGTTGACCTTCTGCGGGAACGGATCCGACTTGTACGCCGCGGTCAGCTTGAAGATGCTGCACAAGCACCAACGCCAAGGGTCGTGTGAGTCATGACGGTATTCCTATAACGAATCGTAAACTGCGTACCTGTCCGGCGGCGCGAGGGGGACTTCATTCCAGGTTTCTGCCAACATCGTACGCGTTCAACGATGGTGTCGCAACACAAAGCAATCGCGAAATCGGACGAGCAAGACCGACACCGACCTGCTGACTCGGCCATCGGAGTGGATACGTGCTTCAGCACCTGTTTCAATCTGTCGGCCATCGCAGACCAAGGAACGCAAAACAACTCAGGAATGTGGGTACCAAGCGGGCGCCAACACCGGTTATTCACCTTCAAATAGTCAACAACCGTGAATCACGATCCTCCCCGAGATTCGTTGCTGTTGATCCTGCCTCAGGCGAAGTGCGGGGGGATGATATTTTCCACGTGATTTACCTGTGGCCCGACGACCAACCAGTGAGGAGGCTCGCAAAAGAGAAGGGTAATACGGGGGGTGGATTGCGATCGTTTGGCGATCTATGGGGTTTTATCGACAAGCGGCTTTTGAGGTCCATGTCCCCAGCTCGCCCCTTGGCAACGTTCTGGAGTCTGGGTCAGGCGCGACCCCGCACGGTGTTCCCTGTGACCCCGCTGCGCCCGAGCGGCATTACGCGGGTGACCTGCACCGCATCCACCGCTCAAGCGCCACGTTCCGGAGGTGAACGGAACAGCTCGCAGCCGCGCATTGGCGGCACGCAAGCAGCATGTCGGTATACGTGGTCAAGCCGAGGATGTTCCTTGGATATACATGGCAACATTGCTCAAATCCGACGGAATCCATATACACAAAGCGCTGTGGCTTCGATTATAATATAACAAGCTCTACGGAGTATGTATCCGACATAATACCCAAACGGGAGGGGGATGGCGTGCAGGTATAGTGGTAATGCGTCCGTGATGTACTGAAGCGCGGGGAGAGGAGGCGGAGTGTATGAATGTGATAGATGGGGGGAATGGAATAAATCGTGACGGGGGTATGTGGACATGGGAGGGATAGGGGGAGAAAGGCGGCAGCATCCGTCCCGTCTCATGCGACGCCCATCTTGGACGCCACTGTCCTCTCCGACTCGAGCTTCAGCTTATTCTTCTCAAACGCCTGCTGACGGCAGCTCTCCAGGTTGTTGCAGGCATGGTGTTCAGGCAGTCGATGCTGTCCACGAGGCATCCGTCAGCGGAAGTCCCGGGAACCCGCACACGATCAAGATACTACTCACTGTTCCGCAGAACTCCATGCGACAGTGTGGGCATTGCCCTACGATGCGGAGGACGGCCGAGTTGCAAGGGGTTTCGCCCTGGAGCTGGCAGCGCTTCTTGGCAGGCATGATGTGTCTGGGATAGGCTACCGTCGGTGAGAACAGGGTCCACAACCAAGACACACACAGCAGACAGATACTTACCGACGGAGGAGGGAAGTAGAACGGGGGAGTGTGAAGCTCAAGTCTGAGAGGGCAGTGGGTGAAGATGACTGAGACGAGCACACCCCAACAGCTGCTTTAAGGGAGGGATAGGAGGACGCGTAAGCGGAGGGATCGAGATCCACTTCCCGACGGTTGCACCGGATTAGCGCGCCTCACGTGGGGACCCCGCGCCTCTTATACTCCGACAAGGGCCGTTGCCGGATAACCACGATAACCCCCCTTCCAGCAACAAGCTTTACCCATTCAGCTCCGTCAGTCCGACGTTGTGCAGCACCGTGTCATCCAACATCCCTTTTCTCTCTGGTGGACATTCGGCCGCCCTGGAACCGTGGCACTACGTCTGTCTCAGCGTACAGCAGCCCGAGGAAAGGAACAACGTTATCCGATCTATGTAGCATTCTTGCACAATGCAGCCCTCTTCTGTGCCGTGGACGTGAGCCTCGTGTGAGGCCGAAGTTCACACAACGTTCACACGTTGGTCGTGTTGGGCATTTCTTTGTACGGCATAATAAGACTGCCGAGCAACAACAGCAGAAAATTGTATGTACATGCATACGTCGCAATGAAGTCGGAGTCGAGCTTCGAAGCAGAGGAACTGACAATCACCTTGTCTTCCTTGCAAGTAACATCTGAAACATGACGGCAGCTGGTCACTTATTACGCCAACCGTCCACTCGTCACAGAGTCAAGGCACTCAAACGCGGGTCGCAATCTCGTTTCTGGGCGGGGCCAAGGTGCTCCTATATTATGCCAGAGCTACATGTAGGCTGGCGGTCGTATGTGTAAGAGAAATGAACAAGTCGTCACATCGAAGGAGTGGATGGTATAGATCCGGGAATATATCAGGCGAAGACAAGGATCCATGTATCCGCATAAACGAAGTCCGATGTGGCACATAAATACTACGTATGAAGACCGTTCGTTGCGGGCGGGCACTGCCCTCCGTCGAGCGATCAGGACGAGGTCGCCGTGGCGGATGGCGACGCCGTGACGGTCTTAGAACCCCCACCGCTGCTGCTGTTGTTGTGGTTGTTGATCGCGGGGATGACGACCTTGACCACGATGATGATGACGATGATGATGATGAGGACGAGGGTGATCCAGAAGCAGATCCATCGCTTCTTCCGTGCGCCCCGAGCGGAATCGACCGCCTTCTCGGTGTATCCGAGACTGCAAGGAGAAAACCGTGAGTTGAGTGGCGTGGCTCCCGACCCAAGCGGAAATCCGTCTTACCCGGCTTCGGTATCCTTTTCGACGTTTTGCGTGGTGGCTTCGATGGTGTTGATCTGCTCGTCTTGTTGTTCGACGAGAACACTCATCTGTGGAGCAGCGTCAGAGGGTAGGAGTCCAGATACGAAAGGGGGCATACATCATTGAAGAGCTGCGCGAGTTCACCCAGAGTCCGCTCGATCCGTTGAATGTCGGCGTGACGCTCCTGCACCTCCCGGTACGCGGCGCGCGATTCACCGTAGCGGTTCGAGTTCATGAGCGCTTGGGAGAATATTTGACCGCCAGATTCATCATTGACGACGGCCTTGACCTCCTCCGGCGTTGCGTCAGGTTTGACTAAAACGCACAAATAAGTAACGTCAATCAACATGATGTAGATTATATGCGCACCGATCTTGAACTGGCGCTCCATCCGCTGCTTGTAGCGTTGCCGGTACTGTTGCTCGACGCCCTGGTAATTTTGGATCGCCTCCACGAACTTCGACTTCACCAGACCGGTCTGGAAATATGGGTCACAAAAAGCGATGAGCATCCACGCCGTCGGGGCGCACCTGCTGCTTGCGGATCTGGCCGTCTCGCCCAGCGCCACCCTGTCGCTCGAGAGTCTTGATACGCTTCTTCAGGTCGCTGCTCAAGGCGCTAGTCTCATCCACAAGAGCGTCCAACTGCTGCTGATTCCGCTGCGCGGCCGCATCATCGGTGTTATTCAACGAACGCGAGTGTAAATCGCCAATTCGCGACACGTTATCGTTGAACGTCCTCAAGCTATCTTGGATGGACGAAATCTAGAAAGGAACGTTCGAATCTAGAACCGCATACGAGGGTGTGCGTTACAGACCTCATCATAAAAAGCCGTCATGTCACCTGCGCCTCCTCCTCCGCCGTAGTTGGTTGTGGGAACGAGGTTCGCCCGGCTGTCCTGCACCTCCGACATCTCGTAGCTACGGTCATCCTGTTGTGCGTAGGGGTTCGCTCTCCGTGAGTACCCTCCACCTCCCCCATAGCCACCAGACGCTTGAGTAGGGTACGAACTGCAAGAAAGTGCGGGGTCAGCGAACGCATGGAGGACGACGCGACGTAGCAACGCACTCGTTTGATGAGGTGTAGCCTCCCCCGCCTTGCTGGGCCTGTCACAAAGCATTCGTTGGCTAGGTCCGCAGACCATAAGACACATATGCAAGCTTACCCTCATTGCTGCGAGTCTGTCTCTGGCCATTTTCGGTGATCGTCGCTCGTCAGACAGAGGTTGTTGTGATGGAAGTGTGAATACGTGGGTCAGGCTGGGGATACGGGTCGTTACGTTGGAGTAGTCGGGGAACAATCAATGCCGCCCGAGTTCAAAGGTAGGTAAATGCGGGTAGGAGGGGTATTAGAGCGCGGTGGGAGAACAGGACAGCTCGTTCGATGTCGAATGCCGTCGCGCGAACTCATCACGAGCACCGCCTCGCGGGAAGCGGTGATATATCCCGCACGCGATCACTGCTTGCACGGTTGTCCCGTCCCGCATTTGCCGGGGGCAGTAGTACAAAATCGCTCACTGCTCAGTCGAAGTGCTCACGAAGCGACGCAATAACAGCTGTGCAACGACAATCGCAGCTGTCGATCCGTCAAGTTTTCTGCACAGTTTCTATCATGCGGCAAGGGCCTCCCGAAGCACCGCTATCTGGCGCTCAAGCATCTGTCGACTCGGTCCACCAATCGACTGCCTCCTCTCCACGCTCGCCTCGAAGTCGAAGACCTGGTGGATGTCTTCCTCGAACTTAGTATTTAAGGACTTGTAGTCCTCTAGTGTCAAATCGTTGAGCTGGCACTTCCGAGCCTCCGCAAGCGCGACGGCCCTTCCCGAGATATGGTGCGTCTCGCGGAACGGAATCTGTGCCCGGCACGTCAGACCAATCATTCCGATAGCAATACACGGAGATCTTACCCCTTTCCGCACGAGATAATCCGCGAGGTCGGTGGCGAGGACGTCCATGGTCAAGGCTGCCCGCATTTTCTCGGGGTGAACCTAGAACAAGATACAGCTTGAATGATGCATGGGCAGTGATTTATCACAGCCCGTACCTCCAATGTTGCAATCACCCCCTCCGCAATGCGCAGACAGGCATCCATGGTGTCGACTGCGTCGAAGAGCGGTTCTTTATCTTCCTGTAGATCCTTGTTATACGTAGAAGGCAGTCCCTTCAGCGTCATCACAAAGCCGGCCATCTGGAACACAAGTATCAGATCCACGACAGCACTAACAAGATAGGCACCCACGTTTCCGAACACCCGACCAGATTTTCCGCGAAGTAGTTCGAGGGAGTCAGGATTCTTCTTCTGTGGCATGATACTTGATCCCGTTCTGAAGATCTGATGAGCGCCTCAGACACAAACGATTGAGAAAATCACTCACGAGTAAGCATCGCTCAAGGTGACGAACCCGAACTCCGCAGTAGAGTAGATGATCAAGTCCTCGGCGAGCCGGCTCACGTGGGTCATCGTCAAGCTCGCCCACATCATGAATTCGACGATAAAGTCCCGGTCGCCAACGCCATACATGCTATTCTCTGCCACGGAGTCGAAACCGAGCTCCTCTCGGAGGAATTCGCGGTCAACAGCGAAGGGGTTGCCGGCAAGACCGCCACTACCGAGTGGAAGCACAGAGACACGGGGTGTAAGTTGCTGCAGACGCTGCAGATCGGCCTTGAACGAGAAAGCGTGTGATAGGAGGAGGTGAGACCACCGAATGGGTTGGCCACGCTAGTCCGGCCGCGCAATCAGATGAGATACAATCACCTTTAAGATGGGGAGCATACCTGAAGGTGAGTGTATCCAGGAAGAAGGTAATCTTTCTCCTTGTCAGCGCGCTCCACCAAAACGCGCAGGAAGTCCTTCAGCCCGCGTTCAATGCTCTCGATCTGCTCGAGCAACCAGAGACGCATATCGGTGGCCACTTGGTCGTTACGGGAACGGCCAGTATGCAGTTTGCCTCCGAGAGGGCCGATCAATTCACTGAGCCGGCGCTCGTTCGCAGTGTGAATGTCTTCATCATCGGCCTGAATCTGAAACTACAACTCACAGCAGTTCATTAGTGTTGTGTATGCAGGGCACAGTTTAGGACTCACAGTTCCGTTCTCCCACTCTTTCCCTACGGCGCGAAGACCATCGGCAATCTTCTCGTTTTCGTCTTCGGTGAGGATTCCCACTTTCGCCAGCGCTTTTGCGTACGCGATTGAGCCGTTGATATCAGCCGCATACATGCGTTTGTCATATTTCAAAGACTGGTTGAACTCGTGCATGCTGAAAACGCGCTCTTGAGCGTTCGCGAATCGCAATGAAAGCTCCGAACGCACAGCGGATCGGTTTTGCCTGTGAAACGGCCACCCCAAAGCTTCTGTTTCGTCGGCAAGTTGGACATGGCTGTATCTCGACAGTGACGGACGACCGTTGAACAAGCGTCGAGGCGGAGAGTATTACCGTCGAAGCCCGAGTCATTTTGGTCAAGTCCCGAACGAAGGAAGCCCGAAAATCTGCGTCACGTTACGTCCTGATAATGATGGAATTACTGTTATTCTACCATTGTTACATACTCAATTGGCTGCGACGCAGGCTTGCCGCGATACCCCACGTACTTAGGAGTATATAGCCGAGTCTACCTCGGGTTCTTGCAAGTGCTTCAGCTGGAACCCGCAGTTTCTCAACCGAAAGTGGGTCAAGCGCGGCGCTCCTCCCAGTTCAAGCACCATCACCAACAGCCATACTACTGCCATGGGTGAGGCTCCCTGTCTCAAAGCGCTTCAGCGAGAGAGATAGCAAGGCGGCTCTGGATCCTTACGTGCACGTTGCATCAGACCTGCGCACCCTCACCGACTCTCTCTTCCAAGTGGATCAAAGTGGGTTAGCGAAGCTATCGGACATACGCATCCACTTGAGCCTTGGGACAGTAGAAGAGGATTGCTATGACGCAGCGTATACTATGGTGGCTTGCGAGGAGGCATACGCACGATCATTGCCGCTGCATACGGGGTCCTCATCCACTTGAACTGTTTATGAACCCACCTTGGCGAGGTGCTCAAATACTAGGAAGAAAACGGGCAGCAAAGGAGCAGACAAACACTCCACTCTTGCAAGGCACTTTGTACTCATTAACGATCCCTTTTCATACCCTCAGCGACAATGACGGTCAAGACGATGAAACTCGGTGGTACCGCTTCCAACATCGAGGTTGCCAAGATTGGGGTGCGCTTGGTATGCTCTGTTGCACATTGAGCATGCGTTCTGATGCCCTTCAGCATGGAATTATGATGATGACGTTCGCGTGTTCGAAGGCATACGAAACGTGCGCTGACTGTTTTGGTACAGGTTCAGACCAACCCCCATTCCCGACGAGCAATGCTTTGAAACTATCAAGGCAGGCTGTGACCAGCTGCCCTCGGGCGCCAAGATGTTCATCAACGCCGGTGGGTCTTGCTCGCCGCGATTTCTCGGGAAGGACGTCTGATCGCGCGGGTGTCCTCACGCGTCACATAGGAGAATTCTACGCTCAGGACCTCGGCCCCGCGAACTTAGAGCTGCTCGCACGCTTCTACGCGAAATACCCCGAGTACGCGGAGAAGACTTTCCTGTCCGTCAAGGGTGGCGCGACGCCGGGCACGCTCCAGATGGACGGCTCGCCCGAGAACTTGAAACGCAGTGTCGACTTCATCCTCGAGAAGCTCGGGCCGCACAAGCGTCTGGACCTGTTCGAGTGCGCACGCGTGGTGCAGGACCCGCCGATCGAAGAGGTGATGAAGACGCTCCTCGGTTTCGTCAAGGAGGGCAAGTTTGACCACATCGGAATCAGCGAATGTGGTGCGGCAACGCTCAGGCGCGCGAACGCCGTCGCCCCCATCGTGGCGGCGGAGATCGAGGTCAGCCCTTGGGCGTACGAAGAGGAGACCAAGAAAGGTCTGGCCGTGGCTTTGTTCAAGGCTGCTCCGAGGCGGAATGCTAACTCAATTACAGTCATTGCCACCGCCAAGGAGCTTGGGATTGCCATCATTGCTTATTCGTAAGTGTCCGAAGTGAAGACGCGGTCTCGCAGAGGACTGATTCAGACCTCAAGGCCGCTTGGACACGGCTTTCTCACCGGTAAACTCGGCCCTCAGGACTTGGAAGGTCCAGTGGTTTACTTTCCGCACTCATCGTCCTGTTCCTAACCGTCACGAAATGTCCACAGCCGGAGACCATCGTGTGGCGATGAGTCATGTTAAGGAAGGCGTGAGTGGAGGGCGATTTCGGCATAACAACGCGGCATTGATATTCCGAGGTTCTATTACAGAACTGGGACCACAACGTCCAGCTCGTCGAGACGATCCTCTCTGTCGCGTCAAGGAAGGGTATCACCGCCGCTCAGCTGTGCCTCGCGTGGGTGGGCTCTTTGGGCTCGCACGTGATGCCCATTCCAGGTTCTTCGTGCGTCTGTCTTCGTTTACGCTTTCGAATCATTGTGTGCCAACCCCAAGCCGTGCAGGAGTGTATCCAGGAAGCTCGAGAACCTGGCGGCGGGCGAGATTGAGCTCTCCGAGACGGAGGTGCAGGAGATCGCAGACGCGATGGCCAAGACCGGAGTGAAAGGCGAGAGATTCATCGATGCCCCCCAATATGTCTCCAAGCTATGGGCATGAGTGACCCCAGTGCTCGTGAATTGGCAAACTTTCGCACATTGTCATCTCGTTCTTGTGTTTACTGAGCATATTCCTCCTTTTCATGTTGCCTCTCTGCTGTAGTTGTTCGACCGTAGGTTTGTCCCCTGTCGCAACCTATCTACGAACCAAACACATTTCCCGTGTTCAGCTACCGGGACCTCATCGGCAATCTACCTACCTACCTACCCGTTATCCCCTGTCCCTGGGAGTCATAATTTGACAGCGGTAGGTATATTTCCGGCGCGGTCCCAATAGCGGAACAACCGGTTGCCGCACCGCACGTCAATACGCACGGCTTGGCGCACACAGTGCATCCACGGCCCCCGTGAGCTGTTATACAGCCGACACGCCGCTTCAGCACTGGTGCAGGTAAACTAGGTACATGTATGTGCTACTATGTGCAATACATTACCTAGCGGCGGCCCACTTCAGCCGTCACCGCGTGTCAATACAGGGGCTTCCGATAGTGCAGTAAAAACCCACCCACCCCTCAGCAAAAAACCCTTGTAGGGAAAAACAAAATGGGGGTGGGGGGAAAAGCATCACACGAAACGGCCCCGCACGACGTACAGCGAACGGCACACCCGGGCATAACAGCACATAACGTCCGGGAACAGTCTTGGATGGCATGGAGAGGCAATACCCCCGCGCTCGAGGACAGCAGATGACCGTGTCGCGCCTACTGCGACTCCGGGCGTATGGGTGACGGTGTACGGTATTCGAAGACGAGGGACGCAAGCAGGAGCCAGGGGGAGCGAACCGCGCATGAAACTAGTGATAGCAACAGCGATGGAGCGTCATCCGGACCGAGTCCGAGGCATCCATCCGTAGAACAGGTGTCAGAACACCACAAACGTATCATAGAACGTCGCCCAACGGTCTCGTTAGGCACATCGTAGTCGGTGAGATCTGCCATGACGCTCTCGTCTTGGCCCAACGGTCTCGTTGGAGTCGTTTCCATGACGCTCTCGTCTTGGCCCAAGAGAGCTCAAAAACTGAACTTGACGAACTTCCCACGAGCCCCAGTCAACATGGGGGGCTGTCCCCATGCGGGTCTGGCCGAATTTACGGTCGAAAAACTACAGACTGTAGTTTAGTCTACAGTACACCCACTAGTGTATCTCGGCCTGCTGCTGTCATGGCCGCTCGACTGTCACGCCTGTTTCTTCCTGACTGGACCCAGAGACTAGTGTACGAACACCAGCTAGGCCATCAGGAAAAACCGTGCTAAAACGTGCTCATTTAGTGGCTTTAGAGGGTTTCGGTACCCGATAAGCGACTCTTTCGATAGTCCGATTTTACCTGATGAGAATTCTTTGCCTAGGCTGGTTTTCGTTTCGGCGGGTCGAGCTCGAATATGTGCAATTGAACGCATCGGTCACTGTCACGCTAGGCTCACACACGGGTGCAGTGTTTGCATATAATTACCCTACAGCACTCCAACAGTTACGACTGTGATCATGTTGAACGCACTTCTCAGCAACACGCCCGTCGTGAAGCTGAATCCGCTGTATAGCCCTGGTCATCCGATCCGTTCCTACTCTCTTCCCTGCCACTATTGTAAGTACTTCTAATTGTCGTCTTCCAACCTGACTTCGATTACCACTCTGTCTGCCTCGACGAGCTCCGTGGAAATACCATCTGGTGGACAGAAGTGCTACTCTTATTAGACGACTCGCGGATTTCCAATATGAAATCCGACGCATTGTTTCGGATCGACTCGGACAGTACGAGAACAGACCTTACCGGCGCAGGGCGCGTGGTCGGGAACACCCTCAGCAAAGGAGGAGACGCTATCACGAATCTGCTTGCCGCAACAGGAGAGCGAGTGCTTGGGCTGGGGCCGACTGCTGCAGTCGTCCGCTTCCTCCGTCACTTCCTTGTACACGTCACTCCTCATCTCACATGTGGTCATACCCTCACCACTCCGACCTCCCTTTCATTGCCACCAAACTGTGACAATTGCTCAAATAGCGCACATAATCTCCTGATTTATCTCCGGACATCAAAACAGCCGATGTGCTCTCAGATTGTGCGCTGTCTGCTAGGAATTTCTTGCCCCTTGTGCCTGTCGGCAATCCGACTCGCTATGTGCGATTATCCGTCATCTCGCGGCAATGTTCCTGGTGTTGTACACAGTAGGCAGCTGTTGCATAGGACATGCGAGAAGCTAGCCACAATCATACAGTAAGCTTGCAGGTCTATCGAATTTCCGCGACGTGCTCACGACGTTAACACCGGACTGTAAGGACTGACGCCATGATCGACAACGTGGTCTTAGCCGCACGCTACCTCAACGCTCTCGTCAGGCTGTTAGGACAGGAATGCCTCCTTCAAGACCAATCAGTCTGCAGGCTTCGCGTCGGCATAAAAGACCGAATTGACTCTTTGGATTGGATTGCCGCTACGGATCCATCGATCCGGGAGTCTCTCAACGAACTCCGAGCACTGCTCGACGTGAGCCACATGCTTAGATTACAACAACTCACCCCGGAGGCGATGAGTAGGATCATACGACACATTGATGGCAATGACGAGGAACGGGCTTTCTCACTATGCAGTATGGCCCTAGCTTGCCGTGCATTACGCCGACCGGCGCAAGCCGCCATTTTTAAGACCCTTAACATCGACAACCCCCGGATTTTAGACGCTGTCGCCTCCGCTATCAATGGTTCACCCCAGCTCGGCTCGTATGTGCGCGAGCTCTGCCTTGAAATCAAACATCACACAAGCGGGGATTGGCTGGAAGGTTTATCGCGGTTTTCGACTCGATTGAGTGCCCTATACGTCGTGAAGATACAAGGGGTGTCGTGGACGGCGCTCGGCGCGAACGCGAAGCAAGCTATTCTTCAAACCGTCACTCGGGCGCCCGCCCTCGTTCTGCAGTCGTGGAAATCTTTCGAGACGCAGTCCATGCTCGACATTATGCTCGCCTGTCAAAATCTGGAATCTCTCGCCGTGCGGTTCTGCGAGCTGCGGACATGCAATGTAGACCAAACGAAGCCAAACGTTGAAACATCGTTATGCCCATCCCTCAGACATATCGAGCTCGCGGACAACCTGCGGGGAGCAAATAACCTCGGCCATACGTTGCTCTCTTTCACCAAGCTCGATAGTCTCACCTCGGTTACTGTCCATCTGTCATCGATAATGAAACAGCACATAGGTGGTATGGTCTTGCATCGCTTGTTGACACAGGTATCATGCCCGAAGACCTACCTTCACGTGTCACGAGTATGCGATGTGTGCGCTTCTGGTGACAGCGACTCACCGTGGCCCACCTCACAACAGTTCCTAACTCTGTTGGTTCCGAGAGCCCTCGACGAAGGCGAGAACGCTTCCACCGACCTTGAGGACTGGTTTTACGACGTCCTCTCCGTTCTGTACATGCCCGGTACACTCTGGATGCAGTCCACGATAGTTGGAACCGACGAGCGCGAAGCACACCTTTCGACTTGGCAACTTCGATCTCATCCGCGAATATCATCGTCACCGGTACCGCCCGGAATCCGATGGTTCCCTCCGAGGGCTCTTGCATCATACGACGAAGACGAACATCTGGAAGAGAGGTGGCGCCGCGCCGTGGTCGTTCGGCTCTCCCGTCTGAACGCAATACCGACGTATTGCGTTCACCGCCCCGCCGGAGACACGGTCGCGACGGCGGGGTCTGCGCGAGAATTTACAGCGAGTTGATGGAACGTCGACCAACGGTCTTCGGGATTCTCGCAATTCTCCCTTTGGACTCGCCCTTGCCTGGCTGATACATAGGTGTTCTTGAACAGGGGACAACAAAGTGATAGGTAGTGGCCTGGTTATATGAGAGAGGTGACCCCCTAGCTGGCCTAGGGCCTCCGTGACACTTGCATGAGCGCCGACAGTCCATCCATGGCGTCTACTAGAACAACGTCGCACACCGCGCGTCCGGATTACCTGCCGATGACAGCGAGGGTGGCACAAGGAGGGTAATTGAATCGTAGATGGGTACATGAAGGAGAGACCGTCATCTATTTGGTTCTTCAACTAGATCTATGAAGATGACGGCAACGTCTCAAGCGGAAAGATGACGGCTAGCGAATCCGTATCCGGTGGGAATAGAGGGGGGGGGAGGTGCTCGATGGACGACCATGCAAAAGTACCCCAGTATCAACGTTGCGAGCACTGCGGGATACATAGCGGTGAGGCCTGGGTGCACATTTCTCTTCCCCTAGCATTTTATAGAGCAGCGTTTCGCCCGCTTCGGCATTAGACGACGATGCCGCGGCGCACGGTCATCTTCCAGATTTCGATCCCGTCCCAGTCGTCTTTCTCCCACTTGACGTCGCCTTTCTCCATGGCCTTGACGACCTTGCGCTGCGGGACGCGTTCGACGGCAAAGCCCCAGTCCTCTTTGGCGGACAGGAGTGCGCTGGCGATGAGCGAGGGGTCGCGACGCTCCAGACATACATAGATCGGAGGAGACTTGTTGGAGGAGGAGGGTGTGGAGATCGAGGCGAGATGATGCAGGGTGCGCAGGAGAGGCTGCGTTAGTGAGGACGAGTACAAAGTGTCGGCGGTGAGAATGAGGTCGAAGGGCGGCTCGAGGGGCGGCGTGTCATCGTCTACTGACCCGGATGCCCACCCGGAACGATCGAGCGTCGATATCGCGCGAGGGTGGTCCCAACCCCATTCCTCAGGCGGCACGGACCAATCGAGCTCACGAACCGCAACCTGACCGGACCCCGCAGGGAGCTTGTCACGATTACGAGAGAGGTTGCGTTCTAGCAGGGGCAGGACGACGGGCACGTCGGTGGCGAGGACATCCCAGCCTAGACTTACGAGTGTTAGCCTGCGAAGGGAGAAGAAGCTATTGAGTCGCTGCTGCTATGCTTGGAAGATGGCTCGTGCCGGGCGGCTACGCAGGCTGCATGCGAACGGGAGCTCGGGGGAGCACAGGATTTCCGCGCTTATGGGCATGTGTGTTGCCGTGTCGTAGTCAGCGGCAGCGCCGAGAGAACGATTTAATCCGCAGGGACTTGCCCCTCTGCGCCGTAACACGATATCCCGGCACGCGAACGGGGAACTCGCGAGAAAATGGATATTAGATGGATGTATGGCGGACGCACGCACGCTGTGAGCCCGAGGCCGCTGCCGAGTTCGACGGCGCGTGGTCTGCGTCGTGGATCAGGGCCGCGCGCGGTTCCACTGCTACTGTTGGCGGCGCCGGGGCTGGCAGGAACAGCATCACCACGAGGCCTGAGCTTGGGCTTGGGGCCGTCGTCGGCGAGGTAGAGCGCGAGGCATTGCGCGCCGAGCCAGAGCGTGCTGCCCGTCGTGTCCCCGCCGTCGTCGCGCTGCTCGAGCTCGAACGCGACGGCGCCCACCGCGCAAGTGATCCTCGGGAGGTGTTTCGTGCGATGGGCGGGGAGCATGGCATATGAGCAGGACCAGAACACAATAGACCCGGCGAATATTATATGTATTTTTGCGGCGAGTGGGAGCAGCGAAGTGAAAGCTGGTCGCCACGCGTGGTAACCACCACGTCCTCCTTCCGCCCTCCCCTCCACCTCGCGGCCTCTCGTTGCGCGCGCCCTTCCTCCGCCGCCGCCCCCGCCGCCCCGCGATCCGCCCATCGCCGCGCGCTCGCCGCCATGAAGGCCCTCCTGCGCTCCATCGCCAACCGCGCCCTGCGCCCCGACCGCGACCAACACCAAAAACCCCCGCCCCCACCGACCACAAACAAGACCCATCCGACGACGGAAAAGCTGCCCGCGCCGCCCCCGCCCGTATCGCAAGACGACGCGCGCCCGCCTCCGACCCCGCCGGCCTCGCTCAAGCCCCTCGCCGTGCCCCGCAACCCGTCGTCCGAGGAGAGCAGCGGTGGCCATTCTACCACCGCCGCGCCGCGGGCCTCTCGTGAACGCACGCCCTCGCCTCGCCCGGCGACCTCAACCGACACGCATGCAACACGCACCGAATCTCCCGAACCAATGTCCAAGTCCATGTCCATGTCGAGCGCGAGCGTCGCCACACGCACCCCCGCGGACTCTACAGGCCGCAAATCCGCGAGGGCCGCTGCAGCGCCGAGCAGCCTCACGCCTTCCACGTCCACCGAAGCGGGTGCGACGACGACCAGCAAAAAGGTCGCCTTCATCTCGCCCCCGCCGACCCCCGGGCCCGACCTCACCCTCGCGGACGCCTCTCCCCAACAACAACCGGACGGCACGGGGCCACTGAAGACCAACGTGTCCCTCTTCCACGCCAAACACACGCACCCGCACGCCAAAGACCGCGAGCGCGACCCGCGTGGCTCGACTTCGTCCTCCAACGGCGCCTCCTCCTCGCGCACCGAGCTCGGTCTCGGCGCAGCCTCCAAAGCGTCCTCCAGCACCGCGCGCCTCCCGCTCTCTGCACCCTCGCCCTTCCCCGACAAGGACAAGGCCTCCGTCAGATCGGGCACACCCTACTCGCAGATGACCTACAGCTCGAGCCGGATCCTGGCCGCAAGCAGCTGGAGCGAGGGCGCGGAGGAAGACCTCGTGAGCAACCTGGGCCCGCGCGAGCGGACGCGGCAGGAGGTGCTCTGGGAGATCGTGGCAAGCGAAGAACGGTGTGTCTACTTTGTCCTTTCTCTCTCCCCTCTTTTGCCTTCCGTTGTAGATCGAATTTAGAATCTGACGGGCCGTCATGATGCGACAGATACGTGATCGAGCTTCAAAAGCTGAAAGACACATTTATCGACCCCCTCCTGCACCCCTACTCCGCATCCTCCCCGCTCACCCCGCTCGGTTCGCCTGGCGCTCAGACCGAATACGACGACTACATCGGCACGCCCCAGTCGCACCACACCCAAGCCCGCGTCGACTCCCCGCGGGAGTCCATTGACCACCTGCCTATCGCCTCGCGCTTCCTCTCGTCTCCGAGGCCCAGCACTCCCGGCCGGCGAGAGGACATCAACGGCAATGGCCACAATAACACCAACAACAATAACAGCCACCGGGCACTGGACAACATCGACGGCGAGAGCCTGGATTCGGACGAGGAGGACGAGGGCGCGGACCGGATGGGCAAGGCGTACACCTCCACCGTCGGCCGCGTCCGCGGTGCGACGAGCCCGCCCCCGGGCGGCGGTGGCGGACAAATGAGCAAGCTCAACCACCCGCGTTCACCGTACGGAACGACCGCGACTAGGACGTCGACGTCTACCCGAGGCGGCAGGGGCGCGGTCCCCTTTCCCTCGCGCTCGCATCACTCGCTCCCGCCGCCCGCCCGCGCGTACGACCCGCGCGCGTCGTCGCAGTCGCTCGGCCGCCAGTCGTTCGTAGACGAGCCCGCGTCACCGCCACCGCCGCCACCGGGGCGCAAGGCGTCCGCGAGCACCACGAACACGTCTACGTCCAGGGTGCTACGCAAGTTCAAGCGGAGCAGCGCGAGCGGGCCTCCAGAGGTGGTGGGCGTGGCGCCCGGGCAGCTGCCGGAAGACCTGCGGAAGTGCCTGGAGGTGATCGAGGGTGCGATCTATAACGGGCATGATATCTTGAGCAAGAGCTTGAGGAAGCGGTATGAGGAGCAGTATCCGCTCGTGCGGTCGTTGGCGGACGTGTTCGTTGCGAACGTAAGTATGCGTTTACTCTGAATACCGATCGTAAACGCCGGGATGCTGAGCACGGGTTCGTTTCACTATAGTCGCATATATTACACGGGTACGCGACGTACGTTCTCCACCTGGAGCGCGCCCTCGAACAAATCGACGACGCGCTTTCTACCGCCGCGGCCTCCAAGAAACCCAAGAAGCAAAACGCGGACGAGTGGCTGCGCGTGTGCGGCCTGCTGCAGAAGCTCGAGCTCGCGGCGGCGGACAAGGGCGAGACCGGGCTCGCGATCTCGCTCTCCAAGCCGTTCCAGCGGCTGCTCAAGTACCCGCTCCTGTTCCAGAACCTGCTGTTCCACACGGACCCGTCCACGTTCGAGTACGAGAGCACGCTGCAGATGGTGGCCGAGGTCGAGACGATCGTGCGCAGCATCGAGGACGAGAAGGTGCAGAAGGAGGAGCGGGACAAGACCCGCGACGTATGGGCGCGGATCGAGGGCCTCGAGAAAGTGAAGCAGCTCGCGCTGCCTAAGCCGAGTCGGTTGCTCGTGGAGGAGCGCCAGATCTTGGGCGCGGGCGGCCCTCCGCCGTCGTCCTCGCCGCCGGTCTCGAACGGGAAAGTGAAGGGCAAGACGTCGTTCAAGAGGTTGAGCGACGTCCTGCAGGGTGGCGGGTCGAACGCGGTGGGCGGAAAGAAGGATCTGTGGTTGGTGGTGTTCAACGATGTGGTGCTGAGGTGCCAGAGGACGGGCACGACGAGCTTGCCGATCACGGCGACGGTGAACTCGAGGACGAATTCGATGCCCGAGTTGCAGGGCAAGACAAAGTATGCGACGACGGGGAGGAGGCATTTGCAAGCAAAGCCGAGGAATCTCTACAAGTTCCTGAAGATAGAAACGTGGTCCATTGGGGACGTGGTCCAGCCGCAAGGCGTCGTGGCGATGGAAGAGTACGTCCCCGTGTATTGCACACGACTGACTTATGATTGACAAGCCTGGATAGCGTTGCCCGCCATCACCGGTCGCAACCCCAAATCTCCGCGCAACCGAGGATCGTACCGATGCCGGAAGACGACGAAGACGAAGACGGCGCGAACGATTCGGACGACTCGGACCGCAAGAGTAAGATGAGCTTCTCCTACTGGGGCGCGGACAAGGTCACGCTCCAGAAACCCGTGCCCAAGCCGATGAGGGCGACGGGCTCGTCCTCGCGCGGTGGGCGTGGCGGCAGCGCGGCGCAGACGACGGCCGCGTACGCTCGCGAGTCATCCGCCAATGCCAAGTTTGGCACGCGCATGGTCGCGAACGATTCCCCTACGACGCGACCCGCAAGCCGGCGCACGACCGCGACGCCCGGCGGTGCCAGGCGCCCGCAACCCTCTGATGAGGGCCACAGCGCGAAAGCGACGGTCACGACGAGGCCGGCGTGGAACACGGGCGGCTCACGCGCAACGGCGACACCGATCCCCAAGCGCGCACGCAACATATCCCAGACAAGCGCCAGCCGTGCGACGACCACCCCGAAGCAGCTGTCGTCGCCCGCACCATCCGAGGACTCGGGCGTCGGGCTGTACCGCCAGATGATCGCCAAAGACTCCTTCCTCAAAGAATCCGCCTGAAAAGAGACCTGAAAACGAAAGAACCCAAAAATTCTGCCCATTTTGCCCTCCCCCCTGTTTTCTTTTCGGTTATCCTTATTATCATCACGAGTACACTCACGATGCTTCACGCTCCTTCATCCCTCTGGTTTCCTTTCCTCAATCAACCTATCTCACTCGCTCACTGTGCCCTTCTCGCTATCTGGCTCTGCGTGTCTCAAACATCCGGAACGATATCCACTCTCATTATTCCCTGCGCGCCGTGCTTCCCATCTAATCTCTCTCCCCTCGGCTCGTCCTTATATCCCCTCCTCGATATCCTAGTTATCGATACCATAGTATGCGCGCACTATTCCGATCCCGTTGCTCTCGTTGGGCACGCTCATGGATCGTTACATATCTCTGGAGCCTCTGCAATGTCTTTCTTCTGGCATCGTTCCTACTATATACACTCACAAGCACAGTCGCTCCTTCCTCCTTCGTCTCTTCTACTAGCCTCGACTCGATGAACCATCGCCCGCAGGTTTTGTTGACATAGAATACGAACTGTATTATGATCCATGCTTTCGTCGTGTGCAATCTGGAATCTTTTCCTCTTTCTTCATCCTCTTCTCGCTTTGAGATCACGCTTCCGCCTTGGCGTCGTAGGCAGCCTCGTGAATGCTGACCGCCCTGCCGCTCGGGTCCGAAGCGCAGCCCCAGTCGCCACGAGGTATCCACCTGAAGAAGTGCCGTACGTGGTCAGAAGGGTACCGAGGAAGACGAAGGGCCGACGACTTACCGTACGGCGGTCTTGGCAGCGGCTTCGCTTGGGAAGAGACCTTAGACGCACATGAGAGTCAGAAAATAGCCCAATATGCGGCTGAACGCGCATACTGTCGAAGACGTCGCGAATGTAGTACGCTTCCTTCGTGTCCGGCGTATCTGTCGGCCAACGTTCTGCGCGTTTCGCGAAGTCTGCGTCCGACACAACGCTCGCTGCGAGGTCTTTCATGCTGCACGATAAAACAAGTCAGAGGTCACGATGCCGTTGACATGCTCGTGAGGCAAGCGTACCCATCGATCCACGAATAACCGACGCCGTCGGAGAACTGCTCCTTCTGCCGCCATAGGATAGATCGAGGGAGGTACGGCTAGTGAACACAGTCAGCACAACGATTCCTCAACACGGTAGGTGGCGAGCACACTACCTTGCCATCAGGCGAGCAGTCAAATGCTTTCCGGAGTAGGTACTAAGTGTCGTCGAGAATCAACGTCAGGCGTCTACTATAATGTAGACATCCCTCGACACACCTTCTCCATTTTGGGGCAGCCATCGGCATCTGTCTCCTGTGCCGACCCCTTGCTGAACATCTTCTGCTCAGGGTCGATGTTCATTGCCACTTCGAGGAAGGCCTTGTCGAGGAAGGGAACACGGGCTTCGAGGCCCCATGCCATGGTCGACCTAACATCACTCGTAAGCGTCACAGTGACAAAATTCTTCGTTAAACGCACTTGTTAGCGCGCAAACAGTCCGCCGTATGCAAGTTCTTGACCCGTCGGACGCACTCCTGGTGGAACGACCTGGCATCTGGCGCGGCGTGGAAGTAGAGATAGCCTGCACATACGCGTATTAACTCGTGAACTCGTCAGTGCGAGCGAAATGCACGCCGAACCTCCAAATATCTCATCGCTGCCCTCGCCACTGAGCACCATCTTCACGCCCATCGCCTTTATCTTCCGGCTGAGCAGGTACATCGGCGTGCTCGCGCGGACGGTGGTCACGTCGTACGTCTCCAGGTGGTAAATGACCTCCGGGATCGCGTCCAAGCCTTCTTGAACGGTAAACACGTACTCATGGTGGACGGTTCCCAGGAAGTGCGCCGCTTTCCGGGCCATCAAGAGATCGGGCGAATTCTCCAGACCGATGGAGAAGGAATGAAGCTGAGGCCATGAGATGATTGTCTCTGCGATAGAACGTCACCGTTGTTGTGACGAATCCCCATGATGCGATAGGCTCACCAAGTTCTGAGACCGCACCTGGTACAGGGCTGGCCGGACCGCTCCTAAGCTCTGCAATCTTCTTTTGGCGGGCCTCGAAGTGCGCCTGCGCGACTTTCTCCGTCTCGCGCGCGGCGATGGCGGCAATTAGACTGCTATCTAGCCCGCCGCTCAAGAGGACACCAAAGGGAACTTCGGACATGAGCCGCTTCCTGACCGCCGCCTCGAGCGTCTCGCGGATGAGCTTCAGGTCGGCCTTCTGTGTTGGTATCGGCGCATCGGGAGCCTCCGAGTCGCCTTCCCACCATGTGGGTTGGAAGTAGCGCGTGGTAGAGTTGTCCGTGCTGTCGTAGACGTGGCCCGGGGGGAAAGAGAGGATGTCGTCGCAGTCGTCGACAAGTGACTTCAGCTCGGACGCGAACCATACTGCGCCCGGGCGCTGCGAACTGCGGCCCATGTATAATGTGGTGATACCGATCGGGTCGCGGGCAGCAATGATACGTGAGGGAGTGACGGACTCGTCGAGGAGGACAAAGGAGAACATGCCGTCGAGCATGTTGCATAGCGCCTTGTCGTGTTTCTTGTACTACAGGTTACGGGATATAGTTAAGATGAAACTCGAGATACACTGCACATCGGATGCTCGTACCAATGGCAAGATGACCTCGCAGTCCGAATGGGTCTTGAACTTGACATCGGGGCCAAGGCTCGTACGCAGAGCAATGTGGTTGTAGATTTCTCCATTGACGCAGAGGATAGTCTTCCCGTCCTCACTGACGAGCGGCTGGGCACCGGTATCTAAACGCGTTGGTCGCGTGAGATCATGGCAGACGAGGCAAAGACCGTGGGTGGCTCACCGACGCCGACGATGGCGAGACGTTCATGCACGAGCACAGCGTCCTTGCCGACGTAGCACCCCGACCAGTCCGGTCCACGATGCCTCTGCTTCTTCGAGCACGCGAGGCACCGGGCTCGGACAGTTGCTGGTTTGTCGATGCCGTGAAGAGCGAAGATACCGCACATAATCGCAAGTTTGTCGTAGTGACGGCCAGAGACGGATCGCGGTTAAGTAACGCAAGCTCGTTGACTCGAGTCTCGTTCCAACTGTTGGAGCTGCCGAGGTCGTATCTACCTGGACGAGGATAATCCGCGACCCGCCAACGCGGACCAGTCGGCGACTCCAGTCCGACGAAAATCCATGACTCGGGAAAAGAATGATAAGATTAGGCGGAAGACAAGATCTAATCGCGGCACACCAACTCTCCCTTTTCAGGACGTCGACGCCGATGAGCTCAACCCTATAGCCCAACCGAATCGAAGGAAGCTGGGCCGAGGATACGAAGGCTAAGAACTATTATATGTTCATAAATCGGAGCGCGTAGAATGAACAGTGCTCTATCGCACTCAAGTTGCCCGCGTCCATGCAATGTCCGATTACTCCCAAATGACGCAGCCAACATGTATATTATTCATACGAATGGGTTGTGATCCGAAGCTCACGCTCACGCCCATAGCCTGAGGACATGATCGGGGACATCGTAATATCTCCCGCCTTTCACTCCAACTTTCGCCATCGTATCCGCGATCTCCTGAACCTCTGCTTCAGATAGCTCGATCTGGCCGGCCGCGAGATTCTCAAGCTTCCGCGATGGGCTCCTACAGCGTAGATATACGATGAGTGTAAGTCTCCGTATGTTGTTAGCGAGAAGACGTACGAGGATCCGGGAAGGGGCATGATATGCGGACCTAGCGAGCCTACCCATGCGAGGCAGAGCTGCGCGGGAGTGATGCCCTTCTTCGACGCGATGGAGGAGATCGTCTCGACGAGCTGCACGTTGTGCTTCCAGTTCTACAAACGACGAAAGTTCCAACGTCGTTTTACAATAGCAGAACCTTCCGCTTTTTGACGCTTACCTCTTCTTTCAGGCGGCTCCCGTGTAGGCGTAGATCACCGGCTGCACAGATCGGCGAGTCAGCACGGAAGACGAAGGAGATGAACGGAGACTACCTTCGAGATCCTTGGGGAGGAGTTTACCCGTCAGGAAGCCATGACCGAGCGGTCTGTTAAGACCTTTAGGCATCAAACGGGCGACGCAGGCGCCAACGGCACATACGAGTAAGCAGCAATAGCAATTCCGAGCTCGTTGCAGGTAGCGATGACTAGTTAAAGACAGGTCAACACATCTTTCCAAATAGGGACCCATGGAATGGCGATCACCTTTCTTGGTCTCCTCTTCGTAGGACCACGGGCTAACCTCGATCTCGACAACCGCGATTGGCGCAATGGCGTTCGCCCGCCTGAGCGTCGCGGCGCTGCACTCGCTAATCCCAATATGGTCAAACTTACCCTCCTTGACGAATCCCAAGAGCGTCTTCATCACTTCCTCCACCGGCGGGTCTTCCACCACACGCGCGCACTCGAACAGGTCGAGCCGCTTGTGCGGCCCGAGTTTCTCGATAATGTGGTCGACGCTGCGCCGCAGATTCTCGGGCGAGCCATCCGGGTCGAGCGTCTGCAGCTTTGCCCCACCCTTGACCGAGAGGAAGGTCTTCTCAGCGTACTCGGGGTACTTGGCATAAAAGCGCGAGAGCAGCTCCAAATTGGCGGGTCCGAGGTCGTACGCGTAGAACTCCCCTGCATGACAGAATTGGTCGAATTGAGCTATCGATAGAAGGAAGGAGCATCTGGAATTGCCAACCTGCGTTAATGAACATCTTCGCGCCAGGGGGAAGTTGGTCGATTCCGGCCTTAATGGTTTCGAAACACTGTTCGTCGGGGACGTGCGTCGGTTTCCAGCTGTGTAAAAGGTCAGGGACAATATTCTATACTGTATTCGGAAGATACTAACGTCATGAGCATCACGCCGTGCTATAGATGTTCCTTTCAGCCTGGAAACCCACAATGGAACGAAATAGACCGAATTCACCCCAATCTTCGCGACTTCTGCGCCAGACGCCGATCCACCGAGTTTGATGGTCTTGACCGTCATTGTAGCTCAAGTCTGAAGATGATGAGAAACGGAGGAAACGACTTATGCAATAGTCGATGAGGAATTCGAGGTTTTTGCTCCTATTTATATGGAGAACACGCTGACGTGGATCTGAGGGCCGCACAATGCCAAGTGATTCATGGTCCGCTGCCGGAGGTGACGAATCCGGATCTGTACATTGGTCTTCGCGGCAACAGGTGTACGACGACGTTGTGCCGAGGACGACCTATACCCACGGATCGACGACCGCGGGGCGATGTGTACGCCCGTCATTGATAGCGACCCACGTTGAGCCACCTCCGAACTTCTCTGAACGCAGATCAACAGGACTAGTGCTTCGGATGCCGACGAACTGCGTTGCCTTTGGAGTTTCGCTGCCTTTGCAGGCCAGGCGCTCCGATGTTAGCTGAGCGTGCGATAGGTGATGGGATGACCGGCGCAGTAAGTGACAAAGCGGACGAGCATTTTAGCTGAGAAGCTAGCTAACCTAGCAGCAGCTGGACTCTGTCCGAGGCGAGACGCTCCCCGTCCCAGCCGGCACCTTCGAAAGAGGCAGCCTACCCCTCCACTGCCAATCGCGTTGCCGAGCACGCGCTCAGGGCCGATGATGGTGGTTTTCGTGCTGTCGGTTGTAGAGAGGATTTCAAGCTCGAGTTCCGAGCTTGCTTTGTCCAACCACGCTCTTGTGTAAATCTGATTCGGTACTCCTCCAAACCATCCGACAATATGGAGCCATCACGCTTTATCACGCTTTTGTAACGTTTTGGCGGGGTCACAGGGGGTGTCACTGGGACCGAGTCCAGTACGAAAAAACCAACTCCTTCCCCTTACTATATGAGATCGTCTCTTCGGCCAGATGGTCGAATCGGCCAGTCACTGACACGTCACATCTCCGCGCTGATGTCCCATCAGAAACTTTGGTACTCCGCTCGGGGTGGCCGACTCGTCCTCGACAGACGATTTTTCGTACGATGTCTGAAGCTCACGTTCTATTATGAAGGATGTAAGCTACAGTAACAGCAACAATTTACAGCTAGCCGTGAGTAAGAACATAATCTGAATGAGTATCGTGGTGATTAAGAGTCAAGGTCGTCAACAAGCATGTTTGAATCAGAACTCCCCGGGCAATCATGCGAGGCTTCATCAGATGTTGGGTCGAGAGATGTCAGATGCGATGTGGAATCGGGGCAGGCTCTTTGCGCAGAGCGTCGGGAAGACTTGAAAAGGCCTGCAAACCGGTTGAGCTTGCTCTCGAACAGCGAGTCTATCGTACTTTGATACTGTCGTCCAATTCGGATAGTGTGTGCTCCGCTGCGTTTCTGGGTTCGATCTGCACCCATTGGCAGAGCAATACTGACATGAAAATGAGTGAATACTTGTCTGTCGTCGCGTTGCCTGACGCGTTGCGACGCGTTCAGTGTTTGAACTCCGGCCGGCTGTCATCCGGCATTGTCGGCACCACATCACACAGCGTGACTCGACCGACATTGTCTACCTCAACTTTGAGCAGTGTAACTCGCTATATTATGCTCTCGAAACAATTGAAAACACAGTATATTGGGACAGTCAAAAAATGAAGTCGAACTGTGCCGTGGAACGTGAGATATAGCAGGGTGGCCGATTCGACGATGTGGCCGAAGTGATGATCTCATATAGTACGGGAGGAGTCGGAATTGGCCATGCCAGCTTTTGCCTTCTGTCTCTTACCGCTCGGCTCCTTGAACTGTATTTTCTCATCATGAATGCGGATGATTGGTCCGCGGAAATCGGATGGCCGCAGACGTAGCTGTCGGTAGGTAGGTAGGTAGGTAGGTAAAACTTGGAGCTCCATTCGTCGATCCACGAAGGCCCACATCTCCGAAAGATCGAAAGATCGACTCTGAAGGAAGCCGAGAAACAGGCGCGAGCTGATTGCGCTGCTCCCGGGGGTCTCGAACTCGATCCTGCAGGCGGTGGATGTGTTCCGTTTCTATCTCGATGTCAAGTCTGTGTCGCTCGGTACGAGCAGGATCGTCTGGAAAAGAGGTGCTCGAGCTCGGGTTCTTGAACGATATCAGTGACCTTATCAGTAAAACAAGCGATGCAGTACTCGTAGACATATGTATTCACCTTCGTACTACTGGTGAAACAGAGGATGCTGCTCAGTTTGGATGTTTACTGTCAGTGATGTCGACAATGTTCGCGTTCACGACCAGCTTTTCCGCGACGAGTTCTTGAGATACTAGAGGGTAGTCTGGTAGATGGCTAGTAGTGAAATGGGGAAGAACTTCCAATTGCGTCCGGAAAAGGTTGCACTTGACGCCAAAACGCCAACCCGCAGCTAGATTTGAACAGATCATGAACATAACATTGTGGCATTCTTAGATATAAAGCAAACACCCGTAAGCTTTGACATCGCATGGACGAAGTTCATAGGGAATCTACGAAGGACCCAACAAGCTGAACGTACGTATTCCCGCGGAGGAGATCGTTGTGCTCTTCCTTCAGCGAACCGAAGTCCCACTTGATCCGACCCTCCTGGCCCTCCAGGATATCGGTAACGGAAGCTCCGAGCCCGGCAACGATCGCCTTGCTCTGGACGAGATCCACGAGCGTATCCCCCGTCGAATGCAACACGAACCACACGATGCCGCCCTCCCTCTCTCCCTCCCTCTCGGCGTACTTGGTCACATCGAACCTCTCGTACGGAGGCGGGCCAAACGCAGCCTCAACGAACCAGCCGCGGTAGTCGGGGAAGCTCGCGAGGAGTAAATCGAGGTCGTAGATCCCCTCCGATACGACTACGGCGTGGATGGAGGTGAGCAGCGCGCGCGAGGGTGTGAGGGTCGGCGTGACGCCGGACGAATCGCGCACGATGCAGGACAGCATGTGTGCCGAGCACGAGTGTCCGATGAGGACGAGCCGGGACGGGTCGTACGCCTTTGTCTCGTCAGGGTTGGGGCCTGCCCAAGTGTGGACGAAATTCAGGAAGGCGAGGGTGTCCTCGGCGTGCGCAGGGTGCAGCAGAGCGGTGTCCGGGGTAGGCTCGTTCGGTGTGAGACGGTAGTTGGGCACCGCGACGGCGCAGCCCGTGCGTTTTGCGAGGGCTCGAGCGAGATCCGCATGATGGGATTTGTCCTCGCTACGTGGATTCAAGGCATCGTCAGTGAGAGCTCTACGCTCAACCCAGGGTGATGCATGGACTGGCGTTCTCTTGGCAAACGCAGCACATAATAAGGTGCTGCGCGCCGGACAGCCGTAGAGAGGTCGAGCAGGATGCATACACGCATCCCTCGAGGAAAAACATGGGTTGAACAGGCCAAAGGTATTCCGTACTGCAATTGCACAAATCTACAATAGGCCACGACGACTCACGCACGCCAGGCGCCGCCATGAACAAAGCAGAGCAACGGCCCAGGTTCGCTGCGCGCAGCTCCGGATCCGGGCACGTATAGATCGAATTGGTGCGCCGAGGTGGCGGTGAACTCGATGTATGCGATATCCTTGTGCTCGTGCAGCTCCATGGCAAGGGAGAATCTAGCCAATGATGCTGCCGTCGTCTGAAAGGTGGGATTTAAGTAGCGAAAGGTATGACTACAGTAGTTGAAGCCGGAGCCGAAGTGGTGACTTCGAGTTCCGAGCCCTGGGAGCTGTGACTCGTACGGAATCGTACCACAAGGCAGCTTTGATGCGGTATGACCATTGATCTGGTTTCAGCAAGGGATAGTACATCTGATGGAGGTACAGAGAACACATCAATCGTAGGGTAGGGTCAATGTCCGTTTAAGTCGTTGGCGTCTATTCTCGTCCAAGTAGCGTGGGGGTATCATCGTCAGAGAGTGAATTAGTTCGCAGGACGTGTCAAGGTATTTGATCACCAGCGACAACTGGGTTGGCTGACTTGGCACTCTAGTACGTGCCTGCTGCTTTACGTTGCCTGCGGATGGCAAAGATGCCAGCACAGGAACCAAGCAGAGATAGCCAGAGCGCAACAGTTGCGCCTAGCGCCATCCACACCTATAATCGTGTATAAGCCAACAAGTCGCCTGGAATCAAGAAGCAACTTACAGCATTACCCCAGCTCAAGGTTAGCACGCCATCGCTGTCTTTGTGCACTCGGTGGCGAACGACGGCGACGAGGATCACGTCGATTAGAAACACGACGGTCGTAATGAGAGCGGCGAGGAATGCGCTGAAGAACGTGAGGAGTGAGGCGACTCGCGACCCGGCATCGACGCCACCCGTACGCGAACGGTGCAGCATGAAGAGCGAGAAGAAGAGGGCAACGAAGGTCAAGGCACAAGCTGTAACAACGAAAGGATCAGAGGAGCAACGATAGGCAGACTTGAGAAGGCGTTACCGATTGGATGCAGAACCAACGCCGCAGTGAGCGCCTTGCTGATCAAATTGCTGATATGATCTATGCCACTATGACATCGGAATTCAGCATTTGTTTTTGAAGTTCGACTTGGGAGATGTCACTTACAGGGCGCTCATCAGCCGATCGTCAAAGGTATAGCCTAGTTTCTTCGGAGAACAGAAAGCGTCTGTGTTCTCGCTGATACCAACGACCCTGGACAAAAGAACCTCATTATGAGTATCGGTGACATCAGGCGCGGATCTGCGAGGACGCACTTTGCCTGCAAGTTTGAGACGCAATAGCCCCAGACACCGAAGCGAACCTTGCCATTCGCGCTTGAGTCCAGGATGCTCGACGACGCGTGCGCGGTGATCTTGAACAGGAAGATGCTGTGGATGATGGGGGTGGAGAGCGTGACAAGCAACAATAGCAAAAAGGCTGAGAAGAGCAGGAAGGGCGTGATAGCAGCTAGCATCTTGAGTAAACGGTCGTCGTGCGGATCGCGTAGCCCGTGTCGTGAGGGGAGAGCAACTGGCAGTGGAGTACAGGATGGGGTACAATATATCTTGGGCGGTTGAGTTCAGCGCCCGGGATGTATATGTAGGTCATTTTTTGATTGGAGAATGGAGCCGAGCGTGAGGGAACAAAGCCTTGTTCGCGTGTTGAGGACAATGACGTCGGCAAATATTTCGGCGTGGCACTAGTACGGTGGCGCAGTGGCGGCGGTGTAAACCATACTTACCTCCAAGGTATGTATAGGTACTTACTACCAGGCCCATCGGACTCACGAAAATATAGCAAATCATGATTTCATGAGGAGCTTTGCCCGCAGGCATGCAAGACAGGATCCGCGGACCGGAGGCTTCAGATTTTGCGGTGAGCGCTGCGCCGCTTTGTTCAAGGTCGTACCCAGTGCAATAGCGAAACAGGTCTGGTCCTCAATTTCGAGGTCTGCGTCATTGGAAACGAAGTAGATTTTGCATATATGATCTTAGTCAATCCCTCATGCACATGGGCGTGTGTATTCAGCGTCTAACGTTGAACTAACTATGTGCTGCTCAGGCCATCCGTTTGGTTCAGACTTATTCGCGCTTCCCGAAGTGTTTCCCGAGTGTGCTCGAAACGAACTCATTTGCAGGATGGGGTGTAAACCAAATCAATGCGAGGATTGGTAGCCACTTGAATTGAGCTGCAGTGTTGTAAGGTTGTGAGTCATCTCTGGGCGATACTTTACTGTGCATCCACCCCTAATGCAACATCGACACAAATCCCTCTCCCGTTCCTTTCCTGCTCAGCTGTTCGTCTCGGAAAGAAATCTATGCACTCTCAAACACCTGCAAATACTGTATGTAAGAGATGAAGTAGGAGCGAGGCTTGGTTCGGGCTACAGAAAAACATTAGGACTGCTCGAGTGAGTTGATGCAACATGTCGCGAGTACTCCACGGCCTCGCTTCACCGGATCGGTAACGAAAAGTTTACGGAAATATTTGGTAGTACTAAATACCTTGTATCCTATTTGCTACGCCATTCCGATTCGTGATTGCTGTAGTAATGCTGCTGTAGGAGGATGTTCAACGAAAAGGACGGTGCTGGCGTGACGGTTGAGTTCAGACTCCGCCTGCGTTGATTGGCCTGAGCCGCTTGAGCCCTGCGTTGCGCTGCAGCCTGTCCTAGTTCGGCACTTCGGCAAATCGTGACCGCGTGTGATGATCTCGCAACTTTGGCCGGTGCTCACTTCGTCTCGCCGGCATCTCGCTGGCAGAGTTGAGACTCAACCAAAATATTTGAGACGCTGGATGACATATCTATAGCATCCTGGCTATCTACTACCAAGGTTTCGGATAATTTTGAGGTGATTTGAGGGAGATATAACCCTAATGCAACACGCGTTGCATCAGGGGTGGATGCACAGTATAGGATCACGCTCAACGGTGTGGAAGTTCATTTCTGACGCATGCTATCGTTAATCTCGCTACTTCACAGGGGTCTGCGATTGCTGTGAGGCAGTCTGGTAGTGTATATTCACCGGGCTGCGAACTAATGATTCTGGCTGTTGCGAAATATGAACATCTATCGTTCAGACATGATCACATGTCTAATAAATGTGCTGCGCTGATTGATTTGGCGATGAACTCACAGCATATGTACGTGTACGTACGGAAGGAGCGCGCCAAAAGGGTAGCTTCCTGTCTGGTATATGTGGCGGATAACCAGGATCCGTTGTCGGGAACTCGCGAGCATCTATGACGTGTCGGGGCGAGCGGCAGTCAATTCCAAACATGAGTGTCTTTCGAAGTCGGGGATCTGTTCGGCGGATTCATGTGATGGTATGCCCCATGTGTAGCGAAGAACTTCCCGAAATGGAAGGTGATGCCGACTCGTGGTCGTGGGCGAAAGCGTCAAATGTCTTCCAATGATGTATTTGGGGTGTCGACATGGCCGTTAGGGATGGGATGAAAAGGTATACATATGGCGTGTGACGTCTAATAGCGTCGCTGGGACTGTACCCTATGATGAATCCCTGAGCGAGAAGTGAAGAGTTTGGATGCACGTACAGATAGATATCCATAGAACGCATAAGGCTGTTATGCGCTCCTAAATCGAACACCGTCGCTTCGAGTGAGGCGAATCCATTACGGGCCCCGCGAGTGACCTCACGAGAGGGTGCAAGTTTACAGATAGATAGGGTGACCGTCGTTGACATGATATCATGCTAGAGGGGAATACGAATACATGACATGGGGTTTCAGAGCATTAGTTAAGAGAAAGCACCCCGGCAGATCCGGCAGTCGCTTTCAGCAGCGTTCAGCGTTCAACGTTCAGCGCCCAGCCCCGCAAGACCCGTCATTGCGAATAAGCCTCGCATAGCTTGCCCGCAGTGCAACCACGGGACCATATTCGGTCTGAATGCCATTGGACAAGCTGGTTCGCAGCGACACTGTGGAAGGGCAACCCTGCGGCGCGGGGTAGAATGACATCGCCTTTCGCGGTGTCCCGAACGGGCGGTTATCAAAGGGAACTCCGAGATCAGTCTGGCAGATCTGCTACAGAATCACTTGTGCAACTTGAAGGAGACCCGAGGCGGGGAGGGGCAGGGAAGAGCCCACCATCGTCGTCTTGCGTGGTGAGGTCGAGAGCGATTCATCAAGGCAGCCGCCATGTACGCTGGCGGAGGGCGGGCCAGAGTCGGCGAAGAGACGAGAAAGAAGCCCGAAAAGTGTGGGAAGAATGATCGGGAAGCTTCGATTGATTCAGTGGCCATCAACCCTAAACTCAATGGATCCGCGCGCCGGCATACGGCGTCCCAGCAGCGTATGGCGCGACGGGCGGCGGGCATGGCGAGCAGGGAGGGGGCGATAAGAACGAACGAATGGACCGAATGGGCGTATCATTTTCTCTTGTTGTTGTGACGCGAGCGCATCTAGAGCCAAGGAGACCGTAGCTCACAACGAGAAGAGAACAGAAACGGTCGAACAGAACTGTCACGTGTGACACTTTGCCGACATCATTCGATATCGGGCATGGGCGTGCCTCGTCCTCGTCCTCTGGAGCTGTGGGGGAAGGCTGAGAGCAGAGAAAGACAGAGCAGCAAGGACGGGCGTCTGATAGCAAGACCATCTGGGCGTTATGAACATGCTGGGGCGCTGGAGTTGGGAAGGAATCCGCGTTTGTGATGTTGCGGTGGGAAGGCGATCCGGTTCCAGAAAGGGAAGGGTGTCAGAAGCCTGTTGGTTTCTCACGGCAAACAGGGTCAAATAGTCTGATAAAGGGCGTCGCGACTGACCCCGAAGTTTTCCACAACCTCTCTCTCTCATACCCTCCAGCCCTAGGCTTGACGCACAGTCGTCTACTTCCTCTCTCTTCTTCGTTCATAACATCCTTTACCCTGTGAGTACCGTTGCTCGTCGTGTTGTACGACGCGTCTCACGTCGTTCCTCACAGCTCAACCTTCCACGCTCGCCGTAATGTCTACCCCCGAGGCCACCCCTGCCCCTGCCCCCGTCGAGGAGGTCAAGCCTACCGAGACCCCTGCGCCCGCTGCCGAGGCCGCGCCCGTCGAGCCCGCTGCTATCGCGGAGGCGCCCAAGGCTGAGGAGCCTGTCGTTGTACGTGTCTCGTCTATGACTCACGCGACCTGAAGCTTACTGTTTGGCAGGAGGCTCCCAAGGAGGAGGCCAAGACCGAGGAGGCCCCCGCTGCCACCGCCGAAGTCCCGGCTGCCGAGCCTGCGGCCGAGGCCCCCAAGGACGAGGCTGCCGCCGCCCCCGCGACCGAGGAGGCGAAGCCCGTGAGTGTCCCTGCGTCATGTGGCGGTGCAACGCGTGAATGACTAATTATATCTTGGCAGGCTGAGGAGAAGAAGAGCGACCGTCCCAAGAGCCCCGGCTTGCTCGCCAAACTCCTTGCTCCCTTCAAACCCAACCACGACAAGAAGGCCGAGAAGAAGGTGAAGGAGACCAAGACTAAGAAGGATAAGAAGAAGGAAGAGTCCGAGGCCTCCGTACGTGTCTCTGTCTATTCCCATCGTTGACGCATCTGATGGTTGCTTAGGCTGCTCCCGCTGCTACTGAGGAGCCCGCCAAGGAGGAGGCCAAGGCCGAGGAGACCCCGGCTGCTCCTGCCGAGGAAGCCGCTGCTCCCGCTGCCGAGCCGGCCGCCGAGCCCGTCAAGGAGACCGAGACTGCTCCGGCGGAGGAAGCCCCAGCTGCTGAGGCCGCTCCGGCTGAGGCTGCTGCTGAGACCACCGAGAAGGTTCGTTGTTCGAGTCGTGCCTGCAAGGGCAATCGTCTTACTGTCCTCGTAGAAGGAGGAGAAGCCCAAGGCCTCTCCCGCCAAGATCGGCCGCCGTTTGTCGGCTCGCGTCGGTGATTTCTTCAAGGTGAAGCCCAAGGAGGCGTCGCACCCTCCCAAGGTGGAGGAGAACCCGCCCAAGATCGAGGAGCCTGCACCCGTTGCACCCCTCGAGAACCCCGCTGCTGAGGAAGCCCCCGCATCAACTGAGGCGCCCGCTGCCGAGCCTGCCCCCGTCGAGGAGGCGCCCAAGCCCCTCGAGACCACACCCGCTCCTGTTGCCGCCGCGGCATAAGCGCGTCGTCGGTCGATATCCTTTTCATCTTTTGGTGCACGACGTTCATGATGATATTTCCCCTCCGTGACCCCTTGGTTCTCTCCGTGCCTTTTACACATCATTATGTCATTCAGCATTGATCCTTCTCGCTGCTTCTGGCGTCCCATCTTTCCCCCTTTTCTCTGATACCTTACCCGCGGATCTGGATTACTACTTGTTACGACCCATGATGACCCGGATCCATCTTCCTACTTAGTCACTAATCGATCCCATGCCACATACCCTGTCTTTCTTTCACTCATTGGATCGTGCTGTCCTGTTTATACCAGCAATTCAGCAATTGTTTGTGGGATATAATTGTTTGGCCCGAGTGCGACAGCAAGTCTCGACTGATGTGTATTGGGCTGCGTGGAGCTATAGCTTGAATTGCACAACAGGATGACCGCGATACTGTTGCGAAGCAAGTTTGTTATATGCAAGACATGCAGATTCATAGTACTATATGCCAACAGGATTTCGTCACCACTGTCGTTTCGTCACTTTTCGCATATCTCACCAACCTACTCCGTGTATCCCTCTCATTGTTTGCTGTCCTTGATGTGGTTAGTCGTGGAAGTTGGATGTATCGCAGGCAAACAGTGACTCGATCGCGTTGTGGCTGTGCTATTACTCGAGATGCAGAACCAGGCTGATTTGTCGCCGACAACGAATCTCATCTTGACATCATGCCTCCGAAATCCTCAGCAGGCAAGGAAAAGGACTTGGGCGGAGACGAGGATGTTCTGCAAGCCGTCATCCTCGCCGATAGCTTCAACAAGCGATTCAAGCCTCTTACCTCCGGCAAACCTCGAGTGAGCGTCCTGAACCACTGTACATGTGTTGTTGGTCTGAAGATCTGTTGCTCATAGTGCCTGCTCCCGATATGCAATGCTCCTTTGCTAGATTGGACTTTTGAGAGCTTGGCGCTTGCTGGCGTTCAAGAGATCTTCGTGATATGCCGGTCGTACGCCGTCCAAGTCAAGGAAGCCATCCGGTGAGTCGCATCGGCTGTTGCGATCCTAGTAATGACGGCTAACACGGGATCGCTATTCTGTAGCAACTCGATGTGGTCGAAGCCTTCATCTGGCATCAAGATCGTGCCCATTGTCACGGCCAAGGAGACGTTCTCACCTGGCGACGCCATGCGCGACATCTACACGCACGGCATCATCACGACGGACTTTGTGCTCGTCATGGGCGACCTTGTGAGCAATATACGGATTGATGAGGTGGTGAGGGAGCATAAGGAAAGGAGGAAGACGAATAAGGACGCGATCATGACGATGGTGGTGAAAGAGAGCGGGGCGAAGCATAGGACGAGGTGGGATTGTCGCTTCCACGTCGTTGGACGTTACGCTGACGATGGTGATAATGGGTGATGTGGATAGGTCAAGAGGAGATGCGAGTGTGTTCGTCATCGATTCTCAAACTTCCGAGTGCCTGCACTACGAGCCCGTCACGGGTTACCCGCCCAAACAGAGCGCTGCCATTCCGCGCGAGATTCTCAGCGAGCATCCTGAGGTGGACATCCGGAACGACCTCATCGACTGCTCGATCGACGTCTGCTCTGTGGAGGTACGCGCATATAGTCATGCATGTACATCACCAAGCCATTCACATCCTAGATAAGGTTCCCTCGCTCTTCCAAGACAACTTCGATTATCAGGATATCCGGCGGGATTTCGTGCACGGCGTGCTCACGTCCGATTTATTAATGAAGAACATATATTGCTACGTGGCAGAGGTGGGCTATGCGGCGCGTGTCAAGGATACGCGCAGCTACGACGCTATCAGGTGAGCGGCGTCCGTCTCACTTAGTTCTGCGATTAATGCGCGGAATGTAGCAAAGACATATTGTCGAGATGGACGTTCCCCCTGGTGCCGGATGACAACCACCCTGCTGGACACCGCTATGAGCACACGAGGGGAAATAAGTACATCGCTGCAGATGGTACCGTCGTCCTCTCTAGGTACGTTGATTACCTCTGCGTCTATGCAGCGCGGTTGATCCGTCTTTTTTCAGGACATGTAAAGTAGGCACAAACACCCTCATCGGCTCCTCGACGCAGGTTTACGAGAACGCCGAAGTGTACTCGTCCACCATCGGCCAGCGCTGCGTTATCGGTCCCAGCGCCGTCGTGCGCCATTCGTACATATTCGACGACACCGTCATAGGCGCGAACGCTTTCGTGGATCGCGCGATCGTCGGTGCGGGAGTGAAGGTTGGCGAGGGGAGCAGGATCGAGCGCGGTGCGCTGGTTGCGGACGGAGTTGTGCTTGGCAAGGGCGCCCGATTAAGGCCCTTTGAAAGGGTGAGCAGGAAGAGGGTTCAGGAAGATGGACATGAGAGCGACGACGAAAGCGATGAGGACTCGGAGTTGGAGGATATTGACTCTGGCGAGTTAGCTCTCTGGAGAACGCAGCCTTCACTGACTTTTTTCTCTTGACCAGACGAGGACAATACTGACATTCTTGGTGCGGATTCGAACGGCATTGTCTGGCCCCGAGGCCCAAGCACAGAAGAGGACGAGGAAATAGATGAGGTTGAAAACTTCACAAATCAAAGATTAATGCGTATCGGTAAGTTACACCTCACGCCACGGATTGCTAGCGCCGCTCAGGGCCTCTTCATTTTAGGCGACACCGCGTCGGATCTTGACCTTTCCGATCCTGGCTCGGTGACCTCGGACGAAGAATCCGACTCGTCCTCTTCCGAAGGCTCTCCCCTGGCCCGCAGCCGCTCACGCGCCTCCTCCCAAACGTCCCTCACATCCCTTACCGCGCCATCTACAGCCCTATCCTCGCTCTCGCTCGACCCAGAGCATGCCGCCGAAGCAGAGTTTCATCGCGAGGTCAAAGCGTCACTGGATCGCGCGTTCGCGGAAGGCCACTCGGTAGACAACGCAGCGGTAGAGCTTAAGACGCTCCGGATGGCGAGCAATGTTGACATTGCGAAGGTGCGCGAAGCGGTGATCAAGCAGATCGTGGAGCACATCAAGGTCGTGGACGATGCTGCGGCGCAGAGGAAGGAGATTTCGAGCGTCGTGGGGAGGTGGGGGGAACTCATCAACAAGATTGGAGGTGCCGATCCAGTGGAAACTGTTTCGTTGCTCCAGGTTCGCTCCCTGTTTCCCAGCCTAGTTGTGCACGAGCTGAAGCGATCGCATTGCAGGTCCGTTGTTCAGCTTCTCCTACGCGCCATGCACTCTTTGGTCAGCTTCTCGCTGCCCTTTACCAAGCCGACATTGTCGAGGAGGATGATATCCGCGCGTGGCATAAACTACCGGCCAGCAAGGGGCAGGGCATGGAGGCGGGAGAGAGGAGAGAAAGGATGGAGAAATGCTGGTTGGTCGGGGCGAAGATGATACATCAGTTTGACGAGCAAGAGACGAGTAGCGAAGAGGGCGAGAGCGAAGAGGAGGAAGTTGAGGAGGAAGAAGCCGAAGAAGAGAGCGAGGACCAGAGCGAGGATACAGAGGAGAGTATGGTGGTGGTGTCTCCTCAGGGCAAGGGGAAGGTTCAGCCTCCACCGTCACAGTCTACCAGCGAGGAGGAGAGCGAGGAAGACGAGAGTGAAGAAGAGGAGAGTGAGTGAGATTGCTTGTCCTCCCGCTCGATTTACTTCGGATTCAGATGGACCAACGAACTCATCATGGCTATCAGTATTGGTTCAGGTTTAGACACGCTTGTGAGTTTGGCTCGCCCTTCGCCCGACATCCCACGATACCCACTTCATAGCATTGTGTTCGATAGAATTATATATGTTTCACCGCATTCATGCAGGCGTGAACGTCCGTAATCAATCAGTACAAACCACCTAAGTAACACAAATCAGTCGGACTCGAAGCGACAACGATCACCACGCACCATCTTCTTCCACCCTGTGTTGATCCTCGGCATCGTTGTGGACCGGTGTTGCCTGCAGTCCGAGCTTAGATGGTGGCGCTTCCTGGTCGTGGCCGTGAGGCTTCCAATCTCCCCTAAACGCGCAAACCCTGGGTTTTGATTCGCAGCGGCATGGTCCGGAATGGCGTGTGTTACTCGGGTGTCGGGTTTTTGCTCTGCAAATGAATCCAGGTTTCGTTCCCTAGGCCCTGACTCAAGCATCGTTAACACGGACGAAACTCTACAAACGGATTCTCACAAGTCATTTCCGTACGTCTTATTGTCCTCATGGGTCGTCCAGGATAATCACTTGCTCATATGGCCGGGGAAATGCTTGTTTTGTGCAGCCTATTCAAAGCGTATATGAACCGATGTCTGCGCCCAAGTACGTTTCTAATCGTATTAACTGGAGAATGCTGCAGGGCTTTGCCCGACATTTCTCACCGAGAATATAATCAGAGCACAGGGTACTATCGCAGACGACATATCAACATATCGAATCGCGCGATGAATACATGCAGCGGCTTACCTGGCAACGGAGCGAAGATCCCCCCTTACATGAAAACCGTGTTGTGCTAAATCGCATCGGACTATACGCTCCATGCAGCGGTTGGGAAGACTGCTGGCGCGACACCTCAGGGATATCTGTTTAACTGAGATCCTCGCCACCGTGAAGCTGTAAACGATCCTCGGGTAGGACCTGTATTCAGCTCGCATGTCGCTATCACGGCACGGAAAGGATAAATGCACAAATGCGGAGCTGCTCTCTGACACAATACGCAGCCGCGGTGTAAATGGCAGGAGTTGGCGCAGGCAGAAGCGTGTGCCGTGCCGGTACGTACGAGGACTAGACGTATTGGTACGTCGCACAACATGGATAACCGGTGATGACCGATGTCACAATAGAAGGGTGAATGGACAAGAAGATCGAGGGAACATGGGTCACCACCAAACATGCTTACGCAGGGCGAATATAGGATGGGCAACATAACGGCATAATGTGAAGAGACGCTTTCGCCTCCACTTCGAGGCTGCTCACTATGCGTCGTAAACGCTCTAAGCTCCAAGCTCGCATTTTGTTTTCATTAACGTCCTATTAAACAGAGCCTGCCCCTAGAGGCGGACGATCGATAAATTACATGCTCCGGGTTGTCGCGTGTTCAGGCATGCACGCTTCGGTGAGCGTGGTGTTGAGTTTCTCGATGCGTGTTGTCCTCATTACCGACGGAGGGAAGATCGTCTCCGATTCTCCCGTTACGGAAGGCATCGACGATATTTTGCGACTTGCCACAAGCAATACAATCAGCTGATGTGCCACTGTGCATATCAGTTCGTCAGCAGTATTACACGCTCAGAAAGATCTCGTATTCCTACATTTCTGTTGAATCTGGTTTCATGCCAATTAACGCTGACCTGAGGGTACCTTTCTTGTTGGGGAGGTGCTTCGTGGTTTCACCGCCGAGATGAGATCCGTCCCACGGAATATAAACTAGGAGGCTGTGATTCCAGAACACCGAGACAGCTTAATCTAGAGTGCCCAGGGCGCCTTCCTGATTCTAGGGCAAGAAGCAGCATGAATATGATGGAACGTTGCATAAGAGCGAATCAAGGCTCGGTGGCCCTCGACTGCATTAACAGAATACGACAAGCCCCCTGTTTCAAGTAATTTATTCCTGGAGCTGTTACAGAATGGTCACATACTAGTAGACAATGTCTAGAGGTATCACAACAGCTGGACCACATTTCAGGACAGCAATGCATAGATCCGTTGATGCCTCGGATGTGCCTGGAGATATACGCATCAAGGGTTCGGTTAGGTTCAGACTCGTTTCGAAAGTAAGGTGAAACAGAGGCCCAAAAGGATATCTTTCGCGGCGTCAGTATAGCCATTGATGCTCCCGGGTGTCGATGACCCGGTAAGCATTTGATGAGATCGAGCAAAATGTGCGCTGTGGAAATATGCCGTGCACTCTCACGCTTTTGAGTTTCGTATTGCCGGCGTTCACGATTCGCCAGATTCTCACAGGCATCTGAGATTCTTTGTTCAATGCCTCGGATTGGACGTACACGTTGTATTGAGTTATTCTATGGGAGCAGTAATCCGTCAATGTCATTTGACGTAGCTTCCGACATAACTGTAGGGTAGAGGTGATTAATCACCGCTGTGTCGCCTAAAGAAGTCCTGCAAAGCGCCTCCCCCCGAGATAATGGTGGACGGTCATGTCCAGGAAGGTACAAAGAATTTCTTTCCTCATCTGAATATTCTCAGGGCTTCAAAGTTCCTGCCGTGCCGTATATTCTAGATTGATTGATATTCAGCATTGTGGACGTCTGTTCATTGACGTCTTTATGTACACAAGGTACAACAGGTTCCTTTTCTGGCCCCGTTCGCGCATCATGCGGCGAATTAATTGCACACGGGACCAGGGTCGCATCGGTCCTGCCATGTGGTTCGGGACGTCGCCCTTCCCAGTGGGCGAAAAAGACGTACGTCGCGATGGTACTACAAGGCTCATTCGCCATTCAATTCATCCCGATTGTGATGGCAGGAAAGTTATACGATATCGTGCCGCTTTGCTGGTATGCACTGTGCGAGTTTTAAACTCAGTTCTCCGGCCGTTACCCTAGTCACGGTCTGATAGCACGAAGAAGGAAGAAAAAAGATATCCGTCTGCCGGGAAAAGAAGAGAGATATTCAGTCGTTTGCCGGTCGAGCGCCCGGTGGGAACGATCGGCGGATGAAGCGGTGATCGCTCAATGTAGCATCAACGCATCCGTTCTTTGTCAAAGTCACGCGAAGTCACGAACAAAAAAATAGAATACAACGGGGCGCTATAGCTCGTCCCTGGGCACTGGCGCGGGCTCGGGTTCGGCCTCGGGCACAGGCGCGGGCGCCTCTCCAGCCTTCGTCCTCTCCGTAGACTTCTTTTTTGCCTTTTCTTTCTCGTCCCGCGGGCCTGCGACGTCAAAGCCGGCGGCACGTAATAAGGCCGTCAGCGTGTCCGGATCGCGGACGTCGATCGTCTCGAAGCCTCCGTCCTCGCCGTGTCCGCCAAGGTCGACGTCCAGCTCATCTTCGCCGATGAATTCCACGACGATCTCGCCGTCTTCGCCGAGCTTCTCAATTAGCACCCCGGCCTGCAGCTCGCCGCCGTCCTTGAGTCGTTCTTTGCCTAGGAAGGCTTCGAGGGCCTTGCGCAGCATGTCATTCCCTGCGCCGGGGATGGCCTTGGGGAGGGTGACCGGCGGGGGTGGAGGCGGAGGCGGAAGCACAGGTTTGGTCCGCGCCGGCCGCTTGAAGAACTCGTCGGCCTCCGGCAGGGTGCGGTCGACGTTCTCGAGCGTGTCGACGATCTCTCGACACCGAATGAGCGCCTCGTCGCGCTGCTCTTGCCGCGACTTGAACCCGGGCTCGCCGCAGAGGCGCGGGGTCTGGATGACGAGCACGTAGGAGCACGTCTTCGTCTCCTTCACGAACAGGATGTGGTCCGTCGTCGTCATTGAACAGTGAAACTATTTTTGTGCCGTTGCGTGTCAGCCCAGTACCCGGTGAGCGGGGACAGAGAGATGGGAGCCGTACCTGGATCTCGATCTCGCGCTTCTTGCCGGTCTTGTCGCACACCGTGCCGTCGCCCCATCGCTGGACGAGGTAGCGGGATCCGGCGCCGCGCGCGATGTCGAGGTTGGCGGCGAGCGCGTTCTGCTCGGCCACGGTAAGCTCCGTGCCCGGTTCGGGGATCGGCGGCGCACGGCCGAGGGTGTACGCTTCCCACTGCAGATCAATGGAGGGTAAGCATTAAGACGAAAGGCACCGGCGAAGTAGGTGGACTAATGAAAGACGGAGATGGTACGTACCTCGGGGTCTTCTTCGGGGATGTAGCCACCCGGAGGATGTGGATGCGCGTGCGCCATTTCTCGAAATTGGCGCACGTGAGAGTTATGGCAGTACGAGTAGGTGAACCACGCCTGTCGATGCTGGTGAATCGAAGGGAGGACTCGTCAGCCTGGCGGCTCCACGATGCAGCAAGAAGCATGGACATACATAGAGACATGTGCCGGTCAGTGGCTGAAGAAGGGACCAGCTGTGGGCGGGCGTGACTTCGCGCAACTCTTCCTCCTGTTCCTGGGGCGGAGGCTCGAGAGGCGGGGGGACGAGACATAAGAAGCGGTTCTTGGGGCCGAGCCTCATGAGTTCGACCGAGTATGGCGAGCTCCCGGCTGGAGGCGGTTGCGAGAGGGACTGCACATGAACGACGATAAGCAACTGGACAATGACGGAGAAGGGACGTCGCCGACCTCGACGGCATGCTCATTGTCAGCATGGCCGATCTCCTTGCGGGCGTCCGAGTGGTCGTGTCCGACGTCAGCCCACGGCTGTTCGAGGAACTCGGGTTCGCCGCCGCGGAGACCGTGCTGAAGCCATCGTTCGGCAGTCTCGTTTAGAACGGGGTTGCCATTCAGGAAGGTGACGCGGTACTTGGGAAACGCATACGGGTCCTCGGGGACCGAGTGCAGCAGCGACGCGGGTCGTGCGCCGACGGCGAGGGCGACGAGGACGACGAGCGTGCTGAGGGACGACGGGATCATTGGCTTGCAGCGCCACGTCGACACCCAGGGGACGTTGAGACCGGCCGGCAATCATACTCATCGGGCCCATCTCGATTGGCCCTCCGCGAGCCCGGCGGGGTTTGCTTGCCCCCAGCGCCTCCTCCTCGCCCCCGTCCCCACAGGCGACGACGTGGAATAATCCAGAAGCGCCGCCAGCCCCGGGGCGTTCATTCGGTCGCATTTACCTCGCACCTATGTGTGACCTCGGACGTCACGCGGGCTTAACGTTCATCAGATGAATAACTAAACTCGGTGACGAAAAATGTGATGGAAATGTTTCAATGCCGTCGCGCACACTCCGCTTCGCAGGCCGTTCCCGCACGGATCTGGGCCCCTTTACCGACGAAGCCCGTTCGCATTACGTCCCAACATGATTGACCACAGATATCGTGTTTTAATTTGACCAGGATTCCCCGGCCCACCGGCTGCTGTGTTTGGCAGGGCGGATTATTCTTTATAACGGGCACAATCGCATCCACCCCTTCTCTTTCCCTCTCACTTCTTCCTCTGCCAGCGCGGCGCACTGCTCCCCCCACCCCTCCGCCGTCGCGCGATAGTCATCGCCATGGCATCCCCCGATCCGGAGCACGATCAACTCGCGCGCTCTGAGCCCCCAGAGGACGAGCCAGGTGAGCAAAGCCATCCTCCGTTCTGGCGCCCACCGTGCCAAAGCGCGTCCCGTGACATCACGCGCTCACCCGTCGCTTTCTCCGTCTCGTCCTACTGCAGCAGCGCGGAACGAGGAGAAACCAGCGGAACCGACTCCCGTCAAGCGTGGGCGCGGGCGCCCCAAGGGCTCCAAAAACAAGAAGACCCTCGCCGCCCAGCAGACGGCGCCAGCGGCCGCGGGTTCGGCGAGCGGCGACGCCGCGTCCACTGGCGAGACTCCCAAGCGGAAACGCGGGCGTCCCAGGAAGGTGTGTATTGCATGCTCCACCATAATACTTCCTTCGCTTCCGCGCGCGCGCGTGCGCCCCTGACGAAGCACACCGACTGACTTATTTTGCAATCGCAGATCCCAGAGCCAGGCGAGCCCCCCGTGAAACGGCCGCGCGGTCGTCCGCCGAAGAACCCCAAGCCGGCGAGCGCAGCGAGCGCTGCTGCCAAACCGTCGACCAGCGTCGCCGAGGATGGCGACGGGGACGACGACGACGAGGGCAACGAGTCAGAGGCGCCCGCGGGACCCAGCTCGGAGCCTGAGGCACCAAAGAGGAAGCGCGGTCGCCCTCGCAAGAACACATGAAATGCGGGCACGCCGATGTCCCATGTGCCTGGAGGCTATCGAATATTTCTTGAACGCAACCGCTCAACGCGCGCCCCCCATGGACCATTACCGTCGAGTTGCCCCGCTCCCGTCCACGCTCACGACTCTGGCCACGACGTCCCGTCCTATCTATTGAGTTCTGTATCGATCTTACACCGCCCTTCAGATGTTGTATTGCACGTTCGAGAGATCGCTTTGCCGCGCTCTATGCCTTGCCATCGCGCCCTTGTACATACATGACAGTTTTTTCTCTCTTCTCTGCGTAAAATATAAAGGAAGGCACTAGGAACAAGGGACCGGGAGGAAAAAGACCGTTTTCTATCTCCACAATTAAATTATTTGCCTTTGTCGATCTCAGGGCATTGCGTGAGGTTGTATTTGTCCTCGCCCGAGCTTGGTCTTACCCCGATATGTTCAAGTTTAGTTCCGAAGATCTGCGCCCCTCGTTCTCAGATCGAAGATTCACCGGCCCCGGCGCACAAACACACGGGAAGGGCGCGTACCTTATCCCTCCACGGCCGGATGCTCGCAGGGGACTTCTATCGCCAGAACAAGCTACCATTATATATTACATGCCTCGCCCACCGTGTGGTATGTTACGCACGCAGCACCACTTGGACACGAGCGTACGGACAGATACTGCCGTTTTCTGCCGTGCAATCGCACCCGTGAACCGGGACCTGGTCCCACACGCATGCGCATCGGAAGGCCGTGGTGGCCCTCCATATATTCTATCGAGGTGTGTGGACGTGGCGTTCTCCGAGGGCTCCCTCAGCTCGCGCACCTCAGGTATTTCCCAACCGATATTGCCCCCGCCACAAGGGCCATCGCGCCGCCTAAGGTCAACGCCGAGCCGGCGAAAGAGAGCAGCTTGCCCTGCGTTTCCGCTTTCTTCTTGGCCGTCGCGTAGCTGATGTCGGGTCGGAAGGTGACCATGGTGTAGAGCGGTAGCCAACCGCGAGGATGTGGCGTGAAGGACAGCGTTTCGAGTTGCGGCGAATAAGCCTTATCCGGAGAAGCGACGATGAATGAGGGTGTGTCGGAGCTGACGGCGGATAGGAAGTTGTCTAGCCTTTTCCGGAACTGGTACCCCAGCGTCGTCACCGAGTGCCGCATCTCGACGCTGCGAACCGGACTCAGCAGCGATTCCCCGGGTAGACCAACGCTCTCCCTGCGTCACGTACTAGTTGTCCATGGCGAGATCGCAGATCGCCACCAAATCTTCGTGACGGGTTTTCGAATATTCCTCCAGGACGGACGCCAGTACCGGATCTACATCAGAAGACGATCCCGTCCGTGGCGCCGGACCGCCTTCGCGGAGCTGAGAATGGTCGGAGTCCTGCTGTAGTTCGCGCGTGTTCGTCTTCGTTCGTAGGAGATTATACAACACGCGAACGTCCTCCAATCCGCAATTTAACCCCTGGCCGTAAAATGGAACCATCGAATGCGCAGCATCGCCCAGAACTATGGCTCGGTCCTTGTAGTGATACGGGTTAGCCTGCGAGAGGGGGTGCATCAGCAGGTGAGCTAAGCGGAAAACTCAGGCAGGATCGATTATAATAAGAAACGGCGGAGATTCGCGGCGATCGCACGAGTGACGCATGACAAGAAGGGTTCCGACGCAGCAGGTCTATCCGCACCTTGATAGATATCAGGGGGCTGCGCGGGTGCCTCTCGAGGTCGTCGAGTAATTGCTCTTGACCGATGAGCGGGACTGCGTCCGGGAAGTATCTATTGAACCAGGCTAGTTTATCGGACCGAGAGATGGACGTTAGATAATTGAATTCGGTTGTCGGCGCGAATAGCGTGCAAGTGAAGGTATGATCCTGGAAATGTGATCAGTTGGGCGGACGACATGAGGAGACTAGCTGATTGCATTGACAAATTGATTACGGACCGGCGCGTGCCACAAGCCTAACGGAATGGTCATCTTACCTTGTTTGGAAGAGCGATCAGCATAAAGGAATGCCGCGGCCATATGTGCAGGTGATTGGGGTCCAGGAGGAAGGCAGGTGTTCCGTCCGCATGTCGCCCAGGCGGCATCTTGAGTTCGACGTACTCGTGCGGAATATATTCTTGCTGGAAGTTCATCCTGCGGGTATAGCCCAACAAAAATAATACATATGTGAGACATTCGCATCAAGCCGTCACAACCTTGAAACGAGAGAAGGGAAAATAAAACGCCGCGGTTCGCGCCTTGCTTACCGGACGACTCTCATCATTTGCCGTCTCACGACAGAATAGCTCCCGTCCGCACCAATACAAAGGCCGAACCAGATTTTGCGATCCTGGCCATCTTCCGCGTTCGTGACGACCATCGACCGTTCTTCGAAGTCTATCGAGGCCACTTTATGCCTAAAGAACGCCCGCACGTTCGCCACGCCCAGGGTCTCGTTGAGAATCGATTCATTGAGAAGAGCACGGTCGATCGAGTTGATGCACTGCGGGGGGAAATCCCGTCAACATCTGTCTTCGTTCGCCGGCACGCGCGTGTGTAGCAGTAAAATAGAAACTCGGAGGGCAAATGGAGAACTGTGCCTCTGCGGGTGCGCGCCGGGCCTGTGTGACCTGAAGCGGTTCCCAGGCGGTTGAGCCGGCTTGTTGCGGGGGACTTCGATACGTTCGGATAAAATGAATTAGAAGGTTGCTTTTACCTGGCCGTGTCTGTCATATGCTTGGCTTTCCTGCGTCCCGTCCGTGTGATGGATCATCCTACCGCGCATGGGGATCACCGTCTCTAGAAAACGAGCGGTGGCGGCCTCATCGAGCACGGTGCGCAACGCGGCGATGCCCCGCGACGAAATCGCGAGGTTGATAGATCGCTGCTGGGCCGCCGCTTTCGAGGACGGCAATCGGATGTCTGAAACAGCGTTTGAAGGTGCATAGATGGCGACGTTGTTTCCGGAGAAATGACATGAGGTTCGTGTGTAGAGAAGGTGGCATTAAGCGCACTCACCGGGCCGCGCCTCGTAGATATCGACGCTCCATCCGAGCTTGGCAAGGCCAGCGGCGGTCAGACATCCGACTGGACCTGCGCCGACGACGACCGCCTTGCGCTTCATGTTCAAGTTGTCGGCCATTTGGGACGCGAGTCAAAGCTGGCCAAGCCCAATGAGGTAATCAGGTCCGGGGAACGAGGCGATTGCCGGCCCCTGGGGAAATGGCGTCCAGGGTCGGTCGGTAAGCGAGCGCGGCAAGTGACCGTGCGATCGCGCAACGTTAAACCTTGCAATTATCGCCCCTGCCTTCTTCTCTCTCAGCCCCAGCGGCCAACTTGCACCCACGCCGGCGACACATGGCGGTTCCGAGCCAGCCAACGAGGCGCCTGAGCTTACCAGCGCGTGATGAATTCAGGATTCCAACGAACAAGGACATCGGCGCGACTTCGCTCGCTCGGGAAGTCGGTGTGTCGTTTATTGATGCTGTTATCGTCCCCAGGCCGTTTACGAGAGTGATTTGACTTCCATGTGCAGCCCATGACACCTGTGTCTATATGTGCGGAAATTCCCTCGGCGCTCTGCCCAAACGTTCCGAGGAGTTAGTCAAGGAAGAATTCGCAGTATGGGGCACACGGTCCGTGTCATGAACAAACCGCCCCTTCCGCCCCCGTCGACGATGAGATGACGAATGCGAACTCCCCGTTCTCGTATCCGATAGTGCAGTCGAAGGCCACTTCGACCACCCGCACGGGCGTGAATGGATGAACATCGCGGACACCGTCCACCCTTTTCTTGCCGATCTCGTGGGTACGTGGCTGGCATCTATCCGAGGATGGTGCCAATTAAGGTTCATGACGATTTTGTTCTAGGCGCCGATGCGAGCGAGGTAGCCTGCATGGGGACCCTGACGGCGAACTTGCACCTCATGATGAATACGTTCTATAAACCCACGGCTGACCGCTACAAGATTCTCTGCGAGGCTCATGCATTCCCTTCCGATCAAGTACGTTATTTGCGTCGCATATCATTCCCTGTCCTTATCGCGAATTTGGACATACATTCCTCTTTTACCGATCCCCGTGCTCTTTTATGCCGTTCTATCGTCAACGATCTGCAATTCTGATCACAATCGCGACATATCTTCTGTCTCACTATACCCTTCCATATGCGCAATTTCCGCGAGCATGGGCGACAGCATCGCTTCATTTCGCCGTTTCCCAAGCTTCCATGATTTTCATCGTCCGATATTTCCCATTGTCACCCCCCTCCGATGGAGCGCCGCGCGCTTGGACCATAGAAGAAATCCTAATTTCCCCGCAATAACGCCTTTTCCGTGATCGCAATTCCGTCCCCCCATCCGTGCCCGTCCTGAATACGTCGCCGAGCGCTGATCTCCCTGTCGGCCCCCCTTTCTAGTATGCGTTCGCCTCCCAAGCCGCCTTGCACGGTCTTGACCCAGCGGATGCCGTCCTCCAGCTATACCCGCGCGCTGGCGAATTCACCCTCCGCGAGGCCGATATACTCGACGTCCTCGAACGCGAGGGGGACAGGATCGCGTTGGTCCTGTTCAGCGGCGTCCAGTATTACACCGGCCAATGGTTCCCGATGGAATCGGTCACGAAGAAGGGGCGCGAAAAGGTCGGGGTCACCCTCTCTCCCTATCCATCAGCCTTTTCTTCCGCTGGAGTTTTCGCCCATCCTTCTCTTCACTGGTGTCGCTGATAGCTGACGATTGAGTGTCGATGCGATAGGGATGCATCGTCGGCTGGGACCTGGCACATGCTATCGGCAACGTGCCCATGAGCCTCCACGACTGGGGTGCCGACTTCGCCGTCTGGTGTTCTTACAAATACCTCAATTCGGGCCCGGGAGGTATCGCGGGCATATACATGCATAGTCGATGGAACGATAAGGTTACCAAGTGAGTTTTAGCCGCCCTTCTTTTGTGCGTGTGCGCCTCAATATACGGGGATAACCAACACGCTTTTTGTCGTTAACCCCAGCTTTGCCGGGTGGTGGGGTCACGAGCCGTCGACTCGCTTCCAGATGCCACCCGTCTTCTCGCCCATAGCCGGCGCGCAGGGGTTCCAGCAGTCGAACCCCTCGGTCTTGGCGACGGTGTCGCTCCTCGGATCACTTCAGGTAGGTCGAAGTCGTCGTCATCGAAGTGTCCCTCCGTCCTTGCCCTTCCCTATCTCATCGCCCTTATATGCTCCCAGGTGTTCCACGACGCGGGTGGCATCTCGGTTCTCCGGGAACGGAGCGTTCGCCTGACCAAGCTCCTCGAAGACGGACTGAAATCGAGCAAATACTTTGTCCCGCCCGAAGAGGCGGCTGCTCGATATCCGGCTCTCGTCCCGTCGTCATCGGCGTCTTCGGCCACGCCTCCTCTAAGTGAGCCAGCCTCTGCCCGACCGTCTTTCACTATCATCACGCCTTCCGATCCGTCGTCTCGCGGGGCGCAGCTCTCGCTCTTGTTCCTGCCGCCCGCGTCCGGCGTGATGCAGAAGGTGCACGATGGACTGAAGGCGCGTGGTGTGATTGGCGACGAACGGAGGCCTGACGTGATCAGATTGGCACCCACGCCTCTGTACAATACGGAGGACGAGGTTCGCAGGACGGTGGAGGTTTTGGAGCAGACGTTGCAGGGCATTGCTTGACCCACAGTAATAGCGGACCCTGCTTGCAGAATGTAACAACAATAGTTGATCAACCGCGGTCAGGTCCACAACGCTCGAATGCTTGTTTCAACTTTCACGGGCAATCATGCAGTCCGAAGGGCTGGCATTACAATCAAAACTAGGATAAGAATACATCGCAGCAACGAACTGGACAGCTATTCGGCGGAGATGATGGTACTAGTATCCGGGTATCGTGCGTGTGTCGTCATGCTTCCAAACAGGCCCCTCAATCAATCAAGCCTGCGCATCCTCCATTCGTCCCTGACGAGCTCTTGCGTGCTGAATATCCGCAAGTGATGGGATCTTCAGTATTTCAGGATGATATAGAGCGCGTGAATGATGCCGGGGATGTAGCCCAAGATGGTCAAGAGGATGTTGATGAGCTACGGGAAGAGCAAGGCACACACGAGGTCAGCGTGCTCAGTTCTCGGGCGAACGCGGAGAACGGGATGGGCAACGTACGAAGTCGGCACCGAGGCCGCGCTCGAGGAAGACACCGACGGGCGGGAGAATGATGGCGAAACTGTCATAGGTCGTACGCCAAGTCAGGACATATGGGCGGGCGGGCAATGATAGGAAGAACTACTCACATGATCTACCGAGGAGAGAAATCAAACCACCGGTCACAAACATAGCACGACCAAGGGAAAACATACCTTGCAAATGTCGGAGCCGGTGAACGCCATTGCTTCAAAGTGGTGTTTGGTGGATTTGGGGGGGGTGTCTTGGGTCAGGGGAATTCGGGTACGGGGGGAATGAAACCGCGTTGTGGCGGCGCCCACGTCTTATAAACGGCGTGTGCCTCGGTATGCTGACGTCATTCTATGTCACTCGGGTCAGCCAGTTGCCTTACGTTACGCCCTCGTACCTCAGACTCACCGCCTTAGGCTCCGGTACACAGGTACTCAGTCTACAGACACCGGCTTCGGCTACCATGTCATACTTATCGCTATTACTCCCTCCCGCACTCTTCTGCGGCAACGTCATTCGCTATAATCTCCCTCGCCATGGAGCTGCACGAGCACACAAGGATATTGCATATGTCGAGCCCATCGGTAGTGCTGCCGACTCGGCGCACCGGTCGGACCTCGAGGAGGCACGTTTGCTGCTTCTTCTTGAATTGCAGCTGACTTGGCAGAGGGCTGTATTAGTGGAGTGCGGCACCTTGTCCAGTTGAGTATGTGCTGCGGTTGCCAAGACCACGCTGGCTCATGTCTCGGGCTGGATCCAACGCAGAGCTCTCGCAGTGGCACCTTTATTGAATCTACGCAGCGAGGACAAATCCCACCATGCTGGTCTCGCTTGAGCCCCCTCGCGGAGCGCACAGGTTGCACCCTGCGCACGCCGAGGCCATCCTCGCCTTCTTGAATTTCGTCCACACTTACGCAGGACCCAGCCCTGACGAGACAAAGGCGTATGACCCGTCCGGGCTTGTCCGATGAGTCGGACACTCGTACTCGGCACACATGCTGTCCTGCATCGTGCGCAATCCGTCCGGCGTCACGCCGGTCGAGCACGCATAAAGCGGAGGACGTTATAACCATGGCTTGAGCTCGACGGTTCTCGGCACTAACAGGGTCAGGAATTGCTGCGAGTTGGGCCATGGCGGATTGCTGTCGCCGGAAGCACCCACCTCACATATTCGGGATACGTGAAGGTAGGTCTTTGAAAGTACACCTGGGACAACAAGCGATGCAAGATCATCATATTGCTCCTGTCCTGTGCCGTGAGAGACTACAAACGAGCGGTGAGACAATCGAGCCTTGCCGAATTGAACAATGCATCAATAAGACAGTTTATGGTGCACATATCGCTCGCGAGTTTGGTATGTTTGTAGGATGGAATAACGAGAAGCGCATGGCGAGATATGCAAGATTGGGACACGTGAAAGTGATTAAGGAAGCGGGCGACTGCATTATGCAACATTATTTGGACCGAGTTCAATTGCTTGCTCTCCCGTTGCAACAAGAACATTCGTGATAGCGTCTCTTCTGCTGACCGCCTTTACGCTGCACCCTGGCCCGGTAAGGTTCTATGCATCCACCTTATACAAAACACTTCTGGCAACATTCACCTGATGTGAACCCCCGTCAGGGTACACACCATAGGAGGGCTATCGTCTTGACGTATACCAGATATTGCGTTATTGGTGTGAGGGGAGCAGTCCACGCAAAGCGAGCAGGTTGATACACAGTGGCTTATTAATAGATTCTGATCGGCATCCCTCTGGCAGAGTGAATATTGCACCAAGCCTTCAAATCATGGCCGAACATGTATATGGCTATCTATTTACGAAGCCACTCAGGGTTCGGGCAAGAATTGAGCGAGAGTGGACAGAAGTGAAACGAGTGTGATCAATAATACTTACTTCAACGTCTGGCGTGCGAACTGACCGCCGTTATCCTTAGGAAGCTTCCGCACACCAGTCTTTTCGCTACCCGGACGTCATGAAATGCCATCCGCGCAATAACTTTGAGTGTGGCGCACTCAGGCCGGAAACCTGCTTGTTACGTTAACGAGGCACCAGCGAGCCGCATTCAACTCGCTGCAACCCATACGGGCGCATCCCAATGGTAGCGCTATATGTATTACTTCTCGATCGACAATGGGCAGCCGCCTGAGTGCTTCCTCTTTGTATTAGACTCAGGGCTCTATGATTGCCCCAGCATTCTTGCCGCCGTTATCCAACCCGAAGATGTTGTTGGTCGCCTCTCTGACCCCATTCCTGCTATTTTCTGCCTTCTTGCTCCTGCTGCTCGTAACGCTCTCCGCACCGATCATCCACAGCATCTACTTGTTCAGCATCACCTCAAATGTTCAGCTGGACTTGATCGGGACCGACGAACATGGGACGGTGCACTTTGGTGTCTTTGGATACTGTGTTACCCCCATTCAGAGTGCGTGAGTCGCCACATTCACTAACTTGAGAGTAGTTGCGATGTGTTGACCGTGTTTTCGTTGAAAGCGTGGTCTGGTTCCAGAGCACCACACCTGGCTATTGCTCTCCTCACAAGCTTGGGTATCACTTTGACGAGGGCATCACGAGAGCTCTGTGAGATCTCCTTCGTGCTTCCTCAACAACCGCTGAAGTATTTCATCTAGTAATATAGATCAGTATAGTGACTTGATCAGCGGCGCCATTACCATGTCGCTCGTCATGCATCCCATAGGTATGGATCGCTTCCTGTCATACATCTCATGCACCACTGACGTTCGTTCAGCTTGCGGCCTGATCTTCCTCGCACTCGTCCACTCCGCCTTGATGTGGCACACCCTACGGAACCCAACCCGCGTCACCCGGCGCGGACGCCTCGTCCGTTTCCTGCCCATCGCTTCGTTCGTCGCGACCCTGGGCGCGACGCTCCTCACCACCGTGGTCTTCGCCATAGACATCTACTTCGTCGCTAGCACTCGTCATAGAACCCACAGCGATACGTACGGGATCCTCACTGAGAATTGGGGAAACGCCGTGGGTGCCCACGTCTTGTTGACGACCGTATGGACTGACCGACCAATCCTGCTGTGCTTGGAATCAGGTTTGGATGGTGGTGGGCGCAACCATCGCTTTGTGGATTGCCACGCTTGGTTCATGTGCAGGTATTTTCACTGCGCGTCGACAGAGGAAAGCCGTGGCGTACTAGAAGGCGAAAAACGATCGTGATGCTAATGAACCATGTATAGACATCCTCGTCCCAAAAAAGTCATAGAATGTATCATGTCACAATATTCCAAGGACAACGTAGGACCATGTCGTGCTAGGCTCCCTTTCTACAATGAATGAGTGACCAACAGCAAAGGCTGTTCCTAGCGTGCGCACGCTGGACCACAGGAGTTCTTTGATTTCGTTTACAAGAGCATTCATGCAGCCGCAGTGACTGTTCGTGTCGCAGTCGAAGGGGCTGCGCGATTTCTCGGCGGCGGGCGCAAACCCTTTGCCTTCATACGCTGGCGCTTTGCCTCTGATACAGATTATCAATCCTTCAGCAACGTGCCTTCATAAGAAAAGGCAGTAGACCCACCGTGGAGATACGGCTGATCCTCCTCCGGGTCAAAGGTAATCTCTTCCTGCTCTCCCTCGTCCATCTCAATGCCTTTCAACTCCCTCTCCTCCTCCTTCTCACCCTTCGCCTTCGACGGCTTTCCCACCTTGAACTTCGCGACATAGAACCCATCCATGTTGTGCACGTGCGGATAAAACCGCCGCGTAAGTTTCACGCTTTCGTGGAACTGCTTTCCACGGAACTTGGTGAAACCCGGCACACCGAACTCAAGTCCGGTGTCGACGAGCTTGACATGCGGACGCTTCTTGAGCGCGTAGTCAACGACGGCCTCGTTCTCGTCGACTGTGACGGAGCAAGTGGAGTAGACAACGTAGCCGCCCGTCGCTGAGGTAGGGCTCACGCTATCGATCGCGCAGAGGATGAGCTGCTTTTGCAGGTGGGATAGGAGGGCGAAGTCGCGGTCGGACTGAGAACAATGCTGGAAATCAGACAATGGCTATAAACGGCATACGCAGCATTGACGTACCTTGTTGACTTTGACACTGGCATCCTTGCTGATGACACCAGTACCGCTGCACGGCGCGTCGAGCAACACGCGGTCAAACCCGCCGATGACTTTCGGGAACTCTCGTCCATCGTACGAGCACACGATAACGTTCTTGCAGCCTAAACGGTGCACGTTTGCCGTCAAACTCTTTGTACGAGCCTTGGTAGCGTCGTTCGCAAAGATGATGCCGGTGTTTTGCATGAGCGCAGCCATGTGCGTTGTCTTGCCACCGGGTGCCGAGGCCATGTCAAGCACACGCTCATTCGGCTGAGGAGAGAGGGCGATGACGGGGAGGAAAGAGGAGGCAGCTTGGAGCATGTAATGCCCCGCGAGGTACTCGGGTGTAGCACCTATGACACCGTTTAGACGTTGTTCGATCAGTCGCAGAAAATGGCCACATACCTATTGGGACACTGCTTTCGAATACCTGCAACCCCACATTGGTCCATTTGCCAATGGGCTCCAGGTTGACTCCTCGATTGATCAACGCTTGAGCGAGATCTCGGCGTCGAGTACGTAAAGTATTTGTCCGTATCGTAACAGGGCGAGGAACCTCGTTCGCCTCGAAGAACTCGATAGCCTATAAGGACGTTAGACATCAGATGTAGCGGAAATCAAGAAGGAGGCACAAACCTCAGCGACAGGGAACAGGGAGAACAGCTTCTCTGCAAGGAAATCATTGTAGCCATAGTAGCTTGCAATGTCCGACACAAGCTGATCAACGTATTCCGTCCGCGCTCTCCCCGTCTCCCCTCGCTTCGCAAAGTTACCGAGCACCCGCACGCATTCCCGCATCCTCCGCTGCACTGTGTGCACGTCCGGCCCGCCGACCCTTTTCTCCTCCTCCCTCTCTTCTGCAGTGGGCAGATGGAAGCTCTCGCCCTCCTCCTCCTCATCGCCACTGACATCCAGATCTTCCGCTCCAGCGTCATTAAGTTGCATCTCTTCCAAGTCGGCCGCAGCCTCCTTGGCTTCACGCTCTTCTTGCCTGCGAGCTCGTGCCTCCATGTTTGCAGCGGTGATGGGACCGGTTTCATCCTCCTCCTCGTCATCTGAAGATGCGTCGGAGGCCGTTGGTATGATTTTGGCTGGTCGAGCGTGTTGTTTGGATTTCTTGACACGGGAAGGTAAAGCGACCTCCTCGTCATCCTCATCGTCAGATCCTAGGTCAAGCTCCTGAGCGGGTCCCTGAAGCAAGTCATCACTAGGCAAGAATTAGGTGCATAAACAGAAATTTGCACGGAGACATACTCCTCTTCGAGATCGTCAAGGTTCCCCTCGAAGCCTTGGTATCCGTCGTCATCACTATTTGCAAAAAGGGCTCTACGCTTGATGAGTAAATGACAGAGTATCCGAGACAAACAAAAACGTACTGCGCCTCGGCACCCATGTCGACATCTTCATCAATGTCCTCCCACCCGTCGCTGCCGCTGGGGCCCTCATCCTCGTCCTCCACCTCCTCGTGTTCGTCAGAATCGGCCGGCGGCTGTTGTTGATGCTGTTTCTTAGAGGGCACTTGGGTTGGTGACTTGATTTTCGGTGCGGCCTTCCCTTTGCCCTTCGATGTCGCTGCAGGAGCAATAGGTCCGGCACTCTTCATCTTCTTGGCTGGCCTGCGGCCATCGTCCACCTCGGCCTTCCGTTTTCCCTTTCCCTTGTCAGTTAGTGGCTTATCCAAGGGCTGTGGAGGGGGTTGCTTGTTCTTTGCACGACGCCCCATAGTGTTATTAACTTCAGCAGAGACGGATGTAGGGACGAAAAAGTATGAGCGGAATCAGGTGACGTCCGATCTTTGGCACCGCCACCCCGACTCCGTCTTTCCTTTCTCGACCGACGACCCCGACATAGGCAGCGCCCCGCAACCGGCGACGGCGTTCTGCTCAACAAAGGAAATGATCACCATCACAGCGATGCTTCCGACACGTCGTATAACCGAAATGGCCTGGAACTTCCATTGGTGGCCATTCAGGATACAATAACAAGGAATCCGTATTGTTCTTTTACAGAACAATGGGAGGTGTATATATCCCAAGTGCCCCCGATGGCCTGAAGCTTGTGGACAGGCGTCTACCTGGAGACTCTATTTCCTGGCGGATTTGCTTGCTTGCTTGCCCGTGGCCCCTCGGTGGCCTCGCTTCTCTTAGTCTTTAACCGGACACGGCACTGCTAACGTCGCTCTTCATTTCTTTCTCACTTTCTACTTGGTGAACATCACTATCGGCGATCTTGAACTCAAGACGGACACTGCTGCTGTTATTGACCTCTCTCATTTCTCTGCTCACTGTCTTCGACGTTCTTGCCACTTCAACATGTCCCGCCACAACCCTTTCATCATAACGCGTTTTGTCTTTTTCGGTGCGTGCTTGTCTCTCCCATACTTGTCGAAGACACTGACTAGGCCTACAGCTATTCTGTTCTGGATCAACCTCCTTTCCCTCATTTTCGCGTTCTGGAACATCGGAAGCATCTCATCCCTCAACCACACGCTGCCTGGAGCATCCGTCTTTGTCCTAGTCAATGCCCTCATCACGTTTCTCCTGCTTATTGCGTACGCGTCTACCTTTACCTTTCCGTCGTCATTTGCTCAATCATCCTCTGGATATAGCGCATATAGTCCGGTGATATTCTTAACGTCACCTACAGCCCTGGTGCAAGTTGAGCTTCTCTGGGCTGCCACCATGAGTATCATGCAACTTGCGGCTGCTGTGGACGCCACGATCAATGGGCCTCCCGTCTTCTGCAGACCAGCAGCTCCTTGGGGAGTCTGCGCATCTTCTACCATCTTATTGCCAACAGCGTGGACAGCAACCACCGCACGTCAGTCTCATGTTCGTTGCACTCCTTTGTGCGAGTCTGACTCTCTATTGCCGTCTCCAGAACTTGCATACTTCCTGACGCTCCTGGCCGTCGTCGCCGTACACGTAGACCGCGTTCCCGGACTCATGTATACTAGCATCTTCCACGTCCCCTGGTTCAACGCGCCAGCACCTCGTGGCACTCTCACTCCCTCCTCTCCCAAGGGCTTGGTCGCCCCTCCCCCACCCGAGGCTTACGGTTCTCCACTCAGCCTCCCGCGCGCCCGCATTTACACGCCACGCATGCCCACCACCACTGCCACCCAGCGCTATGCTGGCGCCAGCCCCGAGCCCTCGCTCTACAGTAGCACCGCCCCCTCTAACTCGAAATTGACCACCCTTGCACTTGGAAACGGCAGCCGCGTGGACATTGAAAAGCAAGACCGCACGAACGCGCCCATACTCTTCCACCGTTCCTCGCACTCAGAGCACGGCGAGCGGCCTCCATGGGCTCAGGACGCGCGTACGCGGCGTGGTGTCGACCCGCCGTTCGGCGGGATCGGCGGCGGCGCGCCCAAGGTCCCGCCGAAGATGAAGACGCCACACGTCGCGCACGAGCCGGCGGTGCACGTGCACTCGCGCTTCAGCTTCGAAACGCGCTCGGACGAAGCATGCCTCGTTCTCCCGGACAGGCAAGGCACACCGAGCTCCACTGCGCAGAGCGATGACCTCGTCGTGCGCAGCAGACCCGGCAACCCGATGGAAGAAGCCATGATGTCGTCGTCGTCGCTGCCACTCGCTGTCCCACGTCCACCGCACTCCCGCCAACCATCGGAGACTAGACATATCAGCGAGTTTCCGGAGAAGGTGCTGGACGAGGACAAGCCCATCCCGACGGGCGGGACGATCAGCAACTGGGTCGGCGCCGTGGGGAGCTCGATTGGTGCTGGTAGCATCGTGAAGAACTCGACCTCGCCGAAGCCCCTCTCGAAGCCCGACTCTGATAAGGGAACGAATCTTGCGGAGTGGAAAGAAGTGCAGGCCAAAAGAGGTTGGAACGTCCACAGCCCAACAACTGTCAGCTCTTCGCAGTCGTCAGTGGTCAGTCACGTATAGCGACGTGCGTTCACGGCCACTTGGTTTCATTGTGCCATAAAGGCGACGCGTACCCTACGCATTTGGCTCTCCTTCAATCCGGCTCGCAGGAACATTGCATCACATTAACAACAGTGGTATCCTTACCCTATCACAGCGTTGACGCTACTAATTTATCGCCACCAACATCATACAACTACTGTTGCCTACTAACACATTCTTTGTAATACCCATTTTGTAGCACATATTCTGTTCAAGTATTGGGTTCCGTTTGCATTTGTAGCGTAGATAGTTCCTGTGCATGATTCCTAAACAATCGAAGCATCTGCAATATTACGAAGGCAATCTCGATTCATCGCATTGCTAACGCCATGGGGTATCATCCGCGTCATCGTCGACTAAGTTCTTTGAAACGCCCGTCCCCGTTGGTGTTTTGTCTGCGTCAGAGGCGGGCAGTGAATTCTGCTGATAGGCACGCAATTGCGCTTGTAGCTGTTGGTTTTCTTCTACAACGCGGCGCAGCCTTTCGTTCGCCTCTCTCAGCGCGACTCTCGTCTCTGCGAGATGCTTTGCATTGTCTTCCTGAATCTCACCAGCGCCAACCGCAACACCTGGCAAACAAACGAGAGTCAGCACGCGCACAACGTCGTCAAGTTGTATCCCAATAGGCACTCGCCTCCTACGAGCTTCACAAGTCGCCACAAACGCAAAATCACCAACAGGGCGGCAAGCTCCCTCTCCTTCCCTCGAAGCACCACCTCCAGCACGAACGTCGTGATGATGATGACCCCATCAAAAAAGTGCAGGCTTGCGTGCGGCACGGGACCAAATGGCCAGTAATTCTTCCATCCGAGTGCCCAGACCGTGAGCGGTATTTCGAGCACGAAGAGGAGGGTGATGACGAGCGAGATCTGCGAGGTGATGTTCAGCCAGGCGGGGGAGTCTCCACCATCCACTGGGGTACAGGTGGGCGAGAGTATGGTGTAGGCGACTGCAACATGGAGTTAGCAATCTCGTCGGTGTACGTGTGATGATGGAAGACGCAGACTCAACGGTCAGTTAAGACGCACGATGCGTCTATGGCGATCTGTCATCAGAGCGTGAGTGCGTCGAAGGAATAAGCAACAGATGTAGTCCCGGTACCAAGGCAATGATGAACTTGTGCATTCGAGAGGCCTCAAGTGTCTCCGCAGTCCATCGTCTGCAGCGCTTGTATCTGCTTTTCGCTTCCCCATCGCCCCGTTCCGGGTTGTATTCACTCCGAGGCAGAAGAGGCTCAGCTTCAAGGCCGGACATTCTTCGAGCGACTAGGAGTGCGTCGAGGATTTATTGAATAGCTCTCAGGTGGCAGTTCAACCTGCAATGTATCACCGATACAGAGGCAAGGGGAAGAAGGCAGTCAAAAGCAGCCTGGCAGCATGGCTGTTACAAGAATAGATACCGCTGCTATGACGCGTGGACTAACTAATATCACGGCTGCGGGTCTCCTCACACATTGACTTGCAAGGCACGTAGGAGTACACCGAGATGTCATATGTATCTACTGTTGGGCAAAACAAACAAATGAGAAATTCGCTTGAACACCCTCTTACGGGTGCAGGCTGTTGATACCACGGAAAGCCGCGAGCGCAAGGACCAATGCGCCGAAGTAGATACCGCAGCGAACGGGGAATGGGTTCTCCGTGAGGAAGGGATACGGGACTACGGAATCGGATGAGTCGCGTGAAGGTGAGATGTTGAGGCCGACTTACAGCTGCCATTGTAACTCGCGCAGTACTCGACCCAGCTGCTGTACCACAGGCACCACGTTGCGGCGACAATGGTCGCTCGCTGTTTCACTTCGTACGAAGAGAACTTGGTCTCGAATAGGTAAAAGTCAAAGAGCAGGGTCACCGCGGGAACTGCATGCAGTGCGAGATCCATGCTGACAGGGATCCGTAGGAGTTCGGGTACCTCGGACGAAGATGTTGGTTCGAGTTCGGAGGCATCGCGCTGTAATATGAGGGCCGGGAAAAGTAGCAGAAGGGTCCAGTAAATGGACGATATAACAACCGCAATCTTTAGGGAGCGGATCAGCAGAGTTTGGTGATGTCCGAAACCCAAAGACGCACGGGCATCGCGATCATGAATAAATTACGCTTGAGCTTCGCGAGAACTACCAGGTCGTCAGCGCGCAAGATTCATTTAGACGATGCACAAACGCACCAGTAACTGATGGCATTATATCCGACAGCGCGCTGATACTCTGGCATAGGAATGCCGCACCCAACCTGGTAGAGAAAGTGCTCAAGCACGCGCGACAGACAAAATCGAAACAAGTCCATGTACCCTTGTATAGTCAGAAACTGAAGGTGACCACCCTTCTGTGAGACAATCAACTTGTCCTGCGGCAAGGTGCTCAACTGGTCGAAGCCCCAGTACATGATCGCTGCCGACCCCGCATGAAGGAGCAAAGCCGAAAAGGTACGTAGAGACATTGATTCAAGTGCGCCTGTGGATTGAAGTTGATCGATATCTGCGGTGTGGTGGCGGTAAGAACGAGGCCTCTCGCGACATTCTGTGCGTTTCCGTCATCCCCGGACCCCCGGCATTTCGGGCCTTCGGGCTATGGTTCGTCTTAAGATAGGGCTCATCCAAAACCGGGGAGGCTTGAAGTCACGTGTCGCCACTGCGGCGAGCAGGAATTCCGCGTTCCAGCCCCCCAGTGGCGGTGCTCAGGAGAGTGTCTTGAACGCTAAATTACTGCTTGCAGCTACGTTGTTTGTCAGAACTGAAAACATCACGGGCCATGGTGTGCAATAATACAGCTCTTGACGAAGCAATTTTTACTGAAGATGCATCCTCATCGTATAATTTCAACATCATCCCGATTCACTCGAGAAGATGTCACGTGACCTCTCCGGTTTTGGATGAGCCCTATCTTACGACCGTCAATTACGTCAACATGCTTCCTGAATCTCAGATTCGAACAAAGTGGTGGCGGTGAATGAAGGCAGAGACCAGGAGCGATCGGTCTGTGTTCGAGTTGAGCCGGCAATATGGCATACTGGAACATGTTGAGTAACACTGGGCTCATACCACCACTAACGACCTCAATACATACTGTATCATCGTGGTCGAATCGTTGCCGGTCGGCCCACTACTAATCCGCAGGAGGTGGGAACTTTTTGAACATGACTGCGACACCTGGGTATCGTTCGGCGTTTCCAGACGCGACGAACTACAGTATGAATGATTCAGCGACATTCTCAATCCGGAAAGACAGTCAGATCTAAGAAAAAGGAACGCACTGACGCTGTGGCCGTGCTGGACAGTGATAAAGGGCACGTGATGTGGTCCAATCAGTGCGGTGGCGATGCAGTACAATAGACCCTGCATTGACGACTCCCCGGACTTCGACTTCGAAACGTCAAGCAGCTCACGCCTTTGTTCCAGGCGTGGACCGCGAACTGTTCAAAATGGCCCCGCTTGAAGCAAACCCAGATACTCTCTCCCCCGTTCACGCTGGTCGGCCGTCTGGATACGGATTTTCAAGCACCTGTACCAATACACGACACTGTTATTTGCACTCGTTCTCTCTACGCTTACGGGACCCTGTCTAATCCAAGAAATGGCTGCATACACTATACCTACGCCATTCACTAAAGCAAGGACGATTTGCTTCCGTATGTCGGTCGATATTCTTCCTCATGATGATCCTGATTGCGTTGACAGTGCTGGTTTCGATGCTGGCTTTCATATACACAATCCTCTTGTGTGTCTTCATATTTGCGCGATGGGACGTGTCGGACACGTCAGAACGTACGATATGTCGCAGATGCCTTCTGAACGTGACATCTCATGCATTCACCAGGCTCATTCGCGTTCGTTATGATATTGGTCAACACTATCACGGTTATCATGCTTCCGGCGCTGTGCGTGGTACTTTACTCGCTTTCCCCTTGCACGCTGCTGACGTCGACACGTAGCATCCTTCTGGAATTCCGCCCGTGGCTTGATGGTGCTCGGATGCTCTTGCTGTTGATAGCACACATAAGTGAGTAAATGCGCACCCTTCGTCCAGCATTCGTCTAATCCCTGCGAGGTGTTGCTACGGCTTTCGCGGTTCACGACCAAAAGTTTCAGTGCCACGAATCGAGTGCGCTTTATTTCCATTCTGATGCCACGCGTGATAATTGACGTTTTGTCTTGACTAGCTCCGGATGGCACGGGCGTCTGCGAACTACTCAACATATATATTCTACTCGCTAACTGGATCGTACCCGGTCTACGTGAGTATCTCTTCAGTCTAAAATGATCACCTCTTATTCAAAGCCCGCAGTGATCGTATACTCCGCTGCCCTCGCCTACGTGGCCTATCGATGCTGGAAACAGCCATTAGGAGACGCTGAGTCAGGGGTTGTTCCTGCTATGGCGGCGTCGATGCCTTCAGCAACCGTCCTTACCGTGGAGGACATCAGGAACCTTCCACCAAGGTCTTCGCACATCTCGCAACTCGACGCGATGCGGTCTTCGAACTCGTCGCGAAGCACGCTCACCAGTGTAGACACTCAAAGCAATCATCGCAAGAGCAACCGATTATCGCGACCTGTGCCACGCAATCAGTTCTAGGTGCTTGAGCGTCTTAGACTATCTTACGCAATATATGCTCGTAAAAAATATGTAGAAGTATAGTATCTCACCGCATTTCGTGTACTTAGTCGCCAGCGAATGTTTTGACGTGACGAATCCAGCAATAGGACAGTCCCAGAATAGACGTGACACGACGTGGTCAGTTCATACCTGTGCATCATGACTAGAGCAAGCTGTGATCTGGTCCACGACAACGTGCCTGCGCAGTACATCGACTTATTCCCAAATGCTATTTCTTTGACGGACTGCTTCGCTACTCTATAATTGTCGGGAACACGATCCACATTAATCTCGTGCTGCCGTCTGCAGAACACCCAGGGCTACGGCATACACGATTTCCGACGTCTTCCCAATGTCTGCTACCTCGACGTGGGATGCAACGAGAGTTAAAGTAAAGCTTGTGCTTGTGCGCTGTGCTCTTGCTGATGTCTATGAAAGGCACAGTTAAGGCTCACCGCCCAGCGCCTTGGTCAGCTTCAGGACAAGAAGGACTCGCAAGGTCAAATTACCCGACGGGACATCGCTACGCTCCTGCAGCAAGGCCAGGTCGCGCTAGCACGGACGAAGGCCCAAAAGCTCGCTCGCGAAGATGCACTCGAAGTTTTGTTGCAGGTGCTGGAGATGCACATAGGTGTCATCCTGGAGCACTTTAGTGAGCTGGAGAACAAGTGCGTGGTACTTTGTGTATGACCCCGTCTGCTGCTGACAGACCCTGTCACACCCCATAGCTCCCCGCCTAGCCCGTCCTTAATCGAAGCTGCTTCCAGTATCATATATACCGCGAATCATTATGACGAGTCTAAAGGCAATTGCGCGACTTCCTCATCGAAGAACCCCACTGACTGAAATCAGACCTTCATGTTACCAGTAACCTACTTGCGCAACGATTAGGCCTCGACTTTACGCGTTCCGCCATAGGAAACCACGATGCATATGTCTCCCCCCAAGTACGCTATGCACTGTCCAAATTACTCATCCTCCTCACACCATTTGCAGATCTTAGGGGCTCTTGCGGCTCCTCCGCCGACGGCAGCGCGACTGGACGATTTCCTTGTGAGCATTGCCAGCGCGTACGGAGTGGAATGGAAACCGGCAATGCGTGCTCACGAGAGGCAAGTCTAAACATAGCTCTCTCGTGGCTTCACTAACGCCGCGCAGGCTGACGGCACTGTCCGAACTCCTCGATCCTGGTTCTCCGACGTTGGTGGTGGACTTGGCCCGGCTTCGATCCTTGTGCGATTTGGGTATGACCCCCTGTCTTCTTTGTGCCGCATGGAGCTAAGTTAGATACAAGGTATTCCCGGTCACCCGCCTTGGCTCCGGCCTCGTATATGGAGGTATGCGGGTTCATGTACTCTCTGTACTCTCCAAGCTGTTCTCAATGATCCGTCAGACTCGCCTTCGGGACGTTGCCAGCTCTCAAAACTGCATGGAATGTGGAAGCCTCCAAACAGCGGGATAGCTATTATGTGCGGTCACCTTTGTGTCCTGTGAGTGTCGCTAACTTGTTATACAGGACCTCGTTCGACGCCTATTGGAGCCGTTCACGAAGCTCCCGCCACCTTCTTCTCCGTTAGCGTCTCTCGACAAATCGTTGCTGGACGCGTCCAAGGACATATCAAGAGTCCCAGGCAGCCTTTTTTTGGAGCTGGAAGATGAACCCGAATCTTCCACATTGTGCCCCTTGGATCCGACGTGTCCGGAACACATCGAGTGCTCGGCGGCATTGGACGACCGCCTCGAAAAAATCACCGCAATGGACGCGAAGGACTCCGCGCCGTTAGGGACTCCTGAAATTCGGTTGCAAGGAGAGGAAATTCCGGAGATTTCTGTGAGCTCCCCGACTTCACCTAATTCTGGCGAGCAAGCGAACACCTCCCGCACTCTCCACCCCTCCAAAGCCCTCAACTTTCACGGTGCACATCCCAAACACCACTCCGCCCTGGTCAGGCTCCTCTATATCCACTCAACGTTGAACCCCGCGAGCAGGTCTCCTCATATAGCCTCGCTGCTCGTACCCCTGTACTCCGTTCTGGTACAGGAGATTGAGGCAGCTGATGTATGTCATGCAGAAGCTGATACCTTCTGGCTATTCGAATCCATCATCAGCGAGTTCGCTGAATTGGAAGACGAGGAAGGGGGGAAGTTAACGTTGCAGAGGTTTGGTGAACGGATGGCCTGGGCTGACGAAGAGCTGTTTGTGAATCTGGTGAATGCCCATTTGTCCTCGAGATCAGGGACTTCGCTGACAAGCCACTAGCAAGCGAAGGGTCTAGACCCGGCTCTGCCACACTACTCATAGTGCGTATATTTCTCTACCTTTCAGGACCTTTCCTTATCCACATCTTCTAGCCGCTGGCTTGCGCCGCTGCTGACACATACATTACCTCTTTCATCCGTATTTTCCGTATGGGATGCGGTCTTCACCCGGACGGCGAGGGAAAAGGACTCCAATCCAAGATTGGACTACCTCCTCGACGTGTGTACAAGCATGTTAATCCGGGCCAGGGGGCCGTTATTCAGGTAAAGATCCGATTTTGTTGAGTGACATCTCGCTCAAATAATCCATAGGTTGGGTAAATCAGGCCGTCGTTCTCCTGGTCTCTGGAATGACGACGCCTCTATTCCTCCTCCTTCTCCTCTGCGTGCTTGGGAGCTTGGTGACGCTTTTGCCGAAGGCATGGCGCTCTTGCAGCTTTATCCAATTGAGGCAGCAGGAGGGGTGGAGTCAATACTGCAGACGGCCTCGGATCTCGCGCATCGACGAGAAGAAGAAATGAAAGCACGTCGCGCTGGGCTCAGCGTTGGCCTTGGTGCCCGTCTACGTGAGACCGTCTGGCGCGGCTTCACAAACCGGGTCAGCTCGCCCATCGACGATGAATTTGAGGAGGAAGAGGATAGCGAGGAATCCACGGAACCCGAACCCGAACCGACCGTTACTCAGCCGGCAGCTGTGGCGGCCTCCAACTCCAATGGCATTACCTCTCGCCTAACCACTTCCATCTGGAAAGGCATCACAAATCAAAGCGCCATGGAAGCGCCTCCATCTCCTCTATCCCCTGCCCGCTCACCATCAATATCTCCCTCCCCATCCCCCACCCCGGAGTCCGCCCAGAACAGCCCAGCATCTGCTACGAGCTCCGCGCGGATATGGGACTACACAGCAAAGTTGAAGGAATCCGATGCTGCCGCCACCCTGGCCAAGGTCAGCTCCAACTGGCGGGCGCGCGCATTGAGTGCGTGGGGTAGTGGAGTCAACTTGAAGTCGGTCCCTAGCTCTACGGCATCGGAGCCCCCCCTGTCTCCGCAGTCCAAGAGGGACAGTCTCTGGGATAGACGACCAGAATCATCCAGCAGCTGGTCCGGCGTCGCCCAGTCTCCAGCTCGGCCGATCCAACACTCGACGTCCTCGGACACGTACTCCCCGCCCCCGCGTCCATCATTCTTCAGGCCCCCAAGGGACAGTTGGATGCCGCATGCTCGCACCGAATCAATATCGTCAGTCGGCTTATCACCCACGAGCCCTGAGTCGAAGCCCGAAGGGGGCTTAGTCGACAGAGCCAAGGCCCTGCAGGAATCTCTTTCTTCGTTGACCGGCATCCAAGTTGCTGCTCCCAAGCCGACGCCGAAGGCTGCTCCGCGCCCGCTCCTGCTCAGTTCCTCAACGCTGATGACAGGCCACTCACGGGCAGCGTCGGTGTCAAGAGGACCCAGCCCCGCACCGTCCGGTCACAACCGCTACGCCTCCGATGCAACGATGAGCCGGCGGGAATCACAGTCGTCTGCTTCGTCCCTGGGATTAACCAGCCGCGAGAGCTGGGACTCCGACGCGGCGAGTCGCGTAGTACCGATCCGCAGGGCCCGCTCTCCTATGGCACCGAACTTCTCCATGCCTCGCGCGCGCAGCTCGACTTCATCTTCCGCCACCTCCGATCGCAGTGCCGGCGCTGCACGTACCAAACTCTCCCTCAGCACCGAAATCGGCGTGCGCCGGACACGAAGTAGGGAAGGCGGATGGGGACAGGTCGAGGCTGCCGATCCCATGCTCAGAAGTGCCGACCCTCATCAATCGGAAGTCACGGACCACACGGCGGTCGAAGAGTCAGATTGGAAAACACGCGGCGGCTCGTTAGCCCCCAGCGAGTCGCTCGCCACGGTGAGGCCGGAGGGCAGCCAGCCTGACTATCTTTCCGAGGTCACGTCTGACTCCTCCGTCGCGGGGATCGGACTCCCGAAGAGCCCGAGGTCCAAGGTGCGAAAAATGCACAGGCCGGCGAACCTGCGCATCGGACATGATATCCATAGCCTATACGCTCCCGAGGCAGACGCCGAAGATGCTGCTGCTACGCCGCGCGCGGCGCAATTCGAAGGGAGCGCCGTGTCTTCCCCCTCACCTCCTACGTCAGCCACTGCCCCTCCCAGGAGGAAGCTGTCCAACGACGGAGGACGAAAATTGCCTGGAGAAGGGCATGCACCGCGCGTGCGCAAGATTTCGACAGGTTCTCACACGAAAGCGAAGGCTAGGCCAAGAGACTCGGAGGCGGAGCAAGGAGACGATGAAGGGTACGACGATCTACTCAGCGCATATGAAAGTGAAGAGGGCGGCCCTGGGGCAAAGCCTCGACGTGAATAGGGATGTTCCTGCACATAACATCTGTTGGATTATTATATGCTTGCTATTTAGGATGTCTGTGTGCGATCTGTGCGTGTTGCAGACAGGAGGGTATCGTGTATCCCATGGTATACTTCCAGCAGTACCGGAAATCGTGGTAAGATATTCTGGGAGGGTTCATTGTCAATCTTTTAGCCCATAAGGCGAGACAGCGAACGTACCTCAAACGCCACGTCAATCTCCACTTGATCGTCCGTATAACGGCACAAGACCGCGAGATAATATCGAACGTTCCAGCCGTGTAAAGCTTCGTTGATTACGACGTCCTGCAGCACAGTCATTGAGATAAAGCGCCGGGAGACCGATAGCCTAAATAGAGGATGTCCTCTGTGCGTTTCTAACTGCAGGCCATGTGGAGGGAAGACTATGATGGATTCTGTCCATGGTGTCAACCACTGTGAAACAAAGAAGGCGGTCAAGACGTACCCCAGAGAACTCTGTTACAGGCAGTCCATGTATATACACAGGAGAATATAACAGCTCCTATGGTATGCGAGCGACTGGCCCATATCTATAAAAGCATGAGTCGCGCATCACAGCGAGGAACGGGACACTTACCCATGGCCAAAACGCGGCGAGGATGGAGACGACGATTGCATCCTGCCACCAGGCGCGAAGAACCCCTACTCGCGCTAACTCGTTGGTTATGCGGTATTCTGTAGTCTCTATGGTCCTTGCTACAGAGAACTCAGGGTAGTCAGCCAGCGGATGTGTGCGCATGAGCGCATTGCCACATGCGCGGAGAAAACGTCGACCAAGGGTGGAAAACCCTGGTTCTGGGTTACCGGTTGACCAGCAGCTCTGACTGCCTCTGCCTGTGCCAAACATGTCAGAACCGCTCCATGTTGTGCCAGCCTCGAACGTCAAATGTTGAAAGCCGAATGCTTAACATTGACCTTGGATTCTGAACGCCATCTTAGGATCTCCTCCCTTCTCCTACGCTCTACATGTATACTACGGATGCTTTCCTCTCTCTTTTGCGCGCTCTGAGCCTTACCGAAGGCTTTTCAAGGCCTCTTTCTGATACATCCCTATCCACGGTCCAAGACCCTCACGTATCAGCTCTGAATGACTCTACAGCGGCTCCATATATCCAACAAGTGGCTGGCGCTTCCTCGTGGAACGTCTCGGAACCTCAGCAGTTATCTGCTCCGAACTGCAATCCAGGTGCTTACACGAGCCCTTTCCCAGATGAACCGTTTCTGCCTTTTGATTCCATCAAGGCGAACATATACCGCTACAGGCAGCAACGCTCCGTAAATCTGGGTTCCTGGTATGCCGTGCGATGTTCCACGCATAACACTTTCATAGCTGATACCCGTTCCTTAGGTTCGTGCATGAAAAATGGATGACTCCTTCGTTGTGGGACTGTGCCAGTGGCCCCAAGATCTCTGAAGCAGACATTGCGTATGGATGGGGATCTATCGACGGCGCGAGAGCTGTGCTTGAACGTCACTGGGACACGTTCATCACGCAAGAAGATCTTGATTACCTTGCCAGCATCGGCATCAATACTGTACGCCTCCCTATAGGATACTGGAATCTCGGTCCTGGATTTACTGGCGGCACTCTCTACGACCCTGTTGGCGACGTGTACAAGAATTCTTGGGTCCACGTTGTAAGAGCAATCAATATGGCAGCAAAGGCGGGAATCGGGGTCCTCGTCGACCTACATGGTGCCGTAGGCAGCCAGAATGGACAGGGTGAATCATGCTCCGCACATCCATATGGCATCCTGTGTACTGAACATTTGTGGGAAGACCACTCCGGCGTATCCGACAAAGGTGTCTGGCTTTTCAGCATCCCGGCTAACATGGACAAAACGATAGCTGTCCTAACCTATCTTACCCAGCAGCTAACGTATGTCACAAACGTGGTCGGCATACAAATCCTCAACGAACCGGTCGACGACCCTGGTCTCTGGGGCTTCTGTACGTCTGCTATTCTATCGTGTCTGGAACTGACAATCAACTTGGCGGCGAAGATGATCGGGCTATTGCGGCGATGCGCGCTACCTTGCCAGAAGCATGCAACCTCCCTTTGTACATTCACGACGCCTTCAACCTAGGGAAGTACAGCGGATACGTCGCCCAGCATAACGACTTCGTCGTCCTCGATCACCACTCCTATTTCGTCTATACCCCTCGAGACGCCAGCGAATCCGCTCATAAACACACGTCAGACATCGAGATGTACACGGCCGCCGACCTGAGCCACGCCTCGGCTACGACGAAGGGCAGGCTGGTCGTCGACGAGTTTTCGTGTGCATTAACCCAACAGAGTCTCGCGAAGGAAGCGGATCAAGATGGAGCAAGGCGGGCCTTCTGCAGCGGCCAAGACCAGGTGTATCTCAATTCGACCGCTGGTTGGGCCTTCTGGTGTAGGGAGACTGACGTTCGGGTGCAGTACATGCTGACTGACTGGCGGTGTAGCGTACATGAAGGAGGACTGCGAGAACGACAAGGGCTGGTGTTTCCGAGCTGCAGTGGGTGACGATCTGCCTGCGACTTTCTTCTCCTACGGGAACGACAAACCCACGGATGAGCAGCTCGGCGCGCTGTCTTCTGTCTTGACATCGGCGCCTCCGGTCCAGCAAGCCTCCGTCGAGCAGCTATCGCTAGACAGCACCGAAGCTGACTCGTTCGACCTCATCGACTTGGACGACAGCATAACCGCCGTGTCTCTTCTGGTTTCTCCTAGGATCGCCAAAGAAGGATTGAATTTCAGACGTGACGGCCCGTACGACTCGCCTGACGCAGCCTCCGGCCGGGGGTACAGCGACGGTTTCAGCACCGCAAAGATCTTTGCTGCTCATGGCTTGTCCAAACTTGGCTTCGTCGAACAATACATCACGGACAGTATGCTGCTGCTGCACCTGCCTGAGGGATCGGAGGGATACTACCGCGACGCGTTCATCGCGGGTTTACGAGACGGAGAGAATCGCATAGCTACCATTTTCCAATGATATTTGTTTGATTGAGTACGTATGTATGGACATGAACCCTATAAAGTTTATGGTTGCAGTCCACCCCCGCGGGTATCACTTATGATGACGCAACCTCCACGTTTGTCCGTATCAGACGATCCGACCGCATTGCACTTCCGAGGTAGATGCCGAAGACCACCAAGGCGTTGGCAATGCAAAGTGTCAAGGACGAGAATGTCGTGGAAGGGAAAACGTTCCAGGAGTATTCAATGCCAAAGAGCAGGAAAACCCTGATGAGAACGCGTGAGCATCGAGCGTGAACTTTTTGTTGAGCGTCACATACTTGATGAGAGCAGGATACTGCGTCCTCCAAACCAAGAAAGGTAACTGTTGAGCGTACCAAGAATAGAACTGGTAATGCAACGAGCGCGCGAACAGTATGCCGATGAGGTTCGACGTGTACAGGATCGTTACAACGTCTGTTTGTTATTAGAAAGGCGCAAAACTTCCTGTCGCTTGGCACTCACCATCAGACAATATAGGGCCGAGAGCAGGAGATTGCGTAGGCCGCTTGAATGCACGCCCCAAGACCGGTAGAACGCCGCCGTCCTCCGAGCACCATCTACGCCAACCGAACACTGCGAGAGTAGATATATGGCAGAGCAGAAGGGCTTTCGCAAACCGGGGGTCCAGGAACGTCTGTTCGTCGAGGAAACGCCAGTTTACGGTCCATTTGTAAAGGAATACGCGGGAGAAGTCGAAGGCTCCATGGAAGTAAGCCTCCGAGTCGGCCCTGAGGAAATCCGCCGCAAGCCATGCCTGTATGGCAACGATGGCGGTCAGGTGTAGCGCAGTTTGGACCAGCCCACGCTTCCTGAACAGAACGACCAGAAGGCCAGGCAAGTACAAAAGGGCCGACATCTTCGTCGAGATGGCGAGGCTGCTGGTTATGAGCAAAGCAATGGCATGCAATAGGCACGAGTACCGACCTCAGCATCAGTGTGCCGACAACGTCCGCGCCCGTCGCATAGGCCAGCACGGCTGCCTGGGCGGCAACGGCCATCCAGCAGTCGTTGAACAGCCTGAGGACATACAAGGAATGTAGTCTCTTGCTCAGCGGCAGCAGCATAACGAGCCAGTTGGGTATTACTCCAGTGACAGAGTAGGTCGCGCATGCGAGGGCTAACGACAGGAGGTAGAGAGCTCCGTAGACTTGCTGTGCGCGAGGAACGTCTTCTCCGCTGCTAGTGACGTTGTGAAGCCAGCGGTGAATGGCAACATGACCTGCTGGGTAACTGCACCGTTATTGGATACCGCAAGTAAGGGTAGAAGAGTCGACTCAACACCAACGGTCCGGTAGGCCCTTCTAACAACCTGTAATTCCTTTCTCCTTTGATATACAGAGAGATCTGATGCATATATGTCTCCCAATCTATTTCGGTGTCTGTGATTCAGCGTCAGCGCCCGATGTGCGGTCGAGACGGGGTCATGCAGGGGCTGACATGGTATGAACCGAATGATGAGCTGAGTAAGAATAGCATCGCCAAGTATGACCAGACCAGCTAGTGCCCAGAAATAGGAAGGGTTTGTGAGTAGTCGGATCAGGAGGAGACGAAAGTGCTGCAACGCGTTCATGACGGAACGCGTCCAACTTGCTTGGCCTGTGACTTCATCTCCGTCGCTGAGCGTCCCGGGATCAATCGTCTCATGTCTACTCAGCAGCGTGCGCTGGTTACATATTCAGCTTCCGGCAGCTTTCTCGAGTCTGAGCAATGGAAGCAACTCCGGGCGTCGTTGCTTTCTCAGCTCCCTCTACGAAACTTGCACTGGCGATCTGCGCACCGACCACTTCATACAATCCAAGAGTTGCCCATCGAGCTCGTAGCGTTGGACTCAGTCAGATATGAGGCCGTCTCGCAAGTCCCTTTGACTGTACTGGAGAAACCTCTCGTGAACATTTACATTACGACGTGCGAAGTGCGTTCCCCATGTCCTACGCTTCGACGTGATCTTGAAGCATAATGCTAGGATGCCGAGACATACCGCCTTTCGGTCAAGAGGCATATGAAGGACTGGCACAATACCGTCACTCAGCGTAGGAACCAAGAATGGCTCATCTTGCACCTTGTCGGGCAGGATGTGCGCGCCTCAAGAGCTGGGTTCCTACAAATGAGATCTACTGTGCTGGATAAAATCAAGGCGGACTTCAACGTTGATAGGCGGGACAGGCGAGGATACACTTGATACTCTCCGAAGGCTTTCAGTCCTGATCAGTCCTTTGCAGATGTGTACAGCTGGCCTGGACCCCTGCACAAGACAACCCGGCAGCTTGGGCCGAAATTATCAATAAAATTAAAGATGGTGTTCTCTCTGCCTTCGACTCCGCTATATCCCTGCGCGAAGAGGAGGTTAAGCGTTCAGAGAACCAAAGACAAATGCCCGGGTGGAACTTTTGCACTTTCTTCATCCTCAAGGTCTGATCCTGTTCGTATGCATTGCAATAAGGGCTGACGTACCGAGAAGGAAAGCCTCGCATCCTCGTTCGAGGATGTCAACTTGTGCGAAGAAGCTTTACTCCAATACGACGAATTAGAAGCCCTGTTCACCCAGGTCCTGAAAGACAAAAACCTTACTTGGTTTGGATCTTTCGCAAATCCAGGACCGAAAGACGATTCCGCCCCTCTCCTCTCCATCACGAAGAAGCCGTATAGGGATCTGATATTGGCTAACACTATCTCTGTGTTCGACTTTCGGGTGTATCTGCTTGCTCGACAGTGTCTGGTGTTGGCGAAGTTGGGTCGAGTCATCGAGATTGCTCGGAAGGCGACATCTTTTTTGAGCTCTTTTGGGAGACGTTTGCGAGAGATGAATGTGAGTGCGTCTCGTTTCTTGAGCAAGAGTCTATATCAACGCACCATATCAGGATGGCATACCGGAGCCATTCGTCGAATCCTGGACGTACAGCTCGGCACTCAGCGTAGTTTCGCAGTCTGAACAGTGGGCTTCTGCATTCGAACTTGATTCAGCTACGATATTGTCGTTCAACGCAGCTAAAGGCGATCTCACTAACCTCGCTCGAAACCAGGTGGGCCGGTCAGCCCTGGTTCACGGCAACCACACTGACCCTTGTGATAGCTTGATATCATAGGAGTCAAAGCTGGATATTTGCCCCACAAGCCTCCTTTCTCGATATCACTGACCGAAAACCCAGCCGTACCAAAGACGAACGGAGTGAATGGGACGCATAAGCGATCTACGTCAAAGATATCGAATGCAGACCTTGTCTTGGCGCTGAAGGACAAGGAGACTTTCTATGATTTATACAACAGAATCACCAAACGAGCGATTGATTTCTTTGCGAAAGCTGGTCGCAGGAAGTCGGCGTTGAAGCTACACGGGAGTCTAGCTGCCTTGGACGTGTAGGTGACCATGACATGCAGCTACTGCGCTGGTCTCACATTCCTCGGACAGGCACCGCGGTCAACTCACCACCGCGTTGACGACCTTCTCCTCCCTCCCCGCGCATTATGGACCGAACAAGTGGACCTCATTGGAGTCCTATGTGCTCTCCCAGGCTCTGGATACCCACCAACAACTAGAAAAACCCAAGGACCAGGACTGGATGCATATGCTACTCAATTTCCTTTCCGCCTACGTTCAGGATATAGAAGGAGCCCTCCTCATGCAAGTGGAAGACAAGAACGAGTATTTGAAGCGCCTCATGTCTGCCATGAGCTCGTCGGCCTCGGCAATGGAGGCAGGTTAGTATCCGGTTTTTCTCATCGCTAGTCCGCAGCTGATCGTTCGCCAGACATGGAGATCCCAGATCATTCGATGTTGTCTGTCAAAGTCTCAACTAACCAGGCAAAATTAGTAAGCTCGGAAGACCGGTGCTCATTGGAAATAACTGTGGAAAACTCCCTTCCATGCGTGCGTCATATTTCTGCGGATGCATCGAAGATACCTGATACTCCAAGCAATAGGCTATTCCCGCTGATCAGATTCTGGTCAACCTAACTGGCCAGGATGCCGACGCACTTGTATTTCAGGAAGATGTCAATGATATCCCCAGCGGCACGTCGACCTTCAGTCTATCCTGTCCTGTGCGTGAACAACCGACACTACCTGTTGTTTATACCAGCTGATGCTATGACATCGCAAGACATCATCTCATGGCACATACGTACTTCATGCGAGTGAGATCCGGATCTCACGATTGCACTTGAGATGGAAGCATTGGGATGCAGCCAGCGTATGGAAGAAATCTAAAACAAAGAAGGATCGACCATGTCTCGTGCATATACCGCAAGACCCGGCATCGTTCTCAATCCGACTCGAACAACCAAGACGCAGTTTGTACCCAAGTTTTGTCGCTCACGAACATATACTGATGGTGATCTGTAGTCGAGCTGGGAGCGCCTTCTACAATTCACGTAGTCATCTCGAGCGGGAGAAATGATGTTCACTCGGCGAACCTTCAAATATCTCTTCCCCCAGGTATTCGTTGCATGCACGACCGGAGTACCATAGACGCGGACGACGAGAGTGTGCAACTTCGCGTCGAAGAGAGTCACATCATCCTCTCGGACATTCGAGCTGGTGCAACAGTGCACCTTACTGTACCTCATTCTGACGCATCGAGCTTCCCGGCCGTGGTATGTCACGCTCACTCAATCAGCTGCCTACCACCGCTGACCATACACAGAAAGTAGGAGTCAAGGCTGCGTATAGGACGGTCTCGCAAGCAGATGTAGAAAGGACGTTGCATCTGAGTAATATACTAAACACCACCCTGCTTGTCGCGGCCAATGTCCAAGACTTCTTCAGAGGGTCTAGGTATGCGATGGTATTCCTAGGGAGGGTTGCCTTCGCTTACATCCGCCAGGCTTTTCTCAAAGTTCATCATCTCAACGACATCACAGCAGGTCGTTAGGCTACGGTCTGTCGACCTTGAACTGGCCGAGGGCCCTCAGAGTTCGGTTCGAATTACCGCATGTAAATCTGGACATCGGACAGTCACTGTGAGTGCCTCATCACTGGTGATTGGAAACCCTCGTATAGACGCAGCGCCGTAGTCGATCGCACCAGCTCGTCCTGGGAACTTCGTGTTTCGTATTGAGTCGGATGACGGCCCAGGTACGTCTATTTGACGAACATCGGAATTATAGGAGGCTGACAGGTTACGCAGTGAGGCAACCGCTACAACTGCGCATTACCTATCAAACTCTACAGGAAGGTTCGCTTGGTATTTGTCTTACATCGAGTGCCATCCCTGAATCCAGAGGCAGAGCTCGATGCCCTTATCCGTCGCGCTATGGATCAAGCTGTACAATCCTCGCCATCATACGCGCCACTTCGCCAAGTAGCAATGGACCAGTTGCTCGCTGAAATACAAGCCATCGGCAGTTGGATGGACATATACAATGCTACTGGTCGTTTGAGCTTGCATAAGGATGTCGATGGCGACACTCCTCTGGCTCAGCTTGTCGCTCAAGTTAAGATGGTCAGTCAAGGGTCTGAGCACAAAACCTGAGCACACTGACGTGTGTTATAGAGATTGAGAGCAGACGCGTCTGTCCCCGGTCCATGGCGCGAGCTAGTAATATCAATGGACGTACCCCAAATGAGCGTAAGTCTCCGTTAAATTGAGATATACGAGAACGATGTCGCTTACGCCGCCCTGTTCATCTCAGATCAATGCTGCTGCATGCTTGCGCTTATCACCCATGCCACTAACATCGGACTCGAAGAAATCGCGATCGTTGCATGCAGGGCAACCTATTCCAGCTCTCATATCTGTCAAAACGTCGCTGCACTGGGGACGGAACTCGACAGTGGACGGGTACATGCTCCGTTTCGACGTCGAGGAAATGGTGCGGGATTGGCTTGTGAGCGGGCCTAAGCGTGGTGACTTCATGGCAAAGGTGATCATCTCGAATATCTCGTGCGTATCGCCCGCACTTACAGGCCATCCAGGATGGCGAGACATTCTCGCTCCCCATCACTCTCGTTGCACTTCACCACGGCGAGCTTAGTTTGCCCAGAATATCCGTGACTCCGCTTCCTCTTGCCGGCTCGCTGACGATGGGAGGATCTATGGCCATTCCGAGCATAGACACTTATCAAGTGCATGGCGCGGAGAGGGTATTGATCCTACCGAGAGGTGGCCGGAGTACGTTCGTGGTCGGAATGGGGCATGACTACCAGCAATGATGCATTCTCCTTGGGACTGATACCTTGTGTAATCTATCTCTGCTTTATTATGTGGAACGACGGAGGCTGCAACATTCTTGAGAGGATAAGTAACGCCACCCAACCTCACTGAGCTTGCCTGGGTCCGGATCGGGCGTCCCGATCTGGTGGCGGTGTGCTCGCAAAGTGCGAAATTTCTGTCCCGCGAAGCAAGTCCGTTCCTTCACCAATGCCGTCGCCTGAAGAAGCCAGTACATCAACAGCGGAGCCTACTTTCAAGTCTCTTGGACTCATCAACCCTTTACTGGAAGCCCTTGATCAGCTGAAGTACAAGGAGCCGACGGATATCCAGAGAGAGGCGCTACCCCATGCTCTCGAAGGTCGCGACATCATCGGCGTAGCGTCGACGGGATCCGGAAAGACCGCCGCGTTCGCGCTGCCTATACTGCAGAAACTATGGGAGGAGCCGAGGGGTCTCTTCGCCTGCGTCTTGGCGCCCACTCGTGAACTCGCGTACCAGATCTCGCAGCAGTTTGAGGCTCTGGGATCGGCCATGGGCGTGCGGTGTGCGGTGTTGGTGGGAGGAATGGATCTGATTGACCAGGCTGTCGCGCTGGCGAAGAAGCCGCATATCATCGTGGCCACGCCGGGACGTCTGCAGCAGCATCTCACGGAGACTAAAGGGTTCAGCTTGAGAGGGCTCAAGTTCCTGGTATGCTGTTCAGCTCTTTTCAAAGCCGAATGTTATTCTGACCTGGTCGATAGGTACTAGACGAGGCGGATCGTCTACTGGATCTGGACTTCGGCCCGGTCATCGACCAAATTCTGAAGATCATACCGAAGGAACGGACAACGTACCTGTTCTCCGCCACAATGACCACGAAGGTCGCCAAGCTGCAAAGGGCAAGTTTGTCCAATCCTATACGGGTGGAGGTCTCTTCCAAGTGCGTCGTATTCTATCCAGTACCGTTGCGGAATGTCGAATCAACTTCAGATACCAAACAGTATCTACGCTCTTACAATATTACCTATTTATACCACTCTCCCAAAAGGACGTTCACCTCATATACCTCGCCAACTCTCTTGCCTCGAACTCGATCATCATCTTCACTCGAACGGTCCATGATGCTCAGCGGTACGACTCTCACACATTCGTGTAAAATGCGTTCTGACGTCTGCCAACTTGTTAGATTATCCATCATGCTCCGCATCCTCGGCTTTCCCGCCGTCCCCCTGCACGGTCAGCTCAGTCAAAGCGCTCGGCTAGGCGCTCTGGCCAAGTTCAAAAGCGGGGGCCGAAAGGTGCTCGTAGCGACCGACGTCGCGAGCCGGTAAGCGGCAATCACCTAGAGCGAACGCAAACTAACCAACGCCTTCGCAGAGGGCTGGACATCCCCTCGGTGGACATCGTCATCAACTTCGACATCCCGAACCACTCGAAGGACTACATCCACCGCGTCGGCCGGACGGCGCGCGCGGGGCGGTCCGGAAAATCGATCACGCTCGTGACGCAGTACGACGTCGAGCTGATCCAGCGGATCGAGGAGGTGATAGAGAAGAAGATGGAGTTGTGGCCGACGGATAAAGAGGAGATCGCGCTGTTGAGGGAGAGGGTGAACGAGGCGGGGCGGCTGGCGATCAACGAGATGAAGGAGCAAGCCGCGGGTGGCGGTGGGGGGAGGAAGCGGAGAGTGCAGGGAGGGGGTGGTCGAGATGACCGGGATCGGGACGACGACGAGGTCGAGGCGGGGATGCCGTCAAGGAAGAGAAGCAAGGGGCGGCGATGAACATTGGAGGAGTGGCTAATTGCCTGCCTCAATGCCTGAATCTGCCAGGTTAGGGCGGCTTCCCCGTCGCGTGCATCGTGACCGGTTTACGCGAGGAACATCAGATCCGACCTCAAGACGTATTTTGTCCCCCTTTTCACCGGGGAACCTTCGTGCAGCATACAGTCACTCCCATGCCTGCCTGTGCTGTTAGCTCACATCCAAACGTCGAAATTATACTTGTACTCGCCGATGCAACAACGCCATTCCGCGTCTCAGCGGGGGTGTGATGGTTTCACGAGGCTTACCCCTGCTTTCGTGGTAGAAGAGCGTCTGCGATATGTCGACGTGAGAAGCGGAAGCGATGGGAGACGAATGGTGGCTTACCTCTCCACCTTCGACGCCGTCCTCCTCGCCGGTCAAGTAGATCAGCAGGGTCCATTCGGATTTCGCCGCCGTGACCGCGTCCCGAACGGAGTCATCGTAGTGCGGCCCAAAATACTGCTCGGGTGTGTACTTGTACATCCGTATGTTCGAGTTCAGTGAATGAGGAGAGTGATGGGTCTTCCCTGCGGGCCGCCTTGCGGACGACGGATAGGGAAACTCTTCGGGCAAGTGCGGTGCGAGTATAGCGTAGAGCTTCTCCGCGAACGAGGGAGACGACGCTGAGATGCGATCTGACCAACGAATGTATACCACGGCTTGGCTTAACGAAGGCACATCGAAACGTACGGTTCACTCTCTCGGCCTCGCCTCGCTTCGGAGGCGGAGTGAGCTCGAGAGGAAGCTCGTCTATGAACTTGACGTAACGTTTGCATTCTTCAGCATCAAATAGTCCCTAGGAGGAGGTCAAGGCGGCAAAAGGCGGCAAGTGCGCATACTCTGTACGTCTAGAAGTATGATCTGGTCATCAACAAGGACGGTGCGTTCCAATTCCATCTTTGGTGTAAGGTCCGGAAACGTTAGCGGAGGAGCGGGCTTCGGCGTAGGTCCAGATATGAGTGCAGCTTTGGTTCGCGATTTCTTTACCATTTCGTCACTGAAGGTCGATGGATTATATATACTGTAGTTGTTGGTGCAGCTAGCAATGATTTGCACGCCAGTCGTTGCGGGAGCAGAGAGGGGACGGTCATGTGATGGAGTCAATGATGGAGATCGTGCGCCCAACCCAATGCGATAAGTCCGAACTCCATCATCATGGCGAGCTTGAATCTAGTCAAAACGCAGGAGGCAGGCCTGCACCAGGACCACCAGGCCCAACACAACCTGATATTTGCCCAACGTTCAACTTGATACTCACCTGACACTCGCCATGGCCAGCAGGGACCGGGTCATCAACTTCGGCGCGGGGCCCTCAGCGCTCCCCCAGTCCGTCCTCGAGGAGGCTTCGAAGGGGCTACTCAACTTCAACGGCACCGGCATCGGCGTCGCCGAGATCTCGCACCGCTCGAAAGAGTTCGGCGCGTTCCTGAGCGGGCTCGAGTCCTCCATCCGCGCCCAGCTGGCCGTCCCGCCCACGCACCGCATCCTCTTCACCCAGGGCGGCGGCACCGGCCAGTTCTCCGCCGTCGTGTACAACCTCCTCGCGCGGCACAGGCTGCTCTACCCCGACCTCGCGGAGCAGGACCGGGCGATGCACTACATCCTCACCGGCTCGTGGAGCAAGAAAGCGGCGGAGGAGGCCAGGCGGCTCGGCGGCGGGCGCGTGCACGTCGCCGTCGACGCGCGGCAGCACTCGGCGGACGGGAAATCGTTCGACAACATCCCCCCGCACGACGCGTACGACTTCTCGACGACGACGACGACGACGACCGAGCCCGCGTTCATCTACTACTGCGAGAACGAGACCGTGGACGGCGTCCAGTTCTCCCCCGACGAGAGCTCGCCCGCCTCCCTTCCCTACGGGCGCATGCCCGGCGCCGCGTCCGGCAAGCTCGTCCCGCTCGTCGGCGACCACTCCTCCTCCTTCATGTCGCGCCCGATCCCGCGCCTCGCGGAGCACGCCGTGATCTACGCCGGCGCGCAGAAGAACCTCGGCCCGGCCGGGCTCACCATCCTCATCGTGCGCGAGGACTGCCTCGTCGACGTCGACGCCGCCGCCCGGCTCGGCGCCGCGCCGGTGCCGATCACGATGGCCTACAAGACGCTCGCGGACTCGGGCAGCCTGTACAACACCCCGAGCGTGCTCCCGATCTACATCGCCGGCCTCGTCCTCGAGCGCATGCAAAAGCAGGGCGGGATGGAGGCGTACGCCGCCGCGAACGAGAGGAAGAAGAAGAAGGTGTACGCCGCCGTCGCGGAGGGCGCGGCCCGCGGCGTGTTCCGCGCGAAGGTGAAGGAGGGCTCGGGCAGTTGGATGAACATCGTCTTCGACGTCCTGGGCGACGGCGCGGAGAAGCGGTTCCTCGATGGCGCGGAAGCGCACGGGATGAAGGCCCTCAAGGGTCATCGGTATGTTGCGCTTTCAACCTATGCTCGGGCTTTCGTGAAAACTGACGCCTATGCAACGCAGGTCCGTCGGCGGTGAGTAAAGTGAGTTCTCTCATCGCTAATGCGTACTAATGGAACCATAGGCATTCGAGTCTCGCTATACAACGCGATCACGGAAGAACAGGTCGACCGACTGATCCAGTACATGAACGACTTCATCTCGGAGGAGTCCAGGCAACAATGATGGCGACTCATAGAAAACATTACTCTGTGAAAGTGAAAGCAGAGCGGTGTATGACCGTAACGTAGATTCATGAATACATAATGGGGTGCCGGTCGAAATCGTCGCGAACGGTGAATCACCTGCTCAAGAAATCAGAGCAAAAATTCGTCACCTGAGCGATTCGAACACTCGCGTGCAAAGCACAACCGCTAAGCTGAATAGCAGGCGATCCCGTTAACCACTCCGGCAAAGTGACCTAAACCGTTTTACCCCTCTTATATACATAGCGGTTGACAACACTGATAGCATCCGACATGTTAGATTCCTTGCCGATCTGGCGTTTCGGTTCTGCATTCGCACCCCGCCATATGTGGGATATTATTTACCCGCCGAGTCACCAACTCTGAATCGCCGAGTGCTTTTTTTTCATGCAGTTACATGTGAGCCCACGAAAGGTCTCATCGCAAGTCACCCTCCAAACAAACTTCAGACCCCACCCAGACTCACCGCGCCGATCCGTGTCGCACCAGTCCGACGAAAAGCACGCGACCACGCGGTCACACACAAACAACGCATCATTCATATGTTCGTCATAAGTAGTAAGGTAGATAAAAAACACGTCGCACGGGGAGGGGGCAGGGGCAGGGGCACATTACCAGAGCGGGGTCGTACAGGTAGACAGACAGACGGACAGGACAGACGGACAGGACAGACAGACAGACACAGCCGTAAACAGACAGAGATACGTAGATAGAACCGATCGGAATCAAAGGAGATCAGAAGCGTCGTTGGGGGGAAGGGGGGGGGATGATCATAAAAAATAGAAGTAAGAACGACGCGAAAGGCCAAAAAGGGACTGCTGAAAGGCGGTATCTCAGCAGGGGGCTGAAACACGCGGGGCTGCAAGCAGGGGCCCCAGGGGCGAAGGGAGGGGCCGGCATTATTATAATCGGGATTTTTTGGACGGTTGCTGCGATGATTATCTGACGGGAGGGCTTTTGAGAGACCAGAGGGTTTACGTAGGAACAGGGGAGGAGGGAATGCAGGTAAATGTTCTTTTCGTCACAGGAAGAAACGAGAGCCCCAAACGCTAGGTTTAGATGCTCGGATAAAGAAGCGTAAAGTTCGTTGATGCGCGTACTCGTGGGTCGACGTAATGATGGATGGGATGGGATGGGATGGATGGATGGATCGGAAGGACGCGATGATGGTGGTGGCGTTTCTGAGATAATAGTGATAGAGTTCGTGGCGTTGATACAGATGTCGTTTGCGTATAGATATAATCCCGGTGGGGAAGGGAACATTCGGGTCCTCGGAACGGTCGAGCCGGAACCCTTATCGGAGGCACGAAGAGGAGAAGGCGGATTCGGTGGCTGAGGGGCGTAATAACGATAATCGTGCGTTGGAGAGGTCGATGGGGGGGCGTGTCCGATGAGGTCACGTAAATAATAAGGAGCAGCAAAGCATTGCGACGACGATGGAGAGCGAGGTATTCAGGATTCTGAGATAATTTAGCCGCGCTTGCGATCGGCGGTGATGCGGTCGGCGTCGGCGACTGCTCGATGGGAGGGCAGGATCGGCATCAGGGCCCGGAACTGCGTGTGGAGGGGATCGAGCGCCGGTCGGTGGGGCGTGCGCCGATGAGCCGGAGCCGCCAGAGCTGAGTCAGGGGCCGACGCTGCGTCGGGCGCGGCGAGTTCGGAGAGGTCCGCGGCCATGGGCGAGGAGCGGAGCGACGTCTTGCGGCGGCGCACGGGGCCGCCCGGCGTCGCGGGCGCGTCGGCGATCTGGGAGAGGTCCCCGAGCGCGGACGGCGCGTCGAGCATCGAGATCCACGGCAGGCGGTCGAAGCTGTCTATCGTGGTCGACTTGACGAGGAAGCAGTCGTGGGCCGGCGCGTGGTGGGCGGGGCAGGCGGGCTGGGGGCGCCGCCGGCGCGAGTGGCGGATGCTGTGCGTGGGGCGACGCCGTCTGGTGGGCGCTGGCGTGCACGGCGACGAGGGGCACGGGAGCTGGTGAAGGGGACGGGAGGTCAGCGGCGCGGTAGATGGGTGGTCCGAAAACGGGGTGGCTTACGGAGAGTGGCGGGCGGAATGAGGACGTGCCCAGTTGGATCGGCGACATGAGGCGCACGGGCGTGCGTGGGGGAGACATGGCGGTCTGAGAGGAAAGAGATGAGCGCGTAAACGACACGTCGTCGGGGGTGGCTACGCACTCGTGGCAGATCCGTCGCGATGCGGAGGGGGGCCAGGAGCAGAGGAGCCGGTGGCACGACGGGGCGCGGCGAGGGGGCCACAAGAGAGCTTGAGGGGGCGACCATCATGGGCGATCGCGCGGAGTGGACTCGGTGGGCGGTATTGTCGAGGGACGGGGGAGGGGCGCGGACAAAAGCAAAGTATTATGATACAGCGAAAGGTCTTTATTAGATGGGGGGAGAGACCGAAAGCAAAGGGAAGGGGCCGTGACGCATCGCGCGTCCGGAGAGAAAAGGGACAATGGTCGCGGTGCTCGCAGAAGGAGTCAAGCACTCCAAGCACAGCGCCCCCGATTCGGTGCCTGTCTCCCGACCCGGCGGCTGTCGCTCACGTGGCTTCTCAATGAGTCGCGCTGGCCCCTGGTGCTGTCGCGTCCACCATCCTTTTGTCCGACGCGCTCGTTAGCTGTCTCCGCATACAAATGGCGGTATCTAACCAACCTCGTATTATGCGTCGCCACCGGCTCCCTCCGTTTTGTCTTCGGGGCCGTCTCCCCGTCTCAAACAACGACACCGAGAGTCGCGCTCGGTCTATACCGTACTTACACACGTACTACGCGACACCCATTGTCCTTTGCCTTTTGTCTGCGCGCTCGTCACACTATCACGTCCTTCGTCCCGCGACAGCATTCTGCTTCCGCTGCTTATGCGTATCAGGAAGGCAGACTCGATACCGATGATGCGACCCCACACACGGACCCAAACTCCTTTCGACCTGCAGCTGGAACACCCCCCGTTCTCAGCACTGCCGTTCCGTAAGCCCGACCCTCGAGCGTCAACACCGTTACATATGTCGGACATTCATTCCGACCCGACCGCTTCGGAACATACGGTGGCACACCATCGACACGTTCAGCGTGTTCGCCATTGAGTCGCATATATACATCGCCCAGGCTACGCGCACATCCCTGTCAACGCTCCCCAGCGTTAACGCCACACACACGAGCCGGTTCCCGGTCTACATGCGCCCGCCTTGAACCCCCACGAAAACGGCGCCGAACAAGCAGCTTCACTTCGTTCGCGAAAACAGCGTAACGTTTTCGATTTTATCCGTCCAGCACACGAACGCCTTCCCAAGGCATCGGAGCCTGGTCCCCCGCAGCACGTAAGCCAGGCAAGGGGGGACCCGCATCCCCAGATAGGCCCGTTCAGCATAGGAATCAGCCACCGTCGGATTCGTCCTGGTCCGATCGACGCCAGATTCGTGCTGTCCACACATGAACCTAACCTGACTCGAAGGGCTAGAATCTTACCCAAACAATCATCGGGCGCCCCGCCGGTCGTGTTGTGATCCCGTGGACCCGACGACGCAGAGGCGGAAGCTTGATAACAGGTCCAACAGGTGCCGGACGGACGGAAACCTACGGTGACTCGTCGTGCCTACCTCACGTCGCTCTCGTTGCAAATGGACAGAAGGGCTCGGATCATATGTTGTAGCCCGGGGCCGCTGCGCGCCATGCGGGAAAAGATGATGAACCACGGTGGTGAACAGAGTCAGTGGTCCTGGAAAAGTCAACCAGAGTGCTTCTCGTGATTGCTCTGTACTTGGGATCGACATCAGATAGCCAGGATGGATAGAACAGCATTGACAGTGCTTGCGACGCAGTGCTTGACAGTCTTACCAAGATCTGCAGGAGGAACGCTCTGGCTTCGCCGCGCTGGAAAGAGAGTGAAATGTGAATTGACCGGGTATGAAGATGGCGTAGTTGCCGTGACAAAATGGAGACGGTAAATGCATCGAGAATGGAGCCCCGGGGTCATTGAGCCTGAGGAAAACCAGCCGGGCTCCCCGGCTTCTGTCCCCGTTTTCAAAGACGTCGACGGGGATAGAGACGCTTTCGACGACAAAACCTTCATTCACCGGTGTGTTCTTCTTCCCCTCCTTCGGCGGTATTCAATTCGCGAGTGTGTCACGTCGACCGTGCCGTCTTCTCGGACTTTCAGCCGTAGGGAAATACGAACGGCGTCCGAAAACTGCCGATGATCCATACGCATGCAGTAGTGGTGGTGAAGATCCAGTTGTTGTGCAAGCATCCGAGCCGCCGCCTTGGGTGAAACGTGGCCCGGTGCGCTGCTACTCCTCCGTCCATGCGGCGTGGATGTTCCGCCCGGTAGTTCGGACCAAAACAACCGGGCGCTCCTTTCCACAATGGTAAGCTTCGCAATGCCGTTGACGTGTTCCACCATGGCGTACTCCGTTGCGTGCCGATGGAGACATACGATGGCATCGAGCTCTTCAGGACATGGAAGAACCGAAGAATTGTCAGTATATAGCAGAGTTTATGTGGTGTACCAATACTGCCAGGACACGGTGACGTTACCCGTGCGCCGATCAGAAGCTGCTGACAACAAGGGCGCAGAAAGGTCGAAATGAGATTTGCGACTGTGAGAGAGCATGACGGCACCCACGACGCACAGGTGAGCTGCTCCTTCTTCTTTGGAGTCTCGAAGTTGCATACATACCGCATTCCATAACATATCGACGTAGTGCGCGACATACATTCCCCACGAAAAGCTGGTCAAAAGATAAGCACATATATCAGCCAGGAAGAGCCTTATAGGACACCGGCGCAACGAACTTTAGTTTCCACGACAGAAAGCCGATGCTGGCCGGGTAGAACGCCCCCCGAAGCAGCGCATACGAGGTGCAGCCTGGTGCAGCGTTTGATCGAGCACCACACACCGACGCTACCTGAACGCGAGCAAAAATGCCCAACTCGGTGGGCCCAGAAAGTTTCCCGCATGTCGCGAAGCCCAGCAATCATATTAAGAACCAGAGGTGCAAATAGAAGCAAGAACGTCTCGAGACCGAGGCGGTTTGGGATAGATTGCTACACATCCTGGATTCTTGAGGGGTTGTACACTTCTTCTTGTGGGCCAGTTTCGCGTCGTACGTATGCATGCAGCCTCAAGCTTGGTGTTCAAAAGCCCGCCATCGGAGAAGTATCGCATTACGAAGGGTGGCAGGAGGGAATTACATCTCTCCATATCGAGAGGGCAGCAGTGAGCGCGGCTTGATGACGTCAACGCCAAATTTCAATTCTGTTCGATGGTTTGTGGAAGTTTAAGGGATGCAAGCAGCTCACGAACCACAAGATACTAAGTTCCATGCAGATGCCGTTGAATATATATTACGATGCGTGGATACTTTGTTTCTATGCTACACGATGCCCAATGTACAAGCGAATGAATGAAGCAAACCTCGAAAGCAATCAGTCCGAGCGCAGAGGCAGATGTTTAGTCGATCTCCTCCATCGCCGAGGTAGACGCCTCCGCTTCTGGTGCGGGTGCCTCCGGCGCCGCGGGCGCGGGAGTCTCCTCCTCCTCGTCGACGTCGAGGCCGAGCGAGATCATACGGTGGATGCGCTTCGCGAACGACGTCGGGTCGTCGAGCGTGAAGCCGGAGGTGAGCAGCGCGGTCTCGAAGAGGAGGTATGTGAGGTCGCGGACAGACTTGTCAGCCTTGTCCTCGGAGACCTTTTTCCTGAGCTCCTTGATGATGGGATTGTGGGGGTTGAGCTCGAGAGTCTTCTTCGACGCCATGTAGGACGACATCGACGAGTCACGGAGAGCCTGCGCCTTCATGATGCGCTCCATGTTCGCGGACCAACCAAACTGGCCGGTAACGAGAACGCAAGGCGAGTCGGTGATGCGGTTGGAGACGACGACCTTCTCGACCTTGTCTCCCAGGGCGTCCTTGACGGCGGTGCAAAGGTCGGCGAACGACTTCTCCTCCTCCTCGCGCGCCTTCTTCTCCTCCTCGGTCTCCTCGAGCTCGAGGCCCTCCTTCGACACGCAAACGAGCTTCTTGCCATCGAACTCCTTGAGCTGGGTGATAGCGTACTCGTCGATGGGGTCGATCAGGAGAAGAACCTCGAAGCCCTTCTTCTTGAGGACCTCGAGGAACGGCGACTCCTTGACGGCAGAAAGCGACTCGCCGGTGAGGTAGTAGATGGACTTCTGCACCTCGGGCATACGGGTGATGTAGTCTGCGCGTGATGTTAACAAAGTGTACTGCGTCACGAACGGAAGCTGGAAACTCACCCTTCAACGAGGTCTGCTCGTCGGTGGACTTGGTTGAGTAGAAGCGCAAGAACTCGGCGAGCTTGCTGCGGTTCTGAGCGTCCTCGTGGATACCGAGCTTGAGGTTCTTGCCGAACGCCTCGTAGAACTTCGCAAAGTTGTCTTTGTCCTCGGCGATTTCGCTGAAGAGGTCCATGCACTTCTTGACGATGTTCTTGCGGATGACCTTGAGGATCTTGTTCTGCTGCAAGGTCTCACGCGAGATGTTGAGAGGAAGGTCCTCGGAGTCGACGATACCCTTGACGAAGTTGAGGTACTCGGGGATGAGGTCCTCGCAGTCGTCCATGATGAAGACGCGACGGACGTAAAGCTTGATGTTGTTCCGCTTCTTCTTCGTCTCGAAGAGGTCGAAGGGTGCACTGTTTCAAGTGATCAGCGAACTCGTACTCACGAATATGTCGCAAAAAGGCATACCGCTTGGGAACGTAAAGGATTGCCTTGAACTCGAGCTGACCCTCAACGGAGAAGTGCTTCACTGCGAGGTGGTCCTCCCAGTCGTTCGACAAGCTCTTGTAGAAGGCAGCGTACTCCTCCTGGGTGATGTCGTTCGGGTTACGAGTCCAGATAGGCTTCGTCTTGTTGAGCTCTTCGTTCTCGACGGTCTTTTCCTTGATCTTCTTGGTCTTCTTCTCCTTCTCTTCGTCATCGACCTCCTCGATCTTGGGCTTCTCGCTGTCCTCCTCCTTCTCCTCGACCTCGTCGTCCTCAACCTCCTACATATCTCTGTTAGATCTGTTCAGATCAAAACGCGGCGAAAGAAAACATACCTTCTCAACCTCCTTGGTCACTGCAAGCTGGATGGGGTAGGAGATGAACTCGGAGTGGCGCTTGACGATGTCCTTGATGCGCTTCTCCTCGAGGTATTCAAGTTGGTCCTCCTTGAGGTGGAGGCGGATCTCGGTACCGCGGCCGAGAGGCGGGTTGATGGTGTCGGGGGTGATGGTGAAGGTACCGCCGGCAGCGGACTCCCAAATGTATTGCTCGTCGTCGTTGTGTTTCGAGATGACCTGGACGCGCTCGGCGACGAGGTACGCGGAATAGAAACCGACACCAAACTGGCCAATCATGGAGATATCGGCGCCGGAGCTCAACGCCTCCATGAAGCCCTGAAGCCACGTTAGACACCCAAAGATAAGCGCAGGTGAATCGAACTTGACTCACCTTGGTACCTGACTTCGCGATCGTACCGAGGTTGTTGACCATGTCGGCCTTGGTCATGCCGACACCGGTGTCGCGGATGGATAGGATCTTGTTCTCCTTATCGGGGATGATGCGGATGTAGAGGTCCTTCCCGGTTTCAAGCACGGACGGGTCGGTGAGCGACGCGTAACGGATCTTGTCGAGGGCATCGGAGGCGTTCGAGATCAGTTCACGGAGGAAAATCTCCTTGTTGCTGTAGAAGGTGTCTAGGATCCATCGTAAGCAACGTACGCGCGCTACATGAATGGGAATGTCGATTTACTGATGATGAGGTCCAGTAGCTGAGAGATCTCAGCCTGGAAGCCGAAAGATTCTGTTGCCATTTTTTGTCGTTAAGGGGAGGGTGCGGAGGTATATGGGGAGTGGTATATTGGAGAGAGCTACGGACAGGCGCGTCTGGAGCATCATGGCTTTATATGTCCAATTTTTGGAGGATGAAATGGAATGTGCTAGAAGGATGGAACGCGTCCGTGTGCTAGATTGGGTAGCGTCGTAGAAGTTGCTAGAAGTATTGTACAGCCATGTTACAGCCTTTGGGCGCTTGATACGACACGGACACACCCAGAACCTTCCGCGCGCGATGGCATTCGTTAGAACTTAGAGCGATGCCTCGAACACCGAGAACCTTCCATGGCATACGCGTCCTCGTAGACGAGGAAAATATATCCAAACGATAGAGGAAACGACAAGTTAATCGCGTCATGCTATTCCAACCTGTTCAAGTCGCGCTTTCAGCGCCTCGTTCTCCTCCCGCAGGCTGGTGCTCGTCTTTCTCAGTTGTTCGTTTGATTTCCGTAGCGCGTCCTTCTCCTTCGCAGCGGCCTCAATACTGGCAACCAGAAATGATTGCTGTGTAGGCTCGCCGACAGGCCTTGATTGCCCCACCTGCGCCTCTAGTTCCTGTATACGCAGGCGTGCGGCCCTGAGGAGTTGTTCAGCGATGGTGGAAAGCTTGCGTGCAAGAGATGAACATGCCGAGCATCTGATTCCATTTTGGACTGCTGTTGCTCAAACGCCTCAACGCGCATCTCCATTTTCTTGTAGCGGCTCATCATTGCCTTCATCTCCTCCTCTTGATCGTTCAATTTCTGCACATCCTCGTCCCTGGTGTATCGCCTTTGAGTGGTCGCTCCATGGAGCTGCGATAGTACTGACCATAACATTTGCATCGTCGTGTGCTGTTCAATTCGCCGCTCGTAATCTTTGAGCCTTTCCACCTGCGGTGCAGTCTCCTTGATCTTGGTCTCGAGAGTAAACACGCGGTTTACGGCGTCAGCAAGCAACTTCCCTTGCGCCTCGAGTTTGGCCTATCGCGACTGCCAGTAAGCACTTTCACAGGACGGAAGGAAGCCAAGGACTAGCCTTCGTGTCGACGTTATCAGAGCGTAGGTTGGCGGTGTCGGCCTCCCATTTCCGGTTCTTTTCTCGGAAAGTATCCAGGCGCTTTTGGAGGTTCTCGTTCCACTCCTTGTTTTGTTGCTTAGTGCGAGCCGCCAGCTCTTTCTGTTCCTTCAGTTCTTTCTGTAGCCTTACGACCTGCGCTCGCAGATCGCGAAGTTTGTTCCTCTAGTGACGGATTGAGTTATCGATTTCCTGCCTTCAATGTCTGGCTCACCAAACCCTGTTGTTCTACCTCTGCATCCTTTGTCAATATATGGTTCTTGTACAGCCGACCGATGTGCTTGACGTTTTCTCGGCTCAGCCAGACTTCGAAATTCAGCTCGTTACGCAGTAGGAGAATTTCGCGCTGCAGGTTGGATACGGTCTGAAGAGCTCGTGATGAGAGCTCCTCGCCCTCGTAATCCTCCTCATGGACGGCGTTGGCATATTGATCGTTGCGCCTTGCTCTCGTCGCGTGCGAGGACAAAATTGTCGTTGATGGCCAGCCCGGAACGGGATCAACCACTTCGACCTCCTCTCCTGACTTGAGCATCAAGGCTGTGTCGATCATAGTCCTCAAGGAGACATGTGGCCTCGTATCCTCCTGAATGTTCAGACTGTGCACTCGCGGCGTGTTCGAATCTTCTGCCTCGAATGTCGTCGCGTCCACCGCTTGGGTTCCTCGACGTTTGTTCTGCGGTGATTGCCGTACAGCCAATCCGGCGTTGCGCACGTCTAGCATGAAGCTCTCGGTCACTATCTCGGCAAGGTCGTTGTTGGACCAATCCCAGTCCTCGGATAGTTCGGTCGCAGCGTCTCTCCATATCAACGAAGGATGCATGACATGGCCACGTAGGAGCGGCTACAGACGCAGCCCGAACCAACGTCATTAGCGTGCAGCGGATGTTGATCCGAGCCGCACTCACCTCCACTCGTGTCTTCAGCTGAACTTCATCGAGGACTTCTTCCCAGCTTATCGTATAAGGACTCTTGATGTTATATTGTTCCAAGTACGGAAGCGGGTCGCGGAGAAAGCGTATGACATTGCAAGGGAATAGATAATAAAGAATGGTAAGAAACTGATGAGGCGAAGGAGGTGTTGTGTTGATGGTTGCTTGGAGGCATTTCCATGGTATGTCATCCCGAATGAAAAGCTCGCGCTTTTCCTCCTGGCTGGCTGGCGGGTCGTCATCTTCGTCCGAGGGTTCTGCGCCCTCGCTTTCAGGTGACGGAGGAGTGCCCACTTGCCGATGTTTCCAGCAGAGCATCCTTGCAAGAATTGACAGAAGATCGGGGAGCATGCCTTTGAGCGAGTCTGAGGCTTCTTTGGCAAACATAGGAAGCAGTTTCGTCATGAGGGTTAGACCCATCGTACAAACAGTGGAGGAGTTGTCAAGCAGGAGAGTGTGTAAGAGGCTGGACATCAGTGGATGTGCCGCCAGTATACGTGCACAAGACAAAGATGCACGCGACGTATAAACATCGAGCAGAGAAAGCATCTGTAATCGCGTGGACGGGTCGGCATACTGGTGATTAACCTCCAAAAGGAGATCCTGGCGAAAGATCAGGCGTGCTAGAATGTGGTGTCCATGTGCACGGACTCACCTCCGGTTTCGAGATGGCATAACGAACCAGAATATCCTCCAGATTAGCCTTCCAACGCGCGCTCCTCTCCCTCCCCTCCTCGTCCATGGCGGAAAACTCAAAGACCTCTTCCCCGGATCCTTCGTTCAAGGCATCGAGCAGATACAGCTCCATCAACTGCCTTCGGAACTTATCCACCTCTTCGATATATCCTCCAGAAACATCCTCGAAAGCTGAGATAACGAGATCCTTTGCGTATTCAGCCGCTGATCCAGGGAGTTGGGGGTTCCTCAGGGCTGGACGAAGCACCAGGTCCCACCAATTCGTAACGACCGAGGATGGAGTGAGAATCGGTCGAAGATGCTGCAATACAGTCAGGAACATCTCAGTCTGCTGAGGACCATCGACCGCATCCTTGTGTATGATTTGCAGCTGCTCCTGCAAGTCCGTGATATCGCCTTCCGAATCCTCTTCAGTGGACGCGCTGAGGACAAAGGTGTCCACTTCCTTAAGGATTTCGGGCAATGTCTGCGCGTCGGGAGCATCCTCGAACAGCTCTCTGATGCGGCGAGCAAGCTCGGTCGTCGTAAGATCCTCCGTGGACATGGCACTGGTGTATATGGTGTATCCAGCTAAGCAGCGGCTGCTGTGCCCCGCACCGCAGCGCCACCGGTAGATCGTCCGACCAACATTTATTACAGTACAATCGTGCAGTGATCACTCCAGGACAATGCAAACAGATCATCGCATACGTGACCTCATCGTCGTGAATCGTCACTGCTTTATTTCCCCTTCGACTGGGTCGAATACAATGCCCTTGCCGGTGTTCTTCCACTCGTCAGCCTCTGGTAACGGATCATAAGGAGGCAGATATCTTTTGCGAAGTTCGCGTTTCGCCTGTGTGTCAGTACCAAATTTTTGGTCCCTAGCTTGAATCAGGTCTGCCGGCGCTTGCCCGTCGCCGGTGTACGACATCATGAGGTTCGGAGGGCCGAGGGGAAGATCTGGGCTCGTATCCACGGCCCAAGTATGGATGGTCTAAAGGAGACTTCATTTGAACGGACCGGGCCGGAGCTCACAGAAAAGACCAACCTTGCCGTAGGTCTTCTGTAGCTCCAGCATTGCAGGTTGCTCAGCAGCATCTGTAGCAACTCCTGAGGCGGCGTCAACGGGAGTAAAAGTTCCTTCGTACGCAAATGACTAACCAGGTACACCACCCTTGACCTTTGCCAACAATCAGTATGCTCACAAACAGGACTAAAAGCCAGCATGGCAAACCCACCTGCAACTGCAGCAAGCCACTCTCAACCTGAGCTCTGGATCAAACTAGGGTCCATCGAGCTAGTGCGTCAACGTGCACCTCGTACTTGTGAGAATGCCAATACTTCTTCTCTTCCGCTGGTAAGTCTCGGAAAATCTGTACATCCTTTAGTGACACGACGTCACTAGATATCCAGCGTGCTCACTTTCTCAGATACGATGTACTCAATGCCAATGAGCTTGGCGTTTGGCTGATCTGTGTCATAGATGACGCACTATAAAGAGCATGGTTGTCAGTGTGCGAGTAGAACTCCAAGTTAAGGCTACCTGGTGCAAATCATGAGAAAGGTGCGTGCAGAAATGATGTGCTTCGACATGACGGGTCCGATCATGACTTGATACGGAGTCAGAACTTCAACGGTAAGGAAACGTGGCGCAGATTCAGACTCACGCGTAGACGTGGAAGGCACATAGATGCTGGTGTATGGCGTTGATGGGCTGGAAGCTCATCATGGCGGTACCAGCCGCATGGAATGCGGGCGTGTGGTAGATAGACTGCTTGGTATCGGCATCCATGGGGAACAGGTGATGCGGGCGAGAGATCCTGCTCATCTTTCCTGGCTCTCTTGTACGTTCACGAAGGCATTATGACGTAGAGGCGAGGTCATGGATGGTCATGCATCTACGATGGCGCGCATTGACCGGGACATCTATGCAATGCGCATATGGAACAACATGAAGCTTGTCGTATGCAAGGATCCTTTGGCGATTGTCGTAGCATACAATATCGCGAAGAGACAGACGCTAACAGCCGGATGACATGAATAACCTCTGCCGACGAAGTGCGGGAGACAACAAGCTAGCACGCGCACGACCAGGGTTGACATTTGAATAAGGTACTTGCTGAACGGAGTCTGCTCAGACCACGGACATGATCCTGAAGGTCAGCGCCTCGTGTTTAGGATGCCCGACAACAGCCTAGACTAGCGTAGCATAACATTGTATATCGCCCGACTGGCCTGCCTCGGAGGTCCACCGTCCGATGTCATATTGCCCCGAAAATCGCCCTTTTGGGACCGTGTTTGATGCGATTCTCCGAATTTTAGCCCTTTGCGGCCAGTTGATCACCCCCGAAAATGGCCAGAATTTACCCCTTAAGGGATCGAACATCAGTAGGGATTTTCACCGGTCCTCGCGAGATGGACGCGCGGGATGCTACGTCCCAATAAGCGCCCGTACAGGCGCCCATCTCCCCTGTCTGCTAACGTCGCGGTCGTCGGCACTGGTCTCCAGCCCCGCCGCCAAAGTTCTCTAGTCCAACGTAAGCCCGCCTCACTTAGGTTGTCGGAACGACAGGCGCATCAAAACGCGTTCTACGGGATGGATGCGCCGTACCAATTCCGGATGACGCTGACGCGTCGCTTCACCTGCCTTTCAGATGTCCGCCACGATCGAAGAGATCCCGTCCGACCACTCGCATTCTGACCATGGTCACGACCACGACCACGACCATGATCACCACGACCACGACCACGATCACGAGGATGAGGACCCTACCTCTCAGGCGGCGCTCGACAAGATCCAGTCGCGATCGGAGCGTAAGGCCCGCAAGGCCCTGCTTACCCTCGGTCTGAAGCGCGTTCCTGGCATCACCCGTGTCACCCTTAGGAGACCGAAGAACGTACGCGCCCTTCCATGATTAAGTCATACGTAGCGACCTGACGCGATCGTGCCCAGGTGCTCTTTGTCCTGGCTTCTCCGGATGTGTACAAGTCGCAGAACAGCGACTGCTACATCGTGTTCGGCGAGGCTAAGGTACGCAAAACGAATGGGTCAAACGATCTCTCCATGCTCTAACGCTTTGCGTTCGTCACAGATCGAGGACATGAACTCCCAGGCGCAACTCAGCGCGGCTCAGCAGCTCGCGTCGAGTGGCGGCGCTGCCCAGACACTCGAGAAGTCGGGTGTGGCGGATGACGACGACGAGGATGACATCCCTGAGCTCCAGGCGCCCGAAGAGGAAGGCGAGATCGACGAGACGGGCGTGGATCCAAAAGACATCGACCTTGTCATGCAGCAGGTCAACTGCTCTCGCGCAAAAGCTGTCCGCGTACTGAAGGAGAGCGGCGGGGACTTGATCAATGCCAGTAAGTGCACCCACCGCGAATGAACGTCCCTGTAGTGTGACTGATGCATGCACAGTTATGGCCGCGAGCGAGTAGATGATGTTTGTGCACCTTTTGCTGTTTATTCACCATGGCTTTCATCATGCATGATGCAACAAGCCACATTCAATGTGTTCAAAAGGATGATTGATATATCGGGTGGAATTGCGTGATTGAGTTATTCTAGTCAAGTAAGGTCTATCGGACACAACAGGACGACACAGCTTAAGAAAGAGATCTGATAGTATATATAGTTCGGCCCAATAGTGACTGTAGGGTGATGCTACATGACTGAAGATGGTGCGATTCGGTCGGTGCCAACAATTGTTCATGCCAGGTCCTGAGTAAGGACGAAACGATAACGAACGTCGTTCTTCTTCAGGCGTTCGACCGCAGTCTGAGCCTGGCTCATGGGAAGCTCCTCGATCCTGTTAACCAGGTCAGCGTGGAGTTATGTCCGACGGAGAAATCGACTAACCATGGCTTGATGCCCTTGTCCGCGGCGAGCTGCAACATCTCGATCGCCTCCGCCTTACTACCGATGTGGCTCGCCCCGAAGAAGCACCCGTTGAAGGCGAAGTCGAACGCGTGCATGGTGGGCAACGGCTTGTCGGGCAGGCCCACGGTGATGAATTTGCCGTGCACCCACAGCATTGACATGTAAGCCCGGATCGGCATACCTTCCGCGGCGTCACGGGTCGAAATAATGAGGTCAAGGGACATTTCACGGCCCTTGGCGAACTCGCCGCTCTATGAAACATCGTCAGAACAGGAGAATATCCTAGATGTAGCCCAAAGAAACCTACATCATCGGCGACGACGATGTGATCGGCACCCATGGCCTTGATATCGTCCACTTTCTTCGTGCCGCTGGTGAAGGCGGTAACTTCGGCGCCCATTGCCTTGGCAAAGAGGATGGCATAGTGGCCCTACATATCCATAAGCATCACAATACGAGACGAACAGGGCAGTTCTCACCAAGCCGCCAATGCCAATTACCCCGATCTTCTTCCCTGGTCCAGCGCCGTTGCGTTTAAGAGGGGAGAACACGGTCAGGCCACCGCACAGCATGCTGGCGGCGTGCCGTGACTCAAGCCCATTAGGGATGGGGAAGACGAAGAGCTCATTCGCGCGGATCGCAGTGGAGTAGCCTCCCTGGGTGACCGTACCATCAGGGTATTTGTCGTGATAAGTATGGATCATTTTGGGGCAGTAATTCTCGTCGTCCTGCTTGCAGGCTCTGCATTGGTAGCAAGAGCCAACTTGGGCGCCGACGCCGGCACGGTCGCCGACCTTGAAGCCCTTGACCTGCGATCCGACGCGGGTGACGGTGCCTACAATCTCATGCCTAGATTGCAAGTTGAATAATGTCACGCAAGGTGGGTGAGGCGAAGATGCTTACCCAACAATGACAGGAGTCCTGAGCGCTCCCCAGCCGGAGGTAATAGTGTGAATGTCGGAACCGCACACGCTGCATGGCAAGATGAGCTGGTCATCTTCTGATAAGGCATTGTGACGAGACACACCCGCAATGCGTGATGGCAACTTCCACGTCGGTCTCTTCGAACTTCTTCGGTTCGAACTCGATGACCTCGAAATTACTCTGCACGGCGAAACAATGTCAGCTACAATACTGGACTCGACAAATTGCCTCTGAACGTACCCATTTGGTCGCATCGGTGACGGCGTATCCCTTGAACTGGACTTGAGACATGGCTGGGTTAAAGTAGAAATGCGAGACAACGAGGGAAATAGTTCTATCATCCTTCGTCGCCTCCCTCAACTTTTATACCGCTCCCAGACCGTTCCCATCGCCGCGATTATCTGTAAGCTATATCCACCGGCTGTTCACCGTCAACGCGGGCGAAAAACATCTCGCCACGCGAAAAACTATTATCCGCCTAGCAAGAATGGGCGTCGAGAACCAGAAAAGGATACTCTATCGAAGCGAAGAATCTCGATCATTCGCGGATACGTAGCAAATTCCACGAACGCCGAGGTATTGCTCTCAGGGGATGGACCGTAAGGGGACGAACCGCGGCCGGAAAAGGCAAAGGCCGACATGGACGGGTCCGAACGTGGGTATCGTCCATGCGCGTGAAAACGATGAACCTGATCGAGGAATGACGACCTGCCTTGAAGAATTACCGGTCGACCCCCCACTCACATACCAGCCCGCCTAACTTGGACCGGTTGGATGAGTGAGCACTGGCTGAGCCATCCCAAAAAATTTTACATCCCGAAGCCTCGCAGATAGGCGGTTATCGGCGAGCTTCGAGCACACACGAACGTAAGTATCCAGACAAACAAGAAGTCTTCCGAAGAGGAATATAAGCTCCTTTTTGACCCAGATATGGAACTAATATAGTACTGCATGGGAGTCAGCGGGGTGGTATCGACACGTTGTACCCGTGAGTCTTTCTCTGCCTAGGTATCGATATCATAGAGTATCCGACTCGGGGCGTATGTTGGAATTATGCAGCAGACCAGACTGCCGACTCACACGTCCGATCAATTTCAACATCGTCCGCGTATCTCGCATTTGCAAACTACATTGCGCTGACGATTCCGCCTCGGAGGAAAGAAAAGTGCATTTCAATATTGGACATGTAGTTCTCGACAACGCTGACCAACATTCTCTTGTTCTCCGCCCACCCCTGGCATCGTTGCCCATCAAGCGAGGTCTTGGGTGAGAACAAAGCGGTAGCGAACATCATTCTTCTGCAAGCGTTCAACCGCCATCTGAGCCTGACTCATCGGTAACTCCTCGATCCTACAACCCGTGTATGTCATGTTACGAGTACGTCGGACCGGCAGGAGGACGTACCATGGCTTGATGCCCTTGTCCGCGGCCAACTGCAACATTTCAACGGCTTCCTGCTTGCTGCCAATGCGGCTTCCCCCAAGAAAAGAACCATTCGGCGCGAGGTCAAATGCAGCAAGCGTCGGCAAGGGTTTATCGGGAAGGCCGACGGTAACGAACTTTCCGTGGATCCATAGTGTACTCAAGTAATCCTTCAGTGGCATACCTTCGGAGCTGTCACGGGTGGACACGATGAGGTCCAGTGTCATCTGGAGGTCCTTCGCGAATACGCCCTCCTGATACACATACGTCAGCTACTATCTCCCGTCACTGCTGCGGGTCCGCAGTTCAACGGTACTACAAACTCACCTCATCCGTCACGATCACGTGATCAGCACCCATTTTCTTGATATCTTCGATTTTGCTCGTACCATGGGTGAAAGCGTACACCTCGGCTCCCATTGCTTTCGCAAACAATATCGCATAATGACCCTAGAGCCCAAGGCGTGGTAAGCGACAGCTTTTGCGTCAATCTCGACCAAATGTTCACCAAACCGCCAATGCCTACAACACCGACTTTCTTGCCTGGGCCGGCACCGTGCCTCTTCAATGGCGAGAACACGGTCAACCCCGCACACAGCATGCTTGCAGCATAGCGCGACTCCAGCGCATCGGGGATTGGAAACACGAATTGCTGGTGCGCGCGGATCGCAGTAGAATAACCGCCCTGGGTCCGAACGCCGTCGGGGTATTCTGAGTTGTACGTGTTAATTCCCTTCGGACAGTAATTCTCGTTGTTGCTCTTGCAGGGACGACACTTGAGGCAAGAGCCGATCTGAGTACCTATGCCCGCCCGATCGCCGACCTTGATTCCTTTCACTTGCGATCCGACGCGAGTGACCTTGCCGACGATTTCGTGCCTATGGACCACTTCGTAAAAAATACATGTCACGACAGATGCATGACGTACCCGACAATCAAGGGCGTCTTCAGTTCTCCCCACCTGGACATGCGGCTAGGATCAGTGGGAGCACGATGGTACCGGCCATTCATTATCCTACCCGCTTGCAATCGTGTGAATGTCGGACCCGCAGACACTGTTGATACGGATGAGCACCAAATCATACGAAGGGGTCGATGAACTGACCCGCAGTGTGTGATCGCTATTTCAACATCGGTCTGCTCAAACTTCTTCGGCTCATATTGGATGACGTCGAACCGGCTCTGGAGGTCGCAAGCCAATGGTCAGCAATGAAGCCGCAAAGACACGACATCGTCCGCACCCAGGCCTTAGTGTCGGTGATCGCGTATCCTTTGAAGTCGACTTTAGACATGTCTGAGAGCTAATGGGCAAGGAGAATACTCGTCCAAGTCGAGCATCGCTTGCAATGCCTGATTTATACCGCAACACGATGAACTGGCAGCTGCCGTATTGGTGACAGGTTGTATGACATTCGTGCGTCATGTACCGTCGTGGATCGTCGACTGCATCACCGCAATTGCACCAACGGACGAACATAGACAAGGTATTACTGACACCTTGCCCAGGTTTAATGCACCTCGTACTCACGCCTCGTCCGGGTTTGCCTACGGATGGGAGCGTCCAGCGGGACACACGGACGTCTCATTGTCCATCAAATATTGCGTGACTCTACACATTGTCACCGATCTTCGTTGCTGCAGCCCGTGCACTCCAATGCGGTCGCTCATCAGACTAGATCCTGCGTAAGAACGAATCGGTAGCGGACATCATGCTTCTGCAAGCGTTCAACTGCCTTCTGAGCCTGACTCATCGGCAACTCTTCAATCCTTCACGCGTGTATCAATTCACCGAACAGCGAATATGAGAAAAGCAGGGGAGAACCCACCATGGTTTTATGCCCTTATCCACGGCCAGCTGAAGCATATCAAGGCACTCCTTCTTGCTACCAATGTGGCTACCACCGAGGAAGCATCCGGTCGGCGCGAGATCAAATGCGGCAAGCGCTGGCAACGGTTTGTCAGGTAAGCCGACGTTCACGAGCTTGCCGTGGATCCACAGCATGCTCAGGTAATGCTTCAGCGGCATTCCCTCCGCATCGTCACGGGTGGATATAATGAGATCCAGCGTCATGGGCAGGTCCTTCGCGAAAATACCCTCCTGAAACAGATATGTAGGTTCATCGTGCTATTCCGTGCTAAGGCCAGCGACATGTTGTCAACTCACGTCGTCCGTGACGATTACGTGATCGGCACCCATTTTCCTTATATCCTGGACCTTACTCGGATCGTGGGTGAAGGCGTAGACCTCGGATCCCAGAGCCTTTGCGAACAGGACCCCATAATGGCCCTAACAAAACGATCAGTCGAAATGCAACCTCAGTGGAATTTCCAGGACGCTTACAAGACCTCCAATACCGACGATACCAACTTTCTTCCCGGGCCCGGCGCCGTGCCTCTTCAAAGGTGAGTACATCGTCAAGCCCGCGCAAAGCATGCTCGCGGCATCGCGCGACTCCAGTGCGTCGGGAATGGGGAAGACAAATTGTTCGTGTGCGCGAATAGCGGTCGAGTAGCCGCCTTGGGCGCGAATACCATCAGGGTATTCTGAATTGTACGTGTGGATCGTCTCCGGACAATAATTCTCGTTGTCGCTCTTGCATGCGCGGCACTTGCAGCAGGAGCCGACCTGAGCGCCAACGCCCGCTCTGTCGCCGATCTTGAACCCCTTCACTTGCGATCCGACCCGAGTGACCTTGCCGACGATCTCGTGCCTGTACAACGATTAGCAATGTGCAAACTGAAGACAATTGAACGACTTGCCCAACAATCATAGGCGTCTGCACTCCTCTCCATCTAGAGAGTCGTAGATGGTCAGCGAGTGCATGGTACTTTCACAGAACAGGAATCCTACCCGGATGCGATGGTGTGAATGTCGGATCCGCAGACGCTGTACGACAAGCTCGAATCAGAAGCGGATGAGGACGTCGATGCACTAACCCGCAATGTGTGATGGCTATTTCAATATCGGTTTCTTCGAACTTCTTAGGAACATACTGTATGACGTCGAAGTGGCTCTGGACATCATTGGGGCAATCAATAATGAGGCTAGTAAACGAAGGGAAGTACGCACCCAAGCCTTAGCGTCGGTGACCGCGTATCCTCTGAAGTCGACTTGGGACATGACAGCAAGCGAACAGCTGGTGTACGAAACCAGGCGGCCAGGCAATGTCTGTTTTATACAAAACCATGTCGAACTGGCAGCTGTCTTGCCGGATGGCAGATTGGATTGGTATGGCCTTCACGTGTCATAACCTGTCATGAAACATCGACTGTTCCATTGCAGTCGGATCGATAGACAGACAAGGTAGAAGAGTGCGAGTTGTGACAAAGGGGTTCGATCAAGTTCGGATCGCTGAGATGAGTATCAGGCCGCAATTTACATTTGAGAGCGTCTTGACGAGGCAAAATTATAAATACAGAGTGATGAGCGAGTAAGAAGGAGTGTCCTTAGCTAGACTGGTGTTTGCTATGTTACATGCTATGCAACATCTCTTGACAGTCAGGTTGTCTCATTTGGAATTCTAAATCTTCTCGTCATGCGAATGCTCCTCGACTTTCTCAGAGGCCTCGGTATTCTGGGCCACGATGTGGTCGATCGCTTGCTCACCATCAAACAGTGCGGCTGTCTCTTCGAGAGTCTGAAAGGAAAGCACATTGAAATTGGAATCATTCAGACTGCGGCGAGTACTCACCCTTCCTTTGGTTTCCACCACGAAGAGGTAGAGGTACACGAGCTCGAAGGCGAGCCACGCACAGTATACGCACTGTCAACAAAAATCGTTAGCTCGCTTCGAGAAGTTGGATAATTGTAGCTTACGTAGTACTTCCACCCGAGAGCTTTCAAAGCTGAAGTCCGATTATCATTATCAATCGTGTCATTACCGAAGGATGGACTGTTTTGCATACCAATAGGGTTCACGTATTGATTGAAGACGATCGCGGCGGACACAACGAAGTTGAAGACGTTGAAGCCTTTAGCACGGAGCGCAAACGGCAAGATCTCCACGGTGTAGGACACGATTAGAGGCGTGAAAGCGATACTGCATGAAAATGTCAACACTTCCATGCGATCGAGGAACCTGCTCGATACTCACTCGTACGCAGCGAAAAAGAGGAAGATGAAGGCGATATTAGCGTGGGCAGCGGATTTGGTGCCATGTAAACTGAATTCCGCAAAGCAGACTGTCTGGGAGGTGAAAAATACGAGCTAGACGACATTTGTGAGCAATGACATATATTATGGATATTCTTCGGACACACCATGCCGACCGCGGAGGAGAGGAACAACAACCTTCTGCCGGCTCGATCCGCGAGGAAAGCGGCAAGGACAGCCCAGAAGAGGTTCCAGATTTGAAGGATCCCGTTGATGAGCAACTAGCAGTAAGAGGAGCGTCAGTCGGGAAAGTCGTCTACGCCACGGACGATTATGTATACCTGGATTGTGGCATCTTTAATGCCGATGCTGTCCAGGATCTTTCCGAGGTAGTAACTCGCCAAGCCCTGCAAGAGGGGCGGTTAATCACGGAACAGTGAGATTTGAAATCGAAACTTACATTAGCACTCCATTGACTGAAGAATGCGATAGCGATGATGATACGCATCCTCCGGCGGTTTCCCGGGGTCATGAATAGGGACTTCCACCCAACGTTTGCGGCAACTGGTGTATGCAATCAGTCTTGGCAGCAACAAACATCAGTCGGACTTACCAGTGCGATCAAAATCGATCATAGCTTTGATTTCTTCGTATTCAAACTGAACCAACGGATCCTCCCTGCGCCCGAGATGTTGAGAGCCATGAACCTTGGAGGAATGTATGCGACGCACTCGTTGCCTCCAGCGTGATAATACGCGAGAGTCTTCAGTGCCTCTTGATCACGTCCCTTGCTCACAAGCCAACGAGGTGATTCGGGAGCGAAGAGGACCAAGAAGATTTGGAGGATTGATGGGATACCCTGCAAAAGCGAGGGGATTCTCCAACTCCAGCTGGTGGCGATCTTGAATGTCCCGAATGTCGACCAAGCTGCTCTGTATCGGTGCATATAGATCAGCACGAAGAGGCCTAGTACAAAGCGTCGGGAGGTCTCACACGATAGAGCCGGCATACCTTGATGACAATGACGCTGATAAGCCTCATAATCGCGAGCGCAACTGATAGACGTACCAGAGCGAGTTGTATAGTGAAGTCAAAGGTGCGCGGTAGGGAGGATAAGCCAGCTCTGTGACGAGCATTGGAGCGGAGTTGGCTACGCTCTTCGTAAGCGTGGGAATACTGAATAGAATGGGCGACACGTACCGGCGAAAGTGAGACCGAAGCCGATCAGGAAACGAGCTCCGATGAACATGCCGACGCTTTGAGCAGCCGTCTGGAGAGCAACGGCAATACACATGATGAACGCGCCGACAAAGATGGTCCGGCGACGACCAAGGCCATCAGAGAGGTAAGGTGCGAAGGGATATCTGGGAATCCAGTGGTTGAGAAACAATCAATAATGTCTTCAGAGACATCGTACCCGGCAAGAGAACCGATATTCTGAATCGCATTGAGCAAGCCAAGTTGACTTCCAGCAGGATTGTTGAAGGCGCTGTTCCATTGAGGGAGCGCTTGTAGACCGTTCATCATGCTTCCGTCGAAGCCATTGGTCGAGGACGTGATTAGACTACAAGATTCGTCAGTCTCTGGTTGATCGCGTTCTTTGACCGCAGTCGCTCACAAAAGGACGATCCAGGCGTTCAGGGTGATCATCCTACAGATGAGTCCACGTCATCAGCGAAGGTCCCTGCGGCACTGCAAGCTAGCGCTCACCGTCGATCATTGTACCACTTCCTGCTGGGATCAATGAGATGCGCAAAGCCCGCACCACCATGGCCGCTTGCAACGACACCGGGCGCCATAACAATATCGGGGAGGAGTGGAGGTGGTAAAGAATAAAATGAGAGTAAGAAGGGTACCCTCACGCGGTTCGCCAGTCCCGACTTCAGTAAATATAAGCGAGATGGGAAGGGTTCGGAGAATCCTACGGGCGGATGAGAAGCGAACCGCCAACTTCTCCGCGATTCCTCCGTTTCACCGACAGCTATCACACAGTATCACAACCCGACCCTGCCCGCCATGTCCTCTATAGGCAATTCGCTCCGCGAAGTAGTGATAACTGATTGGAGCACACGATGGTCTAATGGATGTGCATGTCGCATGGCTGGGCGGCGGCCCTTCTCGATGGGTCCGGGCTAGCTGCAGTCTCCCCACAGGCGTGGTGGTGGCTGGAACGAATCGGTATTGTGGCACAACCAGTGGCGGGGGCCAACATCGTTGCTTAGCTCGCCGGTTCACGGATGAATATACTGCTATCGCTGCATGGATAGATCCGCTGACTGAATACGCATCGGTCAAGTTGCCTGGTAAACGTGCTTCTGGAACTCGGCACGTATTGCAAGCTCTTGAGCCGACATTTTCTGCAGAAGCAGTCAAGATGTTGTCTTCGCGATAGAGCAGATCATTCAGTTGACGTGGGACGAGGATCTTGATGATGCAACTAGGCGGGCATTGAGCAGATACTCCGCGATGGTATAGACGATCGGAGATCGCCACAGTCGGTCGTCGGGCTGAGGGCGCGAGCTCATAACAGTTGCTTTGCTTCGGGGACACAGTGGAAGGCCCTTGCATTCGATTGATCCCTCAAGATCCCGGTTTCGATGCAGTATGCCGGAGGCAATGCGGAGAGGTTGGCCGATGAACTTCCTTTTGAGGTGCACGTACGATACATGCGCCAGACAACGCACGGGAGAAGTGCAGGAGGTTGACGTCGAGGGGTGATAGCAGGTTCAACGCGACGTCCAACGAGGCGGGGGCATGGTAAACCAGCATTTTCGACTTCCTGCACAGATGACGACAGATCCGCCGCAATTGAGACGAATGCAATCCACAACGTTTCGACATCAAAGAGACTCGGAGAAATTGTATCAGCGACATCGCGAGTTAAGGGGTGTAGACCCCGTATATGTCTCATCGCTCCACCCCGGCACCGCGTTGAGAGTCCAACCGAGCATGCGGTGAGAGGAGAAGACGAAGTACGAAGGTTCGCGAGTGAACGACGCTGACCAGCATGAGACGAGAGTTCACGAAAAACTCGAAAACGCTCACACCCCGCCGGCCATTCGCACGCTCCCCACGTGGCCGGCTGGTGGTAGACGCGACGCGTCAGCTGGGAGTCCGAGTTCACTATACACGCTTCACCCGCCGACATGGACGCCGACATCGAGATCAGCAAGCAAGTACGACATGGAACAGTCTGTCTCGCGGGTTATGCTTATATCTCTTTGCAGGAGCCCACGTTCGAGTCTGTAGTTTCCGAGAAAGCGGCCCTTTACCAGGAGCTGCAAGAGGAGGACCTCTATGTGAAGTATAAGAAGCTTGCACGACACCTGGAGCTCCTCGAGATCCAGGAAAGCTACATCAAGGATGAGCAAGCAAATCTAAAGCGAGAACTCATCCGCGCACAAGAGGAAGTCAAGCGCATACAATCCGTCCCACTGGTCATCGGCCAATTTCTGGAACCGATTGATCAACATACAGGCATTGTTGGATCAACCACCGGGTCGAACTACGTCGTTCGCATACTCTCCACTCTAGACCGCGAGCTCCTCAAACCTTCCTCCTCTGTCGCCCTCCATCGTCACTCCAATGCGCTCGTCGATATCCTTCCCCCTGAAGCCGACTCCTCGATCTCTATGCTTGGTAGTGAGGAGAAGCCCGACGTCACATACTCGGATGTCGGTGGTATGGACCCGCAGAAGCAGGAGATTAGGGAAGCAGTCGAGCTTCCGCTCACTCATTTCGATCTTTACAAGAAAATCGGCATCGACCCTCCTCGCGGCGTTCTTCTCTATGGGCCACCAGGTACGTTGACTGAAGACGTGGCATCACTTCTTTTTGAACAACGAAACCTCAGGTACCGGCAAGACCATGCTGGTAAAGGCAGTTGCGCATCACACGACAGCGGCTTTCATCCGAGTAAATGGAAGTGAATTCGTCCAGAAGTATCTTGGAGAGGGCCCACGCATGGTCCGCGACGTGTTCCGATTGGCGAGGGAGAACGCGCCTGCCATCATCTTCATCGACGAAGTGGACGCCATTGCGACAAAACGTTTCGACGCCCAAACAGGTGCGGACCGAGAGGTCCAACGTATCCTCCTCGAACTCCTCAACCAGATGGACGGGTTCGATCAGGGGAGCAATGTCAAGGTGATTCGCATAATTCTTGACGCTGTCTCGGAATACTGAGTCGAATTGTAGGTCATCATGGCGACGAATCGCGCGGATACTCTCGACCCTGCACTACTGCGACCCGGTCGTCTCGATCGTAAAATCGAATTCCCCTTACCATCAAGGCGAGAACGGCGACTGATCTTCCAGACTTGTACGGCAAAGATGAACCTCGGGCCCGACGTGGATTTGGAAGACTGTGAGCGACTCGTCGAATTCGCAAGATACAGCTTGACTCAGAGTGTCCTTCCCAGACGTTTCAAGACCGGACAGGCTATCATCCGCCGAAATTGCGTCTATTGTTCAAGCGGCAGGGCTGCAAGGTCAGCCTCCGTTTTGATGTGTGGGTGCGCGAGAGGAATTGAACGTTGTCTTCAATACAGCCGTCCGCAAGAACCGCTACGTTATTCTGCCCGTGGACTTCGAGGAGGCATGGAAGGTGCGTGGGAACTTTGATCACGTGATACAGGTTGACCCTCAAAAATTTGCAGTCAACGGTCAAACGCGCCGACGACACTCACGAGTTCTGTACGTCGTATCTCATCATGTACGCCTCTGCTTTTCACTCAACGACTGCTCAGACCGGTGATCCTCTGGGGCTTTGTCGATATGTGTGAGTATCTCACCGTCGTCATGCCGCTTATTTTCGTTGACGTTTGCCTGCAGTATTACTTGTACATCACGCTCGCAATACGCATATAATCCCGTCGCCATCTTCCAGAGTTCCACTGAGAGAAAATGGCCTCGTTGTGGCCTTCCTTGAACGCTCTATCTCACTTTGGTGTCGCGACCTCGTCTTCCCTACGGCGCGATGCTCATTCTTCAGAGCGAGATTGACTGTCCCGTTTCTTTATTTTGCCCCCTTCGTCCTATATATACGACGGAGGAGGTTCACACGCGGGGCAAATGCCCTCTATGAAAGGACTGATGTAACATCTTTTAGATGGGTAGGAGGATGTAAAACATTAGGTGAGTTGTCCTTTCTACTACACATTTCGAACTAACGGAAACCAAGGCCTTTTTATGCAATATATGCGTGATCAACTCAATCACTGTCTGTGTTTCCTCTCGCTAGTCCGGTCTTTTCATCTAGCGTCGCTCTCCAACACTCTGGTCGGCGATGTGTAACCCTTCGCGCCGTCCTCATTTTATGGGAGCTAAATTGATATTGTATTCCGCCACATGATAGCGAGACGTTTCTGATCATTGGGACGTTCCGAGTTGCCCGTGGAGGACAGCCGTTTACATGTACCATGTACAATCGTTGCATAGGCACCAACAATATGAACCCTCATGCATAGCGCTTTCCTGTCCATGAACGAATCAACATGACTACGGCGACGCCACGCCGTTGTGTTATACTACGGGCCGGCTATGCAAGTGGATGATATTCAGGATCAAGCTGCCGCCGTCTCGCTGAAGGTACCCGCAAAATCTGTCAGCTTGGCCCAGGAAGTAATTACACATGCATGTCTGTGACTGACCTCGCGCTCTGCTCATTTCTTGCCCGGCTGACCGAGCTCGCTGGCGCGTTCCGTGGCGACTTGAATCGCCCTCGCGATGGTCGACCTGACTTTTCCGTCTTCGAGCGTCAGCAAGCCCGCAATGGTGCAGCCTCCGGGAGCTAGTAGACCAGATCATTCGCATCGCGAACAAAGGGTTGAGCACGCATCGGCACCCACTGGTCACAGCGTCCTTGATCTGAGCCGGATGAGCACCTGGTTGGAGCGACATGCGAGCAGCGCCCTGCAAAGCTGTACATCGGTCAGTATGGGAACACCGTTGAGTGGGGTATGTTGGCAGGCGTACTCTGCGCCGCGAGCTCTAGAGCTTCCGCGCGAGGGAGGCCCATCATGACGCCGCCGTCCGCCATCGCCTCCAGGAAGATGCAGGCGAACGCAGGTCCGGAGCCGGATAGCGCGGTGCACGCGTCGAAGTGCTTCTCCTCCAGGAAGCGGCAGCGGCCGATGGACGAGAATATCTTAAGGATGATCTCCCGGTCGATCTCGCTATCTGCCGTCGCGGGGAGGGTGCTGACGACGGTCATACCCTCTCGAATCTAGCGGAGGAACACAGTAAGCAAAGGTCTTAAAATAGACCCATGATTAAGGGTCTTACTTTGCACGGTGTATTGGGCATGGCCCGGATGACCTTCGTCGAGGGCAAGACCCAGGCCAGCATTTGGGAGATGGTAACGCCGGCGAGGATGCTGATCAGGAGCTTGCCGTCCAGCGCCTCTTTCATACCCTCTTCGCAAAGGATCGACTGCGCCATTTGTGGCTTGCAACTGAACAAGGCAGGGACCATTACACAGTGTCCGCGGGACGATGCCAAGCAAGGAGCTCACCATAAGAGCACGACATCCGCTTGTTTCGCGGCCGCGACGTTATCGTCTGTGATGACCTCCACCGCTCGTCCGAGCTGACCCAAGGACCCAAACACCGTCTTCAGCTCGTTCGCGGTCTCCGGCCGCTTCACGCATGCGAGGTACCGCGAGGGCAGCGATGCCTCCAGAGCGTCAAGCGGTGTCGGGGTATGCAGAGGCGTCAGAGTACTGGGCGTATGCGACTCCCATTTTGGTTCGCCCTTGGTCCGTGTAACGGATTGCAGACTGTCCACGACGCCGGAGAGGATGGCGATGCCCATCGTGCCGCACCCTGATCACACGGGAGATGAGATGTATCGCAGAAGTATGAAGCGATCCTTGGACCTAGCACGCATAATGTGTAGCCCATCGCCAGGTGATACTCGGACTAGCAGTAAAGGGAGACAATCGCAAGTGCTGCATCTTGCGATTGACTCGAGTTGCTGAAGGAGCAGAACATTTCCCGGGCAGCACGGTCACGGCCGAGCATTGCCGACGACGTCCACGCAGGTCCACTGTACTTAAGTAGCTCTTGCACGGACCATGAAAACATAGGCGTGTTTCTCAACCTCGTATTTGGCCAGCTACTAGAGCTGCTTGGAAGGGCTCCATTGGACATCATGACGTGAAGCTTCCCTCGGCCCTGCAACTTGATGCCTCCTGATGGACAAACCGCCCAGCGCACGTAACTCGGTGCGGCGGTAAACCCAATGCACCCCAAGTAACAGAGAGATAGTACAGACAGTCGGTACGCCCCTTCCTCGATTAAGCGCGAAGGTCAACAAAAAAGGACGTCAGATACTGGCACAATGGGTACCTCATAACGGCCCTCTGCACTACTTCTCCTCCTTCACCCTTCCTCAAGGCTCGAGCTCCTTGCTCATTGGGAGACACGGCCGTGCTCGGGATGGTGCTCCACGCGACCCCCGCACACAGCTATGCTCAGACTTGACAGACGCTCGTGACTTAAGGCGAACCACGTAGTGACATGACATCGTCCATCAAAGAGTCAAACACAACTGAGAGTTAACCTCTTCGGGACATACCGCTTTTCCTGAACAGCCCGCGGTCCCTTACAAACCGTCGATGGATTTCAAAACGTGGTCCAACTATTGCGCTGTCGCAACCTCCTCCTGATGCACCCACATCCCGTGGGACAAACGAAACCCCACTTTACTCAGCTGAACCTTCGCGTTGGTCATCTTATCCGGTTTTCATGATGGCGCACCCCGGATTCAGCTCCTTACTACTATGAACTGATTGGCATATATATCCCGGGAACGTGCTTCCCGATGCAAGAGCCCACATCAACATGTCACCATCCATCCCGAGAACGATGCGCGCGTTGGTCACCGCCGAAGGTCACACCGCGGTGGTGAAGGAGATCCCGACCCCGACAGCTGACTACGGCGAGATCCTGGTCAAGGTCGTCGCCGCCGCGCAGAATCCGGCGGACTGGAAGCACGTCGGGTGGTCTACGCAGCCCGACCTTATCGTCGGCTGCGACTTCGCCGGAGACGTGGTCGAGGTAGCCGAGGGTGCGGAAGGGTTTCGCGTCGGAGACCGGGTCGCTGGATTTGTTTACGGCTCGCAGTACAAGGACCGGGGCGCGTTCGCGGAGTACGTGAAGAACGACTGTGCGCTCTCGTGGCATGTACCGGACGGGGTCTCGTACGAAGAGGCGGCCACCATGAGTGTCGGGCGAGTCGGCCTCTCTCTTTACTCCCGCCGATGCGCTGGGCTGACGGTCGTCGATGATATCTTCCTGAAGGTTCTTCACGGCCGCGCAGACCATGTTCCATCCCAAGAACCTGGGGCTGGTCGGCTATCCGGACAAATGGACGGGTTCCTCGGATCCGGAGGGGAACGCGGCGGCGCCGTGGGTCCTGGTGTTCTCCGGGGCGACGTCGGTGGGCATGTATGCGATCCAGCTCGCGCACCTCGCCGGCTACCGCGTCGTGACGACGGCCTCGCCCAAGAACGTGGAGCTCGTGAAGGCGCTCGGCGCCGATGTCGTAGTCGACTACCGCGATCCCGAGGTGTCGCGGAAGGTGCGCGAAGCCACGAACGGCGAGCTTCATCTCGGGTTGGACACGTTCGCGTCGGCGGAGACGCAGGAGGCGTCGGTCAGGGCCTTTGGTCCCGGGCGGGGTAAACTGATCGCGATCCTGCCGGTGCAGGAGAGCGCGAGGGCGATCAGGGAGGACGTGGAGATCAAGGGTCAGTGCGCTGCTCCGTGTTCGCCACAGACGAACGGCGATTCGCTGACTCGCGCTTCGCAGGCACCATGTTGTACACGGCCAGCCGTCTCCCGCAGTCCGGGCCTACCTCTATGGGCGGGCAGTTGCCCGCTGCATCCGAGGATCACCGGCAGGTGGCGGATTGGATGCCGAAGATCACGGAATTGGTGAGTGGAAGTGTTCATGATTGTCTATCTCTGGAGCCTGAGCGCTGACGTTCTTCGGCAGCTGCAGAAAGGACTGGTCAAGCCCAACCCGGTCAAGCTCTGGCCTGGAGGTCTGGACGCGGTCGTGGAGGGTTTCGAGTATATGAAGAGCGGGAGACTGAGCGCGGAGAAGATCGTGTACCGGGTTTGAATAACGGGTCTGCAGAAATAGATCATCGTCCTTTATGGTGCCCCTCGCCCAATAGCTACAGTTGATGCGAATCGCGGGCGACATGGATGGATGCTGACCCCGAGCGGGCGACGGTGGCGATATATGTTATAGCCACAGGGCATCCCATGTCTTATAGGGGGACAATCGCAAGCCAGGATCTGTACCTACGGCCTAATCTCCCATGCGAATTGGCAGGATCCATCTGGGAAATCTCGCCGGCAGTCCCACGGGCGCTTATTGCGGTACGATACGATAACAGCGCGCAAGCTGACATGCACCCACTGATCGGCCGGGCTCTGCTACCATACCCGGTCCCCGTCTGATTGTACATATCCTCACTCCGTAGATCTCCGCTTTCAACCCAGATCCCCCAGCATCGGCCTCGCCGCTCATCCACTCGACGTTGTCCTCTCCGAGTCTCCGCTCGCTGCCATGTCCGCCGACACCGACCCTTCCCACTCGGCCCGCGCACTCGCCGACGTGCTCGACCAGCAAAGCCAACGCGCCGACGCCGAGGACTGGCCGGCGGTCGAGCGCGCCGCGCAGGGCCTTGCGAACGCGCTGCGGGTGAGGGACGACAAGGGTACGCCTGTTCGGATTCTTCCTTGCCTGCACGCCTTCGCCTCGGATCTAGCCGTGACAGACAGTCCCGTACTCATCCCCAACCCCCCGTCGCGCAGACATCCACTCCCAGCTCGGCAAGGGCACCGTCCCCCAGAGCCTGACCGCCCTCCTCAAACGCGCCACCGAGCATTCCATCGACGACGACGCGCCCCGCGCCCTCGCCGCTTACGAGCTCCTGCGCGTCGGGGCGAATCTCTGCGTAGACCATGGTGCGCGGTGCACGCACGTCGTCTCCGCGAGCCTCATCCTCACATATACCGCGACCTTGTCTACAGATGCGAACAGGGAAGCCCTGCTCGAGGCAGGCTTCGTGCGCGCCGTTCTGTCCCTGCTCGAGCGCGACGCCGAAAACATCTCCTTCGCGCAAGGCACGCCCCTCCCGCTCTCCATCTCGCACCTCAAAGTCGTCAAGACCGCCATCGGCGTCTTGCTAAACGCCAGCGTCGGTTACGGTTCGTTCACCTGTCACCGCCTTCGCGTTTCTGATTTGCATGCTCACTCTGGCGTTCGTGCCCACCAGACCCCGTCAGATTTCGCCTCGTCTCCCTCGAAGCAGCGACCACCGTCCTCCGCATATCCAACGCCATCTACCCTCCAGGCGCCTGGCTCACCTCCTCTCTCACCTTACCGTCTTCACCCTCCGCTGATCCAGATCCCGCCCTTCTTGCCGAATCCTGGACCCTCCGCTCCGGCCTCTCCGCCTGGTCTTGGCGGCTACTCTCCGAGCTCAAGGACGACGTCGACGCTGGAGAGGACCGCCCCGCCGTCTCGCCCACCGCACAGACACTCCTCGGGCCCGACGCGCTCCCTGCGCTCACGCGGCCCCTGCGCGCCTACATCCCTCCGTTCCCCGCCGTTCCACCCTCGCTCGACGCGAGCACGCGCCGCGCACTCGTCCAGGCCGACTTTGACGCGCTCGAGGAGGTCAGCATGCTCCTCGAGTCGCTCTGCCTCGACGTCGAGGACGTCCGGCTCGCACTCGCTCGCGGGCTCTCCTCCCCGGCGGAACACGACGGCGTCCCGTGCCTCGCCGACGTCCTCGCCTTCATCGAGCGCGGGGACTACCACCCGCTCTGGGCCTCCACCCTCATCCTCTCCCCGTCCTCCTCATCCTCCCCGTCCTCCTCCTCCTCCCTCGCGTCCTCGTCGCCAGAACCCGAGAAGCTGCAGCGCATGAAGCGGCAGTTCGACATGTGCAAGGCGGCGCTGATCAAGGCCGTCGTCGAGGTCGCGGGCGAGGACCAAAACGCGGAAGTGCTCTGGGAAGACGACGCGCCGGACGGCGGCGCGTTCGTCGGCGCGCTCGCACGCTGGATAAGCGAGCTCCCCGAGCGCGAGGACCTCGTGATCTGCGCGACGCTCGCGCTCGGCAACCTCGTCCGCCGCGGCGCGCACGCCGCCGTCGTCGCGCGCCTGGCTCCCCAGCTCGTGCGCTTCCTGGAGCCGGCCGTGGACGTGAAGGTGAAGCACGGCGTGTTCGGGCTGCTGAAGAACCTCGCGGTGCAGGAGCGGAATCGGGCCGCGTTGATGGAGGCGGGCGTGGTGCGGGCCGCGGCGAGGAGCGAGGTGTGGAGCGAGCGGTGCGATATGGCGGAGGTCGTGCAGGGGAGCGCGATCGGCCTCGTGAAGCATATGTGTAACGGGAACGGTGAGGGTGTCCTGGATATGGCTGTCGCGACTGTGTGCGGTACTGAGCCCGTTTTTTCCCCTTTCTTTTCTTTCCAAAGTGGACGCGGCGTTCGCGTTCGTGTTGCCCGAGTCGGCCGCGTCGATGACGGGGCTCGAGCAGGTCCTCGCGCTCACCCAGCGCTCGGACACGGTCGCGATCAAGTCCGAGGGCACGCGCGTGCTCGTGAACGTGGTCAAATCTCTCTGGGCGTCCGACGCTGGCGCGCACGGCGAGCGGCGTCAGGCGGCGATGAAGGCGGTGGTCACGGCGCCGTGCGCGACGGCGCTTGCGCGGCTCGTCGGCCGGAGCAGGAAATACCCGACGCTCGTGAACGAAGGCGTCGTCGCGCTCAGTCTGCTGAGCACGCACGCAGAGGGCGGTGCGTGTTCCCCCTTTTGTTTTTCTTTTTTTGAAAACCATCTCCCGCTCGTGCCGACTGAGGGGATAACGTGGCTGATATTTCGTAGGACCGATCGTGCTCGACGCGATCACCGCGCCGCTGCCTCGCGAGGCGGGCGGGCACGGGCACGGAGCGCGCAGCGCCGCGTCGTCCGTGCCCGCATCCGCGACGAGCGAGTTTGCGGCGAGTCCGACCGCGGGCCCGCCGACGGCGCTCGGCACACTCGTCGCCGTGCTCAACAACCCGGACAAGCGGTTTGCGCCCGAGATCCGCGCGAACGTGTGCGCGCTGCTGGCCCAGGTCGGCCGGCGCGGGGCGGGCGCGGATGCGGCGGACGCGGAGCGCGCGAGAGAGCTGGCGAGGGTGAAGGAGGCGGTGGGGGAGGCGGTGCGGGCCGCGGCGGAGGAGGGGAGCAAAAGTATGGTGGGCGCTGCGGCGAAGAGGGTGTTGGAGGCATGGGGACAGTAGCTGAGGTACAAACTCGAAATGGTTCCGAGGCTTGGTTGCGTGAAGATGAAGTAGAGGCTTGTTGGTTCGTGCTCTGTAGTGTATTCGTTCTTCGTTACATCTGGATTTGGTTGTTGTACTAGGCTAAAGATAGAAAAATCGGTAATGCACGAGGAGATCTACCATTTCCGAGACTATCTGAATCATCGCTGGAGTACATAACATATTGTCAGACCCATTGCCGAGTGCCGATCAGTCACAGATATCTGTCAGATCGTGAGGCAGGATGTCGTCTTTAGTTGATTTTGACTTGGAGGTGTGTAATCACCGAGCCCCTGAGTGCTCATCGTCCTTAGGAGGAACAACCGTGGTACGAACCGTGAACGAATCTGTATCTATACCGCCCAAAGTGAGTAGCAACAAGCATACCTTCTACTGGATATAAGTCCTCCCTGACAACGTGCACGCGTATCGTCCTTTGTACAGGGGAAGCGAGTTGTCCCGAAGGGGTTAACCCCCGGTGCGTGTCATTTCATGAGACCGTGGCTGATCAGTGAATCGTATTATAGTAAGGGTCCGAGAATAAGTAGCCTATCTGTACGAAATGCGTATCGTGTCGTGCCAATCACGACCGTGTCTCCTGATGCGCAACGAGCTCAAGGGATGATGATATGCTGCAGAGGACCACTGTGGGGCGTCGAAGGAACCTTGTTTCACTCGGTGAGGTTGCCAGAGCATCTGTGGTTCAGATAGAAGAGACAGTAACGATGCAGACATGCATTCCCCACTGCAAATACGTGCTGATGAAGTGGTCGTCTGCGAAGTAACGGTGTAACGGCACGTGGCTGCGCCGGCGCTTGGCCGATGCGGGACACTGCAGCCGCAGCGGCGCAGCCAGAACCCGCTTCTGCACAGGCAAACGACGTCTGATCCATGGCCGGGTTTGAGCCATCGTCCTTCGACGGCTCCCTCAGTGTCATTTCGGTGCGCCCACCTTCGCAATCGAGTCGTCCGCGTTATCGCTCAACGGAGTCTCAGTCAGAAGATATGGTAGAGATTAAGCACGTCCCCGAAGATCGGTCTGAGCCGCACTCGCCCGGCAATGGTCATGCGACGGAGGAGAGTCGACATCGTCTCGTGTTCAGCAAATCCAAGGTGTACGTTCATCCGACCGCGTATGCGCGGGATAACATACCAGGTTTCGTTACGTTGGTCAAGAGGGTATGTGTACCTTCCCCAAGGTTGTCCATGATTTGCATGACTAACCTGTGGACAACAGGAAGCTATTAACCCTACGTGTCTTCTAGCGTGGATACCAGAAAGCCTCCTGAATGAGAAAGGCAAAAGTGAATGGGATAAATTTGTCAAGATTGAAGAGAAGGCCTCGCTCGACGACGAGGAAGACGGTACGCGTACCTCATGCTGCGGTAGACCGATCGTGACTTATAGGCGGTTCACAGATGCGGTATTGATTGAACTCCCTACGCGTCCCGAATCATACGCGTTCTCCGTACCGCTCACGTCCATCTACTCCCTCATCGTCCACCCGCCAAATCTGACGTCATGGTGTAAGCGCCCGGCCTTCTACGCTCGTCGGCCCAGCTAACCGCATCCATGTGTGCACAGATGGATCCATCGGTATTAACCTCATCAACGGTTCGACGATGCCCACTCTCTACTTCCACGACGACGAGTCGCGCTCGTTCACGCTCCCCGCCGCGTCCCCGCCGCCCGCGCGCCGCAACTCCGTCTCCTACCCTCCACCACCGTCGCAGCCGCCCGTCTCGACCTGGGGTGGTGACGACCTCCTCGCGCGCCTGCGCAGCTACGCGCACCTCCTGCGCTCGACGCTCGACCCGTCGCTCTACCTCGTCGACCCGTCCAAAGCCGACATCGAAGCGCACTCCACGCAGCTCTTCGACGACGACGCCGTCGACGCCATCCTCGCCCAATCCTCCTACGCTCATGCGCACTCGCCCATCCCCGCACACCGCCGCCCGCGCCCGCTCTCTTCCCCACCCGCCTCGCGCGCCTCCGTCCTACACCGCTCCCTCCCACCCGCCTCCTCTTCCCCACCCTCCTCTTCTTCCTCCGCCACCGCCACCGCCTCGCCCAGCCAAGCCCGCCTCGCGCTCCTGCAGTCCTTCTCCTCCATCACACGCGCCACGCGCCACGCGGCCCAGAACATCCTCTCGCACCCGCTCGCCAAGCCGATCGTGCCGCACCTGCCCGACCCCGTGCGCTCGCTCGTGCACGCCCCGGGCGAGTGGTCGTCCTGGGTCGAGAAGGGCGGCGTCGGCGAGTTCGAGAGCGCCCGCGTCTACCTCGCGCGCTGGGCTCGCATCGTCGCAGAGGAGGGCGAGCGCGCGCGCCGCCGCGAAGCGCAGGCCATCCCGTCCTCCTCCGCCCCTGGTGACGGGGACGGGGAGGAGGCCTCTTCCCTAGGCGTGTTCGAGCTCCTGCACCGCACCGCGAATCTGCCGACGCCCAAGACGTCGCGCGATCCGAAGCGGCCTGTGAACGAGATGGACTACGAGCGCTGGTTTGGTGCGGATGGAAGGCCGACGGTGCGCGTGGAGGAGATGAGAAGGGAGGTGTTCCGTCGCGGGATCGCGCCGCAGGGGACGTTAAGGAAGCGACTGTGGCCTTTCGTGCTCGGCGTGCATGAGTGGGACGTGACGTCGCAGGAGCGCGAGAAGAAGTGGGACGAGAAACGGTGAGGAGAAGCAGGTCGGATTGGGCAACGTGCTGCGTTTCGCTAACGCGACGTGACTGTAGGGCCCGGTACAGGCAACTGAAGAGTCAATGGTGCGGCGTTTCGGAGGTGTTCGATAGACCTGATGTGGTCGAGGTATGTGCAGCAACTTATCTTCATGTCCGGCGAGGTGTGTCTAATGCCATCATACTCTCAGGAACGGCATCGAATAGATGTCGATTGCCGTCGCACGGACCGCACCCAGCCGCTCTTCGCCGCCGTGCCGGAGAGACCCGCTAACTCCCGGAACTCGAGCTCGAGCTCGTCGGCAGCAGGAGAACACCAGCGCTACTCGACCATGTCTCCACATGACGCCAATGTCGGGGCGCAGGCGCCAACGAACGAGCATATCGAGCGGCTCGCCGCCATCTTGCTCACCTATAATTTCTACGAGAAGGAGCTCGGTGAGTACCTTATCAGATACTCAGTCATCGGGACAGCGCAGTTCATAGCGTGTGTTTTTGTATTGTCTTTGGCTGACTTGAAGGGTTCGAAGGTTATGTGCAAGGAATGTCGGATCTATGCGCGCCAATATACATCGTGATGGGTACGGACGAAGAGCTTACGTTCTGGTGCTTCGTAGAGGTTATGAACCGGATGGTGAGTTTACTCCCACAGCTTCATGAAGCAGCGGAACGGACGTTGACTCGAGGTCGGTCTAGAAACGGAACTTCTTGCGGGATCAAAGCGGAATGAAGCAGCAGTTGTCGACATTGCAGCAATTGATAGCCGTCATGGATCCCGAGTTGTACAGACATCTGGGTACGTGCGCATATACTCCGACAAAGGCATTGGCGAGGCTCACATCTCTGTTCAGAAAAAACTGACGCCCTGAATCTGTTCTTCTGCTTCCGGTTTGTCTCATAACCAACATTACACGGCACATACGCTTACAGCGATGTCGTAGGTGGATCCTGATCACTTTCAAGCGCGAGTTCCCGTTCGAAGACGTCTTGCGCCTCTGGGAGGTACTGTGGACAGATTACTACTCCAATGAGTTCGTTCTATTCGTCGCCCTCGCCGTCCTTGAGTCGCACCGCGACGTGATCCTGCGCTACTTGGTCGAGGTTCGTCTCCCACTCATGCTCTTGTTACCGTTGGCTTAGTTGTCGACCGCAGTTCGACGAGATCCTCAAGTACTGCAACGAGCTCAGCATGACCATCGAGCTCGAGAGCACGCTTGCCCAAGCTGAGGTCCTGTTCCTCTCGTACGCTCAACTCGTGGCCGACATCGACCGTCGGCGAGCGGAGTCGAACGCGGCGAATCCGGTGGCAGATGTCCGGCGACGGGGATCGGTCAAGGTGGCAGCAGCGTTCGGCGCTGATCCGACAGTCGCGGCTCAGCCGAAAATGCCGGATATCAGTCCGGAGCTGAGGAACTTGCTGCACGCTGGCCGGTAAAACACGACCGCGATGCTAGAGCGTATATCTTGTCGTCGAAGCGATTGTACTATACCCGCACATGTCTTGTATCTTGTACGCCATGTAGATGTATCCATAATCACACACGATTGCACGTTTTCCTGATTCTACTTCCTGTGTGCGGGTGCACAAGGGTGCGCGAATGGATGTATAGGGCAAATGCTAGAGGATACAGGACTGCTGGTGCGGCAGGCGCAGGTCAATCATTTTTGGTACGACCAGACGTTCCGCAGTACTATGGGCGCCGCAGCGCATCAGTAACGTATGAACGGATCATACTGTCTGGATGCTCACATCCCGCCTTGGTCGCCAACCTGTTGAGCGAGTCGTCGCTCTCGCCCTGGGACCGAACCTGGCCGCAGAGCGCGAAGGTAGTAGCAGTCGGGAGGGCGCGGCCGTTCTCGTCGACGTCAGCGATGCTGATCTGGACGGACGCGTGGTCCTTGGATGTGATGAGACGGTCTAGGCGAAGCGAGGGATGTGAGCGTTCAATTCCAATTGGCGTATTGTATGCTGAGGCTGATTGACGTACTAGTCGCCGCGCACTTGCGGGGGACGTAGAGGTCGACGAGCACACCCTATGGCATCAAACGTGTTATTTTGCGGCTCAATAGGTCATCTAGAACGAGCAGCGCGGACCTGATCGTTCTCCATGGCGTTGAAAGTTGTTGATTGAGGGAGGGCGGAAGGAGGAGGAACGTGGGAATGCTGTATAGCTGCTGATCGGGAGGCTTCTCAAGTCCACTCCTCACTACTCTGTCGTTGTTTTCTTTGTACGCGTTATGGCATTACGACCCGTTTTATTTACAGAAGAAACCTCAGGAATTTGAAATGCTTCTGTTGTACAGTATATGCTGAACGGCGGGCGAAGCGCTGGGAGTCGCACACTATCGCCCGGCATGTACACCCGTTCCCTCTTCCCCATCTTTCCAGACCGAGTTAAAGTGGCTGGTATTTCCCGGACCCGTTCTGAGAACTGTACCCTCGGGACCGGGGAGCTCTTCGCTACTCGCGTCGTCTCGGGCCACATACGGCAATCCAGCGTCTTGGTCAGGAGATATGCCCGTGAACGGGCGGTCAGAATGGGAACCTGAGGATCTGTGGTGCGTATGAGTGGGTAAGTCGAGGTCCTCCTCCCTGCGGATGCGGGGAGAGTAAGGACGGTGAGACAAAGCAGAGGTTAAGGACGGATAATATTGGCTGGGGAAGCGTTCAACCGAGATCCTGTGATAGCGTGTTGTAGTGCAACATACCGGTAGCTGAAGTACGCCATCGCTAGCCCAAGCGCGGACCCAACAAGCACATCCTGCCAGTGATCTACGTATTGCAGTTAAATCGAGCAGTTGACCGATATGAAGAAGAGACTGCACGGACGGCGATAGTCCATCGTCCGGGATATCGCCACGAGAGTTGCACCAGAAAGTGGAGTTAGAGAGAGCCACGCTTTTCCCTATTCGCACATCTATTCAGCTAGGTCCCAGCGAAGAGGCGCAACACGTACAGCATGTCCACGTCGATCAAAGAGGTGCAGTTTGCCCGCGAGGTAAAAGCTCAGGAAGCCCAAACCGGCGAAGGACACTGGGTCACAGTCAGACCCAAATGCACCAAAGATAACGATCGACTGACGGCTGGAGTGTCCGCTAGGGAAACTGCGGAAACCATCTTTGAGTATAGCAATGTCCGTTTGTGTGCATATCTTGAAGGTCGAGAGGCCGAACCGAGGATCTTGGGATCCTGCTGCGGGTATGCAGCGGGAGATCACGTCTACAACCACTGTGTTAATCAGAGGAACTCGAACAGCGCAGGAATCGTACCTGGACGAGGCCGTCCTACCGTAACCTTGGCAAATTGGGTAATGGAGCCTGCGAGGGCAAGTCCAAGGAGTACTGTGTGTTTGGTAAGGATACCGAAAGGGCTCTCTCCTCGTCGCGCTACAAGGGGACGTACGGCCAAGGAATGAGTTATGGAAGTCCCACCAGGACCGGATGGACAGGAAGTTGATGCCAATCTGTAGGATCAACGGCGCGAAGAAGGCAATGATATACAATGCCCAGTCCTAAGCGTATTCCATCAGGCGACGCTCGGTTCGGGATAGACAAAGGACTTACAGGGACACGTTCATGGACGGCATAGCTACAATCTTGTCAGCACAGAACATATATGAGGGCGGAGAGCCTGAGCATGCTCACGGGTGTCTGAGTGACGTGTCTTCTAGACTGAACTCGCGTTTGAAACCAGGTACCCAGTCAAGGGCAAAGAATGCGGCACTAGAGAGGTATTCTGAGGTCAAGCGAGCCACGTAATGCATGAAGTGCGGGATGTGTACGCGAGAACTATGGTTATAATCCTATTGATCCTCATTATAATTTATTCGTGCAATCGCTCATAGAAATAGCGATTCTCACCAATCTGGTGCATAAGACCTTAAGAGCCGCATGCGTTGCTTGGCATCCATGGGCGGTTTCCGTCGACGCTCCTGTGCGTAGCTCATACGGTGGTCGCGAACGTCGTCGCGGGTCGTTAGAGGAATGTCGTCCGTTGAGTCGTGCAGTCGGGCGTATGGCATAGAAGGTCAGGAGCGGTTGAACAAGTGGGAGAAATGACACATGTCTTAGCCCACTGTCCCAGCTTATAGAACTGCAGTAACAGGCCTGGTGTCGGAGTCCGGGTACTCGTCCGGATCGGTGGGCGGCACAGCTATGCGATGTCCCTTTCGCGGTATCCTCTCACAATACCATGACCACCCCAAACGCGTACCCAATCTCTGCGAACTTCGAATGGCTCCCCGGTATGCGGCCTGGGGACGTCAGCTCGATGACGACTGACTAACAGTGTCCTTGAGTTCGCAGAATACGACGCGCTGCTTGACCAGATCGCGACCACGGATGTAATCGAGTATGTAGAGCCCGTCTCCGATGCCCAGTCGACTGAAAAACCGATCGTGCAGCTCAGAATGGTCGCGGCTACGAGATATCATCAAGCACAAATTGAACCAAGTATGTATACCCCCTTAACCCGACAGTGGATGCTGCTGAGATGTGCGCAGAACATCGCCATGTTTCTGGCTGAACAAAACGACAACACAGCTACACCGCCGACGCCATGGACTGCGCGAGTCTCGACGCCCGGTGGTATGAAGCTTCCTCCGTTCCCTGCGAGAGAGCGGAACGAGCAGAATCCCAATGAAGCGCCGAAGAGCAAGCTAACGGAGGAGGAAGCCAATGATGCGAAGAAGTATATTTTTGCCCAGCTACATGAGTTCGAGGGGTAAGGAGCTCCTTTCCTTGGATATATGCGAGCGGTATATCTGATCACGCTCGTCGCTTCACCCAGAGCGCCCCCGTTTACAATACAACGCGTCTGCGAGCTCTGCATCCGTCCGAAACAGCACTACAAACGCATCGGAAAATACCTTCGTGCCTTCGAAAAGTCTCTCCTCGTTACCTCAACCTGGGACGCGTTCCCCGTCCCACCCGAATCCGATACGAACAAAGACTCGACCAAAGCGCCGGCTGAGCCGTCCTTCTTCCCTAGTCGCGACTCCTCCGTGCCCAGCACGCCCCTGTTCTCGCCGATCCCTTTCCTCCATGACGATGCGCGTCGCTCCAAGTCGCGCAGTCCACCTCCGTTCGTGCTTGACGCTGTCGAGGACAAGACGGGTGAGCCGCCCTTGCCGGCGCAGAACGAGAATCATGGATTGGAGCCGCGTGCGCTGGGCCTTGTGGACGAACTAGACGACCCTGCACCCGGACATATGAGCGATCATCCAACGGCGTTGACGACGACGACGACGGTTGGCCTAGAATCCGGAGCGAAGCCGCTATTTGCCACTCTTGAGGAGCGTTTCGTCAAGTCAGAAATCGAAGCCCCGCAGCCGTCGACGGACCCAACACAACAGACAGGGCAAAGCTCGGAAGATCAAGATGCAATGGATCTGGATGCGGACAACGAGGACAAGGAAAACAAAGCCTGAGATGCCCCCAGTGAGCATAGATACTGTCAAGTATGATCCCTCTTTATTTTCTCTAACATCGCATTCATGCGTAGTCGCATATCTGGCTGGCCTTTCCGCCCGCCTCTGTCACTACGCTCCGCGCCTCCTCCGCGCCCTCCTCCGCCTCGTCCTCGTCCTCGTCCTCGTCCTCGCCCACCACTACCACCTCTGCCGCTCGTAGAGGCAGCGGGTCCACCGCGACCGCGTCCGCGTCCGTGTCGATGTAACGGATCCGACTTGTACGAGTGTAATGAAGACCGAGAGTAAGCTTGCTTGCTTAGTTCCCTTAATGATGGCGTTTCTTTGGTATCTCCTTCAGGCCCCCCCGCTTTGTCACCAGACCTTCGAGCAGCCGAGGTCGCTGGACTAGGAGCCTCGTCGTTCTCGGACTGATCGTCCTCAGATTCACTCCCAGCACCGGGTTCCTCTTCTGGATCCGGTTCGCTTGCGTGATCGCCAATAACTGTTTTGCCTTGGTTGATCTTCGGCTCATCTCCGCTATCTTCCTCCACTGCTTCGCCCCCTTCTGGCCGGGCTATGCAAGGCAATGAAGTGGCGAGACCCTCTTTCCGTTTCTGTGCTCTCCACTTGCTCTTGATCTTTTGTTTCTCGATCCATTCTTTTTTCAGCTTCTTTGCTGCACAATTTGAGGATGATTCAGCAATCAGCGAGTATAGTATGAAGTTTTACGTACCTCTGTGTGGTGGGAGATGTTGAAATGTGGGGGGTTGTTTCCTCTTCCGAGATTCGTGTTCCCCTGGTCCCGCCATGACCAAGACTAAGCGTGAAGATCGAGATTCAGACCAGACAGCGAGCTTTTTCCAGCCGCTGAATAGCTTTGGTCGATGCGAGTCAAGATCCAGCCGAAGGCGGTGAATGCGGGAGGCAGGACCAGACGGTCGTAAAAGGCAAAGATTGAGGTCACCGATTCACACATCGGCTTTCTCAGCGCCCTCTTGCCTCTTGACCTCGTTCAACCCCCACTCAGTCTCTGCCCTCGTCCCATCACTTGTACCTTTACACTTTCCCTTCATTCGCATGAGCGTGCAGAATCTCAACACTTTCGGTGAGTGCCTGTCGTGGTTCATCTCGTTCGCTGTTGGGTTATCGCCCGCGGCGATTAGGCGTTGGTGTTGAACCTGGAGCTGATGCGCCCGTGCAGACCCCTTTGCAGACGAGGGTGATCCTCTCGGCGGTCAGCAAGACGTCGGATCTCAACAGAACTACATCCACGTCCGTATTCAACAGAGGAATGGACGCAAGACTCTGACAACCCTCCAAGGCTTGCCGAAGGGTGCGTAGTGCGCACCTGATACACTGCTGGTTGATGACTCACAACATCGTTGCTTCCAGAATACGACCCCAAGAAGCTTCTGAAAGCGTTCAAGAAGGTACTTGGCGATGCTCGATGTAGCCTCTGCGGAGCCACATCTCAATATATTATCAATTTAGGAATTCGCCTGCAATGGCACACTCGTCGAGGACGAGGAGATGGGTCAGGTCATCCAGCTTCAAGGAGACCAACGCGCAAAGATCTCGACCTTCCTCACTGAGGAGGGCATCCCGCGCGGCAGCATCAAGGTGCACGGTTTCTGATCCGTCCATCGGATCATGCTCTGTGCACGCCAAGTCATCTTCTGCACCAATCCACCAATATCAGCGGACAGCCATTACTACGTATGATTGTTCACTAGAAGGCTCTCATGATCTATCGTTCGTTAGACTGCTTCTTTCTCGTCTTCGGCCCATGTACACATTAGTAACGAAGCGTTCGAGATATCTTGACGGTGGAATCCTCATACGAGACACCGCGTATCGCTCAATATTTCACACCGATTGATAGACGTTGCGCAAAGTACCCGTCACCATAGACAGCTAACCTCGAGCGTTTTGTGGGTCGGAATGCGGACATCGATTTGAGGGTCTGCCACCTGCTAATCGGGCACATAGTAGCCATCGTGTGGATAACAAGAGTTCGTAACTTAACTAGCGACAGGCCGGGGCATATCATGATATCTTCGTGTAGGCGAGCTTGGAAAGAGGAACAAGTCATAAAAAGCCGCGTCCGGACTACTTGATCTTGTCGAGGGGCCTGTGAGGAATCGTTAGTGGACGGAAGGGGCTGCCATGTGGAACATAATGCGAACCTGTTGAAACCTCCGCGACTGCACACACATGTCAGTGTCACTGGCTCGTGGATCATGAGAGACACGGGCACGAACCGATTCATGTATTGTCGCCAAGTACGCATCTTCTTGATGTCGACGGCACCTTCCTGGTTGCCTTCGACGTGTTTACCCTACAGGGGGTGGACACGCTCAGTCTTCACACCAGCAAGCAGGAAGGAACACCATTACCTTGGTAGTCCCGAATCCCGTGAGCCCCATGGCTGCCATCATCGCCTCTTCGTCGTCGTTCGTGGCGTCCATCGCTTCGCCTTCCTCGCCCTCTTCTGCGCCAGGAGCGGGTGTGCCGGTGGACGGAGGAACGGACGAGGTCGCAGATCTTGACTCCGGCTCCTTACCATTCAGAGCTTGTGGCCGACGATCATCCCTCCGGGGCTCCTTGCCTATGTCACGAGGTTGGTCATCGTTCCGTCGAGAAGGAGGGGGCGGTTCGCGTCGACGGTCGCGGTCGTATTCGCGTCTATCGTCTCGCCTGCGGTCGTCCCGCCTGTCGTCTCTATCTCGTACGTAGTCTCTTCGATCTGATACTCGCGTGGTTCAGTTTGCACATGGGCAGTTACAAGGGAAGCACTCACCACCCCGCCCGTCGCCTCGCCGAGGAGGGCTGCGAGAACGGCTCCTTCGGCGGTCGCGGTCGTCCCGACGGGGACCACGGTCGTCTCGCGTATCTCTGAATCCACCGCGGTCTCTGTCCCTCCTGTCCCTGTCCCTGTCCCTATCTCTTCTGTCCAGGCTGCGTTCTCTTGGCCGGTGATCCTTGGAAGACATGGCGCGTGCAGCAACCAGGAAAGGGTGAGGCCACAGCCACCACGAAGCTGCCTCTCCAGAACTCGGAGGAAGCTCACCCAACGACGGCCATGAGCACGGTATGGAAGGCGGGGACCAAGGCTGCCCAGGCTGCCCCCCTCTCTAAAGCAGGCAAGATGTCGCATTGGTTTTTTACTATGGCTAGATACAATGATGATGACGTCTTGCCTTAGCCAGGTTACATATACAGCTCCGGGACCTACCCCGGTCTGCCCTCCCTTCGGACATAAGACGAGTGATTAATAAGGCCAAGGTCGAGAATGTTGCCGATGGTGCGTTCATGATGGTCTTTGTACTTCTGAGCCACTCCAATGATTCCTGTGCATGTACAGTCACGTTGGACTACAAGAAATTCGTGCCCACGGGGCGCGCCTACCTTACCATGACCCACCCGGACTTCACGGAATCCAACATCCGAAAGCTCCACGGCCTTACGCTCACGTCCATTCCTGTCACCGTTTTTACCTGCGATCCTCCTCCCGGGGATGCGCGGCCAAGCAGGAGCCGCGGTGTGCAGGGTCGCGCGGAGGCGGAGGAACGGGGGGTCATCACAGGGAACGGGCCCAACGGCGGTATCACGGGGAGGGGCAAGACGGTTGCGCTATGGGGCCTACCTTGGAAGATTACGTCGGAGCAGGTGAAGCTCAACCTGAAGGGCTTCCAGTTCGCGGCGAGTGGGGACGAGGTGTACAAGCTCGACAAGTCAGTTCCGGACATTCGCCATGCATATAGAAAAATCACGCTGATTCTCCGCACTTCAATACAGGGCTGGCATAGAGAATCACTCGCAGTCGCGACATATTGTCCGCCTTGCGTCTGCTTCGGAGGCGCATCGGCTCGTCAGACGGTTGCATCTCACGTACTGGAGCAAGGAGATGTACGGGACTAAGTTTCTCGTTCGGGCACGCGTAATATACTAAGCACGTAATATCATCACATTCTCGAGGCGTCTACATCGTCTTCCAGTTTTGCACGGGCAGCCTGCAAGAACTCGAAGTTAGCAAACGAGGAAATCAACCAGATACCAGCCCTTCTTCAAAGGACCGGGGATACGCACCTGTCTTTCGTCCCCTTCGGCATCGTCGTCATCCCTCTCCCTCTTGAGGGAGGGTTTCTCCTGCTGCACGACCACATTCGCTTGGGCCCAGTCGCCGCCACCTCTTGCCATCGGGTCAGTGCCCACGTCCGCATACCGCTCCTCAACTTCTCTCCTCCTCTCAATCTCAGCCCTCTGCGCCTGTGCTCCCCAACCACCCCGACCAGGATCGTAGTCCTGCCTGTGTTCATCGCGCACCTGCCCTCCGCTCTTCCCGCGCCCAAACTGTCGCCCGTCCCGATACCCAAGGTCTAAGTCGCAGCGAATGATGCGCTCGTCAAGCTTGGAGCCCGAAATATACCTGCAGGTAGCCAGAGCTTCCGCATGTGTGTAAAACTCGACGAAACAGAATCCGCAAGGCGTCCTGCTCATCAAGTCAGCATATCAGCGCCGGGACATGTGGTGAAACTATGGCACCAACCGCGTGTTACGGTCCAAACCCATGATGATGCGTTTTACCCCACCGCCATCTTCGAGGCTGGCGCATTTGGAGAACAGTTCATAGATCTGTTCCTCTGTTGTGTAGAAACTCAGATTACCCACCTGCGAACTCTGTTGTCAGTTTGTGCGCTACTAGACTCGACAAAAAGCAGGTCAGATCGGTTTGTGCTCACATAAAGCGTTGTCGACTTGGAAAGCAGTTCGTTCTGTTTTTGACGATCTAGGCGCGCTTGACTGTCCTTGTAGTTCGAAGGTTGGTCCAATGGTGTAACGACGTGGGCCATGGTGAGCGACCAGAGCAAGCCGAACCCCGTCCAACGCCACCGACTTCGATGAAGTCTGGACCTAACCTCACTATAAGGTTATTCGCGTCTCTTTATCTTCAGCGATGAGTCCGAAGGCCCTTGTCCAGGTTGTACCAGACAGCAACCCTGAAAGCTACGAGGCTCAACACGTACACCATGTATATGATCAAATAGCGTGAGTTGCGATCCTCTATCTCAGTTGCGGTCCTTAACTTGTCGCTTCAGGAGCCATTTCTCCTCCACACGGTACAAAGTCTGTCGAAACTACAGATCTTCGCGGCTTTTCGATACTTAAGCTGCATCCCAGTAGCCATGGCCTCTCATTGCCCGCTTCATCTCGGAGCTTCCAACGGGATGGGTCGGTCTGGACGCGGGAACGGGGAATGGAAAGTACCTGCCCTTGCCGCTGGACCGTCTTGGAAGCGTATGGACGATCGGCCTCGACCGCAGCAGGAATCTACTGGAAGTCGCGCGAAAGGCTGGTAGCTCCTCCGCAGATGTGACTCGCGAGGTCATTCTTGGGGATGTGCTGGACCAATGTTGGAGGCGCGGCGCATTCGTGAGTTCTGGTGGGCTTGCACGATCGGATGGTTCTGAAAAGGGGGTTTGTCTTCGACAGGATTATGCGATATCGATTGCGACCATACATCACTTATCCACTCGCGCGAGGAGAAAAGAAGCGATAAAGGTACCGTCATGCACTAACCTTCTGCGTTGATCTCAATAGAATAATCCCTGCGGTAGCGCCTTCTTGAAGCCGTATCGCCCGAGCACGGACGAGTATTAATCTATGTTTGGGCCGTTGAACAAGACGAGCTGTCAAAACGGGTCGTCCCATCATCGTCGGAAGAACGTTACGTAGAGAATCAGAACTTTGACGGTCAAGACGTGTTCGTACCATGGATAATGACCAAGGCTCCCAACAAACAGATCTCTGGACAAACATTTTTTGAAGGAGCGCCAGCCTCTCCACCAACGTTCAATCGCTACTATCATATGTTTGCTCGGGGAGAACTACGTGCGCTGGCGGAAGAGGTAGTTTCCGATATGGGCTTGATGCTTGGTGAACCCTTTGTGGTGTCTGCGAGTAGCAATGGCGCGAATATGGGAGCCAGGTTCACTCAGGATGGATGGGAACGGTCAAATTACTACCTTGAAATTAGGCGATGGCATGCGATCAACCACAGGTAGTTTACCAGCTGTTTCCAGTGAATCACAGGCCGGTGCTGCATATCCAAACCGGTACGCTCTGTGAGACAGTTGAGGATACGAGTGAAAGCCAGGTACGCAGAGAATCGCTGCTGCCGTAGCCTACATCATTTCCAAGATCAAAAGCCCATTTCCTTGTTCAGCAACGACGAGAACCTTTCTGGGGTAAAGCCAGGGAAGGGGACAATTTCGCTCGCATTGAAATCGGCAATGGCTCGCGCTATATCGCTGACACGGCCATGTTGTTAGTGCCATCACATCTTGTGCAGCCACGGACCATCTGTACGTACCTGACCGTGCTGGCCTTCAGATACCCTAACTGATCCAGCTTGACAGCAAGCTCCGTCTGATGATCGTCCATAAGTGTAGAGTTCGGCACGACGATCAGCGGTTTGCCCATGCGCAGCACTTCCAAGATTGTGCCAGATCCTGTCGGAATTATCAGCTGGAAGGCCCCTGCCTTCAAGTCATGCACGGTATACTGACCTGCATGGCTGATGACGAGATCCGCAGACCTGAAGTCTTCCTCCAGCGAAGGTTTGAACCGAAACTGCTCAATGCGCAACCCTCCGGTCTCGATCACCCTCACGTCTTGAAGTTGGGGATATGTGCCGGAGTCGGATGCATATGAATGTCCGCACTGGATGTTAAGCCTGGTGTAACCCTTCGACTGCAAGCTGGATATTACGTCTTCGCGAGAGAACGCCGTCACCAGGTCGTCGAACTTGGTAGAGCCAACCGTGACGAAAGCTGTTTTGGCCATGTCGTTAGGAATCCTTGATAAGGGTGCGATTTCAGCTCGTGCTACGCCATCGTAACTTGTAAGGACTGCGACGGACAGTAATGTCTCCAAAGATTTATGCGGTCATCGAAAGTACCGTGAGACTGATCACAAGACGCCTCGACCGGTCATCCGACCTTCACCGGTTCAACTCTCCCCGAATTGCCGATGCGCAGACTGGATTCCATAAAACATGGGTGTGCAAGCCCCGCGTTCATGGGCATTCCGGGGTAGCGGCAGCCGTCATGAGCACCATTCGCGTCGACGTCCAAGACCGTATAGCGACGATAACTCTGAACCGACCGGCGTCGCTCAACGCAATCACTAGGGATGGTATGCGCCGTGTCTCTCTTGTCTCAGTACTCCTGCTAAGAAGCATAGACTACGACGCATTCGCCGTGGCGCTCCGGGACATTGACCAAAGGCAGGATGTGCTCGTTACTGTCTGGCAAGGTGAGCAGCTTGCACCACCTTTCTTGACCTCGCTCACACCTTCCTGCCAGCGGAAGGACGGTGGTTCTGCGCGTGCGTTGCATATACACTTACCTCAGCAAGCAGTAACGTTCGTACAGTGGGACAGACGTCAAAGTCGGTGGAGGGACGCCTGCAAGCTTGAGGGATACTTTCTTGAGCAGAGTGTCACCCGTGAATACTGATGTCGGACGCGCTGTGCGTGACACGCGACGTATCATCTTATCCCTGGTACTGACGGGCATGAAGCTGTACACTCATAGCAAAATCTTGGTTGCCGCTGTGCAAGGTCCAGTAATGGGTGCGTTGAGCATTGGCGCTTGCTTCAAGTGCCCCGCCGCGACAGGGCTAACGCGACTTGCGATAGGTATAGCAGCAGGTTTGGCGCACGAACATCTTTTTCGCCCTCGTCGCTCAACGACGGTCCAGCTTTCCTTGGTCACTTCGATTTCATATACTGCACGCCGCAGATGTGGCTGTCGGTGCCTTTCGCGTTTCTGGGTCTTGTTACAGAGGGAGGATCAAGCGCGAGCTTTATCAACAGAAGTATGTTCTCCGAATATAGCAATTCATTGCATGCCACTGATTGACATATGTTAGTGGGTGTTGCGCAAGCAAACGAGGTGCTTCTGTGGGGAAAGAAAAAGACCGCAGAAGAGCTGCTGGCCAGCGGCTTTGTCAAGTACGCGCTTTCCCCTGGCCTCCGGTCATGCTGTGGAACCTGTGTCGACGTTGCTCACTTGTACGATAGCAAAATCTTTCAGGAACAAGATGTTGCCTCCTTCCACGCCGCTGTGCGGGCTCACCTTGCGTCAGAATTAGCGGGGCTCGATCCGACGGCGCTGTTAACGATCAAGCAGCTCCTTCGACGAGCGCTGGAAGATAAGAATGATCCGGACGCCGTCAATCTTCGCGAGAGTTACGGACAAGCCGCACGCTTGGCAAGTGGAGTGCCCAGCGTTCGATTCGCTCAAGTCGCCAAGAAGGAGATCAGGCATAAACTGTAAAGGTTACGCAGCCTTGGATGATGGGAGGCTTCAGATGCTATACATAACAGCTCCTCAGAGGGATGTATGCCTTGTGTAAGCTGCACAACGACTGACGGATCTCGAGCTTGGGCGGCTTGGCTCTCTTGTCGGAAGCGCTTCCCAAAGCATGCACTTGCCTAATTTGGCAGGTGCGTCTGTGGGACTTCGCGAACCCCGGGGCGGCCTGATGATTTCGCAATCGGGACCTGACCTGACGCGCGCGACTATATAAACAGCGGAAGCCGCAGCCAGTGGGGATGAGAACCGTTCGTTTGTTTCCCAGACCGCGGTATGGCGGACGTACCACCCGCCTACGAAGAGAAGGGCGACAGCAAGCTCAGCGCGCGGAAACGGCGTTCGTCCGATGCCGAGGTTTACGAGGATGACCTTCTCGTCGATCCGCCTGCGGAGGAAACCTTGCACAGAGGGCTGAAAGCCAGGCAAATATCCATGATCGCGGTATGGTAACAATGAATTGACTGGTGTCATGAATGAAGCCTTGTGTGCTAATATGTCAGTGATTTTTAGCTGGGAGGTGCCGTTGGTACTGGGCTGATCATCGGTGAGTGCGATGAACGACACGGAAGTCCGAATACTGAGATCCATCCAGGCAGTGGCACTGCACTCGTGCGGGGAGGACCTTTGGGCATTTTGCTTGGGTATTCTTTTGTGGGGCTCGTTTGTTACATGGCGAGTGCGAGCAACCCGTAGGTGCGATTTTTATTTATCTGCGTTCACTAGGTGATGGTGGCCCTGGGAGAGATGAGCGTAAGAGCGTCCCTCCATTGTACAAGAAGCCCTCACTCACATGACCATTCACTCAGGCCTTTCTACCCCATAAGAAGGGATTTGCTGGTTACAGTACACGTTTTGTGGACCCGGCGCTTGGGTTCGCATTGGGATGGAATTATCTGCTGAAGGTACTTCCCGTTCTCCGTTCGCTTGAACAAGCTAACGAGCTTCCACAGTACTTGATTGTCACTCCCAATAGTTCAGTCGATCCAACCTTTCTCCCTTTCAGAAACTGAACAATGAACAGATATAAACGCCGCTGGAATTGTTATACAGGTCAGTTGGGCTGCTGAAGTCTACCTATATATTTTTCTGACATCCGCTTGCTATATAGTACTGGAATGATTCCATTCATGTCGCAGTGTGGATGGTAGTTTTCATCGCGTTCAGTATGTAATCGATAATCTCCCCCACTGAATTATTTGAGGCGATCTCTGACGACGATGTGCTTCAGTCGGCCTCGTAAATCTACTGGGCGTGCGTGTCTTCGGAGAGCTGGAGTTCTGGTACATGCATCAATTGCCTCAGACAAGGAGTCCTTAGCTGACAAATGCGGGTTTACAGGTTCAGTAGCCTCAAAGTGATAGCGCTGATAGGCCTGCTCCTGATGGGCATCATCATTGACCTCGGCGGCAACCCCCGTCACGACCGCATCGGATTCCGGTACTGGCAACATCCCGACGGCCCGATGGGACATTACCTCCTTTCGCAGGTCCACTCGGAGCATCTGTCCATCTTCCTTGGATTCTGGAGCACATTGATCAATGCTTTGTTTGCATTCATCGGTACCGAGTTGATCGGTGTTACGGTCGGCGAAGCTGAGAACCCAAGGAAGAACATCCCTATTGCTATTAGGCGCACGTTCTTCCGAATCCTGGTGTTCTATATCGGAGGCGTCTTCGTGATCGGTCTGGTCGTGCCGAGTACATCTCAGCAACTATTCGTGGCCAACAAGTCAAAGACTGGCGCGGCGTCGTCACCGTTTGTAGTTGGTGGGTGCCTCTGCACACGACCGCTCGTTGCATATACTGATAATAGTTGTTAAGCGACGGTGCTTGTCGGAATCAAGACCTTGAATCACGTCATCAACGGTCAGCTGCATTCTGGTTCCATACGTTGGTCTCCAACTTACGCTGCATCAGGCGCCGTTCTTGTGTTTGTCCTCAGTGCCGCCAACTCTGATCTGTACATCGGTTCACGCACCCTATACGGTCTGGCGATCGAAGGCAAGGCGCCCTCTCTCTTCAAAAAGGTCAATCGTTTGGGCGTTCCTTGGACGGCATTGCTGCTATGCTTGTCATTCTGCTGTCTGGTTTTCTTGAACGTGACGAAGTCCAGCGCTCAGGGTAAGTCAACGATCTCCATTGTGCATGTGCGTGCTCATTGTGGCGACAGTCTTCACCTATTTCGTGAATCTTGTTTCAACATTCGGTGCCATCACCTGGATGTGCATCGTCTATACTCATATGTAAGCCTCCCACATCGTGTCAGGTCAAACCTCCGCCGCTAATCCTCACCTAGATCATTCATGCGAGCGTTAAAAGCACAAGGAATTGATCGAAACACTTTACCTTACAAGGCGCCCTTCCAACCATACGGCTCCTGGTTTGCTCTCATTTCCACGGCTATCATTACTCTCTTCAAAGGTTGGTCGCTGGACCCTATGAGCGTTGCCCAGCCGAGCTTACATCTCCACAGGCTTTGACACATTCATACCGTTCACGAAAGCGACATTCGTCACGTATGTCCGCATCAAATGCTTGGCTTGGGCTCGAAAACTGATAACTTTTGACTGCGTAGATCATACATCGGCCTCCCCACATTTTTCTGCTTTTGGTTGGGATACAAGTTGTTCTACAGGAGCAAGGTCATCCCACCTGCCGAAGTGGACTTGGTCACAGGACTAGCAGAGATCAACGAGGAGGAAAAACGGTACAAGGCCCAGGAAGAGTCTGAATCCCTTGCAGGCAAGCCTAGATGGCGTCGGATCTGGGACAATATCTAGATCGGCGTCCGTGAGAGTAAAGGCAGAGGGCGAATCGGTGTCCGTCATGCCATGCCTTGATGAGCTGGTCGCTGGAATCCGAGCATAGGGCACATTTTTTGAGTGCTCAACGAGCTCCGCTCTGACGATATTAATCTTGTATGTACATGTGGCAAGATATAGCATAGAGATGGCAACACTGAATGTGGTGAATGGGTGAATGATAGCAACAGGATGCGTTATGTCTTAGCTTTCTTGCTTCGGGTAGCAGGCGTCTTGGGTTCAGGCGGAGGCTCGGCGCCCTCATCATTGTCATATATAAACTTCTTCACTACGATGTTCTCCGGTACCAGACTCAACGGCATGTCCGTGTTGAGAACGTTCCCAAGAGAATCCAACCGCAGTGTCTACGATGGAGAAATTGCATGAGCGAGCGCCCTTCGGGTCGAGCACAGCGCGCACCTTCGCTTTTGGCGTCAGACAGCCTCTCTTCGTCAAATCCTCCTTCTGCGGCTTCTTGGGCTTCGGCAAGACCTCATCCAGGCATACGGTGGTGAAGAGGCCCCGGTCCCATTTTACCCGCTTCTTGGGCTTGCCCTCGTCCTCGGTTTCTCCGGCCCCCTGCCTCAGCGCCTGTTGTGTTCGATGCGGGGTTTCGTAGTCTTCCTCGTCTCCTGCACCTCGCCGATGCTTCCCAGGCACATCCTCGAGGTCGTCAGCATCGACGTTCCCCTCATCCCAATCCTGCGAGCTGGCCTCCGTCTCTGCTACACTGCCCTCGCTCCTCCGCGCTCTCCTCGCCGCCCGCTCCTGACGTCCACGCTCCTTTTCCTCTTGTTGTCGCTGCGATATCGTCTTGGCCTTCATTACAGGACTGGCCGGTCGTTCGCCCTCTTTCCTGACGATCTCGGTCTTAAGCGTCGCGTAGTACCGCTCGTTCTTGGAGGTGTTCGAGTTCGTGAGGGCACGAAGCGCCGTGGCGGTCATACCCCAGAAGATGCCGGCGTTGGGTGGCGCCGACCTGTCCCGGGGTTCTTTCCGTTTCGGCTGCAACGAGACGACACGCGGGCCGAATACATCGTTGGCTTGCGTCGGCTTGCGACTACGTCTTGTCCTGCGTGTTTCCGAGGCGCCTTCCACGTCGGATTCCTGTGCGTCGGATTGTTGGGCGTCCGCAGTGACCGAATTGGATCGTGCACGGGTACGGCGTCCTCGACTGGACGGTTCAGGTTCTTCAGACTGTTCCTGTTGGGCGGGCGGCGATGCAACTTTGGAGGGCTCGGTATCATCGACTGGTGGAGGCACAACCTCACGTGCCGTGGCGGCGTCCTCCGCAACAGTCTCTGGTGGTGGAATATCGACGGATGCTTCCGTTTGCGGTTTGATCGCCTTCGTAGGAGCCGTCGGGGCGATCTCCGAGTCAGGATCTGCAACCTTAGTGCGTCGCTTGGAGACTGTTGCCCCTGCGGCGGACCGCGGTCGCGGAATGGTCCGTACGGGCGGGCTGATGATGGTCACTTCAGGGATACGTTTGCTAGCCGCGGGAGGTTCAGATTTCGGGGGACCCGTTTTCGGATGTGTGAAAGTCCCGGGTCGGACCATGCGGGCGACAACGACAGGCGGCGGCGAAGGAGGCCCCGGTTCCCTCTTACGCTTCAGCGAGCCCACGGGAGCTGAGGCGGGTGCTACGGTTGTAGGTTTGGCAAATCTCCCTTGACGAACTGCAGTTGTCCTTGGTGGGGCGGCTGTGGTCTGGGCGGCAGGCACTCCTGAACCCGATTTGTCCGAGCTATCGTCCGATGGTGTCCTTGCTCTGGAGATCACCCGGACGATGCGAGCCTGACAGGGAGAACATGAGAGCGTCAATAACAGAGAGCCTGAAAGTTCATTGCGCGACCAAGGGCGTACCGTTTTCCGTACAACAGAGGGTGCGGGTTTGGACTTGCCCGCTGGTGGAGCGGAAGCAGGCGTGGTTATCTTGCTTTCCTTAGTTGTTCTGCCACTCGCGGCCGTCGGTCGCGCGTACGGTTTGGCACCGATCCTGGGTATCCGACTCTCTTTCGCCGGGGAAGGCTGCCGTAGCGTGCCCTTCGCCGGGCGAGAAGCCAAAGGAGCAGGAGAGTGCTTGCCGCTCTCTGCTGTACCGCTGGGCCCCGGTGGTGTCGGTTCTCGGGGTGCCCCCGCCGCGATGGGGCTACTCGGTTCCTCCGGTTCCTCCGGAATCATAGCAGGCGCGAGCACCCTCTTGGCCGGCGATGGACTGATGGGAAAGGGCAGGTCGGTCGCATCGCCGTCGGGTGGGGGAGGGTGCAGGTTGTGGAACCGTATCGCGCGCGTCCGAGCCTGCGCCTGTTCCGTGGGTTGCTCGCTGGCAGCGCGCCCCTTGCCCCGCACCGGGGTCTCCGGAATGACGAGGCGCGGTTGAGGGTCCGCAGAGGCAGCGCGCGCCGAGGCAGGTTTCCCCGGCGAGCCGAACGCGCGGTGGCGTTCCTTCGCCTCCTCGATCGTGATCCGCCGGGCAGGCGTAGTCGGCCCGGCGTTCGCCCGAGCGGTGAAGACGGCGGAGCCGAAGAGCCCGACCTTGGCCTGGCGCAGCTCGGCAGCTTTCTGAGGGGAGATGGCGCCCTGCGCGACGGCATCGTCGAGCGGAATGCGTTTGGCGGGCGACCGGGATGGATCGTTAGGGCGAGACGCGCCGAACTTGAGAGGGGTGGTTGGCGGACGTGAAGTGGTTAGGAAGGGATTGGCGGTAGTGCTGGGGTCTTGGGCGGACGGTGAAGGCTGGGTATGTTCAGGGTAGTGGGCTGCTTCGGGGTTGTCCTGGGAGTTGTCGAAGGAAGATACGAGGTTCGATTGCGCTCGTTTGAACAGAGCTACGGGACTGCCATCATCAGGCCCGCGGACGGACGGGAGCAAGGACGAAAGCAGGCCGGAAGAGTTGGGCGATAGCGAGCCTAGTGCACGGTCGCCGAGACTTGCATGAGCTTTCTTACGCGACTTGAGACGGAGTGGCGTCACCTCCGGCAGAGGGACCACGACTGTTTGCCGTACGGGACTATCGGAAGGGGGTATCGCACGTTTCTTACCCTGCGCTTTCTCAGAGACGTGTTCCGCTGGAGTTTCGGAATCATTGATGGTATCAAGCGCCTTCAGTGGAGATGAATGTTGTGCGGAGTTGGGTATATCTCGACGAGGGGAGGAATATCGGCGTGCAGAAGAGGGCTTGTTCGGGGAAGGGAGAAATAATATGCGAGGAGTGCCGCTGATACGGGCAGAGCGGCGAGGGTGAGGGCTGGCGTTGTCTCCCGTCGAGGGTCCGGCTTCAGTCTGACCTTCCGGTCGACTATCCGTGGTCTTCGCCTCGTTCTCGTTTGTGGGAGGTTCCACAGGGCGTGGCGAAAGACTCAGCCGCGCTGAACGTCTAGGTTGCGGTGTTGCGAGACGGGCTTCATCAAGGACACGAGTGCTTTCTGGTTCTTGTGCAGCATTTGGGGTCCCCCCGCGTTGAACCAAGTCCGCGGAGTCACCGAGGGCCGGGACATGAGCTTCCTCTGCGTCGTGAATAGATTCTTGTTGACTTGAGCGTGGCGCTTGCGGCGAAACAAGTTCAACCGGATTCTCTACTTGAAGCACCGGAACATCCCCTCCCGCGGTCCCTTGTTCCTCCAGCTCACCATCCACGAGCACCAACAATTCCGGATCCTGCACCATATCGTTGTCGGAGACAGTAACAGCGTCATCTTCCGGTATTGCCGCGTCTGCGAAGGGAAGTGCAGGCGACCTCGCTGCGTCCACCACAACCTCATCGCCAGGCGTCTCAACACTGGACGAAGGAGAGGAATCGCGCGATAGCAGGTCGTCCACGGTCATCTCATCCACCGCCGAACCTGGCTGAATTTGGTTATCCACCTGCAGGTATTGCAGTCCCCGCGCAGCTGGGGAGTCAAACGAGATTAGATCAGGCTGCGAATCGTCCGCTCCTGCGAGGTATGCTGGAACCGGGGTAGGCGATGCATGTGCTGCCGCGGGAGCGTCGACGGTCATCATTTCAGGAAAGTATCCAGAAACGTCGACGAGAAGTGGTGGAAGGGGCGTGCGAGCTGGGGTATCCTCTGGCGTAAGATCAGACAGCGGCGATTGTGGGGCGGAATCGACGGTGCGATGGAGGCGAGGCGGGGGCGACGGGTTATCATGCGCGCGCATGATGCGGCTGGCGAGGACGGACGAGGGTTCTGTAGCGCGGACTCGTCAGCCACTCCTTGTCCATGCGGATCAGGGCCCAATTGGCAGATCGCAGGTGCGCACCGTCTGCAGAAAGGAAGAAATTGGGGGGTGTGCTGGGCCGTGTGTTACCCTCCTCCATGTCTTGCGGGGTGTCGCGCCCGCTATCTTCGTCCTCTTCCTCCTCTTCGGCTTGAAGGAAATTGGCCCGAGCATTCAAAGTGGCTGTAGCCAGGAGATTCATGGATCGCCTAGAACGCGTGTTCGGGCGTCTGGGGCGGGGCGTATGGAATGCTGGCGAGTGAGATGGAGCTAATCGTTGATCGTCGCGTGGGTTGCCAAAGGCACGCAACGGCGCGTCGGGGAGGTTGACGTCGTGGTCTGCTTCCGGGGAGACATCAGTAACCTCCGGGGTATCCTGGTCTTGACCGAAATTCTGGACTTCGAGGTCGCCGCCCACGGCAGCCGACAGAACATCGATACTGGCCATAACGGCCCCGTTAGCAAGACTGCAGCAAATCCCCCGATGTGGTTGAGAACAGCGTGTTTGAGGGCCACGTGACCCGATATCGGGCTGTGGACTCGCAGGTTCGGGCACATCCTTTCTCTCGCTTTCTTGACTACTGGCTGTACGGCTGCTCCGCGGTGTAATCCTACGATCTCATGGCGCTTTAGACTGTTCTATAGGAGACATATATCTGCTAAAGCGGGATCCAATATGATCATGGCTCATCTTGACTACTGAGTCGGATCCGAGTGGCACCGACCAGGCTGGGCTTAAGCACGCTTTGGTCCATCTCTTTCCGACGGTGCATTTCATCGATGCTTGCATTCGTTAAGTCTTCGTGATACGTGCAGGATAGAACGATCTCATTCATGGCGCCACCGGGGCGCTGCATGCATAAGGGAATCCCTTGACCCAAAACGAACAGACACCTTCCGCATTTGTTCGCTCCAAGCAGTGTTGAACCGCCCAAAACAAAATACCTCAGATCAACGTCCTCCATCTCTGCTTCCACCGCCACCATGTCCCTCTACAAATCCCTCCGCTGCAGAGTGAGTACTCAAATCCGCGCATATATGCAGTACTCACCGATCATGACAGCATTTTGACGACCGCGGTCGCCCCCATCGTCCGGGCTGCCCGCGGCCCGCTACATGCCGTTTTGCGCACCCGGAGGACCGCCAATGGGCCACCGCCGGTCCCTCCAGGCATGGCGGCGCGGGCAGGCCCAGCCCCGCCCGCACCGTCGTCAGCGTGGACTCGCCCCGTTTTCGCATGTCGCCTTCATTGCGCCCTGGTCCCCGTGCTCCGCGTACGCGTTCTCCGAGTCTGGCGCAGGGCCGGAGGCTGCCGCTGCCGCTGCCGTTGCCATCGCAGTCCGAGCTTTTCCATCGGTGCAAGGTCGAGGATGACGAGAATGATGTCTCGCTCGCGTCGCGGCTGTCGGTTCGATTGGACTACGGTAGCGCGGACGACGACCGCTCCGCCGCCAGACCCGGCCCAACGCGAGGGCGTGAAGTGTCGCGTAATCCGGTGCGACGGAGGCGGCCTAGCAACGGTGACCCGTTTTTGACTGCATCGGCTATGGCACCTCCCGGTCGTGGTCGGGTCGATCGCCCAGCACGTGCAGGATCAGAGCGCCGCACAGCGCGCCCATTCAGTGTCCTTGAGATTGGCGCGGAGGCGAGCAGATCAACTGAGCATGTCGCCACAGACGCGCCCGTAATCCCAGCCGCACATCCAGATACAGGTCCGGGGTCAGCCTGTGCTTCATCGACTAAGGCTAATGGATCAATCATCCCATCGGTGGCCAGCAAGGACGCCATCGAGCTCATACTTGCCTCCTTTCGAGACATCGCACGGTACATAACGCTGCTCTTGCATTTTCGCTTGCACACTCACGCAAATATGCACCTAGAAACACGCATATAATCACGCGTTCTACTGTCGCACTTCACGACACTGTCTTCAAGCTCGAGCAATTCGCAAATCTATCTTCCAAGCTTCCCATCTCCGAATCGACCTCTAAAGCGTTGTCCGTGGCCATAGCTCCCTTGCTTGCGGAACGAGCAAAGCACGAGCAACTAGTTCATGATAGTGAGGAGAATGCACAGAAGCAATGGGAAGGCGTATTCAAGACCTTCATTGGCGGCGTCATTGAGGGTGTGGAGCAGAGTTTAGGAGGCGTCATCGTGAACATGGAGCGCCGTGTCAAAGACTCGGAAGAAAATTTTGCTCGTATCCTGAGGAGCGCTGAAAAAAGCAGAGAAGTCTTGGAAACTGCTGCGAAGAACGATAGGCAAAATAGGGCCGGAAAACGTATGTACTCCGGTCTTGATACGGAGCAAGCCCAAAATATGGACGGATTTGCTGGCGTCCAATTGGAGAATCGGGAAGTATCCAAGCGGAGGAGGATCGAGGATAGCCCGGGCAGACGGAGTGTCCCGAGCATTTCGGCGAGTCGCGAGAGCGCTAGTGAGCGGGAGACCCGCACCCTCGTAGACCAAATGAAGGCGATGGTGGATGATCAGGCGCGAATGCTTGAAAACCTGAGAAGGGAGAACCATGAGGTATCCGTTCGGTGTTCCATCCTCAAACCGCTGCTGACCGTTATCTGACTGTGCAGCTCCGTTCGGGCCAACATCTTCCACCGTCCCTGGATTCGCCTGGCCGAACGGCATACGCTAGATGCAAAGACGATGCTAACATGAGTTCAAAACCAAGTCCCTCTCTACCATCGTTGAGTTATTCTCTCAGCGCAGGGTCGACGTCGAGCACGACGTCCTACCCCGCGTTAGCATCTACGGAATCGCTATCCGAACCGACGATCCCTTTTGTGTACACCGGACAAGCGCTGGAGCTCGGAGGAGCATCACACCATACATGGGAGGAAGGCCAGATTGACATTATCAGGAATATGCTCACGGCGCTTTACAAGGCGCCTCTGAATCCGACGGACCCGACGGCATCGAACAGCGCAATCCTTCGAGATCGCTGAGAGCGGGAATACGAAGGGCTGATGTGTCCCTGCGCCCGTCCTCTGGTTCATTGTAGAGTATTTGTTCTGTATTGCGATAGCGAATGGGAAGCGAAACCGTGGAAATGGCTGAATCGAAGGAACCCACGAACAAGGTGAGAGAAAGCGCTAGCGGGTCAAAACTCGTCCCCTGCCCGGATACTCCCTTCAACTGCCCGAGCGACCGCTTCCTCCTCTCTCCACAACACTCTGATGTTGTCCTTCATCCCTTCCGCCCAAACGGGACTCCCGGTCTTAGGCTCTATCATATCGGTCGTCGACAAACCCTCGCGTGCACGCTCTTGTAATCGCTCGCACATCTGGAGTAACGTCTGTCTTAACGCCTGTTCATTCTCGCGAGAAACGAGAGGACGACGGCCTGCCAAGGTATCGTGCCACGGTCTCAGAACGTCCTCGGGGTTCGGAGGTGGAATAGGACAATCCAGGACAAGATGGTACAGCCTCAAGGCGGTGAGGAGTCGGAAGGAGGGGTGCGCGGGGGCGGGTGAGGCGTGCAGGGTCCAGTCACTGATGACGTCAAATATGAGCGAGGGTGAAATACGATCACAGAGCAGAGCGAGGCGTACCCCCAGTATCCTTGATCCTTCAGGACATCTCGCATCCATTCACCTCTTGAGCCTTGTTCGCGTAGCATGTCCTCAAACAGGATTTGGACGTCCACCTGACCATCGCCCCGAGGGGCACTACCTTCATGCTCGGATCCCGGTGAGCTGTTGACGAATCCGTACTCAACGAACAGCTTCCGATTCGAATGGGCACCGTATCGGAGGAACACTTCTTCGCCTGAACGAAGCGTCTGGTCGCGAGGAGAGAGCAAGGTGAAATCCGGTCCGAATCTGCCCTTCACTGGCGCCGCCCAGCGGCCTTTCTCGAGTGCCATATCTACCAGCGACGACGGGCAGGCGTGCTCGTAAGGCCGATGGTTGGCCATGTCTAGGATTGGCACCAGCGCGATATTGTCTCGCGAGGAGACGGAGGGCTTGAGCCTGTGGAATATACATCTAGTATTGACTGGAAAGAGACTAGGAGTAAATATGCGCCGATGCCATGAAAAGGTAACGGAAGCAACCGACCGTTGAGCCAGGCCCACAGCATGTCGTCTAGAACACGCCGATCTTCGATTTTTGCTTTAGCCTCGTACGTTCTAGTCCTGGTGCACGTGGCGAGGACGCGTGGGTGGGCTGCCTCGAATTGCCGTTACACACGGGAGAAACAAAACCCACAGGGAACCAGCATCGTTACCAGATATTTCTGGACGAATTCCGTGTCCGTATCGAAGCGAGATTTTAGCTCTTCGAGGTCCCGCCGGACAGACGGTGAAAGTGCCTGGAGAAGCGCCTCGGCTATCTCTCGTTCTCCTTCGACGTGGGTGTCGGAAAGGGCCCAAACCAGCCAGGTGAGCGGATGGAAGTCGAACGACCCGGGAAGGACGTTGATGAACGGTTCGTAGAGTGAATCGGTGCATCTTCTGTCCGTATCGGGTCGATGAATGTACAGATGCATTGAGATGAGTTGAGTGGCACTGAGACCGGTGCAGTTGGGATAGTGCGGTGCTAGAGTCTTGACGGTCATGAGCGCTGCTGCAGGTATAGTGAACAAGGGTGATGACGGCTATGAAATCGTCAGAAACGTGTTTGAACAGTATAGATTGATGCTCACGGAAACCTCCATGGTCGTGAATAAGCCATATCCTGCGCCTGCGGTAGGTTCGATGATCCCAGATCAGCACGATGGACAGTTTGCAAACGAAAGCGCCCCACCAAGACTAGGCCTGCGTTCGACCCGAAGATGAGTTGAATCGATCTTCATCCCATGTGCATGAAGCCACGCCAAAAGGTTCCGCCATGGTGCATCGTCCTCAAATTCGGGCATGAATATGAAGACCAACGTGAGGATGCTCAAGAAGGTTTGGAGATAGAGGGTTTGGGTGGAGATAAGCGCTCGTACACCCTGTGACGTCGTTGGGCGCCAATTACCAACTTGGCAACGAGCACGTCCGAGCCAGACTTAGACGCGGATCACGCATGCGCCTGCGATTCCGCCGGTTCTTCTCCTAGTCCTACCGCCGGTCGCAAGCTTCCTCAGTCTTCTATTTGTCTCCCATGGGCGGCCTATTCAGCAGGGCACCGAGTGTCAATACTATACACTACGCCGAGAAGCCCGTCGAGTTCCGCGTCAAGAAGGACGGCAGCGACCAAGACAAGTGGGAGACAACGTCAATCAGGGCTTTCATAGAGTCTCGCTGTCCAAGCTTACTCGCTGGCTTCAAGCCGATATGGTGGGGCTGGACGTGAGTGCAATCTATCTGCTCGCGTGCCTGAATGCCGTCGCCTCATAAGTGCCTCGTACCTAGAGGTCATGCCCAGACGGCATACTGCGTAGCCGGTGACTTCTCCCAGGTCGACAAAGTCGTGTACGACAGGCACGTACGAGTCGCCTACTCCTGAACGCCGCTAAACGTAGAATTCAGGAAATTGCTCCGACTGAAGGATGGGGGGACCATGTGAGCCTCCCGCCCTTGTGTGACCGATCACTAAAATGAATCCGCCGTGCAGCGGTCTCGACTTCACGCCTCCTGTAGATGAGCGCACTCTCCCCGAAGACACGCCCACGGTCGTAGTTCTACATGGCCTCACAGGGGGTCAGTTGATGGATCACGCATGTTCTGCCGCAATGGTCGAAATTGATTGGTTCTTTGATTCCACTAGGTAGCCACGAGTCCTACGTCCGCGCGATCCTTGCCCCGGCCTGCACGCCTGTCTCCGACCGCGGTTTGGGCTATCGTGCTGTCGTCATCAATTTTCGGGGTTGTAAGTTCCGAGCCGCGCCTTCTTGTTGTCGTTTTGAGCGCGCTTGTAATCACTTTCCCCTGAAACACAGGTGCTGGCACGCCTTTGACAAGCCCTCAACTGTATTCCGCTGCACACACCGATGATCTCCGTCAAGCCTTGCTGTACATAGCACATTTATATCCTAACGCACCCTTGATGGGCATTGGATTCTCGCTAGGCGCGAACGTTTTGACCAGGTACCTCGCAGAAGAGGCGCAAGACAGTAGACTGAATTCGGGGTGCATCCTGGCGTGTGTAGGTGGCCTGATATTCAACGATCATCCGTGGACTAAGTTTGGGGCCTTTCCTCAGCCTTGGAACCTGCTGGCCAATAGCAGGAAGTAAGGTCTTTATTCTTAGCGCAGGGAGAACAGTTCGTTACTGACATTTCCTTATATGAACGCATCTAAAGGCTCGAAGGAACATGGTTCTACCGCACCGTTTACTCCAGGGCGATGGGTGGCAATTTGGCCCGCCTCTTCCTTTCGCATGCCGAGGAGCTGGCACAGTTTCCCGACCATCCGCTGACCAAGACGCTCCCGATCATCTCCGCGAGGCAGAACGCCCTGTGCATTACCGACTTCGACGGCACCGTGACCCGCCTTGGTGGCGGCAGCACTCCTCCCTTCCCCTTCGCAACTGCGGATGATTATTATACCTACGCTTCTAGCCACGACAAACTCAGATATGTGAGGGTACCGTGCTTAGCGGTCAATTCCTCCGACGATCCGGTCGTGCACGAAATACCGATAGAGAACTCGAGGCACAACGGCTGGGTGGCTATGGCGGTAACGAAATATGGTGGTCATCTGGGCTGGTTTGCCGAAGGAGCGCACGGGCCGAAGAGGTGGATTAGCCAGCCCGTCTTAGAATGGCTAGGCGCTGTCGGAAGCCTGTTGGAGAGGAAGCCACCCAAGAGGCAGGTGATTACGCAGGAGGATGGCTGGCTGGTCGAGCAAGGCAGGGAGCATCTGGGCTGCAAGCCGGTAGAGGGCGGTGACAAGATTGTCGGAGTGGAAGGGGAGGGCGGACTGCTGCAGGGACTGTAACTGTCGTGACGGCAAATACTAGAGTTTGGTCGCCATAGTAAAAATCGAATTCCCCGGTAGCGTACTTTGCGTGGAGCATCGTGTCAATCGCGATGGAGCGGTTCGTTACTTTCCGCTCTGGACGACCCCGAAGACGACGGTCCCTCCGATATGCATCGCAGAGAACGTGGGACGAATCGCATTCCTTGGCGCCGTTTTGGCGGTGGCGGCATGCCGCCCTTGGTGCGGTAACATGCTACAGACACGTAAGAAATACATATTTTATTACTTCCGCGGGCATGGGGGCCGGTTAACAATCCGACGTGAAAACACTCCCTCAATCGCTGTCGCTGAAAGTGACCCGCTCCTCCTCTTCCTCCTCCTCTATTCGCGATCGGTCATACTGTCTTATGTCCACCGACGTACCCTCGTCCGCAAGGGAATCGTCCGCCGAGACCAAATCACGATTACGTTCGAACAATTGCCGACCTACGGATGCGCCCAGTCACACGTGCATTGCACCAGTGAATTAACATTTTCGGTGGTCTTTGTCACTTTCGAAGCCATACCTGACAGCCGTGTCCCCACGCGTTTGTACTCCTCCCGTTCCTTCGGTGACATGCCTTTCAGCTTTTCGTCTTCTTCTTTTGCTTTCTTCTCAGCCATTTCCTTGTCGAATTTGGCTTTCCACGCCTTGAAGCTGTCGACCGTCACGGGCGTGCCACGGGTCAACGCCTCTTCCGCCTGTTCATGAGACAAGAGAATATGTGGACTCGCGCAGAAGCATACAGGAGTATACTTTGGGAACATCGGGACGTACCTCGAGTGCGCGACGCTCTTTCTCCATTTCCTCTTTCTTCCTCGCTTCTTCTCGTTCCCGTACTAATACAGCGAGTTTTTCACGAAGATGAGATACGAGCGTGAAGGTCATGGCCATCCCGATGTTATCTTGCCCCTGCAACGTGGTGTCAGAGAGTCGTGATCATCATCAATCGTGTGGAGTAGATAGGGAAGGCAAAGTGCCCGCACAGGATACACGCACCACGGCTAGCAGATCTTCGACAAGTTGGGCACATTCTGCCTCACTTACCTCCCCTTCTATCGGATCCAGGGTCAGATCGGGCAGGACATCGGGATAGTCATCGGGATAGTGGACGTTGAGCGTGAGTTTCACTATGCGAGGTTTTCCGTTCAGCAATCCAAAGCCTGGCCCTGTGCAAGAGAATCGGGGTGCTCACGAGGTTCATCGGTCTCCGGCGCGTCTTCTGGCTCGACCTCAATCGCAACGTCCCGTTCCGAGAGTTCTTCGCATGAGTCTCAGCAGCCAGCGCAATATTTTAACGGGGCAGATCCGGTGTTACGAACTTGAGAGCTCGGTAGGATAGATGGATTCGAGAACCTGAGTGCGGGGAATCGCGAACGACCATCAACGCCACATGAAGGGGTAATTTGCGCCACCGCTCCGTACCTCGTATTCTTCGAGCAAGGCCTCTGAAGACATTGAGGCGTGTTGCTGGCCAGATAGCGAGGAGCCAGGTATTTGAACGAAGTCAAGCGCGTCGCGGCAGGGTCGGGTCGGCGTGCTCACGCTCACGCGTTTTCTCCACCGGCCATGCTCTCAGCCCTCAAGAACTGCTGGCTTCGGCCTCTTGGCCTGACTCGCCGAACAGCTGATAGCTGTAGCCAGGCGATTCTATGCCGACGACTGCTCTCAACCTCTGCCCCGGTTCGTCAAGACCCCCATCCCACATCGCCCTCTTCGCTGGCGACCGGAACCCCCGCATCCCATGGAGCGCCTACCCCGAACTGGACCGAGATGTTCAGCGGCGTGGTGGACAAAATTAACAAGAAGCAGTTAACCCCAGAAGAAAGATGGCAGAAGAGCCACGATCGCGACGTGCCCATGTTACCTCCTGTAGCAGATCCCTGGGCCGGTTCGTCGTTCCTTACGACCTCGCAGATCATGAATTAGCTCAGACTCTTGCCTGATAGGTCGAACTATCTTGGTTCGCGAAGGAAAACTCGATTATGCTTTGTCGATGCTCCAGAAGCAGCTTTCTGCGAACAAGGTCCCTCAAACTTCGTACTACCAACGACGACACGAGCAAGCAGGCGAGAGAAGGCGAAGGTTGAAGAGGGAGAAGTGGAGACGAATGTTCGCCCATGAAGTGCGTTTCGTGTTCTGCTCCCCCGTGCGCTGCCTTTGGCTCACCCCCGACATTTAGGTGAGAGAGAAGGTAGCATTGGTGCAGAAGATCCGAAAGCGAGGCGGTTAGGGTCGCCTGTACGACGCGGCCTCCCTCGTTTGCTTACATTCCGAGGTCGGGCCAGCTTGTGCTCCTGCCACGTTCGACGCGGAGTATCCTGCATTCGGCCAACTTTCGGCTATTTCATTTTACACAACTCGCTGGGGCCTTTGCGGCATGCAAATGGGCCTGGCTTCTTTAATAATGCACTAATGGCGAACCATCTCACCCCGTATATGGTGCTCTCCGTGGATCTCCATCAAACCCGGTCCTTTGACCTCCCTCCCAAGGACCCTACTGTCGCTTGAAACCTCAATCCTCATTGCGCGGATCTAGGTCACCCTGTCTGATGGGCGGGCTTGAAACATTATCTTATGTTCGGACCCCATTCATGTCTTGACGGTGCCAACCTGCAGCAGGTGCGAGGAACATTTGCGAAGGGGCACAACAAAAGTCTCGACAGCCTCGCGAAGGTGTATTCTTCAGTAGGCGCTCACTACGTCTTTCTGTAAGTGAAGTGCTTCGTCTGCTTCGGATTCGCCCTCTCTGGCAATCAGATCCTCAAGTAAGGGACCGGCCCTTACCCCTGGTGCGCCCTTTCCCGATAAGATCAAATCGCGGAGTTCGCAGCGGCTTTTTCGAGCCGTATCAATACTATCACAGGATCGTTCTTTCTCGCGCTACACGCTCCTCGTGTGGTGCACGCCTCTGGGGATCTCTTCTTGTCCGGCTTGACGTCGTTCAAGGCCCGGCTAAAGGCAAATTGTCCCTCCACCTGTTCAAACACCCCAGCCTGAGTTGCAGTGGAGCCCCATGGCGCAAATTCGTGCAAGGTTGCGCGGGCACAGCATTGCCGGGCGTCGCAGGCAAGCACGACCACCGCGGCCCGTCTGTACATTCCGGCAGGACGAGGTGGCAAGTGAAGTTCCCGAATGAGCTGGGGCAAGAGAAAATGAGACGGGAATGGGTTCTTCGCGCCTCACATGTGTTGCGTTCGTAAGGCTCCGTTGCCGTAGCCCCGACAGCCTGCCTCACTCCGAAGCCCCATGCTGGTTCGAGCAGCGAAGGCGTGCGCGACCTCGCCTCGCTCTAATACTGATGCACGTTTTCAGCTGCTTAAAAGGCCCAGGGGCGCCCAAGGAGAGGAAGCAGCTTTGTGGCGCTTGCCTTCAGCTACTCTACGCCTATAACTTGTTACGACATCAACATGTGCCATAACGTGCGTATTATCTTCCCTTGTGTACGTCATAACACCTTATAACGGATTTCTTCCACAGATCATGGACGGACGCTGGCACCCGCAATGCCGCCACTTTATATCCATGTCGACAAGGTTTCAGGACTGCATGAAACCGAACTGCGTCTTCAGCTCGAGACACGAGCATGGCTCAGGAGGCAAGTTCTCCATCCGACGATGCCGGGCATAGCGTTAACGATTCGTTTGCAGCATGCAGGTCACCAACATGCATCCGGATGATGCAATTACCTGTGAAGAATCCCATACGTATCAGTCCCGCGCTGTGTGCGGACTGTGCCATCATAGACGCAGAGCTCCGTAGGGGCCCGGACGACGAATTGACTGCCCGAAGAAGGGACTGATCGCGTCGCGGGGTGGTCCTCGTTGGCACAGATCGACGGTAAACTATATGGTCACCGACACGACGCAGGCGTCGTTGTGTTAACGGAGTGGATCTCATGCATGTACATATTCTTTTTGTTCTGGCCTAGTCCTCGTGGGAGCAATCAGAGGAACCTCTCGGCGAAAGCGGACAGATCTGAGCGGAAGCATTTTCGCTCACGTGGTCGCTGGATTCGTTGTTGACTCTCCGCGTCCACAACCGACCTGACAATAAGCGGGCACGTCCAAGGCAATGCCGCTCAAGGTGCCTCCTAATTGTCGCGTCGCTATGGGCGGCCGATATATACTATTCACCCGCTGGCAGCGCAAAGATACCTTACCCCTCCTCTGCGCGTATGGGCCAGTTCCTATCAGCGAGTTTGCTCGGGCCCGAGCCCCCTAGCCTGAGGTCGTTTCTTGAGCAAACGACCTTGCCTCCACTTATTCTCAGCGACGAGGCTCCTGAGCGACCGACGAAAGGCAAGCGCACACACAAGAATGCGCTGGCTGTGTCAGGGACCAGGCGGCGAAAGCTAGCAGCCATGCAGATGATCATCCCGACCGTGTTCGACAGTGCGGTCTCATCGTGTGAGTGTCAATCGCAAGCGTCCAAGGCTATGCTGAACCAGCATTCCAGGGATCTCTTATGAGTTTCGCGGGCGCGATCGCTCCGGAAAGGAGCAGATATTCATAAGTCAATTGGCTATGCCATATCTAACAGAACCTGGCACTCATTGTACCCTCGCCCCACCATCTGATATCACGGGGTGAGCAGCATATATGCAGAATTGTGTCAAACCAGAATGCTTACAACTTTCTCATTAGTTATGTTGAGTGGGTCGAAGCATTGCCCTTACAAACCGCGCAGGCTGTCGTACACCATAACTTCCCGGATACCCGTTCACTGTCTTTCGTTCCTGGCATTGACGATCACGACCGAGAAATCTTCCGTCACTTCGTATGGGGTAGCAAGTCCGCCGACGGTCATATTCGAGGAAACTTGGTTGTCGCTATCCAACCGTCTTGGATAGTATCGGACTGCGACTTGAACGATTTCGTCGGGTGCAAGACAGTATGTCCCTTCGCTCCGCTACGTACATACTCGACTAATCAGACGTTCCCAGTTTCCCCTGAAGAAGTTAACGCCGGAGGACAAGAGGGGCGCACCCGTGGCTGCTCGGCGGCTACGTAGTAATAGGCGCTTATGGGCCAAGGTATGTTCACATCATTCGATAGCCCTTGATTATATGCTGATCACGTTCTAGCTTTGGGATACATGTTACCGATACCGAAGTCGTTTCTTTGTCCTTTCAACCTACGAGGGCTGGGTGTTCGGAAGCTTCTCCATCGGTAAGCATCGTACCCTCTGAGAATCGACCAGTTGCCGACATAGGGTCACTATAGGATGGACGACCGGCTTCGTGTCCCCAGTGAAAACCTTCGATGTCCATGCACCGACAATCTTGCACTGCCTGATATACTGGCTATCAAGTGCCAGTGCTCGCGGTCATAGTAGATGGATAACGCCAATAGTACGTGTCCGTGGCTCCTGGTCGTCACACATCTTACCTTCCCTTCCGTGATGTAGGTGTCTGGGGAGCCCTCGGATGATGAAGGCTCAGATATGTTCGATGAGGCAGCATCTACGGCTGTTGCACCGTCTATCAACTGCGGGTCCTGCTCTATGGTGCGGTCAACCGGTAAGCGCTGTTTGGATCACCGTGGGCAGTGTCTCACAACACGGCCCAGATTCTGCAACTTGGATCGGAGGCGCATTATTACACAAGCGTACGGATAGAAGACCAGACAGGCGGCCAAAAACGCCACTTCTACACGGTAACACGCTCGAGGATCCTTCTACAGCAAAACAATCAGTGACCCTCGCCCGGAAACGGGATGTGGCAGATTCCGACGCTCATGATACGCCTCCGGCTGAAAAGAGGAGGCGGCGATCTTCGGACGATCGCACGCTGTGCGACGGCCATGACGGCGATACGCCTATGTTCGACGCAAGGATTGGAAAGACTGACGCCCTCTCTCACGCTCGGCGCGGAAGTCATACGGCCATCCCCGTCTACGATCTCCCACCGCTTTCTATCCCAGAACGCCATCTAGCTGATACGACAAATGAACTGCAAGAACCGGGACTGCGGCGATTCTGTCCTTTGTCACCGATAACGACGCCTGGCTTCAATACCCTCCCACCGGGTCCGCATCCTGTGTACACGACATCTCTGCCAGAGGAACGATCACCGGATATCGTTCAGGACCTTCGACCGCACAGCGGTGTCCATCCCTTCGCCCAACCAAGCTACGACCCTGAATCTCCTACCTCACCCTTAGAGTCTCGATATGGGGTCACCGCACCCGTGTTGAAAGATCGGGTTCTAATTTGGCGGCGAGGGGTGCCATATCCGGACATCCGGCCGGTGTTCGCTGTCGAGCTCAAGAAGGACCCATATGTTCACATTACTATTCCCACCGCCGGCCCGCAGCCTCATGCCCGCAAGCGGAAGCATAGTTACCCCAGATTATCCTACGAGCCTATGGACTCTCGACCACGACGACACACCTCTCCGTGTTTCTGCTAGCCAATCCTGGTTGAGACATACGACCAGTCTCGAGCAAGGACCAGCGCGCCGCTACGGAATGTGTACCTATCCTTGGTTTCGGTTGACCCACACACGAGTCAGGACCGGAAATAGCTTGACTCGTGATTTTCCTCGGACGCGATCAGTACTACCGATAGCGAGGCGACACCGCTCCTCTCCTTGCCCTGCCCGGACTTGCGGGCCGCAACGCATTGCAGATGGGAAGAGCCCATCAAACATGCCTTCGCCGTGACGATCTCGGAAGAGTCCGAGAATATGCCTCCCGCTCTCCCCAACAGCCTCCAACTTTCTACCACGCTAGGTTTCTGCACGTTGCAGCGCGGCTCCAACACCCCAGGCGTCACGGCGGCACTTTTTGCGGCCCCTTCGTCCTCGGCACTGGCAAACGGCGTGAGTGGGAAGTTCATGTCCATGATTCTGAACCATCACGCCGTCCGCGACGAAGTGGGAAGCTCATATTCTGTCAATGAAGTACTCACGATGAATGAGGAACACGCGTATGTCATAGTCGTATATATTGTATGCCCCCTATATTACCGTATGCTACAGATGTTTCTTGTACATGTACATTGTCACAGAGGAGTAACATGACTCAAAGCAAAGGAATTCTAGTTACTGATCATCTTCATTGTCGAGGCGACCGCGCAGAGGCGGGCGCTTGGGGCTCCGCTTCTAGTATACGGTGCGGAGTAATGCTGCCGTTCGCTGAGTTCGGCGTGAGATTGTGCAATTGCTCTGAATTATGTTGTACGGTGCTCGCAGTCGACTTGAGCGCTATGTGGGAGATGGGTGGATAGAGGCACCCGCGTTCTAGAGACCGGGCCACGGACGGAGGCGGGATCTAAGAGAACTTTAGACCATGGAAAGCGAGTCCAGTCTCGTAACATACCGATGCAATAGAGGACAAGTGTTGGGCCTTATCCTGCAGATCTTGTGCGTTATAGAACTCGAGCAAGATGGAAAGCGAATCTGGTCAGATAAGACGGCGATAAGCTCGTGAAGCCTGGAAGGACCTCGGATATCCTACCGCTAACTCCGGTTACTTCCTGTTCAGACAGCTGGAGCTGGTCCACGGCGTATCGGGAAGCATCGGGGGAAGCGGGTTTATGGGTCGGGGGTGTCGGCAATGACGCTCCTGGCGCTGAGAGAGCTATCCTGGCGTCGAGGGACGGAGAGTGTGGGCCTTCGCGCACACGCTGAGCGAGCACATAGCAGGCAGCAGCTATGACCTTCGGCGTGTAGAGTATACACAATGGCGTGCGATATCTATGATTAACATTGGCCACGGGGTTAGGAAGGACTCGGGTAAGTAATTTGTGACTGAAACCCACGAATCGCATGCGATGCTCCAGGCGTAGGTCTCGGTGAGGTCATCCGACGCTGGAGTGTTCTCGAAGAGTTCTAAGAGGTGCGCGTGAGGGCTTTCTACCACGAAATCAAAACATAGCGCCTCGAGGAGGGCCTCCTCCGCTTGCAGAATCGCAGTCTGGCATTCTTCAACTTGCTGCAGGAAAGGGACGGTCAACTATTCTGGGATGAAACGACGCTTGCACATTTGTGATGCTTACTGGGCTGTCTGATGGAATTTCTTCCATATGTGGTATATTGTGAATCTTTGCCAGGCAGACTTTGGCGACGTCCTTCAGCTTTCTGCCACACTCCTCTGTTTTTGTCGCGAGGAAGATGCATGCAGCAGCGACATCCTTGAATCATAGAGAGTCAGATACGGCATCCGAGCTATCTCCGAAGAGATTAGACCTTACTTGGCGATGATAGTCTTCCAACGCAAACCGCATGAAGAAGCGGTGAAACCAAGTTGCCGCGGTGAATAGAGCCGATGACGGACTGATCGAAAATGTTCAGATACACGTTTTCCGTAGTGATCGTGGGCATCGTAAGCTGGGATTACGAACAGCACAAGAGACACGCCTAAACGGAACAGGAATTCAACGCCTCGTGCACGTTCGTAGAGTTCTTTTTCGATTGACATTTCACGGGTGGTGGTGATGCTCGGAGTCAACTTTAATGCGGCGACAGGAAAGATCCATTGCGATGATGTTGAAGCTAGTGGTAGCGGTGCACCCATTGCGATTGTGAACAACAAATCTGTGCTGAAAGGCTGCGATGCGGCGTGGCGTCGGACCCGGGGGTGGTGAGCGGAGCAAAGTGTTGCTAGCACGTGCCCCTCGCCTCTCACGTTTCAGACGCCCTTCCGCTCTGAAAAAACGCCCTCTTCCTCAATTCATCCCGTTGTATCGCTACAACGCCCTGCGGTTGATATTTTGCGGCTGCAACAAGCTGATGCCGGCGGGACACCTTCATCTAGGGTCGGACTTCCTTATCCCCTAAGCCCTCACATGTCTACGGGGATTGCCCTGGATTGCCACAAGCCGCTGATTCTTCTCACACTGGCATTGCTCGCGAGTTTATCTCAACCTCGCGTCGGCTCAACGCTGCAGCTACGGGCCACTGATCCGCAGAACCGTCCAACGGGAAGTTATCTCCGGGACCACTGGTGCGGGCCAAGTGCGGGCTCACTGTATCGCTGAAATCTCTGTGCGCCGTCGTCCCTTGCCGACTTCCTGGCGAGATACAACCGCGATCTCTCGGACGTGCTACCCACTTACTCCCGCCTTCACGAAGGCCATCGTGACCTTGACGGCAACGGGAAGGCGGGGATCTTGCTGACATCGTGATCAGCCGTTCAGGGAGGTTCTTATCCTGCACAGTCATTCGAGGAGCTTGCCCTTTGGCTTCTCCCGTCTTGTTCCTACTCAGGCAGCGGAATCCATTTCCGGGGCACGTCAGTCTTTGCCTCCGTTGGTACAATGGGATGTCTAAATACTAATGTCTAGGGATGTACGGGTAAGTACGGAATACATGATAAGGGGGTGGGCTAAGATTCCATCATATAGATGCGGGCGAAAAATCAAATATTCCAGATATTAGCGTAATATCTCGATAGCGCATGGGGCTGCAGCTCCAGTCCAACCGTCGTTACTTGATTAGCGCGCAAGACCGCGAGCGTAGCAGTCCGGGCAGTAGTTATCGATCAACGGAGCTATCGGTCATACCGGTGAGGTCGAGAAGCGCACGCGAAATGACACATTACTTGCCGTAAGACTCGGGAAATTGATGGCTGGTCGAGGCAGCAGCATCCACGGGTGACGAGAAGCCGAGAATACGTCAGCTCGCTCCAAATCGCGAAACACACGCGACTTACTATTGCCAGCACGTCTGGAGGCAGCTTGGAGGTTGACACGTCGGTGGGTGCGCCGGGCTGAACTTGCAGAAACGGTCGTCGCACGGAGCCTGCGCTATGAATCAGGACAAGCCCAGCAAATGCTCGAAAATGAGTTACAATCTGCTCCGGCTGCGAATAAGAGGTCAGCCAAAGAGATGAAGCCCGGCCATTGGTTACCCACCAAATCTATGGCATGGCCACAACGCCGGTATTGATTCTGAACGCTGCGCGTATCGGGGATGAGTATACATCTTCGAAACGGTCGGGGAAAATACTGACAAGCGGCGTTTACACATACTGTACAGGAGGAGGGGCGAGGAAAGGGAAGACGGGAAGTTATTTGCTGGCTGCTAGGACTCCAACTATCAGAGCGCATTTTATACTTGACGCAAGAAGCTCCGAGGCCGAGTGGGTTCCGGCATTGCAGTGGGATGACAAGGCGAGCAGTCCGCCATGCTAGAGATAATCAGATCTTGCGCGGGCGTACAGTCGTCTCGAAAACGTATCATCGAGATGTAGACGCTTCGTGTGATATTTTACTGGATAATCCCGGCTTACGGAGAAGCAGCGTGCCCTGCCCGCGAAAGAGGTTACCGGATCCAGTAGGTTGCTGCCAATGCCCATTGCCGCCGCCGCAAAGTTATTCAGTGGTCGAGGGAGAGTTCTAACCCCGTCACCTGTGTCCCTTCTTGAGATCGCATCGTCGAGTTGTCTTTCTCCGGTGCCAAAAGTATAAAACTGTATCGTTCTCGTGCGTTATCAGCGATCTCGCGTTTAACCGCGATTGCCACGCAGACGACCAGGCACGCTCAACTCAGACGCAACGCGGTTGGATAGTGTACGCGCGTCGCAACGTTGCTCGATCTATAGAGTCCAGACAGGTTGCAACCTATACATGACTACGATTGAGATACAGGAGTCGCGAAGTCGTAGCATAGCTCCACCGCGTCCTGGCATACACATCTTCCACACTGACGCATCGAAGAAAAAAATGTTGCGCCATGCATGTCCGAACCCTTAACATCTCAGCAAGATCCGGTTGTCCGAATATGAAAGTGTCGACTCCCGTATCTCCCACCGCACGACAAGAGCTTGCAGCGCCGGATCGGAAGCGTGGCTCGCATGATTGCCACCGAACGTTGACCCCACCGAGATCTCGGGCCACGGAAACGTGAGCGGAAACGTCAGATGGTCCGCCGGGATGGATGGCATCGACGTCGGGGCCGAATGAGAGAATGTTATCGTGAATTCCATCGATAACCGGCTGCTCGCCGCCCAGTGATCCCAGTTATCATACAACAACATTCACCCTGCAAACATCCCGACGAGATATTGACTTACGCCCTCGGGTGTGAGGATGCCCACGTCCGAAAACACGAGGGAGATCAAGTACGGCCTGTACGCGAAGCCAACCATGTGTTCAGGTTCGCTTCAGCAAGATGCCGAGCATCATACCTTGTGTAATCTACGTCCGGATTCAACGCAATTTGATCCGGGGTCATGGTCAATTGCACCGAAGACGCTGATGTAGAGCTTCGTCCAGCGGAAGAAGCGAGGGTCGGATGGACCAATCCCGTAAGCGATGATGTTGTTCTAGAAGATCCCATAGGTGCCACTGAGGGCCGCGCTGTAAGTACAGGGCCAGGTCGCTGCGGTGGACGCAGAAACGAGAGCGTCTGCGGATTATGCGTTGGTAGGTCGTACTGTGATAGCGGAAATAGCCTGTGAAACTTGTAGCTGGTAACAACGTGCGTCAGTCGAGAGCTCATCTATCTCCCACGAGGCGATCCATACCTCTCCGCCAAGGCGTAAAATGGCTTGTTGGCGCTTTTCGCGATAATGGCCATCTGGTTGCTTCCAACCGAATTAATCAGCCCGCCGCTCTCCACCACGGCTTCCGACCCAACGAGGACGAAATCGACCTTGTCCATCACGTAGGCAACTGCGGAGTCGAGCACGATCGTACAGGGAATCCCGGCGTTCGTAAGCTTCTCGTAAGTCATGATCCTGTAGATAAGCACATAAGTCAGCATGGTGCGCTCCGAGGCCGCCGCTATTTGCCTGACCCGAGTCCACGGGGGCGGGATTCCGTTACATAGACGGAAATGCGCTTGTGCTTGTGTGCGTTTAGCAGCGCCTTCATGACGACGCGTGAATAAGAATGCGTGAGGATCTTTCTCACATGAATTAATCGATAACGAGTTGCCACCAACTGTGAAAAGGGGCGCGCACCACGGAGTCATCCTTAATGAAGCCGAGGACAAGATCCGCAATTCTGTCACGATAGCGGAGGGCATCTGCAGCATATTTCTGACCCTGCTTCACCAACTCCGTTTTGAGCTCGGCGAAACTCTTCGAGAAGAGCGGATAGGCGCTTGAGCTCAGAGGACGTGCGAGAACGGAGATAAAAGCCGGTACATACATCGGATTCGTGCGGGAAGAGTGTCACAAAAGCTATAAACAACTCGCAACCCGCGTTGAGGCTTATCGGATTGGGTGTCCGCTTTTTCAGCTCTTCAGCGCCGTCTTCTAATGCCTTCACAAGCTCGAACATGGTCCCGGCTGTTCCAAAGAACGTGAATTCTATACACGGATTTCAACATAGCATGCAATCGCGCGCACCCGTGGATTTCTCGATCAGCTCTGTCAGGGCCAGGATGGCAGCCAAAGGAGTGGCTATCTGACCATATACACGTTTGAGGTTCAAGGCTGAAACGCAGGCAAGTGTGGACCCACTTGATCGTCGCGTAATATCCGCTGATACGTTGAATAAATGTCGAAGTTGCCTGCGATAGACGCAGCTGGACAGGATTCTTCCTCGGCAATGACATCTTGAACGAGCGAGGAGTCAGCCACGTCTTTGGATCTTGTCCCCGAAAATGAGGAGCTAGGCGATTTCAAGGTTATGGCAGCCATCGTAATGGACGAGCTCGTAGTCGGGTGTCAAGAGAATGACTCGTGCCCTCGGTGCGGCTAGTAGAGCACAGCCACTATCGCCTTTCTCTCTACCCGGTCGCGCACGTGGCCTCTGCCTATGACGCTGCGAGTCTCGCCCAGCTTCTGTTCTTCCCAAAGTCCGAGTTGTACGATACGTTCACCGTTCTAGACCTTCCCTCTTCCGGCCACTTCAGTACTTCGTGCTGCACCGTCAGATCGAGGTGGTTGCGATATGGCAACCAGGCCGACCTAACGATGTATGGCCGGTTCGCATCTTATGCTAGGTCTCGGGCTATCCGTTTGCGTTCACCAAAATACCGTATGCCACGCCTGACGAACGACGACACTCGTACACCACGAGGTTACTCGACGTTCCTGAGAAGCAACGGAGGCTTTTCGACCTCATCCAGGACCCTGAAAGGATAGAAGTTTCCGGGCTGACCCTCCGATTTCGCGCGCACCTGCCGTCATGCCAATGACGCCAAAAGATTGCCCCATTCATGAATATTGCATGAATGCCTATCTGCGGCTAAAGTGACTTTACGGAGTGTAATAACCCTGTTGGCAGCGGTGGCACGCGATTTTTGTTTGTATGCGAAACGCACCCCGAATCGGTAGTATCGAATCGGGTCAGCCACGTCCGATACTCGGCTCTGGTTAGCGCGCACACACATCTCCGTAGCCGATAGCGGGTCGAGGTCTGTCGAGGTGGCGCAGCGTTTCGGGACGAAGGGGGTGGAAGCCGCAAGCGGAAGGCGTTGTTCACGCCATCACATTGCGATCGACGGCGCCTGGGCTGCAATTCCGGCAGACGGCGCTCTGGTTGATACGATATGATATATAAATTGTATGCTCCGTAGCAAAAAAAAAAAAAAAAAAAAAACAATCCCCTATGTGGAAGGACGACGGGGCGCCCAAGCCGCCGAGCGGTCGCGAAGGTTTCAGCTCTGCGCGACGCCGTGCAAGCGAACGAGATTCGCCGAGCCCGCGCATGAAGCCATTCCTTCCGGGCTTCCCCAGGGCCGCAAGATCAAATACGAGCGGCGTTCGGTGATTTTTTTTGGCGGCGTCGTCGAGACGCCAAATATCGCGCCTGAAACTGTGGCGCAGCGGCGACCGTATATATTTTCAACATGGACTTTTTGGGGGCAAATAAGGCAGCGAAGCGGGTGGGAGCGTGCGATTGAGCCGTAAAGGGAAAGTCCCGTGCCGGGTGCAGCTCTGATAGACACGTTTTACGGCGTGCGCTTGTATTTCCAGCCTCGTGTTTCAGCGATGACAATTGTCGGACCCCCCAACTTTATTCCCCGAGCCGAGCGCTGGGCCGTACCTATAAGCCCGCCGGGTTCCTTTTGCTTTCTCCATCGTCGCGGACGACCTCCCCCGTATTCTTTGCTATTCTCCTCGTTACTGTTGCCCGTCGCCGACTAGTCGCGATAACCCGTTGCGTCTCTCTGTGTCGCCACCAAGTGCACACAAGTTATTAGCGACCGATAATCCGTTTCTTTCAGGTGAGCTCTTTGTTGACGCCCGAGAAGCACGAGCTATCCCGACTGATGCAGTCCGCATTGCAGCGCGTGTCAGAGACCGCCATGGCTGGCAGCGCACCTCCGCAACTAGTGTTTTCGAACGATGTCGCGCATATGGCCGAATGGGCCAACCGTACACGAATTCCTCTCACCAGCGCCGATGCACTCGGCACGACCTACGCCCGCGCCCGCAAGTGGTTCTTGACGCTCAAAACTCAGCTAATCCAGAATCACGGCTTTCGTGAAATTACGCCCGCCGACCCTCGCATGCTCATATCTCTCGAATGTCCCAGTCCATACCGTTCCGCCGGCGGGCTTCCCCGGACTCCGAACTTTCGCCTGCAAATTCCAGTCAACGCCTCTTCGTTCTTCTCACCCGAGCGCCAGCTCCAGTGGCAGATGGTCTTTCACGGGGCCCTGTTCCCGGCGATGCGGCACAACGTCCGCGCCATCCAAGACCTTGTGAACATGATTCAATGCCTGCTCACCGGCGTCCTTACCCTCGTCAAAGAGGACTCGGACCCCCGGGAAGGGTTCACTCGGACCGTTCGTGCATTGCCGCCGCCCGAGTGGATTCAGTCACACCAGGCGGACCTTGTGGAGATTTTCGGTCCGGCGCACTACACGAAACTATTTCGAGCCGCCGCGGACCCGACCATAGCATTCAAACTCGAGCGCCCGGATCATGACGATCGTCTCCGTCGCTAGCCCGCGCCCGTCCACCTCTTTCCCGCACGCTGCCTCGCCTCACGCACGCTGCACGCCACGCGTCTCGGAACGTCCCGCCCGCCCCGCTGACTTATGAGGCTCTCCTCATGAAGCTCAATATTGCACCCCGCATCGGCATGCTTTAATCTTATTCACTCATCGCGCTTCATCGCTTTCTTCATGCATCTCGTCCCGCCCGCCCGTCCGCACGCATACATTACCGTTTCTAGATCATGCCGCACCCCGTATTGTTCGCACCCATTCGTCTTCGTCCACGCATCGTACCTCTCCCGTATCTTCGTCGTGTCCTATATTGAGCGGATGCGCTCTCGGTAGTATCCAGCTCCCCGCGTATATTAGAGCGTACTTCTAATGCTTAATGCTAGTACTACCATCGTGTAGCCTCTCTATCCCCCGCCACGTGATGATAGTTTTTGTCCCCGGCTCGCCCGGAACTGCGATCTTGGTCTGTATCCTCGATGAGCGGCGCCGGCATTCCCTGTCAGAGTGACAACTGCAAGAACGGGAAGCCTCCTTCTCGGCTGGAGTGTCCTACTTGCCAAAAGTCAGCTCTCCTTCGATCGTCCGATGACTGCTGTCTGGTAGATCTCATACTCTGCGAAGACTAGGTATTCAAGGCTCGTTCTTCTGCGATCAGGATTGTTTCAAAGCCAATTGTACGTCATTTAGTTATGGAGAGGTTTTGTGGTGGCTTGACGTCTGCGTGAACGTATCCGTTTCGTTAGGGGTAAGGCCTTGGCACTTCAGTCGCATAGTAACGTCGCCGCTCAACCGCCCGCAGAAAACCCATAAGATCATACACTCGGTCGTCTCGGCGAGCAAAGCGCATAACAAAGATTTCAATGAACCGGGCAGTGCGTTGCTGTTTCGGGCTTGACATCGTCTCTTACTGAACACCGAGATCGTCTGTTTCATATCCAGTCGAAGGCGCATACATTCCCGACTGGGATATCTCCTTCACAGGAAAATTGCGACCCGTCTATCCACTTTCACCGAAGCGTGCCGTCCCTGACCACATACCTCGACCGGATTACGCAGAACGCCGCGATGGTACGCTGAAGCATATATTCTCCCGGTTTAAGGAAACGATGTGAGCCAACGCCCGTCCCCTTGTTTTCCCTTTGATAGGACGGCCTGTGACTGAGGAAAGAGCGTGGGGTCAGCCGCCCCGCCAATTGAGCAAGGAAGAGCAAGACAAGATGCGGAAGGTCTGCAGGGTACATAATAGAATTCGCTGATCCACCGGATGCTCCTCACGAGAATGACATGCAGTTAGCACGCGAGGTGTTGGACATCGCAGCCTCCAACGTCAGACCGGGGATCACTACAGACGAGATAGACGCCATCGTGCACGAAGAGACGATCAAGCGCGATTCGTACCCGTCTCCGCTGAACTACCGTCAATTCCCGAAGTCCGTCTGCACGTAAGTACCACCTCTTCCCGCTGCCCCGACAGAGACACCACGATAACGCTGCGACGTGCCCAGTTCGATTAACGAAGTCATCTGCCACGGGATCCCCGATCAACGGCGACTCCGAGAAGGCGATATCATCAACATCGGTACTGTGCCAACCCTGCCGCTGCTCGTTTTCCGATGTCATCGCTGACTGCATGCTACGGGCAGACGTGTCACTTTACTATCAGGGTCCGTGCTCTACTCCTGCTGCGCACGCAAAAAGCACCGAACGCTCAGATGAACGCCGTTCACAGGATACCATGCCGATCTCAACGAGACTTACCCTGTTGGGAAAGTGGACGATGACGCGTGGAGGGTAATGCGGGCGGCCAGGAAATCCCTATTCGAAGCAATAAAGCAGTGCAAACCGGGCGCGCTTTTCCGCGACATCGGAAAGACAATGCGAGTATGCTCTCAGCGTATAACAACACAACTAACTGAACGTGTGCCTACAGAGAACCTGTTGCTCGCGACCATGGTTGCTCCGTCGTCCGCACGTACACTGGCCACGGCGTTAACGACCTGTTCCACACCGCGCCGAACATCCCGCACTATGCTAAAAACAAAGCTGTGGGTATCTTGGACATACCGTATTCGGCTTGCACTGACTGAGAACCGCGGTACAGGTCGGCACGATGAAGCCGGGAATGGTGAGCGTTCAGTAACGGCTCGTGTGCGCAGTGCACAGGTACTGATCATATGACCATAGTGCTTTACCATTGAGCCGGTACGGATTGCCACCCCTGCGTCGTTCTTGCGTGCTTCCTTAATCTGATCTCGATATGCCTCCGCGTTTCTACCACAGATGATCAACTTGGGTGGCAATTGGGGGGAGGTTCATTGGCCGGACAACTGGACCGCTACGACTACGGACGGCAAGCTCAGCGCACAGTTCGAGGAGACCCTGCTGTATGTTACGTCTCTCTCGACTTTGGAAGCTTTGCAGACTAAACAGATTTCGATTCGCTCAGAATAACCGAAGATGGCGTCGAGATTCTGACCAAGGGTCAGCCAAGGAAAGACCTTGGAGAAGAGTAAATCTCCGTTGCCGGCCTTCTGCGAGTACGAGTTCGGCTTCTCCTTTATCGCGACTCTTTGGCCGCGGGTTACTGGAAGAGCCTTCCCGTCGGAGAAGGATGACATGGGTCGCGAGGGGAGATCATGTGTCCGCTGCACGGAATGTCTTATCACTGGGAGATAACGAGTTGCCGGGCGTCACCACAGCCCGCGCCGTTTCCCAGGACATCGTTTTACGCAACCGGGACGCTCGATCGTCATGTAAAGATCCCACCGAGTACTTCTGCTAGCGTTACCTCCACCCCGACTTAATTGGCCGCGTTTCTCCTAAGATTACCACCTTGTGTGCCCCGCCACATCTCGTGGGGTTATGTCCGACTCATCAGGGAGTATTTCCGACAATGAGCCCTATCTACTCGTGGAGAAATGTGGTAAACCTAGATCTTGCGATCTTCGTCTCGCTGTTCAGTTAAAGATCAGTGCTCAAATCGTTGCAGGTTCCTCCCGGGGGAAGCCCCTCTATATCATCACGAAACAGTACGCGCACATCGGGATTCACGTCATGTATGTCCAGCTGACTGGCTTAAGTTCCGTGGTGGGAGGCGTCGAGGGAATGGTAACCTTTCTACCGCCTACCTCGAATCGGGACCACCGTTCATGTCAAAGCCATTGATTGACAGAAAGAGCTACGATGCATGGACCTCGGACCTCTTGCGTTCGGAAACTACAGGCAGACGCAAACCGGCTGCACTCACATACAGGTTGGTGTTCTACTTCCAACAATGCAGGACCGACAATGTTTATACCACCACACCGATAATAGTTCTTCAATGAATCAAATGATTTATGGTAAGGGAACAGGAGCTTCGAAGCAATCCAGTATAGTGACCGTGATACTGTTGCAGCTGCACGAATTGCGGGAATGAGGTCAGTCCCAGTCTATTTCGCTCATTCATTGGGAACGTGGTCGTCTATCCTAGTTCATATCTCGATCAGTAGTTTCCCAAGCATTATCTGAAGCACAGCGCCCTAATCAAAGTTCGCGGGATACCGACCTGACGGCTCCTCGTTGCGTACGGGAAGTCTCTTGACGAGTAAGAAGCCCAACCGTAACGGCACAACGACGATCAACTGATCCTGATTAGCGATGTTAAGGAATGGTACAAAGAGCTATACAGACACAACAGGAAGTCGCGCTGCATAAGGAAAACGAACGATACATCGTCATTGGGAGATCCAATAGCGCCGTCATTCACGCCTTGCTGTCGTGTGCCGCTCTGTTTTTGGAAATCTCGGCATTCAGTTCTTCTGTAGCTTCCTGTGGTTCGGGTTGATCAGCGATCGAATCACCAGAAAGAGAATGTGAAACATTTACCTTGAACGACTCCTCGCGATCAACGGTCCCTATTCTTTCGACCGCGATCAAGTCTGTGAGGCTGCCTCTTCGGTCACGATGGGCTCCGCGGTACCGCAACCTCTCCGTGGGGGACGACCCTTCACCCTCGTCACCTACCGCCGTTCGGGCTTCTGTCGCGGTAGTAGTCGACGACGACGGCATATCCTCATCGGGCTTCGTGAGCCGCAGCTTTTGCAGGTCGGCGTAAGATCCATTGCGACTCCGCGACTTTTGGGAGGGAGGCACGCGAAGATCCTGACTGGGCAGGTAGCCGAGAACGTTATCATAATCGCCGGCATCTTCGTCGTCCGAATCGTCCGGCGTCGCTAGCGTGCTTGCATCGTGGCTCTTGGAACCCCCTGCCCAGGCACTCGTGCCTCGCTTCGAACTAGTGCTCCATCCGAAAAGCTTCTCATCAAGCCACGTCTGTTGACCATGAACACCTAAAATAGCAAGCATGATGCGGGATAGGACACACCATAGGATGCGCCAATATGCTATCGTTCCCATCATGGCCTGCGGCGATGCTCTGCCCACGGGAGTCACGGGGAGTCGACGGAGGGGGTTTGGCAGATGGAATGAGGATCCTCGCCTGTATATCCAGCAGTCAGACACAATGCCCTGAGTTGTGAATTATTGACGCACCTGGTCGAAGTCGGGGTACAGTTTGGGTCCAAACGTGTTTATGACATCCGCCAACTCATTCGATAGTTGTGCTCTCATCTCCTTTAGCTTGTTCAGTTGCTTCTGATGACCGGGGAGCAGGGCAAGGATCAAGGGACGAAGGGATCTTTGAACCTTCGTTAGCAAGCAGTCACTACCAGCATGACGAAACTAACTTGAACACGTCCATACCGGCTTCTCCAAATTTCAGTGCTGCATATCCAATGAACGGCGATGCAAAGATGAATAACAGCGGTGCTGCGATGCGCCACTTGAGAGGGGCGCCGAACCGCGCAGCGATGACCACCGCCAGGATGGAGTAGAAGGTGTAGAGCAGGGGAGCGAGACCTAATGAAATGAGGATCTTCCATGTAGCGACTACGTCACGACCAGCGATCTTGACAGTAGATGCGGCCAGAGCCTCTGCGCGAAAGTGAGCCAGAAATTTGACAGGAACCAAGACATTGTACCTTTCGCCTTTTTCGCTGACATGATCTTCGCTGTTATGAAGATTGGTCCATTGAGGATGACTCCCGGTAATGCGAACACGCTCCAAACTAGCAGAAGGCCAATGCGGTACAACAGCAATCCAAGCGTTTTCCATGTAGCCCTCTGAGCTAATGGCACCTGTTCCAACCATCAGGAATTCGAAACCGTCTGGTTCAGGTATGTGCCTACCTGATGGTCTCGCAAGCCCAAATCTCGAACGAGGCGGTTGTACTTCAGTACATCCGTACGCAGCTGCTGTATTCTCGGCTCGTCTTTGAAGTGGTTGTAGCCCTCCAAGAACCTCTTGTTAAGCTCCACGACTTGACCTAACGTCAGATGCTGCCCGGGCGTCCGGTATAGGCGCCTGGCAGCTTGGATGACCTACACGTAATGAACTTCACAGCTCTCGCGAGGAGCAAGGTCATCGTACCATTAGTGTGTCATAGTCGGGCGCTCTGATGGTGACCGTCTTCAAGCCATCGTACACGAGATCCATGAGTTTAGCGACAGCGTCGCGCTTTTGGGCGCCGCCCTGTTTGAAAAGCTCAACGAGCTCTGACGGTACGTCCATCGCTGTCCCGAACTCGACCACCGCACGGGACCGGAACTTGTGCGGATGGAAGTAGGATAATCCGACCGGAACGATCTTAACCTTGACATTCGGATCGTCTGCCATAGCTCCGAGGGCCATGACCGAGACACCAGCTTTTAACGGGAGTAAATCGGTTCGGTCGTGGCTTCCACCTGAAAATAGATCTCCGTATACTCCTCAGTGCCTATTAATGAACAAAACATACCTTCGGGAAAGATGCCAATCGAGCCCCCTTCTTTACACGTCTGGTAAACATGTTGGTACATATCTTTCTGGTTAATGAACGGCAACGTCTTGTACGTGAAGCCCTTCTCTCCGGACTGGAGCAGTTCTGACTGCTTTTCGCGGATACGGGCGGTTCCCTTCCCGCTGTCTCCACCAAATTCACGCTTGATCCGCACTTTTGTGTCCGAGATCACCTCCACGACCTCCGCAACGCTCGATCCGACTGTCCTCGGCAGCAAAATCTGCATCTTCGGAGCAAGCTGCTTGGCGAACTCAGTGTCCTGGCCGAGGACAAGGCATGCGTCATCGGGAGAGAGCTGAATTGTCCCCTTCCCTGGCTTGGCTTCGTCCACGGCTCGTCGAACAGGAACTGAATTGTTGTATACTCTCAGCACGCCTGCTAAGCGATTGATACCACATCACTCACTGCTCGACACCAAGCCCGCAAAGAACCCAATCGCCCTCCGCTGCATACTCTTTGCTGCTATAAGAAATTGAACATGTCGCCGGGTCTCCCGGTGCACTTCGAGCATCAGGAGCAGTGGATCCAAGAACTGACCACACCACATCAGTCCGGGATCGCCGGCGGGCTGAGCGGTGAACTCACCTGATTTGAATGAGGCGCCCCGACGAAGATGACGGGCCCAATCCGCGGGATGTTGTATGCCCCGCGCGGACGAATCTCCCGGAAGAAGATGTTGACGATAGCCTGCCATAGGACCAGTGAGGCATCGTAGGCGATGCTGGTCTTATGCGAAGCGTCGCTCATCGAGGTGAATCTAGTAGGTGTTACAACAGCACAAAGCAAGTTAAGCCCGATAGTTCAATGCCAGAGAGACAAAGATAACGAGCGGTTCGTGAGCAAGTCGTAAGGAGTGTATAAGGGAAACACAGGACACCTAGGCCGCAGGCCTGCCGTCTCGGGTGCAAGCCTGAAGTATGGGACAGCCGGCAGCCGTCGGGTGTCATTCACTGACGCGACGCACGTGAAACCACGCTAACTTTACCAGCAGCCCGCCGGGATCTCGAGAGCTCTAGAGCTGCTCTATCCCTTCTTCTGCCTGCCATTGCTGTGCCCGAACCACATCAAACAGGGAAGGGTATTGCGCACATGTACACCTGTAGGTAATGTAGATAACATCGAGAGCGGACCGGACAGAAACAACGAGGAGTGAAAAGCAACATAGTCTGAGGGGTATACCGCGCATCATTAAGGGCTGATCAAGACGCACGCCCGTTCGAGGAACCCGCGCTCGCCGTGCTTGCTCGATTATACTGGAAGAGGTTGTGAAGTCGGGAAAGGCGCTCGTCCGCGGCCGCAGGTATGTCTCCCGACAAGCTTGTTCTGGGAGACCGTGGCGATCTCGGTGATATAGTCTCAGACGGAGATTGGCCAGCCACTGGAGAAACAGGCTGATTTGCCTCCAGTTCTGATCACTCCCGTCAGAAAACTAGCTATCAATATGCTTTGCATAAGACTCACTGGAAAGAGTGTGCGCCACAGCTACATCCCTCTCTTGATCCTCCGCCGCCCGACTGGCTAACGCGCGTGTGATGTATTTTCTGAAAGCTGGGCCGGTGGACTCCAACATCTTGTCGACCTTCGGCTTCTTGTGCGGATGGGCCTTGAGGAACTGGTGCAATTCCGTAATCCCCTCTTTATGAAGGGCACCGGTCGTCTCGCTCGAGATGTGGTTGATGATTGTGATCAGCTGAGCATCCGGATCCGGCTCTTCCACGGGGGACGAGTATGCACCATTTCCGTTCACAGACGATGCCGTCTGGCTGGTCCGGCGAGTTTCGGATAACGGGCGGTAGTCTCCGGAAGCGACTGAGGATGCCGTCTCCGGGGGTGAGATGGGGCGGCTCACGCTCGGCGAAGCTCGATGGACGGAGGGCAAGCGACTGGAAGCGACGGAGTGCGCCGGCATGTCTGCGCCTACCCTCGTGCTCGAGTTCAGGATTCGGTAAACATACGGGTAGACGATCGTCGCGGAAGGATCGTCGAAAGCTCCAGAGAGAATGTCGTAAACATCGTCGCCGTAGAAACCTGTATAACATGTTAGGTTAGGGGGTAGCAAAGCCCATAAGTGGCATGATACGTACCAACGACGTGTTGTATGATGACCTTGATGGTTCTTAGAGGCATATCGCCACAAGGTACCTTATTCGTGGCTCTTGCACGCCACTCATTCGGAGGGACAGATTGAAGGAAATGTTCAATGGCGGGGAACAGCTCGATGGGATCCAGCGCTTGCTTCTCCAGATCCTGCGGCATGTTCCTGGCAAGCTTCCATATGCACTTGAGTACGAGTTCGGCGATCTTCGCTTCCTTTGACTCCGCCGGGGTGCCGTTGGAAGGGAATGGCTTCACGATCTGTAATAACAACGCAAACAGAGCGCTGACCAAGAGAGCCATATCAGCAAATGTGATATGCTAAAGAGGGAAATGACCTTACCGGAATACCGACATGCGCCTAGCAGTCGCGAAGAGGCGAAGGATGATCATATTGATGAAGCGCGACAGATCCTTCACCTTTGAATCCGGACTGTCGTCCGTCTCGAGCAGCCTTAGTGTCAACTCCTCCAGAAGAGACGTCAGGATGTCGACGGTGAGTGATTCCGCGAGAAAAACGTGGTCGCAGAAAGCGTTCAGGGTTTGTATGAGATGCTTCGCCAAACGGAAGTTCTCAGGCAAGGTGATATCGTCCGGCCGGTCGAAGACGTGCGCCATCTGCAAAGTGATAGTCTCGATCAAGCCTTCCGTATGTTCAGCCAGATCCCGATACGCAGGCGAAGACGGCCCAGCCTCCGGCCCAAGCTCCAGAATGCGTTGGATCCTCTTCAAAGCATCTACGCTCCGTGTCGGGTCGCTGCTGAGGATACTGGAAATTGTGATGGAGACGTTATCCGGTCCCGAACTCTCGGCTGCTGTGTTGCTCTGCACCGATTCTGCTCTAGCGCGTGCTGGTGCCCGAACAGGTACCGGATCCTGTTGATGCACCGTGAGATCATCCTGTTCCTCTGCTTCTAGAGGAGGGACGCTCCGAGCACTGAAAGCTGGGCGAGCTTTGGGTGGCCCAAGTCTAGATGGTAGGAGGGTTTTGGGTCGGCCGATACCAACAGGCGAAGCAGGACTAGGGAGGTTCGACGACCTGGCCGGACGCAAAGGGGATGTGGGGCGTTGAGGAGATGTCAACGTGCTTGCTTTAGCAATGCCCGATGGCGAGGAGGGGCGGGCCAGGCGTGATGGAGCGACGGCCGGGCTCGCAGGCCGAGGCAATCCGCCAATCTTGGACTTGAAAGCTGGAGCAGGCGATCCAGAGCGAGGAATTCCGGTTTGCAGACGGGTCGCATGCGTAGCGGGTGCTTGTGCAGGGGGCTCTGGGCTGACATTCCCCGGAGGACTGCTTGGTCCCGCGACGCGGCGTAGTCTCTCTTCGAGCTGCGTCTTATCCTTAGGAGAGAGGTGCCCAACTAACGACCAAATCTTCTCGCCGACGAGCGTGTACGCTTCGCTCAAGGCAGTCAACGCGGACTTTCGCACGCTTGGGTCCTTGTCCGAGATCATGGCTGCTATCTGAGGGAGTGCTTTGGCGGGCTCGCATGCGCTGATACCGAACCGGTGGATCAGGCTACCAAGCTCGTCGATGGCGCCTTGGCGGGTTTTGGCGACCTTGGATGAGAGACCGTGCTGTAAAACGAGCTGGAACACTCGGCTGTATGCATCTACCTTGGGCAAGGATTGGATGATTGCTTGTACGCGGACCCGGACTTGTTCTCGAGCATCTCCCAACTAGCGAGGATGAGTAAATTTCCTGCGGCTACGGGGGGTTGCTTACCTTGTACACCATGGTCGGAATAAAACACAGCGCCTCGGCATCAGTCAGTTGATAGCCGATGCTGGACAAGAACGAGAGAACAGCTTCGACAACCTCCAGGCATTTGCTTATGAGGTTCGACTGAGGTTCATGGGCTTTGATTGAGACATATTTCAATGGAAGATCGCAGTTGGCCACCGCGACCGCAGACAGGAGGTCGTCGCTTGCTTGGGCATTGGTGTAATAGTCGCTGATCATGCTCAACCCCTTGACATGATCATTGACTGCTGTATGGCCATTGCTGAATAGCAGTGACACCAGTTCCTTCGAAGCATGAGGCTCCATCTGATGCTGCAGCAGATCCGCCAAATCCTTGCGCGTGGTCCCACTCTCATTTATCCACCTCTGTCCATCCTTGGCCAGGCGAGCTCTCTTTGGTTCGGGGCTGGAAGTGATGAAGATAGCCCCGTTACTGTTGTCAGCGGGCACGGGAGGTGTCGGGGACGAAACAGAACCTGCTGCCGGCCGACGGAGGCTTAGCCCGGGCTTGGAGGGCAAACGAGACCTGGGAGCTTCTTCCGACGGTGTCTCTGGGCGTGCGTCTGCGCTCTTTGGGATTGCGCCCATGAGCAACTTTCGGCGAGGAGGTGCTACTTTCTCGGTGCCCGACAGAGCCGGAGTTGGTTCTTCAGCAGGAGGCGGAGACGGAGCGCGAGGCTTGGCCGCCTTCGCAGGGGCCGCGGCAGGTTTGCGAGCTTCTACTGAGGCTGTTGCCTGGGTACGAGGCGCCGCATTCGCCTGAGCAGCTTGGATGAGGGCTGCAGCAGATTTTCTGGAGGCGGGTTTGAGAGCATTTGTGCCACTCATGACCGTGTCATAGCCGCAGCAAGTAATTAGTGTTGGTAGGAGACCCTGGGCACCCTTGCGTACGTCCGCGCTCCTGTCATCCAGACAGGACACAACGGGGTTAACCCAGCTACTTATGTCCAGTGAAGGGCTGGGTTCATGCTCCTTGAACCAGTCCACCATCCAGCCAAGAAGCGTGGCTCGTTGCATGGGATTTGGTGATTCAAGGGCAGTCGTCAGTCCCTTTACCATGGGATCAACACCCTCACAGGCGATGGCCATGGCGGTCAGGGTTTGGCAGGCGGCCTGGCGAGCAGGGGCCTTCTGGTCCGCAAGCACAGTCGCCACGGGTAGATCAAATAATCGGGAATATTTCTCGAACGGCTTGCCCATTCCAGTAGCAATCCGTGCAACGATGTCGAGGGCGAGCATCTGCACAGCTTTATTCGCATCTGTGACGCGAGCTTTAAGTACCTGGCCGATCTCGCCTACGGAGTATAATTAGTTGTGTGCCACTGACAACCGAGTCCAACTGTGCACGTATGCACTTACCCATGTTGGGCTTGAGTCGTTTGTTCGCCCCCTGGTCCAAGATAGCTTGTAAGGTTTCCAAAGCTTCCTTCTTGGTCTTCCAAGCATCGCTCTTGGCATCGGCAAGAATCGTGGTTCCCTTCAACAGTCCGTCGATTTCTACGCGAGGGAAGAGGTCATCCAGGGGATCTGCGCCAGCTGTGCTGGAGCCCTTTCCGGAGGCGACATCGGTTGTGGCCATGGCAGCGACATCGGCAGATTCACGAGTGGGTTCTGGAGCGGGAGTGCCTTCAACTTTGTCGAATTCTGAGCTGATGGTGTTCAACAACTGTGGATTCAGATCCTCCAAGAAGTCCTTGATACCTGGCGGATATCATCTTCAACTATTGCATACCACCCATCAAGCTAAAAACTTACTTGAGCCAGCGAACAGCTTGACAGTAACGAGCGTCTTTGTGGCACTAGTTCGCACACCGGCATTCGAGTTTTTTAGGCCGTCCTTGAGGAACTCAATGAGCCCTCTCAAAGACAGGCCAGCGATGCCGAACTCCTTTAGTGCCGTGTCCACCCAGACTAGAGCATCGGCGAAGACTTTGGGCGCCTTCTGTTTGCTTAAGGGTTCGTATGCTAACGTTTGTCCGCGTTAGCCAAGCCGGTATCTGAGACGCGCCATACATACCATGCCCCAGGACGAACTGTAATGACGTCTTTTCAGCAAGCAAAAGTAGCGTGTCACCAGCTGGCTTCTTGAGCTTCATATCGCCTAGCTTCTCGCTGAGATGAGGGATGCAAAGTGCCGCTGAGGATCTCCCAAAGCTCGGACACCGTGTCGCAAGGATTTGTAATATCCCGTAAAGCTTTGCAGATACCTAGGACGTAGCAAGGGCCGCTGTCAGCAATCACGACATCCTGATCCAAGCCACCAGAGTGCACCTGGAAGTTCTTCTCGTTGAAACCTTTCTTCGCCAAAAATCGTACGACAACCTCGCTATCTAGGTCGGCAGCGGCTCCCTCTACCCATGTCGTCATTTCTTCGAGCGCCGCCAAGCGCACTTTCCAGGCTGAATCGCCTAAGTCGGTCTGGAAGTTCGCAGGGATGAGTTCTGTCCACAATGCCTCCGCGTCCTCCGGCGTATGTTTGTACTTGAAGCTGTCCAGTGCACCTGGAGGTGCAGCAGGTGCCGATTTTCCAGATGCCTTGGGCGCCGCAGCTGGAGGAAGCTTCTTGACAGGTGCAGAAGCAGCTGGTGCAGGTGATGGAGATCCGTTCGCAGCAGAGTCTGCAGCTAGTTTTTTTGCCTTCGGACATCCCATCAACAATTAGTAATTCAACATGCAGCGAGAGGAATGCGTTTACCATGAGTCTGGCAGGAGGCTTCTTCGAAGGCTTCGGTGGCTCCTTGAAGTCGTCTAACAAGTCATCGGCAGTTGGCGAAGACGCATTCGGTGCCGATGCGGGTGGTGGATGCGCCTTTTCAGCGGCTGCGGGCTTCTGTGCGGGCTTCACGGGCGCAGCTTTGGGGGGCGCAGCTTTCGCGGCCGGTGGGGGTTTCGCAGGAGCAGCGCCGCCGGCTTTGCACTTCACAGTAGCTTTATCGTAGGCTTCTTTAACCTTAGCCTTGCGGACGTCCGCAAGGCCATCCATTAGCGCGTTCAGCGGGCGTTCGCCGACCATCTTCATCAGAGTGCCCAATGACATGGCAGCCTCGTCTCGACAGCCCGCCACAGAATCCTCTAACAGCGCAGCAAGCGCATCGGACAAAGGCTTGATCTGCGCTGGTTGGATCGGAGCAGATGCGTTCGACAGACATCGCGTAAGGAACTTGAGTGATCCTTCCTTGACCTGCGGGTTCTTATTGGAAAGCATTGGTTGAATGTCCCCGAGTATGTCAGAAAGCGCAGTCTGCGGAAGAAATTGAGCAACCTTATACATCGCCAGACCCCTGAGACCTTACCGTCTTGAAGACAGCATCTAAAGCGGCGCCAATCGCATCCGTGACTGAGGCTTTCCTTTCCTTCAGCCGTTCCATCATCGGGGCAACAACTGCTTCGCGGAACCTGCCAAATGGCGTAGCAACGCCCTCCGCCAACTTCTCCATGCAATTTGCCGCCGTAGTGACACACGCAACATTGGCGTCTTTGTGTATGCAAGTCGCTAGGGACTTGGCAAGTTCGCCAAGTTCCGGCGCGTCCTTTATTCGCAATGATGCATTGAGTAGGGTCTGGAGATCATCCAGAGCTTCTTTGCGTTCCTTCCATTTAGACGACGAGAGGTTGCCATAGAAGTTCGCAGGCAACCTGCCCGTGATATCCACCTCTTCTGCAAATGATCGCGGGTCTAGTTCCGCTGCTATTCCTCGCACCAAGATCAGGATCGTTCACAGTATAAGCCCCGTTACAGCTCACCCGCTTCCTCCTGCCCTCCCCCAGGAGCTTCTGCGTCATCTCCTGCTGTCATCTGCGCTGTCTCTGCTTCGCGAGCCTGTTGCCTCGTCAACCGCTCCGGCTTGAGAGTCCCTTTGCCCTTGCCCTCCTTCTCCATGTTCTCAAACGCCTCCTTCAGTTCCTTCACCTGAACGGGCTTGAGGTCCCCTAGAAACGTCTCGATCGCGGGACCCATGTATTGATAGAGCGCATGTGTGAGAGCAGTACCCTCGGCTCGAACCGTCTTGTCGGAATGCCCAAAGATCTTTGGAAGGGCCTTGAGCACGGGCTGTGGCGGTATTACTTGGATGCCGAATAGTCTGTATACGATTTAATCGTCGCATTTATGCCACAGAGGGTATTCCATACCGAACAATCTCCTTCATAGCAGTCACACATCCTGATACGACCTTCGGTTGTTTCGCGCTCAATCCTGGAATGATATCGGCCTAACTGGAGACTTAGGATAAAAAACAGGTTGGAGTTAACATCCAACACTAACGATCACGCCTGCGCCGCTGTTCTCCACTTCAACATACTGCAGCGCGAGCTCTATGGCCTGATTCCGCGTCCCAGCTCGTGTCGATCCGAAGCACTTGTCCACGAGCGCGGGCACAACCGCCTCGCGCGTCCGCGCCGCGTTTTCGCCCGCAAACTTGACGAAGGCGACCAAACAGTCGACGCCTTTCTCCTGCGCGACGGCATTCGAGTCCGTGGCAATCTTCTTCAGTAGATCTGGGTTGTTCAGATAGGGCCTGAACGCAGGGTCGTTGTCGGATGCGGTGTTCTGGAACGTCTTGACGAGAGTCTCATATGCGCTGACTCGGGCCTTCCAGTTCTTGTGGGAGAGCCTGTCTTCAATGGACAGCGTTGAAAAATCCTCTTCTGGGGGAGGTGCACCCTCCATGAGACTGGATACGGCAAGCCAAGGATAACGAAGCAAGCGAAGAGATCAACACTTCGTGTTGAACGCGGGTTACAGCCACGCGCTCTCCTGCGCGTCCGTTCTCATGATGCCGTTCAACTTCGCGAACGCGCTCGGACTTCAACCGTGCGTGCAGACAGACGAGGTGCAACATCTCGACAAGTATTATATTGTACATTTTACCGGGCAGCGAGCGCTGCTCCGATGTCTGCTATCAACTCACATACCGCCAGAACGTCATCATCTACCACAATCTCGTCCAATTTGCGCTGTTCCTCCACCGTGTCCTCGTGTCTCTTTGCGGCAGCGTCTCTCTCCTGCACCATATCCAGGTTGTGGTAAACAACGGAAAGAAAATATTGCACGTCCGCCAAGGAGACATAAAGCTCTAGCCGTCGATAATCCTCCTCCGCATGGTGGAGATATGCAAGCGCTTGCCGGAGGCCTGTGGGCACTAACGCTTGACTTGGTATAGGTCCAAACTTGACTACGAAGTCGCCGGAGTACTCACCGTCGTCTGCAGCCGCTATGATACACCGTGCATACACAAAGCATGCGAGTGCCCTCTGTTCTATATCATCCCCAGCGATGACCTGCGGCATGATCTCTTCGATGATCCGACGAGCTTTCTTGGTCCATCCAAATTCAAGGCTGATGTCGGCGAGCATGACGATGGCGGTTCGGTAGAGCCCGAATCGGCCTTGAAACTCCGATTTCCATAGGGCGACGAGGAGCGGTTCAACTGCTTGAGCGCCTTGATCAACCCTCTACAGGCGATGACAGCATTCAGTGAGCTGCTACTCGTTTCCAGCGAGCGAGAAAAGTGGGCCACCTTCAGCTCCATGACTTTGTACAGTGGGTCGCGAATCGCGGACGCAACACGGCCCTTGTCACCATCCAATGAGTATTCCTTTGTGAGGAAGTACATCGAGGTTCGTCGCGTGCGCAAAAAGTCCCTTATCGTCCGGATTTGACCTCTGACGAGGTATGCTATCAGGCGACGCCCTATTCATGACGATGGCAAACTCACCGTCGTGTTGCTCTCAATACAAGAATATGCCAGACTTCGTTAGCCCAAAGGTTATAGTCCGGCATCGTGGCGAGATTTTGCCACACGGACGGTTCGAGTAACATCGCCAGACCTTCATCGTAGGATCCTTGGCGGGCCACCTGAGGCAAAGTTTATGAACTATCTTCCATGTGATAGCATGACGGACTGACTGCGTAAGCTCGGTTGGCAAGGCAGGACAGCGTTGTCTCACTGCTCGCACTCATGAAGGTGGTGACAATGTCCTCCTCAATATGGGCGAGTTTGTCCCTGCCTGAATGAGTGTGAGTATGACGGACATACATGTTTAGTAAAACACCTACCAGCAGCCGACCAGACTATGCTCTGCACTGCATGCTGGGCAAACTCATCGTCCTCCGCGGGCTCGTTGCCTTGCACGTCGATCCAGTGATTAAACAGTCCTATTGACTCCGTTATCTTCTCAAAAGAAGAACCTAGAGGTTGATCCTGGATGAAGTCTTTAGATAACGTCGTCCGGGTCCGCAGACCAATGCACACCTACACTTGTTGTTTGCATGAGCTTCTTCACGTCGAATAGCAACTCAAGAGGATGCAAATCGGGCTGTATCTCGTTCAGCGCAGGTTTTCGGCCTCGCTCCACGGGAGGTAGGCGGTTCAGCATGCTGCGAAAGATGTGCGTTCAGTCCATTCCCGAATGCCATGCCCGAATCACAGCCGACATACCTCGTACAATGCTGTAGTGTCACCCTATCACCAGAGATCCGCGAAACTGCTATAGCTTCCTGCAAGAGCTTGATAGGAGAACAGCGGGTAAGTCACAGGTAGAACGACACGAAATGCGTCATACCTTCCTCGCCGCGGTATATTCTGATCGGACGTAATGCAGTCGTATGAGGTTCAACATCGCATGCTGGCGATTTTTGCTGTAAATAGCATGAAGAAGCACATCAATATCTGCAACACACGCACAACGAGAGAACGCACGACTCCGGCTGGGTATGGAAGCGTTGGTCGAAGTATCTGCGCAAGCTGTCGGCCGCCGTCTTGTCGTCACCGACTAGCAGCGCCTTTTCATACCTATCTCCGAATACGTGAGTGCCACCATGAACAAGGATTCAGAAACATACGAAGCAAACGCGTCTGGAGTTGCAAAGTGACTCGCGTCGATGGGCGTCCGAAAGAGAAATCGATCTACCCGAACATTGCCAGATTAATGTCATCCGGGACAAACAACGCACGTGCATACCATCTATCAGATCATCGCCTGCAGGAGGATCAATATCTGGCGACCACTGTCCCTTCTTCCACTGAGAGATCGCGTGTTGCAGCTTGCAGAGACCATGGTACGATAGCTTGATGTAGCTGATGAAGCAGCGGCGGCAGAAATAACCCAGCAGCGACCTGCGAGTCTGCAGGGTGCATGTCGGTATGAGAGGAGTACTTCCTGGCGTAGACTCACAAACTTCTGCGCCTGTACCTGCAATGATCATGAGAGACGGCGGTACGTGTATGGATGTAACCTCACATCTTCGTCGTCTTTCTCCATAAATAACCAGTATATGGCTCGCATAAATCCTGCGCTCTGATCAATTCCCCCGATGTATGCGCTCTGGGACGCGATGTGTCAATGTAAAGCGCATGGATCGTGCAATAGCCTGGACCAACGTTCTGATCAATGACTTTCAGCAGTAAAGCTTGTGCGACAGGATGGTCAGCCTCAGGTCCATCTCTGAGAGCAGCAAAGAGCTCATCAGCAGATTTGGGTTGCGTAACCTGCATGCTGGTTATCATACGTGACTCGTCGAATGCGAGATACAACGTGCGGCACACCTCAGACACCTCGCGCGTCAGGAAACGGTACAGATGCAGCACAAATGCCGGAGGTAACCCTTTGCCTTCAAATTCTTTGAATGTGCACAGTATGACGACGAGCAGCAGCATCTCGTGCGGTCGGAGAACATGCTTCTGGGGCGGCGGAGGCGGGTGTACTTCTGGCTTCTCTGGAGCCTTTTCCATCGTAAGTTCTTCGGTGATAACTTCAGCGTCCTTCAACACGCAATACACGTCTTCAACCGGTGGTAATTTAGCGCTTATGAGGTCGCCAGGCAAAGTCGAATTACATGGACGAGTCGCGCTAAGGGTATAACAGCAGCGAGAAGCGAGGACATGGCGCGCGCAGCCCTCAATGATCTCGTGACCACGGTCGTGGGCGGAGCGTTGGCTGTATCAATTCTACAAAATATAGGGTTTTTTTAGACAAGGGTACGGACAACTTGAATGTCTTCACCCTTCGCACAGGGAATCCTACGATCAAGGCGGGGAACATGTCAACAAGCAGCTAGGTTTCCGTGCGGCTAAGTCTCTGACGCGTCCTGGCACGCTTCGGCGCGGACTGGCCGGAGATGCAGAATTTCCAGTCATTACAATATGCACTCGCGCAAGCACCCTTCCGCCCCGTTTGTTCTACAGAATTAAGCTAATCGAGTGCGAGTCGAATGGCAGGGGACTCGAGAGGAGGGTTCGCCGCCACGTGAGCGACGTGAACGCGCCGTTGATGCAATGTGTCCGTGGGAATGGCCAGCTTTGGCGTCTTCTCTGCTACCACCACTCCTCCGCGCGACATGTCGCGGCTCACAGCAGCCCAGGTAATCGCCCTCGGCGAATACCTCGACCCGGACTTCGATCCCGCGAGCTTGACCGTCTCCCAACTTCTCGGTGTCTTTGGATATCACAACATCCCGTTTCCTCAGCCGTACACGAAACCGAAGCTCGTCCAGCTGTTCAACGACCAGATCAAGGCGAACGCGACGAAGCTGAAGAAGCAGAGAATCAAGAAGGAGAACAGCCTAGCGAGTGACGAAGGGATCACCGATGGAGTTACCGGCAAACCGCTATCGCAGCCGAAGGTACGCCCTGGTTGGATGTCATATCTGAGTCGCAGCTCAGTGCGGTGTCGCGACAGGCGCCCCTAACCAGGCGATCCTCTCGTCGACTATCTCGAGCTCCCGAATACGAAGAGTATACCGAACCGCTCAAGCCAGAACCTGTGAGCGAGCCTTGATCGCACCCTGCCTGACCGTCTGAGATAGCCTCGGTCCTAGCCCAAGCGTAGAAGGTCGTCGGCTCAGCCTACGCTCGGAGGACCGTCCACCACTCGGAGGACATTGATACAGCCCTCTTTGGCAGAAGAAAGCGAACCCGAGGCGAGTCCGCTGCCGAAAGTCCGTCGTAGCAAGAAGTCTGTAAGTAGGCGCTCGACCCATGGCTTGTTCCTGCGCTCAAATGCTTCATGTTAGACGGCGGACGCGGGAACAGAAGCGCGGAGACGCGTCTCAGACGCATTTCCCGAGGATAGCGGATGGGAGGACAACAACGTGTTCCAGTCTGGCGCTGAATCCTCCCCGAGCCGTCCTTCTCCCAAAGCGAAGGCGCCTCGGAAATCAGTCGTACCCCGGAAATCCCGGAAATCGTCGTCTGCTCCGCCACAGATACCGTCGTCGCCCACGAAGTCATCGCCATCGAGATCGCCCGCCAAGGATAGGTTTCAGCACGAGTCCAAGTTTGATCCGGATCTGCCTGAGGATATCTTCGCGGATAGCAAGCGAACATCGGACGGGACTTCGGCCCCGTCACGTCCTTTACTCGCTGTGCCGAGCATAGTGAAAGAAGAGGATGAAACAGTTGCCGACGAACTGCCTGACTCGGAGCCGATACCTGCACCTATAGCAACCAAATCGGAGGACAGCGAGCCATCCAGTAGCGTGGTGTCCCAGGTGGCTAACCAGGGAGCCGTGATCCGAAGACCTGCACCTCCGAGGCAGAGCGGGAGCTCCTCATGGTTCATCCGTACAGTGCTCGTCGGTCTAGCTTTGCTAGCCTCCGGCGGCTTGGTCGCTGACTATAAAGGACAATCTGCCTCCATCGGTTTCTGCGAGAGCGGCAAGGACACGAATCAGGCGTTGGAGACGCTGAAGATCAAGTGGGAGGCGATCGAGAAGTGCAACAGGGAAAACAGCACCGTCCTGACGCTCCCCATAACGCCAAACGAAGCGACGGACATTGCCGAGGTCGTCGAGCCGGTGGCCTGCCCGCCTCTGCCTATCATACCTCGCCCCGCTCATTGCACGCCATGCCCCCCACATGCGTCATGCACGCAGGATACGGTGATCTGCGACACCGGCTTCCTTCTGCGCCCGCATTGGGCCTTGAGTTTCCTTCCGCCGCCGCCACGGACCATCTCGCCACACGCCCCGGCGGACACAACCTCGGATGCTGTGTGGAAAGTAATACACGAAGTGACTGACGGCCTGCCCGGATTAGGGCCGGTTGCGTTCCCTCCGAGATGCGTGCCGGATCCAAAGCGGAAGCGCAATATCGGCGCGCTCGGGAAAGCGGTGGAGGCCATATTGAAGCAGGAGCGTGGCCTCAGGGTCTGCTCTGGCGCGCTCGATCGCGTTCAAGTCAGTCCCGAAGACGGCGGCGAGGCAAAGAAGTGGGGCTTGGACGTGGAGAGCCTGCGGGAGACGATGAAGAAGAAGACGGCAGTAAGCTCTGAGACCAACATGTGTATGGCCACGATACTTAATCTCGGTGTCCTTTGCTTTGTCGCTTTAGCCTCATCTGCTCGAGACGTTTGATGATACGTTCAACGAAGCCATATCGCAACTCGTGGTGTGGGGTAACGTTTTGACCGGGGAAGACCAGAAGTAGGTTGATGGACACTTCATCTGCCGCCGGAGCTTGCTGACAGCTTCTGCAGTGGTCGCAGCTATCTGGCACACGAGATCCCAGACTTGACATGGAATTGTATGCTCACTGTCAAGGCTAGGGAAACGTGGCAGGAGTGGCGGTCTAGCGTCTTGGGTGCGTTTTCATACAATATGACATTGTTTCAGTTGCGCTGACAGGTCGGGCCTTGTTGCGCTTTTTTTTTCTCCCTCCCACCTTCCTCAGGCTTCCTGCTGCTGGTGATCGCCGCGTTCTCAGAAAAGTCCCGGCGCGCCCGGCGGAAGATCGAGGACGAGCGCGTGGCAGAGCTCGTCCAGATCGCGCTCGACACGTTGCGCAACCAGGAGCTCGCGCACCACGTTGACCCGGTGACGGCCCCGCAGCCGTACCTGTCCTCGCTCCAGCTCCGCGACCTCGTGCTGCAGGACGAGCACTCGGTCTCTGCGCGCGCGCGCCTGTGGGACCGCGTCGAGCAGGTCGTCGAGAGCAACGCGAACGTGCGCGCCAACCTCGAGGAGGTCGCGGGCGGGGACGAGCTGCGCGTCTGGCGATGGATGGGGGGTGCGGCCGCGACGCCCGGGGGCGGACGGCGCAAGCTCGAGCAGGCGACGTCGCCCGGCGAGACGTAGGCCGGCTTCCCGGACACGTGGGTCCAATTGAGATCTGACTGCAAGGGGTTCAATGTCTTGTATTATGGGCCATCGCAGAACATTCCTATTTGTTTCTATGAAAGCTGGAAGAGCACAAGGCGAAATGTCAACGCTCCGGCTTCGATCATCTTGACGGTGGCGGGCGGTAGCGATCGATAAGTCGCTAGTACTGCTGGCTGGTTCCAATGGAGCGGAGCGGAGGTGTTAGCATGAGCATGAGAACACCCGGGTCTCCACAACACCGACATTCGTCGTTTCATCAAACGGGGGAAAGAGGGTGTATTCATATCGCCATGGGCATGCGCTTCGGCTGCGGTCCACGTTCCTATTGCGCACCCCGGAGCCGCGCTCAAAGATAGCGACCACCGTGACGTTGCGATGGGGGTATGTGCGACCTTGTGCCGCATGCAAACGCGCACCGGAAGTATCAGAAGGAACGGCGTCCTCTCCACCCTCTATTGAATTTCAACCGGTATGAAATAAAGCATCATTCGGAACCATCGATATGCGCCCTGGTCAGGCTCTTTTCTTTAGGGCTTGTCGCAAGGAGAACCCGTGGTCGGGCGCAAGATCGCGGCTTAGATTCGCGGCGCACCTCGGGCCGTTCGCCAGGGTCGCTCCTGCCTTTTTGTTCGCCAGGATCGGCAAGGCGGGGTCAGATGCGGACACAAACAAAAAACAGGCTGGAAGGCGCGTCTTGTTCCCCGGATCTTCTGAATCGGAGACAAGTTGACGGGTGTGTGCGCGTGCACCCGTGCCAGGCGTATCGTCGGAGGAAAGGACATAGGGCTAGATCGACTCTATAAGCTATAGGAGCGGGGAAGGTGGGTCGGTCGCGGACTCTCTCAGACGACACCTACGTCAAGTGTGCATAAGCAAGCGTGGCAGACTTGTCGCTCGAACTTGCAATGGGGGGCGCTGATCTGACATGGAGGTCTAGACTCTCGAACGCGAGCGAGGAGCTGTGAAAGATCAAGAACCCAGTTCGCGTCTGGACTCAAGAATCCGAATACGAGGTCTCAGAGTTAAATGCTATGCGCAGTGACCGTACATGGGACGCAGATCAGGGTGCACGGCCGGCAATTGGATGGCAGTAGACGATTACATGTACGATGATAGAACCACGGCGTATATAAAACGCAAGCTGTGAAGAGATCATGCGCGGGTGTTCGAGGTTCTGGACCCGAAAAGTCAAATCAGATCCAGATTGCGATGGCTGGTGAACCGCAACGCAGATCGGGATGCTTCGGTCTTTCGATTGGAGATGACGATGGCGCGGCGATATGTGTTCTGATCGGCGCGAAAGGGGGTGTATGGCTATCTGACTCTACGAGGAGGCAGCCAGGCCGGTCTGGATCTTCTCTATCAGTGCGCGCTTCATGAACTGCTCTTCGGCCAACGCGCGCGTCGTCTGTCCGGTAGCGTCAATCCCAGATTAACAAAACGAGCCAAAGCGGCTTCTACCCAGGAAAGTATGAGTAGACGAGTGAAAAAAAAAAAGTAGGAGATACGAAGCCCAGACTCATCGCTGACTTTTGGGGGTGGCAAAAGTAGGAACGTGTGAGAAGGTTTAAAAACAAAAGGAGAACGCACCCTCAGGAACCGCTCGAGGTCTATCCGGCCGGCGTTCAAAGCGCGGTGCAGGTGGTAGACCGTGTCCTCGATAGCGTTGTCTTCCGCGACGAGATTGATGAGCCTTATTAATCGCGCAGTCGCGACGAAACGAGGGTGGTCAGCTCCTTGAAGAGATATCCAGAAGATCCAGAAGATCCAGAAAAAGGTTCGAGCCAAGGGAGGGAGACACGGGGTCTAGACCCTGCTCGTCAGGGATCGCCCTCGAAATCGAAACCGCGATGTGAGTCGTCCTAGGCTCGAAGGAGAGGGTCCCGGCGAATAGAAGCCGCGACCCCCAGGAAAGCGATAGGGGTATGATTCGCGATGCGAGCGCAAGGATGAGAACCGGCGGAAAGGAAAAACCAGGCTCTGGTTTTTGTCGCGAACCACGAGTTCGCGTGCAACCTTGGCTCGGAGTCTCTCCAGCACACCCATCAACTCCGCGAGCTTCCGCTCCGTGCCTTCCACCGTGATCCAGAGGAGACTCAAGGCGAAAGTAAAATAGAATAATAATCATAAAAAATAAAAAAACCACGACACTCACTGGTTATGCACGATGCTCACCGCGCATACGCACTCGTCCACCCCAGGCTCCCCGCGCCTCCTCACGCCCTCCACGCCCTCCTCCGCCCTCCTCACCACCTCCCCCAGCCTCCCCGCCACACCTTTACACACGTCCTTCACCGCCTCCAGCCTCGCCCGCTCGTCCGCGATCGCGGGGCCCGCCGCGAGCAGCGCCGCTTGCTGCGCGCGGAGGCGCGCGGCGTCGGCGTCGAGCGCGGCGCGGAGCGAGGCCAGGGACGCGGTCAGCTTCGCGTGGAGCGCGGCGTGGAGGGCGAGCAGGTGCGGGTTCGGGGGGCGTTCCGGTACTGAGGAGGAGGAGGAGGAAAAGGAGGAGGAGGCGGGGTTCGTTGCCGAAGCGAGGGAGGAAGACGGGCCGTCGTCGTCGAGGAGGTTGGGCGGAGGCGGAGGATGAGGACGGGGAGCGTGGTCCGGGACCGGCCCGAGATCCGGGAGGGGCGCGGCGAACTGGGCGCGGTGGGACGGGTATCGCTGTTGTTGTTGCGGTGCTTGCGCGGGATACGCGTGATTTAGACTTTGGCCGGGGACCGCGGGCGAAGGGGTGCCTGATGATGACGGGGCTAAAAGCGGTGGCGGTGAGATCGGATGCGTGTGGCCCGGCGGAAGGGGAGGAGGTGGGGAGCCTGCGGGCGCGGGCGGATGATGATGTTGCGGGTATTGTGGGTATCGGTATTGCGGCGCGGATGTCGGCCCTGGAGCCGGAGTCGGGCCAACGGGTGATTGGGACCATCGATGGCCCGGGGGCGGAGTCGAGTAAGCCGAAGCTCCGCTTGGGACGGGCGGACGGGAGGGGGGAGCGGGAGCAGGAGAGGAGGCCGAGGATGGGGTTGGGGCTGGGGAGTACGGCTGCTGGTGCTGCTGAAACAGGTGTTGGGGCGGGCGCGCTGGGGGCGGTGGTGGACCATGCGCTACGGCCGCTACCGCGGGAACGGGCTGCGAGACGGGGAATAGGGCGGTTAGTTTCGCGCTCGCCGCTGGCATGGATCCTGCGCGATCGGAACAAGAGATGCGAATAGGTAGGAAAACTCACCGTGGCGGGGGCGGGCGTGCCTGGTACGGGCGTGTGCGCGGCGGAAGGCGGTTTGGGCGGAAGCGCCGGGGCGGCGCTTGTGCTCGCCGCGCGCTCGAGGTGGGAAGGTTGTTGGCCTGGGAGAGGGGGAGGCGGTTTGGCGGCGTAGGTGGCTGTTTGGGCGGAGATGGACGGGGAGGGCTGGTGCGAGGCAGGTCCTTGCGCTTGCGCTTGAGCAGGCGGTTTGGCGTACAGCGGCGGGTCGCGCGAGAAGTGGTCTTGCATCGCTTCGAGCAGGCCGACGATGTTGCATCCCTAACGCGCGATCAGCTTTTCGCCACGTCGTAGCCGTTTTGTGCGCGGCTTTTCGCTCACCTCGGGTTTGCGCGTCCACTGCTGGTGGTAGTCGGTAGCGCAGCGGCCGCTCGGGTCGACGTGCCGGCTGGCTTTGACGAGCATGTCGCTGGTGGGGACGACGTACGCGATCGGGGGTTCGCGCGGGTAGTCGCGCGGGACCCAGAGCGCGATGGGGATGTTGTATGACGCGCCACGGAAGGCGATGGGAAGCAGGCCGTGCAGGCAGAGGAGGAGCTGCGTCCGGCCGTCATCGTACGCTATCCGAACATCCATCAGAATGAGAGAGAGATCGCGGGTTAACGATGGGGGGGGTGAGAGGACACGCACTGTACACGTCGGTCTTGGGACGTATGGTCGGGAACCGCGCGAGTGCGCCGTCGGTATCGGCGTAGACGCGCCCTGCGGCGACGTAGGGCTGCACGTTCTGGCGGAGCCATTGTTGCGTCAGGCTCTCCTGCTGCATCGCGAGCGCGTGGAGGCGGACGTATTGCGAATGACGCTAGAACCCGTCGTGTGTTGCACAAATGTTTGATCGCCCTCGAGTTCAACGTAAAACGATCCCAGGGACGTAAACGGCGAACTGATCCTACTGATTCGTGGTGGCAAGCAGGAGTGTATTGACCGTCACCGGAAGCCCGCAGGTGCTGTGTACTGATCTCACACTGATCTTCACCGCATCGAAGCACTGATGCTGTCGGGATCGGAGTTTGACGCCGGAGCGGGGTTTGCCACAGGCTCGGACGCAGACCCGTGACCAAGGCTGTGGGGGGACCTGGCAGGGCCGATCTCCGGGGCTTTTGTCGCCCGTTTGAGCCCCAGGCTTATCTGAGATCCGGGCCGGGTCCTTGGGCTCGATATGCCCGATGTGGAAAGCTTGACGCTTTCGCTCGTTCATTGAAAACTGATTGCTTCCGGCGGATGTGTCCGCGACGCCGCTTCGCTTTGTGATTTGACTCGCCTTCCCTCCCCCCTCTTCCGATTTAGTTCCGATCCATGCGGTCGAGCCGTTGGTGGACGGTTGGGTCAGACATGCACACGCACACACAGGGTTTTTCATGGAGTGAGACAGCGAAGCGGTGAAGCACGCACCACCCGCGGGCTGCGCACAGGGAGCGCGCGGACGAGTCACCGGCGGACGCGCGCCCCGTTCGCCCGAACGGGAAAGGTGAAGGGGCAGGAGGGGGTGACTTATGACCAGCCAGTGCGAACGCAACCGCCAGGGTCATCGGTGGTCGGACGGATGCGAGTCGCACGGCAAAGGGGCACAGGGATGATGCTAATCCCGAGTAGGCGGTGCGAGCGCCGGGGCGCAAAGACAATACGGCCGGGAGTTCTTGGAAGGTGGGATAGAAGAGGGGGTAGCCGCGATCGGGGCGGCGCGCATCTGTTCGCCCCTTCTCCAATTCGGTGGCGTGCGCCTGCCCGTTGCGGACGAATCGGGCCTTCGCTCTCCTTCCCTGCCTTCCGCGGCGTCAAGCCTGTCCAAGGCGCGTGGGCAGCCGCAGATCCGGGATCCCACTCCGGCGCCGCCCAATTCGGGCCCAAGACGCCCAACGCGAAGCTGTGCCCACCCGGAGATGAATCTCGCGCCCGCGTAGCCGAGACACGAACGACTCGACCGAGCGGGTATATAACCCGCACCCGTCACTCCCCGGAGCCCCTTTCTTACGCCCAGCTCTCTGACGCGCCCCTACTTGCCGCCTGAGCGTCCGAGACATCGACATCATCCCTACCCTCTTGCACCGCTTACGACTTACATACCCCCCCTCTCTCTCATGCAACGGCCCATGTCCATGTCCGCGTCCCCGCCATCCTCCTCCGCCTTCCAACTCGGCAAGATGAAGCTCGCGTCCACCGCAAAGACGCTCACTCCCCAGCGCAAACACCGCAAGATGCTCAAAGACGGCTCATCCGAGGTCTGGCCCGAGAGCATCGAGATGATATTCGTCAAAGGTCCTCGTCCCGTCTCGTCCTTACCTCGTACCATACTGACACCCACTCTTCTGCTCGACGACAGGCCTCGAAGAGTACCTCACCTCGCCCTACGCAAATCACAGCCGCGGCCGAAGCCGGTGGCGGAACCAGTTCCTCGTCGACCACCTCCAGAAGCACGGCATCGTGCGCACCAAGAAGCAGGTCGCCTCTCACATCCAGGTCCTCCGCAACATGTGGAAGGGCGAGCCGCACTTCCGCCTCGTCGCCGGCGGGGACGACGACGACCTGCAGCCCGGCTCCGGCGCCGAGCCGACCTCGCCCTCGTCCTCCTCGCTCTCCGAGTTCACGCCCGAGCGCGCGGCCCACGCGCAGCTGCACCCGCACCACCCCAGTCCCGGCGGGCACGGCAACACCAGAGATCTGATCGACCGGCACAACCCCGCGCCCTCCGTCCCCGTACCGGTCAAGACCGAGCCGCAGTGGTACCTCCCCGGCGCCGGCTACGGCGTCTCCCCGCCGTCGGCCCACTACGCGCTCCCTCGGTACAGCCCCAATACCGGCAGCTCGCTCTCGATGGCGCTCGCCGAGCCGTCCTCCGTCGCGGTTAAACCCGAGCCGGACGCCATCGACCCCTCGCACCTGCTCTGGAACCCGAGCTCCAGCCCCCCCACCTCTCACCCGATGAACGTCTCGCCGCCGACCCAGCAGAGCCGTTTCAAATACGAGCACCGCTTCCCCCCGCCGACCACGCCGGAGACGAACCGGGTGCGGAGCGTGTGCGTCTGGGCCGATGACGGCGGGGGCGGGGGCATACCGCCCGTCTCCATCGACGTCGACAAGCTCGCCGCCTCGACCGCCTCAACGCCCTCCTCGCCCTCCTCCTCCCCCTACGCTTCTTCTTCTTCTTCTTCTTCCACCGACGCCAGCTCGATCCCGCGGATCGCCATCCGCATCAAAGTCCGCGTCCCCGCCCCATCGCCCGTCCAAGGGCTCCGCGGCACCGTGTCCCTCGCGGGCACCTGGCGCGCGGCGGCGCAGTGCGCGACGTACCTCCAGTGCGGCGGGGCTCAGGGACCGTGTTTATCCCGGGAGACCGGGGCGCTCGATCCCGCCGCCGCGCCGGCGACGATGGTCCAAGCCGCGAGTGGGACCGGCGGCGTCGTCGCGGGCCTGCCGCCGTCCGCGCTGACAAGATGCGCATGGCTAGACGATGGTGAGCCCGTGATTTCATATTACCACGCGATGACGACGAGGAAGACTCACGTATGATGTCGCTTGCCACCCCATCCTCGTGTGTTCCACGTGTGATTGCTCGTTTTTTTCTTGGGTATCTTTCGCCCTGCAGCCCAGATGCCGGCGACGATCACGCAGCGGATAGAGGTCGACGGACACGTGCTCGCGCTGCTCATATACGACGTCGAACGCGTCGGGTTCCCGACCGCGCCGTCCGCGGAGGTGGTGTACTACCAGAAATTCAAAGCGTCGGCGACCGCGACCTCGCCGCCACCGCCGCCGCTGCTGCCCCACCTGATCATACCTCAACACCAGCAGCCGCACCCGATATCAATACCTCAGCAGCAGCACCAGCACCAGCAACAACAACCGATACATCATCATCAGCGGCATCACCACCCGCAACAGCTGCCGTCGCCCGTCTCGCCGAACACCAACAACGGCATGGCCGCCTCCCCGTTCCCGACGGACGCGCCCATAACGCAGTACGGCCGGCGGCACTTCCCCCCCGGGGCGAGCATGCAGTGCGCACCCTCGCCCGCGCCCGCGTTCGGGTACGGCGGCACGCCCATGCCCTACTGCCAGTAATGCGCCGGCCTGACCGATCGATCGCCCGGCGCGCACTCTCGCACCGTCCGCCTGTCTCGGTGCTCAAGGCCGCGGCGATCGTGACGTAAAACATCTTTATTTTCCCTTTTGTCTTTCTATCTCACGAGCCAGAACGCCACGAACTACGAAACGCGGGTTATTTGTTTCATTCGATTTTTTTTTTGTGTCTCTCTCGTTTACCGTCTTCCTTACCACTTCGTGTATACACACTCTCGACATGCTATCCGATCGCTTCCATGAACTCCTCCTCTAGGCTCTCTCGGGTTATTCGTATCTCTGCTCCTCAACAAAACTCCCGCTCTCTTCGCACGTCTTGAATCGGACCTCTACTGTAGCCAAAACACCCTATCCCCCTATTCTTCACTCGGATCTTGTGGTTTCTGTTTCATAACCTTTTTTTTTTTGGACACACGTCGGACCCAGGCCTCGTCCACTACGACCCTGCTGTAGCTATTGTTATAATATCAGCACTAATACCCCCTTCGTCATCGGTCAACGGTTATATATCTAGCACGCGTCGGTGTCAACGTCGTTATACATGTAATAAATACGTGTATATATCCCGGCACATCGAATTTATCCTCCCCCGAAATTGGGGAAAAGGGTGGAGGAAGGGGGCGAGCGGGCCAGCAAATCGTCTACCTCGTAAAATCGGCGAGCTCGACCGCGGCCTTCCGCACGGCCGGGTCGCAGTGCCGCTCGCGGAGGAGGAGGAGCTCGTAGAACGCCGTCCCGAACGGGTTACAGAGCTGCGGGTCGTCGACGTACGGCCGGTGGACGCCGTCCGCGGCGCGGTCGGCGGTGCCGAGCAGCGCGTCGAGCTTGGGGTCGCGCGCGACGAGCGTTTGCACGAAGGCGATCGCCCGCGCGGCGAAGGGGGAAGGCCAGTGCAGGGCGGCGGTGAGGAGCCGCTTGGAGAAGGCGGCGGCGCGCCAGGAGGGCGTGTGCGCTTGCGAGAGGGAGCGGCGGGGGGAGAAGACGAGATCGAGCGCGCGGAAGGCGAGGTCGAAGGTGGAGGTTGAGGCGGAGTCGGACGCGGACGCGGCGGAGGGTGAGGGGTAAGGGGAAGAGGAGGAAGACGGGTCGAAGCTGAGGGTAGGGAGGATGCCGTAAAGGCTGTTGACAAAGTCCGCGAGGTCGATGTCGAGCGCTTCACCTAAAGTAGGAATAGATCGTCGTATCAGCGATGGCGAAGATTTGGGACTTTCGGTGAATCGGTAAGACTCGCCTTGGCCGGAGAGTAGCTCGAAGGCGGCGATGATGCACCGCAGGCGGTGCCGCGTCTGTTCGTCCGGCGGCTGTCCGTGCCCGGGCGCCGCGGAGGATGACGGGGCGGCGTCTGCGTCGGCGGGCGCTTCGACTTCGGCTTCGGCTCCGTTCTCGGCGGGCGCGCCGCGGTCGTCGCGGGAGACGAGCTCCTTCAGCACGTTGAGCAGGTCCTTGAAAAAGTCGACGTTGACGAGATGCGCGAAACGTGCGATGCCTTGCAGCGCAGCGGGCAGAAGCGGAGTCGGGCGAGGGCTCTTGAGGATCCGGAAGTAAAGCACGAAGAGAAGCTTGAGCGTCTCAGTTTGCTATGTCGGAGATGAGTGTTATGCGCTTCAAGAGGGGAAGGACGAAAGTGGGGGTGGCCTACGTTGTTCGCGCGCTCTTCCTTGTCGACCTCCGCCGACGCCTCATGCAACTCCTTCTCAATCTCTTTTTTCTCCTTCAACGCCTTGCGCGCCTTCTTGCTCAGGTGCGGCTGCTCGGCGGCCTTGCCCTTCGAGCGACGCTGCGCTGCGCGCCCGGCGGATAGGACGCCGTCAGGGTGCTTGTCCGCCTTGGTCTGCGATGCGCGCACGCCGAGCTCCTGCTTCAGCCGCAGGTGCAGGAGGCAGCGAAGCACGTTAGGATGCACAGCAAAGTGGCGCTCTTTGACCATCCGGTTGATGAGACGGATAGCCTCAAGCGATACTTGGCCTGCCGCGTCGACGCGGAAGACCTTGATCAGCGTATCTAGGCAAAGGTCGGATGTCTGAGAGACATAGTCACGAATCAATGGCGATGGTGGAGGGCAGCAGGGAGGAAGGTACCTTATCCCATGAGCGACGGCTGAGTCTTGCAACGACGGTGCTCAGCAGGTTTGCACGGAAGTTGAAGTGCGTGACTTCGACCAGTAGCTTGCACATGCATTGCAACGCTAAATCGGCCAATTCGCTTTTCGCTGCAACGTTCATGAGCTAGCCGTCGAATATGAGATCTCATCGATGACTTCACCTTTGATCTCTGCTTCGAGAGACTTGAGGTAGTGCTGGTACACGCCGACGAGGCCCTGCTCCCAGTCCCGCGTCCGGGCAACCATCTGACTGACCTTCTCCGCCTTCTCCTTGTCGGTCAATGAGCGAATCCGATAGCCGGGTATCACGTCCCTGAAGACGGCCGTCTGCGAGAGAATGGCTAGTTTCCTGATTGTGGGGTCATTGGGAACAGGTTCCGGGTGAGAAGGAGTGGATATCTCCGTTAACGAGAATGTGTGTAGTCGTCGGAGCAGACCAAGCTTTGAGGATCGCTGTCAGCAAAGGCGACGAAGGAGTTGACGGTACCAACACATACGCTGTTCTCGGGATCGGCCAGTATTTCTTGGCATAGGGCGGCTATTTGCTCTTTGGCGCCTTGTATCCGTGCCTTGCGCGAGGGCTGGAGGATGACATCAACGACGGCAGGCCGACCAAAGCGCGCGCCGGTGGAAACGTCCTCTCTCCTCGGCTCAAGTTGCGCGGGCTCTTCCTCTTCGGACTCCTCCTCGCTCTCGTCCGACGATACCGTACCAGGAATGACTCTTGTTCCACCTTGCGCAATGCGACCGTCAGCAAGCTTGATAGGTAGACGGTCTATCACATTCTTGGGCGAAGTTTCGCGTGCGGTCCTCCATAGCCGGGGCTTCGTCTCGTAAGGCATTTCGGCGTCGGAGTCGAGATCCTCCCCTTCGCCGGACTCGACCGAGGGCTCTTCGTCCTCTGAGCCTGAGTCTGACAGTTGTTCCTCCAAACCGCTCCAGTCACTCTCATCATCTGTATGAGAATTGATAGAGGGCAGGTCATCATCCCGTCTTGCAATGCGGACTGGCTTGACGAGGCCATGGAGGCGCTCGGTCTCCTTCTTACTCCTACATATCATACATGAGTTGAGGCAATGCCAAGTAATTGTGACGGACCTTGCTATCCCTGCCTTATCCAGGTGACCGAGGAATCCTGCTGCGTCCCCAAACTCCTCCAGCATGTCAAGATCCTCATCCGAAAGCTCAATCTCGTCCTCATCGCCTGCCTCCGGTATCGGGATAGTTTTCTTGTCTGCGGCCCGTTCTTTTCCTTTGGCTTTCGCTTTTATGTTCTTCGCGGCCGTCTTCCCTCCGGACTTGGACGGACCGGCCGCAAGCCTGACCTTTTTCGAAGGAACCTAACAACATCACGTATATCAGTTTGAGTGACGCTAAAGTACACCGCATAGGCCCTTACAGAGTTCTGTTTGGCCGTTCGTTTCTTTCCGGCATTGATCGCCATATTTTTTTACTCAAGATAAAGCCGTCCTTTGACCCTAGAGGCTGTCGAGCTGCAACTCGCCGAATTTCTGTATATGGATTTCAGTGGCGATGCAAATAGCGCCCATAAAATCATTGACTTTGCCACGAGGCTCTGCGGGTTGGCAAGGTCACGTGGTAATCAAGCTATTGAACTTGAAGGTCGCCTTCCGTCTCTACCATGTCCGTGTAAACATCGCATACAGTGCCATAATGTCTGTGTAAGCTCAAATTGAACAGCGGTTCCGGTTTTATTCGTACCCACTGATTACCTACCAAGTTCTCTCGCGCGAACGCTAATATCAATCGAAGACGAGCAGGCGCTCATTGATCGTCAAATCCAAGAATTGCTCGCCCAACCTGGCTCCGGAGCTGACGAAGTTCGGAGTCTTTGCGAGCGCCGCAATGACTGGCACTCGTTTCACGGCTCCACCCGGAAATTCTATCCGCTATGTCTTCCCGGTCCCCACGATTTTGATGCGTCCAACATTTATGCGTTCATGCAGGTATACCGATATTGGCGGAGTGTCGCCTTGAACGCGTCCGAAATATGGTCAGTCGTGCCAACCTACAATACGCGAATGGCCGCGACGTTCTTGTCGAGGTCGAAGAGCAGGCCTTTGCAGGTCTACATTGGCGCGTTCTCACCCGAAGTGGCTGTTTACGAAATTCTAGGGCAACTAAACCACACGCAAAGGCTTCGAGTGGATTCTAAATGGAGCGACCCGAAACTTCTACCACAGCTTCTCAGCCATCCTGCTCCTATCCTGGAGTATTGCTCGATTGCGATGTGGTGGAAAAGGATCCTGCCGGCGGATTTTCTCCGAAGGTCTGCTCCTCAACTCCGCCAACTGCAAATAGTCCAAACTCGTTTCGATTGGGACACACTGTGCAGCCCTTCGTTGGTTGGGAGCCTGACCAGCCTTGAGCTTCGGTCCTTACCAGCTCGGTCCTTCCCTCGCAAAACGCAGTTTATCGCTTTCTGCAAGCGATGCCTTTCCTGGAGGTACTAATTCTCACCATCGACCTTTGGGACCCGTTTCGTGGCCCTACGCAGGATGATCGAGATGACGTTGTGGCAGATGCTCAAGGCAGCAAGACGCACATGTTACATCGACTCACTCGCCTAGAGCTTTCATCTCCGGACTCGGGCGCGTGCAAGTTGCTGAGCTACATCAGAATGCCCCCCACTACCTCCGTATCTCTAGTGCACGGTCGCGTCAATAGGGCGGCGTATTCATCGCAGGTGCTATCATTCCTCAAGGGCCATTGTACTTGCAACGGTGAAGGGCCACCCATTCGACGCATTGCACTATGGTCGCCGCGCGCGTTCACCGCGTATGCGAACCAGTATCTACTAGACGTCATCGATCTGCCATCACTTTCAGACCTATCGCGTGGTAATAGAACCCCTGCGGCGGATAGCCCCGCTTTAGGATTTTTCCGCATGTTACGGATGCTGGATCTCAACGTTGTGGATGTTCGTTTTTGTCCGACCCGAGCCGCGTCGTAATGAGCGCCTTCCTTGACAGTTGTCAAGCGGCGGTCGAACTACGAATCAGCTCCGTAGACGTCTGTGAATGGGTCATTCCTCACTTGTCAATCCGCCGGGCGATCTCAGGGGAGGCGGCGAGCAGTGAAAACGGGAGCGGCTTCCAGTTCCTTCCGAAGCTGCGGCGCATGCGCTTTCACGTGCAGAACAATTCGGTCTTCGCAAAGCACAGACTTCTCGCCGATCTCAAAGCTCTTATGAAGTTGCGAAATGCCCCGATAGCCCGGCCGCTGGAGCTTGAGATCGCGACGCAATCACCGCTGGGAGTAGAGGAGAAATCGAAACTTCGCGACATCGTCGGTCGGCCAGATCTTCTGGTCTATTCCAATGAGGATCAATGGGATGCCATGCACTGGGATGCCGTGGACGAAGAGGGTACACCTCTCAGACTCGGACTGTGACATGAACGAATATCAACACTTGTCTTGGTCCCAGTAAAATCGTCTTCAGCCATGTACTGTTTCAGAGTACATTAGCACCCCTTCCAATCACTCAACATCTCGTGCATGGCCGCAATAATCATCCGGAATACTCCCAAGGAGCGTGGTCAATGTTAAACACCACTGCGCGTGTATTGGTGAAGGGCCTTTGGTCAGGCGCAATCATACTTTGGGCGAAGGGCGCGTTCGCTGCGTGTACGGAATATGTACTCACAGACAAAGGTGACCGTTCACGTCTTGTGGATGTTTCACGAAACCAAGGCATCAGCACAATGGCTGGTGACGTAGTCTAGGTGCTACGGACTGAGGATCTCAGCACCGTCAACGTGCGTTTCTCGTCAAAACAGACTATCGGTGCACTGATGGAAGTGCGGAATGCGCCGTCAGAGAGGAACGCTAGAGCTCGAGGTCACAACAGGATTAGCACTAGATATCGAGGAGGAGGAAAGGCTTCGCGAGGTTGTCGGTCGGCACGAACTCCTACCAATATCTGGTGAGAACGAATGGGACACCCTAATGCGAGCAGATTGCTCATGCTTGAACACACGGAGGAAATGCTGGTCAATGAAGATTATTATGCATGCGCGAGCGATGAATACAAGAAGTGAGACTAATATTGCATTTTCTTCGAGCGATTGTAGATTGGATCGCGATGAGATAAGATTCACAGGCCCGCGAACTTGGGGCGAATGGGGCCCGCCGAGCCGTACCATCGCCCCTGGAGCTGAGATAGGGTGAGAGGGCGAACCACGGCTACTGGTGATTCGACTTACCATGGCGTTGAAGTAGACCCAGGGGAAGAAGTCCTAAGGAGGATCATAGTTGGGTGGATGTGAAACGACATGACGAAGCTGCTATCGTACCTTCTTCAGATGGTAGAACGCCCTAAAGATGGAAATGTCAGCTTGCGGGTACATAGAGGGTGATGTCACCACTTGCCTCTGCGGCACCGTCTGATCCACGAAGTTGCTGAAGGTCTCCTTCGGTTCGAGGCCGTACTTGAATTCCGCCAGCATCAGCTGTCCATAGCCCGTCAAAAGCTTCCAGAACATGTCAGAATTTCATACGGTAGAGAAACATCGAAGGATGAACGCGCACCGGGCAGCTAGTATAGCCGTCGTATTTGGCATCAGTCGCGAGCTTGCCGGTGTTCACGAACGAGAACAGGTTTTCGGTCAGGATCGGGGCCTGCGCGGTGATCGCAGCAGCGGTCTTGCTCGTCGGCAAGCTGGTGCAGTCGCCGATGGCCCAGACGTTGCTAAATTCGGGGTTCGTGTGCTGTAACGTCTCTTTGTTCACGTCGACCCATCCAGCCGCGTCCGCAATCGGCTGTCCCTTCATTACATTCAACGGGCCCATGGGAGGTACGACGTGGAGCAGCGTGTAGTCGATGATGGCGTCCGTGCCGTCGACCTTCTTGAACGTCGCCCTGCGGTTAGCGACGTCGATGCTGGTCAGATTGTGCTGGAAGTGCCCGCCCACGCCCCGCTCAACGCGGAGCTTGTCCAACGCGTCCGAGTACTTCTTCACAGAGAACATCGTGGGCATTCCGGTGTAGAAATCTATTTTGATGTTGTCGCCCCTCTCAGTTTGCCGGTACCGGTCCCATGCCATCCACATAATCTTCTGGGGCGCTGTAGTGTCGCAGCGCCAGGAACGGGGTTACAAAAGCGCCGGTCAGCTGAATGCGTGAAAAGGCGCTGAGCCAGAGCAACGTATAGACTCGTACCTCCAGCGCATTTGATGATCCCTGCGGGCTGCGTAAAGACGGCAGTGCCGGACCGGAGCGCGTCGATATCATTCCAAACCTTGTCGCAGGTGTCGTAAGAGTAGATGCTCGAGACGCCGCTCCGAGGGTCCGCAAGCCCCTTGCTCAAACCAGGTATGGCGTCCCAGTTGGATTGCAAGCCAGTCGCGACAACCAGGGACTCGTACGAAATCGTGCGGCCGGACGTGGTGGTGATGGCGTTGGATTTGGGTGAGAAAGATTGGACGTTTTCAGGTATGTGGGCTATATGATCAGGGATGAGGGACGCCATCGGCCTACGCAGTTCCGACTTGTGCTTCAACCCGGCGCCAACGAGTGTCCTATGATTATATGTCCATCGACGCGTTCAGCCCCGGCGGAACTGGTATAACGTACCATCCGGGCTAGATGACCAAAGGCGGGTCAGTTCTGTACTTGCGCGGACAGAGAGCCGCTACGCACTTGATAGTTGTGATACTGTGCGGCATCAAGTATGGCAATATCACCCTCATTGAGTGACTTGCCGGCAGCACTGAAACGGTTGTAGATCTGGTTGGCGACAGTCAACCCACCAGCGCCTGGCATACATTCTACTCAGAAAACCATTCGAGGTATGAGAGAGTCATCACGCACCGGCGCCTATGACCACGACCTTGTAGTTGTCCTTGTTTGCCGCAGCACTTGCCCACCGTTTCGCCGAAACTTGGGTCGCGCGAGCAGCAGCGCGGTTGAAGGCAGTCCTAGTGAGCATCCTAGATGATGAACGAGTACAGCAGCAAGCGCCTCTGTTGCTGTACTTCAATGAGGTGGCCGAAGCAAAGCGACAAGGTCGCGAGCAGATTATATGCGGAGTCGTTTGTCATTTTCCGAATTGCCTGTGGCGATATGGTGAGCATGAGTTTGTGTCGCCATTTTGAGTCATCACGTGCCCAGGCAAGATCATTGAAGTTAGTGGTCCGTGGAGGGAGGCTGCAATGCATACTGCGTATACTCTAAAGCAAATAAGGGCAGTATATGACAGTCTGATACAGCATTGAACCCAGAAAAGCAAGGAAGCTGTAACATCAGTTGTGTAATTGCTTATCATTGTCAAGGTGGTACAGATACGCCACTGAGGCAGTCATGATCAACGAATTCCTTAGGAATACCATGGTCAGAAAAGAGCTATGTGCCAGTATTTGATATCCACAAGACAACGATGCCAGACACATCACAAACGCTGGTGCATCTTCGCGCCCGTGGACCCATCATCCGACTGCGCGCTCATCATCGGCGCAGAACAACACGGCAGAAACGACGCAACAACGGCACCGTGAAACCGTGAGCAAGGATCCGGAAGAACAACAGAAGAACGTGCATTCATACCCTTCAGCCCTGATCGCCGTCAGCTGGCAGCAGCAAACGTCTCCCATGTCCTCCAGAGACCGTGATCGTAGCAGCAGGAAGGCGATTGCAACCTATCTCCGGTCCTGAATGTCCAGGCCCAGATTGCAAGGTACGAACTTGCACCGTATGGACATGCGACACAGGATCCGCGGCCGTACTCAGACGTATAGCTTCACCGAACTCGCAGGTGCCGGTCTTTCTGGACGCCACGTCCGTCGCGAAAGCCAAAATGAATGAGCTTCGGGATGCATCTGCACACATCTGAGCATATAGATTATATGACGGCATGCCAGCAACGCCGAAAGATCTGCAGTTCGAGGGTATCTTCCGTGCAGTGTGCATAGAGCGGCAGTCCTTGCCACGAAACGGTTTGACATGGATCAGTCAATCACAGGGCTGATGGATGGGATGTCATGTAAGTGAAAAAATAACAAAATGTGTGCAGGGGTTCACAGCCAAGGACTCGTTTTCTCCGTGTGGATCTGTTTGATGCAAAACGAGTGGGCTGGTCATCGCCACCACGACCGTACCCGGATCCCGTTCCGAGGGGAATTGAGTTCGATGTGCCACTACTTACCCGACGTCGTAGATATACGCGTACTTGGCTCGCCTATATGTCGAGGGCGCTTGGACGAGGCATCAAGTATGTTCATTCCTTCCGGTCAGACAGACAGAAAGAGCGAGTATCTCGGTGCTAGTGCGCAGTGAAAGTCCGGGTGTCATGGACGGTCGTAACCTGGAGCCAATCAACACCCGCGATGGACGGCAGCTCTGGCAACCGCAGCTTGTCCGGAGCCGTCGCCGCCCCCGCAAGTCCTCCCCTCCGCCCTTTCCCCTCCACCAGCTGGTCTGGACCCCACACGACGTCGCAGGCGGACTAGTCTCACTATCTCTTCGAGCTTCTGAGTATACATCCTACCTTCTTAACGACATCTGAAACGACGACGACAAGAACATGCTACCCAGTGGACCACGCAGCGGAGCCGGCTTGCCTCGGTCTGTACGCGCTCGCTCCTCAGAGCGATCTCAGGCGCGAAGCGAACGGGGAGGATATGAGAGGGATCGTTATGCGAACGCCCCGCCCCCACCGCCGCCCTCGTCGATGCGCTCCGTTCGGCCGCAGCGTTCGCTCGCGAGCCTTCCATCTTCGTCCTCTGCAACACGCGAGCGGAGCCGACCTCCACCCCTCCCCACTTCTCCTCGCCTGGGCCGATCCTCCGACTATGACGGCCGACCGAGGAGCGGAGACAGGTCCTACCGACCGAGCCTTGACTCCAGCTCCTCCGCGGGCTCTGGGTCGTCGGCCGGCTCTTCGTTCCTGGATCGTATGCGGTCGAGCAACTCGACCCCGCGGACGAGCATGGACGAGGAAGACTATGCGCCGAAAGCGAGCTCTGCTAGGCGGCGCCAGCCACTCGCGGAACGCCGGCAGAACCGGTCGCGGCGACAATACGAGGATGACGATCCAGGTCCGTATCCGCCGCATAGGATGGCGGGGTCAAATGCTAATCTTCGGTTCTAGATTCGCGCGTGCAGGATGATGACGCAGAGCACACCGAAACGGGCGCGACGTCCTCGTTCTGGAGTTACTTCTCTTCCGCCGCCGGGTCTCTGACCGTGAACGTCAGTAAAGCATGGGCGGCCAACATTGCTTACGCAGCCGGAGAAGGTACGCGATCCATCCCTCCGATCCCTTCGAACATGTGCTGATCCCACCGCCTTCTCTCAGAAACGCCTCCCGGGCAAGAGAGCCGCCTCACTAAAGCTATGAAGGCCTATCACCTCGAGAAAGCCCGCGATCCGTCAGATCTGCCTGAGTGGCTATTTGACGAGAGCGAACGCTTCCCCGGCCGACGGTCACGGCGCGAGCCGGTCGAGCGGGAGCGGCGGTACGCAGCAGCAGCGGAAGAGACCCCCGAACCGCCTCGCGGGCGGGGGTTCCGAGATATTTACGACGCAGCGGCTGGGAGCTCGAGCAGGCCGGCGCCGCGTGCTCGCAGCACCGCGCGAGGGTACGACGCCGCGCCCTCACGCCCGCGGGAGTACTCTCCGGCACCCTCTCGATCCAGCGACGCGTACGCCGAGGAGACGGGCGGAGCGGGGTCGAAGGCCTCGAATCGTCTGAAGGCTATGAGGGACGCGAAACGGCAGGCGGCTGCGCGCAATGCTGGGTCGCCTCTGGCTACCCGCGATGACGATGATATGGTCTCCGTGCGCTCAGGACGAAGCGGAATGGACGACGTCGGGGGTGCGAGTGCAGCCTCGGGGCGGTCGGTGCCTGCAGCGAGGCCGAGGGTTGGCTTGCCATCTGGTCCGGGTATGAGGCCCAGAAGGGTGTAATTTATGTCCGGTTATCTGACACAGCACAATACAACACACGTCTGCACGGGTTTTTTTTTACGACGGAAGCATTGGTCGTCCAGCATATGAAGCTGGTTGTCCGCAACGAAGGGTATGCCCTTGTAGTTAGTTGGTGTTAATAGGCCAATGGCGGTCGAGGAGGATTTCGAGGTAGAAGCTCGTCGTCGAGATGGGATCGAAGCCGATGAGAAAAAAAGCGGCTGATGACCGGGTTCGTCGGTGATGGGAGAATGGCCGGTATGGCGCACGGCAATCCCGCCGCGTTGACGCTACTAGGCTACTGATTTCGGGGAGAAAGCTGGCTGAATCTGTTTCGAGCTGTGTGCGCTGGATCAAAAGGTCGCGTTGGTTGCTGGGCTGGCGAGGGAGAAGGAAGCGGGGCAGAGCCAATGATCAGACGGAACGGGGCGTCGTCCTAAGTTGGGAGCGTAGTAACGAGGGCAACGAAGCAGTGTCCCAGCAGATCGGAGCCATCAGCATCAGCAGAGGACGCTATAAAGACAGCGTGCGCCATCATTCGCCCCTCACGGTGTCTTCACCCCATCTTCCCTCTCCTCTTCGTTTCGTTCCTCTATCTTAGTCGAGCCGAGTCTCGTCTAATACGTTCATTGTTACTCGAGGTAAGCACAGCGCCCATCCAGCGCCCGACGTAGCGTTTGCTCACCCCTCTCGCAGATCACCCTCTTTGATAGAGAAGCACTTTTTATCCTCCAGGGAGGTCAAGCCAGTCTTTGCCTAGCGCATCTACCGTCCGACGACATTCACCACCTTAACGGTTAATTCTTCCTCCAACTCTTACGATGGTTCAAATCGCATCCGTTGTCGCCATCTTGGCCACCGCCGGCTTCGTCGCCGCTGCCCCCACCTACGACTCTTCGAGCTCCTACGGCTCCTCGAGCGGCAGCTCCTACGGCTCGTCTGACAGCTACGGCTCATCTGACAGCTACGGCTCGTCTGACAGCAGCTACGGTTCATCCGGCAGCTCGTACGGTTCGAGCGACAGCTACGGCTACGACTCGAGCTCCTCGGTCGAGAGCTACTCGAGCTCCTCGGTTGAGAGCTACTCGAGTTCCTCGGTCGAGAGCTACGGCTACGACTCGACCTCCTCGGTCGAGAGCTACTCGACCTCCTCGACCATGATCGACTCGACCTCGACCATGTTGGACACCTCTACCGCCGCCTACACCTCGTCCACCTCCGCGGCTTACTCGACCGCGACCTACGGCTCCGGCTCGAGCAACTGGGGTGGCTCGTCGTACGACAGCTGTGTCCAGCAGTGCATCGCCTCCTTCGGCTCCCCCCAGGCGACCTACACCCCGGGCACCGCGACCGCGAGCTCCGGCAGCTACGGCACCGGCGCCACGCACACCGTCATCGTCGCGCCCTCCCAGGGTGTCCTCCGCTACGTCCCCTTCGCGGTGAACGCCTCCGTCGGCGACACCGTCATGTTCATGTGGGGCGCCAACAACCACACGGTCACCAAGTCGTCGCAGCTCGAGCTCTGCAACAAGACCTCGAACGCGCCGTTCGCGTCCGGCGAGCAGAACAAGTCGTTCGTCTTCACCCAGGTCGTCAACGACACCAACCCGACCTTCTTCTACTGCGGCACCCCCGGTCACTGCGAGAAGGGCATGTTCGGTATCATGTACGTCTGCACCGTCTGCAAGTTCGTCCAGACCGGTCACTCATATACCTTTCTAGTAACCCCCCGACCGCCGACAACTTCCAGGTCTCCGCCGCCGGCATGATGGCGAGCATGGCTGCCAACAGCTCCGACATGGCCGCGATGGCCTCGTACTCCAGCCAGATGACCCAGGGCAGCCCGATGGCCGCCGCCTGGGGTTCGTCCATGGACATGTCGAGCATGCCGTCCTGGGCCCAGTCCGCGATGGCCGAGAACATCATGTTCACCCGCAACGTCCTCGCCGCCAACCCCGACGTCATGAACGCGGACGGCACCGTCAACCTCGGCAACGCCGGCAGCGCCCCGCTCATGATCCCCCAGGACATCACCGCCGCCCTCAACGCCGCCGCCTCGTCCTCGAGCTCGTCCGCTGCCTCGTCCGCGACCTCCGCCCCCGCGTCCAGCTCGGCTGCTACCTCAGCCCCCGCTGCGTCGTCGACCAGCGGTGCCGGTGCCCTCTCAGTGTCGGGCGCCCTCGTCGGTGTCGTCGCCATCGCCGCGTCGTTCTTCGCGCTCTAAGCGACCCCACTCAACCATCCTCATCACGGACTCGCGTCAGCTGCTGCAGTTAATTAGCGACACCAAACGTGATCGCGGCGCTTTCGTAGTATAAAGGATAAAATAACCGTTTTCTTTACTTGCTCTCGGTGGACTCTTTTGACATGGACTTTTGAATTGCGTTCATAACTCCCTCGCCTAGTGCTGGTGGTCTCGCTTACATTACGCGCTGCTGTATGGTAGTGCTTTTTTGGTCGTCACATGCAATGCACAGGTTGACACCGCTAATCCCATCCGGTGCCGCAGAGTGCAACACACTGATTTTCTTTAGCTTGTCGAGCTCGTCTGATGGTAGACATCTACATTCCGGGGACGCTCTGCAAATAAACGCTACACATGGATGCGGTACGCTGTATCGTTGTACGGTGCATCTACTTGCGGACAGCGTACAGGAAGCCGTCGAAACCCTTCTCTCCGACGGTTGCGATGGTGGTCGCATCCACCTCGGTGTTGGTCTTGAGATACTCGAGGAGCGCGCGGACCCCCTTCGAGTTGGCGTCGGGCTCGACCGTCGTGTCGGCCACTTTACCTTGACGCACGACGTTGTCGACAATCTGGCGCGTGAGCGTCGCGAGAGTGCGAGGGCGGCCCAACGACGACTTACGATCACTCCGCCCGACTTGACGAGGCGCTCCGCTTCTTTGAAGTAGATGACGTTCGAGGGCTTGTCGGCGTCGATGAAGGCGAGGTCGAACGGCTCCGGGGGGTTCAGGCCCTTGAGGGTGTCGGCGGCGGGGCCGACGAGCACCTCGGCCTTGTCGGCGAAACCTGCGTTGGCGATGTTGGCACGGGCGACCTGTCCGTGTAATTGTCAACAAGGGGGCTGCGAGGTCGTCAAGGCGAAAGGATTATGAATATTGACCTCCGCGTGCTTCGGGGAGAGTTCGCAGGTGATAAGCTTCCCGTCCGCGGGGAGTGCGCGGGAGAGCCAGATGGTAGAGTAACTATAGCGAAACTATGTTTAGCATGGTCGCGTCGAGGATGTTAGACAGCGTCGAGGGGGGAGGGGGACGTACCCGCCCAGAGTGCCGACTTCGAGGATGCGCTTGGCTCCGATGGACTTGGCGAGGAGCGAGAGGAATTTTCCTTGCGCAGCGGAGACGGCTATGTCTGGAAGGCCGTTCGCGGCGCTGTTCTCGACTGCAGCCTCCAAGATCTCGTCCTTCGGGATGAGGAACGAGTTGTGGTACTGGTCGCTCTTGACGAAGGCGTCCTTGGTGAAGGTCGACATTGTCCGTAGGTTTCGGGGTAGAGATAACTTGGTATGTGTTCGGATGCCGATGCGAGGCGTTCTGCACGCCCTATATATGATCATGAGGATGCCGAGTGTAATTGTTGACGTTCTGATCTGATAAGCGTGCATGCGTTCCCCTGACCTTGTGCCTTCGATCATCACGTCTATTCATAATATCGACCATCTGACACTCGTCCGACACTTCGCATGAGCGTACGGGTCCGAAAAGTCGACAAGAGTAGGTAGTTAAAACAACTACGCTCGCCGTATATACCTGCTCGGTGATACCGAGTCTGCTGATCTCGTTTCAGTCGGTCCACAATCGAGTTTTCTGACATCAACCCCGGACCTTGGGCTAAGACCCAGAACGCTTGGGTGTACTTAGTGTCGGCGGCCAGGGCGAGGCTACTTATAGTCATCAAATGCCCGAGAAGATGTCGTCTATCTCGTCCGCTTTGACCTTTTTGACTTTCTTCATTGCCGGCTTTGGGAGCGGCGAGTCGGCTTGTGTTTGTGTTTTCCTTTTGGCCACGACAATAGAAGACTTCACAGGAGCGACGGCGGCAGTCCTGGAAGTGGATGATTTTGGGCGACCTGAAACGTCTCGAGTCGGAGCTGGCATCTGCGCCGTGGTGGAATCTGAACCTAGCAGAGATGGGTTAGCGTCTGCGTGATTCAGGAGCAGACGCTGCATACCAAACCGTGACGAAGAGCTGGGTGTGTCGCCGGGCCTGTAACCTGGGCGGTCAAGATTCGTAAAATGACGAGTCACATGTTCGCGAGGAGCGAGTCCCCCAACTAGAGAACCCGAGGGGTTGCGTTGTGGATTCGTGGTGACTGCACTGTCCAGGTCTTCCACGTCATCATCACCCCCCGGGGTGTCCACGAAAGGAGGTGTCGATGAAGCGTCCAGTTTCGGCTGGCTTGTGGTAGCAGTAATCCTGGGAAGAGTGGACGGCTGAAACTGAGTCAGTTACCGGGAATGTATGTCATCCCGAGGTGGACCTCACATCTAGCACATGGATCAATGTGTGTATTGTCTCGATACATTCTTCGAACATCGGGTGAATCTCGAGTAGCAGGGCGTTCAACCGGGCGGCAATGGCTGTGAGAGTGAGAACCAGCTGCAGGAAGTATGCGGTCTTCATCGCTGACGTGAAACAGCTGAACTTCCGGTATCCGTCAGCGGATTATGATAAGGATCCAGCAGTAATTCTTACCTGTATGCCGACGAGAGACGCAGGCGTGTCTTTGAGCAGTAATCAATTAATTGGATAACCACGAGCATGTGTGGTGCATACCTCTTCCAGCAATTGACAAGCAGCCGACAGCCGTTCATGTACACGAGAAGCGAAACCAGCAATCGGTACATGCGTCCACGCTCCTTTCATGACCTTGGGACTATCACCCTCTGAGCATGGGAATTATACCTTCGACTTTGCAAACGTACTTTTCTAGTAACGCGTTCCCCCAGAAGGAGCCTCGGAAAGCCTCGACCATCTCTGCCAGCATCATGTCCGCGAGCCTGCGACCAAACCTTCGCATCTCGACGGCGCGTTGCCAAAATATGGCGGACCTGTGCTGGTTCTTGCCCTTGTAGTACAGTCGCTCCAGCAGCCTCAGTTCGTCGCCATGAGCGGAAAGTGCCGTCTGCAGTCGGCGAGAATGTCCCTTGAGATGCTTGAGTACGGAGTCCACTGACGATTGAGCTTCGGCAGAGAGAGACGCTCTTGGCAAGCAGACGACGTTCTCGAACTTGACAAAACGTTGATTAGGCATTGACTATGGAGCAAGCACTTTGTATGCAAATAAATTCGGACGCTCAGGGGAAACCGCAAGAAGAGCGTTGCACCATGTGACTTCTCGTGCACTCTGATCATCGAGCTGCCAGCCGAAGCTACTGCAGCCATTGCGTATCCACGCCCACCTCCGCGTTTCGACGGACAGAAGAATGAGCGGCAATGCAGGACAAGATGCTAAGTTCTTCACGAGAGGCAAGATCCAGGTCCGTCCAAACCATGTGCGCAGAGGCCCCGAATCTCGGCATTCATCATCCGCAACGTAGGAGTTCCGCACGGAACTGCAAGTCGCAGCGGATGGCAAGGACAAAAAGTTCGTGAAGCGGAAGACGGCGCTCAAGAAGATCATTGCGAATATCACAATGGGCAACGACAGTCGGTACCTATCGTACGCCGTAGCGGCTGGCCCGCGGATTGACGATCGTTGCTGCAGTGTCGCCGCTCTTCCCCGACGTCGTGCAATGTTTGGGTACCCCATCCATCGAAATCAAGAAGAGTGCGTAGCGTGCACAATATGACAGGACTTGGATGCTGATGTTCACCGCAGTGGTGTATCTGTTCTTGGTCAGCTATGGGCGAACGAAGCATGAACAAATACATATGGTTATACCCAACTTCCAGCAGGTGCGATGGGCTTCGTTAATGGAGACGCCTTGTCTAATGTCATATAGGACTGCAACGACCGAAACCCTCTCGTTCGCGCCTTAGCCATCCGAACAATGTCATACATTCCCATACCTGTCGTAACGGAATCTCTTGCTGAACAGCTACGACACTGTCTGAAAGACAGGGACCCATACGTCAGGAAGACCGCTGCAATATGTGTTGCTAAGCTGTATACTGCGGATCCTCGACGTGCGGAGAAGGGCGGGTTTGTGGAGATGTTGCGCGACCTATTGCTGGACAGCAACGCTACCGTGGTCTCGAACGCCGTTGCCGCCCTGACTGAGATCGGGGACAGATATGACGGGGTCATCTTCAAGCTGAACCTTTCCATCGCCAACAAACTCCTAGCAGCCTTGGGCGAAAGTTCAGAGTGAGCTTCAGGGCGTAATGTTGGGTAGGGCTATGTTAACCGCTTGTTTTTCTAGGTGGGGACAGGTATACATCCTGGACTCCATACTAAGATTTGTCCCTGAGCGGCACGCGGATGCTGAGGCCATGTCCGACCGGATTATAATCCAGTTGCAGCATGCGAACACGGCCGTTGTCTTGACCGCCATCAAAGTCCTGCTTTATTTGATGAACTACATGGAGGATCGCAAGCTCATCGAGCATATATGCAAGAAGATGGGCCCGCCTTTAGGTGCGCATATGCCGAACGTTCCGCGTGATCATACTGAAACATCCTTGGGAACAGTCACTATGCTATCCTCCGGGCCGGAGATCCAATACGTAGCACTACGCAACATTCTCCTGATCATTCAGCGTAGACCAACAGTGCTGAGGAACGACGTTAAGGTTTTCTTCTGCAAGTACAACGACCCTGTCTATGTCAAGATGGCGAAGCTTGAGATCATGTACCGGCTCGCCAGGGAGGATAATGCAAAGGAAGTGCTCGCGGAATTACAAGAGTAAGTCGTGCCTTACCGTTTCTTCAGTTTCTCGTTCATATCTACTTTGCAGATATGCCTCGGAAGTCGACGTGGACTTCGTACGCAAAGCGGTCCGCTCCATCGGCCGTCTTGCCATCAAAGTCGAAGCGGCAGCGAACTCCTGCATACAAGCTCTCCTCCAGCTCATCTCCACCAAAGTCACGTATGTCGTACAGGAGGCCGTCATTGTCATCAAAGATATCTTCAGGCGGTATCCTGGGCGGTACGAAGGCATCATCCCTACGCTATGCGAGAACCTGGACGCATTGGACGAGCCAGAGTCCAAGGCATCGATGATATGGGTGATCGGCCAATACGCGAACAGAATCGATAATGCGGAAGAGCTACTGGACGACTTGAGGTTCAACTTCAACGAGGAGTCTACGGAGGTTTCTTATCGCTGAACAAAACGTAAAACACGTTGCTGACTAGTTCCCCAGGTTCAGTTGGCATTGCTCACGGCAGCGGTCAAACTGTTTGTTTACAAACCTCAATCCCAACAAGCGCAGAAACTCGCGACCGAGATTCTCAAGGTCTGCACCGAAGAGGTCGACAACCCCGATCTGCGGGACCGCGGATACATGTACTGGCGGTTGCTGGCTATTGATGCCGCCGTCGCCAGAGACGTTGTCCTAGCGGAGAAACCGGCCATAACTACCGACGCGGACCGCATGGATCGGGGTGCGCTTGACCAACTGCTGCTGCATACAGGGACGCTGGGTAGCATATACCACAAGAACCCCGAGGTGAAGCTTATTTGCATGCGTGAAACGTCCGCTGACCTCGCCTTCGGCGTCCTAGACATTCATTCGCAATACGATGGGGAAGGCATTGGTGGACAGCCCGGCGCTGAACGCTCATTCTCGTGCTGTGCTCGTTCCCCTATCGCAACCCAGCTTGCCTCCCATGTCAATCAAGGTTGCGGGACCTGGACCGGTGGAGCGCGCGTCCTCCACTGGAAACCCGCGTTCCCTGGCCGATAAGCCAGCGCCACCGACACCGACGACACAGGAGAATGACCTGGGCGACGAGGAAGGTCAGGAGAACGGGGATGGTGATCAGGAAGATGACGAGGACGAGGGCCAAGGCACGCATGGTCAAAGGGCCGCGCTCGCACTTGATCCTTACGCGGACCTGGACGGCGCGTTTGGGGACGTTGATCAGCCAAAGTCGGGGCACTCCAAGACGAACGATGACGATTTACTGTTCTAGCTTGCGTTATTCAGTGTATGGATACATATGTAGGCTTTACCTCCTCAAACGGACTATTCGCTTCCGTCATAGTGGCTGGCTGCAGAGTCTAGTCTGAGCTTGAGCGAGGAGATGCGACGGCTATCTCCTGACGTCACGGGCGGGATCTTCTTGGCAGAGCGGTGCTTGAGATGGCTCGAGATCGCCATATAACTGCGAAGCACCCGCTACCTGCATCTGTGACCTCTCATACCTCAGCTCAATCATGGCTAACGGATCCAAGCGACAACGGCTGAAGAAGGCGCTATCCCCCGTGTCCGGGAGATCGTCGAATACCATGTCGCCTCCAAACCCCTCGCCTGGCGATCAAGAAGACAACGAGGATCTTATGGATCAGCTCATGGCTGAACTCGACTCCAAGGATTCCACAACTCAAACGGAAGCCGCAACCATTCTGAACAAGATGAACGTCGTCCAAGCGGCAGAAAATGGACCGGTGGCGAAGCCAGCTAATGACAGCAAGTCTCGTTACAAAGCGCGACAGGTACAAGCGATGTTCAGCCATTTGGATTCCATCTCATGAACGTACTCATGATAAGGAAAGGAAAGCCGCAGCTTTGGCGGAGGAGGCGGCTCAGAATAACCCTGACGACCCGACGCGCACAGCGCAGTTCGAGCGAGAAGCAGCGGAAGAGGAGAAGGTCGTCAATGCCATCTGCGATGAAATGGGTTTCACTATGCATGAGGTGTGTCAATATTCTGTTCGACGACCGCACCCCCTAGTTACGGTTTCGCAGATAAACCCCGACGGGCATTGCTTGTTCTCTGCCATCGCGGACCAACTGGGCCTACATGGACTCATACCCTCATCACAAGTCTCCTATGCGAACGTCCGGCACGCCGCCGCAAATTACATTCAAGACCACGTTGATGATTTCCTCCCGTTCTTGCCTTCGGAGTTCGGCGAAGACGGCGACGGCGCCGTTGATACTGGTCTCATGTCTCCCAAGGCATTCGCAGCGTACTGCGAACGGATACGGAATACCGGCCAATGGGGCGGCGAGCCGGAGATCCTAGCGTTGAGTCGTGCCTACAATGTTCCTATATTCGTCGTGCAATCTGGAACACCGAGGGTCGTGGTCCATACGCCGACGGGCGCAACTGTGGATTGGAGGGACAAGAACATCAAGGCGCTTTGGATCAGTTACCATCGACGCATGTATGGATTGGGAGAGGTGCGGCATTACCGCGTTCTGTTGCACTCTCGCTAATGGCTTGGCATATAGCACTACAACTCATTACGTCCGAAGAGCAGTGTGTTCTCCAAGATCGCTACGGCATTGAACACATAAGTGACGGCATCCTCACATCGCTGTCCCACAGCATATCATGAAGCGATAATCAAACACACGCTATATATCTCACAGGGAGCCCAGATACATATTGTACATACACACATCACAAACATATTGTAGTTTTCCCCATGCTATACGAAGAGTTTATCTCCAGTACGTAGGCGCAGAGGGCAGGACGATCTTCCAGGCTTCATCGAGTGCCTAATGAAGGGCGAGTTTGTTATTCAAATGCAACTTTACGCCCCGAAGGGTGCGTTCGTTACCTGAATGATCTCCTCGGGCAGAGGGCCTTTCTCGCTATCTTCGCAGTTGTGCTCTAGCTGCGCAGCTGAAGACGCACCAAGGATGATCCCGTCGGTTTCCGTCAGAGCAGAATGGTGTTGGCACCACCGCAGAGCGATCTCGGTCAAGCGGAGAGAATGCTTCTCCTGTTCGGGGAGAAGCATGTCAAGATGCCGAGGCGATGACCTATGTATCAGGGGGTCGTGTACTCACAGCGACACCTTTCAGTAGCTCAAGAGCTTGGAAGTATCCGTCCCGAAGGTATCGTGCTCGGTACATCTCGCCCATCTTGGAGCTCGGATCGAAGCGGCCACCTTTCGGTGCCTCCGCAGAGACGGACGGAACTTTCCCTGCAAAGAACCCGCCTCTGCATTGCGCCCATTCAGGTTCGGAAGATGAAGAGACACTCCCAAAGGAAATACTGCACGCACGCGAGAGGATTATAGACCACGATTCGGATGCCGTATTTCCTGCAGCAAGGAACGAGCTCGGGCTCGATTGCGCGAGTGATGGCGTTGTACATCGCCTGATAGATTTTGGGTTGCACGTAGCCCTTGGTTCTGCAGATCCCCACGATCTCGGCGACCTGAAACATAGCGCGATGAGAAGAGCGCATTGACAGTGACCAGGAATTGAATGCCATGTACCTCCCAGGAGGCGTAGTTGCTCAACCCTAGGATCTCGCTGCAAGACGAATTGGATGAGCACAGTGAAGAGCAATCCCGCGATCTGTTACACCCACAACTTCCCCTCTTTGTACAGCTTGTCGGCTTCGCCCAGGGTCTCTTCGAATGGCATGCTGCGGTCTGGGGCGTGCAGATAGAATACGCGAACTTTCTGACGATTCAAGGTGTTCAGAGAGGTTTCGAATGTCTTGCGAAGTGCAGACGGGGCGTGGTCTCCCGGCTTCACGGGGTAAACTCTGAAGGAGTAGCGTCGGTACCAGTCGCCGTACCTAAGAACAGCTTTTCGGCCCCCTGATACTCACTTGGTGTCAACAGTCGCGTCTTTCAAATCAAGCGAGGCTAGGTACTGCGCGATATCGTGATCAGGAACATGACGAGGTTGTCCACTGAGCGTACTCACTGCTTCGGTCGTCCCCTCGGCATACATCCTCGCGGTGTCCAGCTCGCTGTGACCATGGTTGAAGAATACATCCAGGATTTCCTGGCATTCTTTCTTATCGGCATTGCGAACCCCGTTCTTCCCTGCTTCGCCGATGGTCATAGTGCCCTGTAGTTATCGTCAGACACAAAGCGATGATCAAAACACAAGACTCACAAATATCAAGGGTACCCGAGGTGCCATCTTGTGCGGGGTGCTGAAGAACCGGTGAATGTGGTACCTGTTGAACGATGTCGGTGGAAGGGTAAGGCGTGAGGTTGCGCCGAGTCTAGTGATTGTAGACGTCGCAGATAACGATGATCTTATGGGGAGCATGTGGTCGTTGAACCTGATGATCTATTCATGCACACTACGTCCTGTGTTCATGCGTGCGAGCAGTGAACTAAGTATACATGGGCAACGGCTCCCTCCCCGGGGGTAATGGAGGGTGAGCGGGCCGCTGAATCGTGACTTTGGGTCCTGTGACGCCACGCGACACCCCTTGTTCCCTGCCACCACCAGTGCCGGCTGTTAGTTGCTGCCACACACACGAAGGAGTGGGGACACGGATACCTTGGACATGCCTCCGAACTTGCTGGCGTTGAGGCAGTATGCTATGAAGGCGGATCCTAGTTCATTGCCTGCTTCGGTGCTCTTGCAACATACGCCCACAACGCTGACCATCTTTGACGCCTATCCCAAGTCGATGTTCCATTTTTTGATCCTGCCGCGCGTTCTGACCTCAGAACCTGCGCTCACGGCCAAGGATATCTCTAGTCTTAGAACACTGTGCAAGCGTGGCAAGGATCAAGCGAAAGCGGTGGTATTCGGTTTAGCAGAGGAGGCGCAACGGGTTCGCGCCACCATTGAGGAAGAGATGGTTCGTACACAGGCAGGACCACGAATCTTCTCATTTGGGACGCTGCCCTCAGGTCAATCGCTATGGCTTCAAGTGGGAAATATGGACGGGCTTTCACACCGTTCCCTCCATGGAGTCCGTCCATCATGACCCCTCGCGAGTCTCGCACCATTGACGTGATACATGACATAGGCACCTACACCTTCATGTTCTCTCAGCGGATCTGGTCTCTTCTGCGATGAAGAACAAAAGGCATTACAATTCTTTCCATCCCACGCGCGGCTTCTTCCTTCACCTGGATGAAGTCCTCTCCTGGTTTGATAGTGACGATTCGAGTTTTGCGACAGTGCGTAAAGCTACTCATCGAATTACTGGCCTCATATCGACTGTCTGCCCCGTAACGTGCTGCGCCAGATGTCCGCGCTCGACCCTACCCGATACGAGAGTCTGCTGAAAGAGGATCTGTCCTGCTTCCGGTGTGAGCAAGAATTCAAGCAGATGCCCAAACTCAAGGAACATCTGAAGGAAGAATGGGAAAAACGAAGAAAGCGTGTTCAGGCCAGAGAAGCCAGGGAGTCCAAGACAAAGATAAGCAACAAGCGCCCCGCTGAACAACGTGAAGGCGAAGCTATTGAGAATCCTGAAGACACAAAGCGCCAAAAAAGTGTTTGCGAGACCCCAAAGGGCGGCTTGACGTAAAGACCACTCTCGGGTAAAGTGCTTGCAAACGTCCCGCAAAGACTCCTTTGCGGTATCTTATACGGAACAGCATGCAAAGAGGAAACGGGATCCTGGTCTCTCTTTGTACGTTAGCGTGGCGGCCTTCGATTAATGACACATTATGTCAAGCTTCTTTGCGCGGCGGTCGCCGGACAAGCGATGATTCTCCCAAGCACAATCCCGACCTTTGGTGTTCTTTATCCCGTGCATCTGCTCCTCAAGGCAACGACTTTGCAATATACCCCTAGTACGTAAGATATCGTCTTGCTATATAATATCAGGTACGGAGCCTAACTGCCTCCACCATTTTACTCCGTTCCACATGGATCCTGAACGCAGGCTGACGATTTTGCGCGATTACGCAAAGCGCCCGGACCCGGAGAGCTTGCGAAACTCCATCCGCTTCTCTCATACGGAAACCACCCTGACCGTGTTCGACCGTTATCCCAAGTCCATCTTCCATTTCCTGGTTCTACCTCGTATTTTGCCCAGGGAGTCTCGGCCTACCGGTCTCAGGACCGCGCACCTGGACAACCTGCGCTCGCTCCTCTCCGCCGACAGAGAATGCGCCAAAGCGGTTCTACTGGCACTGAAGAGGGACGTGCAACCTTTGAAGGCTGCGATAGAGCAGGAGATGGTTAGTGTGATATCTCACTTCCTGGTGTGCTATACGATACTTACGTTACAATACCTCCACGAAGCTTGACAGGTACGGTTGCACATGGCCGATTTGGATTGGATTCCATCCGATCTCGTCTATGCTGTCAGTCGACTCCATCTCCTGGGCGTGACCGGCTCAACCTGACCGATACACTGTAGACATCTTCATCTCCACGTCCTCTCCGCAGATTTGTGCGAAAAGGGGATGAAGACAAAGAAACACTACAACTCGTTCCATCCGAAGATTGGGTACTTCTTACCTCTGGAGGAAGTGCTCTCTTGGTTCGACGGCGTGCCCAGCTACTTTGAATCCGTACGTTGTACTCATGCTTCCAGTGACGCGTCGAACGGCGTCCTGATACGCTAGCCCTTCAGAAAGCCAGGCTGCTGCAGTCGGATTATCAGGATCTCCTGAACGAAGATTTGACGTGCTTCCGGTGCCGGGCGGAGTTTACGACCATGCCGAAGCTCATCGAGCACCTGAAGCAGGAGTTCGCGGAGGAGACAGAGAAGAAGCGGACGCGAAGGAAGCGCTATTCGGAGATTCGTGACAGGATAGGGAGTTCCAGCAAGCCGCGCGAGTGAACCAGCCACGATCCTCGAGCCCATAGTAGTTCGTCTATCCTCCCGTTATAGTGGCTCAATATTACTTTACTTGCGGCAGGATCGTAGACTTCGAACGTGTTGCATCATGACCCATTCTCCTTTTTCGACCATCATCCTACAGCAATTCTGTTTCTTAGCTGTCATACATCGACAATCGTACTGCCATGTTTAGTATAATCGAAATCTCCTCAGTATGTTCCAGAAACCTACACCTAGCATGGATCGAAATTAACTGTCGGAGCCGGCGTTGAGAACGCCTCAAGCAGCCACCTCTCTAGGCTTGCGACTGCGCTCGCTAGCTTCCCGAATAGCCCAGGTGAGCTCGTAGGACTTGCAGGCGTCTGTTTCAATTGGTAATTAGCATCATAACCACATTAGTTGGAGGTAGTTTGTATGTACCTTCGTACGTGCTCAAGATGTGACCGATCTCGGGGTCCTCCTCAATATCCTCAATCACGTCAATCCAGTTGGAGACCTCACTGTACATATCAATCGATCAGTATTCGATCTTATCAGCATATCCTCACGGAAAACGCACGAGAAGAAGGGATCGTCATCCGGGAATGTGTGAGTCTCTTCGAGGTCACTACCCGGCCTACGAATGTGCAGGACGGGGTTGACGTAAGGGTCCACAAGCCTGAAGGGCACAAAGGCGTTAAGTATTTATTAACGGGGATACTTGAATATCCCTCACTTCAGCTGGTAGCCATCGCAGAAGACCTCCAGCTCGCAACTATAGTTCGTTCCCTGGAGGCCAACGACGTGCGTGAAGCTTCCGACAGCGCCCGACTCGTACTTCCACGTCGCCGCCGTGACGCGCGGGATGCGGTTGTCCTCCGGAATCTTGCTCTCGTCCACGCTCATCTTCGACAGCGTGCCGGCGCGCTCGTAGAACTCGAGCGAGTGCGCGGTAACGCTCTCGATGTCGACCTCTCCGCCAAAGTAACGCGAAAGGTCGCAGAAGTGCGTCCCTTGCTCGATGATCGGCCCGGCCGACTTGGACTTGTCCCACCAGTCCGGCTTGGCGATTGCCTCGTACGCGCACGCGTAGCGCGCGATCGTTGCCATGACCGTGAGCTTGTTGTCCTCGATGATGCGCTTCATGGCCTGAGTGGCCTTGAGATAGCGCAACATGTACCTAGAAGTACCGCCATTGAATATGCGACGGAGGGCGACGTTTCACTAACTACTCATACCCGACAGAGACAATAGCGCCGCTATCCGCGATCATCTTGGCCACCTTGAACGATTCCTCGAGCTCTTCTTTGGGTCCCGTGGCGATGGGCTTCTCCACGAACATAGGTACGCCGGGGAAGTGTTTCAAAATTTGGGCCTCGATGTCGCGTCCGGGTTTGGTGGTACCGCGGAACATGGGCGGCGAGCCGATCAGGAACGCGCTCGGGCGGTCGCGAGGCGAGCGCGAGTTGGCCGTGGCGGCGACGAACTCATCGAGCGACTTGTAGACTGGGCAAGCACGGCGCGTTCGTCGTCGATGGCTCGTTTGGGCGAGTGGTGTCGCGGCTTACCTCGGGTGTCCTGGTAGGCAGACACGACGAAAGACTCGCATTTCTTCTTGAGGACGGCGTGTGCGCGCTCGATGGCGGGATCGATGAGCGCGATCACCTTCAGGCGAGGGCCGAGCTTGTGTTCGAATCGGAAGGAGTGGTTCCAGGGACCCTCCGCAGAGCCTGAAAGGCCACACCTCCGTCAGCACTCACACAAGAGACAAACAGCGCCCACATACCGAACATGATATTGCCGGCGCCGATGAAGACCACGTTGAAGTCGTCCGTGGAGGCTTGATGGTGGATGGTAGACATTTGGAATTTGTCCATGGGGACCAGCCTCGACGGATCTATAGACGAGCGCCTGTATTTGCGAACTTTAGTGCACGGATCTCCATGTAGACCGGTCAGCGCAGCTATGCTGACCTGCTCGGATTCGAGAGGCGTCGGTCGATGGCCTTCCCGGACGGGCGACGCTCGAAGGCGGACTGTCTCCTGCTGCCGGGGTTGCTGCTCGCCATGGGTGCTAGCTGGGCGTGAGCGATCGAAAATACGTTAGATCCAGTCGATACGTTGAAGAGATGCAGAGCGGACCTCAGTGGACGATTTTTACAGGTGATGGAGGGCAAGAGGGAACACGATATGTGCAAACGCGTCATGGGGTGGGTTATATACGGGATTCGGAGATGGGGCGCGAGGTCTGGGGTCCCCGGGGTGGTGGAAAGCGTAAACGATGCCCTGGCTCTCCACGAAGATCAATCGCGAGTTCGGCGGATCGGGCCTGATAAGCCTGAGCTCATGTCCGGCCTACTTATGGCGATCGCCGGTCATAGGCATCCCGCCGAAGGCCGCATTGCTCTAGATCCATGCTGATGCGTACGGATGGATAGATGAATCACAAAAACAACAACATATGCAGGTCGCGACGTCTGGAGGTGCTGCTCTAAATCTCCGTCGCTGATTACTGTACACCGACGAGCGCACCACGCTCGCCAGACCGAGAAGTATTATGAATGCAGTGGTCGGAAGGGAGGAAGGACACCGAACTCTCCATCGCACGCGTCAGGCGCGTGTGCCAGTGTTCGCGCCGCGCTTCTGATTTTCCAGCTCCTGCGTCCGCCGTTCTATCGCTCGCAGCCGCTCGTCCATCGCCTTCAGCTCCGCGGTGAGTTTGTCATTCTCAGCCGCCAGCCTCTGGACACTGTCGATGCGGTGCTTGACCTCCGGGATACTGTACGGATCGCGGAAGAGCCGGTAGCGTGGGATGGACGCGAGGAGATATGTGAGGTTAGCTGGATAGGGTAGAGAGGCCGGCGTGCACGTCTACCCACTCAGTGTTCTCGGCGATGAAGTCTAGGGAAATGTTGGGATCCACGTTCGGCTTAGGAATCTCAGGCAAGCTGGAGGTCCGTCCGTCCGTCATTGTGCGTAGCGATCGCGATCGAAGGGAAGTTGGTTAGAGCCTGCCATGAGCAGTCATGAGCGTCCGCCGCTACGACGCGTCATGTTACCACCAACCGACGAGTATATGGAAGAGACGGTAAGTGAAAGGATGAGTCTGAACGACGACGACGACGTGGCAAATGTTTGCGAACAAGGTATATGTTCGCTCCGAAGCCGCTAAATCTGGGGCGGGCGCGTTGCGGTCGGCAACCAGGCGTTGAGGGTGCATCACGTGAAGTTCGCCATTCGGCACGTCAACCATACGCTAGGGTTTGCCTCTCTCCCATGTCCCGACGACCCTGGCTCAGAGGCTACAGCATCATCGCCGGGTCCGTCCTCTTCTTCATCGTCGGGAGCTATGCCGTGCTTCTCAGCGCGTTTCTCCCGCTAACGGGGATCGGGGTCTGTCTCTTCTATCCTGGTGCTAAGTCCAGCCACGGAGGTCCGTACTGACGCACCTCTCCTTAGGTTCTGGACGCCCTCGCACGGGACGCGTACTACAAATACCTCGTGCTATTCCTCATTCCGGTTACCTCCTACTTCGTGATAGCAAACTGGACTGGCTGGCAATACTATCGTAATTCTTGATTGTCAGGGACATGGCGTGTACGAAGGCGGCGTTGAAACAAGGCCAGACCACTGCGCGGCGACGGCTTGGATGATGCTTGTCCATTCGAGGGGTCAAGAAAGAACGAAGGGGAGGTTTCCACAATAAAGTCGTGGTTGCAATCATCGCCCCTGAAAGTTACAACCGCAAGGGTACAGCAAGATCACGTTTTCCTCGCTTTCTTCCCTCGGGCGGCCTCCGAGTCGCTGTCGTCGACATTCCGCATCTTGTCCCACACATCCTCGTCATCCCCGTCGACGTCGTCCTCATCGCGGCGAGCCCCCTCCGAGCCATCGTCTTCCAGCTCAGCATCCACCACGCCATCCCAGACGATCGCCGTTGGCGAGCTTTTCATATACACCTTGTCGAGGACCTCACCCTTCTCCTCCTGCCGATGCCCGGCGGTCTTCGGCAGAGGTTTCGTGGTGTGTAACCTGAAGAGGCGGTCCTGCGCCACCGAACCGAGGAAACCTGGGCACGGTGCCGCGCATACAACCGCTCCGGCGATGCCTGTAGGAGAAAACGGAGCTGATGTCGGTATCGCTGCGGCCTCACCGTGACGAGCGGACGAGCACACCTTTGTAGGCGTAGTTGACGCGTCCGTTCCTGAGATCCACGGAAAACAGGTTTCCTTGATCGGCCGCGAACGCCTCGCTGGATATTGGAAGGCAGATCAGACCGTGTATACGGGGACAAGGGCTATGGAATGCGTACTGCTCTTCTACCCCATTGCATAAGAAGCGAATACCGCCGACCTTGGCGATCCCCTTCCAGTCTGCAACGGGTCGACGGGCCGCTCTGGTATCATATCGGCGCATGTTGCCGTTCGCGGTACCGCACACGATCTGCGCTGAAGAACCAGAGGAGGATATGAAGTCGAAGGAGGTGTTGTGAACGGGAACACGGAGGTTCAGCGAGTCGTTGGGAACCTGAGAACATGAGAGTAAGAAAGCGCCTGAAGCAAAGAGAATACAAACACACGGACGTACGTTTTTCGCTCGCCATACCTCTCCGGGGAATAGCTCGTCGCCCCTTCGTCGCTTTTTAGCGGGTTTTTCGCTTTCCGGTGGTGGAGTAACGGTTGAAGATGTTGGTTGCGAGAAAGCGCGTTCGGTGTTCCACAAGGACAGCTCGACTTCGTCGCCGCCATAGGCAAACGCTTGCCCTGTCGTATCTAGCTTCCAATCGCAAAGACGCATCGGCAGGGATGCTGTGGCGGCGCCTATATCTTGGGAATTGTCAGCACTGCCGAGGGCGGTACGTCGGAGGGCGCCATTTGAAGTGCAAGAGAAAACTGCGCTGTGACGACGGTGTGAGTAGGAGGGAGTACAGAATCTCGATGCGGCACGATGCGTACTTGTTCGCGATCGTTAAGCCGACGAAGCGGGACGTTTTCCTTATCCGTGTTTCTTTCCATTGCGAACGGGCCGTGAGCATGTCTCCTTCTAGTGCAGAGACGAACGTGGACCCGTCCTGATGTGCAGTTGCTATCTGTTCTTCAAGACGGTGTATTCATGCTTGACCAGTTCATCAAAGTTCCGAATCGTCATCCTCACCAGCTTAACGTCGTCTGACGTTTTTTCGACGGCCAGGGCTTGAATGGCGGACGAGCCAGCCGAGGGGCCGTCATAGAGCGTCACCGGAACAGCACTGGGGTCGCCGGTTTTGAAGCTCGCAGCGTAGCGTACATGTTTTATGTTTCCAAGTTCGTCGCCGGTGAAGAAGCCAGGCATGTCCCTGCGCCTGCCAGTAGTGAAACTCGGCAGGAGAACGCTGGAGAACGGGTAGATCTATTTATTTACACAGCCTCCAACGTGCTCTCATGGGCCATCGGCTGTGGAAAGCGTCACGGTTGTTCATGCAGTTGGTTCAATGGATATGGATACCACGTTGAATGAATTCATCGCGTGGGGACATTAAATCAATCCAGAACCGAGCAACATTTGAACGTGGCGGTCGTTGCATCTGGGGGAACGGAAGGAACCACGCGCATACCACGGCACAGATGTACAACCGGGCCATTGTAAGCATCCTCTTTACATATACAATCAGGTGGTACAGACTGTCTGTGTCTGTTAGGTCCTGAAGAGTCCGGTAAGACGTCGTGCGCGACGCATCACTTTGATTCCTGAAATCATCACTGCACAAACATATATGCTCAATCCGGTTGTTCCGCTATTGGGACCGCGCCGGAAATATACCTACCTACCTACCGTCACACCACCTTGGGCTCTGATCTAGACGACGCATCGATGACAGACAACTCGACCGCTTGATGACGGTGAGTTCGACAGAAACGCCGAAGCTCGCATCGTCCGCATAACGCATTGGGCCCCCAGTGAGTTGAAGTCTTATGATCGCTGATCAATCACGATGTTAACTTGCGTGCGCAAGAGGTCGGATCGGCACCATTGCGAAAGGATGGCTCGATAATCCAATCGATTATGACAAGCCTGGTGGCGATGGCGTAAACCTGAATGATGTTGCACAAGGAAACGAGCTTGGTCAATACAGCTCAGGGACCTCCCGGACGTCGACCCGGAAGTGGTGGCAACACCTTCCTTGTAACTGGAGGAGAAAACCGTGATATTTCCCATCAGAGAATAGAAGTTCAAGGATTTTTAACTTTGTATCTTGGAATTAAATATCCGGAACTGGTGTAATGCATCCTTGCGTCGATCATCACGGTATGGTATGGTATTCTAGGTATGATATTAGTTGACACTGTCCGGCAGCCGGTTTCCGCGCCGCGCAATTCTGTGTGAAAGGACTTACAGCCCATGGACTCTGTATACCAGCTGGAGGATGAACATTGTCCATCCGGGGGCGCTGGGTCTCTGTGATGTCGCTCACAGCTGGCCGCCACATGAAGCCAAAATGGCGGTGTAGCCCGATGGACAATATGTAGTGTTTTACTCGAATGAAAAATCGGAAACACCATGGTGGCTGTGCTATTCAATCTTTATGTGGGCTTTGAGGTGTTTGTGAGCTACTGTACCACAAATCAGTGTACATATTCAGACTCTACAGTGCTGAAAGCACTATCTGCAACTGAGCTCATGAGGGTACATGTATTAATGGGCCCAATATCGCTCCAGGTTTCTGCATGCTTCGGCGGAGCAGCAGCTAAGGCAGCCATGTGACTGTCGGTTAACCTCCGAAAGGTTTCCCGCGCTCACACCGGCAATACGGCAAAGTCACAAACGGCGTGGGAAAACCGCTGTCCAGAGGAACGGTAAAGTGGCTGTGAGGGGGTCATCCGTATTATGGCTCTCATAATTTTTTTAGGATACCTACTACTCCAAAAATATTTGTGTAGATGGGCAGGATGTACAGCTAACTAATGATGCTAATTTAAAGAAGAACGAGAGCCCATGGGAGGAGCAATGCGCAGTACAATTTTTCCTGTCCAAGGGAACGGTGGATCACTGTACTTGTCTATATATGGAAGATATATAGCCATATATGGTATGCCCAGCCTATCTGATAATGCATAAAGGTACGATTTGGGCTATGCGTTATGCAATTATGCAATTTGCCGGCAATTCCCTGCAAACCATGGTGGTTACAGGCCAAAACCGATGCATTATCAGATTTATGCATTATCACCCTATGCATTATAAGGTGTTCGACTGTATGTATACCGCATTTGAATCCGTTATTCGAGACGTGACCCCCTGATTTCGAAGTCCTCTGTATTATCCAGTTCCGGATTCTTCTTAAGAGAGAGTTAATTCAGAGCTGTCCAATCACCCCAGCGTGGCCCCATTTCTACTGGCATGTCAATGAATTCTCAGCCTGCTGCCAGCCGAAGATCCAGTCGCCATGTATTGTGTGCCATCCTGTCTCCCATCCCATATATGGGACACACCCACGATGCCGATATACCGATGAGATCCAAACTATCATGAAACAAACAGCTGTATTTATATATATCGCATCTGGAATCACATTCTGCATACACCGTACATTTTGCATCTACGCCATATCACCCGGAAGCTGCTCGTCAACCCCGCACTGGAAATCATCGGGAACTTCGTTGATCTCCTCATCAGGTGCACTACCATGTTGTTGTTGGTCCTCCTTGACGATGCTCTTGAGTGCCCTGACAGATGATCGACCACATCAGCGTTGATACGTTGAAAGTGTCCACGCTCGAACTCACCTTTGCAGTCGCTTCACCTCGCCTGAATTTTTCCGCAGCCATTCCAACCGCGCGTCAACACGGTCCCAGTAAGTCCTCCGATCGCCACCTTGCAGAAGGATTGCACGCTGGGTGATGATCAGATGATGAAGGGAGCGGATATGAATAGTAGCACGTACCATGACGGCAACCCGACTGGCAAAAGCGGCAGTAACGGCAAGATTGTCACCAACAATGGCAGACGTGACGTCGTACAGTGTTTGTCGGTCATCCTTTGGTCGCAATACGAGTTTCTCCACACTCTTGCCATCTTCCTGTACCAAGGCCATGTGCATGAGACTGTGCACGATCTGCCCGTAACAAGAATGTCAGTGACTGTCTGCAATGATTGCAAGACACGTACAAGCTTCTTGATCTTCGATCGGAGTTGAGTGAAGTGATGTAAGATACGGTCGTAAACCTTCGCCCACGCCGCAGCGTTCTTCTCAATGTTTGGAGGTAGCCCAAACCGCTGCCGCTTGACGATATCCTGGTGAGAGACATCATGAGGATCACTATGGTGCAAATACAGCTGATCATGCACATTACCTCAAGGTGCTTTGCGGGGATAGCACCTTTGAAGCTAAGCACTTTGGCCGACGTGAAAACTGCAAGCGCATACTTTTCGATGTTTTTCTGCAAGCCACAAGTCAGCGACGTGATTCTCGGAAGTGATTGACATACATCAGTATCGGCTGCCACAACAAACTGAGGCTGATTTGTGGTTATGTCGTCAACCTTATTTTGGAGGCTCATAACCATCGCGAGGATATAACCATCACGTTCCTGGCTGCTCATCTATTCATGTATGAGAAAGATGCAAATTAAGCGGTAGAAATGATCACCTTAGAGCATGAGAGTATCATATCGCTCTGCGCAGGTGTCAATTTGTACGCCCGCGAAAGCTGACGGAACAGCTGCTGCACATTCTTGTTGGCGGCGTGGGTCGTTGTTGTCGGAACTATGGACGTCGAGGGTAGCACATCTTCATCATTCTCCTCCGCATCCCTGGATGATCCATCGCCGGGATCTTCGCCACTATCACATCCATCCGTTCGCTTCCTCTTTTGTGGCGGAGGCCACGGCATGGGACTGTCTTCAGCATCCATGGCAGCGAGAAGACGCTCCTTATCAGCATCGGAGGGCGATGAAGACATAGTGACAGATGAGGGGGAAGGACAAGGAAGATGCGCAAAATTTGACGCACCTGTGACTCAGCCACAAAGACCCGGTGCGCTCTTTGCGCCACCAAAACACATTCAAGGCCTTGTCGTTCAGCGCCGGGGAGGCGCTTGGACTTGACTATTTGGTAGCCATGATTCAGGGCCAAAAAACGATGACTGGCATGTTGACAGCTGTCAAAAGGTGTCAATAGACCAACAACGAACATGCTGAGCATATCGAGTGAATGAGTGCGCCCACCCCTGAGTCGCTCTGTCATTGCTTGCTTCTTGCTTCCGTTCAAAAATGCCTGCTGTTGGTACTCCATTACCTCCATGTAAGTATATAATATCAAAGGACAGGTGCCACGAAATGTGTTGGTCACAGTGATGCTCACCTGTGTCGTGGACTCAGGTGCGAAGATCTCGGGGGATGGTGCCAAAGTCCGATGTTCAGCATGCCTTGCTATTGGTGGTCAACGATCAGCACCATGGCTCACACGGAAGAGCTTCCTTGCATCTCATGTGCCAAGTGCGGCCCACATGAAGATGCTTGCAGAGTTTGAACGGACCGAAGAACACCATCGGGCTGCAGAAGAAGTGCAGCGTGCTGAAGCACGAGAAGAACTTGCTGCTTCCAATAACCCCATGCGGCTAAACATGTTCGCGTCAAGTTCATCTCAGAAACATCAAGGGTTGCGCACCATCTCAGAAGATGAGTGTCGTCTCATGGCCGATTTTGATTCGACGGATGTCGACCTGGGGTTCATATCAGACACCTCCGCTGAGGTGAGAAAGAGATGGGAGCGTGAAGTAGAGCATATGGGCCTCTATAACCAACAAGAAGACACGGATGATAACGACGGCGGAAGCTCCGTGGTCGAGGAGCTGTTATGGCACACCACCGATGATGATGACGACGTACTTGCCGATGTCTGTCAGAATATGCGTCAGTTGCCTTCAAAATCTGTTCAAATAGCACCTGAATCACTCACCTTGATCAAAAGAATACGGACTCCCAACGCTGGAGGAAGTTCGTGAAAGGTTGGGCGAAGCCTTGCCGCAGGCTCAAAACAAGGAATGGTTCCCTTACGGATCAAAAACGGTACAGATCAGGACATGCACCACATAAATGTTAACTCATGGCATCCAGATGTTCTTGCTTGACTTACTGGATAGCCTTCCACGTATTCGGATATCCGACGCGTTGATGCGGCTCATCCTCTGGGTCATGCGGGAGAGTGAGGCACGAGATGTACCAAGCTTGAACCAACTTCGTAAAACGCAAGAGAGTGTTGCAAAGCAGAGTGCTGTGTCGGTGCACGAGTCCAAATCATCAAAGGGAAACATCTTCTACATGCTTGACCCCCGAGAGATCGTGAGCATCGTAAGTTGTCGAAACTCTGAGTCTGCAGAGTACGCGCCTTAGACACAGCCTTCACAGGACTGGTCAACACCAAGACGCGCAACTGCATCCGAATATATCCTGAGGTTCCTGATGGCCCCATTACAGACTTTTGGCACACTGGAAAGATGCATACGGGTTATGACCTGGATATGTTAACGCCAATGTGGGCTGCCGATGGACATTCGAAGCACTACTATGTGAAAGAGTTTGCCCAGCTTCATGACGGAACATATGTTGTGCCCGTACGGTGGGTTATCATGAAAGGTCAGATGTCTGCCGATGCCTTCAAGGTCAACACCCCCATTGAGGTATGTACGCATGGATGTATGCTACAAATGTTTCGCTCAATTCTCCCTGGTCATAGGATGCAACTATGAGTGACCAGATCATCACCATACCGGTGTCGAGATTGCAGTACAACTTGTTGGACCTAGAGGCACGGAAGTCCATTCCTATCTGCAGTGGTATGTTCAGCCTGAGATTCATTCCTCATGTGTCATTCTCAGGTTGAGCTTTCAGATTTTCTTGCGGAGTCTGATCAGATACAATCATTTCTGCGCCATATGCCCAACAGACCGAATCCACTCCGAGCAATAGCGAAGGGCCAGCCGATGTATTCAAGCTTTGTCGACTACTGGGGAGATGACGTATCGGGAAACCGCTCGAAGTCGTTCAACAAACACAACAACGCGTACATCACTCACCGTAATCTGCCTCGGAAGCTTTTGCAGCAGGAATACCACATACATTTTGTGTCGACCTCGCAATACGCCTCCATCCCAGAGCAGTTCATGTCCTTCAAGAAAATTGTCCAGCACGTACCAGTATCTGCGCAGTGTATGGCATAGACTCACCAATTATATCATCTAAGATCAACACACATGGATCCGTTCTGTGTACACGATGCGCGCACGCAAGCACCTGCAAAGATACGAATCTTCGTCAACAGCGACCCTGCTGACAACCCAATGCAGAGCGAGATGAGCTCGCACATCGGGGGGGGAGGCAACTGTAAATGTCGAAAGTGCAAGGCAGGGGGGACCAAGAAGTCCAAGGAGGCTCCGGAGGTTTATCACTCACTCTTTGAGGTAGGCCTGATTCACATTTAGGCCATCGATGCTAACATGCGCTCGCCATCAGGCTGGTGAACCTCGTACTGCACCGGATACATTTCAGGAAGTTTGTGCACAACTCGATATGGCATGCGAAGGAGTGATGCAGCCCATCAAGGAACGACAGACTGAAACCGGGGTCAAGGATGCGTATGCTCAATATTGGATCGAGCAGCTCATATCCCGATTCAAGCAAATTCGGACTTCTGATTTGTCGAGGACACGCGAATCTGTGTCGAATGAGCTGAAGTCCTGGCTACATGAACATGCCCACGACATTATCAACCCATTTCTGACGATGCCAGGTTTGACTCTGTGCTGCTGAGGACTTGTTGATCTTTCGCTGACGAAAACGGGACAGGTTTGGACATACACCGAGATACGCCCATTGAACTCCTCCACACCGTTCTTCTTGGGCTTCTCAAGTACATCTGGCATTGGTCACACCCGGCATGGAAGGACAGCCAGAAGAAGACGTTTTCGCTGCGTTTGGCATCTACGAACACAGATGCTCTATCCATCCCTGCTATTCGAGCTGACTACATCATGCAGTATGCTGGCTCTCTCATCGGTCGGCAGTTTAAGATTCTGGGCCAAACTGCGTCATTCCATGTGTATGATCTGAGTCCAACGCATGCTCATTATGATCTTTGGAAGGCCTCTGGAGAATTAAACGCACTTCTATGGTTTCCTGAGATTGACCATCTCGACGAATACGTTGTACGTGCCCAATCTTTCACTACAATCTGAGCTCTGCTTAACATACTCTCAAGGCGGATGTCGTAACTGCGGCAGCAAATGTCGTGGACCTCATCACAGCCATAGATCCTTCGAAGATTGTCGAAAAGACCAAGCTACACCTGCTGGCTGCGCATCTCGAGGAGGACATCCGAAGACACGGAAATCTCATCAACGCGATCACCGAATCCCAAGAATCGTTCAATGCGATCTTCCGATTGAGTTCTGTTTACTCTAATCACCTTGCCCCGAGTCGCGACATTGCTAAAAGTCTTTCGCACATCGAGGGCATGAAGCGTCGCCTGAATGGTGGCTTCTGGTGTGTTGAGCAAGGGACTGGAGATGAATCATGGACCCAAGCAGGGGCTGGGGTGCGTAATTACATGAACATCCGCCCCAGCATCCAACGACACCTTGGATGGTGCGAAACCGAGCCTGCCATCGCCGGTAATGCCCACATGCTTGATGTTGCCCGGCAACCTACTTATGCCATGTTTGAAGGTTCGGTTAGGCATGTCCCGATTGTTCGTCAGGGCAATAAACGAACGGCGCGGCCTATCATCAAGCTTGCGGATACCAAGGCCGTCAACGCCGTCAATGCCGATGCATATGATCAAACCTCACTGTGGACACCTTGCTCGCATGTCGTAGCACAATCCCAAGATGTTTGCATGCCTGGGTCATGGGTGTTCACCCAATCACCGCTGAATGTGAGGCTCGATATCAGTCTTTTGTAACACTGTTTGACGTTCAGCATCTCCATAGAACGAGGTTATCATCGGTCGCATTGTTGAGATCCTCGATAGCACGACGACGTCGGATGCCGTTGTGCTACTTGATCAGTTCCATCTGGGTTCTGAGCGACATCGTATCTTTAGCATGCCTACACTTGCAAGGCGTCTTGGCGAAGTGACTATATTGATCATACCTACGAAGGTGGGCAACGGCCGGTCGATTCGCAATGCAAGGCGCTGATATTCGAACTGCAGAGCATACGATTCGCCCAGAATGTCCAGCACGATTGCGTTGCTGGACGCTGCAGCGCTACGGGCCAACGGAAGAGAAAACAAGAGCGGAAAGAGTCGGATATCATCGAGCATTTTGTACAACACAACGAAGCGGAACAAAGCTACATCATCAACGCACATGCCTTCCACAACGCACACCTTCTTCGCCGCTGCCTGCCCCGCGCACTCTGGGAGCCGATCCTGCATTATGAAGACCGTACGAGCCACCACTATGCTGCAGCAAGGCGATATCAGCATAGTCAAAGTAGCAAACGGGCGAAGGCAGACGCACAGAAGAATGCCGCATAGCGTAACCCAACGCCGTAGCTTGTAACGCAACGTCCTGAGCGCGGATGAGCGCAGCGGCGCGGTTGACGCCAAGCGCGGGCGGGGCGCGGTTGACCGCGAGCGAGGGGCGCGATTGACGAAGAGGGCGAGGTGCGCTTGGCCGCGGGGTGTGCTTGACAGCGAGCGCGGAGCGCGGGTGACCGAGGATAGAGGGTGCGGGATGTGGCAGAGGGCGAGCGCCGGGTCGCGGTCGAGGACACGCTCGACGGTGGGCGTGGCGTGTGTTCGAGGGCGACCGTCGGGGCGTCTTCGATGGCGAGTCTAGGGACGCGGGGACGAGGAGGCTTCGGGCGGGCGGGGCGGACGACGAGCCTTTGGGCAGGCGGGGCGGATGTCGAAGCCGGAGGCGAGCGCGCTGGAGCGCGGGAATTCTGGTAGGCGCGTTGGGGCCGTTCAAGGGCGAGCGTCGGGTCGGGCTCGAGGGCGAGCGCCGGATAGCGCTCGATGGCGAGCGTCGTCCGGCTCGTTGGCGGGCTGCGGTGCTCTGCAGCTCGCCTAAGCAATGCGGGGGCTAACATGCTTTGTCGCGCCGGCGCGGCGTTGCAAGACGTCCTTCTGCGTTGGACGCGAGGCGATGGGTGGCGGATGGTGGCGAATTTGCATGTGTGCAAACTCTGGGACTTCGCGAAATTGTGACGCGAGCGCTGAGCCGAGCAATGACATCAGTGTTGCACAGCATGTACAGCTGCGCGACTCACTCGAACATGGCCAACGTCGCCAGGCTGAGCGCAGAAAGAGGGGCGGGTCAGACGAGAGCAACCCGAGCAACGGGGGCAGCAAAGAGCATGGGCAGGTTGGCCGCCCCTACTCTTGGCTGCCTCAGTACGCGCACTGATCATGGCAAGCGCATGGGCTGCTTGTAAGGGCGTCGGCGGAAATGCCAGCGTCAGCTCTAAAGCCCATGCGAATGCCAGGCGCAGGCCCGTGAAGGAGAAGGCCGGGCATGCTGTCTTTTATAATGGTCAACGTGACTAATACGACGCGACACGACACGACGCGCACGGGTCGCGGTGGATCAGCAAGTCACGGGTCTTGCAGTTGCTCAACATCTGTAGTTGCGTGTGACATAGATATGGATGCCCCCCGTCCTCTACATGTTACGAGCCTGGTATCTAGTCCGATCAGCCAGACCTGAGCCACGTAGTGACCATGTAGCCATCAGCTGGCCCTTCGTTCAGCCTCCGCCTGCACCTCCCAGTGTGCTGGGGCGTGGGACCAAAATGGCGGTGTACAAGAGATGGTGAGGATCCATTGGATGTATATATATATAAATAATCAAGAGGAAAGAGTCAGGCGATGTGGAGAAATTAGCCCGTGTCCAAGGGAGTGGTGCTGTCCAGAGGAACGGTGGATCACTGTAAGCCCCTGAACATTATGTAAAGAGCTCACGCTGGGACCTGCACGTGATGTTAGCAGCGCCTTGAGCGTGAACTTAGGGTTAGGGATTACCTTCTTGGGATTTCATAGGGTTAGGGTCAGCTGCTGGAAGTGCATAAACTTGATAATGCATAGCAATGAGGGTGTAACCGATGCTATGCGTTATGAGATGTTCGACTGTAGGAACAGACTGGTTGAGTAACAGACGCAAATTATAGGCGCGCGAAAACATTGAATTTAGGCGCCTACACGGCACGTCCGATTACGCTGCGGGAGACCCTCTGGGACCTGGGGCCGCCATGGATGCAGCACTGAAGGAGCTTGATAAGCTCCAGCAACTCACCTCGTCCGAATCGGCCGCCAAAGCGAAGTCACCGTCGATCCATGACTCCCTGAACTCGCTCCTCAAGTCGCTTAACGATGCCAAGAACCAGGTGGAGGCAAGCATCATCCTCTCGGAGAGCTCGTCGGCCGAGCTCTCGCAGGACAGTAGGGAGGCGTTGCAGAACACGCTGACTGTGCTGCCTAAGCTTGTTGAGGGGAGGAAGAAGGACTTGGACAACAGACAGAAGGAGATCTACAACGTACTGTCGAAGATCGGGAAGGTCCTAGACAAGGTGCGTACTGCGATTTAACCCGTGCGTGAGGACTAACCGACTGTCACTGTTGCAGCGGTTTACGAATCCTCTGCCAGAGTATGACCCGTTATTTACATCTCCGGAGGCTCGGGCTGCACTCGAAAAGACGATAGCTCTGCACTATCTGCGCACGGGGCAGTTCGACATCGCGGAAGCGGTGACATCTGTGAGTTATGCTCAAGAGCCAGGCCCCGGACCCTGCGCTAACGTTTGCTAGGAATCTGATATCAACATTCCTCCTGGGCTTAACGCACAGTTTGTGGATCTGTTCCGCATTCTGACCGCAATCAAGAGCCATGACATTGGTCCTGCACTCGAGTATGTATTCCGTGATCCCACCTCGACTGTCCCACTTATACTCGTATGGACCAGCTGGGCGCAGAAGAACCGATCCTTCCTTGAAGCTCGTTCATCTCCGTTGGAATTCCTCCTCCACCGCTCTCAATACATCCGCCTCCTCCTCGCTTCGCACCCTCCTGAGCCCCTCCTCGCACTCAACTACGCGCGCGCCAACTTTGGCCCCTTTCACCAGCAATATTTCCACGAGATCACGCGGCTGATGACTTGCCCCGCCTACCTCCCGCTCGCGCGCCTGCAAGCGTCGCCCTACGCCGACCTCGCCTCGCCCTCGTTGCACTTTGACCTCGAGCACGTGTTCGCGAAGGAGTACTGCGCGCGGTTGGGCATGAGCCGGCAGGCGCCGCTGCGCGTCGTGGGCGACGTAGGCGGCGGCGGTGCACTCGCGCGGATCGAGAAGGGCCGCAGGGTGATGCGCGAGCGCAGGAGCGAGTGGAGCCATACCGACGAGCTCCCGATCGAGGTGCCCGTACCGGCCGAGAACAGGTACCACTCCATCTTCGCGTGCCCCGTGTCGAAGGAGCAGACGACGGAGCATAATCCGCCGATGATGATGACGTGCGGGCATGTCATCGCCAAGGACAGCTTGAACAAACTGAGCAAGGCCGGAGGGTGAGTGCTTCGGTTTCTTCGACACTGTTTTGCGGGGTCGCTCACGACGACTGTTTATGCAGACGGGTGAAGTGCCCGTACTGTCCGCAGGAGTCGTCACAGGACGCTGCTATCCGCATCCACTTCTGATCTATCGCCAGTCGGACGACCTCTCACATCGTTGTACTGTATCATACTCTCACGTTCTTGGGATTTGTAGCGCAGTTCTATCTCTGTACTATAGGCTTCCGTACGTCCAAGCTCCCATTATGATGACAAGCATTTTTACAAGGTTCGGTGAATCTCATAAATAGCGGAAATTTGTCTGGTGGAAATAATGCCTGCTTGGGAATATCCTGCCGAGCGCTGAACACGGATGCCGGTCCGGACCGCCTGCACAATACACGGGCACGTGACCTTTTCCTGTTCTGGATCAACGGCTCGCGCTGGAGCTCGAGGCTTGCAGGATCTCTTTACCAGCTTGGCCATGATTTTCAAGACGTGCTGCTAGTCCTCGCTGTACATTTTTGGAAACTGCGGACTACTATGTCGAGATTTATGCCACCTCGCGCTTCCTCTCCCGCACGACCAGGCATTCTCAACCACGCAGACGTCTCGCTTTCGTCCACGCACTCGGTCCCAGATCTGCTCGGCCTCACAGACGACGAGATCGCTTTTCTGGATCGTGTCGTTGAACGAGCCGGGCCCTCAGCGACCACCTTTCTCGCCGTATTCAAAGCATACAATGACGTCTTGCACGAGCGGGGGCTCGATCCGCAGAACGAGGTTGTGTACTACGGCAAGCTCCTAAAACTGGGTACACTCAAGGGCCAAAACTGGGCAGAAAAGTGGAAAACAGTGAAGGCACAGAATATGGCGAATGGCGGACGCGCATATGCGCCCGCGCAACACCAGCCGAACCAGGCTGCTACGTCTTCCCGAACGCGAGCTCCTGTAGCTTCATCTTCGTCAGTGCCGGGCCCCCGGCCTATCGCGACGCGCCTGACTTCAGGCATGCCGCAACGCCATACACAGGACTCTGACACGTTCACCCTCCACTCGCACGACGACGGCACGGAAAACGGAGACGATACGATCACCCCTATCCCCCGCCAACACTATCGAGCGTCCACCGCCTCCGGCCTCACATCCACATCCATCATCTCTCCGACCAACGACAACTCCCTTGGCCTCCATACCGGCCTCCCCTCCAGTTACAATATTCCCCGCCCATACTCCATCCCCGGATTCATCGCCCGCAGACTGGCGCATTACGACTCGGAGGGCACCGAGGCCGCGGGTTCATCATCCACCACGCCGCCATCTTATGGGGCAGCCACGCGTTCGCCACATACGCATATATTCAGTGCGACGCCGGTGATCGACGTGAAGGGCAAGACGCCCATCACCAAGCTACACCAACGCGCTGTCGCGTTAGAGAACGCGCAGACGGGAATCATCGCCCCTACTCCTGCGCGACTCGCGGTGGAGAGGGCGAGAGAGCGGAAGGGAAGTGTGTTGAATGAGGATGACGCGTGGAAAAAGATCCGGGAGGCGCAGGATGAGGAGGATGCCGTTCGATGGTATAACGAGAGATTGCAAGAGCGATGTTGGAACATCTGGCGCCAGGGTTACGAGTGGATTATTGCGAGTATGATTGTTATTCCCCTGTTACAGTTCTAACGTGTCATCGCAGACTACGCACGAACAAGTAGCGCAAGCGCGCGAAAACCTGAACCTGCGGCTCGCCCTCCACCGCTGGCGCGCGAAAACGGCGGCGCGGCTTGACCTCTACGAGCGGGTCACGCAGCTCGCGAACCGGCGTCTGCTGCGGCTCGCGATGCGCGTATGGGCTGACAAGCTGCACGCGCGGCAGCAGGCGGCATGGCGGCATGAGATGCGCGCGAAAATGAAGCGCGTTAAGGAGAGGCGCGAGGCGCAGGCGGTGAGGGATGCGTGGGCGCGGTGGCGGCAAGCTTACCATGCCCGCCTTGGCGAGGCGCGATACAGAGAGCGTCTGCTCGCGCGGGCGATGGGGAAGTGGAGGAAGAGGCTGGCAGAGTTGGACGAGCTAGATGTGAAGGCGGATCAGTTTATGACGGATCGTGCGGCGAGGCGGAGGGAGCGGTTGTGGGAGCGTTGGCGGGATATGGTGGATCTCAGGGCGCGGGAGAAGCATGTGGAGTCCATCGCAGATCGTCGGGTGCTCCGAGATGCTCTGCAGAAATGGAAGGAACGGAGGTGAGTGCTTTTCAGAGTCGACCGATTCAATTCGTGGCCTGACAAGTATTCCCATAGTTGCGAAGTCCAGCGCGCGGATGACTTCTATGATGTTGTTTGCCTCAGGGCCGCCATGAGCCGCTGGAAAGCGGCTTGTGCGCGTATTCAAGCTCAAGAGCGCAAGGCGGACAAGCACATGGCTAGGCAGGACGACGTCCTCGTCCGCGCCGTCATGCGCGTGTGGAAGGCGCACGAACGCGGCCGTCTGCTCGAACGGGTCAGGGCGGTGCGGTTGCTCAAACATGTATGGGCGGTTTGGAACAAGAAGATGAATGTCATACGGGACAACGAAGGTCAGAGAATTGCCGTTCGCCACTTGTCGGATCCTCTAATCACTCTTTTCAGACATCGCAGCGGCGTATGCCCTTCGCGGCGACTCGTCGCTTGCCGTGTCCTCTCTGAGGAAGTGGCGACAAGCCTTCGCGACACATCAAAACGCGCAGGCATTCGCTGTCCAGTACCACGATGCGCAGCTCAGATTCAAGTACTTACTGGAGTGGCGAGTCGCGCTGCGACAGAAGCTGAAGATGATGAAGCAGGCGCGCAAGGCGGAGAAGATCATCATCCTGCGTAGGGCCATGGAACGTTGGAAGGAAGCATCGGAAAATCGGAGAAGAGAAGCGAAATTAACGCAGCTACAGGCGAAGAAGGCGAAGAGAATATTTGGTGGTAAGCAAAGATGTGCTGTTGGCAGCCACCAGGCGACCTTACAGAATCCCGATGATCAGTGTGGCGAGAGCGGACACGACGACAGATCCACTTGCGACTTGCCGAGCAAGTGGTTCAGCAGCAAGTTGCTCTTGTATGTTATCATTCAGCTGATGGTCGGCGATGTACTGACAATCCCTCAGCGTATCGTAAGGGACGCCCTGAAACGCTGGCTGGATCGAACCGTCGAGATCAAATCACGCGAGATCGACGTAGTGGTCAGGAGGGAGCGGCTGATCGTCGGGTATGTAAATCAACAGGGTTTTTCTGATGTGCTATCGAATACACCATCCACACAGAAACGCCTTCATGAAGTGGAAAGCTGTATGTCTGCGTCATGTCGAAGAACTCAGCCTTCTCGAGAGCTATCAGGACGTGAAGCGGGAAGGTCGGTGCCTCGCTTCTTCTTGTGCATGCATCCTCTGACATCCTTCCAGAAATGATCCGCCGTATGTTCCATCGCTGGCTCCAGTCAGCCCGTGCCGCCAGGCACCGTCGTATCACCTTGCAGCGGAAAGAGGAGGAGCTGCGATGCGCGATTATCACGATGGCATGGGAACAGTGGCGCGGGCGCTTCAAAACCATGCGTCTGCGTCCCCTGGAGCGTGAGTTTGCCTTGCAAACTCAGAAGCACGTCCTGTACCGCGCCTTTGGTATATGGCACTCCAAGACCACCGTGAGTGTATACCTCAGGCTGTCAGGGGTAAATCGTTGCTAACATGCCGACGACGCTCAGTCTCTCCCTGCCGTGCGATTCCATGCATCTCATGTCAAAGCGAAGGCGTGGAAGAAATGGCGCGACGCCATGCCGGGCGTTTTGCAAGCGAAGGCAGCCCGAGACATGCACAAACAAACCGTCCTGAGTAAAACCTGGTGCAATTGCAGCCTTTCGCATCCGCTGATCGCATTCCCTTGTGCAGAAAAATCCTTCAACAAGTGGCTGGAGGTGTACCGTACGAAGGTCGCCCTGAAGGCTGTGGCGTACGTGTCCAAAGGTTATACTACGTTAGTTCCTGACTGACCTTCGACGATGTGCAGTCGCGCACGTTTCCTCCGTTTACCTACAGCGGCTCCCCGTGTCACCCCTCGCGCAGCGGCGACTCGATCCCCTCCTCAAGACGCCCGACCCGCACCCCGCAGGCGCTCGTTCCGAACGCCCACTCCCGAACCTGACCCGGCACCTGAAACGACGGAATCGGAATCGGAGCCCGTCGCCGCGAAAACGCCGCCGATCCCGCGGCCTAGCTACCTCTCGCGTTCCCGCCGACGAGCCGGCACGTCCGCGTCTGCATCCTCGCTAGCGCGACCTGCCAGTCCTGGCGCGCACTCGAGCATCTCCGCCGCCATCGCGCGCAACCCCAGCCCAACGCGCTTCGACCGGCCTCCCAGCTCGTCCGGTACTGGCGAGGGCCGGAGCAAGCTGTTGATCGAGTTGAAGGAGCTGCAGAGGCGCAGCCGCACCCCCACCACCGTCGGTCGTCTCAGCCCGTTCTCGCCGCGACAAGACCCGCTATGAGGTTCTCCGGATCCCGGTCGCATTTGCTGGTATTTATTACAATATTTATCTCCTGCTTTCCCTACCGTTCGTGATGTTGTACACTTCTCGCTTTGTCTGTCTTAGTGCCTCGAATACAGTTGGTCGTTATACAACGGGTATAATGCGCATTATCAAGAGAAGTTCGATACAAGTAGTGTGGGTTAGTAACAGCAGCGCTCAAATCTGGGGGCGCAATTACAATCCACCGATCTCCGACTTCCAGACATGGGCCTTCTCGAATCCGTTCACGCCACGTTGGTAATCCATGAGGGTCTGCTGGACTTCTTCGCGCGTGGTCATGACGAACGGGCCATATTGGAAGACCGTCTGATCGAGCGGCTCGCCGGATACCTGGAAGACACGGTCAGTGGGCACCAATAGAGGCATTTCCATAGGTAGGACTTACAAGGATGAGCTCGGTGTTGTCTTCCTTAGCGGTGAGCGCGACGCCGGTCTCGTTGCGCTCAGAGGAGAGGACCAGGGTGTTGAACGGTTCGTTGGCGTCGGACTCGGTGCCCACGGTGACGGATCCCTTCAGCGCTGCAAACACGGGCCAATTGCTTGTCAATGGCAAGGGAGACTGCGGAGTGCTTACTGTACGCGAATGTTGTCCATCCGGGAGCTATGCGGCTCGTCAGCGCTGAAGCAACAAAAATAGGTCAGGAAGACTTACGGAGGTCGATAAACACGCTACTGGGCTTCTTGAATATGACATGGAAATAATAGCACCCACCCAGAGGCCTGACGGGGCTCGTGACGCCGTGTGCCTTGCCGCTGATCACTTTGATTTCGATGGGACCGTCGGGACCTTCAGGGTATGCACTCGGAATTCTGAAAGGATGCAGTTCAGCCAACTGGGCCACGCAATAAAGGACATTTGAACATACTCCTTAGGTCCCATTTCTTGATAACTCGGGTCCTATAACACAGATAAATGCAGAATCAAGCGCCTCGCGCTACATACAGACGTACCACCATCTTGAACTACAGAGGGCGTCAGTGAGAGGGCAATTCCAGCAAAATGAGGATCAAGTCAACATACCTGTTTCGGCAGATCAATCCAGAGCTGCAGTCCTCTATATAACATGGCTTCAGCGCCTAGACAATACAAATATCTTCGCACAATGCTCACCGAGGTTCGGGGAGTCCAGGTCCATGTACGGGCATTTCAGCATGGATCTACCATTGACGTAAGTTGGGTTGGACTGCGTTGGACAAGACGCTGTACTCACAACACCTTTGCCGGCACACATCCATTGGACGCCTCCAGCCTCGATCAAGCCCTTGTTTCCCGCAGAGTCTTCATGCCGACTCGAACCTTCGAGCATGTATGTTACAGTGGCTTGGCCGCGGCTGCATTCATCGTTAAATGTCAGATCTACGATATCTAAGGTCCTACTCACTGGGGATGATCCGGGAATCCAGCACCTTGACTGACGTGGAAATGATCCAGCATCAGGAAGGGGGTGAGGTTTCTCAGCTTCATGCCCCCGATTGACCTGCGAACGCGCGCTCCCGCTCCCTGCAGATACATCTATCAGTCCCGGTTCGGTACTACGCTTCGTACCAGAGATACCGACCTCGCTCTGTTCAACCGCGAGCACCTTGTTCACCACCCGTCTCGAAACCGACTGAAGTGCCATCTCGCTCGGTACTGTGGTCTGCACGGAAATCTCTTGAATGTCTGGTTCGTCGATAATATGCAAGTAGCCGAGATACAATGCAAGGATGACGGCGGCCAGCGAGACGGTTAGGGTTTTATACATGGAAGGTCTGAGGCTGCCCCTAGATGCTGCCAGAATATTGAAGCGGTCATGATCGTTGGGCTTACAGGAGGGTGGGATCCAAATCAAGCTGGATTTGTTCACGCCAGGGCACGGTGTCATCTTCATGCCGTCAGCGTGACCTCACATCAACTCGCCAACATTGGCCGCTTGGGCAACCGGCATTTGGTACTTGAACGAGCTGTTGCCTCTACGCGGACATGAAGCTGTCTTGGACCTTGGAAGATCACCACATACCCATCCTTTTTATCGTGAAACGGCGAACGCCCATCTTGCCATTATTGAACTGCATCAGGCGTGTGCTGTGCCATAGCCTGCGGCGACCTATGTCGCTGCCCAACTCTGCGAATAACAAGCCGTTTCGAGTGATATGATACCATAGCCCCATCGCCATGGAGGCACGTCAGTAAAGTATCGAAAGCTTCCTAATAAAACGCAGTGGTGTAGACCATCCATCGCGCTCGTCCTCTCGCATCTCCAATCGCCCATGGACCATCATGAAGAAACTCAGAGGCATAGGATCGACATGGTGATTGACAACAGGAAGCCGTTATTGTAAATCCTCGAGACACTCACCGATGGCCTCATTGTCTGCGAAGGTCTCAACGTCGCGGTCAAGCTTGCAAAGGACGTGCTCGAGATGGTCGAGGTTTGTCGTGTGCTTTCACCAGGTGATAGATGACAATCCTCATTGACGATTTCTTTACAAAGTCCGGAAGAATCAGAAGGACTGCAAGGAACTTGCCCATGACTGCTTCAAGCTGATCTTTATCATAGTGGAGGTTTGAAGGGGAAAACTGATGAAGATGTACCCGCGCACCTCAAGAAACGTCTTGAAGATGTGGCTTGGTACGTTCTAGACTGGGACAGCAGTGAGTTTCAGCACGCTCACTCCCCTTCGAAGCACCCTTCTGGAAGTTAAGACGGGTCTAGAGCGACTCAAGATGGACAAGAAGTTCTCGTTGAGCAAAGCTTGGCCAAAACTTGGGACCTACACGGCAAATATCCTATACAGGCGATCGAGCATCTCATTCGAGCCTCGGGGCTGTATTCCGAGGTTGGAGATCGCCTTGGCGTAGCAGAATGCCAGCAGTCCTTAGCCAACATCTACCGCATGCGCAAGAAAGACAGCCTATCCATCGACAGCTACACTCGTGCTCACAAGCTCTACATCGAGATCGGCGACCAACGCAGGGGGGCGAAATGCGAGCAGGACTTGGCCGACATTCATTGCTCGCGCGGCGACCATGTCCAGGCCATCGAACACTTCGCTCGAGCCCTGGAGCTATACTCTGATATCGGAGATCGGCCCGGCGTGGCGGAGTGTCAACGACTTATGGGTGACATTCATCGCGTACGAAACGAGTATGACCAGGCCATGGAAAGACTCGTACAAGCCCTAGAGGTATTCTCCGAAATCGGGGATCACATCGGGATGGCGAGGTGCCAGCACAGTCTAGGTACCATCCACTGCGCGCGAGACGAGTACGAGCAGGCCGTTGAGACGCTCGTTCAGGCTGAAAGAGTATTCTCCGAGATGGGACAGGATTATCGCGTCCACGCTACAGATTGTCTGCAGAGCCTTGGCAACCTGCACCGCGTGCACGAGGAGTACGATGCGGCAAGGGAAGAGCTCGGCCGTGCTCTCGAGTTGGCTGCAGTCACAGGAGACCGCCATGAGATCGCGTGGTCTAGGGTGTACATGGGCCTGCTCGAGCACGATCAACGTCGGTTTGCTGATGCGGTCCAGAGCGTCGAGGCCGCTCGGTCCTTGTTCACGGAGATACAAGAGGAGTTTGGTATAAAGTACTGCTTGGATCTTCTGACTCGAATATCGAAAGATATGGTGCGTGAACTGTCGCATGGTCTACAGAAGGGAGCAGTTGAACCTGATTCGGTATGCAGGCTGATGACGAAGGCCTAGGGGATAGCCACGTTGTTTTGTCGGACGACTTGGCGACTCTGGGATGATCGCGAATTAGTGATCGCAATAGTATGTATATCCTGCTCCGGACACTGTAACCGCTCTGGTCGATGAATTAGTCATGGTATCACCAAGCTCGAGCTCAAGGGTTAAGATATAAGAAACGGAACGCGGCAAGTCCATCTGATTCTGCAGCTGAGGCTCGCACAGCCATTTACAGCGGCGAAACGCGCTGTCACATGTGCGACCAGTGTGGGCCATCCGTACGCGCCAGGTGGCCGAAGACGATCCTTGCCTGATTAGATGCGATGTTGCACGCTGCCCGTCCGAAGGCTAATACCGCCTACTATTCTCATAAACCCTCCCAGATCCGCCCGTGCTAACCCATTCCCCCGTCCCCCACCTCCTCGTACCCCAATCGCCTTCAGTAACACCACCAGGACGATGGCTAGCGCAGCTCGGACCTCCGAACGCTTCCTCGCCGACCGCGACGCGCCGCTGTGCTCGCTCAACATAGCCAAGTCCTTCGGGCAGCTGACGAAGGAGGAAAAGCTCTACGCGCACTACGTCGGCCAGGCGTCGTGGGCGGGCGCAAGGATCATCCAGGGGCAATGGACTCCGCAGGCGGAGAAGCTCTACGACCTCCTCGTCCTCACCTTCGCCGACCAGAGCCGGGCCAAGCTTGCGGACCTGGAGAAGCTGAAGGCTGGCGCGAAACTGAGCGAGGACGAGTGGAACGATCTGCTGCAGTACACCAGTGTGTCTTTGTCATTGCTTTTCGAGTCCTGCGAGTGCTCATATATATATATACCCTTCCAGTTCAGGTCCTCAGCAATTTGGTGAACTATCGCTCCTTCGGGTTCACGAAGATCTTCCCCCGCATCCCCCCGGAAACGTTCGAGGCCGTCGTGCAGAAGTCGGCGAACGCAGCGGAGACCGTTCCGCTTTGGAACGAGGTTCGCCATTTCACAGTACACCGGCCTACTAGATTATCGATCATCTTTACTTTAGCTCAAAGACCACATTTATGAGGACTCCCCGGAGCCCGTTCTCTCAATCGGTAAGCGCAGCCTCGGGCACGTCAGCAACTATTATCTGGGCGAGCCCATCACGGACGAGGAGAATGCCGCGATCCAGGCCAAGGCTGAAGAGATCAATGTCGACATCCTGAACACTCGGTGGGTATTATTCCTGCTCCTGTATGATGTCCGTGTGGACCTCATGGTCGAATAACAGAGTACGCAAGGATTCTATCGACGAGTTCACCTTGCTCGTTGCGAGCGCGAGCGCTCTGGCACCTACGACCCACACCTTCGAGGTCAACGGCCAGGAAGCGAAGCTCACCGTAGAATATGGTGATTTCGCTGGACCGGTAAATATGTTATATCTCGAGAGAAGACATGGATTCAACAGCTGTCTTCGATCCCTTTAAGCTTACGAAAGCTGTCGCCGCTCTGTACGAGGTTCGCCATTGACCTCGAGCCCCGTACGGGGTGGTGCTGAATGGTTGAACAGGCCAAGAAGTATGCCGCGAATGCGAACCAAAAGGCCATGATCAACGGCTACATCGAATCGTGAGCGTCTTCTCGGTCGTTCAGCCCGGAACAAACGCTCACTCTCCCTGGCCAAGGTTCGAGACCGGTTCGATTCCGGACCACAAGGAGGCGTCCAAGTTTTGGGTCAAGGATGTCGGACCCATTGTGGAAAGCTACATTGGCTTCATCGAGCACGTCGCATGCATCTACTGGTGCGGCTTTGCTATACTCATTTGCCTTACAGGACCTACGTCGACCCGTACGGCGGTCGCGCCGAGTGGGAAGGTATGTGGGCCCATTCGATCCTACGGAGGATTTGTCTCATGGGTTATCTAACAGGCTTTACCGCTATCGTTGACAAAGCGCTCTCGGCCAAGTACGAAAAGCTTGTCGACCAGGCGCCCGAACTGATCAAGGACCTGCCCTGGGGAACCGATTTCGAGGTTGACGGTACGTGATCCAAGGAACCCTCCCTCCGATTGCGGTGGTGTGACGTACCCGTCATTCCTAGTGTTCAAGCGTCCGGATTTCACCGCGCTGGAGATCCTAACCTTCGCCACGGGCGGTATCCCCGCCGGCATCAACATTCCCGTGAGTATTGCTGCTACACTCATGCGAGGTATAGCGCGTAATGCTACACAATAATAGAATTACTACGACATCCGCGAGAGCACCGGCTTCAAGAACGTCTCGCTCGCCAACATCCTCGCCGCCAAGGCACCCAGTCAGTGCTCGCGATTCTGCTCCGATGTCCCTACGCTACTCACCCATCCTCCTCCAGATGAAGAGATCACCTTCATCCACCCGGACGACCTCGACACGTTCGCCGCCTGGGACGGCCGCACGTTCGAGCTCCAAGTGGCGAACCACGAGCTGCTCGGGCACGGCTCGGGCAAGCTCTTCCAAGAGGCCGCCGACGGCTCGAAGAACTTCGACCCGGCCAAGGTGATCAACCCGCTCACGGGAGAACCCATCACGTCGTGGTACAAGCCCGGGCAGACGTCTGGATCTGTACTCGGCGAGTGCTCGTCCTCGCTCGAAGAGTGCCGCGCGGAGACGGTCGCGCTCTACCTGTGCAGCAATCCGACGATCTTGAAGCTGTTCAACGTGAGTCTTCCCGTCGCGTGTCTCGCGCTGACCTAGATTGACTCACCGCGGTTATTCACGTTAGTACGTGGAAGAGGAGGATGTTAAGACGATCCAGCATATGTCCTTCCTCCTGATGGCACGTGCAGGCCTCCGCGCGCTCGAGTTCTACGACCCCGTCGCCAAGAAGCACGGCCAGGCGCACATGCAAGCTCGGTACGCCGTATCCTCTAACCCCTCCATCCCCAGCTTCGGACTGACTGTTCCTCGGCCGCGGTCAGTCTGGGCATCTTCCAGTTCTTGATCAAAGAGGGCCTCGCGACGGTCGAAGAGGTCCGCGGCGCGGACGGCAAGCTCGAGAACCTCTACGTCCGCTGCGACAAAGAGCGCGTGCTCTCGCACGGCAAGGCCGCCGTCGGCAAACTGCTCGTCGACCTGCAGGTGCGGAAGAGCACGGCGGACGGCCCGGGTGCGCGCAAGTTCTATACGGAACTGACCACGCCGTTCGACGGCTGGGATGGCGAGTACCGCGACCTCGTCATTGCCAAGAAACAGGTAAGGATGTTTCACTTTGTATTTCAGGGACACGACCACTAAGCATGGTTCCTGCTCCGAACAGCCGAGGAAGATCTTCGTCCAGCCCAACACGTTTGTGGAGGATGGCGAGGTCGTGCTGAAGGAGTATCCTTTGACGCCCGTAGGCTGCATCGAGTCTTTCATCGAACGCCGTCTCTAAGGGGGTCGATGACGAAACAGTTGAAGCATGTTGTATCTATTAGTCGGTAAATATGATGATATCTAGTCAAACTCAGCCAGCCTTCGCTCTGCGTGTTGCGATCTCGGCAACTCAGCGATCACCTCGGACACACCCGAACGTCTAAGAGGCATATAGATTACAATGGGCAGCCATGAGACTATGATATACAGTGCGACTACCACACCATCCAATGCTGAGATAGATCGACGATGTGCACGATATAGGGTCCAGGTGGAATTTGCTCGGACGGGTATAGGGCCATTAAATGTTCTGACATACTGTGCAGTTGATAGTGATAAGATCTCTGAATAGCGCGGCTGTTGGACGGACGGTTGTTCAGTGTCAGGCGTGGCCACGATAACAAGGCGTCCACTTACGCAGGACTATCAAAGCCGCGAGGAAAGCCACTATCACTATGTAGACGAAAGTGTACTTGATGATCTGCAGACGCCCGAGTCAGATGTCATAGACCAACGAAACGCGTCGAGAACGCTCACCATCCATCTTCGCTGGCGCTTCTGCTTGGTGGAGAACAGAGGTGCACGAATCTGCTTCGACGGACGAAGCCACACTGTCGAATAGTTGAGACAAAGGTAAACACGAGGCATCAGTACGGTACTCACTGAGCATGGTGGAATGTAACCGGTCGAAGTAAGGAATGAATATCGGCGGGGTCAGGATGATCAAGAGGATGTGTCCGAGCAAAAAGTCTGAACTCCATAGCGACATCTCGACGATCTTCACGATGTATTCGCGGGCAGGCTGCGACAGGGCGGAATTGCCGAGACCGCGGCCGTACCATTTGCCCGTCCACCAGGCCCTGTTCGTCTCGTCGTGCTTATATTCACGAGAAAGGAATACAGCGATCAGGATCTTCGTGATCGCACGCTGTATGGCAACGATGCAGACGGCGCCGAGCACGGCGTGCGATGCGTCCCATAGTTCCAAGAACCACTAAAGAAGGTTCGATGAGCAATATGCTGGAAATTTGACGTCGTCAGTACTCACGAAGAATTCGAAGAACGCGATCAATCCCAATAGTGCGAGCATATGAGCGAGGGCAGCCATAACAGAGCCGAACTTCACCCAGCTCTCCAGCATGGGACCAAGGAATAGCGAGACAAAGAACAGCGTCAAAAGGACGACCGCGTTCCAAACCATGGGGCCGACAGCGATGAAGAGGACACGGATGAGCGGGCTGGGGTTTTGCTTACCCGTTGTTGGATTCGGGAATGACTTCACGAACATGTAGGCAACAACGAAGATAGCGGCAGCCCAAATCGGCCACAGGATCTCGGAAATGATGACCGAGCGCCAGGTAGCACGAGGCACATCGCCAGAAAGCTTTTCGGATGGGAGGCCGAGCTTCTTCTTCTTGTAACCGGTGATCATCGTACGTGATAGACGGCAGTAGCCGTACCAACTGCTCGCTTTCGTCCGAGAATTGCCGCGCGACATCCATCGAAGGAATTCCCGGTAGTCGATGACGAAGTCGGCGAAGGAGAACTGATGCGGGTTGAAGATGAAGGGTGCTAGGCAGAGCGATGCAACGGAGAACCAGAAGTAGATGAGGTGCGGAATCCAGAGCGATAAAGAGACGTAAAGTAAGATGAGCAAGTTGCGCATGCCCAAGTAGATACTTGGTCCTGCGAAACGCGAGTACAAGATAGCGAACGAGAGACGGGTGGTGGCGAAGCCACGACCGGTGGCGATGTAACGAGCACCGCCGAAAGTCAAGTTACTTCGGATAGCCTGTGCGTAGATTTGAGTGGAGAATACTTCGAAGATGGGGGAAAGCGAGAGGAAGTGCTTGGCGAGACGCATGAGCGCACTGCCAGTTCCTCGCTCCACAAGTTCTAGGGTGGCATTCAGCATAATCCAAAGCTCACGAACAGATGGGAGCAACTGACCTTGCAAGAACAGCGGGAGGAAAGCTATGATAAACACAAGGAAAATGGAGATGACGCAACGCTTCACCCAGTCGAAGACGGGAATGAGGTTGTAGCATCCGGGCTGCCCTGCGATGACATTCCCGGTCGAGTCCACCGAACATATGGCCAGGGACTTGTTGAGCGTGCCCAGGTACAGCAGCGTAATCATGAAGACCTCAATGGAATAGATGACGAGGATGTTGTTCACGTGGAATCCGGGGTGACCGTAGTAGAAGGTCAAAAAACGGTCGACCGGCAGCTGCGTCCCGAGGTAGTAGTACTCTCGACTAAGCATTTGCTCGCCCATACCCGTGCCGATCTTGGTCTGGAAGTTGAGAATGGTACCGAAACCAAGATCACGACCCTTGCCGCATTGGTAATACTCCAAGTGCTTAATGCGGCCTCCGCGACCGAAGGCGTTCATGCCGGCGTAGATATCCTCGTTCAGGTGCAAGCCCTTCTGCGCCTTCGAGACACCTCCGCGAGTGCACATGAAGATGGCGTTGAGCAAGTCGGGATGGCCGTAGTGAAGCTTTCCGCCGATCCACGAGAGCGCGCGGGCGGTCATGGTACCGAACGTCTGCTCCTTTCCGGCGGCAATGTCTCCCAACACACCGATGTTCTCGGAGAAAATGTACTCGCGTGTGCCGACGATGGCAACCGGTGCCTTGCTGAATTCCTTGTGGCCCCATTGCGCGTACGGGCTCTGACTGGAAACGTTGTACTCCTCGAACTCGCCAAGGATGTTCCGGATCTTCAGGCACTCTTCCAAGTAGTTGTCCTGGTTAGCATCGATGAGCTGCAAGTACTCGCCACGATAGAAGATGATCGCGTGATTTTGATTGTCGGACTTTCCGTCTCCGAGAATAGGATTGCCAGGGAGCTCGACGCGGAATTTGGGCTTCCGCTTTCCAGTCTTCTCGTCAATCTCGGAATGGCCATCGATGAGCACAGAGAACCAGCGAGGCTCAGCTTCCTTCGGTCCCGGCTCGTCCTCGAGGAACGCGATCTGCAGGTCGGGGTACGCGCGCAGCAAGAACTCAGCGTTCTCCTGTTCTTCCTTGTTGAACTTGCTGTACCGCTGCATCGAAATGGCAAACTTGAACTTGCGCCGGGACATGCGCTCAAGCTCGCGCTCGAGCCTGTCCGTGTTGCCAGCGAAGGCCTGGACGATCTGCGGGTTCTCCACGCGGTAGAGAAGCTTGATGGCCTTCGCGTAATTCATCATGCCAGACACCGTGCGGTACAAGGTCTGGAAACGCAGCGATGCCCATATACGCGTGCGGAGCGTGTACTCCGGCGACGAGTTTTTGAAGCCGATGAAGTAGAAGGGGAGATCATCCGCCTTTTTGCCGCCTTTCTCGTTGATTGAGGATGCCGTAGGATCATCATGGGCGTTCTCCTCGGCCAAGATCTTCGTGTCCTTGACGAAGTTGTCCCACTCGAAGGGATGCAGCTGCTTCAGGTATTCGAGGAGCGTGACGCGGGTGTTGTGATCCTGCTCCCTGATAATCTCGCGGAGACTGAGCAAGATCTTCTCGGAATAGTGGGGTACGAGCACGGTGAAGGTCGGCATGGCGTCCACTGGGAGCGGTTCGGGAAGCGCTGTGGTCAGGGAGGACGAGAAGAAGGAAATGCGACGCTCGGCCTCGCTACCATGGGGGAAGAACTTGCCCGGTGCGCCGTCATTGTTCGTGAAGAAGCGAGGGGCACGAAGGGTCCGCTGGCCGCCGGGTCCGTCGACCTGATGATACAGCAGGGACTGAACGTGATCGATGGATAGCAGGTGCTCGCGGTACATTGAGATGACAATCGCGTTCCAAATTTGGGAAACGAGGACCTGGTTCAAGCGTTAGTGACACGGGCTTCGTGGATACAGCGGAAAACTAACCTTAGGCTTGTACTTGACCTCCATCTCGGCGGTAGCCAAGAGCTTGGCGTAAATCCGCTTGGGCAAGCGCGTGTAGACCTCGTGCCAGGGCGTCCAAATAGACAGGCCCATGGCGAACGACCGACCGATACTCAGCACCACACTCCAGATGATGTACCACAAGTACGTGTCGAGGAAGAAGAGGATGAGGTCCATGACATACATGATCGCCAGCGCAAACGGAACCTGGTTCGTGCACAGCGCGTTGCCAAAGAACTTGTCGTTGCACCCCTGGACCTTGGTCCGCGCCATGACGGCGATGGGACTACTGAACGACGAGGTCAAGAAGAAGTAGCTCTCGACGAACTTGCACCCGAAAACGCCAACCCAGAGCATGATGGACGCGGTGCGGGGCGAGCGCGCGAGCGCAGGGTACGATGCCGTGAACGTTTGCGAGGCCAAGTACTTCCTCGACTTTCCGGCTACACGATCCCCGAACATCCGACCGGAGGGGACGATACCGAACACGAGGGTCGCTACGACGGATATACCGAATTGGACAACACCGATGATCAGCGGGACATTGTTCGTTGTTGGCCGGCCGTCGATGATAGCAAGGTAGATAGTCGGACCGCCCGTGAGAGCTAAGACGATGAGCAGGAAGAAAAGGCGGGTGGTGAGATGCGAGGCGTTATGCCAGGTCGTCGGGAGGTACATGTACTCCGCGCACGTTGCGACAATCATGATGAGCGTGGCTACCGCGCCGCCCAAGGCGGTTGCCGACCAAGTCATCGGAGCAGACGGGAACTGCTTGTTCGCTGGCGCATACACCTTCGGCGAGTTGAAGGCCGTGTAGAACCAGTACACCGCAATGTGCAAGATCCAGACACGGTTGAAGTTCACGATCAGGTGGGCGACGGACCGCTTTTCGTAGTAGGTCTTGAAGAAGACCTTGTTCCAGTCGATCTTACTGAACTTCGTGAACCGCTGAGCAGGGGCCGCGTCCACAAGGCGGGTACCGTCCCGGAGCACGATGCGAGCCAAGCCTTCCGGATACCAGAAGAGCTGGTTGATGTCGTCGTAACCGATGATCTCGGCGTGGTCCTTCTCACGCCGGACGAACTTGCCACCCTCGCCAACCTCGTAGCCCTGATCCCGCATGAAGCGCCACAGCGGTTTGATGACCGTATCGAGATAGACGCCCTCGGGGACGGGATCGACGCGGTTTTGGCACTCGGGACTCCGGTAGTAGTCGTCGGCGCACTTGAAGATGAAGCAAAGCGTCTCGGGCACGAAGCGAACGTTTCCGGCTTCACCCCAGCAGAGCAGATACAGCGCAATCTGACGCAGGCGATCGTACTGCGACATGCTGTTCATGGCGTTCCGCCAACGGTTGAGCGCACTGTCAAGCGATTTGGAGCCTGCCGTCTTGACACCCTTGCCGCCGACGGACTTCAGACGTTGCAAACCGGGGTTGTTGACCTGTCCGACGGCATCGTCTAGGTTGAGCTGGGCGGCGAAATACCATTTACGGTAGTTGGCGTGTTGTCCGCCGATGTAGTCCGCGTGGAGAGTAAGCAAAGCGTGGTTGGGTGTCATACGAGAAGCGCGGGAATCGAGCTGCTGCATCAGGAAGTCGAACTACAGGGACACGTTAGCGCGGATGATCACAGTCATGTAGAAGGAATGTTGCTCACCATGTTTCGCATAGAGTCCCGCTGGAAACCGAACTTTTGGGTGAGGTCGAGGAAGATATCCTCGATTTCTTCGGTCGACATGGGGATTTGGCGCTTCGACGACCAAGCAGGATATGGCTCGTGACTGGAGGCGTCCATCTGGGTCGTGTCGGTGAACCCACTGATACCGCTGATGCCGCTTGTATGCGAGTCCACGGAGGGAATGAATCTGCGTCCCTGGCCAGGACCGCCGTCCTCGGAGTCGGCTATATGCGCGTCGGATCAGCACCGGAGTCGAGGGTCACAGAGACACGAAAGCGAAACGTACAATAGCCCTGGTCGTAGGAGCCGGGGGCGTTGAGATGTGTGGTGCTTCCGGCGCGGCTGTCGTAGCCGTTGCTGACGACCGAGCCGCCATACTGGCCGTTCGACTGAGGGTACGGCCTGGCGGGCAGACCGCCGGGGCCGTTGAAGGGGTTGCGTTGCTGGCCGTAGCCAGGGCCAGGACGGGCGGCCATGGTGTTGTCAGAGACAAGGTTGGACGGGTGTCGTCGCCGTCAGGATCGTCGAGCAATAGTGAGTCTGGGAATGAAGGAAAGGCAGGCGACCACAGGCTGGCTGATGGTCGTCCTGGCCGGGGGGATCAGCGGGAAACGAGCGGTGGGTGAGGGAGTGATGAAGACGGGGGGCAGTGAGCGGAGTCGGTGCGTGCGAATCGTCTCCAAGAACTACAGCGCTCCGTTCTTCCTAGGCGGGCGGCGTCTGCGACCTCGCTCGGCTACAGTACTGTACTGATTGCACCAATCACGCCGCATCTTCTTCCTCGACGAGGGTGCACGGCTAAGCGCTCGACGAGCCAAATCACAACTGCTTCAACCCCATAATTGCCGGCACGGACAGCCAGCAGTGGCACTGACAGTGACCACCGCCTTCGCCGCCATCAGAACGACACACGTGATCGGGCGCCTTCGACAGAAAGTTAGCGCGTTCTCGTGTCCAGCTTCGCCCACCTGAATGTCCAAGCCTATCATCCTATGGCGCGCAAACGCTGAGACAGCGACGGACGACGCGTGCACGACTATCATCAAGTCCACGTTACCTCCTGTGCCCCCTCGCGGCGACTATGAATCATCGATCCCCGTTGCTCGAACCAACGCGGTCCCCTCCTTGACGTACTATGTCATCAAGCAACTGGTCGACTACCCAGACCAAGTGAACTGCTTAGGCTCGCGTAGACTGCTCGCAGGAGGACGCTCATCTGCGACTTACAATGCTCTACGCGCGTTAATTCCAGGCTTCGACCCGGAGCAACCAGACAGGACTTTCGACTTGCGCCAGGTTGATCCACGGCTTTGGGCGGTTCTGACACAGGTCTACTCCGACTTACCTGCGTATCTACGTACCTATGAGATACCCCTATCCGATCCGCATATACCACTCCTGCAAACCATCCCAGCCACGCCGGATTACACCGCCATCACCGTGTTGGAGCTGCCCGGGTGTAAGGAGCTCGCAGACGACACGATCGCGAACCTCAAGGCATTGCACGCACTCTGCGCTCTAGATGCGAGCAGCACACAACTCAGTGCGTACGGTATCATGTCTCTGGCTGGCACGTTGGTCGCGGATGCGGGATTCTCGATTTCTCCCGGCAGAGGCCCTTGGGGATTGCGCGTTCTCTTGCTTCGCAAATGCAAACGAATGGATCACACGGTCTACTCATACCTGAACAGTTTCCCTCTGCTCGCTGTCGTTGGTCGGTACCAGCATATTCGGACGTATATATGCGCGTTATTCACGGAAGCCTTGTGCCAACAGACCTGCGTGGCACATCTTGCTCCGGGCGGAGATCATTGCTGCCGGATTTGTTCCAAACGTGCACCGATCAGGTTCTCTGCTCGTTGTGCTCGCCATTCTCCATTCTCGACCATCTTAGCTCCCCGGCACTCTTTCCACATCCGAACCCGCACATACTTCACGTGAACTCCCTGCACCATCGTCGGGCCGCATCTGCCTCCCGACCACTAGTCAGTGTCACACCTCAAGACACTTTCGTCGTGATGTCCTCTGTCTCCAACAAACTCAAAGTAGGCAACGCCGAGGTCATGCACGAGCAAGCCCGCCGATTGGATGACGAGATGAAGCGGGAAGCGAACGCCCAAGCCAAATACGAACGGATCGTGTACATGGAGGGACGTAAAGCATCGGACTACTGCGGCGAGTCAGGATGCAACTGCAGCGAGTCCTCCGACTTGAGCGATTATCCGGATTTCGCTTGGTTGGATGAGGTAGGACCGCCTCCCGAGTCGGATCCCGGGATGGGTACCCCGCCAATCACGAGTCGATATCTCCCAGCCAATCGACGTCATACACCTCTCTCTACTGCAGAGAATGAGAGGAATTCAGGCCCTGCGCCGAGTTTCCGAGATTCGCGACCACCACTGCGACCACCCCGACGTACGGCGGTGAACACAGACCAACATCCAAATTCTGCAGCTAGTACTTTGCGACCACGATCCGAAGCTCTTGCTCGTCCTCCGCGGGAGTTGGCAGTGCCCACATCCACATTCTACAACAATGCACGCCCACAACCTAGGCCGTCTCTGCCGAGCGCGTCCTCCCTCCCTCCGTGGGCCGGCGCTCCCACCGAAGGCGTGCTGCTCTACCGCGACCCGCCAACTTACAGTATTCTCGACTCCATACGCGCGGAGGCTGCCTCGCGGGCTAGCAACAAAGGCAAAAGGAAACTTGCGGTGGAGGATGGAGTACAGCGCGTTGACCGCGGAGCGCGGGCGAAGGAAGTGATGGGAATCTGGGGCATGGTCGATAAGCGAAGGAAGACGGAGAACCGGGTCGCGAGAACGGTGTCGGATGCTACGCCCATGGGCGGCTCGAAGAACCCCTTTCGACGAAAGGAACCACCCATGCCTGCGCCTGTCTTCGCTTCAGGGAAGGATCTCGAGGATCGGTCTCGGAATGGTACCTCGGCGTCAATCTCCACGTGCGCGGTTGACGATGAGATCGAGGACGCAGACAGCATGCTCTTGGATCCGTCACCCGCTGCTCCTCCAAGACAGCCAGACCCAACAGACGAGGAGCCTGCCGGTGACAAACGTCTACGTCGAATATCGACTTTATCCATTCCTGTCCTACCTTCTCATTTGATCCGTCCTGGCTCCACAACGGAGTCTTTCGCAAGACGTACTTCCCCCGAGCCGAAGGCCTTGTCGCAAGCGAAGCTCGATTTCAAGGAGAATCTTGCCAGTAGCAATGCGTCCGATAAGCCTAAAGCATTACGACCTTCTTCATCGTTCGGGAATGTGAAGTCAGCCAAGGCCAAGGATATGCCGAAAGCAGGAGGAACTCGGACACGTATTCCGAGCGACAATAAAGCTCGACCTACCCTCTCAAAGGGCTTCTTCGACTTGAAGAGCTGGGCGAGGAAATGATCTGCTGGCATTTGTGGTTTTTTTTTTCGTCGCATGTTTGTTTTTCTTATCTAAGCTGTTACTTTCATCTCTAGATAGCGTATTCTGGTGTATTGCATGTTATTGCCTGTAGTCCTTCATCTGTTCCTCAGGCACCTTGCCGTTCACTTGCCTTGCAGGTCGCGGTCGCAACGAAGTGGACGCGTCGTGGTCATGTGCCACGCGTGGCTCCGTCATCGGCTTTTCTTGCTGCGCTTGGCAGAAAATCCAGCACGCTCGACGTTCCGCTCAGAGCTCTACAAGGCGATGGGACTCCCTCGCAACGCCCTCGCAAAGACATCCCGACGATTACACGCTCAAGCCGTCAAGAACGCACGGACATACACCTCTGATGCACCACCGCCACCCCCAAAGTCGCACCCGTACACATTTCACGTCGGCGTTGGCTATGCTGGTAAACCTCCAGACCGCATAAAGCGGCGCTTTGCGGCTTTTCCGTCGGGACATCCAATTGCCACATGGAGGGACGAGATGTTGGCCTTACCTTGGGAGAAGGGTTACGGACCTAGTAATAATGCACGCAATCGGGATGCTGGCGAAGACTTCTTCTATGTACAGCAGGTTAGATCATATATCGCGGCTCCGTCTGCTTCAATCTGACGAACGTTATCGTGTGCACCTTTGCATAATAGATGCGCGAGCAATCGGTAGGTGAGTCCTAATGGCGGTACATTCGTACAAGATACTAAAAGCCGTTCCCTGCTGTAGGGCCTCTCGGTTGGCGTAGCCGACGGCGTGGGCGGTTGGGTTGACTCTGGCGTAGATCCATCGCTCTTCTCGCAAGCGCTCATGTTCCACTCTGCGCGTTACGCGCGATCAGCGTGGGCGGGTGAACCCGAGATAGACCCCACAACAGGATATGAAGATCGTGAAGAGGTTGAGGGATGGGAGATGGCGCCTGGCGAGTGCTTGAGCGCGGCATATGGTGCTGTCTTACGTGAAAGGGCTGTACTGGCTGGTAGGTGTCTTCGCGATATGTTGATTGAATGAGCTGATCAAGCTGTCGCCCAGGTTCGAGTACGGCCTGCTTGTTAAACTTCAATGCGTCTTCTGGACTCCTACGCTCTGCCAAGTAAGCAAGCCTATTGTATGCTCGCTACACCATTTAACAATGTCTTACGTGATTCAGCCTCGGCGATAGCGGTTTCCTCATCATCCGATCATCTGCAGTCTTCTACAAGCAGCAACCGCAAACACACTACTTCAATTGCCCAAAGTGAGTTTACTTTGCTGCACCATCTGCATCCGGGTTCTGACACATCTTTCAAGACAGTTGACCAAAATGCCCAACAACACAAATATGTCTCAGGCTGGGAATTATATCGACCAACCTGAAGATGCGGCATTGTTTGAGACCAAACTTCGCGACGGGGATCTCATCATCGCCTACACAGACGGTCTGTCTGACAACGTCTTCCCGTCCGAGATCGCGCATATCTGCGCGCTCGTGGGCAAGACGAGTACGTCGGAGGCGGAGCACGTCCAGGCGGTTGCGAATCGGATAGTAGCGTACGCCCAAGGTTGCATGGTCAAGCAGGGGAGGGTTAGCCCCTTCGAACGTAAGTTCGCTTTGCTAGGGTTGGTCGACCATTTCAGTTGACGATGCGCGATGGCAGAGGCCGCGGCCCGAAACGGGAAGTGGTTCCGGGGAGGGAAGCTGGATGAGTACGTTAATCTATTGTGATGTGACGCATCCGTGGACTAATAACACATCACAGTATCACGGTCATAGTGACGCTCGTTCGAGAAACAATTTGATGCCCACACTGTTGGCCATAACACAACGTACCCTCGCGCCTTGCAGACATCCTATCGTTAGTTCATCCATGTATAATCTCATAGATCCATAGAACAAGTAATATACGCGCGATCAATCAATACATGCTGTAAGTGTTCCTGTACCCCACGCATCGGCTATCGTCTACTGACCCGGCGGGATAGGCATGCAAGTCTGTCAATCACAGTGGTCAGAAAGGACATTACATGCGAGAGCCTCACTCACGCCAACAGTGCCGAGGAGTGAGGTGTCGCAGAAGGAGCCGTCGCAGCAGTTCAACACCGAATCAACTTGGGTGCAAATGAAGTCCTGAGGCGAGCACGGAAGCGTATCCGGTGGCAGGATTCCAAGCTGTGGCGCTGGGGTCGCGAGAACGCCAACTGAAACGGTCACGGCGACGATGAGGATGGCGAGGGTGCGGTCCAGCATCTATGGGAATGCATGTCAATATTCGAACCATTGCCCGCTCCTGGATCGAGCAACCTCACCACTGCGATTATGCTCAAGGTTCAAGCTGGTCGATTACGAGAGGCTTGGAGCAAGAAGCTGCTCGTCGCTGTCGTTCGCTGCTCTGTTTTTATGCGCGCGTCGTTCGGCATTCGAAAGATTTTAACATGGATTTCCAGCGGCCGCGCGAGCCGCGTGGCATCGACGCAGGAGCATACCGACTTCCGTGAGAAGTGTTTGAGACATGCGTTCTTGGTCATTCTCGGGCATTGCTCGGACAGGCACACAACGTCATTCGGAAGCTAAGAAGCGGTCCTAGTATGATGCCTTTCGGACATAACCGTCACGCTCTCAAGTCGCTCAAATCTCATTCGTTCGATTTCAACAAGTCACGGCGATGCGGATAATGCGGGGATTCGGGAGCGCCAGACGTATCCTCATTGCGGGATAACTCATAACATGAAACACGGCAAAGATGGCGCGCAAAGGTCTAGATCTAACAAGGCTCGCATTGGAATCGTCTCATTCGTAGATGCGAACATGGGGCATCATACGGCCGACATTTGCAAAAGAGATGCAATCACTGACCAGCAGGAACGGCGACACATACCTAGAGACCTCGCAGTCAGATAGGGCCGAGAAAAGGAGACTGAAGATATGACTTACTCCAGCCGTGCCAACGACATTCTCGGTACTGCAGAAGAAACCATCACAACAGTTTGCGGCGCTATCGACTTGTGTGCAGATACTGTCTTCGGCCACACAAGGCAGGGTGTTCGGTGGCAAAACTCCAACCTGCGGGAAGGGTGCCGGGGTTGCCCGCGCTGCGATGATGACAACGGCAATGAAACAAAAAATTGTAGAGGGCGATGCGTGCATTCTGAGAGGTCTTCTCGTCAGTAATCGTTTTCTCATCTGCGGGAAATGATCGTTACATTGAGTTTGGTCTCGTTGGAGGTTGGTTAATGCGTCGTAGGATGAGGGTTTCTGAGGTGCTACGTGGAACTATGTAGAGCATAGAGAAGGATCCTGGTACGTTATATGCATCCCTAGGTTGCAGGCGGCCGGTTGAGCAGCAAGAGGTAACTTACCGCGGTGCGCGTCGACAGTCTAACTTGAGTTGCGCGACGTCATGCATCATGGGGCGTACGTATGAGTCGCACAAAATCCGGAGGTCATATTCATAGCATATTTGGGGGTTGCCTACTCTGCTCTTCAATGCACGAACATGCGAGTAGTCACATGGGTGGACGGCATTTCCTGGTATTTCCCATAAAAGGAGAAGATGCACGCATCACGTGAAGGTTAATTGAACGCGTAATGTTGATCGCGACCGCGTCGGTTCACATTGACAACCGTTTCAGCCACTGCACACCTTAACCTCAAGGCAGCCATGGACGACAACGACCCTATCACCCAGTTCTTCCCAGACGACCCGGATGTCGACCTCTACTCAGTTTTTGGCGTCGAATCATCTGCAAGCACCGATGAAATCAAGAAAGCCTACCGCAAACTTGCGTTGATCCACCATCCGGACAAACACGCGACCTCGGGGGAGGAGGCGAAGGCCGCCGCCCAGCTAAAGTTCCAGCAGATTGGCTTCGCGTACACTGTGCTTGGTGATGAGAAGAGGCGGAAGCGGTATGACGCGACTGGGCGCACAGACGAGGGATTAGATTTCGACAAGGATGAGGCCGGGTGGGAGGCGTACTTCGAGGAACTGTTTGACAAGGTGACGCGAGGGAAGTTGGATGAGATGAAAAAAGAGTACCAAGGTACTTTATTGTCTATAGGAGGTTACGCTGTCGTGATTGACGCGTGGTCCAGGCTCAGACGAAGAGATACAGGACTTGAAGGAGGCATACGAGCTGACGAAGGGTGACATCGGGGAGATCATGAACCACATTCCTCATTCTACGCACGAAGACGAATCCCGTTTCATCGTCATCATAGCTGATCTCATACGGAAGGGCGTACTGAAGTCGTCGCGCCTGTGGGAGAAGAGCAGTAAAGACGAGAAAGCGCGACTCATCCGCAAGAAGCAGGCGGACAAGGAGGCTGCGGAAGCTGAAACGCTGGCCAAGGAACTCGGTGTCTGGGACGAATTCTACGGCTCAGGCAAGGCTGGTGCGCGTAACAAGGACAAGAAGAAGGGCAAGGCAGCCCCGAAGGGTGAAGCGGACGACGAGGATGGGGACACAGCAGCCTTGCAGGCCTTGATCTTGGCGAAGAAGAAGAAGATGGACAGTTTTCTGGATAATCTGGCGGAGAAGTATGCGGAACCCGAGAAGAAGAAGGGTAAGGGTAGGAAAGGGAAGCGGCCTGTGGAGGAGGACATTGAGGAGGAGACGGACGTGTCCCCGAAGAAGAAAAGGCGGGCCGCTGAGCCTGACATCAACGACGACGAGTTTGCGAAGTTGCAGGAGAAGCTCTTCGGCGACAAGGCGAAATCAGCAGGTACCGAAAAGAAATCGGGAAAGACAAGACGAGGGAGGGCATGAGTTGGCGGTGTGCGAGCCGTCTGTGTATTGTGGCTTTGTATGACTGTATTTTATCATGCTATTCTATTATCTCTCACGTCATGTCGCAAATACCGGAATGCCAGGATGCAGTAGGAGGTATGTTCCAATGGAGAAATGGGTATATACATATACGTAGTGGTAGAGCATCGATGCGATGAAACAAGCCTAAAGGTAGCGAACGGAATCTATACCCAAACTGCGTCTGGCGTGAATTATAGCCGCCAGTTCCTTGATGCTTTCCTCTAGTATAACCACGTTATCCAATAAACGCGAGAGCGTTATCACCCGCCTCTCGACACCCCTGTTGCCATTGCGTCCGTCTCCAAATACGTCCTCATCGTCATCCAAATCGCGTCTGGTCTTCGGCCCTGACTCGTCCCATTGCCAACCGAAGACATCGTCCTCGTCCGTATTCCAACCTCGCACACTTGACCCACCTAAAGGCTTGCGCGCCGGCGTCCAAGGACCGGATGTGGGCGGCGGCGCCTCGTACGGCTCGACTTCAATCGCTTTTGTCCGCTCGTAGTGTGAGCCAAACGGTCTGGCAGCCGCTGCCTTCTTCGAAGGCGTGCTCGGTTCAGTGGGAGGTGCGACCGGCGGAGGCTTGGTTTTTTTCTTCGGTGTGAGGAACGAGACAAACGACGAAGCCGAACTGGTTATCTTAGGTTTGGGCACTGCCTTGGTGGGTGTTACTGGCGTGCTGTCTCGCGAGATGTCGGTGACGCTTTGCCGGCGAGGACTCTGACTCCCGGTCATGAACTCAGGTTCGAGAGCCAAGGTAAGTGCATCTGTCAGATTCTCTGAAAACAGAAGGCCTTGTCGACGCTCCAGAAGGTACTTGTCGAAATCATTTACGAGCTGTCTGTATCGCTCTAGTTGAGCGATGAGTCCAAGGAAGATGGAATGCAAGATGGGACGAGAGTTGTCGTCCATGCTCGCGGCAGGTAAACCGCCGCCATCGGCCGCGAGCTTCTCGTCAATCCGGAAGTCGATAGACCTGTCGTCTCCGTCGTCGTCGCCCAGGTCCAATATTTCTTGCTCGCGCTGTATGATGTCCGCCGTCTCAGTATTCGGAGTCGCAAACGTGAGCCAGCCTGCGAGAGAGCGATCGGGGCAGAGAGCAAGTGAGGACAGAACACCGATGAGGGCGATATTGAATTCCGGTTCGTTGGCGAAGAACCGACGAAGAGAGTCCAGCACGAGGGTCAGGATGGGGTCGTTGGGGTTCAGGCGATGCTTTAGTTTCGCGCGCGATTCCGGGTCCATGTCAGAGTGGAAGCATGACTGAGACTGGATCGACGACAGCGCGTCGCGGAGGTAATGCTCATATCCTGTGCTGAAAGCATCGCCGTGGTGCGCGGGATCCACCCTGGAGACCAGTGCGAGGTAAAGCCCCATCTCGCGCTCGTGGGTGGAGTATGTAGTTCCTGGTTGATGAAAGACCGGGCCTAGGGGTATTTCTAAAGACTCCGGTGAGGCCGAAGGGAAAGCGAATGATTCTTCCGCCCCTGGATAGACAAATTTTTCGTCCTCATCCTCGTCGTCCTCGTCATTGACCTTAAGTACTTGAGGTTTGGTAGAGGGAATCAGAGCGTCTAGCACATGTGGGATCATACTGGGCTCAGGGAAGCTCGTGGCGAGTGGATCGTGGACAACTACCAAAAGTCGGTCCACACAGATCTGACAGTGCTCCAAGAGCATCGTCTGCAATAATCGCAGCGCAGCCGTGGCAGTAGGCTGCGATGTCGAGCGAAGATTCGACATCAGCAAGTCCTTCAGCGTGAACCGTCCCATGGAGGTGAAATACTCTGTCGGTTTCGTGGAGTCGGGCACTTCCATCTCCAGCAACTGCATTGCTGTGCTCTTCCTCCGCTCGCGCTTCGTTTTTTGCGGCGCAGAGGACCGGCTTTGTGGCGGCCCGGAAAGCGCCATAGTATCCTTGCGGACACGTGTGCGGTTGAGTGGGCCGTCGTCCTCGCTTGTGAGGAAAGTGACCAGAAGCTCGCCTAGCTGACCTTCATGTAATGTGGTGACCATGATTTCGATGTAGGACATGATCGCAACCGCGCTCCCGTCCTGGTCAGAGCATTCCAGGATAGTAGGATAAAATACGTTCTCCAAGAATGTTTTGCGGACCGCGTCGAGGATGGATTGTACAATGGAGTTTCCAACTAAGGATGACGGGTCCAAGCTACCGTCAGGCGAGTCATGGGCGACGTTCCGACGCAGGATGTCCTGCAGGAACTCGAGAAGTTTGAGGAAGTGATCCAATCGCGCCCGGAAATCAGGGTTCAAGGACTCGTCCAAACCCAGTGCACGCTCGCCGTCGCGCTCGATTTCCGACATGGCTTTCTCCTCCTCTGTTTCGAGGCCGCTGCCGCCAATGACCATACCACTGCTTTGTTCCTGACCAGGAACAGCATGAGGTTTAACAACCAGCTTTGATGGGAGGACCGAATATACGGCGCCTAGACCAGCCGCTAAAACTTCCGAGAAGTCGCCGTCCACAATGTACTCCGCAAGAGCCAGGGCTGCGTCGGTCACAGGATCGGTTTCCTGCGTGTCAGACGCCCCGTGAGCAACCTCCTCACCACCTATGCGGTTGACGGACTCGCCAGGGGACATGGCGACGTCCATCAGGAACAGGAGTCCGGCACGCGCGAAGTCCCCAATCTGGCCTTCGCGATGGACGAAACGAAGGAGGTAGTTGAAGAGAAGGAACTCGTATTCCTGTTTCTTCGCTACTGAGGAGACTGGTTTGCCGGATGTGATAGTAGCTTGAGATGGGGTTGGCGATGGAGTCCGAGGCTGGGCGGCAGTAGATCTTTCCGACGCTTCAGGATTGCCTTTGCCCTGTTCTTCTGTGTCCTCTTCCCCTTCCTCTTCCTCTTCCTCTTCCTCTTCCTCTTCTTCAACAGAAAAGAGAGGCTCTGAGCGATACCAGTGCTTGTCGTGGAAGAATATCATGAGGAGCTCTCGGTATGTTCGAATACGGCTGCATAGGATGCAGAGAAGATTCACCACTTGAGATGAAGTGTGAGTCGCCATAGCATACAATGAATCTGGGCACGCACGGTCTTCCTCGTACTCGGACGGCTGACTTCGCGCTGCGTTACCAGCTGCACCCATGATCTTCTTCCCATCGAGCTTATCTTGTATATCGTCACCAACGCAGTTCCTTAGTAGGCGTAGCACAGCTTTGTGTACCGCCGAGTGCACCAGGAATTGTTCGTCCATCAGGACAACCATGTTCTGTATGGCCCGCAGAACTTCTGCCTGGATGCCGAAAGGACGATCTTGTTCACTGAGTTTCACGAGCTGCCCAAGGACATCTTACGAAAAGTTAGTCGTCGCACAAAAAATAGGTTCCTTTACATACCGTTCTTCAGCAGGTATTCTAAACAACCGCCGAACGTCCTTAAAGATCATGCATCAGCACATGTTTACATGAATGTCTGCACGAGCGCACCCTTCTTCCGTGCGCGTCGACTCCCATACGAGGGAGTCTACCATTGTCTGCAAATGTGCGGGGACATCCGTCGACTTGATACCCTTGCTCAGCTGTCGCTCATCCGGGTACTGGAGCGTGTTCTATATGCTCATGAGCAACGCGTGGGTATGAGCCTGGCGCAAGACGTTGGCATGCCTTGACGATCGTCCATGACTGGTGGAATTCGAGGGCATGATCCGGAGCTGCCTTTGGTGTGCTGGCTTGGGTGCCGGACCTCAGAAATTTGGAAAAGTAGTCCATGCAGTCCGGACGAGCGTAGGTAGCCAACGCCCTGATCGGGAACGACGCGAATCTCCACGTGGGCACATCCTAAACGAAATTATGATTGCTTATGTACTCTACTCTACATGATTTACTTACGTTACTTGTAAGTAACAAGAAATAATTATAAGTGTTGCATTTACCAACGGTATTATCACCTACTTCTACCCCTGCAATATTACATACATGTACTCGATTCCGCACACGTCGGAAGCAGCGCCCTCGGCTGTCAGTGCCGTTGGTGCACGCGGAGTGTCTTGGCTGTGTCTGAGAGTTTCTGTCATCTTTGTGAGAGCCATCGGAACGTTGCCCCCGTCCTCTCGAGCTCTGCGCGTGGTTGCCCTGCTCGTCCGTTCGACATTGGTCAGGGCCGGTGACTGTCAGCGCTCCAGCAACTTCATCTCTGGACTACATCATCCGCCTTGCAGAACGGTGAATCTAGAAGCACAGACTCTGTGCCATTGACGCCCGCGGAAGCTGTGAGCCAAGACTGCTCTCCGGACGCAAACACCGCCTTTGCCTGCTCGAAGTATCTCATTGGGACCGTACAGACTGCTTCTTGTCGACTGCGTCCACTACACCTTCACCCCGTCGAGCCTGCTCGTAGACCCTCTCATACATACCCCTCTTACGTGAGGCTCTCGGGACCATGGCGTTGACCGAAGCTTTTCTGGGAACGAGGGCGCAAAAGGCATTCATCGCTACGAGTGAGCTTTCCGGAGTCATCCCCGCGCTTATTCTAAACTCTTGGCCGTTCTGTAGTCGCCACTCGTGAGTTTCGTCCTCTATGGCTTGCGGTGTAATGATTTGATGGACTGCTGCAGAGGCTATCGTGGTTATTGTGATGGTCGCAATCACTTTTCGGCTGGTATGTGTCTTATATCGAGCACTATTAGCTGCGATGACAAGCGTTTGGGCTAGGTGGAAGATAACGCAAACCTCACGGACGCGAAAGCAAAAACAATCCCATGTTACCTGGCTATCTTTGCTTTCGCGGAGCTGTACGAACTACTGATGGCATGGGATGCGCTCAAGGCGAGGAACACGATCCAGCTGGGAGGGATCCTCAGTGAGTGTTTGCAAGTTGCAGGCAACACAACCATTGATCCCTGTGCCGCCGCAGTATTCCATGCTGCCATGATAGTCTTTGGCGCTCTACAAGCATTCGAAGCTGCGCACTCTTTGGGCAACATTAATCAAACCGTTAATGTATGGCACAAAATAAGAGCATTCACAATTGGTATCATCAAGCCATCCGACGAATAAGGAGATGCGCTCACTTGTATATTGCCAGTTGTACCTATCATCATCGCTGTGTCGTTGCTTGTGATGATATGGTTTGCCCGCGCTTTGTATTTCGAGTTCGGGTATGTTCTCCTGATACGTGAGTGTACAACAGCAGCTTATCTCTCTCAGATGGGCTATCTTCCATATCGTCGGCGCTAACCCTGCCATGAAGAGTACGCCACTTCTCATCATCATAGTCTAATCCGGCTGACATGCATTCGTGCCCCAGCCATGTACCAATACTACCAAGTCATGGTCTGCCTCCTCAAATTCGACTTCTTCTGCTTCATCGGCGTCACCATGCAAATGACGATCGTCGTGCTATCAAACAACACAGCGGAGTTCGGTTTGACGATCGCGGCTATCCCCGTCGTGCTCATATTGTTATCGTTGTGCGGTATGGCGGTGCGACGGGAGATTAAATGGTGCGTTATCTTCTTAAGCAGCCCATTTAGCAAGAACGACGAATCACTGATGCGTTGATTGTAGGATGATGTCGGTTTCGCTAGTTCTTATGTTGGCTGCGGAGACCTACTGTGAGTTTTACCTACGCCCTTATGCGCGTATGGCATCTGATATGAATCTCCCTGAACTCAGTCCTGTACAAACTTGTACGGTTCTACGAGCCGAGCTCTAAGGCACAGTACGAGTCGACACGTATCGTATTGACATTCTTCAGTACGTCTCCCTCTCGCTCTCTATCAAGAGCAGCTCTGATCACATCCCTGAAACAGCTGTTGTTGCCTTCCTGCTGTTGTTCATCACCTTCGGCATCGGTCTCCGGTGTTTCGCCGACTTCGACAAGGGCCTTCTTTACTCAAAGATGCACAGTAAGTTTGACCCTTTCCGTCGTATCCCATCTGTGCTCACGCGCTAGCCATCACATACTCAGCCGTCGATACTCGTCCGTCGTTCAAGCAATCCGCATCTGGCCCGATTTCTCAGCGACAGTCGTCGTACGTGGGTGGAGCGCCTTTACAGCCCAGAATGTCAATAGAGTAGCGAAGAGGATTCGGATGAGAGAAAAGAAGTCAGGCTGTTGCATGTTTCCGTCGTTTCGTCTTCAAGTGGACTGCCGTTGCTACAGGACATACCCTCAGCTGTACTTTAGCGTAATAATTCCTCATGACCTTTAACTTATGCTCTGTCGTAGTCGCGCGATCTGAGATAGAGCAAGAGTTTCTGAAGTATGCCAACCGCCAACACACATACTCGTATGCGTACAATATGCGGAATGCAGAGCGTACGACTGCCTACATCGCTGCGAGCAAGATGATTGCAGATATATATAACAAATGAGTAGAGGGTCGTCGTCGATTAAAACGTAATTATATGTAAGCTCATGTGTCTACGGTCCAGCTGAATTGGACATGTAACCTCCGGCCTCAACACGTCGCGAGACCACCAAAAGCCCCTAGCTATGAGGTCTCGGCAGCCACGCCTACCTGCGCCGCTCTCAACACCCGTTCCTTGATCATGTACCCCTGCTTCTGGCAGTCGATGACAGTGCCCGGCTCTTTGCCCGGTATGGGCGCCTGATACAGCGCTTCGTGTTTGTTCGGATCAAATTTGTCGCCGGTCGGGTCGAAGGGCTTGATTTGATACTTGAACAATGTCGAAAGCAGCAATCGCTGCGTCGCTTCGACGCCGGTGTACAGCTCATGCAGGTACGCTTGAGGCGTCTTTTCGGTAGGCGGGGGCGTAGGTGTTGACGATGACGATGAGGCGGGATGTGAGGAGTCAAGGGACGGCGTGAGGAGGGACTGAGGGACGGATTTAAGGGCCATGCCGAGCACGTCGACCGTCTCGATGAGGTCCTTGGCGAACTTCGTGATCGCGAAGTCTCGGGTCTGCTCCTTTTCTCGGGCGGAGTTCCGTTGCAGGTTCAGGAAGTCGGCCTGGAGGTATTGTAGTCGACTCTGCGGAGGTATAGGTAAGCAATCTGCACGGTGGATTGCGGTGGATCATGGCGCTGTCTGGCGAGTCAAGCCGAGTCTTCCCGATTGGGTGACGAGGAAGCTGGGGGTGATTCAAACACACGCAGGGTGCAGAAGAACATCCTCGTAGCAGCGTATGTCGCCAGACAGAAGCAGCCAAGGTTGTGAAGGATGATGTATGATGCTCACTTTGAGGTCGGTGACTTCATCCTCTTTCGCCTTCAGTTTCGCCGCAAGTTCAGAGTCGGCTGAACCTGAGGCCGGTGACCCCTGATTTGACGCAGCGTCCGGCTGGGCAGCATCTTTTTGAGTCTCGGCGGAGCCTTCCGAGTACCACCTTGCACCCATAACTGCTCTCCGATGAGCGTGCATCGCGGGTCGTGCTAGCGACCGCGCAGACAACGAAGCCGTGCACTGACGGAAAAGCTGGGACGCCGACATTAGACCGGAGCAAAAGAAATGGTGACGGATATTAGGACGAGGACGAGAGCTCTGGGCCAGAGAGAAATGCGGGTGGTGACGCTGCTGACTGCCAAGCGCGAGAGCTGGCAGGGACAAGCGCCGACCCAAATTTCGCACAAGCGCTCACGTGCACCCGACGAAGTTGCGAGGTTGACGCCACCCCCTGGGCTTGACCCGGTCATTTTCTGGTGTCGGCCGAGTACCCTGCGAGTCATGGGCGCAACGTATTAGACTCTCTTTTTTTTATTTAGTTGTCCGATTATCTTGTGCGCGCACGACGTCCTTGGCCTGGACGAGCACATCCACAAGAGGTGCGGCCTTTTCACTTAACTTGCTCAGCACGTGGTGATCCACCGCGCGGTCTCCGGCCGGTGAGATCGAAATGCGCGGCGTCTACAAATTCAATCTGTTATCCTCCTCCATCCATCGTCGCGCCATGTCGTCGACGGCCAAAATCATAGACGGGACCGCGATTGCCAAGTACGCGACTCTGCTTGATGCCTATCCTCGATGTGCTCCTAACCTCTCTTGTATCGTGAAGGTCGATCCGCGAGGATGTCGCGGCGCGCATACAGGCGAAGAAGGCGCAGTTTCCGCGCTTCCAGCCTCAACTCGCCATCGTGCAGGCTGGCGCGCGCCCAGACTCGTCGGTGTACGTGCGGATGAAAGCAAAGGCGGCCGAAGAGGTTGGCGTCAAGTTCAAGCATGTCCAGCTTCCTGAGGGCGCGACCGTGGATGAGGTCGTGCGGGAGGTTCGCAAGCTTAACGAGGATGACACCGTCAGCGGCGTTCTGGTTCAACTTCCTCTTGGTTCCCATGTGGGCGCCGACGGGGAGCGCACAGTCACTGAGGCAGTCAGTCCGGAGAAAGACGTGGATGGGTTAGTCTATCTGTGCACCCATATAGCGAATATCACTCAGACAAGATAGTTTTCACGCGTACAACATCGGTCATCTGGCATCGCGAGCAGCGGTTCCGCTCTTCACTCCGTGCACCCCGACTGCGTGTATCAAGCTCCTCGAAACGACGGGCATCGAGATTGCCGGAGCTAATGCGGTGGTGCTCGGCCGCAGCGATATCGTCGGCAGCCCAGTTGCCGCGATGTTGCGTAACAAGGACGCGACGGTCACTCAGTGTCACAGCAAGACGAAGAACCTTCCCGAGCTTGTGGGTCTCCTCGCAATTCATCGCAGAAGGAATACTCACTTCACTCCTGTGCAGGTGAAAAACGTGGACATCGTCGTAGCAGCTATTGGCAAAGCAGAATTTGTCCAGGGATCCTGGCTTAAACCCGGTGCAGTGGTCATAGACGTTGGCATCAACTATGTTCCCGGTTCGTGTTACCTTCCTGCGTGTGCGAGTGCCCTCCTGAGCTTCTGCCAGATGCGACCAAGAAATCCGGCCAGCGTCTTGTTGGAGACGTACACTTCTCATCGGCTTCTGATGTCGCGTCGTACATCACGCCTGTTCCTGGAGGCGTTGGCCCTATGACAGTCGCAATGCTCATGGACAACACCGCCAAGTCAGCTGAACGGCTATGGGAGAGAACTAGGAACCTGCGTGTCCGCCCGCTTCCCTTGAATATCCTACCAAACGTTAGTTCGGAAATCAGCCTCATCACACCATATATTTATAATTGCTATAGGTCCCCAGTGACATAGAGATTGCTATGGCGCAGACGCCCAAGCCCATCACGGACGTCGCTCGTGAAATAGGCGTTCTTCAGAGCGAACTGGAGCCCTACGGATCTGTTAAAGCCAAGATTGACCTTGACATTCTCAAGAGGCTGTCGCATAGGAAGAACGGCAAATATATCATCGTTGCAGGGTTGGTGATGTCTACGCTGCTTCCTACTTCACAAATTCTGACGTCCTTTTAGTATCACCCCTACGCCTTTGGGTGAAGGCAAATCCACGACCACGATCGGTCTTGCGCAAGCGCTCGGTGCCCATCTGAATCGTCCGGCTTTTGCTTGCGTGCGTCAGCCCAGTCAAGGCCCTACCTTTGGTATCAAGGGCGGAGCTGCGGGCGGTGGATACAGTCAGGTCATTCCCATGGACGAAGTACGCAGCCATGACCTCGTACCAACAGTTATGCTCATATTTACCTGTGCAGTTCAACCTTCACTTGACTGGTGATATCCACGCTGTCACTGCCGCAAACAACCTGCTCGGTATGCTCTGCTGATGCGTTCCAGACTGAATGCTTAAACATTTCATAGCTGCTGCCCTGGACGCTCGCATGTTCCATGAGTCGACCCAGACCGATAAGGTACGAACCGTCGCCCCATCACGATTGCGAAGGTGCTGAGTCCTTCCAGGCTCTCTACAGTCGTCTCGTCCCGGCGAAGAAGGGCAAACGAGAGTTTGCGCCGCTCATGTTCAAGCGCCTGCAGAAGCTCGGCATCGACAAGACTGACCCCAACGATCTTACTCCCGAAGAGATCAACCGTTTCGCTCGTCTTGACATCGACCCGGAGACCATTACCTGGAACCGTGTCTTGGATGTGAACGACCGGTACCTCCGCAAGATCACGATTGGCCAGGCGCCTACGGAGCAGGGCCGCACCCGCGAGACGGGCTTCGACATCAGTGTGGCTAGCGAGGTTATGGCTGTACTTGCGCTCACAACCGGTCTGGCGGATATGAGGGAAAGGCTAGGAAACATGGTCGTTGCGACCAGCAAGCGCGGTGAACCCGTCACGGCTGATGATATCGGTGTTGGAGGAGCGTTAGCTGTGCTCATGAAGGACGCTATCAAGCCCAATCTCATGCAGACGCTTGAGGTGAGCTCATGCGTGGATTGCATGTGAGCATCCATCGTAACTACTTTACAGGGTACTCCGGTCTTCGTCCACGCAGGACCGTTTGCCAACATTGCGCACGGAAACTCCTCGATCATCGCTGACCAGATCGCGCTCAAGCTCGCGGGCACGGAAGAAGGCGATGGTCCTGAGCGCGTCGGTTACGTCCTCACCGAAGGCGGTTTCGGTGCCGACATGGGGATGGAGAAGTTCTGCAACATCAAGTGCCGTGTCAGTGGACTGAAGCCCGATGCCACCGTTATCGTTGCGACGACACGTGCGCTGAAGATGCACGGCGGTGGACCGGACGTGACGCCAGGAAAGCCTCTGTCCGACGTGTACACGAAGGAGAACTTGGACACGCTCAAGGAGGGATGCAAAAACATGGTCAAGCACATCCAGAACTCTAAAAAGTTCGGCGTGAAGGTCATCATCGCCATCAACCGGTTTGCGTGCGTGTTACAGCCACCTGGTGCATCGACGAATTTACTCACATGGTGATCTAAACGCAGAACTGATACGCCGGCGGAATTGGAGCTTGTCCGTCAAGAGGCCCTCGCTGGTGGGGCTGACGCGGCCGTGGTCACCAACCACTGGGCTGAGGGGGGTGCAGGTGCCAAGGATCTAGCTGAAGCCGTTATTGAAGCCTGCGAAGGCGAATCGCAGTTCAAGTTCCTCTACGACGTGAACCTCCCCATCGAGGAGAAGATCAACATCATCTCGAAGGAAATTTATGGCGCTGACGGAATCGAGCTCAGCGAGTTGGCTCGCAAGCAAGTCGATACGTACACCGCACAGGGCTACGACAAGCTGCCCAGTAAGCTTCGGCGTTTCACGTGGTCTTGCAGTGCCGCTGACATGATTTCAGTCTGTATGGCGAAGACGCAGTACTCGTTCTCGCACGATCCCAAGCTCAAGAATGTTGCTTCCGGGTTCACGATCCCCATCCGCGCCGTACGCCTTTCGGCCGGTGCGGGTTTCCTGTATCCCATTTTGGGCGACATGCAGACCATGCCAGGTCTCGGCACTCGCCCAGGTAAGCATTACTGCATCTCAGGTGTATACTCCATTAATTCATATATTGCTTTCAGGCTTCTGGGAAGTTGGTCTCGACCCCGAAACCGGTCGCGTCGTCGGCCTCTTCTAGGCGGGTAAGCCAGGAACGATCTTCACCAGATCATCTAACCCTCTCATTGGTGCTCAAAAACACCGCTGATGGGTATTTATGCCCTCTCGACGTCAACCGTCGCCAGCTGCGGGCAAGCGCCACGTCGCTCCGGGGAAGGAGCGGGCGGATTGTCGGTGCGATTGTGCGAGCAGCGGAGGTGCAAGAGCTCTTCCGGTCAGGTGCGAGGAGGCTGCGGCTCGCCGCCCATACTCTTCGGTGCATGAAATGTCTTGTATATGATGATATTAGTCCCTGGAGAGCGTCTTTCAGCGTGATCAAAATCGTCAAATTCGGTGTTCACGTGCTCTCGGTGCATCCTCTTGTCACTGTGGCACAGCGGCGTCTTCACTTTGTCTTCACACTCGCAAGCGCAACCGTCATGTCTTCGTCCGCAGATGAGGTACCTTGATGACTACCATGGTCTAACCACTGCTCAGCTCGTTATCACTCATGACAGCGCTCCAATTCGCCTACACTACGTCGTAAATCCCACAAGCGATCCGTTCTCTCAGATGATGACGGTTATGGATATGACGACCCCGAGCCCGCGACTGAACGGCCTCGAGCGCCTCCCATCAAACGCGCCCGCACGGACAGTACGCAGGGAGATGATATGGAAATCGACATTGAGGGCGACGATGACTACGTATCTCCCAAGACCTTGTTGCATCACTCGGAAGGCAGCAGCGAACCGCCATACTCAGAGAGGCCACCGAAGCGCGCTAGACGGAAACCAAAGCGATACGCAGACGACGATGAGGATGCTGAACCACCGGAGCAGAAACCGAAGGCATCCTCGAGCGTGAAAAGGAAGAAGCCCCCGGCGGTGCCGGACGCCTCCGCGACCAAGAAGAAGCGGAATGTGGTGTACTCGGACGATGACGATGAAGATGTGGGTTATGAGGAAAACTATGGCACCGGAGGGGACGGAGGGGTCGACGACGATGTGGACCTTGAGACTCCGGTGCGGTCGGACAAGATGAGCGGTCCGCGGGGAAAGGGTAAGCCGGTGCAACGCAAGCCGAGCATTGCGAAGGGTAAAAGGAAAGACGACAAGCCTATCATCATCGCGAAGGACGAACGTCTACCATTGCCTATCAAGCGCACCTCTTCCAGTACCATCGACACGAACGGCGCTCCCGGATCACCCGCTCCTCCTTCCTTGGCCTCCTCGGCCGCAGTGACTCAGGTCAATACCTTACCGACGGATGTCAAGTCTCTCAAACGGAAGTTCCCTACAATAAAGAAGAATAAACCTCCTCAAACTACCGATGCAACTCCTTCGTCCGTCCGGACAGGTAATCCTGCCGCTCGGGTCGATACGACCAAAACGGCTGTCGCCACACCACATGCATCGCTTTCGACTCCTTCTTCCGCCCGACCAGGGAAGCCGGGCGACTTCGACCTCAATAATCCTATGATTTGGAGCGAGATTATGAAATCGGTCAGTGCATGCCGGTTTGCAATTGCAACAACACCTATTCTCACTGATGGTGGTTTGATTGCGAAGGCGGGTAGCGGCGCGGCGAGCTCGGGTGTTAACCGGAAGGAGCGGGAAGAGGCTCGCCGACGAGAGTTGCACGCGCTGCGCGATGAGGCTAGGAAGAAGCGAGAGGCCGAACTCGTATGTTATCCTTTACAAATACACAACAGTAACTTCGTTATGAAACATGGCGCCCATCTCCAGAAATACGCCTTTGACCTGCAAGCGCAAGCGGAACGCATCGCGTTGTTCGAGGACAAGCTGAAGACACGGAGAAGTCGGGCGCTATGGCCGAACCATCTCGGCGGCGCGTTCCTGGATGAATGGGAAAGGCAGAAAAGGCAACAGGAGAGGGAGAGGGAGAGGGAAGAAGGTCAATGGGACGAGAGGGATCGAGAGAAGATGGACGGAGACGAGTCGCAGCATAGAGAGAGCCCGTGGAAGTCAGGCGAGCAGGATGATAAGGAACGGAAGGAGCCTCCAGATAGGTACGAGGGAGTTCAACAACGCAATGGGTGGATTGTGCGTTGATGGGCACCGAGGCAGTGTATTCTAGGCTCGCTTCTAGTGTTGCGAGATCGCCGTTCTGTTCCTGTATCATAGTATACATACCTCAACCTCCCCATGCAAACCCATGGGCATGGGACAGCCTGTGCTACACCTGCCATCGGTTTCCATCCCACAGGCCTGCCTCTTCTCCCGCATTGCGATGCACAGCTCGCGCGTGGTCCACGGCCTCGACGTTTATATCTGCATTCAATGTATTCGTATGTCCCTGACGGAGCTATAGTTGCCCTCATCAGACGCTCACCGAAGAATATCAAGCAAGTAATCAGCAACACTAGGGTACAATCATGCCTGTGCCATTGACGCTACTTGATCCGATGTTTCAGAGCATGTCCGTCCCAAAAGTACATATATGTAACTTGTGACGATGCACATTAGCAGGCCACCCGAACGCCGTGATGGAAACCCAAGCAGAGCTCGCCAACTTCACATCGTCTGACCGTACGTTACCTGCGATATCTTGATCCTAACTTTATGCAAACCCACAGTTCACAGATTTGGCAGCCGCGTTGAAGCAAGTCATTCACGGGCAGTATGCGTCTCTATCCCTGAACCCGGACATCGCCCGAATTTGCGAGTGTGCGGCGGGTACGTTCTCGTCTCAAGCTTGAGCTCATCCTCGCGGAGATAAATTAACGTCCATTTGGCCCAACAGTGGCACCTGTGAAATACACGGGCCGTTTTGCACAAGCTCTTCAACTTCACGAACAATTCCGTCAATACAGCGACCTCGAGGCTGCGCAGGAGTGCATCAACATCTACAAAGCACTCCTAGGAAAGCCGGAGAACTATCTTGATATACCAGCTGTTGAGCACCGTCTCAGCCCACGGCCCGCGACGACGCTCTGTGCACGCCCTAAACGATGCCATATTCTTATTCACTTGGCTCACATCTTTGAAGATCGTTTTCGCCATGCTGAGAATCCCAGCGACCTTGATTTCGCGATAGAGTACGGCCGAGATGCGTTGCTACTGTGTGGCGCCGAGCAACTGGTCTGTCCAACGGTCTCTGTGCTTTACGCCAACATCATGATTCTCTGCGCCGACAATGCCTCCAACCTGGACTGGATAGCCATGGCTGAAATCTTGTGCCGAGGAACCATTCTCATATGCTCCACAAAACATCCTCTCAAAGCAACCGCGCTTTCCTACCTTGGTTGGATCCTGTTTCGTCGCTTCTGGGTTACCGGTTCTGCAGCGTCTCTCGATGAAGCTATCAAACAGCAGCGGCTAGCACTGACAGAACTTCATCCCTCTCAAGCCCTTGAGAAACACCGACATCTACGCTATCTCGGCTCCTACCTTTTTCGTCAATATGAAGCCCTGAACGACCCTGGCGTTCTCGAAGAATCACTGACATTCACTGCCGAAGCTCTGCGACACTGCACAACAACACATATTGACAGGTCGAAGTCAGTCCATGACATGCTGCGGGCCATAGTTCGTAAATGCATGCATTCTCATTCCCTTGAGGATCTGGATCACGGAGTCAATATCGGACGGGCTGCTCTTCAATCTCGCTATTCTCACGGCACCCCCCCGGTGCACATGCTGGAGATGGTGGCGAATATCCTCAGCCTTCGCCATCAACTCAACCCTTCAGATGGTCATGACATCGATGAGGCGGTTCACCTATACAGAGAAATCATGAAGCGCTCGCCTCAGAGCTCCATAGAGTCTCATGGAAGGCATCTCGACCAAATCGCTCTGGCGCTTTATCTGCAGTACGGCTGGACTGGCGATCTATGCAATCTTGACGAGGCGGTTCATCTTTTCCGTCGAGCGGCTGACGCATCTCAAGGTTACTTCCACCTGCTTTCGGCTCGTAGAGTCGTATCGAGCTTAGCCGAAGCTTTGATGTGCCGCTTTGCGGAGATTGGGAACATTGAGGACTTGAACGAGGCACTGGACTGGGATATGCGTGCGTTGGCAGGCTCCCCATCAGAATCAGACTATAGCGGAATGGCCTTGCTGAAGGTTTCGCATCTATGCACGAGATACGAGGTGCTCCAGGACATGGCGGATTTGAATGAAGCGGTTGAATTGTCACGAAGTCTTCTAAACCTGCTATCACCTAATCACGTTTATAGAGTCGAAATCACGCACTACATGACTAAAGCTCTACTTTTACGTGGACGGGACACCAACAACACATCAGATATCACCATGGTCATCCAAGAGCTGACACCGATGATAGAGATTCTCTCAAGTATGCACCACGGTCCAGAAACGTTTCGTATACTTGCTTTAGGTCATCAGATCAGATTTCGCCAGACTCGAGATCCGGATGAGGCCATTCGCGCCCTGGAGGTCATGCATGCCATGCTGGCCCTAGCACCACCTGGACGCCGTTACCGGCACCAGTGTCTCATCAGTTCCGCAGAATTATACCTCGAACACGGTACTTCGTATCGGGACCTTGCTCTCGCCTTGACGCGCCTTCAGGATGCCCTGTCAGATAATCATAGAGACGTTCGTTCGCGTATCCAGGGCACTATGTCCGTTCTCAGCATCATCGAACTCAGCCACAAAGATATCTTCACGGTTGAACATACCATACAGGAGCAGCTCCTCGACGTATACAACTCTATCGTCAGCCTGCTGCCTCGTGTGGCCTTCTTTGGACTTCATCTGCGAACCCGGCTCACGTCCCTACGTGTCGGTCAAGCCGTGGCTCTTACGGGTGCATCCCACGCACTCAACCTGTCCTTTCCGGAGAAATCCCTGGAAATTCTTGAGCAGGGCCGCGCTGTATTCTGGACGCACAGCTTACGTCTCCGCTCGCCATTTGACTCTGTTCCGAGCGAACTCCGCGATCGACTGCTGTTTCTCGCCAGAAAACTAGAACAGACGTCACCTTCTGGACAGGATTCTCGAGAAATGGAATCAGAGGCTGCACGAAGGAGACAGCAGAGCGAGGACTTCAACGCTTTGCTGGAGGAGGTCCGAATGCTGCCTGGCTTTGACCGTTTTCTTCTGCCAGATCAATGCTCCACGCTCATGAAAGCCGCGGAAAATGGTCCGGTGGTGGTGCTTCTATCGAGCAGATTGGCTTGCCATGCCATCATCATCAAGCCTTCGCAAGATCTGATGAGCATCCCACTGAAGGAACTCACCGAGGAGTGGCTGGTGGCATCGTGCACGTCATGGCGGTCAGCGGCGACAGAGGCTAGATCGAAATTGAAGGAGCGTCTACAGGTGTCAAAATCAGCGAAACGCCCGAAGTCAAAACATACCCATGCTGACGAAATTTTGCGTCGCTTGTGGGTTCATGTTGTGCTCCCAATCTTTAACGCATTAGAGATCAAGGTGTGTTATAGATTGACGTAGCAGACGTGTTTCAATACTCACATACGGCAATCACAAGGCGAGCACAGGCCATAACCGCCCTCGTCTATGGTGGTGTCCCACTGGACAGTTTGCGCATCTCCCGATCCATGCCGCAGGCGCCGGCGGGGTATGGTGCTCCGACTACGTCGTATCTTCGTATACTCCGACGCTTAGCTCTCTCATCGGAGCCCGAGCATCATCTGCCCCATTGAGAAAGCTTGATGTGCGAGCCTTGGTGGCGGCGGTGCCTCGGTCGGACATGCCACAATGGAGTGACTTACTCTCGACCCGCGAAGAAGTTTCCGCTGTTCGTGCAGTGCTGCCTGCAGGCGTAGAAATATCTACTGCGAGCGAAAACGGGTTCAGTACTAGAGCTTATGGAGAGGCGATCACGTCGGAAACATTGTTGGAGAACCTACCACGGGCGACGATCCTGCATCTTGCATGTCACGGCCACCAGGATCCGGAGGATCCGCTGAAGAGCGGCTTCGTGATGCAAGACCAGATGCTGACAATCGAGAAACTGATGCCGACGCCTGTTCCGCATGCGTTCATGGCATTCTTGAGTGCTTGCGAGACAGCCAAAGGGGACAAGGTAAATTCACAGTTGTCGAGACGAGTGTGTATATGCTCTAATGGAACCTCATAGAATCAGCCGGACCAGGTTGTTCACCTTGCCGCGACTTTGCTGTTCGCGGGATTCAAAAGCATCATCGCCACGCTCTGGTGAGCCCATTTGCCTCCACCAAACCTAATTGCGCATCTTACTCACCTAGTTCCTACGCAGGTCGATGGAGGACGTAGATGGACCACTCATCGCCAAGTCCGTGTACGGAGGCATATTTGGAAGCGACGCGGAGTATATCCATCCTGACGATGTTGCGTACGCGCTCGACGAGGGGGTACAGAAGCTCCGCCATGCACACCCGGATCCGAGTCGCTGGGCGCCCTACATTCATCTAGGAATCTGAAATCACCTGGGTTATGTATCAAGGGTTGGACGTGGGCATCCTTGCATGTAGTCAGGACCAGAAAAGGTAGCGCAGCGTAATCATGAAGGTTGTGTATTGCTGGCCCTCGCTCGTGCATTATCTGCAAGTTTATGTACTTGCTGGAAGCACATGTCGAACCATTTCCTCATATCCCTGTTTTGTTTGCAGCCCTGCTTTCCGACGGCGCCGTCTGCAACTTCAAGTGCAGCCATTTTCCCTTCCAAGTTCTGCTCCGGCAGCAAAAGATCAATGGTCGTATTGAGGTTGTTCAACACGGCTCCGAATGCATCGATCGCTGGGAGCACGCCATTTTTCCTTTCCGAAGGGTAGAGAGTCACCGCGACCAGATTATCAAATGCGGACTGGAGGGATGTAGAGTGAGACAAGAGGGTGTCGAGGGTAGGACCCCCAGAGGATAACGCAGGTGCTGCGGGTGCAAGAAGGTCGAGTAGTATTCGTTTGTGCAGAAGCGTCGTCACCCGTAGGAGGGGATGTATCTGTAAGTAATGCATGATGAGGCGATCAGCACGATCTTCAGGATTATTAGAGGTGCAGGACTCACAGCCTTGGCCTGCTCCAATTCATCCTTGGTCATCTTCGTAGCACTGATGCCCCACTCCGCCCACTCAGCATCGTTCTCTTCCTCCCACTCGTCTTTCTCGCCCCCATCTTCAGAATCTTCCTGCTCAGCATCCTCTATCGCCTCCGTCACCTCCTTCAACGCGTCTTCCAGCGTGCTCCGATCTTCCGCCCATCGCTTCCGAACTGCGCTCCGGTTATCCTTCGATATCCCGTTCGGACCCCGAGCCCGCTCCACCAGATCATGTATCGTGCCGGTTTTGACTAGATATTCTTCGCCAGCCGCGCCCGAACCAGACGTAGCCGGTCGTCCGTCGGCGTTCAAATCCAAGAATGTTTGCAGAAGCCCGTTAACGGCTTCGATCACGTCGCGCACGACGTGCGTAGCTTCTGCTTTCAGAGTCGCGCCATGCTTTATCTCGTCGAATAGATTGACATTGGCCGATAAAGCGAGGATATGCGTAGACAGTTCCTTCAGTACTGCAACAGAGGCCGAGTAGGTCGGCTTGGATGGTTTGAGCGCGATGGATAGCTTTGTAGAATCGGAGTAGACGAGAGATAACAGCGACGCAAGATCCTTGTGCAACACTTCAAGAGATGGGTGTTGATCATTGGGGGGAAGAACGCCAGGCGTGCTCAACGCAAGTAGAGCAGCTTTGGAAGTTTCGGCGGCGATAACTAGGGAAGCGACAGCTAACCGAGGATTTCAGATCGTGGAAGGGCGTTACGAGTGACTTACGTACCTTGATGTCTGTCTCCCATCGTCGACGGGGCACAGGTGGATCTGTAAGTAATGGCGGATGGCGAAGGTGAGCGTGGAGTCAAAGTTATCGAAGCGCGCAGTCAATGAAATCAGTGAATGAGGTCACGAGGGGACATTTGATTGGGGCGAATGCCGGAGACGCACGCGTTTCCGTCCTTCAGCTTCCTAGTCTACGACATCCTTAGGCGATGTCCGGCTTGCCCGTAAGTCTTACCCCTCGGATCTCGTCTCCATTGCTCATCACCGAACAGATGTCGGGTTTGCTGCGTGCGGCGGCGCGCACACCCACCTTCATCCAACCGCCGAATATCCCGAAGGCGTTCGGCAGTCTGCTGCCACATCGTCGCTCGTTCGCCTCCCAAAGAACATTTTCATCCTCTACTAATATTCTTCGAATACACTGTATGGGAACATCTGGACGCATTCTCGGCGTTTACGCCCACGCCAACGTCTCGACGAAACGATGCCAGCAGCGACACCTCTCCTTGTCATCCTTGAACCCCTTCAGCAAACGTCCTGCGGTTCCACAACCCTATCAAGTCGCTGCTATCTCCAAGGCAGAGGCGGATGCGGATGCGAATCCTCATGACGTGGAAAAACAGCTGGCCTTATATCAGGCATTAGCGTCGTTACGAGTGAAGCCAGCGTACGACACAATCATCGCGAGATGGGAGCGTATGTGCGAGTTCGTGCGTATAGTCAACTATGGATCACTGCGGACCCACTAAATGTTCTGTGCCAGGATCCTCAATCACCTTTACTTAAATCCGACCCCGCTTTTGAGCTTTACCTTGATGCCCTTGTCGAAACCGGTCTTGCGTCCTCGGTAAACGCTGCTGTTCGCAGACGAGAGACTCTACTGGCATCGGCTGGATCATCCGCGATCTCTGCTACGGAACCCCCTTCTGTGGATGCTTCTTCTTCTCCAGCTTCCGCCCCCGTCACCATTGCAACATCGTCTCCGGCTCCGGCTCCAGCTTTCACTCCAACTGCGAGCTCTCTCATTGCCAACAAGGTTCTACTTGGCAAGGTTTCATCTCCAGGACAAGCTCTCTCTCCGTCTGTTGCGGCTCTCGTCGGTGGGGGTGCAGGCATCCCTGGTAATCCCATCCACGTTACCATCGACGGCCCGAAAGGAAACACCTGGCTCCCTGGCGTAATCCGGTACATCGTCACCACCCTCACCCTTGGCTTCTTCGTGCTCGTCGTCTTCTCCGTCCTGATGGAAAATTCGGGGCTGCTGAAGGCTGGCCCGAAGCCGTCTGAGTTTGAGCCGTTGGAAGGCAAGACGGTCAAGTTTGCGGACGTACAAGGGGTGGACGAAGCGAAGGATGAGCTCAAGGACATCGTGGAGTTCTTGAAGGATCCGAACGCGTTCAACTCTCTTGGCGGCAAGCTGCCCAAGGGTGTGCTCCTTACTGGCCCTCCCGGTACTGGTAAGACCATGCTTGCAAGAGCTGTCGCTGGAGAAGCTGGCGTACCATTTCTGTTCGCCTCCGGGTATGTTCCTGTGCTCGAGTACAACCCGTTCAATCAGTTTGATTCTCATACTTATCCCTTAGGTCGGAATTTGACGAGATGTTTGTCGGTGTCGGTGCTAAACGCGTCCGCGACCTGTTCGCCAAAGCCCGCCAGAAACAGCCTGCGATTATCTTTATCGACGAGCTGGACGCGATAGGCGGCAAACGCTCCCACCGCGATTCTCAGTACGTGAAGCAGACGTTGAACCAGCTTCTGGTCGAGATGGATGGCTTCGAGCAGAGCGAGGGTATCATCGTCATCGCGGCGACGAACTTCCCGGAGAGCTTGGACCAGGCCCTCGTACGACCCGGGCGCTTTGATAGGCATGTCGCGGTCCCGCTGCCCGATATTCGTGGTCGGATTCAGATTCTCAAGACATACATGAAGGAGGTCGTGACTTCTGACAGTGAGCAATGCGTTCCTGTTCCTGTCCCTGAATGGTTCCGCTGACGTAGTTCAGATGTCGACGTGTCCGTCCTTGCCCGAGGCACACCCGGATTCTCCGGCGCCGAGCTAAAGAACATGGTCAAGTCAGCATGCGATCAGCATATCAGAGTTCGAACAATGCGGCTGACTACTGCTTCCTTCCTCCTAGCCTCGCAGCCATTCAAGCTTCGAAGGAACGTTCCAAAGAGGTTACATTGAAACATTTCGAATGGGCTAAGGTTAGGCTTTTGACCCTGCACTTGCCTCATACATGAAAGGTCATCTGACGGGCATTACGATCGCGGTTCTCAGGATCGGATTACTATGGGCGCCGAGCGACGGAGCACGTACATCTCCGACGAGGTCAAGAAGATGACCGCCTATCATGAGGTGCGACCGGAAACACGGTCCTGTTGGCATTAATCACCGCTTGATAACTGACGGCCCGGTCCCTTTTCATCCAATGGCAGGGCGGGCATGCATTAGTGGCGCTGTATACTCCTGGTGCTATGCCGCTGCACAAGGTCACCTGTATGCCGCGAGGACATGCTCTCGGTATTACTAGTCAATTACCGCAGGACGACAGATACTCTGTTTCTATGAAGGAGTATCTTGCCGAGATCGATGTCTGCATGGGCGGTCGCCTCGCCGAGGAGCTCAGTAGGTTTTGCACTCTCGTTGTATGTATCAGCAGCTGACAAAGTTACAGTATACGGACCTGAGAATGTGACCAGTGGATGCACGTCTGACCTCGCGCACGCGACCCAAGTTGCGCAGAATATGGTACGCCGTTTCGGCATGTCGAAGACGGTGGGCCCGGTGTATTTCGACGAGAACATGGCAATAAGCACAGAGAAGAGGCTGGAGATTGAGTCCGAAACCCGGAAGTGCGTAATGAAAACACTGAAATTGTTTCCATGCTCACGAAATCCTGCTGCAGCATTCTTGTGGCCGGAGAACAGCGCGTGATGAAGCTCCTGAAGGAACGAGAAGATGAACTACACAGAGTACGTCATCGTCTCCTTTCCTCGAACATTGTTAACCATTGACGTACAGCTGGCACATGCATTGGTCGAGCACGAGACCATGGATCTCCAGGAGGTGCAAAAAGTGATCAAGGGCGAACCGATACGAAACATCAAGGAAGTCATCGAAGAGGAGATGGCCAAGCCTGCGCCATAGCCCGTGTCGGATCTCATGAATTCTGCCGGTGCCGTGTGTCCTTGCTTTCTAGCTTGCTCTTGCGTATCATTCGTCGTGATGTGGGAAGAACCATCAATATAGCAACATCGATATAATTTATGACAATCTAGTTACGGGCGGTCACATCAGCCCTCGTTGATATTGGACGTTTGGTATGCAGCTGTGAGCCAACACGAAGCAGAGGATTTATCTATCACGCATCAATTGACAGTAGGCAGGTAGATGCGTTGAAGCATGCTCGTGCCGTGCTCGTCAAGGTGCTCGTGGTGTATCTGAGGTTCTAGCACGGTTCTAGTGCGATGCAGGGCCTTGCGGGGCCGTCTTTGATTTTTGTCGTGAAACCTTCTCTATCTCGAGCGCATGGACGAGGGCTTGGAGCGCAATCTGAGATTGTCGTCAGCGATTTGGCGCTCAGCGAACCCCTCGAGACGGCCCGTAATCCCGGTAGCGTACAACCCTGACCATCAAACAGGAACATTATGCGGGGGGAAGATCCTGCAAGTCACAGGGCAAGACGCAAGCACATCCAGGTTGACCTTGCGTACCCGTGCCCGAATGACGGAGTCCTGTCCAGGTAATACAAGGAGATGCGGTTCGGATGCCAAGACGCTTGCGGCTCTGGGTCTCCGGATGGAAGGTCAAAGCGATCGCTCGTGCTGATCCTGACGATATCTCGGAGTAGAGATTGTTATCGAAGGGCATTTCGTCGATGGTGTGTTTGAGATCCGCCCATATCCCCTCCTTAAGAGGACTCGCTGTACCGAATGAGGCATTCGGGACCCTGATCCAGTCCAAATCGCCAAAGCAGATCGAGAGAATGGCGGTCATGCGCTCCGGTGCGGTATTAGGATGCAATGTAAGCTTGTCGAAAGGTCCGAGTCTGGACATGCCTCAGGGACATTGGCACTCTTCCACGAGTTTCTGACAAATGCGCAAACCTACGGCCAACGTGATTCTTCTTCTTGCTTCCGCTAGATAAGAAGCCAGCGATCTGGGAGCTTTTGCATCTAACAAGGGACATCAGCGGTGGCGCCAGGAAGGTCAGGATGCGTCAAATCAAACGCCCAACGATGCCTTCGGGACGCAAGTGGCGCTTTATGGGCGGCGGTGTGCTCACCAGAACATGAGCCTGCTGCTGCGATTCGAGTGTGCGAAGTTAAAGGACATGACCATGGGTAGCGAAGCTGGTCCCCTTTCGTTGTGGACTTTGTCGATCGTTTTGGAACGTGATTGATGCCCACGGATCAATTCAAATATCGTGTATCCCCGTTTCTAGATCTGATGCGATTGGCATATAAGGTTCCAAATCAACTTTCGGAGAGGCCGCTGCAATCTGTGGTGATATCGCGATAGATAGGACCATTCAGTTATCGAGATGACGCGAGGTTCTGACTGTACTCTGCCGTTACTCTAGAGTCTAGAGAGCGCTTTGATTACACGACCTGTATTGGTGCCGCGCGGAGACGACAGAGTTGTATGACATGTGCCACAAGGACGAAGTCTGAAGGTTCGAGGCTCCAAGAAAGTTGCATGCAGAACTCTGTAGGCTGGAGTCGTATCAGAAGGCCGCAGGTCAGCTGCTGCCGCAAGTCGAGCTTGGTAACACGCGGCGTTCGAGTTAAATATAACGCAGAATGCATTGCTCAGGTACCCATCGTTCGCACGTTGAGAGGATGTATACACCGGTGCAAGTCAGCATGCGGAGTCAGGACCGAGGATGGAGCAGTGGGGGTTAACGCGACAAAATCGACGGCAAAGTAACGACGGCCGGGAGAGTTTAGGTAAGTCACGCAGCACCTTGCCCTGCTCTATGTGCACCGGACCTGTAGTAGCGCAAGTTAGGCTTCAAGGTTCTGCGATGCAGCCTGTATTGAGATCGTGTGGGCACGATAAGATGAGCCCGTCACATCGCAAGAGTCCCGTGAGCTCCTCGCACAAGCACCCTTTTCTGCAAACATATTGAACACAATCCCGCCCTCAAACCGCCAAAACGCGATGCCGACCGATGCTTTGTCTCGGTTGCAGGCCGCGGTGATAGACATCCCAAAAGCCGGCGTATTTGCCGTCCGAAAAGCGGGGAAAATCTAAGGGGAACCTAGAAAAAAGAACACCTTGCACCACGGTGCAAAGTTGGCGCTGAATTTGCGTGGGCCCCTCGCTTCTTGATTTCATCTGCGGGCTTCGGGAGGAAAACGTGCATTTATCGCGCGCTCACAGGCGCGCGGCTCAACTCAGCGACATTCCGGTTGCTTTATCCGATCCCCGCTAGGCTGCCCCCTTCGCCCCTCACGCACCTGCCGTTCTGAGGCGAACGGCACGCTACAGCCACTTCTAGACGTAAAGGCCATCGTTGGCCCGATCCGATTTCCTTTTCGCGACTTACCAATTTATAAGGGTCAGACCAATGCTCAAATGGGCCAGCGATACCGTCTCCTGCCTCCTCTTGACGCCGTGACGGGTTTAACGATCGACCCGCCGGTCTTCGCTGTGGATCGTCCCAGACGCGCCTCCAGGATTGATTGACTTACGGACGAGAGCGGGAATAACGTTTATACGACGCAAATCATCCCCGACTTATAGGACTTCTTCGGTCGTCGCACCGCCGTCTCCTTTCTCCGCCGACGACCAGGTGAGATCCCTCCAGCGGCCAGGAACAAGCTTTTCCGGTCGACATCTAACTCGCCGACAGATGTGTTATCGACGGCTCTTCTTCATCAAATCCACGGCCTGTGGGCATCTCACGTTCACTCGACAGCAAAGTATCGACTGCGGCGACTCGGGCTGCTACCTCAGCTCTGCACACCCGTCGGACTGCGAGCAAAGAACAGGGAACACTTGCAGGTGTAAGCGGTGGTTCTCGTGCGTCGTTGTCCTCTGTAACGCCGTCTGCATACCCCTGAACGATGACCTCACTTCCAGGCAACCAGAAAGAAGTACGTCGATCCTTGATTTTCAGCACCCGCATACTCATTCGCGCTTTGTCCAGTCGTAGATCGGCAAGTGAGTGTGCTCATTTCCTGCGATAAACAACGACTTGACATGATGCATGTCAGGATCCTGCTCCGTGCAGTCGCTGCGCATAGATTATTATTACGCTGTAACAACAATATACTTTACACTGGGAATATTTATTTGAAGCCTACATCTCCAAGTCGTCCTGACCGAGCAGCATATTATCGTCAATACCGCCATCACCATATGGGTCGTCCTCGTCCATAGCGTCTTGTCGCTGATGCTCGGCTTCGAGCGCCAACTCCTTTTGTCTCGCCTGTGCTTTTTCGATGTCCTCAAGGGTCCACAAAGAAATGCCTGTCTGGTTTTCATTCGGGTTCTGTGAAATCGTCCTCATGAACAGTTTCGATAACGTCAACGCCATGTCTGTGGATAGATTCGACGCCGTCTCTGTTATGTACTGGTTTATCCACTTCGGCAGCTTCGCCCTCTTGTCGGCCCGAGCGAACCGCTACAGCAGACCCTCGCATCAGTCTTCAAGGAAGGGGGTGTGCGGCGCCGCCAACGCACCTTATCCGCGAAGATCATGAGCCCCCAGTCCGTTTTACCACGCAGGACACGCCCGACACATTGTGCCGCGTTTCGCATGGCATCAAATCCGAGGAATTCGGACTCGCGGATGCGGTAAGCGTCCCGAAGGTACTCGAGCCTTGCTTTGAGGATCCTGCTTTCTGTGTATTGGTACGGTACCCTGTGCAACGGAACGAGTGTAACCCCATCTGTCGCGGCGCATGAGTAATAGGGGCACTAACCCGAACATGATGACGGCTCGACCATAGTTATGGTCGAAATCAATGCCCTCGGAAACCTTTCCACGCGCAACAGAAAGAAGGACGGCTCCCCGTCCGTTATCACAAGCCTGAAATATAATACATAATACCGTTAGGTTGGCGGTCCGTTGGAAGCATGGCGCACGTACCCTTCGATAGTTCTCGAGAGCGATGCTCGTTTCGTTCGCGTCCGGCGTCTCGACGAATATCAGCTTATTCTTCCAGACCTCGTTGAGAATTCCCTGGAAGACATTTCATCATTCGACTCGGTGGCGCAGGATCCGGATTGCCTAGAGCGTTCCCTCCTGTCACTCACCATGTCATTCCACGCAGCCACGATCGACTCCATGTACAGATAACTGGGGAAGAAGGCGACGATGCCGTCGGGCACAATCTTGCTGTACTCGACCAGAATACTGCCGAAGTTCCGGACGACTGCGGGGTCATTCCTGACTTCGAACCGCGAACTCACGGCCACCTGGTCGCTTCCGCGAGTGATGACCTATCCCGCACATCAGAATATTCGTCGAAAAGGAACGGGGCCGGGTCCCACATTTGATGGCGAGTGGGAAATTCGCCGGTGGGAACAAGAAGGCGAAAGGCAAGTGAAGGCAGAAGGAAGGACGGTGAGAAGAACTGACCAACGGAAGGAACGCGTTGCGCGTCAGAGTCATGGGGTACGTCTCCTGTACCACGGGTGTGAACTGCAGCATCTTTGGGTACATGTCCAGCGGCGAGATGGTTCCAGAAGTGATGATGACACTGCTGAATCGTTCAAACACAGGCTTGATCGCTATCGCAGGGTCCAGACATCTGTGTCAGCAGCAAAGCGTAAGTGGAATGATCCTCTGCGTCTGCTTGGGCACGCGCGGCGAGGTGCGCGACTAACGTTAGATGGAACATAGGGTTCGGCACGGTTGCGTTATCAGTCTCAAATGGCTCTAAGATCAGTAGGAAGCCTGTGTGTAACTGTGGTGAGACTCGATCGGCTAGGCCGGGGATCGGGCGAAAGACTTGCCTTTTTCGTACGTCGAGACTAGGGTCGCGAAGCTGGCAACTTTCTGCAGGCTTGAGTACTCGTCGATCCGGGTTAGCTCGAGAGTGCGAACTAAAGATTGGAGGCGTTCCGCGCAGAATCTACGGTAACGACCTAAGCCGGAACACCCATTAGTGCCCGCAAGTTCTCACCTCAATGGACGTCTCTCGATGTAGGTTATGTCCTTCAGGTGCTGCAAGAATGATAGGGGTGTTTCGGCCACAACGTGAAGGACACGCATGCGCGTCTAACGGCATCGATCTATCAGAGACACAATGCAGTATGGCGTGAGTTGACGTTACCTTCAGGTACTCCACGAAGCGCTTCAGGAATGCAACAAAATGCTCCGCTTTCCGGATGTTTCCCGGTATAGCCTCTTTGAGAAGATCGTCGGGCAATACTGATGTAACCGAGGTTAGTAACTAATGAGTAACATGTTTCAATGGTACTATCATATGAATCACCTGGACTGGTAACAAATGCGTCCTCATCTGACTGCTCGTCCGTTGTTTCCTGCAAACCCTCCACCAGCTTCGCGTACTCATCCTGGAGCTTGGAGGCATCCGTCTTCTTGATTCTGTACATGCGCCGGATAAACAAAGGTCGCGCGTCAAACAAATGGTCCAAGCGTACTCTTCTATCTTCTCTCCTAACCGGATCACACTCCTTGAGGCGGAGTCCAGCATAGGCCGTGTCAGATCAATGCTCAGCGATTCGATGCATACGTTGTCTGTCTAATTTGTCAGAGGTGGACGACAGCCAGCAGAACGAGTTATCAACCGATATTGTGGGCCTCGTCAAACACGACAATTGCATCCTTCGAGAGCTCTTTGGACACCTGCTCAGCAACTTTGGGGTCCAAGAGATAATGGAACGAGTAGATGATGACATCGACGAAAGGCATCTGTAGAACGCTATTAACGATGTGATCCGCACGAAGATGACCAGGAGAACGCACCATACGCCGAACGGTGAAGTACGGACATGTCCCCTGGTCTCGGCCGTACTGGAGAACGTCCGCAAGTGTCCAGATACCGGGCGGTATGAGGTTTCCTGGTTCCCTTTCACTAAGTTTCTGGGCCAGGATACTTCAACAATGCATGGCAGCACCATGGCGTAGCCACACACCTCGTGGAAGGTGCAGAGCTCCACGGACCCAGGTTCAGCACGACCCCTCTCGCATACCGCAGAGTTCGTCAGGTCTCTGCACCGTGCATCGACAACCTTTCCTTTCTTCTCTTTTGAAACCTGTTGATGAGTACGAGCGTGACTACACATTGACAGCGAAATGACAAGAAAGCGACACGCACCTCAGGATGTATGCATAGGTTCTTCCGACTCGTCAAGCCGAGTCCAGAGAAGTTTCTTTCCTTCTCCTTCTCCTCTTCCGTTTCGGCACATTCGATGCGATACTCCATCAGACGTTTGAGCTCGGACAGGGCTTTCTCGATTTCAGGCACGGTTCGCGAGCAGTATATTAGTTTGCGTTTGGTGGGATAGAACTTGAAGTCGAGATGAGGAAGTGCACAAAATGGGGTAAAAATAAGGGTACTTGTTGGTATGAGACAATCAACGACAACAGCGACACCGTCTTGCCAGTTCCGGACGGCATCTCGAGCACGCAATGACCCTATAGATGGCTTGAGCACCACTATACGAGCATGAGCTATCACAAACGCGCACTGTTGCATCGAGAGTACGCTTGAGATCGCACATATACGCATATTGCTCTGCTCCGTCGTCAACACTGCGCCGTTCATTGGCGTTGAAACTGAGGCACTTACCAGGGTATATTCGATCATAAGGGAAGATGATCTACGAACCAAGCTGTTTGTATAAACATAATACTGGATTTGATTGGTACCCACAGGAAGGTTATCTATGTGGAACTTCATTCAAAGGACCAAGGTCAAGGTCAGGAAGAGGAGAGGGCGCGGCTCCGTGCTTCTCAGTCTCTCTTTATGCACAGCCACAGGACGAGTCCGCCGAGCGCTTTGCCTGCTCGACCGCCATGTTGCCTCAGAGAACCCTTCGGCTCAGCCGTGCCTCACGGATACCGCCTGTGACTCATTTACGACCTGCGCAAATAATTCTAAGGCGTAACCATGGCTCGGATTCCCGGAGCAGTACACCTACCTCCACCCAAGGCCCGCCGAGATTTGACTTGATCAGCGACGCGCTGAACGAGGCGCATTGGGGACTGGAATACTTCAGGCGATTCATCAAGTTCCTGCTCATAACGAGCATTGCGGCGGGTACCATCGCCGGTGTGGCATGGGAGGGCGCGCATTTGTGGGTCGAGTACGTCGGGTTGGCGGCGGAGGCTGACCCGGAGGCGAAGAAGTGGCAATGGGACAAAGAGATGGAGCGGTGGTCAGGCACAGAGTCTGGAACGGATACTGCACTCGGTATGTACATAACCACCTGCTACTGGCCGCACGAGTAAGGCTGACCGATATGCAGGCATATGGGCACGCCATGCCGTGCGATCGGCGTGGACGTCCATGCACTGGGGTACGGGCGTGACGGGTAAAGCCGCCCATTCCGCCGGTCCTAGCTCCAGTACAAACGCATCACCGCGAGGATCGGGGTTGAACGCTGTCGAGTTCGAGTTGGAGTTCGCGCACGACGCGCTCGCGAAGGCTCTTGAGGTTGCAATGCAAAAGCAGGACAAGGGCAAGCTGCACCCGCGTACAATTCCACAGCTTCACGCTCGTCACGCGGGAGTTCTGGAGGCTATGGGCGTCCCTGCTGCGCTTGTTGAAGCACGGGAGGAGCTTGAGCAGGCTCTTAGGCATGGACAATGGGACGTGTCGGAATCTGCGCGGGTTGCGTGGAAGTTGGGCGACTTGAACCAGCGTTTGCATGACGGAGAGGAGGCGAAATTCTGGTGGTTGAAATCAATCGAGCTTTCCGGAGGCGGCTCCTCCCCTTCGTCTAATGCACCAGTTGCCCCCATCCCTCAAGTTCTCCCACCGTCACCTTTTGACCAACGCACTCTCGCGTCCGCCCTCGTCTCACTCTCCGCCTTCTACTCGCAAACGGGCAATTTGAAACAAGCGCGCTCCTTGCAAGAAGATTCCCTCAAACTCCTTTCTTCCTTCCCCGCACTCTCCGCTTCCACCAGCTCTCCGGCGCAAACGTTGCACACGCTCTACCTTGCCCACCGTACCGCGCTTCTCCGTGTCCACCTTGCTGAGGTCTCCTACGCGCTCCGTTCATCCTCACAGACCTCGCTCGCCCTCCTGCAAGATGCTGCGCGCGCGTCGGAGCGCGTGGCACTCACCCTTACAGGCCTGCCCCTCGTACACCCCGACGCTCCCACATCCTCCATTCCACATCCGCCGTCATCTGACCGGCCCCTGCTACCCTCATATCAGAGCTCGCCGTCGATGAGCGCACCTGCGAAGGGTTTGTTGCGTGACGCGCGACGGTCCGCTTCAGAGGCGTGGAACCTGATGGGCGTCGTGATCGAGGCGCAGGCGGGACAGGATACGGCCAAGGCGCGAGACGCGATGGAGTGCTATGAACGTGCGCTGGGGTGGATCGGCTGGTCGGAAGAAAAGCAGGAGGCTGGGGAGGGTATTCTTGAGGCGGAGTGGAAGACGATTTGGCGCAACTACGTGCGCACGAGGGACTTCGTCCGCAAGGAAACACCCCGAAAATGAATATGCAAAGCACACACTGTGTGAGGCATCTTGCACACGCCAGCGTAGGCTGGCTATCCCTTACGGATTAGATCCTCTATGCAGTAGCTATATATTACATATACTTTCGATAATAATGCTAATGTCCAGAGATCTCCGCTCCGTCGATAGCAAGGACCAAACCTTTGCCATCCTGCTCGATCACGGGTATCGACAAAATATTCTTGGTAGCCTGCAGTCGTTCCAATTGTTCCAGTTCTCGAAGCTCGGTCGAAATGATATGGCCGTCGGAGTAATCGTCTGGCAAAAGATGCATTTCGTGGCATGCCCTGACGGCGCGTACGAGAGACGGCGGTACAATCCCGCTATTTTCTCTCGCCCAGCAAAGCAGTGTCCCGTGGCAGCACTACGTCCGTCACGGAGCATGTCAGTGCCAGGTTCCGACCAGCTAGTCGACAGGTGCTTACCGTGACGTCAGGAGCAAAAAACGGAAAACAGTTGACCTTCGCTCTTTGAGATTGGCATGATTGGAGATACTCGGCCATGATGCCGTACAACCTGACCAGTGGACGCCGGATGCGCTCCGGCAGCGGGCGCATAGGGTCGGAATGCGTATGGCGGAACGCCCATAGTGCCTCCAGAGAGGTGCGGCACGAAAGCTCAAAGTATTCCTTGGTCTGGCCAGCTTCCTGCGGATCGAAAGCTGGTTCTAGTGAGTCTGTCGCACATGATAGGAACCTTTCGACGTCTGATACGGGCCATCAGCTACAAGCCGCAGTGAGAGCAGCCGACGCGTGAATTTACCTCGCTCTCGAATCATCGCCTTCCAATTACGCAGCCGCCTGAGGGAGGACCATACGACGAGTTTCTCCCGCCTCGAATAGAAGTTGTACGGCCCACCCAAGGCGTCCACCATTGCAGGCCAGTACCTCTCATAAAGTATCTTATGCGAAATTGTCGGTACCGACACCGTGAACCTCAGCAAGAACAGGATATCGAGTCTCGCCACATCCGGGTCGTTTTGCCTGGCATGTGGCAAGACATCCAACAGCATCCCCAAGTGCCGCTGACGCGTGTGGCGCGGGAGCGCCCACTGCCCCGCGAGCTGCATGCCCTCCTTATCGCCCTTGAGCAGGTCGAACGTGTCGTCGTGTTTCCTGAGGAGCTTGACGAGCGCGCGAGGTGTGTACCCCAGAGCAGAGGAGATTACAGCTACAACGAGCCGGACGCGCTCGTCCTTGAGGAGGTCGTCCATGCACGGTACGGTGAGATCAAGGATGGGGTCGTGCAGCGATGAAGAGTGCAACCATTGGAGTGCACGAGCATGGAAGGCGTTCGCGGCGAGTGGGTCGCGCCGGAGCTCGCGAAGGTCACGGAGAGACCAGTCGTCGTGGAAAGAGGTGAGGGTGGAGGTCATCGAAGGCATGCTTCTGGGTCGGGTCGTGAAGGGGAGGAACCGCCCCCAAAATCCATGTGCCGCAGTTCGTAAAAATTTCCAGCTCTCAATTGTCATGCGGATGACAAGTGAAACCAGCTGATACACAATCCACGACAGAGCAGATTTGTAGGGACAACTGGGCGAAAAGAGGGGTATGAGGGCGCTTGCAATGATGAGGAGAAGCGAAAGGGCGATGAATCCCGTCACTATGCCCGCGATAGTTCCGTTTATTCCCCATAACAGATCCACCAGGCCAGCGAGAAAGAGGACCAGGGAGGCTTGGAGTAGCAATGGAAGGGCCATCATCAGTCCGGGCACGCCGAAGTGAGTCAATCCCTCAAACCGGCTCTGGCGGAGGCGAATGCTCTCCATTAAAGACAGGCTCTCTTTGGCAGAGTCAAACTCGCGGAGCCATTGCCGGACTATGCTGGCGAACAGAGCTGTGGACAGGCTGAAGACGAGGCTCGTGAACCATAGAATATTGATACGAATGGCTGAGGGGGCGGCATGGAAATCGGCCGATAGAGGGTTCATGGCAGGCGTAGTAGCATCCGGAACGTCAGAGCGAAGAGACAAATTTTGGAGTTGGCTTGAAATTTGCGCGAGCAGCTGGACAGTGAGCTGATCAGTGTCAGGCTCCAACTGGTCCATAGATTCCAGGAGGAACGCGGTGAGAACCGCAGAGAAAAGGCCCGCCTTGTGAAAGGATCAGTATCAAGCCTCAATCTAAAGATTCGTGAACATACGAAGATTAACATCGTGTCAATTTCATTATTCCATCCCGCGACGAGCCGTCGGTCATGGTCTTGCATGGCCTTGAGGCAAAGGGACCATCCTTCCGACGTTTTCCGCTGGTGATCCGTGGTCGTCTGAAAGATGGATTTGAGCTAACCAAACACACAAGAGGTCGATCAAACGTACGTACCTCAAACGTCCCCTGTACACCTGGAGACGAATCCAAAATCTGAACCTATACATGGAAAATCAATCTCGCGAACACACAGAGAAATGGTGTGTATGGTTCAACTCACAGGCACTGCTGTCTCCTCGGCGTTCAGGGTAGTAGATCGGGACGTGTGCGGAGTTTCCATGGTAGGCATCCTGAAGACCTCATCCACTCATACAGGTCCCTGTGACGATTATGTAGGACTCGGGAGTGCAAACCTGTCGCAGCTGCAGGCCCGCCGAGGGTGCTGAGTCGGTGGCAAACAAGGCACATCGTCGCTTGATATATGCGCATGGTCGTGGTCGCAGGGGAAGCCAGGAAGGAGCCCTAAGGCGCTGTACGGTACACGGCTTTGCGACTCAGGGTTACCATTATAGTTAGCTATGTCTCACGCCGTTGCCTTAACCGGAAATTTCTACAGCCATCTATTGCCTTTCACGGAAGGTCAAATCGCAAAGACGGGTGTACCGTACAGCGCCTAAAAGGAGCCCCGCGCACAGCCATTCTCATACCGCGACGCCATCTTCGGGCGCGTCAGGCATCCAGGGGAGGATGGTCCACCTCACCGCGCGTCTGTTCTTTCGTCCCACCCGCCTCGTCCTCCCCCATGCTCGCCGTGCACTCTCCACCGTGCGCCCGGCGACCGTTAGCGTGCTGGGGCAAACCTACCCGACCGACGCGTGGACGAACATCACCCCCGCCGTGATCTCCAAGCTCGGCGCCGGCCTGCTCGCGAAACCGGGACATCCACTGCATACCGTCCGGACGCTCATCGAATCGCATTATCCCTCGTTCTCCCACCTGAGCGCATCGAACCCGCTGGTAACGCCGGGCAAGAACTTTGACGAGCTCGGGTTCCCCGCGGACCACCCCGGGCGCGCCGTCTCGGACTCGTACTACGTCAACAAGGACCTGCTCCTCCGCACGCACACCTCCGCGCACGAAGTCGAGACGTTTAAGGCTGGGCACACGAAATGGTTACTGACTGCGGACGTGTACCGGAGAGACGAGATCGACGCGACGCATTACCCTGTCTTCCACCAGATGGAGGGCGCGCGAATTTTCGACGCGGACCACGCGGGGATGGCCGAGGTGGAGGAGGACAACGAGCGGCTGTCAAGGCAGCTCTCTCGGTCCAACATCGTCATCGAGGACATCTCGCATTCTTCGCCATCCAACCCCGTTCAACCAGAGCATTCCAAGGAACACGCGGAGCTGGTCGCGCTGAACCTCAAGCTGTCTTTGAATAGTCTCATGCTGAGGCTGTTCGGAGGTGCGGTGGGTGCCACACCCGAGAACCCGCTCAGGGTGCGATGGATAGAGGCCTATTTCCCGTTCACATCGCCGAGTTTCGAGGTCGAAGTGTTCTTCGGCGGAAAGTGGCTCGAGATCCTCGGGTGCGGTGTGGTGCAACAGCTCACCTTCGACAAGTCCAGTTCGTCGTTTCCCGGTCGTTGAACTTGAGTGATAAGAGTGCCGACCCCTTGGTGCAGATTTACCGTCCAAGATTGGATGGGCTTTCGGACTCGGTCTGGAACGTATCGCTATGATCCTTTATTCAATACCAGACATTCGCCTGTTCTGGTCTCAGGATCCCCGCTTCATCTCGCAGTTTTCTCCTTGCCAAATTACCACGTTCAAGCCGTACTCGAAGTTTCCTAGCTGCTACAAGGACGCCAGCTTCTGGCTTCCTGCGCATGGGTTGAACAAGAACGATGTCTTCGATGTTGTGCGAGATATCGCTGGTGATCTCGTTGAAGACGTCGCTCTGGTGAGTAGCACATTATACGCTGACGATCTCTTCGCATACTGAATTGGTGTGAAGATCGACGAATTCATACATCCCAAGACGAAACGCACCAGCCAGTGCTACCGCATCAACTATCGCTCCTTGGATAGGTTCGTTACGTCGAATTCTCGCATCTGGAAAGGAATCTGAATCCTGCGCGTAGATCGTTAACCAACGCGGAGATCAACGACATGCAGGAGCTTGTGAACGGCAAACTCGAGTCTCAATTCGGCGTCGAGATACGGCAACCAAAAGCATAGTGACCAGAGGCCACCTGCACCACTCAGTCTTGTGATATCTTATCGTCATATAGTATCTAATGCACTCAAATCTGCCGTCCCCGCGAAGATAGCTGTAGCATTGAGGTGCAACGTTGATACATAACTGCTCTTGCTCGTCGTTGGGATACGAGCCAGCCTGTTTCCTGAAGTTCCGATGGATTGTGATTTAGCTGTGGGCCAAGGCGCCTAAAGATGCTCTCGGCTCGGGGAAGATCCGCACCCTCGAGGGTGGAGTCACTCGGGCCCGCGTTTTACGGTGGATGGAAAAACGGCTGGGAAGGGACGCCACTGCTGTTCGTTGTCCACGACAAGACCGCTGCTTCAGCCCATTTCGACTATATTCCTGTCCCAGTCTTGCTCCTCCACTGCGATGGAACACGGGGTACGCGAAGTTCAAGCCACGAATTGTGACCGACGCGTGAACGCGTGACCGACCACGCGCAGGGCAAGATCCAGCAGCGACGATACGCGGCGACCGCTAGGCGATCGCCGCCTGCCGTAATTACGGGCCGCTCTATATCGACTTCGCCGCTCCGTCGTCATCCCCGAAATTTGCCTCCAGCAGATATCCACAGAACGGAGGGGAGGGAGGTCGGAGAACGCCCTTTGACCCAACCTCTCACATCCGGGTCTTCGACTTGTGCTCTCGCCTTCTCAGTCTGTCTCCCAAGGCATGCCGCCCTACCGATGTCGGGTGCGTACCATTCCTTTGAACCCATCGGTCAGTGGGAGAAGCTGATATTCGCCCCGCGCCCCGCAGGACTACGACGACGACGGGCAACCGATCAAAGGAGGATGTCCCCGGATGGGCCGCGGGTGCGAGTTCATCCACCCAGCAGAGCCCGACTGGTTCAGTGTGGGGCGGCTGCGGCAGAAGACGACGATCGTGAGTTCTTCATGTTGCATATATGCTATATACGATCTTGCTCTGAGCCCCCCCTTCATTCAGAAGAGCGCCAGTTTCGATTTACCACCGGATTTGCCCACCAACTTGCCGCCGCCGACGAACAAAGGATTTGACTCGGTATGCTTCTCCATCTCGAACCACTGATATCGCTTCAGGGCTCACGTAGTTTCTTTGCAGGCTCGAACGAGCTGGCCCCAGAACGATTCTTCCGAGACGCCGGTGTGTATATATGATCATATATGTTCATCACGGTTCTCAGCATGCTCTCGGATTAGGCTTTGTCGAGCTGGGCTGACAATAACAACACCAGCTGGAGCACCGGCCCAGAGCAGAGCGCCGTCCGATCAGGTCCAAAAGGCGGGAAAAGGGGGAGATGCAAGGTGAGGGCAATACGATTTCCATATCTATTTACCACAGCTGAACAAACGACGCATCACCCTGCAGTTCTACGACGACGACGGCAAGCCGATCGGTTCCAGGAAATGCAAGTTTGCCGAGTACGGCAAATGCAAGTTCGCCCATCCGGAGGACGATGATTGGGCGACCGCGGCGCCGCATTCGCAACGGCAGTCGTCGTTCGGAGGAGGCGGAGGTCGAGGCGGCGGCGGGAATGGCGGCAGTTGGAGCGGCGGACAGAGCACGTGGAGCAGCACGGCGACGAAGACGACGGCAGCGGCGGACGACGTAGACTGGACAAAAGCCGTGAGTGCGGCCGCAGGCTGGGGGGCCTCGGCGGATTCTGGAAGCACATGGGACACGACGGGCAACGAGGGCGCGTCCTGGGGCGCGTCTGGGGCGGATCCGGACCGCGGAGGTTGGGGGGCGGCGGCGGACTCTGGCAGCTGGGGTACATCGACAACGGATTCGGTGGGCTGGGGCACGGCTGCCAACAACACGAATACTGGTGCAGGGTGGGCTACCAACCCCATAGCGAACGATACGGGCAGCGGCAGCGGCGGCGGAGGGTGGGGCACGTCGAATTCGTGGGGCGCGCCCAACGACGATGTCGGTGTGGGATCTCATACGGCGTCGGCCTCAGACACGTTCATGAATGTCTCCACCGAAGACGCGGCGACTGCCGACAACCAGATTGACGGCGGCTGGGGGTCCACGGTGGCGTGTGGCGCAGATCAGCAGACGAAGACCGCCTCTCTTCTTAGCGGAAATGAGGCTTCCGCATGGAGCACTCCTCCTGCGACCTGGGACCAGCCAACTTCCGCCCCTGTGGACGGTGAGAATCTCGGCGAGTCAGGGTCGGTGCCGAGCGCCCATGGCGGTGCGTGGGGCGGGGCCATCTCCAGCGCCGGTGCAGATAACGCTCCTCCTCCCTACGACGCGAAGACAAGAAAGAAGGGCAAGGGCAAGAGCGACTGGAAGGAGCCGGCCACGCAGGACTCCGGCTGGGGTAACAACATTCGACGATCCACGAGCAGCATGTCTATCGATTCACCTGCTTCGCCGATCGTGCCTTTCGCCCCAAGCGCGCACCTTGACGACCAGCGGCGCGCGTCCACCGACTCACAGCGCCCGCCTCGCCCCTTCATCAACCCGCGCCAGGATTCGCGTCTCTCCATGGACGTCGCGATGTCGCCGGTCGTCGGGTCGCCCGCGGGCTCGTGGTCGCGCGAACCCTCTCTCGTCAGCGCGAGCAGTTCCAGACGTCTGGCCTCGAAGCCGATCGAGTTCGATCCCAGCAATCCACAGGCTACCCAGATCGACATAAAGAAGTGAGTATTCCGTGCATCCATGCCCACCGCCGCCCGACTTACGTCTTGTCTATCAGACGGACGATCGCGGCCATGCGAGCCGTCGGGAACATCGATCGGGCCGAAGCGCAGCTGGCAAAGTTGAAGTCCCTCCAAACGTCGAGCCAGTATCAGAAGGTCGGCCCGTACGGGGCGGCTGCGTTGAACAGTCTGCCCGTGGATGCTAAGGACCAGCTGCGGGAGCACAAACACAAGCTCGAAGAAGCTCTCAATCAGTTAGCGCAATATCCGTCACTCGGCACCGTGGTGTCCCAGAGGCAAGTGGAGATCGACACCGATCAGTTGAACGCCATGGCCTCTGACATCAAGAGCTGGACGGATAACGTCAAAGAATACTTGCGGCATGTGGAGGGTTCTCTTCGGAAGCCGAGCGAGCCCAGCGAGGACGCTCCCGAGCTGCCTCGCAAGCGCCGGAAGCCGGAAGAGGGCGAGGAGGTAGAAACCGTCCAATACCCGGCCGGAATGGCCGATCTGGCGCGCCGTGTCGACGAGCTGGAGTCCGGGGAGCTAAGAAACGTGCTCAAGGCCGACATCGATGAACCGCTGAACCAACTGATCGCCGACAAGATGGCTTCGTGGGTCAAGGACACGGGCTTCCACACTCTAGAGGAAGGCGAACTCGTCCCTTCGCTGGCTGGCCCGCACGCGGAGAGGGAGGACCGGCTGCGTGGCATCTTGGCAGGCCAGTCGGCGCGCTTGAATGAGCAAGCGCAATTGGTCGCCGAGATCTACGCTCGACGCACTGCGCATGACGAGATGTGCCAGAAGCTAGCGGAGGAGAATGAAGAGATGCGGAGGCGGTATAAGCAGGTTAGTCCGCCTTCGCACATCATAAGCAGGCCAGAGCTAACCCACGGGGTCTCAGGCGGAGGAATCATTCGCGCAGACGAAGCTTCGAGTCCAGCAGCAGCGCGAAGAGAATGAAGCTCTCATAACGCAGATGAAGGCTCTCGTCCATGAACCCCCTCGGCCGCAGCGGGCCCCTTCCATAACCCCCGACGGCATCATTGACCTTGGGAAGCCGCTCATCCAGGAGCTGGTCATGAACGAATTCGCCCGATCGGTCAACGAATTGAGAATGTCGGTTGCGAGCGCCCTGGACACACAGCGGCGCATGATCCTGGGCCGCTACGAGCAGCGTGCAATGCCGCTCGACACATTCATGCGGCAGTTCCCGAATTTTGTCCATACCATGGAACAGAAGGTAGCGGAACAGCAGCAAGCGCGTCGCAAGGGAGTAGAGCATTGAAGGTTGGATATCTTAGCCAGCAGGATTATCGGCACTTGTCTATCGCTTTTGGCATCGCAGCATTTTGTTTTGGCGCATTGTATCGATACAGCAATTTGTCTTTTTTGGCTACTTACGAATCGTCTAATCATCTGTTGAACACTTGTATCATGTTAATGCTATTTCGACAGTGCTTAGTACATATTCAATGCAGCTCAGACCAGATAGTACACCATGTTGATATGAGAGGTAGATATGGCCATGTTCTGCCACGCGAAAACCTGCCCTTTACTTCTTGTAGAAGCTGATCAGTTCCTCGACGTCCTCTTTACTTCCCAGCCAGATCGGGCACCGTTCGTGGATGGAGGTCGGGACGACGTCGAGCACGCGCCCAGTGCCGGTGGTCGCGACGCCGCCGGCCTGCTCGGTTAGGTACGCCATTGGGAAAGCCTCGTACAGCAGGCGGAGCTTGCCCTTCGCCGACTTCTTGTCGTCGGGGTACCCGAAGATGCCGCCGTAGAGCAGGGTTCGGTGAACATCGGCCACCATGGAACCGATGTAACGCGCGGAGTACGGTTTCTTGCCATCTGCGGAGCAGACGGTGTCAAGGTGGAGTGCAGAGTGAAGCGAGTGGAGACTCACTACTGGGGTACTTGATCGACTGCAGGTAATCGAGTGCGGGTTGGTGGTAGTATAATGAGTTGCCCTCGTTAATGGAGTAGATCTTGCCGCGGGTCGGTATTGTTATCTACCAGGCAGCGTGTGTCAATCAACCAGCCCTTGAATAACAAAGGGGAACACACGTCAGGGTGAGTGAGGATGAATTCTCCAAGAGAGGCGTCGAGGGTGTAACCGTTGACTCCCTTCCCAATCGAGAGCACGAGGTTGGCAGATGAACCATACCTATAATATGAATGAGTACAGGCGGACCTGAGCGAAGAGATGGTGTGAACTCACATGCAGTAGCCAGCGGCCACCATATCGTGTCCTGGCCGCAAGACGTCCGAGATGTCACCCTGCGACCCCTCTTTCTATGCAAGGTGAGTTTCGCGTGGCAGCCCCACCAGACGACGAACTCACGATTTGGTAGATGCCGAAGATGGTACCGATGTTGACACCGGCGTCGATGTTGGAAGAGCCGTCCAGAGGATCGAAGACGACGCAGTATTTGCCCTTGTACGGCGTCTCGATCAAGACTGCGTTCTCCCGCTCTTCGGACACCAGCACGGCGCACTTGCCCGAGGTGCGGAGAGCGTTGACCATGATCTCATCGGACAGGACATCGAGCTTCTTCTGCTCCTCGCCTTGGACGTTGGTCTCTCCTGCGAGCCCGACGCTTCATGTCGTCCAATAGATTGAGCACCGGATCTGCGGATCGGACGCCGAAGAAGGCTCACAGGTTGATCAGTCGTGCTTTCCGTACGTTGGTCGCAATGAATTTGCACGTCGTCTGGATCGCGGTGAGCAGCAAGGTCAAATCTCCCGTCGCTGTAGGTCCCAACGCAAATTGCGAGTTTAGGACATGGCTATCGAAAATGATCAGATCGTGCGGCGCTCAAGGATAGATCTACACACCGAGTGAGGGTGACGATGTCGGTATTGGGCTGCTCGTTGTTGATGTTGGACATGGTGGGTAGTTAGAATGAATACTCCAGGCTTGATCTGAGTATTTGAGTCCCTTAACGATGCCGGACGGACACGGTAACAAACGGGATCGGCGGTTTCCCGTACGTGCCGTCACTGCTTAACGTGGTTATCCACTCCTATTCACATGCGCGATAACTAACCCCCTTCTCGCACGGCCCGCCCGGCGCGAGAAGGCGTCCTCCCAAAATGGGCGTGCACGGCGAGCAACCGAAACGAATAGCCAGTCATCGCCTGGTATATATGGGATAAGTTACATTAAAGCGGTCAGCGCGTTGCGAAGAACTCTCATCGGGCCCGGGGGGCGCAGATTGGATCAACCCGGGCTGAAGTCGCCGGTCAGCCGCCCGAATCCACGTCGCTCGAGAAACCACGCCTCCTGTCTTCCAGGGCGCCCTCCGGGTCACGCCGCCTGTCCGGCGCCTCCCCCACATCGTGCTCCAGTGCTGGGCTGGATCCAGGTCCGAGGTGGCTCAACGCCTCTGGAGGTATATGTGCTTGCTCGCCGTACAATCTCTCCGCCTGTACCCGCGCGATGGCAGCTGCAAGTTCAGCGCTTATGGTCGCCACGTTCTTCTCCAAGGGCTCATCCTCTAGGCATCCATCCTCGCCGTCTGCACCATCAATGGGCGCACATCCGGTACCGTCAGCGTGAACGAACGTTGACGCTTGCGCAGGATCAAGAACGCCGGTTTGCTCAGAGTCGTCAGGATCCGCTTCCTGCTTCCGTCTTTTCCATTTTCCCGTTTTACTACGAAATCCATCAGTACCCGTGTGTGAGGTTTCGGAGGGAACACAAGCGCACGGTGGTTCCGGTATCCAACCGGGATCGTGTTGTTTCATGTGAGTGACCAAAGTGCCTTTGCGGGTAAAGGAACGATCACAATCCGGCTCCTCGCATTTGTACGGCCTCTTGCCGGTATGTGTACGTCGATGTCGGGCCAGACTGCTCGAGTCGCCGAACGTCTTACCGCATCCGGGAAACTCGCACATATGGGGTTTCTCGCCTGTATGCGTTCGTAAGTGCACGTGCAGCGCGGATCGCTGTGAATCGTCAGATACATGCTAAAAGCCGAGGAATCTAATATATACTTACCTGGATGAAGGTCTTGCCACAATCGTCGTGCGGGCATAAAAATGGTCGTTCCCCCGTATGTATTTTGATGTGCCTCCCCAGATCGCTTTTTCGGGAGAAGGTCTTATGGCATTCCTCACAGGTATGATTGGAGGTTGGGCTTCCTGGACGCATCGGTACGCTTGCTGGCAGGTCCGGTTGTCGCCACTTTTCATTCAGTTCGCCGGGGACATTATACGCAGCAGTATCAGGGCCCGTCGAAGAGCCAGCACCGGACATATCCCCGGTCGGATACGCGACTTCGTGATACAAGTTTGCTGGGAAGGGCGGAATCTCGGTGTACTCCTGTGTAGGAGGTAGCTGGGATGAATTCTCGTTCTGGGACGCAGACTGAGGGGCGCATGGGTGTCCGAGCTCTTGGTCAACGGGCGTCGTGAGCTGGTTCAGGATGTCGCTGATATCGGAGAACTCGCCGGAAACACCGGGCATTCGCATACGCAGGGCGACGGAATGGTGGTCGTCCGTCCCGTGACTGCCCAGCGTCTCCAATGCTGCATCGTTCTCGCGGGAGCCGTACATGTTCCTGGGCGCATCGGTGCCGATGGGCACGGATACGGGCGCAGGAAAAGCGTGAGTAGAGTGGTCGGTGAGAGAGTGGAAGGCGGGGGCGTTGCGGGTGTTAAACATCTCCGGGTCCTGTCTGCTGGGGTTGTTGGGATCGTGGTTCTCCTGCTGAGGATGACAGTGAGCGGCCTGCATCACGGCCGCGGCCATTGCTCTGAGGTTCACGTTGAGATCGGCCATGTTCATGTTCATCTCGCTGCTCGGGTTAGAGCTCGGGTGATGCAGATGCGCCGAAGATGGATGGGGTGAGCTCAGGAAGGCCGCGAACTCGTGCTCGAGCTCCTCGGAAGATATTACGTGTGCGTGCAGGCCCGAGCCCTCGCTGGAAGTACCGTCGTATGAGCGAGAGTCAGAAGGTCCGGAGAACGGGTCATAATTGCCGGCGTCGTCAAGCATGGGGTCGTCGTGCACAACATCCGAAAGCGCCAGAACGGCTGGGGACATGCTCATCGCGAGGGGGCGGTCCAAGTCTTTTGTTATGGTGTCGGCTGTCGCAAGAAAATCCGATGGCGTTGGCGCTGACGGCCCCAGGGCAGTACGTTCATGAGTGTGTGAGACCAAAGCGCGGCGCAGCAGACGACGGGCTGACCTGGGCTGACCCTCGGCCAGAAGCGCAGCGCCACCAAGATATGCTCCTTGGACGGTGACCGCCAGCAACATGGCTGGCACCAAACCAAACCTGCGCCCCAAGCGATATCATTTCTATTCTGCCCTCCTTTTTATCCTAGGCACTCTCTTCCCGCCGCTTGGTGCGTCTTCCGTACCATCACCCATGGAGCCTTGCCTGATGGTTTGGTTCGTGCAGCGGTGGCAGCGCGTTTCGGGATCGGAGGGGATTTCTTTCTCAACTTGCTGCTGACCCTCTGCGGGTACATTCCCGGTATGAAGCGGTAGCTTGTGTGATTCTGTAGCATGCGCTGACGTTCATCGCTGCTGTAGGGCACGCCCATAACTTCTACATCCAGGTATGGCAGTGCAATCGTCGTCTTTCTGCTCAGTTGTTCATCTTGCTTTCTACACCAGAACATACGGAACAACAAAACCCACCGCCGCACACCGAAATGGGCCCAACGGTATGGCCTCGTTGACACGTCCGAGCTCAAGCGCAAAGAGCGCAAGAACCAGTGGGCGTCTCGCTACAACGAACGCCTTCCTCGCTCCACCCTCGAGGGACAATCATATGAAGAAGGTCAAGAACCCGATGCGCCCTCGGTGGATAGCGCGCAGGGCAGACGCAGAGGCACGACCGACAGCAACGGCAACCTCTGGTCCCCCACGGAGGAGCGCTTCTACGGGCAGAACGACCGATCTAGCGCGAGCGTGGACACGTCCAACTCGGGGCGCTGGCATTACCCAGCCAACTTTGAGGACACGATCCCGACCGACACGACGATCAAGAAGAAAAAGAAGAAGGACAAGAAGGATCGTTGGGAGCGGACTGCGGACGCATACTCGCTCGCTGAGGAAACTCCACGGAGGAAGAAGAGCAAGAAGAAGCGTGGAACCGCCGATGTAGATTCGACGTACTCGCGCGGCTCGACGAACGACTTCCCAGAGGATCCCGAAGGTGGGCTGTACGGCCCTAGTCGCCCTGCGCAGAGGGAGAGAGATCTCCCTGACGTGCCCAACGGCAATGGCACTTCCGAGGCCGACGTCTTCAGTCATCAGTTCTGATTGGAGGGATATGGCGGTGGTCGTCATGAGGTTTTTTCGAGGTCGCAATCTGTGAGGGTGGTATCCAGGTTTTCCTACATCCATTCGCTCCTCCCCGATACGTACACCGGACGATTAATGTACTATACGGGTCGTTCTATGTATAGGCAGTTATATCTGCTCTAGCTTAAAGCCCTAGCATCGACAGGTTCGGACGTCTGCAGAGATGGTGTCGACGCAACGCAACTGTGGCGACATCTGATGCATCTTCTCTCCAGTTTCCATGAGGATCTCTGCCATATGGCCATGGACGATAAACCGCCGCCCGCACTTGCGCCGTCCCTGCCTATTAATGGGTCCGCCCACAGCACGCTAAGCGCATCAACGGTGCAATAAAGGACAGCTAGGGTCAAGAACACCGGCTTCTGGCTCGAGCTTGCATCTCCTCGCCTCTAGCGCCCGGTGTTGTATGATGATTGGCGCCCCCGCGTTGGCTCGGGCTGTTTTGGCTGGCCTGTCGCTCGCTTCGCTTGCCAGGTCTGCTGTTCTGGTCGACTTCCAGGTGCAAAACCCCCCTCCTGTGCCTTCCGGGGTGAAGACCTGCACCGTCCAGCTCCTTGAGTGAGTTGCCAACGGTAAAGCGCATACATGCGCAAGGCTGAGACAGAATTTGTGCAGGCACACATTCGGCAACTCTTACTATGTGTAAAGCCTTCGTTTTATATATGCGACCTGCACGAGCTAACTGGTCACGCACGTAGTCCCGGTGTAACTAATTACACGTGCGTATCTCACGAACAGTCCTCGAAATCCTTGCTCATGCATCACCCATTCCAGCCCTCCCACCGGTTGCGGTTCGCCAGGTACATGGACAGCCGTGACTCTGAACTTGACCGTTACAAGCAATGGAACGCAGTATGACCGGCTCGGCGTCTTGACCCTGCAGAATGTCGAGAGTCAGTTGCAGGAGAGCATCACATTATAAGAGGACAGCGCGATTGAGTACTTTTCGACAGTTTGGAGAACTTCCACTCCTGAACCGACACAAGCGGGAATTATCTGGACGTACGTGAAGGACGTGACCAAGTACATCCCTCTCTTTGCGGAGTCAGGTACGTGAGCCTTTCCCAATCGGAAAGCTCAGAATTGTCGACTAACTTCATCGCCGAAGGAACATTCTCGTTTGAGCTCAACAACATCGTAACGTCCTCGCTCAACGGCCAATATGCCGGTCAGTGGTATTTTTGGGGTGGTGTTCGTGCTGGTGCTGATTCTGACCTTGAAGCGACGGTCACCGCGACTTTCTACGAGTCGAGCGCGGCTCATCCAGCAGCGGGCAAATCGGACCTGATCATCCCCATTGGCCGTGTGACCACCAGCGGCGGCGCCGAGGTCTCTGTACCGCCTTCATATAGCGTGAGCCTCACAGCTGCATGATTTGCTGAGCGAGATGAGCTGAAGCCATGCTTCTGTCGAGCAGCAAAACGTCACCCTCCCGCAGAACGCGGTCGCGGTTTACGCCGAGCTTTATGCCTCGGGCAACGGCGACGAGGAGTTTTGGTACTTCAACACGGCGAACGACGCGCTGAGCGACCTTCCGAGCGGCTACATTGGCGATGGGCCTTTCCGCGAAGTTCGCCTGCTTGTCGACGGCAAGCTCGCTGGTGTTGCGTACCCTTATGCGACGATCTTCACGGGTGGTATCGTTCCGACCGCATGGAGGTGAAGAGGAACACCATGTACTGCGCATGCGTGAGCACTACTGACGTCTGACTAGGCCCATCACGTCATACGGCGCGCTCGACCTGCCGACTTACTTCATCGACCTCACTCCTTTTATCCCGATCATTGCGGATGGTAACTCACACAACTTCACCGTCGACGTCGCCTCCGCCGAGTCCGACCATGTCATCAACTCCAACTGGTACCTCTCCGCCAACCTGCAAGTGGTGAAAGACACATCGTCGAAGCCGACGACGGGCAAGATCAACGTGTACACCGCGGAGCCGTACGGGACGGCGAACAACGATGTCGTAGTGGGTGACAACGGGGACCTCACAGTCACGGTGACGGCGAGCAGGAAGGTGTTTGTCGAGAGTACAATCAAGAGCGGGAGCGGCAAGACCACGATCGCGACATGGTCGCAGAACCTGCAATACAAGAACGTGCAGCAGTTCCTGAACGACACTTACGTCCAAGTAAGGAATGCGCTGTGAACTCAATGGGGTCTTGACTGACGGCGCACGGATTTTGCATCAGATTGTTACTCAGACTGCCTCCGGAACGTCGATTGGTACCCACAATGGTATTCCAGTGGTCTCGGATGCGTTCTCGTACCCTCTCACTCTGAACTACGACGTGTTGACCGAGGACGGTTCTGCCTGTGAGTCATCATAGGTTCTGTATGGACAAGCTGATGACACTGTCCATAGGGTACTCCTCCTTCGATCAATCGTACGACCGGGTGTTGGAGCCTACGCCTTTCATCCTTTCTTCTACCATCAAAGAGCGTCAGCTTGCAGGTCGGTCTCCCTCTCTGTCCCGGCAAGCTCGACCGATTTGACTCTGAACCGAATTTCTCAGATGGCACCTTCGTCATCTCCTCGTCCGGCAACTACGGCAACGGCACGAACAACAACACGTTCAGTTACATTGACGGCAAGGGCAATACCTACTTCCGCGAGGTCGGCGCCGCGCTCAACAATATCACGTACGATCACGTCTCTGGCAGCCTCGCGACGGGCGGCTGGAGTTGGTTTGAGTTCCCGTCCTTCTCGCCGAAGGCCGCGGCGACGATGAAATTGGCGGGAGCCAGGGTGCCGAAGGGCAAACATTGATTGCGCCCGATCCCGGTATCCGACATTCGAACAGAGCTGTCTTTAGCTTGGTATACCCCACTCCTGAGTGAAATAACATATTGTAGCGCGACGAAGAAGTTTGCTGACAACGAGCACTGGTGCCTCGGCAGCGGGGTCTATTTCATTAATCGTCGTGAACGCAGCTGCTATATGCATAGTTCAGCGCGAATGCCAATCCTCGACGCGTTGGACATGGCAACAGCGCCAGCTTTCAATCCTCCCACACATTCACGCATTCTGATTGGTGGGTCATAACCGCCACGTCCCTACGAATCGGGTTGATGCGAGGATACACGAACTGATATTCGAAAGTGGTGAGCTAAGCAGGTAAAACGAAGTACTCAGCCTCTCACTTTTTCGTCGTACTCGTGCATCACCTCCGCCGCGAGGATAGCCTTGTCTTTGATCAGCGCCTCGTAGCTGTGGGTGAGCGTGTACACCATGATCCCCACGCCGGCCATGGCGCCGAAGGTGGTCATCCAATTGCTTGACGTAGTAGCCATCCAGAGGAGAGCGTGTACTGGAGAGTAAACGGCGAAGAGCGTTGATTCGAGCGGGCCTGGGTTCCACACCTCCAACTATATGGAAGGAATTGCTGAGTATCAGCATTGTGCACGTAGAAGAGTATCCACCTGCTGTACCCGTCTGCTCCGCGTGCTATCCGCCGAGGACGACGGGTTCGACGGGTTCAAGTTGAGCAAGAACCTCCAGAAGGCAACGAACATGCGCCACGAAGCCCTTGCCACTCGCTGTGAACGGGAATATTCTCAGCGTCTACAAAAGTGCCACTAAAATCAAAGCACGTACCGACATCATAGACGGCTGGTTGGCCGGGTCGAAATCGAGATCGGCAGGCACAAAAGATGCATGCGGCGACGATACAACGTCAGGCTGACGATGCATTTGGTATAATCGGACGCGAGTGAAGAGATACATCGTGTTCAACGTTGAAGATAAGAGTAGTAACAGAGTTAGGGGTACGCTCTGTCGTTTGGGAATGAGCTCAAGAAGTACAGGGTTACGAGACTCCCGCTCACCCAGTCAAACCAGGACTGTCCGCGTTGTTCTCGGTACATGTCTTCCCATGTTAACTCAGCCTCTGAAACGGCGCTCCCTTGTCTGATGCGCACGTACAGATGCATGAGATGCATGGTGCCCCCGATGAGGAATGCAGAGGTTTGCGGCGTAGGGAGCGGAACCTGGTTAGGAAATATGGATACTTGGAAGGCGATTTCGGAAGGAATAGATGATATTCTGCAGAGAGTTCGTGAGTCAAGTATAGCATATATGCGCCGAGTCCATACCTTTCTGCCAGGGTCTTTTTCCTCACTACCCGTTTTCGTGGCGTGCCCTCGCCACCGACGCCGATACTCTTCCTAAACTTGCTTTTCTGCAGGGGGCTACCATACGGCGGGGGCTTGTGCGACCGCGCGGCATCCCAGTCAAAGGGCACCGAGGACGAGATCGACGGCGTTGTTGACGGCGAGTCGAAGTACGACACGCGCGGCTTGCGGGGCGGGGTGTGTGGCGCCACGCCGTTCGGAGACTGCTGGACCTTGAGCACCGAGGGCGATGCCGGGGAACGTGGCGAGGTAGGTGAGCTCGTGAGGGATGCCGCGTTATTCTGCGCAAAACGTCGGAGGGCCATGCTGGACACGACCTCAGACCTGTGCTTGGACCTGACCCAACCCGCGCGCGACGCGATCAAAAACGAGGAGGCGGCGGGGACGAAGCACAATGGCGGTCACGTGCAAGCCACGTGTTGGCGGGAGCAAACACGGCCAAAGGTTCGAAGTGCTCGCCTTACCCTCTTTTCTTCGCCTCGTTGCGATTGTCCAGCGTTCCCTCATAATCCCGCCTCACGACCCGCCACGATAGTCCACATCTCATCTGTCCACACCCCCATCTCACCCGCGAAACCTCCGTCCACGCATCCACCATTTCGCGTCCACACGCATACACCACTTCCCTGTCGCCCTCGCACTCGGCCAGCGTCAGGATGGCCCAGCCCTCGTCCTCCCACCACCGCGACCGCGACATTGACCGCAGCGAGCGACGCTCCAGCTCGCGTCGTCACCACCATCACCGCACCATCTCATCTACAACCCTTTTGCTTGTGCTCTCGCTGGTGCTAGCCGTACTGGCCGTCATGCTCTCCCTCCCGGCCAACTCCAATCTTTTGAACAGGGCCACCGGAGACGCCGCTGCAGCCGTTGTGGACCCTGCTAACCCCCAAGCGTCATCGTGGGGTATCCTAACTCCGAAACGGGCGCAAGCACTTGTTGCGCGGGAAAGCGCCGTTGCGCAGCGCGAAGCCGATGTGGCCCGGCGCGAGGCCGAGCTTCTGGTCGGCGCTCCTGGGGGTGTCGTGCAGGCCACCGCTACCCCGTCGCCCTGCCCTGTCTGCCCTACGATTGTCGACATGCCCATTCAGACCGTCATCAAGGAGGTCGTCAGGGATCCTCCCACTCAGGACGTTGCACCTGCGGGCTGGTACAAGGAGGCCGCTCTTCGCATGGATGACATTCTCGACCGCGAGCTCAAGATTGCTGACCGCGAACGCGAGATCGGAAAGCGCGAAGAAGTCGTCAACCGTCGTGAACACGATGCTTCCCGCCGCGAAGCCTGGATCATGGAGCAGCTCATGTGGGCTCATTTACGCTTCGTAGCATATTGCAGTAGCTGACGGACTCATAGGGTGCTCAACAACGAAGTCCCGCCGCCAGGCAACGTGGTCGAGGAAGAGTACATCTACGAGACTCCGGGGAAGCGTTATCCCAAGGTACCTCCGCCGCCTGCTCCCCGCCGCTCCGAGCTCTGAGACGAAGGGGGTACCAAATAAAAATCGGGCATTTTTCTGTTGCATCCATGTACAAATGTCCGTTTTTGCTCCCCATCAATTCCCCACCTTCGTCCGGGCTTGGGGGTACACGGCGTTTCTATCTCCTTGTCCCCCCTCGTCCTCGGGGCGGGCCCCTCGCGATCGAGTCAGAAAAGCACGCGTTCCTTCCACGTGATGGCAACGGTCACACTCCTCGTGCTTGTGACGGCGACGCGTCAGGGCCCGTTCGCGCATTCCACACACGCTATAATTGAACGAATGCTGACCTACTTTCATTTGTTACAGGATCTTCCTCCACCACCGCTTATTCTGACCGAAACGCAAGTGATTGCGGAGACGATGACTGTTACCCAGACGCACCATCATACGCACACGCAGACTGCGCAGAAGATGGTCACCGTGCCGCCCCCCGCCAACACGCGCCTCGCCGCCTACCCGGCGCCCGAGGCGGGCCACACGTCTCCAGCAACGTCGCACATTCCCAAGACGACGAGCGTTGAGATTGTGCACGAAGAAGAGATCATCGTCGAGCCCCCAACACCGCCGGAGCCGACCACCGTCGTTACCCACGGACGCGCGCCCATTCCGCCTCCCCGGCAGCCCAAGCGCTGGGGCTGGTGACTCGTTGCGGATCTGGTGCTCGCCGCCGCGCTTCTCGCAGGCTTCTACCCGTTCATGTTCTAGAAAAAGACACGACTCCCTTGAACGACGTGACGATACCTAACACCCCCTCTTCAAGAGACCGTTCCCTTGAAGCGCTGCGAGCTCCAGATCCACCTCCGGACCATCCCCTTCGTGTTTCGTGCCGCTTGGACGCTGCTGCTTGTGCCGTGCTTGCCTCTCATCCCTCTCCGTGTAGCCCTCCTCCCTCATCTCGCTCCCGCTTCGGTCTTCAGTAAATAGTTGCACTCATTTCTTTCTTTCTCTTGGCCCGATTTGCTCTGCTCTACCCCCGGCGATACCTTATCGTGTCGTTGCGTCCACGCTGATCAGCGGCGTGGAGACGACGACACCCCCTATCATATTCTCTATGGAAATGACTCTGCGTCCTCATGTACGTACGCTCCCTGGACGATGACCGTTACGACATTTCCTAGTTATAGGTAGTTGTAGCACTAAAGTAGGACTAGACGTCAATACAATTCAACTCGGAATCTGCCTCTCCCGTTCGCTAGTTCCCTCCTGTGAGAATGCGGAAATTCGTTGGTCTGAGCCTGCTGTGTATATACCGACGCCACAGCCTAATAGCGCTTCCTAAATATGGAAGTGGCTGCAAGCTCGGCCGTCCTTGGTTCGCCCACCCCTCCTTCCTCAGAGTCTCATCTCGTTTAGACTCGGGGAATCTTCAATGGGCAAACGAAAGAAGTCGTCTCGCAAGCCTACCGGCCCTCGAAAGCGCGAGCCGCTGGGTACGTTCACCACCTTGATGTCACGGCCTCTTTCGTCTGATCCACTTACCCTCGCACGACCTGTTCTCCACTACGCATTTGCACGCATTATTCAACAACGGCTACCTGTCAACGTCGTATCTGTATGGATCGCTTCAAAACTCGAAGAGACGACCTTTACCTGTCTCTTTTGCCACCATGAGAAGTCGGTGAGCGTGCGGCTTGACCGGAAAGAGGGCATTGGGCACCTCGTGTGCAAAGTTTGTGATCAAAGGTTCCAGGGCAAAATACACCGTACGTACACGTCTTATCTTCACTTTCCTTTCTGCCTCATGGTGTCCCCTACCGCCACCTCTTTGTCCGTTCTGTAGCGATACGTCAGGCGACCGTGTACTCATTGCTCCCTGCAGATCTCTCCGAGGCAATCGACATATACTCGGAATGGATAGACGCCGCCGACGCTGCTGAGAAGGAACAGCAAGCATCCCGACGTCCCGCTGGGTCTTCAAGTAGGGCGCCTGCTGTCCAAGCTATCGAGAGTGACGACGAGTAGACGTTGCCCACGCTTTCTTGTTCGCCCAAGAGTTCAGGACCGTTCGAGTCATCACGCACATAGGCTCCTCATTGTACGCTACATGCACACTGTCCATATCATTGCCAGGTCAGACCTGTAATAAACGCGCATTCTGTACGTTCGACGCTCGCACGATTCTTACGCTAACTCGCCTCAGACCGGTTTGCGTATCATCGCACACGGCTGTAGTGGCTCGGGAGTTGTCTCTCGTTTTTCGGGCGCAACGCTTGCAGAACGCGTTGCAGGCGAGGGTCGAGCGATTGGCCAAAACGAGTTTGGCGATGGCAAGAACGTTATGCGGGATGAGGATACACCATATAGTCCTTGTTACAATGGCAGCATTATGCGAGACAAGCGTACAGACAACAATCGGTCGATGTTGAATACTCGACTACTCGAACTCGGACTCCTCTTGCTTGAAGGCGGCAGTGTACGCCAAGATGGTGCCATATACAAGCCTGTTCCAGGAGCAACAGCATGAGTCCACGGCGTCCGATGGAGACCAGAAGTGGGAGACGCACCCTCCACCGATGATAGACATAACAGAGGCCGCTGGCCTGATGACTTCCGAATGGGCGAGGATGATGGGCATGGCGAACCCGGTCACGACGATGACGGAGGTAAGGAATCGGCCTAGGTCGGCGGGACCGCTGCTCCCGTCGTATTCGGAAGAGAAGTCGTCCTGGCCACAGCGAGAGAAGAGCGCGTTAGGGAGAGGGGCGGAGACGAAGGTCAAGGCTGCGTGCATGTAATGGTAACGATATATGAGCAATTGGTCACATAGAGTGGTTGATTCAACCACAGGCACTGACCAACGAGAAGCGGTAGCCAGTTCGACCATAGTGCACAAGACAGGATGATGAGGAGGAAGCCGACGGCCAGGACGAAGGAGAGGAGGATAACAGCTGTCAATTCATCCCCATCAATACCAGTACCCAGCACAATGAGCGACCCAGGTCGCACTTTTTAGCCCCGCTGCCATGTTCGCAATCTGGCCGCCCGTGTGAGATACGAGAGATGGAAGCGTGAACGACGTGACTGCAGATGGTGAGCTTCAGCGACGACTTGCCGCTGCGTCCAGACGCGGCGCAGCTCGCGTGAAAGTGGCGATGTCAGCGCAGAGCCGGGTTACTGCTGTTTGCAAAAGTGATGGCGCGTCGTGCTCCAACGCAACTTTTGTCGCGTTCGGGCACGTCCGCAGGATATCGACAATATCTCGACAACGACGGCGAATGTCAAGATGATTAATACATGAAAGTTGTAGCCCTTGACATTCTGCAGATGCAAGGCTAGAAATCTCGCAGAAATGACGGATAGCGTGATCTCTCTCGGTGCAAAGGATACCACATGAGTATATCGACCGTTTGACGAGCAATCATGGAGCTTGGACTTCAGGAATAAGTTCATATGATGCAGGACTTAGCTACCGAAGTGCATGTGTGGTTGTATTCCGAGGTCGTGAACATGTGTTCGGTAGACTGGAGTGCGCGTGCCGCGCCTCCTTGACCATGCTCAATGTTCCACCATGCACGGCAAAGCACTCTCCAACGACCTTCGTGCTACTATTATCCGCATGCTTCCGTTCTTCAGCAGGAGCGACATCTCAATTTGGACTGGAGCTAGTATTCGAACAATTTCACGTGTAGTCAGCCAAACCATGGAAACCGGGTCTGTGGACGCACCGAAGAGTTCGCGGAGGTTGATAGGAAGGGGCCGGCACATTGGGGAGGAAGAACTTGCTGTTGAGTCAAACAAGTTACTTTGAGGCATTACCCGTGACAGTTTCTGACTAGTATATGCACGGTATACTGGCGAAGAACTGCAGCACGTACCTCGAGGATCTCCATAAAGAAATCGAAGATTCCTGTGGCAAATTGGTGTCGAAATCAACTATTTGGAGGTCCCTGAAGAATGCTGGTATGAGTATGAAGAAAGTACGCTGCGCCCGCT